CTTCAGCTCGCTGCTCGAGCAGTCGCGGAAGCTGCGCCAGGAAACCGACAACGCCGACCTCCCGTCCATCCAGCTCGGCCTGGGAGAGATTGAGCGACGCGCCAAAGAGCTAAAGAAAACTGTCCCCGGACGAACCGATGCGAGAGCGTATGTTTGATACCCTTCGGAGAAGGGAATGCGAGGTGTACTGATGGGGGATCATCGCGCAGACGCTACCTGCTCCGCGCCGGAGGCATCGATGCCGATCAGAACTTGAGGGATCTGGAGTCAATCGATTTCCAAACAGCTTACGAGCCGTCGGGACCGATCGACACCGACGTCGAGGTGAGCTTCATCCTCCAGCTGCCTGTCCGGCCATGTGTTTGTTTTTCTTGCTGACCCCGGATACACGTGAAATAGTCGTACCTCCGCAACCGACGAGACCAGAGCGTCGAATCATCGATCGAGGAGGGCATGCGCCGTACTGCCCGCGACTTCGATTCGTTCGTCGCCAAGAATGTCACCACCGAGTGGGAAGCGCAGAAGCAGCGGATATTCGAGCACTTCGGGCTCGGAGGAAAGCCGTCGCCCACCGCGCAGAACGGCGATAACGGCGGATTCGGGCTGAGCGCTTTCGGTGCGTCGTCGTTCGGACGGTCAAGATTGAGCGGATCTGTGGGCCCCGCGAGTAACGGTGGAAACCTGGGTACCAACAGTGTCTGGGCGAAGTTGAATCTGGGACAGAGCGTACTGGGCAAGTCAGTCACGGCGAGACCAACAGAGCAGACCGCTTCGATGTATCAGGGAAGCTTGTTTGCCGATGTGGACTCGTCGACACAGGCGGAGCTCTCGAGACCGGTACAGTTGAGGCAGCAGAGATATTCCCAGGCAGTCAAGAATTTGAACCTCACACGGCTGAGCGCAACTCCGGGATCGGGGAGCTTCGCGATCATGAAGGAGTTTGGTGATCTCACAGCTGCCACGGGCGGCGATATGGTGAGTCCCGTACTGTACTTCTCTTCGCCTAAGACGGAATTATTAACACTTCGGGGTAGTTGACGCTACAGTTGCAAGATTCATGGAGCCTACTCAGTAACATCGTTTGCGAGGACGGCGGAGACAACCCTTTTGGAGGTGCACAAGAACGGCGGTTTGTACGAGATCACATCTTGAATACTGCAGTCGACGGACAGGAGGCAGGCCGGATCCGCAAGCGTGTTGAGAAGGGCTCCAGGCGATTTTTGGAGAAACAGTAAGCTCGGTATCTTCGATAGCTCCATGAGGCGTGGCGCTGACTAGGGAAATCAGGTTCAACCAAGTGGTCGATAAGGCGGTTTCCGACAACCCCCAGATCGCTAGAGTTGGAGGTGTGCCATCAGTGTTTAACAAGTTCCGTGGTTTCATCAATGTCAAGATGGCTCAGAATAAGGACAAGCCAGACTGGGACGTCAGATGTTTCCAATCCATCAACGAAGTGCCGTGCTGGGCGATGGTCTTCTACCTGATCCGTGCTGGTTTGCTCAAGGATGCAGACAGCTATGTTCAGCAGCATTTGGCGCAGTTCCAGAAGCTTGATCGGGGCTTTGCATCGTACTTGCACGCGTACGTAGCCCACGAAGACCGCCGCTTGTCCCGGCCGCTTCATGATCGTATCAACGGCGAGTACAACAACCGCATCCGTCATATGGAGGATTGCAAAGATCCCTTCAAGCCGGCAGTGTACAAGATCATTGGACGGTGTGAGCTCGCGAAGCGATCACTCCCCAACATCATGCCCACGGCTGAGGATTGGATGTGGCTACAGCTCGTTTTGACGAGGGAAATCGACCGGACGTCGGAGCCTGCCCACGAGGTCTTTACCCTGCACGATCTCCAGAAGAGTGTTTCGCAGTTCGGCGCAAAGCACTTCATGGCTAAGGGTAGTAACTTTGGCCTGTATTTCCAAATGTTGCTCATGTGCGGACTATTCGAGGATGTAAGGACTACTATTCCCCCCACTATAGGATTCCACTGACGGGTTAGGCTGTTCACTATCTGTACGGATTCCAGTTCGTCGACGGAGTACACTTTGCCATCGCCCTCACATATTACGGATTACTGAGGCCGTCTGACAATCCAATGACTCTGGAGCTGCTCACCCTGGGCGTAAATGGCGAAAAACGGATCAACTTCCCTCGGATGATTGGTTACTATACCTCCGATTTCCGCACCCCGGACACAGAGGCAGCAGTAGATTATCTCTCCCTTATATGTCTCAACGGTGATCTTCCCGACCCAGTCGGTCCTGCCCAGCTCAAGATCTGCCACGATGCTCTGCGGGAGCTCGTCCTCACAACCCGCGAGTTCACCAAACTGCTGGGCGACGTTCGTGCAGACGGAACTCGCGAGAAGGGGGCGATCGAGAAGCGGATGAAGCTCATCAAACTCTCGGACCAAGACCAATTCCTTCATACCATCACCGAACAGGCGGCCGTACAAGCGGACGACGACGGTCGGGCTGCAGATGCGGTGCTGCTGTACCATCTTGCCGAGGACTATGATACAGTCGTACAGATCCTCAACAAGTATCTGTCTAGTCACATCGCATTGGACGATGGCATCCCGTTCCAGGGCCTTCACGGGTCAAACGTTCCTCCTGGCTCCAGCATGTCGCTTGCCTCTGTTGATGATCCTACGCACTTGGCGATCAACATGCTCACAGTGTACAAGAACAACCACATCGCGCGTAAGATCAACCCGCGTAATCGCGAGGCCTGTGGTGTTCTACTGCAGATCTCGGAGGCCAAGAGGCAATACGAGATGGGCGAGTGGGCAGCATGTCTCTCGGTAAGTCCCCCATCCGCCTTCCTTTCCCTGGGGCACACACAGCTAACCAGCAGCAGATCATCGACCACGTGGACGTGATCCCGCTCGACCCCCGCGGCGACGTCGGCAACATCCGCCGCCGCGCACAGAACTTCGTCACGCTGCACGAAACGGTGGCGCGCAACGTCGGCATCCTCCTCAAGATGGCGGTCGACTGCTGCACGCGGCTGTGCCAGGAGCTGCGCGAGAGCGGATACACCGATGCCAACAAGGATCAGAAGCTCGGCGAACTCAGGGCTAGGATAAAATCCGCCATGATCTATGCCGGCATGATCCAGTACAAGCTGCCCGCCCATATCTATGCTTTCTTGAACAGCAGGGATGTCGGCGAGTAGTGGTGGTGGCACGGCACTGGTGGGGTGGGCTGTAGATGAAAATCTTCTTTTGGTGGTGGGTATTTGTGGGGATACGAGATTGGAATGCGCGATGGTGGAGTTAATGATGGCTATGAATCTTGCGGTCCTACTACTCCATACCTTGTGACATTTAAGTGTGCTTTTGGTCTTTGTGATTCATCGTTCCGTTGCATTTTGGTTTCCGTGGTCCGAGACAATTCAAACCTTGGGACAACATCCAGCAAGAACCAGAGCTGACCGGGCGTCTGGTAAATTGCGCGGGGCCAGCGTTTTTTTCTGTTTCGGCATTTTGCATTCGTCCATGTTCGACCACGACAGTTTTTGATTACAAAAGGCCGCTTTCTGCCCCACTGGTCACCGAGTGTTTCTCCTCTCCACTATCCACCGGCGTATCAACGATAAAACCAACGCAAAACCTAACACAGAAACAAATCACACATCCAAATACCAATACCGGACTCCCGAATAAGTATCCCAACGAATGATAGTACATGCCATAGGTCTACGGGCTGAGCATACTACTACAGAGAACTACTTTACAAACTCCCCTCCCGCTTGATAGCGATACATAGCAGACCACTCCTCGGCCCGCGGGGAGGGGATAACCATATATTTTACATAGGTGGAGGTAGGTGGAGGTAGGTAGTCGCCGAGTAGCATGATCTATCACTCTGGCCAGTAGCCATTTCCAAGGTGCCGTTTTTTTTTCCCCAGTGGCGTTTCGAACTACCAATCCAAGACTCAATACCGGTATGTATAAGCCAAGGCAGATATATAGGAAGAAAACTGGCAGAGCCACGAAGTCCTTGAGCATTGGCTTGGAAAATATCTGGCAGCTGCTATGTAGGTATTCTCGTTTGACGGTGCTGGCTGGGACATAGAATACTCTAACAACAACTTGTATCAACCCTATCCCCACCTCACCCACCTCACCCACCTCACCCACCGCCGCCTCACACGAAAAAAAAAGGAAAAAAAAGGAGAAAAAAGGATGTAATTTCAACCAAATGAACAGATAGACAGCACAGACAGACCAGACAGCACAGTACAGCAAAGACCCCATTCCAAACCCCGATCCCTCCCTCTACCAGGTGTCTCTTCCCTCTTTCCAACCATACTTTACCTTACGCCGTGAAAGCCGCATTGTTCCCTTCCAGAGCATAGTCTACCGTGATTCTCATGACTAGATTTCGCCAAAAACCGACCCGAAAAGGACACACACACGATTTCAGCGGGGGGACAGCACAACACACCAATTACCATCATCATCAATCAACGCTGCCGTAAGATTTCTACCGGGAACGACAAAGACCCAGACAAAGGTGCCATGCATTAGCAGCCTTCAGGCGGTGGCAGGGTGTGGGGAGGTGGGGGGGAGTAGGGCGGTTGGGGGGTAGGGAAAGGGAAAGGGAAAGGGAAAGGGAAAGGGAAAGGGAAAGGGCAGGAAAGATGGATGTAATATGTTTTGTCTGCGTACCTGTTAAGAACTCCTCAAAGCTGAGGGTGATGAAGCCATCCCTATCATCGTCGTACTTCTTGAAGACCTCCGTCATGCGTTTCAGCGAGATGCAGCTCTGCACAAACAGATCAAACGAGATGGCGTTCTGTCCTGTTATGCGTAAATCAACCAGATCAGCACCCATCTCAGCGCAACATAGTTGTCCCCCCCCCATTGGTGCAGAAAAAAGCCGTTCCCACCTTGCTGGGTTGGCTGCGGCGAGGAGTCCTGACCTCTTCGGTCGTATGACCTGAAAAGCAGCTGCACGAATTGCGGGGACAGCCGATATCCAAAAGCTGCGGGGCCGAGTGCCGTGGCGTCAGAAAGATTCCCGTCGAGGAGGAGGAAAGGTCAGTCATCTACCCGCAAGAGCGTTCGCAAACTCTTGGTACGAGATGTTACCACTCTTATCCGTGTCGAAGCGGTCAAAGAGCTGGCGCCACGCGGCAAGAAAGCCCCACAGTCCACTGGATATACGTCCATTAGCCCCCCAACGTCGACTACTTCACGAGAAATGATTCGGAAGTGGGGGCCACCAACCAGAACTCATTGAATCCGATGGTGCCCGAGCGATCGGTGTCGAACATCCTTCTCCGGAGTTAGGAATAGATCGATCCCCTCATGAAACCGGGATAAGCGTGTACCTGATCATCATGCGAACCGTATGCGGATCGAACGAGGTCCAATCACCGTTCACCAGGGCAGCGCGCAGCTCCTTTTCGCTCAGCTGTCCACTTCCTGCGGCGCCCATCAGACCCTCACTTCCTCGAGTCGAGCACCCGCACACGGGTGTACTACTAACCGTCCTTATCGACCGCCTTGAACAGCGGAAACAGAGCGGGGTCGGGACCGCCGGGCGGCGCCGGAGTAGGCGGCGGCCGGGAAACCGGCGGCGGTCGCTGTCCATATCCCTGCGGTGGAGGCGGACTGGCAAACGCGTTAGGCGGCGGCGGGCTGGCGAACTGATTGTGCGGGGGAGCTTGGCTGTATCCCGGGCTGGGACCGCGACCAGGTACGCCGCCGCCGCCGCCGCCGTACTGCTGCTGCTGTTGCTGCGGATGTTGCTGCTGCCCGTATCCTTGCTGGGGATGTTGCTGCTGGGGGTGCTGCTGTTGCTGCTGCTGGGGGTGTTGCTGCTGCCCGTAACCTCCCTGCTGATAATTGTGCGCTTGCTGCCCCTGCTGCTGCGGGCGTCCGGCTGGACGTTCTTGGAAGTCTGCCATCATTTGTGCTGCCTTGAGAGTGTTTCAGCAACAGGCGCGAATAGAATACGAAGTGTGCGTATATGTGAAGCGTGGGTGCGTCTGGAGGAGGAGGAGGAGTGCTATAACCAACCTGTTCAGGCTCCGCATGGCTGTGGAGAGAGAAGATAGAGACATCAGCACAGTGTCATAATTTCTTGGAGCTTCATCCATAGCGGACAGGAGGGCAGGGCAGGACAACAACTTACGCGGGCAGAGCGTCGGGATTCGAGTTGTAGTACGCCATCGGGGGAGCGAAAGAAGAATGCAATAGAGTACGTATCTATCTATCTATCTGTCGGTCCTACGTTTCCCTTTGTTAGCTTCCACGTGCGTCCAGGATACATAGATGCGACGCAACGGCGGGGGGCTGGACTGACGCGGACGAGTTGCGTATCGTACCTGCAATAATCTCTCACGAGCCCGCTTGCTATGTCTTGTCGATCGTCGCGAAGATCTGTTGTCGGAGGTGATGGTCAAGTTGGAGGAGATGAGGAGTAGTTGAGACGAGGTCGTATAAAGGTAGAGGTGGAGGAGGGGTGACGGCGGCAGCAGCAACCAAGCAAGCACAAGGTCGGGGGCTGCTTACATGGATCTATCGTATCGTCTCGTGGCTGGGGCTGATGAGGGGTGGTGCACTGGGAAACACACCCCGGGATGTCGCCAAGTCACTCTATTACTCTATACGCTTACAAGTTACTCCTACCTAGTACTCGCTCTGACAATTTATATCCAGTTTTCTATTCCGCTTGTTCCTCTCATTCTTCACGCGAAACAGTATCGCCGAGCAGCCTTGAAGATGAAGTTCGCAGCAACAGAAGACTTCTACCTCTTTGGCTACGGGTACGTGCAAGTTCTCGCGCTCTCTATCACCACCACCACCCTACCGCCTTGAAAACATTGCTATTTTGCTCGCGGAACGGACGGGCAGGCAGAAAGGCTGACTTTCGTGACTGAGCTCAGATCTCTGATATGGAAGCCACCGCCGGACTACGGTATGTGTTTTTTCACCTCCTCTCTCTCCCTCTCGTAAGGTCGCCGGTGATAACGAGAGATGTAATCTACACACAGACTACAAGATGCCCGGCTACATCAAAGACTACGTTCGACGATTCTGGCAGGTACTGTACCATTTCCGCCCGAATCTGCCTGCCTGTCTGTCTGTCGAACGAAATCTAACTGCAGAAGGCCAGGTAAATATTCTATCCCTCCGGGTGCACCCGCGACGTTCGGACCAGTGGTACGTACATGGCTGGGTACGATAGCTGACCCGATCACAAAAACAGTGAGGACCACAGAGGAACTCCGGAAGCGTAGGCCACCCCTCCCCCCTCCATCCATCTAGGGCTGAAGGGAAGGCAAGGAAGGGAAGGAGAAGGGCTGAAGTGAGGGCTGACACTGAAACTCCTGCCTTTCTAGACCTGGGCGTGTGGTGACACTCGTTGAGCGGAGCGTCTGGGAGACGCTTGGTGACCATCACGGCGCCGACGAGGAGGTTTGGGGAATGGCGTACCGCATTCCGAAGGATAAGGTCGAGAGCGTCAAGGAGTATGTACCCCCGCCTACCTATACACCTATACAATTGGGGAATGAACGAGCGAGCGGTGCTAACGAGTGAACCAACAAAGATACCTCGATATCAGAGAGATCAATGGTTACGTGAGTATTCTCCGTCCCCCAGCGAATTCCGTAGTGGAGAACATGGCATTGATGTGAGGCCGTCACCAGTCGATTCACTACGTGGACGTCTACCACACCGATGAACACCTCCCTCCGATCAAGGCGCTCGTATACATCGGTAGGCATACTATATACCTACCTATTGTAGGAACCATCTCACTGTTCTGGAAGCTAACCTTTCATCTTCAGGCACCCCAGAGAACCCCCAGTTCGCGGCCCGCAACGGCGTACCAGGCGAGAGTGAGCTTGCCAAGCACATCTTCGACTCATGTGGCCCCTCCGGCGAGAACAAAGAATATCTCTACCAGCTGAACCACTCGCTCGAGGAGCTTTGTCCAGAGTCGAAGGACAACCACGTGCGGAGCCTTTTCCGGCAGGTATGTCTCCTGGAGGCGGAAGCTAGACTCAATGGTGTCGACCATTCGGAGGATGAACAGCCGGTGGTGCCTAGCCATCATCCGGCCACGGTCATGGAAGAGACGGAATTAGTACAAGTGGGTGGGGAAATGGACATAGACACCGAGATGATGCACTAGAATCAACATCATGTAATTAGAAAGACCATGATGATTGACCGATGAACCGTTTCATTTCCATTACTGACTGGGGACTTGAAGAAATCGTTCCATCAGATTGAGCCATGATTGCGCCGAAGATTGCAGCCACCAAGAAAAACAAGAAAGAAGCCCGTGTGGTATACAGCAAATGAGACGACAGAAATGTGTGATTGAAACGAAAACCAACGATCAAGATCTCGGACAAAGGACTAAGAGACACGATCCGTTACATTGTATGTGAAAGGTGGTGTTCTAGCTTCGCAACCGGACTTTTGACTGCTTCGCTACTTAGTATCCACCGCTCTGGCCGCCGTAACCTACGCAATCAGACATGTTAGCGTCGTGCTCAAGACTGATGTCACGATGGACGGAAATACATACCACCGCCGCCCTGCTGGCCGCCGTAGCCACCTCCGCCACCTCCGTAACCACCTCCGCCACCTCCGTAGCCTCCACCGCCACCTCCGTAACCGCCACCACCGCCACCTCCGCCAGCACGGCGATCGGTAGCCTTGTCAACACGAATCCTACGTCCATCGAACCTGTTCCTGTCAGCATTAAGCGGACCGCAGATGGGATGCAGATGCGTACTCAGTGTCGTTCATGTCATTGACCTGTTCGATAAGTGTTAGTGACAATGCAATCAAATAACGGTTAGGTAAATGGGATATGCTTACAGCCTTGTCCGCGTCCTCCTCGCTAGCGAACCTAACGAATCCGAATCCGCGCGACCTTCCAGTGTCACGGTCCTTGACAACGACCTGCATGAGGAGAGGATTAACGTCATCCCGAGATAGGCGGCATGTGTGCTTCTAAGCCGGGAAGCGGGGTGATGGAGGGGGGGGGGGGTAAAACATACGGCCTCCTCGACGGCGCCGAACTCCTCGAACTTGGCGCGAAGAGTCACGTCATCGGTGTGCCAGGCAAGGCCTCTGCAAGTTTATTGTTAGTAAAGTGGCGTGCTGGGGGTGCGACGATCGCCCCACATGTTCGCAGCAGCAGAAGCAGCAGCAGTAGCAGGCTAATTGTGTGTGCAACCATAACCACTGCGACCGCAACCACTGCCGACAATTGCGGGGCAAAATGGGAAGGGGTGTGAAACAGGTGAGGGGATAGGAGCAGTGCAATTGAGAGAAACGTACCCGATGAAAAGCTTCGACATGGCGATTTATATTATCGCGGGTTGAAGCAAACTGAACACACTGTTTAACACCACACACTGCGAGGGTAGCCGTCATCGAGAAGGCGACGACCGCGGTTGGGACAAAGGGAGAGAGAGAGCATGCCTGGTCGTTGTTTTGTCGTGAAGAGTCGAAGTTATTGTCGAGTGTTTTTTTTTGTGGGTGTGGGGGAGAAACTGATACAGTCTGGGAAGGACTGGAACAGTTGTGGAGTTGGGAAGGAAAGGAGGAGAAGGAGAGGAGAAGAAGAGGAGGAGTGGGGTGGGAGCGAGCAGAAGAAATAGAAGACTGGTGTTTGGCAGAGAAGAGGGGTGTGGGAGCAAGCAGAGAGGGCTAGGTCTAACTCGGAGCTAGGTGCAGAGGGGGGAGCAGAGCAGAGAACAAGCACGAACAAGCACGAGCCAGCAGCGATCACACAAAGCAGGAGGCAAGTGCACGTAAATATTTCATAAGTGCTCGAAGCTAAGGGGAGAAGTGATGAAGTACCATGGAGTACCATCATAGTGGAGCAGATCACCCATCATAGTGGAGTAGAGCGGAGCGGATGCGAGCTGTAATCATGATGTATATCGCAGCGGGAGCGGGGGGGAAGGGAAAGCGAAAGCGGTGAGCATCATACTCCAGACACGCGGCGGGTAGAGGGGGGCAGACGAGCGCGGACTTTGCGCTGCTGCTGCTGATACTGCTGATACTGCTGCTGCTGCCTGCTCCCGTCCAAAGACGAGAAGGCTCGCAGAGGGCGGTACTTGCGGGTGACATCCTCCACATTCGCTCTACATGCTCATCGAGACGGTGGACGACGTCATAACCTCATATCTGCCCTCCTCTCCTCGTCGGTCCATGATCGATATCCAGCCATGGCCGCTTCTTCCACCTCTTCCGTCGTCGTCGCCGCCGCCATCACCATCAGACCTACTAGCACCACCGCACCACCCACCTCTTGCACCCCATCCACCCCATCCATCCACTACCCTCCACTACCATCACCCCCCACCAACACTCCACGCCCTACCCCCCGTCCTCCAACGCCATCCCAATCGCCAATTCCCTCACACGCATTATCGCGACGGCAATCGATCGTCAGGCCGTAGCAGCTGTCCCGATCGTTTTGGTATCATTTTTATCATCGTCCCTCCGGTCCACCAAGAATGCGACCTGTGTGAGTGAGCGAGCGAGAGAGCGAGTCAGTGGTAGGCAGCAGTACCTACCGGCTGGTCGACGGTGAATGGGAATGGACATTAGACAATGGCCCCCCCTCTAGCTCCGATGCATGCAAGAATTTCCATTCCAGGTCGTCCCATCTGCCAGGCCTGCTGGAGACTGGAGTGGAAGGTTGCTGCTCTAATCTTGGAGGAAGGCAAGTAGATCGTCTCAACTCTCAACGCTCGACTCTTGACTCGACTCTCAGCTATCGAAGAGTCGAACGTCGAACGTCTCACTCTCACTACTGGCTGGCTGCTACAGACGGTACAGGTCTACTGCTGAAGCCGGTATCCGCTAGAGATACTCTAAATAGTACACTTTTAAGCACTTGGGTACCGGCTCTGGGCTCGTGGGGCGTGTGGAGGAGATATCTGTTCCATGCTCTTTTTTTTTCTTCCCCTCCGTTGCCGGGGGTGGCAGTGAAGGATGTGATTCTGCACCAGAGCTTGTTCGCACCGAGCGGCATGCATCGACGCCGATTGTGGCAAGGTGGGATGTGGGATGTGGGATCCTGTGGTATGCAAGTACTTCGGTATCATCAAGAGTGTCTGCAGAATCGGTCGGTTCCCCACGTCCCGTCCGTTGCGGGGGAACTAAAGTAAGCAAGGGAGGATAATCTTATCTCTCCCTTACCCATCCGCAATGAGAGAAAAATAAATAAATTAAATAAATTAAATTAAATGAATGAAAATAGAAAATCAAAATAGAAAATAGAAGAAAAAAAGTGAAACATAAAAAAAAAAGTAAAAAAAAGAAAAGAAAAAAAAAGGAAGGAAAGAGAGGAAAAAGAGTTGGTCGTGTCAACACTTCTCAACCAGCCATCCCCGCACCCTCCTACTTGCTTCGTTCTCGCCGCTTTTTGCGGATGATGGTGGTTGTTGATGCTGTGATGCCTCGTAAGTTCCAGTTGAGGTTGTCCGCCCAATTGCGGTATTGACGCCGTAGCAACATTGCGTCATGGCTCGGGCTAATGGGCAGGGATGAAGGATGAAGGATGACGGACGATGGGTGGTAGCACATCAGGCTCTGGCCGGGAGAAGACGACGAAACTGCTCGACCGGCTGACCGATCCCTCCGCTGGCTCCGGTGCCCGCCGGCGGCCGCTTCGGCGCCGGCATCGGCTTCGGCGTCGGCTTCCTTTGGGGGCTGCTGTGGTTTGGGCCACAGGTGGAAAACGGTCTCTGGCTGGCACTCTACTCTAGGTACTCTACCTACAGTAGAGTACACTACTCTACTCTAGATGGAGTGTCCGTGGCTCCAGAGTCGACACGACCCACGGTTCCACCTCCTCCTGCGGTTTGGCCGCTCCCTGGCCTGTGCTGTGCTACCTCTGTCTGTGCCTCTGTCTGGCCGCCGCCACAGCTCGAACCATGCCCGTTCTGGCGCATCGCGATCGCTCGGACGGCCGCTGCTTCCATCGATGCCTTCTCGTCCGCAACCAACCACGACCACGAACTCGCTCTTCCCTCCCTTCGCTCTCCTCTCATCTGCTCCTTCTCTTCTTCCCCCGGCACCCGAGACTATTTCCCGCGAATCGCCACGGAACACACAGACACCAACGACTCAACCTCGACTCACAGGTCCTACCTATCGGACATGGAGAACACATCTGCCGGCAGGGGAAAGCACAGTGCCTAGAGCATACCGGAGAAACCAGGCGGAGCAGGAGATCCAATCCTTTGAATTTGACGCCTACCGGTATGTATCTGTGCTACCCACGCTGTTGGGCCCTCGCAAGTCACCTGTTGCTGCCAACAAATGACATCCCCACTATCCCTCCCCCCCTCCGCCCAAATTGACTAACTCAGGATAGCCGCCAACCACAGCGAACCAGGAATTTCACACCTGCTTCACTTGCGCTCCCAGCGAACCAGGAGTTTCACACTCTTTCCACTTATGCTCCCAGCAGACCAGGAATTCACACTTGCTTCTCATACGCTCCCAGTACACCAATCCTAAAGGAAAAAATACACCCTTGCTGCCACCGTGAGGGATAACTGCAGCATTGAGAAGCCGCCGCCTGCAGCCAGTAGAAATACTACGAGCCTGGGAAGCAAATTCGCACCGATTAAATTCAAAAAAAATTCACAATCAAAATCAAAATCAAAATAATAAAGAATTGGACAAATCAACCATGAGTTTGACTTTCCAAAATCTACATGAATTGGAATGGGAGCACCGCCGTCGCGGTGAAGCAACTCCAGATCCGGTTACGGCTTTCGTTATCCAACAGCAAGCCCTGCATGAAAAAGGCGATGCATGGCGTCCGCACATCTCGGATAACAGCGGTGAAATGCGGGGTACGAACCATATCGTGCAGCCGTATGAGGGACGACGCCAAAAGCGTCGACATCGCGCACGAGAAGAAATTGTTATGCAAGGTATGTATATCTGCTTGCCTATCGCACCGTCGTCGCGGTTTCATCGGTGGGCAATGTTGACAACGTTCGTAAGACTCGTGCCGTGATGCTGTTGCGGGCTTTCCAGAAACCAACGTTTCCAGCCGGGAAAGAAAGGCTGAAGCGCATAGGCTGGTGGCCAGTCCCAGGCAACGCAAGCGAGGACGGGAATGCAGCTCGTCCGGCGGCTCCCTCGATTATGCGGAAAGGCATGCGGACAGGGAAAATTCCCTCATGGTCGACGTTCGTGGCGGCGAAGAGGTTGTCTGGGATGGCCGGAAGACCAGGGATTTTCAGAAGAGGGCCCGGCATAAGATGTTAGACAAGAGCCGCAAGACTGCGAGCAGGGCTATACCGAGCAAACCCTCTCCTCCTCCCAAGAAGAAGAACGGAATGGGAATGGGAGTGGGAATGAGAATGGGAAGGGGAAGGGAAAAGGGAAAGGGAAAGGAAATGGGGAAGGGCGATACCCTGCTGAAGAAGACAACCCAGGCTGGCGTGACAAGTGGGCATCGAACGGTAGGTACATGGGTTCTAGGGAGACACATTCATCCATGTCTTGACAATAAGTTGCAGTTGCCAGCGACACACGGCTTGGAGGTTATCAGAAACGGTCGGACACACGTCCCTCTGAGTAGGGGTCGTATGTGCATGACTTTCCACGACCAGGGCCCTGCTGACGTATCGTATGTAGTACCAGACCTTACGTTTAGCGACATGAGTTTCCTGGGCCAAATGAAGCCACGGTTACCGGCTGTCGAAGAAAGGCAAGCACCGAGATCCTACAGGGCGACTGGCCGCGAGACGAGCCACGGCACTAGCTTCGTGCCTTCTGGTGGGTTTCGGGGTCATACTAGGTCGATTTCTGTTGCGAGTGCGCCTGCGCATCGGCGTGAATCACTATCTCGAGGCTCGACGACTATTGCGTCTGGACTGTTGATGAGGGAAAGTCTCGATGATCACAATACATCGCCGTCCCTGCGAGAATCGATAACGACCGACTCCGATGCCCACTCCGAGTATTCACTGCAGTTACGACGGGCTCGTAAATATGGAGGAGGCCCACCAGATGACGATCCGGCAAGAATAACTCCACTGCCGCAGCCTGCAGCAATAATGATAACAACACCTCAGAGGCCCCAGAAGGACGACAGTCCGCGTCCCACGGAAAGTGGCCCGGCAGGGGAAACGAACCCGAAAGAAGGAGAAAAACCGGTTTGCACTGTCCATATCGCAGCCATAGAGGAAGAAGCCTTGCCAGTAAGCTTCACCAATGATAATCACATACTTGTAAGCCCCCGAAGTGGTACTAATATCACGGCAAGTAGGCTTTACATCAGACCCCCTCGAGTCCTCTGCACGATTTGATACGTCTCTGTGCAGAGTTTACACCCACGAAGGTCTCCGAGAAAGGACCGATAAACACAGGGCCAACCGATCATTACTCCTGCGAGGATGGCCAATCATCGGGGTTTATTGCTGAACCTAATGTCCACACAAACCACAGTCACCAACCGGAATACCACTCTGCTGCGGGGTTCGTTGGCAATGCTTCAACCCTACATGCGGGAACATATCACACAGATCCGCTTGGCTATACAGAGAACGACATCTTTAATCACAGATCCCACTGCTATGTTCACGATCGTGAATCCGAGTATATGTACCCACAACGCATGGAGGCCAGCATCTGGGGGCCTAGCACTGACCCTCACACCCGCCATCACGGAAGTGACTTCACATACGATCACTCGGTCTTTCCCCAGTTTAACGAAAATCACGACCGTCACGACCACCATGACAGCAACCACTACACCGATCATTACAGTCCGCGTAATGATCACATCCGCGTCAACCATTACGGCCGAGATGTTACGCCTGGAGAAACGACCTGGAACGTTGAGGATAACTACTTGCGGGACTCGCAGCACCTTTCACAGTATGACCAGGAGGACAGTCACATTGTTGCCCCCAGTCGGTCCGGTTCGTATATTCCCGGGAGTCCCTGGAATCGACAAAGGCCTGGAGATTCCCCAAGTCTAGACATCAGCCACCACCCCGATCGACAACTCGGTAACTATTTCGAATCCGATTCACACTTATCAGAAGGTATCCCAGGAACAAACGTCGAAAGTCAGTTCGATCTGCGGCCTGAAGAGGATTTTCCGGAGCTTAATATCGAAGATCCCTTTGATCGACACCTACGTGAAGGTTTTGGTATTAGTCTAGACCTGGATGGTGATTATCCTTTGGAGCCCAGTGTTGGGCGACAACGCTACGATTCCCCAAGACCGAATACTGGAAGCCACTTTGATCCATATCCTTATCTAGAAGAAGAAAGTTGGAGGTCAGGGCCTTCATATCAAAATGATCCACTACTGAATGAGTTCTGGAAGGCGTAGTGTTCGTGAAATGACGGTCATTGGTGGAATTTGTTTGCTATACACTTTTTAATGTGTGATGGGTGTGAAGCGATTTTATGGGATCAGATCAATGACCGCGGGCTTCAAATGTGTTTCATCATGTGTTTTAAAGCAAGAGAATCATAGGTGTATTAATTGACCAATGCCCTTTTCCGACATCTGATTTCACGCACAACACCCCCACGAGCCTTAACCATGACAGTGAAAATTACCCTTCCTCCCCCCTCCCCCGCCATGCTCCCTCCACCTTCATTACTTCGCAGGAGAAGGCGAGGAGATCCCAAGCACAGACGAGATCCGTTCCATATCCTGCGTATGACTCACGCGAGCCTCCTCCACCTCCGCCTCCTTCAACTGCGTCCACCGCGCAACGGTGGCGATCCTATTTGTTTTACCGTCAGAACCCACCCCACTACAGACAGATGAGAAGCAAGCACATAGACTAGACAGACAGACGGGCGGGAAGGGGAAGGGGAAGGGGAAGGGGAAGCAAGCAGGCAGGCAGGCAGGTACATACTCGCGACTAAACCGCACGCTCTCGCTCTGTGCGCGGCGGATGGTGTAGAGTTCATGAAGCTATCTCGTGGAACGTCACATCAGCTACCAATCCATTTTCGCCCAGTCTATAGTAGAGAGAGTGGCTACAGACCCACTCCCAGCTCCTATACTCCTCGAGCAGCGCCTTCTCATCGCTCTCGACGGCGGACAGCTCGTGTGCGCTCGAGCCGAGGAAGCCAGACCAGTCGTAGTCCGCTTGTGGGGCGAGGAGGTCGTCCGCCGCCCCCGCCCCCGCCCCCGCCGCTGCCGATGCTTGCTTGGGGGTTTTCTCTGTGGCGGTGGGGTTGGGGGTGGCGGTAGGGGGAGTCCTAGTGGGGGAAGTGCTGGTGGTGGCCCTGGTGCTGGTAGTGGCGCCGGACTGTGGCGCTGGCGCTGGCGGAAGTAGCGTGGTGAGGGAGGGCGAGTGAGATGCTGGGGCTGGGGATGGGGATGGGATTTGCTGCTGCTGAACTTCTGAGTGCGCCGGCTCCGGGCCGGTATTGCCGCTGGCACTTGCGCTGGCGCTGCCGGCAGAGGGGATGGCGGATTTGCTGGTGCTGGGGCTGGGGCTCGACATTTTGGTTTTATTTGGTTTATTTGTTTGGTTTTAATTTGTTTTTGTTTTCGGACGGGTTTGTTTATTTTTTTTGGCGGTGGTTTTGTACCTTTTTGAATGACTGGTTGGTTGGCTGGAGTGGTCGGAATGGTTGGAGTGGTCGGAATGGAGTGGTTGGAATGAAGGTACTTTGGTTGTTGGTCTTTGGTCGTCGGGCGTTGGTGCTGGTCGTTGCTGGTGCTGGTGCTGGGTCGTGGTTGAACGAGCAAGACCTTGCTCGTGAGCCCTCAGCCCTACTGGGCTGAGCTCGGCCACTGGCGGGACGTGGCGAAGCCTAAGGGCCGACAGGCCGGGTGACGCATTGAACACTAGGACCCGGACGTACGCGGGCCTATGTAGTGCGCCTGTGTGGTGGTCACTGGTCACTGGTGGTGGGGATCTGGGCCCGCCTACAAGGTATGCGGATAAGATGTAGGCTATCTCCATAGAACGATGTCATCGACTCATCGTGTAACCTGAACTACATTAAACGCCGCCGCAGCTCGCCCCCCAGCTCAAGCGCGTAGTAAGTAGGGCAGGTACATAGCTCGACGATAGATAAACCACTACACGACACTAGTAGCTGGAAGTGGAGCTTCGATCGATGCGCAACCCACACGCTCACACACATACACACACACACGCACACGCACAACCTCCGTCTCCACGTCCACCTGTAGTTGCCATCTCCACCACTGTCCGCAGCCTAGATGCCTCCCGATATACCATACAGTGCCAACCGAACCCTACCCATGAGCTTGACGCACTGCCAGATCTGCGACACCCGCGCGGCGCGGCTCACGTGCGCGCCGTGCACGCAGGCTTCGCTGTGGCCACGGCGCACCGAGTTCCTATTTCTCGCGGCGGAGCGCGATGGCGCCGCGGAGCGTGTACACGAGTATCTCGAAGCCTCTGGGAGCGCGAGGGGAGCACTGGACGACTGCCGGGTCAAGAGCGATGAGAAGCGTGAAGAGTACAGAAGGATTAATGATGTATTGATGGGAGGTATGTTGCCCCCTCCGACACTAGGATGGGGAAAGGGGGGGCGGCGGCTGATCTGGGTTGTGTGGGATAGAGAGGAAGAGGATGGAGATGCTGCGAGCGGAGAATCGTTCGAGACGGCGGAAACTTGAGGCGGCGAGGGAGGCGGCGCTCGGTGAACAGGCCAGGGTCGATACGCTCAAGGCGGAGATTAAGCGGCTCAACCAGAAGACGAAGATTCTGTGCTCGAGGATGGCGGAGGCGCGGAGTTTTCTGTGTCGCGATGCGGCGGGGCTGGTGGGGCTGCGGTTGAAGAGACGGAAGAGTGGCAAGGTCGAGTATCTCATCGGCGGAGTGCTGATTCCGAACCTGTTGACGGACCTGAGTGGTAGGCAGATCTCCGGGGGGATATGGGAACGCTGTGATACTGATGACGGGGATTTGGATAGTACATCCGCACACGAGCATCAACGTCTCACTCGACCACCTCGCCCGCCTCGTCGTCCTGGTTTCCCACTACCTCGGTCTCAAGCTCCCGAACGAAATCACCCTTCCGCACCGCGGGAACCCCTACACCACCGTCCGCGGGCAACTCAACAACCGGCACATGGCGGTGCGGCCACTAGTGGCCGACTCCCCACTACCAGTGATGGCGCGCGAGAACACCACGGCGCACTCCAAACTCGTCGAGGGGATCTCTATGCTCGCGCTCGACATCGCGTGGCTGTGCTACTCGCAGGGGCTCTTCGCCAACGAAGTCGAGGACGCCAGCAACATTGGCTACTGTATGTGGAAGCTGCTGGTTGCAAAAGACAGCACTGCCGTCACGAGCCCGGCCTTCGGCCGTATGTCGCACGCAACCATCAACGGGAACCTGACGCTCGCCCGCCACGAGCCCGTCATGGCCGGCTTCAGACTGAGATACAACCTCATTGCGGACCGCATACGCACCACGCTGCAGGGCGAGACCATGGTCGCCGACTGGGACATGGTGGCCGACGCTGAGGAACACGATAGTGCCACGTCGCGCAGGAGGTCGGTCCCCGATGCGGAAATAGACTCGTTTGAGGACGCAGCACTCAGCTTTCCGGCGGGGCCGGCGAGTAGCGGCGGGGGCGTGGGGAAGTGGACGCGGATTCGGTCGAGGAACGATGGCAGCGTTGGGTAGCGAGCTGTGACTGACTGACTGTTTGTATTTTTCTTTCTCGTCTTACAGCTGGTTTCTTTTCACTACTTGACGGGTTCGCGGAGTTTGGAGTGGCGCACTTCTGCTTGGGCGGGAATGAATATATGTATATACTGATATTGTTCGTTATACACGGAAGCGGGAGGGGGGAGGGGGGGTGGACGTCTCGCCGACCACCAGTATTCAATGCCGGGATCTTTGTGATCTTTGTGGAATCAAAGGGTTCCGTCTCGTTTGTGCGCTGGGGCGGGGGGCCATTCGAGCGTCTGTCGGTGGCCATTCAATGCCACGGCTGTAGGATAGGCTATCTTCTCCAGTTCTATTGCATTGGTGATCATAGAGAAGATACATGTGTGCAACGATCAATCCAAAAGTAGCGCCCATAACACCCAAACCACCTATATACAATCATCATCATCCGTCATTCATATGAGATCAATCAACCATCAATCCGTACTCCAAGTATCATAAATCGAAGTATATGTCAATCACAGCCCCCACCCCCGCATCTAGACCTTCTCCATCTCCACCTCCTCGCTCTTCCCGGCCTTCTGCTTCCTACTCATCGCCGGCTGACTCGAGTTCAACTTATCACTGAGGTGGTGCCTACCCACACCCACACTAGCGACGACCGCACACAGCGCGATCGCGAGGAAGAACCACCACATAGCGCGCATTCCGGTAGCATAAGCGTCCTGCGCAGCCTCTTGCTGTCCTTGGTCAAGGGACTTGATGAACTCGATGCTGGCGCTCGCGCTCTCGCCGCCGATCCTCTTTGCGACGTCGTCACTGAGGCCGCCTTCGGTAGTCGTCTTCGCCATCGTATTCCCAAAGACGACGAGTCCCAGCGATATCGCCAGCGCGGTGCCAAGCGTCCGCAGGAATGCGAACGTGGTTGTCGCGGTGGCCATGTCCGCCGGCGCTACGGTCGCGTGGATAGCGATCAGCGGGGACTGGAATAAAGGCCCGCTGCCGATTCCGCCGAGAAGCTGGTAGATCACCAGCTCCGACCAGCCGGAGGTGCGCGTCAGCTTCACGAGCAGCCCGAAGCCCACCGTTTGGATCAACACGCCGAACCAGATCACTTCCTGGTAACGGCCGGAGCGGGAGATGAGGACGCCGGAGAGCGCGGCGGCAAGAGAGAGGACCACGACGTAGGGGAGGACGTAGACGCCCGAGAGGAGGGGTGTGGCCCCGCGCACTGCTTGGAAGTACAGCGGCAGGAAGTAGCAGCCCGCGATGAATACGAAGCCGTGGAAGAACGCGATGGAGTAGCACGAAATGCTGGTAAGGTGCGTGAACAGCCGCAGCGGCATGATGGGCTGCGACGCGAAGCGGTATTCTACCAGCAGGAACAGCAACATCAGCAGCACGCCGACGGCGAGGAAGCACACGACGATGGGTGACCCCCACGGGTGCGTCAGGCCGCCGAATTCGAGGCCGACGAGGAATAGGATCACCCCAGTGACGATCAGGAAGGTCCCGAGCCAGTCCACCCGCTTGATCCCCGCCCCGAGCGAAATCGTGGGGGATTGAAGGTGCAGGAAGAGGTACAGCCCCAGGATCGCGATGAAGCCCATCGGAATGTTGATGATGAAGCAGAAGCGCCAGCCCCAGCTCGCCATGCCCGTGAACACGCCGCCGAGGACGGGGCCGATGGCGGATGCGGCCGCCCAGGTCATACCGACGTACGAAAGGTACAGTCCACGCTCACTATAGCACCCCCACCATTAGACTAGAAAACTCGAGTTTGATCATCAGAGCGGAGAACACATACCGCATGGTGACAATGTCCGATATCGTAACATTGACCAGACTCAACTGGCCACCCGCACCGAGCCCTTGGATGATCCGGCCCAAGAGCATAAGCTCGATCCCGTTCGCCGCTGCACACAGGACACTCCCGATCATGAACAACACTGCGGCAGCAAGAAGCACCGGTTTTCGGCCCCAGATGTCACTGAACTTTCCCCACGACGGCATGAAGCTAGATGATACAGTCAGCCGACAACTTGACGAGTGTGTGTGATGGAGCTGAGGGGGGGACTAACGCAGCAGATGCGAGAAGATACGAGCTGCCGATCCAGGTGTACGCCGACGGCGACTGGAACTCTCCAGCTATCACGGGAATCGCCGTGGTGATGATTGTCTGGTCCAAAGCGGACAGGAAGACGCACAACTATTACGGTTACTCGTCAGCTTCTGTTTCTTTCCCTCGTCTGTCTCTCCCCTGGTTGAGGCCTACACATAACGACAGTACAATGAGAAATTTACTCTTGCGACTGAGTTCCTCCTGCTCCAATTCGGGCTCCGCCGGCTGTTTTTCCGGCTGTGGCGCCGCCGCTGTGGCACCCGCAGCATCCTCCATCCTGGCCGCCGTGGACGTACTGGCACTATCCTCGAGCTCGTTGAGCTTCTCCGACTCAAGAGACGTTATCGACGCGTTGGCTGTATTTGTATTTGTTGTCGTTATTGTTGTTGTTGTCGTCGTCGGTAGTGGCGATCCTGTTTGCATGTCCACTCCCACTCCCGAAGTCTTTGGGTCCATAACTAACGAACGACACACGCACACACACGCACACACTTCAAGCTTTTCGAGCCTGGGGCTTCAAGATGATCGATCAGTACCGTATCCGAACGTGTTGGTTGTTGTTCGTATGTCCGTATGTATGTACGAGGCACTTCCGTATGTACAATACCAGTACTTCCGACTTCCGACTTCCGACTTTCGACTTGGAGTTCAGCTGAAGAATGAAGAGAAAAAAAAACCCCGTAGTTAAACGCACGGGCTTCCCGCTTCTTTATACCCTTGGCCTGGCCTCAGTGGCCTGGCCCGCGGCGCGGGACCTACTTACCTACCCTCTTCATGCTTCATGCAGCTACCTACTCTACTACCTATCTATACTGTACATATCTGTCGGCAGCGGCCTGGGGAACGGACGTCATCTTCATCCTAACCTACCTAACCTACCGAACCTACCCAGCCGAACTCAACCTAACATCTGACCGACTACCTACGTCTAGAGCAGACGAAACGAACGTGCGGTGGTTTGATAGAAGGTACATAGAACATAGAACATGAAGCAAACTGGCAGCTGTCCCATCCGTTCTATGTTTCTGTTTTACATTCTCGCCACGCCGGAACAGACAGACGTCGAGGGGGGAGGCGTCAAAGAAAAGTACCGTCTGTACCGTACGTGCTGTGCAAAGAAGTAGGTACTCTAGATGTCTGGCCCATGTGGACTGGTTGGGTAACTTTGTAAGTCATAAGTCACAGAGTAGATGTCGGCTTTACCCGTGCGCCACTCGCCGGATCGTCGGCTCGCCATGCAAGAAACACCACTCGGCGCGGCCATCTCCGTTTCTTGTGGGCAATCGATGGGCGGGTGGAGATACCACTACAGACATGCCAGGATCCATGATGGCCACTTCCTTTCTATTTTGTGGGTACATGAGGAAGAAAGTTGAGTCGAGCCTTTTCAAAAGAGGTGTCAAGAGCAAAGAGCAAAGGAAGGAAGAGTTTGCTGTGCACGTATATAGGACGGTATGAGCACCCAGAATGACTGTTTGCAGAGCAGGCAGAATTACATCGCCCGGTTTGCTACGGCAGCTGTGGCAGCTGTACGGGAGGCGGGCGGGCGGGGTCGAGATAACTACCGGTTTCTGCAGAAGTCCATTACCCACTGCGCATTACATATTTCGCACCACGAGGTCCCGCCTCCTCCTCCCCAGTCTCTCCAGTCGATTATCCCCCACTTCGGTTCGGGTCGCTTATTTATGTTTTACCTTTATCTCCCCCCCCAATCCCAGCCACAGCCCAGTCCAGCCCCAGCGCCATTGGCGGCGGCGTGCGCCGTGCGCTGGACATCACTATCACTCAGCCCCCCCTCCCGCAGCGACCAACAGCGACCAACAGCAGTGAACAGCAGTGAACAGCTCCTGATTCAGCGCGCGCCTGCGACTTCCCTTTCCTTTCCTTTCCCTTCGTTCGTAGAGCACTAGTACTGGGTAGTATAGTAGAGTAGACACGCCCACCCACGTGCCCGCCCGCCTGCCCCACGCCCCGCCCACCTGCGCGCGACGACGCGTTCGGTGTTCGCCCATCCCACCCACCTTCACTCCCGCACAACCACCATGTCCTCCACCACAACTAGCACGTCAGAAGCAGACCTCCAAAAAGTCTCCCCTCCTCCCTTATTCCCCCTACCTTCTCCCCCCTCCTTCTCCCCCTCCCCCTACCCATAGTCACCCCGCTGACCCAGCGAGAAATAAAAGGAACTCGAAACCCTCCGCACCCTCCGCGCGGCGCTGGAGAGCGTGAAGCAGCTGGTCGGCAACGTGCGCGCGGATGTGGCCACCATGCGGGGGAACTACGATGCTGTGACGCGGGTGGAGGAGCGGCTCGAGGGGGTTTTCGGGTTTGCTTCTGGCGAGGCTGCGGCTGATGGGGAGGAGGGGCTGAAGAAGGGGGGAAGGTTTGGGAGAAGGGAGTGAATGGACGCGCGAGGGCGTGGGGATCAGTAAGGCATGCATGGAGCGGTAGAGAAGCGAGCGATAGTTCTGTTCAGTTCTGTTCCATTTCTAGGCGCAACAGATACCAGACACCAGCCAATCCCGAGCCAATCCTCAGTTAGTCGTAATATACTCATTTCCCAGTCATTTCTCCGTGCGATCCCAAAGCCACACATCCCCATTCCCGTTACATGATTCCCTCCCATTCCATTCCATATCCCTACCGTATCCCATATCCAATCCCCCAAATTCCCAATTCCCAATTCCCAATCCCAATCCCGTTCCCCCCTCCTTCCTTCCTTCCTCCCCGCCCTATCCAATCCACCCCAGTCCACCTACCCAGTCCACCCACCCAGTCCACCACCCAGCTCACCCATTCCAGCCCAATCCAAGCAATCGTTCAACGAGCGTATTATCCGATCCTGCACCCCCCATCCCAGTAGTATTCTAGAATAACAAAAAGCGAAAGTAAGTTGGCGGCGACCGAGCCTGCAGTACGTACGATAGAGTAGGTAATAGTAGTAAGGTACTTTTGTACTCGTACAATCAATAGAGAAGCCTCCACGGAAGGGGGAAAAGGGGGGTTAGAGAAGAAGAGGAACCAAAAAAAAGATCACGCAAAAAAAGAAAACAAAAGAAGAAAAAAACGTTATCCGCTAGCAAATGCAATCCAAACCCAGACATGCAGATTAACAAAAAGAGTAAATAGAAAAAAGGATTTGAAGAAATAAAAAGGCAGGTGTGATGGAGGAAACATTGCAAGAAGCAAGCAAGCCGAATGATTGCGATTGCGATGGCAAAATCGAAGCCTGGCCAGCAATACATGCAGGCGGATACAAGTAGAAGGCGAACCAACTCCAAAGTTGAAAAGCATAATCGGCAGCTCAGCTTAGCTTCCCCCAGCCGAAATCCAAACGAAGGAACCATAGACGGCAGAAGACCCAAGACGAGCACCTTCCCATCCAACAATCGTGTCGTTAAAGTCCATGTCTATGCCGTGTCGTTGCGTTCTGAGACAAAAGGATGAGACGAATGCAGCCACACGACACGACTCGGCACTCGGCGATGCGATGGAAAAGTCACTAACTATTTTTCGGTCTTTTCGCCGTCGAACTTTCCGACTGGTCCGACTCGGGTGATCGTCTTTTGTTGTTTCCGTTTGTCTCGGACTCGCTCTTGAAGAAAGGCGCAGGATTCGGCCCAACGGGTGTCTGGAAGTTGAGTGGACTGGGCAGCATGCTGTCACCGCCTGCACCAGAACGTGAGAACGCATTCGTTCCCATATTGTCCATCCAGCCGGAGTAAAACCCTCCCGGCGACGGGAGCATGGCATCCATGAAACGGCTTGGTAATGCGGACATCGGTGTTTGTTCGGGCTGACTGCTGTGCAAGTTCGCTGGGGGCCGTGAGAAAGGATTGGTGGGACCGGTGGCGCCTGCACTCAAGAGTCCCCCTATGCTGTGGCTGGGGGACGGGGGTGGCAGTACGACTGGTCCATTCTCATTGCCCGGACGAGCAGACACATTCCCGGCATTTCCGCTTGTGTCCCTGGGGGATGCATCCGGGCTACCGGCATCCGAATCCTCACTAGGAATTCGCACCTTCAGCTTCGGCCGCATTCCAGCAGACTTGGGGTCTGCCATGCTATTGTTCCGTGAGGGTGGTGGCGGGGGCGATGTGGACAAGGGCGGTAATGGGATTGGGGGCGGTATTGGCTTCTCCTCTGTCTTTGCCGCATTTCCACTGCCTCCACTTTGATTCGCGCTGGTCTCTATGGGGGGTGGCCGAGATTCCCGCGCGCCAAAGCCAAAGTGCGCCGCAAGCATGGAATCACTCGGACCGATAGGTGTGAACATGCTACGAGATTTCGCTGGTGCTCTTTTGTGCTCCATCGGCTGTGGTGGTGGAGGTGGTTCGGAACGCGTGGCCTGCTCGTTCTCGGGAGCAGATGACTCGACATTGTACACCAGTGGCATTGATTGCCGCCTGCTATTCTCGTAGTCCGACTGTGGCTGCGATGTCTGTGACGGCTGGTGGTGCTGCGGTGGTGGTGGCTGCGCATACTGTGGATATTGCATCTGGCTCAAGTTGGATGGTTGCATCATCTGCCCGCCATACACCGGCGGAGGAGGCGGCTGGTGATGCTGTTGCTGATGCTGATGCTGCTGTGGCTGCTGCTGTGGGTGTTGGGGCGGGTGTTGCATGTATGCATACCCATTCTGATGTGAAGGAGGCTGACTCGCAGGATACCCGTTCGGAGGCACGAGATTTGAGCTATTACGCCGAATTTGATTCCTCGACGATGGGCGCGTCATCGGTTGCGGCGTTCCAACACGAGGTCCCATCGGATAACCTGATGGACCGACAAGGGTTTTCGACATGTTTGGGGGAGAAGCAGAAGCGGTATGTTGTCGATTCAAATGGGGCGGTGGATGCTGCATGTGGTGCGGCAGCGGATGATCGTTCGAAGAGTGTGAACCAGCGCGGTCAGCACCTATGATCGCGTCGTCGTCATCATCATCATCCATCAGATCCTTCTTCCCGAAGTCGCCTGGTCCTTTCGTCTCATGCGCCGTCTCGTACTGCAGCCAGAAAGTCAATATCCACAGCAAAGAAAGCAGGCAAGCGGAAACTCGCGGAAAACATACGTATGAATGTCTGTTGATCATCTCATTCACGTCACCGGAGCAGTACTGGTATAACTTCTTGTTACCACTAAAGATGATGACCGCGACGTCTACCGAGCACAGCACGGAAAGTTCATGCGCCTTCTTGAACAGACCACCTTTTCGCTTCAGGAATGTACTATGCGAGGGCAAACAGTCAGGATCTCCGAAACGGGCCGGTGAGGGAAAGGAAGCGATTCACGTACACTGAGCGATTCCGGTCATCCTTAATCGGCTTTATTTCAATCTACGACCAAACAAGTAGACGTTAGCATTCATGGCCGCGCAATAAACGAGACGCGCCAGTGACCGTTGGGAGGATAAATGCACACCTTTCTTCGACCCATCTTGACGGTAACGAGATGTCAATACGACGCGCCCGAGCGGCAAAGACGTCAGTTCCAAGCCCTAGCAGCACGTTCAAAAAAGATTATCGCTATCCACGCCAGACAGTCGTAGTAGCAGCAGTAGCGGATGTGATGGGCGAGCGAGCGGGTGGACTGTCGTCGGCGCGCGGCGGAATTACTCGGCTGGCCGGAGGATCCAGAACTAACGGACGTTTCGCTGGAGCGAGCGGGCCGGGATGGTGGCGGCGGCGGTATCTAAACTTGGACTCTGAAGTGGAAAAACGGCGATGAGACGGAACGGGACGGGACGAGACAACAATCCGAGGACACAAAGCAATCGGTACGGGGTGAGGGGGGCGAGCCCGCGATAATTCCAAAGCGCTACGGGGAGAGACCAGCAAGCAACAGCGGCGCGACAAGAGGCACAACCACGAGAGCAACACTACGGTTGCTGGCTGCTGAAAGCAAAGGGCAGACGAGCACAAAGAATGGAGAACTGAGCAGAGGAAGAGGAAATAGATCGGGATTGTTTTTGGTAGGTGCGAGGGTAATTTTTAGGAGAGTTGTAGCGGACAGGCCGGGCTGTAGTGCAGTGTACCGTGCAGTGTCGGTAGGCTGTAGGCGCCGGAGACGAGAGAGAGCACGAAAGGCTTTGGAAGGGTAGGAAGTGAGGACGATTGGCGATATATTTATGAATAGAACAGCGCGACCCTTTGCAGGTGACGGGCGCAGGTTCGGTCGGGGAAAAGCTTCGAGACAGCAGCAAGATTCAACGGTGTGGTGCAGGCAGAAGCGGAGGCGATGGGGTTGGGTTGGGGGGGGTAGGAGAGGAAGGAAAGGGAAGGGCTTAGACTCCATAAATAGAGCAATGTTGCTAATTAAGGTCATTTGGCTGGACTGGATCTGGGTTAGTGCAGCACACTTGAAACGCCATGCATCGCGCCTAAAGGGTGTGTCATCGATACTCACTCGCCTGCCAGCCACGGACATGCATATGGGGGGCTCTTGGGCTGACAGAGTGCGTCGAATGGGGGCCAAGAGGCGGCACTCAGGCCTGTAGAATACTCTACCCGCACTCTTCTCCATGTCTGCCTCTCCGCCTTCGACTGCACATCACCACCACAGCGTTGGCAACCACGCTCATCGACCTCTTCTGCTTCTGCTTCCGCCACTGCTTCCCCCGCCTCTCCGGTCAGAGAATCTATCCATAGACACTCTCGCAGATAATGATTAGAGACGGGTATAGATATATCTACATACAAGTTTGCAGGCTTCGGCTCGCTTGGTTCCCGTCGGACGAGATATGGCTTGTTGAACATCGAATTCACGAGTCGACCGCAACTACATACGAAACGTCAGCATCAGACAGTCAGAATGTCGGTAAAAAATGACCGCTCGCCGAAGCACGGACAGGCGGGGAAAACGAAGGCAGGGTAACCTACAGCCGGCCGGGCTTACGAACCCCGGATTAACGCCTCACCGGTGACGCAACGGTGCAAGTGTACTCAGTACACTTTATTTTTGCATCATCGTGATAACTAGCATCACAGCAACCGTTGCTGTGATCTATATCGATAGGTTGGCACTATGATAACCTTGACTTGGACTCTGTCGGTGGACGGCTGAGGGTTAATTCCATCACACCGTCTCGAGTAGTTACACACACACAGTCATGTAACACAAGACTCACTCGCGATCGGGCCGTTGCGATCCGTGCTCCAGCACGGGCCATGTAGAGTAAAAACTGAATCCAACCTCCTCTTCCTCCCCAGCAAACAGATGGGGAAACCCGGTAGGAAACACCTAAGGCTAGGTTGGATACTCATTGATCCTGTTGTCATCCTGCAATCAACTGTACTCCAAGCAACGCTCATTGGTGTCATTGAGCACAGCCTTGGACGGATCATCAACACACCTCTGCTTTGAACTTCGCATTCTTTTACCTCGTTCGCCGAGGGCTCAAGTTTCGCCAAGAGTCTATACCCTCTCCAAACGCCACACCTTTTTTGCCGATGTCATGCTGGGTACCTACTCCCATGCACGTGGGATCACTCGAGCGCAACGCCTGCCCCCTCAGTCCGTCCCCGCATGGCCTGCATGGCAACGCCTGGATACGAGTATGATCAAACAAACTTAAAATAAAGTCTGCATGGCAGTTGAGTGTGCATAGTCTTAACCTAGATACCAGATATGCTATGTACACGCAATCAATGAAGAAACAAACAAACAAACAAAGCTTGCATGGCAATCTCCGAAGCACGCAACCACAATCATGATTGGGTCCTGGTAGTGAGGCTGATAAAGCACCTCTGGCCAATAGATGTTGTGGGATCTACTCATCGGACACACCATCTACTAGAAGCTGAGTCAGAACATGCAGTACTTGCAGATGTTGGTCATTGGATGCCTAGAGAGATGTGTTATTTCTGCATCTAGTTCCCACGGGGACACTTGATGACTTCCAGAAGTCCGTGAACGTTCAAAGTACCTCGATCACAATTCCCGGATCTACTCTGGTCGACTCCCCACCATGCTACTCCTCATCCCGCCCAAGCTCGTCTTCAACATCGCCGACCACTGCGACAAGGTGACCGTCTACAACCTCTCCATCAGCCATTCTCGTTTGTACGAGCTCTTCGGCCCGCTCAGCAAGCAGAACCCCTCACCGCAAGGCCGCTACCTCATCCGGCGGCAACAAGAGGACCCGGCCGGCCTCACTTTCGCATGTCGCGGCTGCCAGCGTCTCCGCCCGTTCTACAGCAAGCCCGAATCCATGTACTCCCGCTCGCCCTCCTACCGGTGGCAAGGCATATGCATCGCCTGCGTCGCAGACAAGAACATGCCTAAGGAATACAAGCCAAAAGACGGCGACAGCCTGTCCTGGCTCGGCGGGTACCTCACATGGTGCTACAGCCACGAGGGCTTCGCGGTAATCCAGTACCTGACAGCCAACTTTGCGTGCTGGCACTGTGGGCGCCACTCAGGCTCTCGTGCTACGCTGTACCACAGGTGGTACGCGGGCGACCCTATCGGCACGCAAGGGCGCGACTGTCTACAAGCGGAGCTACTTTTACGCGGGGAGGCGGACGGAACGGACGGGCTGGAGTTCCGAGCCGAGAAGCTGGTCTCGCGGCTGGACGCGTGTGTGCGCCTGGCCGACGGGCGGATGGATATGGCCGAGCTGGCGGTGATGAAACGGCAGCTTGCGGACACGGCGAAGGCCCGCGCCTCCCTGCCCCGCTATGAGCTGTACCATAAGGAGGTTGATACCGTCGGCGAGTTTGTGCGCGTGGCTGAGGCGCGCAGAAGGACGAGGGATGTGGCACAGCTCGGACTCACGTTCATAATCGAGTATGGCCCGCCGAGGGAGGATAGGGTGCGCGCTGAGGCGTTCGCCAGGGAGATCTACCCCTTCCGTGCTGGGACGCAAGACTTGAATAGGTTCGGTGATCTGAAGTCAATCAAAGGGGCGGGTTTGAAGGAGGCGATCATCGGCGGGATCCCTCGCAACTGTGATTTTGAGAGGATCATGAACCGGCCTGATTACGGCATGGGTTATCATGAATTTATAAGGAAGCTTAAAAGCTTGCATTCCAAGCAGTACCGATATAACTCATGGGATGAACCCTGCGCGCGTCACTACAAGCCGTGGTGGTATGCTAGTTGAAACGACGCCATGTGGATTTGCTGCTTGGTTGTTTCATTATACCAGGGGCCGGTACATAAATACATAATTCCAGTGAACATATCCCAGTGTGTAGATGTTTACATCCAGATCTTGGGTTAAGTACCTGCTTGGTCTGTAACTGTGGGAGCTGGTGATATCTGTGCAGACTCGTGGAGTGTACCTATGATATCTACCTACTTCCAAGTTCCATCTCCGTTCCTCAGCCACCGTTGGCCATTCCGCCATCACTCCCTCGCCCCTCGCCACTCCCTCGTCCCAACTTCCAAGTGCAAAACCTCTATCTCTCTCGTCTCTCATCTCATTCTCCTTACATATTCCCAGTTCCCATCCCATCCAACCTCAAAATCCCAGCTCCCCGCTCACCAACCACCAACCACCAATCACATCACACTCGCAACCCCACTCGCAACCCCACTCTACACACATCCTACCCCTCCACTGCATGCAGAGCGATAGTGAGTTACAGAAGTATCCACGAACCGGATCCCCGTTCGTTCTGGAATTTGAGAAGCTTCCATGTTACAGGTTGAGTACTTGCATGGCTATTTTTACACCTCCCGGGTTTCCCTCCCTCCCCCCCCAAAGGTTGAAGGGCCAAAGTCAAGGGCCAATGCCCGTCAGATCGCCGCCGGTCGCCGGTCGGATGTCGGCATACCACATATACAGTGGATCAGTGGACCAGTGGTAATGACTTCCAAGCTCCAAGCAATATCTAGAGCACATAAGTAGGTCGGTAAGCCCCTACATAGGTGCTTAGAAGTTGGGTACGCTAATTACGTGCGTGTTGTCACGACTCAGATTGGCTCTGTTTTTGGTGCGGATCGGTCGGGTTGGCAATTGGGTATCGTACTTATATGTGCCTAGACTCCTAGGCTCCCAGAGTACCCAGAGTGGAGTAGAGTATTTCTTTCCAAGGTTTCGTCGAGAGTTTGATCGATACCATAGTGGTTGTCTCCAGCTTGGAAACTTCGCAGCGACTAGGTCTTGCGGTTAACTAAGGTTTGTATCAGGGCAACAATGACTGCAACGATATAACGATGACGAAGAACAACAGCGGTCGATTCGTACTGACGCTCCACTCCACCCTACCCGAATACTGAGTCGTCGTCGGAATGGGAGAGGGAACTTTAACCATATCGAGTGTATTATAGCCGGCACGAGTGAGCACCGGTGAAGCTCTGCCGGAGTCTCCTCGAGTCGTCGTATGTGTGCTCCTTCGGTTTCCATCCCATCAACCGGTACGATCAATCTTCGGCGGCAGCATACACAGGGCTCTGTGAATATTTGTATGTGCGCTTCTCAACTGCTAGGTTCGGTTTGCTGGAGACGAACTCGGTCTCGATTCTCACTGCTGCTGGCCGCCGAGGGTGGAGGCTCCGACTCGTGGGAAATAAGTAACTACCCCCGGGGTGGCTTCAACTACAATCGATGGTAATTCATTCGCCTATTCATCCCCTTCCATGGCCTGCCTTAAACCTTTCCTCCCTCGCTATAGTACGCTGAGCAATCTTCAAGTTGCAACTTGGTGCTCGAAAACAAGCAGAAGCAGCATCTGATCGCCGCCGCAGTTGTAGGTACTTGGCCCTCTGGCTTGTGCACTCCAGATTTTAGTATTAGTCTTCGTGTCCCTCTAGGTAGGGAGGATTGCAGCCTACCAGTGTTTTACATATTCCAGTCCAGTCTGTCCGGACCCATGGACGGGACTAGACTACATACATCCAGATCGTCCGGAGGTGTCTGTCGGACAGACTAGTCCACTAAGATTGTCACTGGCGTCCTCCACGACCCGCTCGCAGGTATCGTTCAACAACCTTCCTTCCTTAGGGGCCCTCGGTATTCTTCAATAGATCTACATAGGCCACTCCTTTTCGCACTCGTCCTCGGCAGAGGAAATTATTGTCGTGAACCGTGATTCCCACGAGGGTGCCTGGGTGGCTGCGATAGTCCAAACCTACTCGAGCTTGTGGGAACGAGTGTGTTTCTATGAGTAGGTAGTCCACTAGCCGTTCGGAGGGCCCGTAGTGGGTGCTTGGAATATTCGGTGCGGTAGCGAGTCCAAGTTTGGGTTTCTTTCTCTCTCTGTCGTAGAGTGACGACCAGAAACAACCAATAGGTAAGTCGTGCCTCACCACCGTTACGAATTATAAGCGCAAGGTGAGGCACCACTTACTCTTACATCCGAGAATAAGGTAGGTGGCTCCTAGACCCGAACATAACAGTCAACTTCACTTCTCTCCATCTCGATCTCTCCTGTGAAGCACCTCCACGAGTCCTTCCAACAGAGCGAAATAGTTAAAACGAAGCTGGCTTGAGATTTATACATAAAGCTCGGGCTCTAGTTAAGGCAGCTTCGCAACCGCTAGCATAAAACGCCCAGGCGTATGGTGATATCTTGCTTTGTATTCTTTCAACGGGGGGTGGTCTTTACACACACCTTATCCCGTCCCAAGTCTTTGCGGTCCGGTTTTCGGCGAGAAAGAAGCATAGAAGGTATATATTTAGGGTTCCATCAGTATGAAGTATGGACAAGTGAAGGTTATCGATACTACATATATCGATATTGATATGGTTGCACTTTCATTGCGTAACTAAAGAATTAGCGGTGGATCATAAGTTACGCATGGGGTTTACGCAGCAAGCGCTAGCATGTATATACTCGTTAGAGAATCCCGTCAATTGCTTGGTGGATTCTGCTTCAGTTTTTAACAGTTCAAGTTCGGTCGGGTGCTGGGCTCAAAATCCACTATATAAAAGCATACCCAGAAGCATACCGGTAGTAAGCGTACGCAAGCTTGACTCCGTTTCAACTACCTACTGACTCATTGTCGATTCCAGCCATATCATCAGAACCAGAACCCATTTTCACCGAGAGTCTGAGTGTGAGCGGATCGCCGCAGATGACCGTCACCGCTCATTGCACTCTGATACCTACGTAGGATTGTGGCTTTGGAGTGTTAAAAAGTTACTGGCACAGCGGATAAATACCAGTATTACTATTCTTACCCCGAGTCCACTTTTCCATGCATGCCGTCAATATACCTACTATCATGTGATCACCTTTTTTGCCAATTATCCAGTTATCCAGGTATTCAGTTTGACCAGTTCCAACTTCCAACTGGACATTTACACCGCTCCTGTACGTAGTCCAGCTTGAGCCCCTCCAGAGTTCATACAGTGTTCTCCATAGTCCAGTCCGTCCGCGACTCCGTCCAGTCCGTCCGTCCTAGACCTCGGACGGGACCGGAATGCTTTTGGCAGTCCGTCCGGAGGCTTGAACTGGACTGGACTGGATAAGTCTGGGTCAGTCTGGGAGGTGTTGAGACTGGACGGACTGCAGTCGACTGCAGTCTTTGAAAATCTCAGACTGGGCGGACTATTTTCATGCAGTCTGCCAAAACCTCTGGACTGCAGTCCGGACCGGACTACCTCTGTAGAACACTGCAGGCTCCATAGCCGGTTCAGTGCTGTTGTGATAAGTTTTCGAATCAGTTTGCACTGTTGGAACTGGTTACTTGGCTGGTCTGCCGCGTTGGATCATGAAGGTCACTCGTCACTCGTGCATATTCCCCCGGAAGGCTAGATGGAAGGTCGGGTGGAAGACTAGGTGGAAAGTCAGGTAGAACCGTTGAATCCTGATGCCAACGAAGCGAAACGTAGATTGTGGAATTGTCTGGCCGTCGGCCGATGGGTGGGGTTCACCAAACGAGCTGGCGATATACCTACCGGTAGTATCGGGCATCGAGACGGAAGGACTTTAAATTTTGAACGCAAGTGGGAGACCACACACGCTTGGCTGGTGATAGCGGTAGACCTGCCAGTATGTAGTTTTGCGGTTTAACCAGCTAGGTATCCAGTCAAGCCGGTTCCATAGTACCTACCGGTAGTCGGGTAGTTCTAAACAGTGCAGTGCAGTGCAGTGCATTTAGTTCTGCGTATTCCAAGAACTTATCCAGTTGGTTGGAACTTGGAATGTTGCTCTTCGAAAACTGAACCGGTTCATCGGTCAGGACTCGGTTTCCAAAAAGTGCGAATTCGAACTTCGGTCGAGTGATAGCCTTGAAATGCACATGAACTGAGCTTTAGTGAGCTTCGGGCTTTGGACTTCGGGGAGGGGAGGGGTTGGTGAAGAGTAATCTTCATACTAGGTAGGTACATCAGGTAGGATGTATATGGATGATGTACTCGGTTATTAGGTCTCGAATTCAAGACGCAGAGTGCTCTACCGTATATGTACTTCCGGCGATCTCCCGCCTCTTCTCATCGACAAGCTCTTACATACTCACGAGTCACCTACTGTATGTACCTATGCGAAGCTGATCATCTAGCTCCTCGGTTTATCCGCCCGAAAAAACAACAACCACCTTCCAGAATTCAGAATCCAGAATCGAGATTCTGTTCCGAACTTCCGATTCTACGATGCGCGTCGCATGATCCGTGTGTGCCATACCCTACCCTACCCTATGTACCTACCCCACTGCATACGGCGCGGGAGCGAGGTATGATATGTATCAGAATAGACAGCAGCAAGACATCACAACAGACAGACGGGCGGACCAGCGGGGCGGACCCAGTGGGACGGGGCGGGGCGGGGCAGGGGGAACAAATGATGGCCCGACTCCCGTCGGAGTATTTCTTGGATGTTTCTTGAATGTAGGTAGGTGATAGGTGATGGGGGATTCTTCTGGCGCCGGGAGTTGCGAGTCGTGAACGGTGAGTCGTGGATGCTATTATTAGACCCGTACCCTACCCTATCATCTACCTATGGACACTGTCCATTGGACAGTGGAGTCTGGAGTCTGGAGTATGATATGGGCATAGGCTATGGTCCATTCGCTTGAAGGAAGTTGGAACAGTGGAACTCGCACTAACCACCTGAGTAGTTACCTTGGTAACCAAGGCCCTGTTCATCAACTATACTCCATTCGCTTCAGGGAACGAACGGAAGACTGGGAGGATCCAAGCCAGCACTGCAGCACTGCAACACGCACAAGCAAGCAAGCACCAGCCGCAATCTGCCCGCCCGCCACACGGCAGCGAGCGACCAGCAGTCTGCAGACGGGAGGGAGGGAGGGAGTGGGAATAATGCGGATTCGAAACGCGTGGGTCGGGTTGGGTTGGGGCTGGGTACTCTAGTTATTGTGTACTACGGTGGAGAGTGGTTAGGGGGAAGGGCGAACGAGGGGGACGGGGGATGGGGGGCCCGGGGGAGGGGGATAAAGCAATTTCATTTCCGTCTCCACCTCCGAAGCTGTACGAGTATGTATAAAGGTAGCGCGCGTGGGTGGGTGTTGGCATGTCTGAGAATGAATATTGACATTGCAATTGGCGCTCTGGACTCATGTATCTGGGTACGGCCGGAGCTGTGGGTTCAGGCTGCTCAGCGCTGGTTGGTTACTGGGTGGTATGTATAAGCCGTGGTAGATATAGCGAGGAGGAATGAATACACAGTAGGCCCTGCCGATTTCAATCTGCAGGTACATTCGACGACAGCCACGGGTACTCTAGATGGAATCGGAATGCTATTTCTCGGGAGACACCGGTGTCCGGTAGATGGGTAGACTAGCAGGCCTGCATGATTAGTAGACAGTCGAGAACGGGCCGGGGTAGTTGTGTCCAAAGGAAAGACTGGGTTGGCCAGTACTCCAGCACGCGTTCGATGATGGCTGATTGCGAGCTGGATAACTATGGGAACCACCGACATCTGTGCGGATCCGGTTGATCGGTTGAGGCTCTCACGCACTGGAGGGGGATCTCGAGAGGTAGGATGTAGAGTACTCTATGTAAGTACCACATATATCTACTGACGAAAACAAAGGTGGTGGATGATGGTCGCGTTTATTTGTGCAGCTTCCTTTTGGCGAGGTCTGGCCTGAGCTTTGGGCAGCTTGCAAGAGCCCTGGCGAGCTGTTTGGAGTGTAGCGGGGCCGTCCCTTGGTAGTGGTCACTGGTGGGAACGGTGGTAGTGGTGGTGATGATGGTGAGGAATTCCAACCAACCAGGGCGAGACGAGCGAGAGAGCCAGCGACTCCTTTCCTTTCCTTCCGAGTTCGTCTTCGCTCGCGGGAGTCTTTTTGTTTCTTCTCGCACGGCTGTCTCGCTCGCCTCCTCCCCCTTCCCCTTCCCCTTCCGCCCCCCCTCCCCACAGTCAGTGCAGTTTGTTTCTCTGCTGTTCCATCGACACAGTCCACTCACTCCACTCACTCCACTCATTCCCCTCGCTCACTCGCGACCAGTTGCAGTTGCAGTTGTACTTCTTTGCTTTCGTTTGTCCGTTGCCCGTTTCAGGAAATATATTCTCTTCGCATCTTCTTTTTTTTCTTCTTTTTTTTTGTTCGAGACACCATCCATCACCACTCAATCTCTCCCGATAATCTCTCCCAATCTCTCCCGATAATCTCTCCCAATCTCTCCTTTACCTTAATTGAACCCCTGAGCCAATTCGCGTCCCTGCAACAATTCTGCTCGTACAGAGTCAATTGAGACTCAGTCGGTTCGGCCGGTCACTGAAGCACTCTCGTACTCGCCCACTCGCCCACTCTAGCTATCCGATCGAGTGCCCCCCAAGTCTCTATCTCATACCGCAGCAGCTTTGCCCTTACTCCCCTCCACCTCCCCCCCTCCACCATCCCCCCTCCACCTCCCTTCCTCCCTCCCCTCCTCCTCTCTTCACCCCCACAGTTGTTTGCTGTGCTGGCATTCCTCAGCAGAGAACGCGGGATAACTCGATTATATCTACATTCCTTCACTTTCACCTACCGTTTACGTCCTACATACTACGTATATGCACCATCCATACCGCATACATCATCGTACTGCACGGCCCGCGCTCACGCTCCTTTGAATCATCTCATCGCTCGCCTGTCCTCGCCAACACATCAATCAAATCAGATTGATCCGACAACCTTCACTTGATCTTTTTTACCTTCACTCCCACTTCGATCTCGCGCGTCCCGAGTCTTTGTTCCTTGTTTTCTTCAACATCGGAGTTTTGCTTCTAGTTATTGCGTCGCTAGTCAGTCACCCAATCCGTGAGAGATAGAGTGAGAGGAGAAAGAAAGAGAGAGGGCGAGGGACGGACGCGTTCTCCAGAGGTGGACGTCGAAAAATTGCTAACAGGCATAACCTGGAAAGGGCACCGACAGCTCCGATCGCAGCCAGCCAATCACCGAGCACGACCTGTAACTGCTGCCCTGTCTGCTCAGTCGCGAACTCGAAAAGAAACTCCCTCCCTTCCGTCCTTCCTTCCTTCCCATTCTCCCTCCCTAACCCAGCTGGCCTTCGTTTCGCCTTCTACCCACCACAGCGATCCTTCCAATTGCTAGGATCTGGAGCTCGCTGCCAACTCCCATTCGCACCTCACTTCACAGCCATACCCAAGCACTTTCGTTCGAATACACGCACAGTACATTGCCTTCTGCTGTCCATCTACACGACATCCTTTGTACCTTCGTACCTCCCTGCTGCCAACCATCATCACTACTTCTCGATTCAGATCCGCAGGCACCACGACTACTCCCCCCCTCCCCCCCCGTTACTTCCAAACCCGACTGCCAGGCTCGCTTGTGCCCCACGCGACCGACGACAAAAAAAGACGCCCTTAAACGCCTATCTGCACGCACGTCGGCACCCGCATTTCAGCACTAAGACGTCCTGCCAGTCGCCGCATCCCCCGTCATCGATCGTCATTGCCCGCCTTGACCAAGCCCCCCCATTCAATGCCGGCATTCCTGAACCGTGTGTTCAAAAGGGACGCAAACGCGAAGAGGTCACAGAATCAAACTCCTGTTCCCGATCAACCATCGGTTCCCAAATGGACCGATGGATGGCTGAGGACGGAGGTGTCGCCGATCGAGGTCCAGGAGCTGCTGCGCGTGTGTACTGCTGAAGTGAAATCGAGGGGTGCGTGGATCAAATCCAGTCAATTTCCTTCCTGAAAGAAAAAAAACCAAAGCTGGAAAATTGGACAAACAGAGGGGAAATTTGGGGGGATTTTTTTTTGAAAATTGCTGTAGAAAGAAGTGAAGTGCTGATGACAGATTATGTGTGGATTTGAACAGGCTTGTCGACTCCCTTCCTCCTCCTGCCATATCGCCCCAACACCGACCCGTGCGCCGCTCGATCGTTCATCCGCAATTTCTTCAGCCCGACAAATGGCCAGCTTACGGGCCCCTACCTGCAACAGGAGTTACGACTCACCGATCCCGACGTTCTCTGCAGCGCTTTGAAATGGTGCTGGAGCAGGCTGCCGGGAGGTGTAGTCACGTGGGAGGTGTATGAGATGTTCCGTCAGGTAAGCAGAAGAAGCGGGAAAGCGAGCAGTTTGGGGGGTTTTTTGTTTTTTTGTTGTGGTGACTGACTGTCTTCTAGGGCGAAGTTGGTAAGATTTTTGCCCGTATCCTCGGCCGAGACACAGACGACTGGGGGAGCTTACCGGAATACAAAGCTCCCGAGTCGTCGGTTTAAGGTTTTAAAGTTAGAGTTAAGGCTGAGCTTTATTTTTTTAGATTCGAGCATGGCTCGAGACTCTTTCGCCACATTCATCCCGATCAGTGCCGAGTCCGAGGCCCGGTCCAATATAATCTTTGATTACTTCGACCTACTCTCAGCCGTCGCCGCCAATGGCAAGCACAACGGTCTGGGTGGACTCAAACTGTCGAGGTTGGCGGGTTGGTGGGCCTTCGAGCACACTGATACGGGTTATGGATTCGAGGGCGGTTACACTTCATGGACGAGCGCCGCGGATGCAACCTGTCATCTTTTCTTTGCCTATATGAGGTCGCTTTCGCCTGCAGATCCCAGCAGAAGTGTTTCATTGTTGCCAACCTCGCTGAGAGCGCTGCTTGCGTCCGTGGACTACCCACCCGTGACACCCCAACAGTTGCAGACCCGCACAGTGAGAGTCGTCATAACCGTCGACAAAGTCTCGCCCTCTCCCTTTGCGTTGCTGAGGAGGGCCAAGAATCTCCATTACAATCACAGCGATCGTGCATTGAAGGTGTTCACCGATTTCGACGACCCCATCCGAGCTCTTACGGACGAGTGCAGACGTGTGTTGAAATGCATCTCCGCGTCTAGTCACGGTCAATCTTCCGCCAGCAGAGCATCGAACGGGCTTCAGGATCAGTCCTGGTCCAGGTTCCAGGACCTGGGATTCGCTGGACTGACGGAGGCCGAGTCCGAGGACTCGGAGGATGATGCTCTCCACTCGGAAACATTCAGCCGTCGCATTTCGTCCCAATCTCACCAGCCACCAGCCACGACACCATCTAGTCCCCTCGAGAGAGAGGAATTCGCCGAGGTTGCGCGGCCGATGACTCCATCGTGGGCAGACTTCATGGATGCTGGCTTTGGCGATCGCGAGATCAGCAATGCTCCAGCTCCGCATCTCCTGCCTCCGGACAAGGTCCTCCCGCCCATCGACACTGCGGATCGTCTCAAGAGCTCGCAGTCGAACCGGAGGATGCAGATTCTGGAGCCTGGCGAGTTGGAAAGCATCACCCCGATGTCGGTTGATGACGTGTTTTGGTGGGTTTGGATGTCGAGTTTGGCCGGAGAGGAGACTGCGCTCCGAAAAGCCGTTTTTGGTCGTTGCGCGCTGGTCGAGACTACGGTGCAAGGTGCCAAGTGGTTGGTGGTTGAGGCACGTACCGTTTGCACCCCCGACACGACTGAACGCCCTGCTGACTTGTCTGTAGGAGAAAATCCGCGGCGCCGCAACAATGGCGGAGGCTCCTGTGGTGACCAAGAAGGATAGGAAATGGACCAAGAGGACTAGGCTGAGGAGGAAGTCGCTCAGCACACCCGAAGTGCCTACCCAGCAGTCACTAAAACCTTTCAATGCATCGCTGCACACCTCGAGCAGAACCAACATCGGCCCGGACCAGACGGCGAAGATTCAGGCAGCGGCTGCAGCTCTACGACAGCAACAGTCGGATGCAGAGTTTTCGCACTTGAGGCGTAATAGGCCGCGCGAACATGCGACAGATGCGAAGACCAACAGCGTGTTTACCCTGCAACCAGTCATCATGTCCGAAGCCACGCCGGCCATGAAGTGGGCGAACCGATACGATCGTGACAACCTGCGAGATGCATACATCAAGGGTGTCCCGCCACCAGAGAAGAAGCCTCAGGTCGACACGGACCGGGCTCTCCCTGCCCTTCCGAGGGAAGAAACCGCTCCTGTGGCTAAACCGCAGGCGGAGACCTCCCTGCCTGCACCGGCGCCTGCATCTTCGACGACATCCATTCCGGTGAAGAGCATGATCGCGCCCATCGAGGCTGAGCCCCCTCGGAAATTGGCTGCTCCTGCGAACATTACTATCGCACCTGGCACCGCCGTCGCTCCACCTGCCAACAGTGGACGCTCGTCTCCCGCCATCAACAAACGAATGTCCATGAGTCCCACCCCGGTGCATCCTGTGGCCCCCACATCCGATAAGTCGAACAAGAAGGTCTCCCGCCTTCGAGCTATGTTTGGCATGAAGGCGGAGGGAACCGTCCTGTCTCCGTTGGGGGCCCCGGCTTCACAGCAGCTCGCAGTTCCAGTGGCGGAGGTCGGCCGCAAGAACTCCCTGAGAAGGAGCCGTTCCCCTGTTGAGTCTAAGACGCCACAGGCCTCGGCCCCCCCGACTCCCGAGCCAAAGATGTCGTCAGAACAGGAGCCATCGATGAAGGAGACTGCACCCGCGTACCCTGCCCCGCCCGTCGAAGAACACCCAGCCCTCTCAAAAAATGCCTTCGCATCTTTCGACCAGGGTCCTCTCGACGAGCCCGCGTTCGTTCCTGACGATTCCCCCGATGACTCCGACATCGGTGACTCTATCCACCCCGCTATGATCAACGACGACGAAGCGGTTTCGGACATGTCGGCCCCCGGCTCCCCCGAGCCAATCCAGGACCGCTGGGCGCAGATCAGGAAGAACGCGGCGGATAGGGCCAAGGCGCAGGCCAAGGTGCAGGATGACTCTGCCACCACCACTACCACCACCACAAACACCGATACCCGAGCAAGCATGGATGAAGGCGAGACCAGTGGAGAGGAGAGTAGGTTTTCCTCCTCTCAAGCATTGCGTGGTGATGATGACCTGCTGACTCCCGAAGCAATTGAGTCGAGAGTTGCCAGGATCAAGGCTCGTGTGGCCCAGTTGACCGCTGAGGGTGCCACCCACCGTGCTTGAGAGAGTGAGTAGTCTACGTTGTAATGGAAAGGGGATTTACGTTTGATTTTCCCTGGGGAGGGGGAGCGGAGGGAGGACGGGAGGTGATACTATTCTTTACTTCTTTTACTCTACATACGATACTCTATCACTCTATATTCCGACCACATATTTCCCTATTGCTTTCCTCATATTTCTAAAATTTTAACGTTTTCTCTTCCGCCCGGAATTGTGGTTTTAATTTTGGTTTCCTCATCCCCATTTTCTTACGCTCTCTTTCTGTTCATTTTCTTTCTGTTCCATTTTTCCCCTTCTTTCTCCGTTCACGTTTATACGAACTAGAAAGTTGACCGTATCGTGCGGTGCAATCTATTTGTCTGTCTTAGCTTCGCAGCGTTTTTTTCTTTTCTTTTCTTCTTTTTGTCTTGTTGAGCGTTTATTTCATTTTGATTCCCCTTTGAACAATCGATTCCTTATCCTCGTCCTTTCTGTTGGCATAATAGCTATTCTTTTCCTTGCTTCCGTTTCGTTTGTCTGTTCAGTCTGCCGATGTAATCGTCTGTATCATAGAAGCCCATACCATATGCTATGCAAATGGTGCAGAAGTCATCGTATCCATTTTCAGTTGTGAGTGATGAGAAGTGGTCTGTGCACGTGGCTTGGCAGTTTTAACGAAACGCACGCGTTGATTCGTTTTTGGCGCGTTGGTGCTAATACTTTCCGCGTCGCCCTCCAACCCCCCTTCCACCTCTTCCTTTCCTTCCCTCCATCCATCAACAACACTCACTTGCGACACTACCTACATCTATCAATCAACCTCTCTACCACCTAATGTACGCCGTGATTTCGATCTCCCTGGAGATGGAATGGGTATTATGTGTGGAGGAGTGCTAATGTATTTTTATTCGTGCAGTCGGTTGACCACCTAATCCTCGCACTACTACCACCACCACCCCAAACACCACCACAAACAAGCACCCCCAACCGTCAAGAGTCTGCCGTCCTTCCCCCAACTACGGAAGAAGCATTGACTGACCATGTCTCTCTCTTCCAGTGCTCGAAGCGCGCCTCGAACAAGCCACGGTCCTGAAGAAGGTCGTAGACGCGATCAAAGACCTAGTTCAAGACTGCAACTTCGACTGCAACGACAGCGGGATCGCGTTGCAAGCGATGGACAACAGCCACGTGGCTTTAGTCGCCATGCACCTGAAGACGGAGGGGTTTAACCTATTCCGGTGCGACCGCAACATCGCGCTGGGGATCAACCTGGGCTCGCTACAGAAGGTGCTACGCGCTGCGCAGAACGAGGATATTCTCACGCTCAAGGCGGAGGATGCTCCCGATGTCCTCAGTCTGGTCTTCGAGAATACGGAAAATGATCGTATCAGCGAGTATGATATCAAACTTATGGATATCGATCAGGAACACCTCGGTATTCCCGAGACGGAATACGGTGCCACGGTCACCCTCCCCAGCGCCGAGTTCCAGAGGATCTGTAGGGACCTGATACAGATCTCCGAGTCTGGTACATTTCCCCCTTCCCCTCGTCCCCCCGCCATCACTAACACGTGCTACCTGCCAGTATCCATCGAGGCCAACAAGGAAGGCATCAAGTTCAGCTGCACCGGCGACATCGGTAGTGGCGCGGTAACACTGCGGCAGAACGCGAACGTCGACAAGCCGGAGCTGGGCACGACCATCGACCTGCAGGAGCCCGTCGCCCTCACCTTCTCGCTCAAGTACCTGGTCAACTTCTGCAAGGCCTCCGGCCTGTCGAATACCGTTACCCTGTCGCTAAGCAATGAGATTCCGCTGTTGATTGAGTATGTCCCCTATGAGTGGAGGGAGTGCTGTGCTGATGCATGTGGTTGTGTGTGATAGGTACAAGATGGAACACGGATTCGTCAGGTTCTATCTCGCCCCCAAGATTGGTGACGAGGAGTAGGCAGATCGTCTCATCTCATCTCATCTTTCCATAATGTGCTACGTGGCTTCGTGCGTTCCGAGGCGGGACTGTTCAAAAAACCTGTTTCATGTCTCGCTTTACTTTGCTGTTGTCGTGATGCCTTAGCTTTGTCGGGGGGATTTATACCGGTGTATTCTGCGTACTGTTTTCCCGAAGACGAGTGATCCCCCATGATGTGATGTGATCGTAATGCGAAAAAACTGTCGGTTCACTGGCTCAATTGTATCACCCAAGTAAAAAGCGACGAAACGATGAAAAGAAAGAAGAAAAGAAGAAAAACAATAAACGCCAACACCCCAAGCAAACAAGACAAGACAAGCCAAAAGCCACATCCAAATACCCCCCACCCACCCATCCCCCATCCCGCCATCCCCCACTTCCACAGGCATTATCATATACGCCGCCGACACCACACCTCATCTATCCACCCATACAACCCTATTACTCCCCGCTAAACAGAATATACTGCAAAATATCACTCAGCGTCAACACGCCCATGAGCCTTCCGTCGGGCTCGACGACCATGAGCCGGTGCACGCGCGAGCGCCGTATCGTGTCGAATATTGCGTCCAGACTGTCGTTGAGAGAGCACGTATGTACACCCGAGAAGTCCTGGGGCGGAAGGTGTATTAGTAAGAGAAGAGAGGGGAGAGGGAGGGAGGGGGGGGAGTGGGGGGATAGTTACGTCGGGACGTCGCAGTAACGCTTCGCCTACGCTTAGTGATAGGTCTTGATAGCTACCGCCCTTGATCAGCGTTAGGACGTCGACTGATTCGTAGATGTTCAAGAGGATGCCTGTGGATTCGCGCGGATCAGCCTACTGTTGTATGTAGCGAGGGCGAGGGCTCGCAGGGGGTTAAAGTCAAGGTAACGGTACCATTAGCATCGACAATGGGCACACTACTGATATCCCTCTGGACGAGCAAATGTATGACGGTGATGACGGGGGTATCCATCATGGCGGTAGCGATATCCTTCTCAGTCATGATCCCGATCTCGCGCAGGGGCTTCCGTAGCTGCCGGGTCTCGCGCACATTGAACGCGATAAACTTCAGGATGCGGAACTGCGTGAGCACCGACACCACCATCTCCTGCTGCGTCTCGTCGTCGATGTCAATTAGCGGGATGCGCCGCGCCCGGCTGCGCAGCATCCGCCGGCACGCGTCGAATAAGGGCACCATCGGGTTGACAGATACAGTCTCGATCTGAGTCGTGCCGATGGCTTGCTCGATTTCTACGGACGTCAGTGGCTACCCCAACCCAACCCCGGAAGATGGACGGGGACACGTACCCCGCAGGCTGTCGAGCCGGAACCCGTCGATTTGACTCAGCTTGTCGGGGTTCTGCCAGTAGTACTGCACCACGTTGATGTAGTCCGTGGAGGTGAGGAGCCCCGCGAACGCCGAGGTCTTTGAGTTCCACAGGGGCGCCGAAACGATACCTTCCCACCACCATCAGCATCAGCATCAGTGCCCCCCGCAGTAGAAAGAGTTGAAGCATAGCATACCATTCTGCACCAGGATGAGGAGACTTTTCTTGACTAGCAGTCCCGTATCCAGCACTATCAGCCGAAAGCTAACCGGCAGCACATCATAGCTGGTACGGATCTTGAGGAATTCTCGGATGGCATTCTGTTCCCGCCCATCCATCCATCAGCCATCTGTCCCTTCGGGGGTACACGGGGTACACGGAGAGCATGCATGCATACCAGTCCCTCAGCCTGCTCCCTATCAACAGCACTTAGTTCCGCTGGCGGCTGTTGCGGCGGCGACGGCGGAGATGGAGTCGCAGCTGGGGCCCGTTGCTGCGGCCGCAGATAGGATGAGGGCCGCACAGGGCATGGCCGCGCGGGGCTGGGCGGGTGGGCGCCGGGCGCGGGTTCTGACATCTTAATCACGACTCGGGGAGGAGTGGCATTGACCGTAACGCGGGTGTGGGTGCGGGGGGAAGGCGGGGTGTGGGAGGCTGGGAGTATGTAGATTGTAGAGGTGACGTCCGTATTTCTGGCAGTCTGTCTGAGACGGTCTGGAGTTCTTGGGCTCGGTGGTCGGTCGGCGGTCGTCGTTGGTCTGTCGTCCGTCGTTGGTCGATCTGACTCCAGGTTGTGTGAAGGTCGCTAATGAACCGAACCTAGCCCGTCGAGTAGGTAAGTAGTGGTGGGACGTGTGTGTGTGGTGGGGGATTAGATCACAGGAAGTTAAGTACCTAAATATGTAACTTTGGACTTTGGGGGCGATGTCGGATCATGGATGGGTTAACTGCGTCTATTTTATTCCACATTTATTTCCAGTTTGGGAACAAACCATGCCACTTCCCTTCATTGCCTGCCAGCCCTCATTCATCTTTCTCCACAACACTCCCGCTTCCCTCCCACCTTCTTCTCCACAACATTTGCTCGTCCCTCCCACCTCACATTCATCCCAGAGCCCAGCCCAGCCAGCCAGCCAGCCAGCAGCCACATCATGCAAGATGTCGACACCATTCTTTAGCACCGGCGTCGGCACAGAGCCTAAATTCAGGGTGGAGTACTCTATCGGAGTCTTTCCCGCCGCTTCAACCGCGGCACATACATTCAAGTCTGGGCGGATCAATCAATCCTCAATCCCGCAGTCTCGACCGAAAGCGATCCGATAGATAATCTGAAAAGACAGCGGACGGTCGGCACTCTACATACGCTTGCCGCGGGTGAATAGAGTAGATTGGCCTCTGCAGGGTAACGGGCGCCGAGACGTTGATGGTGATCGTAGATAGGTGGTGTCTGCGCTTTGTGGGGTGACATCACTGCGCATCGGTCAGCGATCTAATTCCATGTGACGGACTCAGTGGACTCAGTGCGCGCTTTCCGTCGCGAGGGCGGCGGGGAAGTGGGGTAGGTACGCCTCCAGAAGAAACGAATGGCATTAGCATACGACCGAGCAGGAAGCAACCGCTCATCGCCCAAAAACTCGGGATTGTTGCATCGTAGCTTGGCGGGGGAAGAGGATGAGCGGACGAAAAAGCTTGTGCAAGCGGCGGACGGCTCGCCCAATCCGTCGACTCGGCGGACATCGGTTTTCGGGACATCTCCCGGACGCAGAAAACCTGGGTTAGGGCTATCATCACACGTCTGCATCATCTCCGCCGCCCGCCCGTCAAAAAAAAAAAACAGAGGCCGCGCGCCACTCCAACCGCTCGTTAGGTCAACACCATGTCCCTCGCCGTGCCCCTCCGACCGCTCCTCCGACCGCTGCGGCCGTGCAGCCGGCGCACATTCTTCGACCTTCCTACGGCGAGTCCCCAACGCTTCACGGCTTCCCGACGCCTGCCGCACCCACCGGCAGCACTCTACCGCCTCATCAGCGACATCGACGCCTACCACGAGTACCTCCCCTACTGCCTAGGCTCCCGCATCACGTCGCGCTGCCCCGACACCAACACACCGACCGAAGCCGATCTCCGCGTGGGCTGGGGGGCATTCGACGAGACGTTCCGGAGCCGTGTGACGTGTATACCCGAGCGCCTCAGCGTCCAGGCGGATGCAAGCCAGAACCCGCTGTTTAAACAATTGAAGGCTAGATGGGAGATCAAAGATTCCGATGACGGACATGGGGGAGACGTGAGTTTGCACATCGAGTTTGCGTTTGCCAATCCGCTCTATGCGGCCGTCGGTGGAGCGGTGGCGCCGAAGGTGGCCGGTGTCATGGTGGATGCATTCGAGAAGCGGGCGAGGGAGGTGTTGAAGATCGTTCCGACGTAGGAGCGGTGGGGGCGGGCTGGGTAGGGAGGGGGTGTGCAATTGGCTGATATGGGTCGGCTGGAGTCTGATATCATTTATGCCGTGCATATACCGTGGAGTTCCGGTCGATAGTCTAGACAAAAACATGGTGTACGATAGAGCAATTACGGGCGGGCAAGTAGAGAAGATCACATTCTGGTTTCACTCAGACCATGCATGCCGACTGACGGTGAATATAATGATCTCCAAAGAACAGATCCACTAAAACCATGCCAGAAAAAGTAACGGTAGATATAGGTAAAGTAAATACACAAACGCCCGAAGAAACAACTTTTAATTACTTGAATCCTACTTCTTCTCTTTCTTCGCTTTGGTTTGCTTCTTGCCCTTCGCCTTGGCCACCTTCTTAACCTCTGTTGTCTCCTTGGCTTCCTCTACTGCCTTCTCTGCCTTCTTGACCTCCTTCTCTACTACCTTCAGCTTCTCAACCTCCTTCGTAGCCTTCTCAACCTCCTTGTCCTCCTCCTTCTTCTCCTCTGCCTTCTCGGCCTTCTTCTCGTTCTTTCCCTTCTTGTTCTTCGCTTTCTCCTTCTTCTCCTCCTTCTTCTCCTCCTCCTTCTTCTCCACAATCGTCTCCACAATCGTCTCCACAATCTTCTCGTCCTTCTTGTCCGCCAGCTTAGCATCAGGGTTAATACCCTTCCTCTTCAACATCTTCCTCTCCGCCTTCACGGCAAACTCCTTATCCGCCTCCTCATCGAATGCAACAGCCTCACCAGATTCATCATCCTCGGTGTCGACATCCATGACATCAGCGGCGACCTCGCCATCCTTGGCGACCTTCGCCTGCACCGTCGGGCCGACCTTCTTGAACTTGGCGACGAAGAAACCGTCGACGTTGTACATGTGGGGGTAGAATCTCTTAGTCCACTTCAGCTTATCGTTGAACTGCTTTCCGCGGAAGCTCGTGAACCCGGGGGTTCCAAATGTCAATCCGGTCTCGACGAGCTTGACATTTGGTCGCTTCCTGAGCGCGTAGTCGACGACGGCTTCGTTCTCCTCGACAGTGACGGAACACGTCGAGTACACGATGTAGCCGCCTGTGCTCGACGAGTGGTCGACACTGTCGATTGCGCAGAGCAGCAGCTGCTTCTGCAGGTGCGGCAGGACCATGAAATCCTTCTCGTCCTTGTTGGTCTTGACACTGGGATCCTTGGAGATAACGCCTGTTCCGGAGCATGGCGCGTCGAGGAGGACGCGGTCGAAGCCGCCGATGACTTTGGGAAACTCGCGGGCGTCGTAGTTGCAGACGACAGTGTTCTTGACACCCAGGCGGTGGATGTTACCGATCAGACCACGGGCACGGTCGCGGCTGGGATCGTTGGCGAAGACACAGCCGGTGTTCTTCATTAGGGCGGAGATGTAGGTTGTTTTTCCACCGGGCGCAGCGGCCATGTCGAGGACTCGCTCGTTGATCTGGGGGGCAAGTGCCATGACGGGGAGGAAAGACGAGGCGGCCTGGAGGATGTAGTGGCCAGCGAGGTACTCGGGAGTGGCTCCGAGGGGGACGCTGGACTCGAAGACCTGTAGTCCGACCTTCGACCATTTTCCGACGGGCTCGAGGGTGACACCGCGGTTGATGAGCGCCTGGGCGAGCTCTCTGCGCGCAGTCTTGAGCGTGTTCGTTCGGATCACCAATGGCCTCTGCTTCTCGTTGGCCTCGAAGAACGAGAACGCCTCGGCGGGAGAGAAGAGCTGGTAAAGTTTCTCGGCCATGAACGGCGAGTAACCGTAGTATTCGCAGACATCCTTCAACAACTGCTCAGTGTACTCCGTCCTCGACCGTCCCTCCTCCCCTAGGTTCTTGTGGTCCTCCAGCACACGGATAGTATCGGTGATTCGTGTGCGCAGCAAGGTGATGTCCGGGGGAGCCATCGACATTCCCTCGTCGTCCTCTCCAGCGTTGCCCAGAATGCGCGGCTTATCCTCCGCAATATTTGTCTGCATCTGCGACTCAGCGAGTTCTGCCGCCGCCTCCGCCTCCTCAATCGCCTTCTGCATGTCGAGTTTCCGCGACAGACCAGCGATGTTGGCAGCCGTCAACTTCTCCTCCGCATCGGACTCGTCCTCGTCGTCCGAGAACAGCGGGCGCGGCGCTTCGTCACCCGAGTCGTAGACGTCCGAGTCGGATTCTCCGCCGTCAAGGAAGTCGTCTCCCAGCTTGTCTTCGGGTGTCGCATCGGCATCGGAGTCGTCCTCGGACACCAGGTCAAACTCATCCTCCGCGGCAGGAGCAGCAGCGGGCTTCGGCTTGGGTTCTGGCTTCCTGGCAGCAGCTCTTGGCTGCGACACCTTCGGTTTTCCCGCCGCCGCTGTAGGCTTTCCCTTCTTTGCGGCCTCCTTCCTCTTCTTCGCAGGTGCATCGTCCGCGTTGAAACCACGGCCCTTTCTCTTCTTGGTGCCGAACTTAGCCTCCTGGAGTGACTCCGGAGGTCCTTGATGTTGTCTCGAGCGTCCGGGACCCATTGTGTGTGTAATTTGGTGGTGGGGGGAGCGTGGTGGGTTCGTGGGTATATGGTCTGGTTCGATTGACCAGCAGACACAGCAGCACTTTGTAGAGAAACCAAAATCAACTTTTTTTGCGCGGAACTTGCAGGGGTCGCCTGTTTGGTCTAACTCATCGCTGCTTAGCGGGGTTTATCAGAGAGCTAGCCGACACAGTTATCTAATCTAATCGTCCCGCATAGATTCCCCGCCATCATCCTCACCACTTCTCAGCTGCTCCATCTTCATCCCACACAGAAGCCACCACCTACAACTCCTTCTACACCGCCCAAAATGACGGAGCTCAGCTATACAAAGTCCTTCCTCTCGATGCTGGCCCAGCGCCCTATTCGCCTGACTCCGGACTACGTTGAAGATCCCCGAAAGCTCCCTGCTCGCAATCCCGTATGCAATACTCTCCCGTTAACTACATCCCATAGCTAACCCCCGAAGTACACCCTGCCGCGTACACACCCCGAGAAAGCGAAGCGCCAACGTATTACGCACAGCACAAGCGCCAGCGGTCCGTCTTCACGCCCATTCCCACACATGAAACCATAGCTAACAGGCCTGCCGTCTAGTAACGCTCACGCTCAAACCGCTGCGGCCGAACCCAGCGTTGGCGCCGCTGACCCTCGCGGGCACTTCGCTCTCCACGACCGTTGCGACACTAAAGGCGAAATACTGCGCGTCGCTTCCCGGGAGCGCCGACCCCTCCAAGCTCAAGCTGCTTCTGAAGGGAAAGCCGTTGTCCGACGTCAAGACGCTCTCCGAGCTGGGCTTTGCGGATGGCGAGGAGGCGACGATCACGGCGATGTTGATGGCTGGTGGCGGGGCGTCGGCGGCTCCTACCCCCGTTGCCTCCCCGCCGCCGGCGGAGAAGGAATGTGTTAGGCTGCTCGAACAGGAGGCCTTCTGGAAGGATTTGGAGAAGTGGTTGCAGGTCAGGTTGGGAAAGAAGGAGGTCGAGGAGGACCCCAAGGAGGTGCTTGCGGCGTTTAGGAAGGCGTGGAGTTCGTGAGCGAGTGGGCGTTTGTTGGCTTTGGCGCACAATCAGTAATGCATGCAATACCTCTTCTTCCCATAGTACCTATATGTTATATCCCCTATCATATGCTATCTCAAAACCTATTATCTGGGTGTGTGTAAACACTGCCGTACAAGACCACTACGGTCTACGACGAGACTTCGCTATTTGGTATGCACCAGGGCGGGTTGTCGGGATGGTTTCCCATCGTCTCATTATCACTCAATATACAACGGCATTGTATCACTCGACACGTAGTGAGCCCTGTATTCCACCGACGGTTCGGTTTCAAGGTCGATATCGTCTCATTGACCACCTTCACAACATTTGCCCTTCAGCTCCGAAGCCTGTTGGGCTGTCCCTGAACGCTGACGGGCAGAGGAAACAGATCCTTTGAGCACCGTACAGCAAAGCGCCCACGATAAAGTTCCCGCCGTGGGAACGACCGATGTCTCCACACGAACAGGCCATGTCCTGTAACCCTAGCCCACCCAGAGTACCTTCTCCTCTCTTCCGGAGCGTACCGACTGGCCAGAGCTCCCTATCCTAGGGCCTGGCGACACAAACGACGCTAGCCGCCGCAGGCCCGCAGGACCGCAGCCCCACCTCCATACGGTCTGACAGCTCAGCTCCATTCAGCTCCACCATCTTCAGCGCTCCTCCCCGCCTCCCCCTCCCCACCCCCTCCCTCCCGCCATCACCAACCACCACGACGACAATGGGCCTCATCAAATTCCTCTTCAAGAGCGGCTTCTACAGCACGTGCGGTGCGGTCGGGGCGTTCGCAGTGCTGACACGGAAGTCGCAGTTCACGTCGCTGTCAGAGGCGGACGCATTCAAGGCGGCACACCTGGGCACGTACAATCCGCACGGCAACCCGATGCTGCGCGATCGCTGCGTGCGCCGTGTACGGTTCGATAAGATACGACCTGAGCTGCTGGAGCAGGAGGGAGCGCTAGTTACGGAATTTTGTAAGGGGATTTGGAGCGGGAAAGGTATGTCTGCTTGGAGGGGAAGGGATGGGGGGATGGGGGGCGGAGTTAATACGTGGTGGCTCGGTAGGCTACGAGATCCAGAGGCGCGTGCTGGAGCGGAAGCACCATGGCCCGGAAACGGCGGGGCAGCTGTGGGCGCCGGAGCAGCTGGCGGCGTCGGACTACTCTGTCGGCACGCAGATCACGGACCACTTCGAGGTGATCGAGAAGACGCCCGAGCGGATCGTTACGAGGTGCGGTGGGTCGCCAAGGACCCGCGGGGTCAGGGCCAACGACGGCATCTTCGAGATGGGCGCGAAGGTTATCCCCGAGGAGGGATGTGTCGAGTTTGCCCTCGAGAGTGTCTTCTATCAGGGTCTGGGAAAGACCGCAGAGACAATTCCCACGTGGATGGAGTTCTTGCATCAGCAGTATACCAAGGTGTGGATGGAGACGGCGGTGTGGCATTGTATGCGGTAGGGAGTGGGAGTAATCACCCACTTCACAGCGGGATAGGGGCGAGGGGAGGGAGGGACATATGTAGGAAGAGGGAGCTTGCCTGGGCGGGAGCGTGTAGCACGCTTAGTGCCAATCATGTTGAATCACTCGCATTTCTCATATCTGTCGATCACAAAAACATTCGAAACGTCTCGAGCTGCCGATAAATCCGAGGATGCATACCGGATTGCTTGAAAGTGCATGTTGAGCGAGATAGTTAACCCGTGCGCGTACCTTGTAGGTATATCTAAAGTGGAGACGACGGATGGGGGGCCGACGCCCGGAACACGGAGAGATCTAAGAGGGTGGCGTAACCGGTAATAGGTGATCGACCAACGTGGACAGACGGGCGGACGGACGGACGGAGGGGGGACGGACTACGGTAGGTACAGGACGGAAGAGCGGGATGGAGCTTTCCATGCGGTTGGTTTTCGCCATCCACAACATCAGCTCCCCCGGGTTGTCGTTCCGTGTGCCATGTGTATACCGATATCTATGTCGTGCATACGTAGCCCCTGCGAGTACTAAGAGCTCGTAAATACGGTACCTATTGATGCTGGGCAGTGGGGAGTAGAATAAGTAGAATACTCCAGAAGCTCGCTGACCACGTTTTTGGTGATAGTAGAAACTAGGTTGCCGGCAAGTTCTCAACACGATGGATTGGGTGTTGACGCGTACGCACAGCTGGCCAGCTGTATGTAGAATAGAGGAGCTCTGGGCAATGGATTATGAGAATTCGGTGTTGTGGAGCAAACTCCGCTGGGACCGCCGGCCTTGAAACTCGAAGGCCGAGTGAGTCCTCAGTCTAGACATGTGATATCCATCCAAAACTAAAGCTAAACCCGGCCGGCACACGCTGAGCTCGGAAGCTCGAGAGTTTTTCCGCGAGTTTTGCGGGTGCCGGAAACTTTTAGCGAAGTTACATGCCATGGTCTAGAGTAATCAAGGTATTCTAATGAATTGCGTGCTTCGCTCTGGTGATGTTTGGATTTCTCGCCGCGGGTTGAGATTAGTGTTGTAACTTCTACCTGCTTTGGAGATGCAAGAACGGTGATGAGACGTTGTGAAGGCGAGGCACGTTGTGAAGGCAAGACACGACAATTTTGGCGAGAAGGAGGCTGGGAAAACGTACTTGAGCATCTGTAAACCCAAGAGACCGACCATCTACGGATTGTAATGTCGGGCGCGGGGACACGCAAAGTGGTTGCTCTTCCAAGGTCTATTTTCTCTCAATAATCTCTACAATCTCGGAGGGAAAGTTGTGAGGCGGATCACTTCATACCTTACGGATATAAGCTCTCGTCCATTATGGCCATGTCCCAATGCATTCGCGCGTTGGGTCCAGGCCAGCCGAGGACGCCCACTTTTCAGATACTTTGGGGGAGATCTCTCTCTTCTCTTAAGGAAATCCTGTAGGAATCGCGAGAAGCTGCTGCTTCTGGGATGATCTGTAAGGTTAATTGGTTTAGTTATCAGAAGTATGAAGTATGTACCATGTGTATTCCTCACAGCGCCCAGATGCAAAAACAACAACAGTCAGACGGATGCGAGCGTCACTACATATAATAACACGAGAAAGCCATATATACCGTACCGCTGGTGCAATCCCGTCCACACTGCACGGACCAAATGTGGCTTTCGTGAAAACCTGATACTGAACTTCAACAACGAACCTGACTTCGAGGACAGAAACAAGGCGGCGTTCTGCCCTTCACTGTTGATGTGCAAGAGGGAGGAATAATACGTCCTTGCCGTCGTCGTCGTCGCGAAGGATGTGTCTAGATCCACGGTACGCATACAAACTACAAACTGTGAGTCGAACAGTCGCCAGCCACCACCCGATTGGGTAATGGCAAGACACCGCATCGTTACTTCAGTCTTGTTTCGTTGGGCTGAATATCCAGATCGAGAAGTGTAGTGCAGTCTGTCGACCTGGAGGCTGGTGGAGTGCCAGAGTGCCAGAGTGCCAGAGTGCCAGAGTGCCAGAACGGAATCCTGAACGGAAATCTGAACGAGCAAACGTCCGGACGCCGGAGGCTCCATCCGAGTTCTGGAGAGTGTTGCTGATGCATAACGACGTGGCTAACCTAACCCTTAGCTACCCTTAACTATTCTCACTGGTGCTCACTCGTAAAAATCACCAGCACCGACCGAATGATGAATCGTCTTTTGTACCGGTATTGTGTGCGGCAACAGCGCGTGATGCTAGTATATACATAGAGTACAAAAGCTTAGCCCAACCCGATGAGTTCCCCAATTTCTCTTGCGAGAACCTCAAACTGGCGTCTGTGCCTGTGCCTGTGCCGGGGTCCCCTATCTTCTGCGTCGTTGATTCTCCGGTGGACTGTGGTCCCACGAAGCACGACAGTGGTGCGGGGCGCCTGGCCGAGATGAGGGCGCAACTAGAGCGTAACTAGAGTGTAACTATAGAGTATAAAAGTAGAGCCACCTCTGACGACATCACGTCACACAATGTCTACATATACGTAGTATCGGAAGCTGTGCTGCTGCTGCGCAAATTGTAATGAGAACTTGGAAGCTTCGTGGCTGGAAAGTTGAGAGACGGTTGCGAGGCCGAGGAATGCTCGCGTATGTCAATACGCACAGCACAGCAAATCTGTTCCGTGGGCTTTCTCCAGTAAGTTGGCACCACACGTCGGGAGCGGATCGCGTGAAGCTTTCCGCGGGTGCGGAAGACGGCCGGTCCACGGAGGTTGCCAGGGAGGCGAGAGAGAGAAGGAAGAAGACTACAAATGATTTTGTCTGTTAGCTTGGATTCAGCCCGACTATCATCGAAAAGAGTCGAAAATCTTTATACCCAAGTGAAGCCGTGGCTTAAGCGCCTTTTTTTCTTCTTTCCCAAGGCGAAAATCAATTCAAGCCCTGCGATGTCGCATGTCGCTTAGAGGTCAGTTTAGTGCGTGGACTCTGGAAAAACCAGGGGCTCGACCGTGATCATCACGGTCTGCAGGGCCTGACAGGCCATCACACGTGATTGAATTCCCCAGTGCACGCACCATGTAACTTCTTTGCTTTGTAGAGTTTGGAGTGGGTACATGCTTCTTGCTTATACTGTATTACCGGTAGTAGAGTAATGGTATTCATGCTTCTTTTCTCTCGAGGGTAGCGGTCATGTCGTAGAATAGTTATCGGTCTCGGTTTCATGGCACCGACGGGGACCATCGCATATGGCAGGTTTCTTCGCCATCGAAATTGACCTCGACCATTGCGGTAAGGCGCCGGTGGCTGCTGTTGTGTTGCTTTTGTTGTTGCGGTTGCTGTTGTTGTTGTCTTAGCGGCCCCCCAACCGCCCAAGTGCTGTTGGATGTGTGCACGAAAGAACGCCCAGGCCTGAAGAGTCTTCGAGCCGATGCCGTCTGCAGTGTAGATTCTGCATGTATGATAACTATTTTCTTCACTGTCGGATCTGAAACATGGGTGCTCTTGATGTGCACCCTAGATGGCAGACCACTCTAGCCATCCGACTAAGTGTGGATCATGCCGCCTGCCGTCAATCGTCGACAGGCCCTTTTCGCAGCAGCTGCAGGTACCAGTCCACTGTCCACTGGTCACTGTCCGCTACCTTTGGTACTACGCACTCGAAATGTTTGCTTCTTCGGGCTTTCGGCAGAACGAGCGAGCTCACTCCTTTCCTTCAACTTCACCGGCCCCCTCCACTCTTGCTCCTTCCTTCTCCTCCCCAGCTCCATAAAACCCTCCCGTCCGCTCTTTCTAGCTTTGGCAAAGCAGCATCCACGGTCTCTACCAAAACACAATCCCCCCCACTCACGCTCTCTTCGTCCACATTTCGAGTCCAATTGGTAGCAGCTCTCCTTTGCTGTTCAATCGTCTCGGTTTTATCGGTCACCACCTGCTCATTCAGAGTCCCGTTGCAAATCAAAAACCAAACGAAAACCAACAAGATTCACAACGACAATGCGTTACTGCGCAAATCTCCTCTCGGTCGTTCTCGCTTTCCTGACGGCGGGATCGACAGTCTCCGCCCAGAACTACGGCAATGGTTGCAAGACCATTAACTCCATCTCCTACTGTGAGGCCGTCCAGGGCATCGCCTATAACGACATCAGCGGATCCGGAACGTACGATGATGTCTCCCGCATGGACGCTGCAACTTGCAAGTGTGATACGAAACCTAAGGCCTACAACGGAGCTATGGCACCTTTGGATGAGCAGGTATATAACCGTTCTCAATCGTCAACATCCTTTGATATCACTCGGTCGCTAATATCTTTCCCCGAATAGCTCTCCCTGCACTTTCGTGGCCCATTAGCTCTCAAGCAGTTTGCGGTGTACTACCCAAGCTCTTCAGCCCAGGGTAAGCGTAAAGCGAAGCGTGCCACCCACCTCCAGAAGCATGCTCGTAACGACAGGAAGCATGGACATGGCCACAGGAAGCCTCACAGGAAGGCCGCTTCCGGGAATATGGTCCGCACTGCGTACTACGACTCCAAGAAGGGAACTGCCGATGGACTCGTCTTCATGAACCACAAGGGCGGAGATGGCTCCGGTGTCTTCGACCAGTACGTATCCCTGCATGTGCACGCTTGTTGAAGGACTATCGACTGATTATACCCCACTACAGCTGTTGGGGAAATTCGCTGTCCTACATGAGCCCGAACTGTAAGTCCGGCTCCGCTAAGCCCCAGATCCTTAGCGATATCACCATGCCTTCCAACACCGAGTTCGTGATTTTCTCCGACGAGAAGTGTGATGGCGACTGTGGTTACTCCCGTCCGGGCATTCCGGCTCATCGTAAGAAGCTTCCCGCTCCGTCACTTTGTTTGTGAGCGTCTCCATACTGACACGTACATACTAGGTGGTTTCGATGGTAAGAACAAGATCTTCATGTTTGAGTTCCAGATGCCCAGGGATACCTCAGGTAGCTTCAATCAGAATATGCCTTCCATCTGGGCTCTTAACGCCAAGATCCCCCGCACTGCTCAGTACGGTTCGTGCTCTTGCTGGGGCTCCGGCTGCGGCGAGTTCGACATGTTCGAGGTCCTGGAGGACGCCCACGACTACGTCAAGTCCCACTACCATGCCGCCCAGGGCGCTGTCTCCGGCAACAAGGGCGGAGGTGGTGCCCCCGACTACTTCAAGCGCCCCTACGACAAGACCATCAAGGCTGCCGCCATCTTCGACGAGCGGGGTACCGTCACCGTCAAGATCCTGGATGACGCGGTCCAGTTCGGCCGTGCCCTCGATCCCAAGGTTCTCGGCGAGAACGCCAGGCCCAGCGGCAAGATATCCACCTACAATGTTCCTAAGTAAATTCGATTTGCTTCATGGTCCGGGGGGTCATGAGTGATTCTTTACTGTTCATGTAGATGTTTATGTTTCAGGCGCCAGGTTTTCATTTCTGCCATATACTTTGGGCGGGGGAATCTTTCCAGTTTTTGTGTCGTTTTTGCGTGGTCTTGTTTTGCCTTATCCCCGCGTGTACCTACTCTGCACCTTTGGGAGTCCGTGGGTGTGTGGGTGAGTGGGTGGGAACCGTTTTGTAAGAGGAATGGATGGGATCGACTCGGATTGCAATTCTTTGTCGGTTGTTTTTTTTCCTTCTGTTTTTTTCTTTTTCTTCCGTCTCGTGTCTGGGATGGGGGACGGGAACGGGGAGTGGATGAGCTTCGGTTTCTTGTGCAATACATTGCCAGTCGACCGAGCAAGTATCCTTGATGGTGGGGAGCGTGTGCATGTCGCGAATGTTCAGAGTGATAGTTGTTTTAATGCACTTTTTTATTATTATTCCTGGTTCTTGATTGTGGATTGTGGATTGTGGAGATGAGTGAATGGCTAGTTGAGAATTACTCGACACGCATCACTCATTCCGGGATTTGCTGGTAGGTGTGCACGTGGGCGACTGGAGGAATGGAGAATAAACCGGCACGCAGGTACGTTTCCGATATCGCGGTAGTCACATCTGGGTATGTACGCAGGGTGCGGCGTGTCCCATCGAGAAGAGATAGTGAAGCATGGGATATCACGTGAATGGATGGTCGGGGGCGACGGAGGGGGGGTTCTCGACGATGCGTGTTGAGACTCAATAGCCCGTAAGCCTGTAAGCTCCTTGGAAGGGAGTTTTAGGTAATTGGCTACCTCAGGCGTGCGGAATTCATATTGCTACATGGATATACCATACTTCACGTTTCATAGAGTCGATCGACAGAGTGCTCGTCTTGACCGCAGGCATCATAGAAGTACAAGGCAGAGTGATGACTAGAGCCTATGTGCTTCACGAATCATGATTCGGCAGATGCACATCGCCGCTCATGGATGAGGGCTTATATGACGACATATGCCCCCGCATTGCGGTTCATCCTGCGGCACCAAGTGCAGCCATGGCACCCGTCGTCGACGCTGGTGCACGAAGCGGCGCTGGCGGTGGGGCGGCTGGCGCCACAGGGGCTCCTCGCGTTCGCGGTGGCGCTGATGCAGCGCCAGACGGAGTACTTCGACGTCGCGGTGGTCGGTGAGACCCGGAACCAGACGTATGGACGGCTCGCGAAGCTGGCGGAGGACGTCGCGGGCGTGCGCGCTGACGATATTCTCGACTTGCTGCGGATCTCGGATACGCCCTGCGAGGGGTACGGCGCGTTGAATGTTGGGAATCAGGTGGGATGCTGCCGTGGATGCGGCTAGTGCTCCGGTCTGGTGCTGATTGGTGCCCGGCGGGATAGGTCACGGATGATCTGAAGATTCACATCAAGGCGGCGCGTCTGCTCGGCATCCATGTCAGTCCTACGGTGGTCGTCGATGGCATCGTGGAGAATTCAATTTCTTCGGGCTGGACGAAGGAGCAGTGGGTTGAGTGGCTGGATAAGATTGTGGTTTGATTGGATGCGGTTATTCCGTTTGGGTTCTACCATAGCAATCAACTGCTACTCTGAAGGCCTGCTCCATAATGCGAGCAGACTCCAACTACCTATGATCGAGTACCTCGATACGGTACTCTACAGCGATGTATAATTTGGTTACTAGCCGTGAGGTATTCCGCGTAAAGTGGCAACCACAAAGGACGGGTCAGCACTCTAGGCTGGGTGGGATTGACTGCCACGTTACGAATGATAACCGAGTAATCTCACCCAATTGATTGTCATCGACTTTTATTAAGTCCCCATGGGAAACACCAACACAGAAGTAAACAAATACATACTTCCACGCTGATGGCCGACGACCCAAGAATCGCTGGAGGCTCAATCCATAGGAATTACCAACCGATAGTGTCTGGCTCAATATCCGTCCATGCTCTATGGAAGCTGGCACTGGGAACTGGTGTTTTTTTTCCCTCTTTTTTTTTCTTCTTCGGGGGCTTGATCATCTACCATTGGAAAAGAGGGGTCGTCTGCGCCTCTTGCAGGCGAGACAGAGCGCACGTCTGGATTCATGCCAGCAACTATGGAGTAGCCATGTAGCAGAGAGAGTTCTGCCACAACACCCGTGTCACCGCACAAACTCCTCCACTGGTTCGGAGACCGACGATACACCACAGCAACAGGATGCTTTTCTTTCTTTCTCTAACTATCTCGGAAACCCGAGACTACAGGGACTTTGGAGCGTGTCAATCCGGAGTACCTATCACGCTCCAACTCGCAGTTTTATCGGCGGTGCTGAAGGGAGATTGTTTTTCTCCAGACCTGTGTCTCCTGCCGAGAAGATCACGAGATGGAACTCCCTTAAAGCCACTACCTACCTAGGTATGTTTTAGTTTCCGGTATGGTACTTATGAGCTTGAAATGGATCCAGTACATACGGTCGTGGGTGATGCGTGATGTGTGGGGGGGGGGGGGGGGGGTGTTAAGCATGCTGTCGAAATCGAGGGAAAAAAGCCGAACGAAATGTCAAATGTCGGTGGATGAGCAAAATGCTGGCCTGTCAACGCATGAATCCAACGGATTTAAGCCTTGCTGTGCGGAGGGAAAGCTCTCGTTTGCCGAGAGCTGACCACATGCCACGTCAGCCCGCAGCGAGCCAATTGGACACTGACACTGCACGTAACGATGTGTCCAGACTCCACTGACAGGTCGAACTCAGACTTTCGAGTCTCAAGACTCAGAGACCTCCCGCGCCGTGGCGCAAATAAAAGCAAAGCACAGACTGACAAACGACCGCCACACGGGACCGTGTCCTTCCCCGCACAGCCATACTGCGCCACAGCACTTACAACTCACTGCGGCTCTGTACGGCGGGGCTCTGCCGCAGCAAAAAAAAAGGCAGATTATGGATTGAAAACCTGGAATAAGGAAGATTCCTGCCCATACGTTTGTACGAATGCGTGATTTTACTCATGTTGCTGATGTCGATGCTGGGCTGCCAAGTCTGGAGGCGGGCAAGTCCACGTTGAACTCTCCGCCCACGGCCACGGCACGCATGCGAGGACAAGCATAGCTCAGAGCGTGGCTCTGCCAACCAATTGGCAGTGTTCCACATATATACATCTAACTTTATGTTGAGGGCTGCGACTGTCCACATCGGATGACCAGGATCCTGCAACGGAAAGGAATGCTATCGCACTGATCTGCTGGTTGGGGCAGCGACCGGCAATAGCCCCCCCGTATGTAGAGCTCACAGTAGCTCTGTGCTTCGAGGCCCAGGAAAGAGTGTCGCCGGCTTTGAACAGTTTAAATGCAGAGTATGGCCTCGTTGCTTAGAGATTCACTACACCGGACCCGCTGCAGCGTTTGACCAGACTCAGTGTTACAATGTCCAGTGAAAGTCCCCGTTCAAAGGAGGTTCAAGTGGAAGTCCGGATTGGAGCAATGCCGGGTTTGCAGATTCGAACGAAGGAAAAACTTCATGCTGCGTTCGAGAAGATCGACGAGAATCCCACGGTGAGTGTCATACCACACGACGTTCGTTCATTTAGATGTCGTGACGTCTGATGATACAACCCGCAGAACGATCCAGTGACTTTCTGGTGAGTGCAAAAAAAAACACCCGAGTAAACCATCGATGGCTTCTGATGGACTTTGCAGCTACGACGAAACAAATATCCGGCCCGATATCTTGATTGTACTATCGGCGGAGCTCTCCCGGAGGGTACTAAACAACTACAAAGGAGTTTTTCTTCCCGGAATCAAACTCCCGGACAAGGCGGAGACAAATTTTTTAGCAAAGCACAATGCCGCCGAATGCACCGTTTGTCCCGGGACGGATTTTTGTGGTCTGCAATCCCTTGCCACCTTGTACGCAACATGCTTGCTGCAGTACTGACAATGACACAGACCATGTCGGTTTCTGGTCCCAAATACCGCGTCTGAAGGTATCAGGTTAGCACTCTCCGTTTACCTCCATATCAGCCCGACAATACTGACTCCTTGATTAGAGGTAACAGGCAACGCCGAACGAACTCGTCAGAACATTGAGGATAAACAAAGGATGGAGTTCATAGAAAAGGACGTCGCGTTTACGTTTCACACTAGGTAAGTTCTGTTGGCCAGACCGCAAAGGCTATCGAATCAACACTCATAATCCGCACAGCGAAGGGTCCCGCACATACATTCGTACGCATGCATGGTTCTACATTCTGACTGATGTCCATAACCGTATCTTCGCATTCACAAACGTTTCCACCACTACCGTACCGGAAACTCCTACTGGATGGTTGAGAGCCTCTCTCGAGGAGATCTGCGACGGATGGGAGGACGTTATCGCAGAATGTGAACAACAGGTCGCCTTCGCAGTACGTATGATCCGTGCGCAAAACTATTTCCACTCGGGCTAACCTTTGCAGAGCAAACAGATAGTCCCCGGAGAGCCCGAAGGGCCGGAAGAGAGGTCTGCAATTTCACGTGTAGGAGCGATGTTAGGCCACTCTGGTAGCCAATCACGTACACGGGAGAGTTTACCGGCACAGTTTTTGCGGTCCTTGACCAAAGTAGCCGATATTTCCGGTCGTCTGGACGCCGCACATAGGGAACAACAACGAGGAGTGGCCATGATGATCAAGGCTGGCGGTCACCGATGGCCAACACGTCGCGCGCAAAATAACAGAACTGCACCCATTCATCATCCATCTCTTGGGCAATCCGGGGGGAGAACGACTGGATTGCAACCAACCATCGGCAATGACACTGAATTGGAAGAAGTTCTACAACGTTTCAAGATTGTGTTTGACGGCAGTGGGTTGGTTAAGAAGGTCGATGATCTTTTTCAAAGGGTATGTCTTCGGTCACTTTTAGTGGGTACCTGATTTTTGACTCAATCAGGCTACGAATATCATGTCCATCGACGAAGCGCATAAGGCTCGGGAGCAGGGGGCGAGCATGCGGAGGCTGTCCTGGGTAACAGTAGGTTCCGCCGGTGAATGTATTTCCGCAATGACGCTGACGGTTTTCAGTTTATATTTTTACCCCTCCTCTTCGTGGCGGTAAGTGGCCTTGAATGCGAAATTTTACCCATCCGCTAATAATCATGCTAGAGTTTATACGGTATGAATGTGGGTATTCCGATACACCCCCTCACCCCCTCCGAACAACATTGCTAACCTGTAGATTAGGTGGATGCTACCGAAAACAACCCAACATGGACGACCTTCTTCTACATCGCCGTACCAGTTTTTACCGTCGTTATGTTGAGTGTGTTGATACTTAAGTTCCGCAAGGGGCTCCGGAGTTTCTTACCCAACCCAGCAATCCGCACGAAACGCAACCAGAATAACGGCGGCGACATAGAGAATCAGAAGGCCGAACTTCACAGCATGAGCATCCCCTTGATCTCAGCGATCGAGCAAGATATGGTCGCCGTCGTCGAGCAGTATCTTGTCGAGCGGAGTGACATCGATAGAGACATTCCCGAACGCGGGAATGCACTACAATGTGCGTTGATTGCGGGAAGTTTGGGTGTGACTACCCTTCTTCTGGAAAAGAAAGCGGATGTCAATGCAGCGCCAGGACCATACCGCGGCGGAAGAACCGCCCTCCAAGCAGCATCGGAAGGACGCCACCTTGAAGTGGTGGATCGACTCTTGGAGAAGGGGGCCGATGTCAACGCAGATCCAGCACGTCATTCCGGAAGAACCGCCCTACAAGCAGCATCGGAAGGAGGCCACCTTGAAGTGGTGGATCGACTCTTGGAGAAGGGGGCTGATGTCAACGCAGATCCAGCAGGTCATTCCGGAAGAACCGCCCTACAAGCAGCATCGCAAGGAGGCCACCTTGAAGTGGTGGATCGACTCTTGGAGAAGGGGGCCACTGTCAACGCAGCGCCAGCAAGATTTTCCGGAAGAACCGCCCTACAAGCAGCATCGGAAGGAGGCCACCTTGGAGTGGTGGATCGACTCTTGGAGAAGGGGGCCGATGTCAACGCAGATCCAGCACATGGTTCCGGAAGAACCGCCCTACAAGCAGCATCGGAAGGAGGCCACCTTGGAGTGGTGGATCGACTCTTGGAGAAGGGGGCCGATGTCAACGCAGATCCAGCATTTGATTCCGGAAGAACCGCCCTACAAGCAGCATCGGAAGCAGGCCACCTTGGAGTGGTGGATCGACTCTTGGAGAAGGGGGCCACTGTCAACGCAGATCCAGCATTTGATTCCGGAAGAACCGCCCTACAAGCAGCATCGGAAGGAGGCCACCTTGGAGTGGTGGATCGACTCTTGGAGAAGGGGGCCACTGTCAACGCAGATCCAGCATTTGATTCCGGAAGAACCGCCCTACAAGCAGCATCGGAAGCAGGCCACCTTGAAGTGGTGGATCGACTCTTGGAGGAGGGGGCCACTGTCAACGCAGATCCAGCAAGTCGTTCCGGAAGAACCGCCCTACAAGCAGCATCGGAAGGAGGCCACCTTGAAGTGGTGGATCGACTCTTGGAGAAGGGGGCCGATGTCAACGCAGATCCAGCAGGTCATCCCGGAAGAACCGCCCTACAAGCAGCATCGGAAGGAGGCCACCTTGAAGTGGTGGATCGACTCTTGGAGAAGGGGGCCGATGTCAACGCAGCGCCATCAGATTGGCACGGAAGAACTGCCCTACAAGCAGCATCGGAAGGAGGCCACCTTGAAGTGGTGGATCGACTCTTGGAGAAGGGGGCCACTGTCAACGCAGATCCAGCAGGTGATTCCGGAAGAACCGCCCTACAAGCAGCATCGGAAGGAGGCCACCTTGGAGTGGTGGATCGACTCTTGGAGAAGGGGGCCGATGTCAACGCAGATCCAGCATATGATTACGGAAGAACCGCCCTACAAGCAGCATCGGAAGGAGGCCACCTTGGAGTGGTGGATCGACTCTTGGAGGAGGGGGCCACTGTCAACGCAGATCCAGCAAGTCGTTCCGGAAGAACCGCCCTACAAGCAGCATCGGAAGGAGGCCACCTTGAAGTGGTGGATCGACTCTTGGAGAAGGGGGCCGATGTCAACGCAGATCCAGCAGGTCATTCCGGAAGAACCGCCCTCCAAGCAGCATCGGAAGGAGGCCACCTTGGAGTGGTGGATCGACTCTTGGCGATGAGGGCCCGTGTCAACGCAGCACCGGCAGGATGTAGAGGAAGAACAGCCCTACAAGCAGCATCGGAAGGAGGCCACCTTGGAGTGGTGGATCGACTCTTGGAGAAGGGGGCCGATGTCAACGCAGATCCAGCAGGTGATTCCGGAAGAACCGCCCTACAAGCAGCATCGCAAGGAGGCCACCTTGAAGTGGTGGATCGACTCTTGGAGAAGGGGGCCGATGTCAACGCAGCGCCAGCATATTGGTACGGAAGAACCGCCCTACAAGCAGCATCGGAAGGAGGCCACCTTGGAGTGGTGGATCGACTCTTGGAGAAGGGGGCCGATGTCAACGCAGCGCCAGAATCTTATTCCGGAAGAACCGCCCTACAAACAGCATCGGAAGGAGGCCACCTTAGAGTTGGGGAACGGCTACGTGCAGCAGGCGCAACTGAATAAGGTAGAAGCCATTCCTGGAATCCACTTTTTCCTGGTTATTAATACTTATTATGATTGACGACAGATTATGCATGTTTCAGATCGGTTTACGACCGGTTAGCGAGATAGAGCGGGTGTTGGTATTCAGGATCATCGTGTCCCGTCGATGGATGACGTACGACGATACATTTGTTTTTTTTTTGTACATGCATGATGGATGTCGATATTTTGCCTGTTATCCTCGATCTATTGGTTTCAATTTTCTCTTTCTCTCTAAATGCTTTACTATTGTTGGTAATTCGTTTTGTATCAGGTTGTACTGATACTCCCTCACTGCCGCACTACGTGAGGAATGGGGTTATTGGTGTCTGGATGTGATACTGTCGGAGATGGATAATGAGGTACTTTGACAAACATTGAGCAAGGCGACGAGTGCTTATTTTCTTCCTCCGGTGTACGTAGCCCACCTTCGCGGGTATCGTAGTGGCGACATGGTATCATACCTATACATGTTGGGGTTTATTCGTTCAATGCCCAACGTCTTTCAGCATACCTATCCGTTTGGGCGTCGAGGTGGAACATCAATGCCAGAAACTGTGACTATAAAAGTTTGGTTGAGATGGTGGAGCTGGCTTGCCGCTGGACTATCCACGTGATAGAAGGTTCTCTCGAACAGTCTCCCCAACTTAACATCGCACCCTTGGGCCTTGGAGGGATCGCTTGTCTAGCGCCGCACCGCGGCTTTGGGACGTCACAATGCGAGCCTATTGGCCTGGCATTTAGCGAGAGCCGGCAATTGACGTAGAGGACTGGGGTGGGTCGGCTACTGACTACTAGTAGCACGTAGTTCAGCCCGGACGCGACGTCGTCGTTCACCTTCTCGAGATCACGAGGAATATTTGCTATGTATGTAGATGGCAGCCCGTCCGCGTCAGGTTAATTCAAGATGCGAGGAAATCTTCAGCGAAAACTGGAGACTGGAGACTAGTGCTCATATCCACCTATCATGAGCACGAGAGAGTGAGAGTAAGAGTCGTGGATAATTCTCGTGCCCCTTCAAGCGACTCCGGCGGCCCGTCGTTCTAGTGTATTGACGTCGCGACACCCGTAGGTAATTATAGAAGGTACCTATCTCAAATACGGAGACCTAGCAATTCAAATCGAGACCATCCGTTCCGCCTTGGGCACAGGTAATCGGACCTATGGCAGTACCTACTTGAACAAGTACCCATGTATTTACTCACTGGTTGCCTTTCGTTCCGTCCGGTCGAGAAATACCTATTGGATGGAGCCGCCGTGAAACGTGCGCAGGGCGGTTGTCATAGTTACAAGGTGTGTATCGAGATTCTATGCACTCACATCACGAACATAACTCCGCCCTGAAACCTGTGTACATGAGGATTCATGCGAGCTCAAGTTTGCACTGGTATGATACAATATCCCTACCATGACCACCTGTTGTTCACCATGTGGTCCCCGCAGCGAATCCGAATACGAAAAAGAATGTCTCTCGGTGTCCTCTGCTCTCATGCAACTTGACTCCGGTTGTTATCGGTAGGCCAGCCGGCCCGCGTTCTGGCCACTCACCTGGTATGCATTTATGTCCCGTCCCATAGCATTTGTTTGTACGATACTCTACAGACTGTGGGTAACTGCTACATGACTACTGGTAGCTGGCGTGCATACATGTCTCACTTCTGCAGCGCGAACAAACTGTCAAAATCCCTAAAAGCACATTTTACCTAATGGACCATGTACAGCGAACCACGCGTCTCTGTCATCTTTCCATCTCTCCATCTCTCCATATCTTCATCTCCCCGCCACATCGCCCAATAACTACCGGAAGCCCCCCCCTCCTCACGTATATACTCGACGAATTCGAAACCGGCTTGCACTGCTCTACAGCCCTTTAGCTCCGTATACTTTACCACCAGCGAACCGTGTCGATACCTATGAGCTATCCGGTTCCACCTACGCCGCTGCTCATGCAGGTTTGGATTGGCGATCGTCACTGGAAGATCCATACCAGAGAAGATCTGCAAGAGCTACTTTGTGAGGTCGACGCGACGGTATGTAGGCTCATCAGGTGTTTGTCGCTGTATCTATGAGCCTGCTGTCCATCGCTGACAAGCATCGTTTGCAAGGACAAGCCAGGGCTCTTCAAGTTGGTGCCTCCTCCGACTCTACGGGGTACAAGGCCTGGATCTGTTTTCTAACTCCAATCAGCCTCACACCGGATATCGCAGACTGGCTATTGGACATGCTGTGCCAGCGGTTCGGGAAGCTGTTGAACCAGTCCAATATACCGACTATTCTGGGGGCAGCGAATGTGAGCCGCCCCGCCGGATCTTTGGGATCTTTGGGATCTCTGGGATTCTCGGCGGCTCAGGAGAGCTCCTTGTGTGACTGCAAAACATGTTTGGAGAATCGGGGGTCGCCTTGTGATATGTGCTGGATGACTCCCGGGTATTTCCCCTGTTGAACGTCACTGACGGCGAAGCTCGCGGTTCTTGGATACAAATCCCAGCCTACGAAGAGGTGTCAGTGCACGAACAATTGGGCGTTTCGAAACAACCGCCCGAGGGAGGCCACTCCCTATTGGTGGATATCAAGTCTGACGACGAGAAGATGACCTTCTACCCTTCATAGCAAGCGCCCGACTTTGAAGGCCATCACGCAAAGCTGACGACCGGAAGCCGTACGTTTATTCGGCGAGAACGTTTCGTGTTCTACTGCCTGACCAACGGAGCTGGCAGACTGTTTTTCTTCAACACACGCTGGAAGAATACCGAAGCCAGCCGCCGACGTACGACTACGCCCGCAGCGCTTCTGGCCAGTTGTCTCAACGATGTGTGCGATGACTGGGATAAGCTCATCAAATGCTATCGGCAATTGTTGTCCGACGCGGTGAGTCCTCCGTTGCGTGTTTCGGCGAGCACAATTCTCACGTCCACGGTAGAGCAAACGTATCCTGAGCGAGGGCGAACTGAACTCTCGACGCTTCATCCGCTCTTTGGTTATTGTTGCCGATAATGCCACCCGACTGGAATCTGCACAACACGAGCAGATGCAGAGCATCGAGGCTTTGATGACGAACGGTGGTGGGACGCAGTGGTTTCGACCGCTGGTGAGCAACGTTTGGGGTGAGGGGAGAGAAGAGTACCTTGGCAATTTAGAAGGCGATGAAGCCAAATTGTGCCGTTCCGATCTCGCGAAAGCAACAGACCGGCTTGCAAAAGTTGGCGAAGCCATAGAAAGCGGATTGAGTAAGAGGATTGATTTATTGTTTCAGAGGGTATGCCAAACATCCGCACTTCCGCAGGCTTCGTCTAATCTTTCTGCGCGAAGGCTTCCAATATCGTTTCCATCGACGAGGCATCCAAAGCTGGAGAGCAGAATACTAGTATCAAGAGATTATCCTGGATTACTGTAAACCCATCCACCGCAACACTCTCTTGGACTGGCTAACCATATGAAATGTGGTCAGTTCATTTTCTTGCCGTTGCTTTTCGTATCTGTAGGTTACACTTCGTCCGGAAAAATTTGCGAACTGCCATCTAATTGTACGATAGAGTTTATACGGAATGAACGTCGACTTGGTTGCAAACAACCTCAATGGACCACATCTTTCTACATTGCGGCACCAGTGTTTGCCGGCGTGATGCTGACGGTGATTTTCCTAAAGTACCTACGAGAGCCAAGGCAGAAATTCACCTCGAGGCTTATCCATGCCGTGTCCGAAATCACGAAACGGTTTCGGTTAGGAAAGTCCAAGAACGCCGACGAAGAAAACCAGGTCACCTCTACGGCCGTAGACCATCGGTATAAAGGATCCTTCTTTCTTGCGCTGCGCTCAGGACACCGGGTGACAGCCGGAAATCTGCTCGAGGTCGGGGTTGTCGACGGAACCTAGCATGACGGGAGAAAGACGGGTTTGCAATATGCCGCTGGCTAAGGCTACAGCGATATTGTGGAACGATTGTTGGCGATGGGTGCCGATGTCCACGCGAAGCCTTTTCCGGATGGCGGTAGGACCGCGCTGCAAGCTGCAGCGGAAGGCGGCCACCTTGCAATAGTGAAGCGACTCCTAGAGCATGCGGCTTACGTCAACACGGCACTGGCACAATGCGATGGACGGACAGCCCTACAGGCAGGCAGCATCGGAAGGAGGCCATATCGAAGTGGTAAACGAGCTCTTGGAAAATGGGGCCGATGTCAACGCAGCACCAGCGGATCGTGGAGGAAGAACAGCCGTGCAGGCGGCATGTGGGAGAGGCCATCTCGCAGTGGTTCGAAGGCTCTTGGAAGAGGGAGCTGAGGTCGCCGCGGCCCCAGCAAGAAGGGGAGGATGGACAGCCCTACAGGCTGCATCGGAAAGAGGCCACCTTGAAGTGGTGAATCAACTCTTCGAGAAGGGAACCGAGGTCAACGCACCGCCGGCACAACACGGCGGAAGAACAGCTCTCCAGGCAGCCTCGGAAGGAGGTCACCTTGAAGTTTTCGAACGGCTGCTGGGAGAGGACGCGGAGGTAGCCGCGGCAGCTGCGGGAAGGAGAGGGAGAACAGCCCTGCAGGCAGCATCGGGGAGAGGCCACCTTGCAGTGGTAAATCACCTCTTGGCTAACGGCACCGAGGTCAACACAGCCCCAGCAGAACACCACGGAAGAACAGCCCTACAAGCAGCATCCGAAGGAGGTCACCTTGCAGTAGTCGGGCGGCTCTTGACAAAAGAAGCCGATGTCAACGCAGCGCCAGCAAAACACGGAAGAACAGCTCTACAGGCAGCATCTGGAGGTGGACATCTTGTAGTAGTCGAGCGGTTGCTGAGGAATGGGGCCACTGTAAACGCAGATCCAGCGGCTTGCGAAGGAAGAACAGCCCTGCAGGCAGCATCCGGAGGTGGCCACCTTTCAGTAGCGGACCGTCTCTTGGAAAAGGGAGCCGATGTCAACGCAGCTCCAGCGGAAGAACTCGGACGGACAGCCCTACACGCCGCATCGGAAGGCGGCCATCTTGCCCTCGTCGAGCGACTCCTGGATAAGGGTGCCGATGTCAATACAGAGCCAGCTGGGGATAATGGAAGAACTGCCCTGCAGGCAGCATCGGAAAGAGGGCATCTTGCAATAGTTGACCATCTGCTGGAGAATCGAGCTGAAGTTCAAGCGGCACCAGCAAGGACGAAAGGAAGAACGGCTCTGCAGGCAGCATCCGAAGGAGGTCATCTTTCGGTGGTGCAACAGCTCCTGGACTCGGGGGCCAAAGTTAAAGAATTGCCGTCCAGCTCGGGCAGAACAGCCCTTCAAGCAGCATCGGAAGGAGGTCATCTGGCGGTAGTGAATCACCTCCTGGTGAACGATGCTGAGGTCAACGCACCGCCAGCGCAACCGGAAGGTCGAACAGCCTTACAAGCAGCTTCGGAAGGAGGCCACCTCGAGGTACTGAACCGACTCCTGGAGAAGGGGGCCGATGTCAATGCCGCACCCACAGCAGCACGCGGAAGAACAGCTCTACAAGCAGCCTCGGAAAGAGGTCACCTCGAAGTCGTCGGTCGACTATTGGAGGAGGCGGCCGAAGTCAACGCAACGCCAGCTGAACTTTACGGACGAACGGCTCTCCAGGCTGCGTCTGGAGGAGGCCATCATGCTGTCGTGGATAAACTCTTGGAGAAGCAGGCCGAAGTCAACGCAGCGCCAGCAAGATGGGGAGGAAGAACGGCTCTACAGGCGGCATCCGGAGGAGGCTATCTTGCAGTAGTTAATCAACTCTTGGAGAAGCAGGCTGATGTCAACGCAGTGCCGGCGGAATCCAAAAGAAGAACCGCCTGGCAAGCCGCATCGGAAGCAGGCCATCTTCGAATAGTGGAGCGGCTCCTGAAGAAGGGGGCTAATGTTAATGCAGCCCCAGCAGGCGACGGCGGACGTACGGCTCTGCAAGCAGCATCGAAAGGAGGCCATCGCGCGGTAGTTGAGCGGCTTCTCAGAAAGGGAGCCAATGTCAACGCTGCCCCTGCAAACTCCGAAGGACGAACAGCTCTACAGGCAGCATCAGAAGGAGGCCATGTTACAGTAGTCGAGCGACTCTTGGAGAAGGGGGCCGATGTCGATGCCGCGCCAGCAGAATACGGACGAACTGCGCTACACGCAGCATGCAAAGGCGGGTATCTTGCCATTGTGGAGCTGCTCATCGTGCACGGGGCTAAAATCAACGCCGCACCCTCGAACGGGGGACGAACGGCGTTACAGGCAGCATCGGAAGGAGGCCACCTGGGAGCAGTGAATCGATTGCTAGAGCACGGCGCCGATGCCACTGCTGCGGCAGCAATATATGGCGGGAAAACAGCCCTGCAAGCAGCGGCGGAAGGAGGCCATAAGGCAGTCGTCGAACGACTGACTGATCGGGGCGCAACCAAGTAATGTGCGTTCGGCTCTGGAATCCCTTCCTTCCCAGTCACCGGTGTCCATACTAACTTCCGGTTCGGATTGTAGATCCCAGAAGCCGCCGACAGGGCCGACAACGAGGCTGTGCACCAGCTAGATGAGGTTATGGTGGTATGCGACGTCACTTTGTTCTGGCTCGCGATTAGATACGGATGACGGCCGACGAATGATGATTTTGGTAGCTTGTTTCGTTGTTCCGCGGGCGATGATAGAGGATGATGTTGGGTTCTTTTTCCGGATTTATCGGTTTAATTTTTATATTTTCCCTCTCGAAATGATAGGAAAGGGCTTTTCTGCACTGATATGGTACTAATAATGCTGTTTATTCCTTTCGTATTTTTAGTCTGTCATGTATCTACATGGTGTTTATTGCTGAATCCCGACTCTGTCAAGGCTCGGGGAGATGTTTATCCCGATTATACTGGTTTAGAATAGGTAGCCTATCTGCGGGTTGCGGAAGTATATGGTCTTCCGAATCCAGAACATCACGATGCTTTTGTCGATGCGAGAATGGTTACAAGAAAACGCTGGATGTGGGCGTCTGCGGGTATCACTGTCGTTTGCTACCACCATGAGAGGAGCACAGTATGCTAGGATAACGAGATTGGGGATCTGATAAGATACCTAGGAGGATGTGAGGCTGTCAGCCGTACTAGCCGGATTGGTTGACACCGAACGTTTTAGGCGGCTGAGGAGAGCCAAAGTACTGGAGTAGATGGCCCTTCGAAGTTCAATACAACCTCAAGTTCTTCATCATCTTTCGTTTTCGCCGCCTACCTTCCAAGGCTACGTCAAGCATCCCTAACGCTCACGATAGGCAGCTAAGTACCTGGGTACTTGCGCTGTGTCGAGTCATGGCGCAGTCGAAAACCCGCAACCACGGTACAAGGTAGAAGGAAATATATGTTCTCGAGGCGCTGGTGCGCCCAATCAAGTCCAAAGTTCAGATTCGGCACCCACCAGATTACTGTATGGGCTGAGTCAACTCCGCTCTGGCTGTGCGATAAGTCGACAGCTGTGCCGCACATGTATCTACCATCTACATACATATAGGCAGTACTCTCTGAGCAGGGACCCGGGAACCTCGCGTCTATAGTATTGCCGTCTCCACCTCTCCGCGCAACACTAACTTTCCCGCATAGGTTCCGGTAGTGAAGTAATTATCGGCCGCTCTCGGATTTCACGCACTGCATATACTAATTCAAGCTCGACTTCAAGGTCGCCCTGCCTGCGCCCAAGAGAAGAACCGTCAGTTGGGTAGATAGGTATCTTTCGACTGTTAGTCACGCCCTCTGGCTGCGACAGCATTCCGGAAATGAGCCATTCGCCGAGCTCTGGTACGCCACCTGTTATGGAGGTGTGGCTGGATGAACGGCTCGTGGAGATTCGTACTAGGGAAGACATGGAAGCAGCGCTTTCTCAGGTTGATGATTCGGTATGTATAGTACGTGTAAATACGTGGCGACTTGCTACTATCTACTATGTAGTATCTACCGTATATCGCTGATACACATCCTTTATGTAGGAGTTGGACGATAAACTGGTTCTCTTCAAGTGGGTTCCTCGATAGTAAAAACTTATCTAGGTCTACATATGCTGATCAGAAACAGCTACTCACAGGACGCTCCACACTGGTTGTTGGACATACTCTACAGACGCTTCGGGGCACTGTTGAACGGATCGCAAATACCGGCGATTTTAGGATCGGCATATGTCAGCCGGCGTGGCGAGTCTTTGGGGTTTTCGGCAGGCAGTGGAAGTTCCTCATGTGTCTGTGAACAGTGTTCTGGAGATCCCAAGACCACCTGCGGTATGTGCAGGATTGTTTCGGGCATTGGGATACCTACATCGCTCACGAAACAATCCGTGGTTCGTGGGCAAAAATTCCCCACAACTTCAGGTGGCAGTGCCCGGCGGCCGCGGAGGCAACAGAAGTGTCGCGAAGAAAGAGCGGGAGGCTCTGGGCGCCCGACTGGTAGACATATCGTCAGATGAGAAAACGATTACCTTCTATCGTTCAAAGTGAGTTATACTACTATTCAGAAGTCATCCACGATCTGAGCTGACGACAGGTTGGAGACGCCGATTCAGTCGCCGGGAGTGTCTGGTCTTCTATAGCATTGCCGCCGGTGGTAGACCGTATCACTTCAATCCACGATGAAAGTACTCTGAAAGCCGGACCGGTGCACGTATGCCGCCTACACCTACCTCACTTTTGACTTCTTGTCTGAGTGGTGTATGCGATAGTTGGGATACCCTCATCGACTGCTATAAGCAACTGTTGTCCGACGCAGTACGTTTTCCGTTCAAACCCGAGTTATGTCGCGGTTTCCACGTTGGCCCCGCTTTGGTCAACGCCGGCGCCGCCAACTAATGATGATTACGATTGCTGAGGTCCAAATTCATATAGAGCAAACAGATCTTGAGCCAAAGCGAACTGGACTGTCAACTCTTCATTCGATCCTTGGTTACTGTTGCCGACATAGCAACCCGGCTCGAGATCGCGCAGCGGGAGCAAAGTGGGAGCATTGAGGCCATACTACTAGCCACGGACGGGAGTAGTATGACTCGGAAGTGGTATCCGCCTTCGATGACAAACGAGGGCGCAACGCAAGAAGTACGGAAGGAGGAGGACCCTAGTAGCGACCTGAACAGAGCACTGGAACAGCTGAAAAATAACGCCGCCGTTGTACAAACGAATTTGAGTGAGAGGGTTGATGTCTTGATTCAGAGGGTAGCATTGGACGCCCACTCTTCGCAGGGATTCTTCTAATAATCCTGTTCATACTTAGTCGTCCAACATCGTGTCAATCGACGAGGCTTGCAAAGTCAGAGAGCAGAACGCCAGCATCAAGAGACTATCATGGATTACCGTAACTTCACCACTGCTCCAATATTCCATGCCTCACTAATCATTTCTGTCTATTAGTTCGTCTTCCTGTCGTCTCGGTGGGCCCCTATCTTATACCGGTATATTCGGAAACTTTGAGAGTTGCTTTCTGATCACTGCAATTGTATAACAGAGTTTGTACGGGATGAATGTCGACTTGCTTGCAGACAACCCGCAGTGGACCAGCTATTTCTACATCGCCGTACCAGTATTTCTAGCCGTGATTTTGACCGTGGGTTTCCTAAAGTATCTCCGAGGTCCACTGAGAGAATTCAGCGAGATGTTCTACAACGGTATACCTACGATTTCGCGAATTCAGGGGGGAAAGTCCAAGATTCCGGATGAGGAAAACCACATTTCTTCCGCAACCGCGGATCCGAGATATAAGGGGCCATTCATCCATGCAATCGGCTCGGGCCATAGTAGCATGGTTCACGATCTCCTAACCGCCGAAGCTGTGGACATTAATTGGAACGATGGGAAAATGGCGGCATTGCAATATGCAGCAGGCTTTGGAGACGGTGCAATGGTCGAGCAGCTTTTAGCGATGGGCGCCGATGTACATGCCAACCCACAGCCGAACGGTGGAAGAACGGCTCTTCAGGCAGCATCGGAAGGAGGGCATCTTGCAATCGTGAAACGGCTCTTGGAGAAGGGGGCCAATGTCAATGCAGCACCTGCAAAATCCGAAGGACGAACAGCCCTGCAGGCGGCATCGGAAGGAGGCCATATTGCAATAGTAGAGCGGCTCTTGGAGAGAACGGCGGATGTCAATGCGGCCCCTGCAAGATACGGAAGAACGGCCCTCCAAGCAGCAGCTGATGGGGGGCACCTCATAGTAGTGGAACGGCTATTGGCGATGGGGGCCCGTGTCAACGCAGCACCGGCAGGATGTAGAGGAAGAACAGCCCTACAAGCAGCATCGCAAGGAGGCAACCATGCCGTAGTGGAACTGCTCTTGGATAATGGAGCCAGTGTTAACGTGGCGCCAGCTGAAATCGAAGGACGAACAGCCCTACAAGCAGCTTCGGAAGGAGGCCATCTTGCGGTAGTGGAACAGCTCTTATTGAAGGGAGCTCATATCAATGCAGCACCAGCACGATCCGAAGGGCGAACAGCGTTACAAGCAGCATCGGAAAGAGGCCACCTTTCAGTAATTAAGCGGCTCTTGGAGAATGGGGCCGATGTCAACGCAACACCAGCCGATCGAAAAGGAAGAACAGCACTACAAGCGGCCTCGCAAGGAAATCACCTCTTGGAGAAGGGGGCGCATGTCAACGCGGAGCCAGCAAAATCAGAAGGACGAACAGCCCTACAGGCTGCATCGGAAAAAGGCGATCTCGCCATAGTGGAGCGGCTGCTGGAGACAGGAGCGGATGTCAACGCAGCGGCGGCAGAATGGTCGGGAAGAACCGCCCTACAAGCAGCATCCGAAAGAGGCAACCTTTTCATTGTAAAGAGACTCTTGGAGAATGAGGGAGATTCCAACGCCGCACCAGTAAAACTCGGAGGACCTGCACTACAAGCAGCATCGGAACGAGGCCATCTTGCTGTAGTGAAAAGACTCTCGGAGAAGGGGGCATATGTCAACGCAGCACCTGGAGAATGTAAAGAGGGAACAGCCCTACAGGCTGCGTCGGAAGGAGGCCACCATGCAGTAGTTGAACAGCTCCTGGAGAGTGGGGCCAATACGAATGCAGCGCCAATAGAATGGTCCGGAAGAACAGCTCTCCAAGCAGCATCGGGCAGAGGCCATCTTTCGGTGGTGGAGCGACTCTTGGAGAATGACGCCGATGTCAATGCGGCGCCAGCCAGATTCGACGGAAGAGCAGCCCTACAAGCAGCGTCGGAAGGAGGTCACCTTGATGTAATGGAGCAACTCTTGGAGAAGGGGGCCGATGTCAATGCCGCACCAGCAGAGTACGGGAGAAAAGCTCTATAAGCAGCATCAGAAGGAGGTCATCTTGCGGTAGTGGAGCGGCTTCTGGAGAGTGGAGCCAATATGAATTCAGCGCCGGCGGAATGGTCCGGAAGAACCGCCCTCCAAGCAGCATCTGGCGGAGGCCATCTTGCAGTGGTTGACCGACTGTTGGAGAATAGAGTCGGTTTCAAGGCCCCGCCAGCAAGATTCAACGGAAGGACAGCCCTGCAAGCCGCATCGGCAGGTGGCCATCTTGCGGTGGTGGACCGACTCTTGGATAGGGGGGCGGATGTCAATGCAGGACCATCAGTCTGAAGAGGAACCGCCCTACAAGCAGCATCATCAGGCGGCCACCTTGTCATAGTGGAGCAGCTCTTGAAGAAGGGAGCCGATGTCAATGCCATCAGACTGGGGAAATACAGCCTTGCAAGCAGCATTGAAAGGAGACCATCTTGCGGTAGTGGAGCGGTTACGCAAAGCAGGTGCCACAACGTAAGAAGGTGCGAACCATCTCCAGAAAGCCTTCTGTTTCCCAGCTTTGGATTCTGATATCATGCTCGCAGAGATTGAACTGACCGTCGACTGCTTTGACGACGATAGAATGTGCGTGATCAAGTGGGTGTTGATGTACGGGATTTATCATTAATTGTCGGTGGGATATCGGAGGATAACTGACGATGGGATTATGGGTTTCTTTTGGTGAATATATGGATCATGGATGACTAGAATTTGCTCGCGTTACCTTACTCACTGAACTCCAACTTCGCTATCATCATGCATTATCACCCGATGGCATGCTTCGGATTGACTGTCGGAAAGTATGAATGAATACCTAGTGTATTGAGAGAGTCTGAAGGCCTCGGGAGAAAACATAAAAGTGGGGTGGTAGGTGGCCAGTGCTCCTACCGCCGTCATGATCACGCAATGAACGACCAAGTAACGGACGAGTAAGGAGCGAACGACTCGATATTACAACATTGACCTCAGCTATTCCTATCAATTGGCGCAATTCACCTCCGTCGGGACTACAGTCGGGTCTTCCTACCATGAATGGATGCTGTTCGTCAATCCTTGCCTTGGTCTTGCTGGTGATCTCGCTGACGACGACTTGCAAACGTAAATACCTTCGCGAAACAATGATTTCAGTTTAGGGACCGTTTGGATGGCCTCAGTTTTAGCGAAAACTGTCAGTTTTTCGAGAAACTGAGCAAATAGAACTGAGACCCCGTTTGGATGGCACAAAAACTTAAAAAAAGAAACCGAAACCGTGCGGCTCCAGCGACGAAACTGATACTGACCTCAAGAGGTCATTTCTTTGCCGCCACTTAGTATCGCATTTTAACTTCAACCATGAGAAAAAAGCGGGGCCACAATGTGTCCACTATTAGAGTTCTGGTGAAGCCTATTATTCAGACTTATGGCTGAGGAATCTGAGAACTGCCAAACACTCTGTTCACCTTACAGTTCTCCGGAAACTGAAACTGGACAGAATTCGGTGTCCCGTCGGGGAACTGAATTTCGCTCTAAAACTGGAACTGAAAACTGAGGCCATCCAAACGGGCCCTTAGATATCTACATCCATTGCACCCAAGGTTTATATTCACCAGCTCGTAAGATGTAACATGTTGGACATAAACCCGTATGCTAATCCCGCAAAAACGATAAGTTTATGGATTGGTTTGTGGGCGGGAATGCGGGCAGCAGCGGGTTAGTAACGATTTGATTGTACCAGCACAATGATTGTCGAGACGATTCGGACGAAAGGGTGGGAATATGGGCAACGGGGGGGCTTAGTAATTGATTTCTCGTCTCCGTTTCGTTTCAGTTTTCTACCTGGGCCGAGACTGGGCCCCGGTACCGGCTGCTGCTCGCCCTGTAGATATATACCCTTGGTTCCGAACTCTCTTTATGTACCAGTCTCTGGCTTCCTACCAATTCTTCTCAGATATATACCTAATCCTCTTTCGGTGAGCTAACAAGGCCGAGAGGGACATGCGTCGTCGTCGTCGTCGTCCGGACTCCGGACCGGTTGCCGTGGCAGCGATTCACAGCTTGTGCGTCCGGCTAGTCCAGCACACCAGGTCTCCAAGTCGATATCTGGTTCATTCGATCGGAGTTTATCCAGGTGCTGGCGGGCTTGTTGGGCGTGCATCGGGCCAGACCCGGAGCCTCGCTGCGCATTCTTCGCACACCTGGCTGCTTGGGTTTCGGTGAACATGGTGGCTCTTCCCCGCATTCGTCGTTTGACTGTCCCCCACCGCATGCCCTCGCGCTCGCTGCGTGTTGCGCCTCGGAGAGTGGGTTAGTCCTGCAAAACTCCCGCGCCCGCCGCCGTAGTCCGAGAACATGATTCCAATGGCTCGGTGGGAACAGGACTTTCCCCACGGCATGGAAGTCGATCTGACAGACCACTGTCAATCCCCCGATAAACGCAGTGGTGCCTCTCGTTGCGGTGGATGCACTAGGTAACTCGAGTCTTGATTTTCGACCGCGAAATAATCACCAATAGGTAGTTACCTACTCCATCCTGTTGAAGGGCTTCGACTGGCTACTTCCTAGTAACTCGTGACGCGTTTCTGATGGAAATTGTTGCCCGTGAATGTTCCGATCCTGTATGTATGTAACCATGGTGGTCGTGTGCTGGCGGGGGAAAAAGTAACGCTGCAGGCGGAGGGGAGCCCGCCTGCAGCGTTAAAGTAGCGCACAGGCGCAGGGTCATCCGCGGCAAAGTCGATGTAACCTCTTCTCCGCCCAAGTACTTTGCATCAATAAATCCAAACCCTTCTGCAGTAACCTCTCATCACATACCGCAAATCTGATGATTGGAAGCCTATATCGTATGTGCGGCCAACAATCCAACCGGCTCCGTCCCAAGCGGATCTTAACCTCGACACGCTCTCGACCTCGTCCCCTCGCAATTTAAAGCGGGAGAACCACTCCACCATGACGAACAACATGGTACCGGAGGTTTACGATGAGTCGATAGAACAGAGGGGCACGAAGGAGGGTTTGGGGCAGGAGGTCGCGATATTGAGCCGAAGTGAACAGCGGAGGAGAGCCCATTGCCTACACGATGCGACACCCCGTTCACTGATCGCCCATGAGTACCTACCATATTCCGCCGCCCTCTCGCACAACAGCCACAGAGTGGAGGGGAAGGGCTTGCAGTGTGACTACACGTTTAGGGCCAGTCACAACATCTGCAGCTGACGGCCAAACCCGCAAATTCAGACAATCAACAAACAACCAAACGACAGGCACGGACTTCCGCCTCCAAATCGACCGAATGAAAATCGCCGAAGCGCAGACGAGAAGGAGTGGAAATCGAGCAGGCTTTAGTGATGTTCTGGTAAGTTCGCAAACGACGGGAGGATTCGGAAGGGAGAAGAATATAAAAAAGTGCGCCGCAGGTCTCGGTACGAGGGGGACAAAAAGTCTCACACATCGGCGCAATTGGGCTTTACGTATTGCGCGCAAGTTGGGAACAGCTGGGTGCTTCACGCGTTGAGAACCAGGTATCTACGCCCTTATCATTGTGAGGATACGGTGAACGGCTCACGAGGTGAAGAAACTCGTGTTGTGTTCTCATCCTTGTCCTGCATGCCGGCAACTCCGCATTTCCCTCCCTTCCTTCGGACTCCTTCCAATGCCAGAACAGCAAAGTGTTCACGAATTTACAGCCAACAATCAGTCCACCATGTTACGCTCAAAACTACCTCTTGTTTTATGCAAGAACTGCAGTCTCTCGCGTGCCGAGTGAAGGACTTCGGGAGGTCGTTGGTTGACTTCTGAAGTTCTGAGTCGGATACGCTGCGGCTGGGTGACACGTCGATAGCCCCACCGGCCAAAAACACCTCTGATAGGCCGGCTTCAGCACGCATGATTCACTTTCATGCTGTTCAGGTCCCAATCATGAACAAGCCACGGGCGGGCTTAGAAGCACATCCGTGCGTAGGATCTCTCGTCTTTTGCCGTCTCTCCATCTTTCCGTCACAACATTCACTTCCCTCCTAATATCGGACGCCCTCGGATTTTGCCTACTCTGTGATCTTGAACTCGAACTTCACTACCTCGCTGCCAGAAGACCACCTATCTTTCGACTGCTTGCTCTGTCACCTACAGTGTGCTCTCTCCGGCAAAGCCTTCCGGAAATGAGCCATCCAAACTCGCGCACGCCACCTGTTATGGAGGTATGGCTAGGCGACCAGCTTTTAGAGATCCATACCCAGAAAGATCTAGAAGGGGCGCTTCGTGAGGTCGACAAGCCGGTATGTATAAGTGCTTGCATAAGTACTTATCGTCTTGCTGTTCATCGCTGATGCACTCTTTAGGGTTCGCAGGAAACCTTAGTTCTCTTTAAGTGAGTACCTCCTCAATTATGAGTACTAAATCCTGGATGTATATACTTACCCAACATAGCTACACTCAGGACGGCCCTGACTGGTTGTTGCACGGACTATTCAGACGTTTCGGAACGGTGATGAGCGACTCCCGAATACCAGTGAATTTGGTATCGACGTTTGTGAGCCTACGTGACGAGTCTTCGGGGTTCGCGGCAGGGCATAGAAGCTCCTCATGTGCCTGTGAAAAATGTTCTGGCTATTCTAAGACCCCTTGTGGTATATACTAGATTGGCTTGGGGTATTGCTCAGGACATCGCTAACTCAACAGTCCGTGGTTCTTGGACAAAATTTCCAGCTTACGAAGAGGTGGATTACCCAGAAGAGGTGAGGCTGGACGACAAACATGTTTCCAAAAAACAGCGGAAGGCTCTTGACGCCCAACTGGTACATATCAGTCCCGATGAGAAGATAATAACATTTTATCATTCAAAGGCAAGCCCAGAAGGCTCTCGCGAAAAGCCGACGATTAAAATGCGCCAATTCATTCGCCGGGAGCACCTAGTCTTCTATAGCCTTGCCGTTAGTGACGACCGAGAGTATCACTTCAACCCACGTTGGAAGTACACTGAAAACCGACCCGCGCCTACACCTACACCCACAACTCTTCTGACTTCTTGTTTGAACGTTGTTTGCGATGATTGGGACAAGCTCCTCAACTGCTATAAGCAACTGTTGTCCGACGCAGTAAGTGCTCTGTTACCTAAGAACTATCTGCAACGGATGAGTTTCTGATGTCCGCGTTAGAGCAAACAGATCTTGAGTCAAAGCGAATTGGATTGTCAACTCTTCATTCGGTCCTTGGTATCCGTTGCCGATATAGCCACCAGGCTAGAGGTCGCGCAACGGGAGCAATGGGGGAGCATTGAGGCCATGTGCAAAGACGGGAGTATGCCGAAGTGGCAACGGCGCCTACACAACGAGGACACAACGGCAGAAGTACGAGAAGGGAACTCGATCGAGCTGGGAAGCGACGACGCAACGCGGGTACGAAAAGCAGGCTCTACCGACTTGGAGAAAGCACATGGACGTCTTAAAGGTCTCGCTGAGATCATAGACACCAATTTAAGCAAGAGAGTTGATGTCTTAATTCAAAGGGTATGAAAAGTTCAGCCTAACAAAAGGTTTCTTCCAATAACCTGTGCATAGTCATCCAATATCGTGTCCATCGACGAGGCGTACAAAGCTAGGGAACAGAATGCGAGCATCAAAAGACTATCATGGATTACAGTAAATTCACCAATCCAATGTCCCCGAGCCTGACTAACCATACGCACTGCCAGTTCATCTTCTTACCATTGCTATTCGTATCGGTAAGCAACATTACGTCCAGAAAAACTTGGGGAGTCGCTTTTCTGACCGACCAACAGAGCTTGTACGGGATGAACGTCGATTTGCTTGCAGACAACCCCCAATGGACTACATATTTCTACATTGCGGCACCGGTATTCGCGGGCGTAATGTTAGCGGTGGTTTTCCTAAAGAATGTTCGGAATTCAAAGCAACCATCCACATCGAGGTTCTTGAAGCCCATGTCGAAACTTATTACAACGGGATTGAGGTTAGGAAGAAAGACACAGATTCCTGACGAGGAAAACCAAATACAACCTTCCTCAGCCGTGAACCACAGGTATAGAGTACCATTCGTTCACGCTATCAGCTCACGCCACAGCGGAATTGTTCGGGATCTCTTAAGTACTAACGCTGTGGATGTGAACTGGAACGACGGCAAAATGACAGCATTGCAATATGCAGCGAGCTATGGCCACAGTGATAATGTGGAAAAACTTTTAGCAATGGGCGTTGATGTGAACGCAAGTCCACAAAAGGAGGGTGGAAGGACCACGCTTCAGGCAGCATCGCAAGGAGGCCACCTTGGAGTGGTGGATCGACTCTTGGAGGAGGGGGCCACTGTCAACGCAGATCCAGCAAGTCGTTCCGGAAGAACCGCCCTACAAGCAGCATCGGAAGGAGGCCACCTTGAAGTGGTGGATCGACTCTTGGAGAAGGGGGCCGATGTCAACGCAGATCCAGCAGGTCATTCCGGAAGAACCGCCCTCCAAGCAGCATCGGAAGGAGGCCACCTTGGAGTGGTGGATCGACTCTTGGAGAAGGGGGCCACTGTCAACGCAGATCCAGCAGGTCATCCCGGAAGAACCGCCCTACAAGCAGCATCGGAAGGAGGCCACCTTGAAGTGGTGGATCGACTCTTGGAGAAGGGGGCCGATGTCAACGCAGCGCCATCAGATTGGCACGGAAGAACTGCCCTACAAGCAGCATCGGAAGGAGGCCACCTTGAAGTGGTGGATCGACTCTTGGAGAAGGGGGCCACTGTCAACGCAGATCCAGCAGGTGATTCCGGAAGAACCGCCCTACAAGCAGCATCGGAAGGAGGCCACCTTGGAGTGGTGGATCGACTCTTGGAGAAGGGGGCCGATGTCAACGCAGATCCAGCATATGATTACGGAAGAACCGCCCTACAAGCAGCATCGGAAGGAGGCCACCTTGAAGTGGTGGATCGACTCTTGGAGAAGGGGGCCGATGTCAACGCAGCGCCAGCATATTGGTACGGAAGAACCGCCCTACAAGCAGCATCGGAAGGAGGCCACCTTGAAGTGGTGGATCGACTCTTGGAGAAGGGGGCCACTGTCAACGCAGATCCAGCAGGTCATTCCGGAAGAACCGCCCTACAAGCAGCATCGGAAGCAGGCCACCTTGGAGTGGTGGATCGACTCTTGGAGAAGGGGGCCACTGTCAACGCAGCGCCAGTATCTTATTCCGGAAGAACCGCCCTCCAAGCAGCATCGGAAGGAGGCCACCTTGGAGTGGTGGATCGACTCTTGGAGAAGGGGGCCGATGTCAACGCAGATCCAGCACGTCATTCCGGAAGAACCGCCCTCCAAGCAGCATCGGAAGGAGGCCACCTTGGAGTGGTGGATCGACTCTTGGAGAAGGGGGCCACTGTCAACGCAGATCCAGCAGGTCATCCCGGAAGAACCGCCCTACAAGCAGCATCGGAAGGAGGCCACCTTGAAGTGGTGGATCGACTCTTGGAGAAGGGGGCCGATGTCAACGCAGCGCCATCAGATTGGCACGGAAGAACTGCCCTACAAGCAGCATCGGAAGGAGGCCACCTTGAAGTGGTGGATCGACTCTTGGAGAAGGGGGCCACTGTCAACGCAGATCCAGCAGGTGATTCCGGAAGAACCGCCCTACAAGCAGCATCGGAAGGAGGCCACCTTGGAGTGGTGGATCGACTCTTGGAGAAGGGGGCCGATGTCAACGCAGATCCAGCATATGATTACGGAAGAACCGCCCTACAAGCAGCATCGGAAGGAGGCCACCTTGAAGTGGTGGATCGACTCTTGGAGAAGGGGGCCGATGTCAACGCAGCGCCAGCATATTGGTACGGAAGAACCGCCCTACAAGCAGCATCGGAAGGAGGCCACCTTGAAGTGGTGGATCGACTCTTGGAGAAGGGGGCCACTGTCAACGCAGATCCAGCAGGTCATTCCGGAAGAACCGCCCTACAAGCAGCATCGGAAGCAGGCCACCTTGGAGTGGTGGATCGACTCTTGGAGGAGGGGGCCACTGTCAACGCAGCGCCAGTATCTTATTCCGGAAGAACCGCCCTCCAAGCAGCATCGGAAGGAGGCCACCTTGAAGTGGTGGATCGACTCTTGGAGAAGGGGGCCACTGTCAACGCAGCGCCAGTATCTTATTCCGGAAGAACCGCCCTCCAAGCAGCATCGGAAGGAGGCCACCTTGGAGTGGTGGATCGACTCTTGGAGAAGGGGGCCGATGTCAACGCAGATCCAGCAGGTCATTCCGGAAGAACCGCCCTCCAAGCAGCATCGGAAGGAGGCCACCTTGGAGTGGTGGATCGACTCTTGGAGAAGGGGGCCACTGTCAACGCAGATCCAGCATTTGATTCCGGAAGAACCGCCCTACAAGCAGCATCGGAAGGAGGCCACCTTGGAGTGGTGGATCGACTCTTGGAGAAGGGGGCCACTGTCAACGCAGATCCAGCATTTGATTCCGGAAGAACCGCCCTACAAGCAGCATCGGAAGGAGGCCACCTTGGAGTGGTGGATCGACTCTTGGAGAAGGGGGCCGATGTCAACGCAGCGCCAGCATTTTATTCCGGAAGAACCGCCCTACAAACAGCATCGGAAGGAGGCCACCTTGGAGTGGTGGATCGACTCTTGGAGAAGGGGGCCACTGTCAACGCAGATCCAGCAGGTCATTCCGGAAGAACCGCCCTCCAAGCAGCATCGGAAGGAGGCCACCTTGGAGTGGTGGATCGACTCTTGGCGATGAGGGCCCGTGTCAACGCAGCACCGGCAGGATGTAGAGGAAGAACAGCCCTACAAGCAGCATCGGAAGGAGGCCACCTTGGAGTGGTGGATCGACTCTTGGAGAAGGGGGCCGATGTCAACGCAGATCCAGCAGGTGATTCCGGAAGAACCGCCCTACAAGCAGCATCGCAAGGAGGCCACCTTGAAGTGGTGGATCGACTCTTGGAGAAGGGGGCCGATGTCAACGCAGCGCCAGCATATTGGTCCGGAAGAACCGCCCTACAAGCAGCATCGGAAGGAGGCCACCTTGGAGTGGTGGATCGACTCTTGGAGAAGGGGGCCGATGTCAACGCAGATCCAGCAGGTCATTCCGGAAGAACCGCCCTCCAAGCAGCATCGGAAGGAGGCCACCTTAGAGTTGGGGAACGGCTACGTGCAGCAGGCGCAACTGAATAAGGTAGAAGCCATTCCTGGAATCCACTTTTTCCTGGTTATTAATACTTATTATGATTGACGACAGATTATGCATGTTTCAGATCGGTTTACGACCGGTTAGCGAGATAGAGCGGGTGTTGGTATTCAGGATCATCGTGTCCCGTCGATGGATGACGTACGACGATACATTTGTTTTTTTTTTGTACATGCATGATGGATGTCGATATTTTGCCTGTTATCCTCGATCTATTGGTTTCAATTTTCTCTTTCTCTCTAAATGCTTTACTATTGTTGGTAATTCGTTTTGTATCAGGTTGTACTGATACTCCCTCACTGCCGCACTACGTGAGGAATGGGGTTATTGGTGTCTGGATGTGATACTGTCGGAGATGGATAATGAGGTACTTTGACAAACATTGAGCAAGGCGACGAGTGCTTGTTTTCTTCCTCCGGTGTACGTAGCCCACCTTCGCGGGTATCGCAGTGGCGACATGGTATCATACCTATACATGCTGGGGTTTATTCGTCGTAACGGTAGATTTTACCTGCCGAGTTTCGCGACGACGGAAAGTGCAAGATCGAGTGGGTGTTCGTCCGTCAGATGCAGATTTCTTTGCGAATGGATATTGCCGAGTGACGGCGATGAAGGGTGATTTCCTTAGTGTTTAAGGATGATGAATGACTACATTTTATGCTCTCCCTCTCCGGAACCCTCTAAATGCGGGGTTTTGCACGGGGTTTTCGTACTACGGCTACTGTGTATGCACGCATCGTATTCAAAATTAGTGAAGGAAGAGGTTATTTGAGAATGCGGAGGCCGTATGTGAATCGATTTGGGTCGACGAACGTTGCAGATGGAGAACCTTGCGGTGTTTGGTGCAATAGGTTATCGTTTTATCTGTGTATGATATCTGTGAATGATATCCGATGGGAAAATGCTGAGAAAGGGTGACCGGAGCGTGGTTGGGAGTTTCATAGGTTTCTGTGAGCAGGACTCATTCATCGGTTCCTCAGCACCGGCAGGCTTCCTTTGAACTTTTTGCCGCCTGTGCTCAGGCCAGTCACACTTCACATCCCGAGTACAGCCAGTAACTATTCTCCTCTCGAACCAAAAAAAAGCACAACATTATGTATAACCCCAGTGCACACGCTCAAGTACAAGTACAATCCTCCTATATCTATGCAACCCAATGTGACCAAGCACCTACAAGCCTCTCCACGCCAGCTTCTGCAAATGATCCACCCTCTTCCTAGTCTGCTTCACAAAGCCGAGGAAATTCATTTCCGCAATGGATCGATAAAACAGTGCCCTATTGTGGTGTCAGTCAGCCATCAACGTCGTGGGGGGGGGGGGGGGCATACTGTGCAGCCCCTTCATCCACTCTATCTTCGACGTCGTCGTCATCCTCCTCCGCGTCTTCGCTCGTCACGACACTCTTGAAAGCGCTCCACAGATCGTACGTGTTGATCAGCGCGCCGCCCTCAAGGTACAGCTGGTATGCGATGCTAGTGGCCGGGTGCGAGCGCATCACTGCGCCCTCGTCGTCCTGCAGCTCCTCGTCGGTGCGGTGGCAGCACTCGCAGCCCAGGTATTGCGCCGGCCTGGCGAGGGCGCGTTCCACTGCGCCGCGCGCGCGCGGCGCGAACACATCTCTGTGCGGCGAGGGTAGGTCGTAAAAGAATAGCTCGTGGAGGAAGATGTTGCTGATGGGCTCCAGCTTGGTGGAGAAGTACTGCGCGAAGACGTCGTAAACTTCTTGGATCAGCTGCGAGTATAGCGTGTCGTGCTTGCTGAGCGTCGATTTGTGCGCGCTGATCTGGATCTTTTTGGAGACTGCGGTGGAGCGCAGCGAGGAGGTGAGGGAGACGTCGAATTCGCTGGTCAGATTGCCGCCGCCGTTGGAGGTGGATGATACGAGGGCGTCGATACGGGCTTTGAACGGGAATAGGTCGTTGGCGATGGCGGTGTTGGAGAGCATGGAGATCAGCGTGAGGAAGGATTTTGAGTTCATCTTTTTCACGGAGAGAAGGAGTTCGCGAACTAGGGGACTTTCTACGTGAAGGTCGCCGGACAGGACCCGGGGTAGGAGCTCGTAGCGAGGGATGCGCACGTTGGAGGCGGAGGAGAGACCGCTGCGGGCGAGCTCAAGAACTTCGATGGCTTCGCCGAGTTGCAAGGCGTAGGAATGGCAATCGGAAGCGGCTGTGGTGACGGCTGATCGGAGGTGAAAATCGTCCTCTAGGAGAGCGCGGATTTCTGTCGTCTCTCGGTCCTCGAGTTTTGTCTCTATAGACCTGGGACCATATTAGCCATCGAGAATACAGCAATGGAGTATTTCAACCCATACTTTCTGAACGACGGAAGGTTCCGAATGGCCTCAACATGCTCATCGGCCAGCACCTTCCCAAGCCCCTCCTGATCCCCCAAAAATCCGAGCACAATGCTCAGCGGATTCGCATAGAAATGCGACATATACGCGTACTTCAGCGCGGCCACGAAAGTCTGGATACTTTGTGTATGGTTCTTCTGGCGGTCCATTAGAAGATCGCACATTGTTGTGCCCAGCCTGAGCGTAGTCTCGCTCCCCAACACCGCATCGTTAAAGACCTGCGCCAGACACTCTTCCGCGCGCTCGACATCGAATTTGTCCCCTCGCATCATCCGTATCGTTGCTTTGGGCAGCTTCTCGTGGAAGATCTCGAGCGACGTAGCGATTCCGAGCAACAGCACAAACGGGATGCGATCGAGATAGCTGCTGAAAAGCGACACCAGATCCCCCAGTATTGCCGCATCAAACGCCTCGGTATCCTGGATCGCAACCGTCACTTTCATGTCGGGATGCAGCGCACACCAATTCTGCAGTATCTGCAGGTCGTAATTCAACAGCTTCCTCCCCTTGCGCCCCATGATCGTATCGATATCCTCCGTCTCCTCCTCTTCCACGCCCTCATCCGCCATCGTTGCATCTTTGATGATCTTCCTCAGCGCCCCCTTAAGATTCACCGCATCCTTGGACGTCAACACAACCACGGGCCCAGTAGAGTCCTTATCCCTGATCCTTTCCGCGAACTGCGCGAACAGCGGCGCATGCGACGCGATATTCGGCCCGGTGAGGACAAGTGCAGTGGGGATCTTCCCGTCGAGGTCGTCGCTGCGGGCGGCAGACACGAAGGTGGATACGTCGTCGAGGGTCTTCTGGTTGAATGAGTCGAGGACGTCGCGGATACGCGCCTCCTGCTGCGCCCACAGCCTGTGGTATATTTCCCATCGCGTCTGGATCGCCAGCTCCGACTCTTTGCCCGCGAACAGTGGCGGGAACAGGCATTTCTGCGGCGCTTCTTCGCCGCCGTCCGGAGCTTTTCGCCGCCGTTTGCTGGGTCGCACAGGTTCGGCGCCGCCGCCAGGAGCGAAGATGTAGCTGCCTTGGTGCTCGAGGCGGTCGTAGGTGTCGTCGCCATCGGATTCGGGAGTGCGTTCGCGTGCCATTTTCGGATTGGGAAGCTGTTCGTGTTTGGGACGCGGCCAGGGAGAACGTGACTGAGCTAAGGACATGGGGCATATTTTTACATAAGCCACATCCGGCCGTGAATTGAGAACACCCTGGTCTCCCGAGTCCCAAACGCCGATCTTGCGAGCTAGGGCAACAAAAGATGCATGGACTTTCGAATGCCCATGCTTGTTCACATAATCGCACCCGTCAAACAGTCAACTTCAACCCCCTCTATTCATGGTATCTACGTTATATACACAAATCGGATCTACGCCATGGCCGCCTTCATCATCGTATTTCCATTGATGATCGCTGTGGTGCCAATAACAATCTGTCGTCTCGCTATATATGATCACGGTGATTAGCCTTTCTCCCTACTGGCGCTCCCGGGTGAAGATAACATACCTTCCTCTCTCCTCCCAATAAACCTCAGCGCCGAGATCTCTGTGAATGTGCAACCCCCTAGAAAGAACACAACAGTAACCTTCTTATCGTTCTGTCCATTTAGGATAGTCCTAGCTCTGACCGCCTTCTCCTCTCCCCTCTGTGGCTCGTCAAAGGTCTTGCCCTGAACATTCTTGAGCACGTCTTCGAAGCCTCTCCATCCGACCGCACCGGCATTGACACCGGCGTTCGTTCCGTCCTCGCCCCGACGGCCCTTCGCCGCCGCGGTCATCAACTGCTTCTGCACAACGCATTGGACTAGCCGCACGCTCAGTGGCGCGTAGCCCGAGTAGACGTATGAGATGTCGTCGGGCTCGTGCTCGTTGACTTCGTCGACGATCAGCCGGAGCGGCTTGCGTAGGTTGGTGTATGAGGTCCTATTAATTCCTGATGCCGTAACGGCAGCCCGGGACTGGAAGATTCCCAGTTTCTCTAGAGCGTCGAGGGTGAGGACGTGTTGGTACCCATAGGCCTGCAATATCTCTCGTTTGAAGCTCTCGAAGTCCTTGGGCTTCAGGCCACCGGTCATCAAGGACTCTATACACAGTAACCGTAGTACAAATTCGAGGGGGGCATCCCGAGCGATCAGCTCTTCGATTACATCGTGTTGGCTCGGGGGGTCGACGCCTGCCACGAGGTTCTGTTGCACTTCAAGCGCTTTATTGAACATCTCCGATCGTGTGTGCTTCATTATCTCCTCCGCCAGCCCCGTGTGCAATCTCAAGCTCTGGTGCTCCTGCTGTAGACCGCCAAGCTTGCTCACGAACTGTCGGATCTCAGTCACCGTTTTCGCCTGGTGCCTTCCTTCGTAGTCGTCGTTTAACCGTCGGGCAACTTTATTCAGAAGACCTCCGACGATAGCGAAGTTCGTGTCTCGGAGGTTGTCGAACAGCTTATCCTCAGAAGATAACAGCACGGGCCGTTTCTTCTGCTGCGTCGTAGGAACAGGCGACTTTGAACTCGATGCCGATGAGTCGACATTACTGGACTGCTGCTGTTGCGGCGGGCCGACGAGGGCAGCATCGAGCTCGATTTTGCCTGTCTGATCAGCACGCCCTTTCCACGGTCGAAACTGCACATGGTAACATACTGTTATGGATCCCGATCGTCTCATCGATAAGCCCCTCATAGGTCAACTGTGTCATCAACGGCGTGACAAAGTCAACATCTCTATCGATCACGATGAGTTCCCCCAGGACGCTGCTGGGCGTAAGCGCAAACGGGCTGCTGCCGTCGGCCACGTCCTCCTCGGTCCTCATCCGGATCAACTGATCCGCCAATCGTCGAGCACGATCACCTTTCCCGATGATGCGCGGAAACAACCCGTGCCGTCGTTGGATACTCATGAGCGCGCGAGCCGAGTAGAATATGGAGGTGTGATCTTTTCGCTTTGGTCGGGCATCTATCGGTAAGACAAATACACGCAGTATACGCATCTAGAGCTCAGATTGCCTACCAAGTACAGCTCCTCGAACGTGCTCTCGAGCTCCAGCGACAGCAGATCATGCTCCAGCGGTATAAAATAGAGCGGGAACTCGCGGATCGTGATCTCGCCCAGGATCCCCTCATCTTCAAAGATCTTCTCGCACACTAGTGTCCGCCGCGGCGCCAGAAACACGTTGTATTCGAATTCTTGTCCGGGAATTTTGGAATTGTTCTTGATCTGGTCTACACCCACGAGTGTCAGCCTCATGATACCAAAAATCACGATCCCTTCCACGTCCAACGAAGTACGAAGTGTGATTTCGGCCAGGCTGTGGAATTAGTTGATGTAGGGAGCATGACTGGCAGCAGCGAGTAGGAGCAAATGCTCGATGTTGCCTACTTGAGTCCCAGAAGTCGGACGAGACGAGACGAGAGTGTCGGGATCGGGATCGGGGGGTGGACTCGGTTCGCTTACTAGCTATGGCGTACGCATTCTTGACAGTACATCGCGCAAGGTACACGATATTCTTCTGTGGCTGCACGGGGACCGGTTCGTCGAGCCAAAAGATCTTCTCCACGCCGTAATCCTACGCCACTCAGCATGCCGGGCCCCCACCGGTGTGTAGCAGCTAGATACACGCGACTGACTTGTAGTATCGAGAACTTCGCAAAAAGGCCGATGGGACCGCTCAGAGTCCGGTCGAGAAACAGTATCTTCTTTCCTCGGACCTAAACACGACCTCTAGTCAACACGATCCGAGCTCCCACCCCTCTCCCACACTGCCGCTAGCTGTGGGACGTCCGACGAAACGTACACCTTCGAGGAGATCCAGGAGATCTTTGAGCGCCGTGTCTTTAATGTGGGCTGTATCTATGCCCGTGGTAGGAGCCATTGTGGGAACAGGACACCGGCTATCGTCTTCGTCGTTGGTGTTGAGGAGGTGTCGTCGATAGCGGCATGGGGGTGACGTTGGTGTTGTGGCCGGAGGCTAGACGTGATCCCTGAAGCTTAAGCCATGCGCTAATGGCGCCAAAGCCCGGATCACACGTGTGCCGATGGAAACAATAATCCACTTCAGAGCCCATCAAATCGTCGTCGAACAAAACGTCCACAATCATTACCATCTATTATACTTAAATGTAGAAAAACAGCTTTTGAGAAGACATCCATCTTCGCTTTCATAAACGCAACTGGACAGCAAATTCGTCCATTGTGGGTGCCTCGGTGTTACCGCACCACAAACAATCCATTCGTCGCAAAAGAAAGAGAAAAAGAACCGGAATAAGAAAGAGCTCATGACAAAGGAAAACGCTATTCAGTCGGCCCCTCCAGTCATATCAAACGATCCCCCTCTCATATAATTCAAACGGTGTGGTCATCGTAAACGAACTGGATATCTCTCACAGATCTGCCCGCTCTCAGGACAAACTGATCGTCACCCTCCGGTCGCTCGTTCTTGGTGTTTCCGGTCAACATGCTCTGTATCGACATGCAAACCGACTCCACGCTCTGAACAGGCGACCATCCGTTGCCCGACGACAGGAGATCGAGACAGATCACGCCGTTGGAGTAGATATGCGGGTGCATTGGGATCTCGCGGTCGGGAGCCTGGACGAACATCACCTCTGGCGCCTGCTCACTCACAGTTAGCCATCCACGCACTGATCCAGCCAGCCAGCCACGCAGCACGCACTTCTATCGGGTAATTCTGGGAGAACCGAAAGTTGAGCCGAAACGTCTTGCCACTGTACAGAGGATTATCGTCGAGCACCCTGATGTCCATCTGCCAACGCTGCAGGTCGTCGGCCTTCACAAGTGTGATTCCTGTTCGTTTTCGTTCAGAATCCAAGCTTGTGCGGATTGTAGTTAGAGCGATCACCCACCCGGCGCAAGACCATGCTGATGTATCTATTGTGAGCGCGCGCCTTTGTTAGTACATGCTTACTCTATGTACCATCAACTTGGGAAGTGGCGGTGAGGGTTGGAATAGGTACTTGCCTTTGCTAACTCCTTCTGCAATCGCTTGGCGAACATGGCGATATGGTGGGATGGTGGCGGGGTCTAGGAAGGATAGATGTGCGGAGGCGGGGGTGGTGGTGGTGGTTGGTGTTGATGGATGAGAAGGAAGTTGAGTTAGAGCTTCCGGAAGGATTTGGGGCGGGGTGGGGTTTCCTTTGCTTCCTTCGAAGTTTGTATGACAAGGGTCGGTTGGTGTCACCTTGCTGATCGGTGTCATTCAAAGCGAGCTGTCATCGCATAGGACGAGGAGGTGATAAAGAGAGTCATCTACAGAGCAAGACTTCATATCACCATGCGCATGCAGACCACCGATAGTCGGTAAGGCGGACTGACATCGCATCGCTGCGGCTTGTTGTCTTTATCCTGGCTCTCGCCGTTGGCTTCAGCCCTAACCCGACGCATGCGGTATCACTCACTCGATCAAGTGTTGGGGAGGTTTTCTCGCTCCAGTTGAACGCGAATTCCGAACACCAGAGTTGAGTAGGAATCAAGAAGTACATAATGTATCTATAAGACCGTCTGATAGCATTATATAGGTAGCTGAAAGCACCGTCAAACATGAGTGCGGATCCATGATTTACGCTTAACTTTGTTCGCTCCAAGCGCCAAACGTCAGTGAACCAATGGACCATCTGCCCCGCAATCCCAACCCGCAGCCCAATCTCCGAATAGCTTAACGAAACCACCAACTCCTCCACCACCACAAACTCAACAGCCACACACACACACGATGGTGCTCCCGCCACCGCCCGACGAGCTCAAGCTCATACGGCCGTTCATCCAGCGCGGAAACCAGATGGACGGACGCGACGGCATAATCACGTACTATTGCTACTTCTGGGCGATCCGGCTGGCGCTGGAGAGGGGTCTGCATACGGCGTCGCCCGAGTGCACGGCGTATGTGTCAAAAACCATGGAAGATCTTGAAACGGTGTGTGCTATTGTCTACCGGTGGAGGTGTCTAGAGTAGGCGCTGACTGTTGGCGGGGGGTAGAGGAAGGAAGCATTGAAGGGCGATGATAGGCTCGAAGACGATATGGTAGCCCGCGCATATGTCGAGAACTTCGCGTTCCGGATCTTCGACACGGGGAGTAAAGCTGTTGAGGCTGGACGCGCAACTGAGTTTGTCGCCGCATTCCCTCTCTCCTGATCCCCATCTGATAGAGGCGTAGGAAAACTCCCGAGACCCTCCAAGCGGCCGCAGTGTTCCTGGAGATCACCAAGACCTTTGACGATGCTCCGACGGATGGCGAGATCGCAAAGAAGATTAAATATGCGAAGTTTCATGCGGCACGGATACTTAAGGCTATGAGGGAGGGCAATGATTTGAATCCGCCGCAGCAGGCCCCGCCGCCGCCAGCGCTGGATGATTCTACACGCCCACACCCGACAGTCGAGGAGGTTCCCGATGAGACGTTCGCCCCGCAGCCGGGTACAGTTAGTACTCCGGATATTATGATGAGTGGGCCTGCGCCGGTAGAGTTGCCGGCCACGGCGGCAGCGCAGGAGGGGTATTTCCCGCAGGTGCCGATGGGACATGAGTCGCCGGTGGTGGAGAAATCTACCTTCTCAGACATGGACTTCAGTCCGCCGTCGCCGCCATCGTTAGCCCCGCGGAGTGCTCCTCCTCCAACACCCCCGGTGCCTCAGTCACCACCACCACCGCCTCCTCCGCCGCAGGTATATCAACCACTGCCACCACCCCCTCCGATATTCCATCCGCCGCCGCTGGCGCAGGTGTTTCACCAGCCACCACCGCCCCCCGTACAGCCGCCACCACCGCAACCTCAATACCAGCAAACCTACAATCCTCCCACACCCTACAACCAACCGACACCATCACCCTACCACCAACAACAACAACCATCACCACCACCACCACCCCAGGCTAGACAGCAAGTGAGCGAAGCGGACATAGCGAAAGCGCAAAAACTCGCCAAGTGGGCCATCTCGGCATTGGATTACGAAGACATCGACAATGCGGTACTGCAGCTCCGCAATGCGCTAGCCGCGCTTGGGGCTGGTCCTCAGGTTTAAGCAGTGCGTTTTGCATGCGGGCGAGGGGAGGGGATGATGGGGGGGTTTAATTATGTCCTGTTTTGTCTGTAGGTATCATAGCAACTGCAAGAGCGAGTGAGTGTAAATGCAAGTTTGGAGTTGCGGGTATGCACACTTCGCTTTTTCTTTCATGGATGCGGCAGTTGGGAATCCTCCATGTGAGGGGGATTCTTATGACTCGGGCTAGGCGCAAAGTCGACGGATTTGGGGGTGGGGGGAGAGGGGAAGGGAGAGGGGGAGGGAGAGGGAGAGGGAGAGGCTATTTGCTAATCGCATGATGTTTATCCCGTCCGATTGTCTCTGCTGTAGTTACATACCCCGAGCCTGGAATGGCAATCTGCCACCACTAGGACAGAAGTGATATAAACTCTCTCTCTTTCTCTCTCATTGTGAAATCCGGGGAGAGGGGAGAGCGGGGATCCCTGCAACCGCAGATGGGAATCATACACAGAAGGGAAAGAAGGAAAAAAAAACGTGCTCAAAACCCGCGCACCTGCGTTCTTGCCAATTACTCGGTTGTTGCCCAATCACCAAACACGCGCACATGTTCCTTCTCCTTCTTCGCTTAGTGCGATTTGCGCTGGTTTTCGCAATTGGGCTGGACGGGCTGTAGGTAGAGTAGTGCTTGACGTTGGCTGGTCCATACCGTACCGGTGGAGGGGATGAGGGAGGTATGTACCTAAGGGCAAAAGTGAGAAGATTTCTTTGTGATCGTGGGGGCTGGCCTTCAGCAGGAGGACAATGGAATGGGGAGCGTGAGAGAAGGGCATAAGTACCCGCTCGCATCCGTGCCATTGAATCGGCCATCACACCCGATCTCCACCTATCACTCGCCCCACCGCCTCTGCCGTCAAAATGCAGTTCCTCACGACGCTCCTCAGCACGCTCACTTTTGCCTCAGTAGCAAGCGCACACTACGCGTTGACATACCCGGCGTGGCGCGGCGACTCCTTCGCCACGCAATGGAACTACCCGTGCGGCGGCGTTAACACGACGTCGACGAGCAACCGCACGCTGTGGCCGCTCGACGGCGGCGCCGTCGCGTTCAAGCCCGGCCATCCGTGGGCTCAGACTTACATCAACCTCGGCCTGGGCAATAACGTCACCCGATTCAATATCACACTCGCTGCGCCGTTCAATCAGACCTCGAACGGAACGTTCTGCTTTCCAGATATGCGCCTGCCTGAGGGTGTCAATGTCCAGGAGGGCGATATTGGGAGTATCCAGGTCGTCCAGTTGACTACCAGCGGTGGCGCACTATATAATGTTTGTTCTTCTTTCTTCCTCCCACCACCCCCCTCCACCCCCCCTCGCGATGTGTGGCGGTGACTGATGCCAAAACAGTGCGCGGACATCACCTTCTCGAAGAACGCCACCGACCCGAGCACGGACGTGTGCTTCAACTCCACGGGGGTGGGTGCATCAGTGCTGGATTATGATGGCGCGGCGGCCGCGGCTGCATCGGGTTCGGGAGCCGCGAACTCTACTTCCGCAGCGACGCAGGTGGTCGGTGTGGCGTATGGCGCGGGAAGTGTCGTCCTTGTTGCCGCCGCGGCGGTGGCGGTGTTGATGGTGTAATCGGGATGTTAGTAGGAAGTAGTGGAGGATTATACTTGGGCTGGGATGTAGATATTGTGAATGGGATGGAGGATGGGATGGTTGGGATGGTTGGATGGGTGCGTGTTTACTTGAGAAACCTACCTAGTAATTTGGAATGGATTGAATGAAGCTTGATGAACAGAGTGCTGTGGGTGCGTTTGAGACGAAATTCTGCTCGGAGGAGACAAGAGCCGGAGATGTGAATGGGCCGAACTTGGAGGTCTACTTTCTATGCTTTAGCGGGCGGCCCAGAGTGAATGGTAGCTGCCAGAGGCATTGATCCTGTGTTTTCAGCCCTCGGCCCATAGCCCTTCACATTGGATCACTGGAATATGTTTCGTGCATCAAGCCCTGCAAGAGCACATTCACTCAGCAATACCCGATGATCAAAAAAAAAAAAAAAAAAAAACATTCACTCTGCGGACCATACCCTTTCCAAGTCTTACTGCTACTCGGAGGTATTTCAGCTCTGCAGAAACGGGATTCTACAGGAGCTGGCCCGACACACGGCGGCCACGCATATGCTCACCGGCTCGCCTTGACACCGGCACAACCCACTACTGTCAATTATGTTGGGGATCATCCGAACACATGGGTGTTGGTGGTATGATGTGCTCCCCGCAATGATTGAGACCTGCAGCGGCACTACGGCACTACGGCAGAGTATGTACTCGATACTCGATGCATGAAGTCAAGGTACTTTACCAGTACCACGAAACCCCCTCAAAAACCCCGGACAGTTTATGGCCGCTGCATCGCTTGTTTCCCGTTCCCGTTCCAGCATCCTCACCACGTCAACTTAGACACGAACAGCACTGCAAGCCCCATTCAATCGGGGAGCGTGTCAGTGGGCGGTGGCTCTTAAATCCACAACCCCTAACAGCAGATGACAGCATTGAGATATGGCACGTACGTCAAGCCAACTGACTGGGTGGATTGGGGGGAATTAGGACGTCGATGTATCAGGCCCGGCTAACGTTGCGAGCTCGCGGGATTCTGCAGACTACTATATACCCAAGTACGTAAAGGCCTGCACAATGTACATACTTGTTATGCCGGGGTATGGGGTTGCGTAGGTAGATGGCTACATGGTATCTCACTCATGGGAAACGAAAAGTACCTGCTTCGATCCGCCTTTACTCCCGCCTCATCGGTGGCTTGCGAAGCGGTGAGCAATGTTCCCGTAGACTAGATTATATATCTCGCCCACATGTGCCGTTCAGGCTTCCATCTCTCTATTCCCAAAGACCTAGACGGCTTCCATGTTGCGGATATCCACCAACGCTACCACATTCCGGTATCCCCTTGTGTGGCATTCCAGGGTGGGGTACTACGTGCGGTGCATTAGCGTGGATAGTTCAGGCCAGTAGCAGTATAGTTCGCTGCCAAAATACAGTATACTACTACGGGTCCTGAATTCAATACACTGTACTACTCACTATGCTACTACTGGCCTGAATTGTCCACGCTGATGCATAGTACACACGCTAATGCACTGTATGTAGTACCCCACCCCGGAACACCACCCAAGGGGATAAAGAAGTGCTGCGGTCAACTCTATCCAGGAGCGTTGTCCGCCCAGGAGATAGGGATTGTGCGAGCCGCGGCCAACTTATGGCCGAGTCCATATCTCCTGTGGTGAGGATGCACTACTAGCACTCTAACCTTCAATCCCTTGAAAAAGGTAAAAGGAAGCCATCATATGTACAAGCTAACGATCTTGTTGTGCCCAAGACTGGCTATGTAGATATATTGGGATGCGTGACCCAAAAACAACCAGCAACACCATTGCCGTTTCCATACTTGCACAACTGCATGACGAACACAACGTCTACAGTATGTCTTCTTAGGACCCATTTGGATGGCCCCAGTTTTAGCAAAAACTGTCAGTTTTTTCTCGAGAAACTGAGCAAAGAAAACTGGAACCCTGTTTGGATGGCACAAAAACTGAGAAGAAAAAAACTGAAACTGTGAGGCTCCGGCGATGAAACGGGCTGTCTACTCACACGGCCGGAAAGACTTATCTCCCCCCTGTTATATCTGTGGCTGAGGATGTTCAATTACTACGGTGAGCCAATCACCGCCACAGATTTGACAGCGGGATAAGTCTTTCCGGCCGTGTGAGTACAATGTGTCTACATACTATTATATTTCTGGTGAAGCCTATTACCTAGGTAGGTATTCAGACTTATGGTTGCGTATGGTACTGACTCCTGAGAACTGCCAAACACTCTGTTCACCTCAAGGTTTTCCGGAAACTGAAACTGAACAGTATATGTATACTAAGTACTCTATTCGGTGTCTAGGCGGGAACTGAATTTGGCTCTAAAACTGGAACTGAAAAGTGAATGCATCCAAACGGGCCCTTAGGTCTGGTCGATATTTGTGAGAATAGCGAAACACTTTGGGTCCAGGACACATACTTTGGAATTAGGTATCTCGTGATATCAGTTGGCTTGCTTGGTTAGGTGGAAGGAACGGCCTTGCATTTCAGAACATCACCCAATATGTACATTTTTATTCTTCACCATCCCTATTCCCAACATCTCAGTTGTGTCGGTGCGAGTGATGCCACATGAAACGTTAAGCCGCTTCGATGGTTGGGGATCGTCGCGTTCGCACTGCCGGATTGGTTACTACTTGGCATAGTTCACAACTCTCAACTCTCAACATATTGCCACCTAATCCTCAAAAGTTCCACCGGGAATCTTATGGAATAGTCAAGCTGGCACGCATATCCAAGAAATACAACACGTTTAGCTCACTACCTGATTTCTTTTCTGTTGTGAGAGTTTTCGTAGAACCTGGCGAAGTCATTCTGTCCTTCCCTGCCGCGATCTGCCTAGCGCTGGCAGTTATCTGGTCCGAGGACTACCTGCATGCTCCCTCTCTTTCCGGCTTCCTTTCCCTTTCTTCTTCTCTTCTTGCACAGCTCAGCTCATCTCCTCAACCACCACACTCATCTGACCACGCCTCCTCAAAGAAAGGGACCACAGTCATTGTCCGAGCAGACACCCCCTCCGCCGTTCTAATTCCAACACCCCCCACAAGCAAGCTCTGTCATGCGAATACATGTTCCCGCACAGCACATCCGGCTCTCACGACTAATCCCCACCGGCGGCGCCTTCCGCCGAGCAAACTCCACCTCCTCGGCAGTCACCAAATCTGCGGCCTGCAAATCCGCGTCACCAGCAACCCATCACTTCGTGCCCTCGTACTCCCTCTTCGCCAAGCGTCCACCACGCCCGTTTCCACCGCCGTTTCACTCCCCGCCCGCCAGTTCCTTCTCCGACCCCCTTACCACATCCACCCACAACCCCCGAATAGCCATCGAGCGTCCGGAAGGCGCCGCATTCCTCAACGGCGTGACCAATGGCGACGACGCGGTGCTCACCAATGCCAACTACCTCGCGGTGGCCGACGGCGTAGGCGCCTGGAACACCAAGTCCCACGGCCACGCGGCGCTGTGGTCACGCCTCATGCTACACTACTGGAGCCGCGAGCTCGCAGCGGGGAAATATGGCTATCGCCGGCAGGATGCCGACGGCGGCGTCGACCCGGTGCTGTGTCTCCAGGAAGCATACCAGGAAACTTTACTCGCAACCACTAGTGCCGGTGCGCGTCGAGACCAGGTGTGGCAGGGCACCACCACCATGTGTGGCGCAGTGTTGAAGGGGAGCAAACTCCTCGTTCTCAACCTCGGGGACTCGGTCGGGTTCGTGTACCGCCCTGGCCGCCGCAAGTGGGCGCTCCGCACCAAGGAGCAATGGCATTGGTTCGATTGTCCGCGGCAGCTGGGGACAAACTCGCCCGATACCCCGGTGAATAATTGCGTTGTGCAGGAGCTGGAGGTGCAGGACGGAGATCTGGTGGTGTTGGCTACGGATGGTTTGGTGGATAATATGTGGGATGAGGAGATCCTGACGGTTATTGGCGCTGTGCTCGAGGCCACGGACGAGGTCGTGGAGAGCGAAACGGGCGAGAAAGGGGATTGTGGACGGATGAAGCTCGTGGCGCAGCGGCTCGTCGAAGGGGCGAAGAAAACGGCGATTGATCCGTTCGCGGAGAGTCCGTACATGGAGAGGAGTATCGAGGAAGGCCTGGGAATCGAGGGTGGCAAGTGGGATGACATATCCGTTGCGGCTGCGATATGCAGGCCCAACTCATAACGGGGTTTAGCGGAACGACTCGATGGATGTATGATAGATACCAGGGAGCGGCTTCTTTGTTTTTTTGTTGCTTCTTTTCTTTTTGGATTCTTGTTTGATCATTGATGGAAGGGGGATTCCTTAACCACTGGCGGGGTGTGCTTTACAGGCGTTTTGGGAGCGTGATATATCATGACCTGTTTAGTGTAATGTTGCAGTGTATTTACTTTTACCAGACGATAATGATGGCGGCAATGGGAGAGGGACGTGTTTGTGAAGAATAGAGAACGGTTGGATACGTGTTTCGTGGGAGAAAGACCGTCATCGTATAAAACCAGAAGCCGGAGAAGCGCCTTATTTTACAACCCATCCCATGATGCCAGACCAGACCAGACAAACAACAGCAACGAGAACAACCACAATAAAAACAATATCAAAGGGATAAACCGGAAAATCAGAGAAGTGAAGTCAGAACAAACGGCAGCGAACAGCACATAACAAAAGAACCTTGACCGGGACCTATCGTATCATCATTGCTTCACCACCCTCCTCTTCCTGACCTTCTCTCCGACGCCATCCGAATCATTGGCATTGTCGTCCGATGTAAACTCCTCCTCTTCACCCATCAACTCGCGGCTAGAGCGCTCCCGCTTCTCGTTCCACCACTTACGCTCCGCCTCGGCCTCGGTAGCGACCTTCTCTGCGCGTTCCTTAATGCGGTCGTGGTTCACCATCTCGTTCGCCGTTTGGAAGATCAGCTGGCCCCAGCCCTCCTTGTAGGCGTTGGCTTCCATGACAACATCTCTCAGCTCCTACACACGACAATAGTCAGCACTCTGCCGGTCACAAGGGAGAGTAGCGACTCGGACAAACGAACCTCCTCCATTTCACTCTCGGCCCTCGAAAACCTCGTCCACAGATCGTCACCGACGCAGCCCTTCTGTAGCAACCCCTGCAGCGAACCCTTGCTCGTGCGCAGGACCATGAGACGGCGGATATCCTCCTTCGCGCGGAGCATCAACGCGGCCTTGAGGAGCGTATCGGGCACGCTGGACTCCTCGTCCTGGTGCAGCAGGGACAGGTACACATCGCGTGCGGTGTGCGGCGGAAACCAGGGCTCGAGCGACGCGGCTTTGGCGTTCTTGCGTTTGCGGTAGAGCGAGGAGAAGGCGATCAGTGAGCCGAGGAGCACGGCAATGTAGCTTACGGGGGCGATTAGGGAGATTAGGTTGACCATTTTGAACAGGCGGCAGCAGCAGCGACGTGTTTTGTTTGTTTATGTATGTGTTTTGGTTTTGTTTGGTGGTGGTGGTTGATTGTTGAGGTTGGTAAAAGAGCGTGGGGTCGTGGTCGTGAGGGTGGTGTTGGAGTTCAGTTGAAGACAAATGTCCTCTACACCTTTACTCACCTCTCTCGGGACTCTAGCACTGTGTTCATTGCTCACCCCTGATCCGGCTGTGGCGTGTGGCGCTGAACCGAACTTTGAAGGTCACACAAGCTCCGCCATAACTAGAATAGAAGAGCCATCATCATCAGCCACAGCCAGTTACGTCAAAGCCGCCGTTTGCAGCGCTGCACGCACAGGCAGAGAAGAGATGCAAGCATCCACACGAACCCGAGAGTAACTCCTAGATACATCCATTACTCCTCCCGTACCCAACGTTTCCCACCGCCCCTCCATCCTAATCACAAATACCCCATCTCATTCTGCAGCTTCTCATCCGACCCACACCAGCAGAGAATACCGGTAGCTTCCTAGCAAACACACATCCCCGCGTCAACTCCTCACTGCTACCACCGTACGAACGACGTTTCTAGCCATCTCATCTTCAACGGCAACCCTAGCTACGTCCATCTCCAGCAATATGATTCTCCGCTTCCGCTCGCCAGACGGATCGTACCGTGTTGATGTGCAACCTGGAGACACCGTGACTTCCCTCAGAGCAAAGGTAGCACCAGCACCACATCGGACAGCTGAAAACAAGCTAAAACAGGATTCGATAGCTACTGGAGCAAGTGCCGAAAGACGCCGACCCGAAGAGTTTCATTCTCTCCGACAAGCCCGCGAACGGCCAGACCAGACCACTTGCGGACATCTTGACCCACTCGATTCAGTCTTTGGGTTTGAAGTAAGAGCGGGCGGAACGAAACTACTTGCTTCTGAACTGGACTGACGGATGGGTGGCAATGATTATAGACACGGTGATCTGCTGTACCTCAGCTACACCCGTGGAACGGCAGCAGCAGCGCCGACGAAAGCTCCTACGTCCACAGCTACTAGTATACGACTAAACGGTCAGCCCATCAAGCCCTCGGAAGATGTCTCGCATAAGTACACCACTACCACGGCCGGTCTCGCCGAACACGACATCGAGAGATCATCGGACCCGTGGGAGAGCGTGGTTCAGGACCCGATAGATGAGGAGCTGGAGAAACTGGAGGGCAAGATCCCGCGCACGCGCGATCAGAAGATGTGCAAGCATGGACCGAAGGGAATGTGCGACTACTGCATGCCAATGGAGCCCTACGACGCGGCATACTTGGCCGAGAAGAAGATCAAGCACCTTAGTTTCCACGCATACCTCCGGAAGAGTAACATTGCTACCAACCGGCCCGAGCTGAAGAGTTCGTATATGCCTCCGCTTTCGGAGCCGAATTACACCATTCGCAAGAACTGTCCCTCCGGACATGCGCCCTGGCCCGAGGGAATTTGCTCGAAATGCCAGCCGTCCGCCATCACGCTGCAGCCACAGACTTTCAGAATGGTGGACCATGTGGAGTTCAGTGACCCCTCGCTGATCGATACCTTCATTAATTTCTGGCGCCGAAGTGGTTGTCAGCGGATCGGTTACCTGTATGGAAGATACGCGCCCTACCCCGAGATTCCGCTAGGCATCAAGGCTATCATCGAGGCGATCTACGAGCCTCCGCAGATCAGTGAGCCCGATGGCGTGACGCTTTCGTCGCCATGGGAGGCCGAGGCGGAAGTGGACGCGGTTGCAGCGTTGTGTGGTCTCCGCAAGGTCGGTGTTATCTTCACCGACCTGCTGGACGACACTACGGGTAGTGGTACGGTCGTCTGCAAACGTCATATCGACTCCTACTATCTTTCGTCGCTCGAGATCGTCTTCGCTGCCCAGCTGCAGGCGCGGCACCCCAACCCGAGTAAGTGGTCGGAAACTGGCCGCTTCGGCTCGAAGTTCGTCACCTGCGTCGTGTCCGGAAATGAGGATGGTGGAATCGATGTAGCCGCTTATCAAGTGTCCAACTCCGCCGTCGAGATGGTTCGCGCGGACATCATCGAGCCCTGTGCGGAGCCGGGCAAGATGTTGGTGCGTGAAGAGGACGGAAAGTCGCGATACGTACCGGAAGTGTTTTTCAGACACAAGAACGAGTACGGCGTTAACGTGCAAGAAAACGCGAAGCCGGCGTTCCCAGTTGAATACCTGCTCGTCACCCTGACACACGGATTCCCGACCAGCGCAAACCCCATGTTTAAAGCGCCCAGCAAGTTCCCGGTCGAGAACAGGGAGGTCATCGGTGTCGCTCAAGACCACAGGGCGGTCGCTAAGCAACTAGGCGTTGACAATGGAAAGCCCGAGGGGGGCCTCGCTGCCTTGTCCGACTTTCATCTGCTCGCTTTCCTCAAGAACTGGGGCATTCTTGAAAAGGTGAGATCTCCACGCCTCATCCTCTCCCCTCCAATTGTATTGTCATAATACTAACAATGCACGACTTGCTCTACTCAAGCGAGAGGAAGAGTTACTGGCGCAGGCTGCGACCACGATCGATGTGCAGCTTGGTCACAAGTTGTCGCAGTCCCCTGGATGGCAGACACTAATGACCATCTTGAAGGAGAGCGGTGCGTCACCTTCCTCATCCTCATCCAATTCCTCCAAGCGGCCGGCGAGCGGTGGTAGCAACAGTGCCGCCGCCGAAGAGAGAGATGTCACCGGCAGTAGTGATGAGCGCCTAACTAAACGATTACGCGGTGTTAGTTTGAAGGATAAGTTTAACATCGTTCGGTAACCGATCATTCGTTCGTTTCGAGTGCTCTTAATTTCGAGGGTGCGGGCTTGGAGGTGGAATTGCAATGCGTGCTTGGAAGGACTTCCCGGGGTCTGTCATCTTTGAGTTGTTTCGCATGCAGTCTCCGAACGAGAATGGAAACTTTTATTGCGAGTCGGCCTAAAGTCCCGAGTGATTTCAAGCGATACGTTACAATCGGTTACCCTCTGCTTCACTAAAATAATCTTTCACGTGCACGGCTTTAGCGACTGTAACACCAATAAAATATCCCACCGTGAAGCCTGGACAATCTACAACCACTTCACCACACCGTCGCAAAATGTCCACAACCACAACGACGACGACAATGGAGCACTCGCCGCTGATAAAGCAGCTGGCGGCCAACGGTGCGCCTTCCCCGCGCTCCCCCTCTCCCTCACCCCACTAACCCACATAGACCGGCCCACCCGCGACAAAGCCGTCGACGCCCTCAAAACCTACCTCTCGAGTTCGACACGAGTATTCACGTACCACGAGATGCTACAGCTATGGCGGGGTCTCTTCTTCTGCTACTGGCACTCCGACCGCCCTTTGACTCAGCAAGCACTGGCCACAGTGCTATCATCGTTCCCCGCGTCCATGTCGGCACAGAACGCACCAACATTCCTCCGCGCATTCTGGTCGACTATGGTAAAGCAGTACCCGCTGCTCGACGCCCTGCGCGCTGATAAGTTCCTGCTGCTGATGCGACGGTTTGTCGCCGCCGGGTTTCGCGTTGCGCTGGAGGACGCGGTCGCCGTGCTCGAGCGCACCGTGCTGGGCGTTAGTGGTGGCGTGCGTATGCAGGTTGCCGATGTGTGGTGGGATGAGGCGGAGAGGGTTTGGGGTAAGGAGGAGGTTGGGGAGGCGGAGGGGAGGATACAGACGTTGGTTGCCCCGTGGGAGAAAGCGTCGCGCGGAGGAACGGATAAGCGCTGGAGGAAGACGGCGAGGGAGCTGCTGGGCGATGAGAGAGCGGCACGGTGGGGGTATGATGGGGAGTGGGCGGCGAAGAAACCAGAGGAGAATGGAGAGGATGGGCAGGAGGAGGAGGCGTGGGGTGGCATTGATGGGTAGCCATGGGGACGAGGAGGTGGTGTACGATAATCCGTGGGTTTGTTTTTCTCAAAAGTTCAGCGACCAATGGCGTCTTTACTTCCGTTGATACATACAATTTTCTTTTTTGCAAGAGTGGGGTGTGTGTGAATGCAAAGTACGTACATAAAAATATGTATACGAAGGCAAAAGGGTCCGAATACATATTATGCCCAGAATGGAAACGCAGAAAGTTCACCAGAAGAAGAGCGAAAAACAATACAACCCAAACAAAGCAGATGATATCCAAGGAAATGACCAGACAGACAGGAATGAAAACAACAGAACAATGCGCTACGAACGATGCACGAGCTGCGACAGTCTCCGTTTAAGCAAATCCTTGCCAGCCTGTTCCTTCCAGACCTCATGGTCAGCCCCGTTAACCACATCCCACGCGACCAACTTCCCACGCTCGCCCAAGGCCTTTTGCCCATTAAACCACGACTTGCTCCTCTTCACCTTCTTCCCGCTGCTAACAACGACAACCCGCATATCATCGGGCATGATCGCATTCGCAGCACCAAGCTCATTAGCCGTGAAAGTAGTTGCCACCAAATTCTCTTGCAGCTCCGCCTTGATCTGTCCGCCGTTCTGCCATGCGTCACGGCCGTACACGCGGTCCGCACGGCTGTGTTGCAGCAGGATAGCGGAGACGAAGCGGTCTAGGCCCAGGGGGTAGATCCAACCTCGTACCCACAGCAGGAATCCGCGGGTCGGGGAGCCGATACGGCCCAGGTAGGTGTCCGGGGTGGTGTCGATCAGGAGCATGCCGTGTACTTCGGCGGTGTGGCGGGATGCAAAAACGCGGGAGTAGATTCCGCCCACGCCGTGGGAAACGAGGATGTAAGGTCCCGTCTCGTCGGCCTTGCGGAGGGCTTCGGAGAGGGCATCGACGGCCATACCAGCGGAGAGGGGGGAAGGAGCATTCTCGCTCCACGCGTAACCGGGACGGTCCCAGTAGCAGTAGCGCTGGATGTCTCCGTCGGCCAGGGTCTCCGCCACCCAGGACTCGAGACGTCCCTCGACAGACTCCTCGCCGCCCTCAAGGAAGATGGTTGGGTGGCTGGCGTTTTTGTCACCGACGCAGTTCAAGTGGATGTGGTATCTACCGTCGTCAACGAGGATGAGTTTGCCGGGAGCGGGAAGGGTGGCGTCGCGGGCACGGATGGAAAGGTTAATGGTGAAGAGGATGCTGATGGCTAGGAAGATGGTCAACAGGACCGTGCCAGCAAAGACACTGCACCATTCGCTGAGGGTGTAGCGGGTCTCCCTGCGGCCAGTCAAGCGGACTTCTTCCTCGCGTTTGCCGTACTCGACTACTCGGTCGCACATGATCTACCCAGCACATATCAGCTACCTTTCCTCTCGAACACAAACGGAGAAGGGCACATACAGCCCAAGCACTAATCACCAACGCCCAAACCACGGAAACTATTCCAATCCAATTCTCATCATGGCGGATAGGGTAGGCAGCCAGAATGATGATTGTATCGACGAACAGGAAGAAGAACACCAGTCCGAGAACGATTCTCTCGGTCTTTGACGGCGTGGAGTAGAAGAGCAGGAGCACCAGCAGAATTCCGGTGGCAAGTGTCGAGTACGCAAAGGCGAACCAACCACCGCCTCGAGTGTCTATCCATCCCCCACGGTCAGCGCGTAATCCCCCTAAACCCAGCACCACGAGCAGACTGGAACGTACGCAATCCAGGCGGCGTAATAAACGTCGACACGAGAAGCACCAGCCACCAAACGAAGGCCACAATCAAGAGGAAGATCGAAGCCCATCTGAGAGACCTCACGGAGAGGAGGTTGTATGGCGAAACCGCTGGATCGTCGGGGTTGAGATGGCGATGCGGTGGAAGAAGCGATGTACGTTCGTCCGCCGGACCCAGTCGTCGCCCATGTGCATCTGGCGAGACGGAGCGAGGGCGGGAGTGGGAGCGTGAGCCGTTGCTGTTGCCGTTCTCCCGCTCGCGATGTTGTTCTTCCTCGCCAGGACTGGCTCCCCAGAGTTTACCCATTCTTATTGGTAAGTAAAATAGGTCGAGTAAATTAGGAAGGTAGATGGGTGTAGGGTTTCGAAATTGAAAGAAAAGAAGATCTCTCTCTCGTAGAAGAGTCGGATTACTCTAAGTACTCAGTGTTCGGGCTATGAGAAGCCGTCATGGGCCAATTGAAAGCAGGACGGCGGGGAGGGCGAAATGGTGGTGACCAGTGAATGACATCACCATCTGCGCATCCGGTTTGTCTGATCCTGGTGCAGATCACCAGCCGCCAGCGGTTATCACTGGGAGTTTCTCCCGGGCGTGCATCACCACGAAACACCAGATATGTAGATTGGCCGGATTCGTCTGGCTAGGCGATTCTAGATTGCGATCTCACGGCTTGGCGCATGCTATCAAATACCCCAGAAAAGTAGTGATTTCTATTGAACTACAACAGACGCACACACGGACTCTCTAGCCAGAGTACAAACGCTCATTTTTCCACCTATAGATGTACCATCTTACATGGCGGCACCAGAGATGAAGAACCACTTGTCGACGGAGGGGTCGATGGGGGCGGGGGCCATATTCTCGTTGGCGGGGATCGGGGGGATCTGGGAGGGGTCCACACGGTGGGAGGAGTGGGAGACAGTAAGATTAGAACTGCAGATTTGTCAGTTGGGATTCAGTTTGGATATAACGTCATTGAACTTACAGCGAGATGGTGTTGGGGTCGGTCTTGCCGGTGATCAACTTCTCCCAAGCCTCAGCACACTCACGGATGACATCCATGGCGTACCTACGGAATATTAGTATGCTATCCAGTCATTGAGAGCGATAAGAGGCATACTTCTTGTTCTTACATTCGCCGGAGAAGGCGAACTGGTTCTCGGGCTTTCCGTCGGGGATCTTGTAGATGCGGAACCACTCGTTGGTGGCACGCAGAAGACCCGGAAGGTGACGCTCGACGTCCTCGATGTCTAGCAATCCCCGTGTTAACCGGCAATCATGGTGAGTGAGCAACGATATGGGTTCACATACCATTGAGCTTGGGGGCAAGAGGGTCCTTCTCGTCGATAACGATGACCTTCCAGTCGGTCTCCTCCTCGTCAAGAAGAGCCATGATACCAAGGACCTTGACGCGCTTGATCTGGCCGGGGTAGCCAACGTGCTCACCAATCTCGCAGACGTCGAGAGGGTCGTTATCACCCTTGGCCTTTGTCTCGGGGTGAATGGTGTTGGGGTCCTCCCAAGTCTGTCCCAGCATATCAGCACCATCCAAACAGGCGGAATTGTAGTTAAGTATCGTACCTGAGGGAAAGCACCATAGTTCCAGAGGTAACCCTTGTGGGGGAAGCAGTTGCGGACGAAGCGGAGTTTGCCCTTCTTGATATCCTGCTTGATGGGATTTAGGAGCTCCTCCTTGGAGATCTATTTTGTTGCGCGAATTCGTTAGAGCCGCTGCTTGAAAAACGAAGCGGACGGGGAAATCACAAACCTCAAGCTTTCCATTGGTCCAGCGAGGAATCTCAACGACCATGTTCAAGAGAGTCTTCTGCTCGCTATTCACCCCCAGATGTCAGGCTCCTCATCATATCCATCAGAGACGGAACATACTTGGCGTAGAGCGGGATGTCGTGGAAGGGGGAGACAGGGACGCCATCCTTCTCGATGTAGATGCGGTGCTCTGTTGTATACAGTGTTAGAAGTCGGTTTGATCGTCGCGAGAGATGGAATCCGTACCGAGAGTATTGGGCGCGCCAACCTTGCGGGCGGTGTAAGCCATGTCGAGTGAAGTCGATGAGAAATGCCGTGCTATCTGATGGAGTAGGGATGGTTAACAATTGCACTGTCTCCAGCCGCAAAGTCGATTGAAGATGGTGTTTGATGACGGTGATGAAGAATTGTCCCAAAGGTTGATGACAGAAGGCCGGGCGAGCGGGCAGGCGGGCGTGCGGTGGGGTAGAGGGGTAGGGGTGATGATGGGGGAGGGGTAAACGGGATGAAACCTACCAGAGCACTGCGTGCAGAGGGTGATGAAGAAAGAGTCGACAGTTTTGAAGGTCTGAGGAGAAAGAACAACGCGGTCGACGGTATTCTTACTCGGCAGAGGCGGGGCACCGAGCACACCATATGTACTTCTTATACTGCAATGGCCTTGTCACTGCTCGGCTTCGTGCAGCTCGCCAGGAAGGGTTTTAAAGGACTTGGCGCTTTCGGACTTCCACATAGTCGTTGATAGGTACTAGGGTATTTTTTAGGGTATCTGCACACAACGTGCAGTGAGGTTTACGCAGGGCAACATTCCGATTGCTTCAAATATGAGATATACCTACTAGGTAGCATTTACCTCACTTCCGCTGAACGTCACGAAATAACTATATCGGTGCATGGGGGGCTAATACTGTACGATCAACCTCAACTTAACCGAAAACTCAACCGATTGAGCGTGTTCAGGTGGATACAGGAATAGAGTATTTCTTGGACCTATGTCACTCGTGATACTTACAGGTACATGTACATAACATAACAGGAGTCCGGACGAGTGAAGTGTCTTGGAGACCACTAGGTATTGTGGTGTCTTGGCGCCCCGCCGAGAGACTCGCGAGTCGCCAGTCGCGATACCACCGCGATATCACGACACAGTGGATAGGATAGGAAAAACTTGTAGAATTGTAGTCTACATGTCCAAGAATTACTACTAGCGAGTAAAGCCCCAGCTGTTACGATACAAAGTAACTACCGTTGTCGGCATACCATCCACCCATTTGTATATGGGTCATGGCAACTCTTGCTACACCTGCTGTACAGCTCAAATACCTAATCTCCTCCTACCCATGGGGTTGTAAATTTGGATCCTCATGATGTCCCCAGACCGTTGTTTCCATATGACCACAGACTCTCAATGGGGTTCATGTTTGGTGAGTGAGGCGCCCAAGCTAACCTAAGGATACCGCTCATCAGACGAAACATGCGTGAAGGCCGAAGTGTAGGTAGCTGGCTCCGTCCTTATTAGTATGAACATGAGATGGTAGACAGTGAGAAAATCAAAGCGCCGGGACGGTTGAGGGTACAGTGAGTCCAGGTTTAAAGTTGGAGTCTGAAGCTTGCAGATGGCACGGTTGACTGAGCGAAGATGGGCACCCAAGTAGGGAAATTTAACGGTTCAACAGATTGACCCTTCGGCTCCACCACCGTGGAGAAATCTTTCCCAGTCCGTGATAATTCAGTTTCCCGGACAGCCGGACGACACACACACTAGTGGATCGGCCACGCTAAAAATTTTCGAGCTCTACATATGGGGCACCCAGTCGGGTTCGGTACCTCCGGTGTGGACTGCCTTGACCCGGAAAACACCTGCTCCAGGCGGCCCGACGCCGCCGGACCCCCGTCCGGACGTCCTATTCCTTGCCCTGTATATCCCCCGTCACGAACTCGATGGGGATGCGATAACTACTACAATCGCCGCCACGATGGCCCGTTTAGCTTCGAGCTCATTCAAGCGCTTCGGTACAACCATCAATCCGACAACTACATATCGGTATAGGTATTGTGTCCTTCATAGTAGCTCGAAGTTAGCCTTGATATGTAGTTTGTAGCAGCGGCGAAACAAAACGGCCCAATTCACGAGGTTGGTTCCACTTGAATTTCCTCTAGATTCTGCATGGCCGTCGCGGCCGGGGACAATCCTCATCTTGAGGTCACCAATTATACCTAAAGCACGTCTCTCCGAAGTGAGAACGTGGCCCGAAAAAGGTAACCGATGGTAGCCGGTCCATCCGGGATCGATATAAAAGTATACTGAAGACCAGCTAGAGTAAAGCTGGAGGGGTTTTATAGCTGTCACCAGGCTGTTTAGAAGCGTGGACGAGAGGACGGTACGAAGAGTGGACGAGTGGATGCTGAAATACTTCCCTTTACCGCGCACCTGGTCCGACTTCACCGCCCATATTGCGACCCTATTCGAGTAGAATCGTTTTGTCCCAATTGGGCCGGTGGCCTTGGCGCTAAGTATATTCTGCGCATCCGCAACGCCCTGTTCCACCCCATGTTTCTCAAGTTCACAAGAATCCAATCGAGCAGTGATGAGTGCCCAAGTGCGTAAGTCGTCCATACTTCCTATTCATGTGTATCTGTTGGTTGGTTGGCTGTCTCAACGTGATGAGCTTTCTCTCCTGCCACAACCTCCGGACGAATTATGCTGTGTTTTAGCTTAGTCATGGGGTGATTCTACGGCTTGCGGGGGAATCCACTCAGCCACCTAGGCAACTGCAACCGTCGATTGCCGGTTCTAGTAAATAACCCATGCGTTCAGGGTCACAAGCCCAGCCGAATCCTTCCCGCCTGGTGAGTCGGACCTTGGAGGTGGCGGGGTAATGGGCACTACCGTAGTCACATCCGAGTGCCACTTTGTGCAGCGGCTGGTGCCGGATTTTGTGGCCGCGGGCATTGGCGGTATCTGGGGTAAGTGGCCATGACGGATTCCCGCTGGACCTTCGGCTTACCTCGTCGAGCTCCACCCAGCTACCTATTTAATCACTACCCCCGCCGTACGTAACTATCTCTGCCCATCCTCGTTCGCCCACTTAGCTTGTGAACACTTGTCAATTCCCGCCCATCCCGCCCCCCACAGTTTTCCTTTGCATTGCATCGTCGCGGTCGTGAGCTGTCCGATTGGCCCTTGGTTGTCTTGCTTGTTATAAAGGGCACCTGAGCTATGTTTACCTCCCACAAAGCTGTCTCTTGCTCCCTCCTCCGTCTCCCAGCTATCCTTCGCCCCGCCACTTCTCTCGCGAAACCTCATCAGTACCTCAGAATGTCGACTCCAACATACCCAAACTACTCTGCTACCCGCCCGCTCCATGCCACTTCTCACCGCCTCAACACGACTATCCCCTCCGCTTCGGCGGTGGCCTACCCCGTGACCCACGATAAGATCGTCAGCCCGGTGAACACGCGCAACTTCATCGACAACGAAGCCGTCGAGTCCCAAGCGAGCGAATGGATTGACTTGCACGATCCCGCTACGAACAATCTGATCACTCGTGTTCCACATTCTACCCAAGCCGAGCTCAAGGCGGCTGTAGATTCGGCCGCCAAGGCCTTCCCTGGATGGAAGAGCACCAGTCTGCTCACTAGGCAGCAGATCATGTTCAAGTTCGTGGCCTTGATCAGAGAGAACTGGGATAGACTGGCTGCGAGCATCACGTTGGAGCAGGGAAAGACCTTTGCCGATGCTAAGGGTGATGTTTTGAGAGGACTGCAGGTGGCGGAGGTTCGTGACGCCAACCCATTGACGGAGGGCAATCGCTAATTGTTTCCAGACTGCTTGCGGTATCACTACGCAGATGACTGGTGAGGTTCTCGAGGTGGCAAAGGATATGGAGACGAGAAGCTACAGGGAACCATTGGGTGTTGTGGCGGCTATCTGTCCGTTCAGTATGTTCTTCGATAAGACCTCCCTCGTTGAGTGTTTGCTCATGCTACATAGACTTCCCTGCCATGATTCCCTTATGGTGCCTACCAATCGCTGCGGTTACCGGTAACTGCATGGTCATGAAGCCTTCGGAGAGAGAGTCAGTCAATCTTCTACGAGGCAGGAACTATGGCTGACCGAAATAGCCCTGGTGCGGCCATGATCATTGCGGAATTGGCTAGAGAGGCCGGATTCCCGGACGGTGTCTTCAACATCGTCCACGGGGCCCACGACGCCGTCAACTTTATTCTAGACGAACCCAGAATCAAGGCTATCAGCTTCGTCGGCAGCGACAAGGCTGGAAACTACATCTACAGTCGCGCGTCTGCCAATGGCAAACGTGTGCAGGCAAACCTTGGAGCCAAGAACCATGCGGCGTAAGTTTTCAATCCCCCGGACTACTGTGCAACCGGTGCTGACGGCTTCAAGTGTTCTGCCAGATGCAAACAAGAATGCCACCATTAACGCAATCATCGGAGCTGCCTTCGGTGCCGCCGGTCAGAGATGTATGGCGCTGTCAACGTTGGTCCTGGTCGGAGAGGCCAAGTCCTGGTTGCCTGAAATTGTCGAGAAGGCGAAGCACCTAGTTGTCAACGCCGGGTTCGAGGAGGGTGCCGACCTTGGCCCTGTAATCTCGCCACAGTCCAAGGAGAGGATCGAGTCTTTGATCCAGAGCGGTGTCGACGAGGGTGCGACGCTTTTTCTTGACGGACGTGGCTACAAGCCGGAGAAGTACCCCAATGGCAACTTTGTAAGACTCTCGTAGGCACTCGGTCATTCATACCGGTCTTTACTAATCGCATTCAGGTTGGCCCCACCATCCTCGCGGATGTTACCACCAGCATGAAGTGCTACACTGAGGAGATCTTCGGACCTGTCCTCGTCTGTCTCAACGTCGATACTCTTGAGGACGCCATCGACCTGATCAACTCCAACAAGTACGGTAACGGAGTTGCCGTCTTCACCAACAGCGGTGCCACTGCAACCCGATTCCAGCGCGACATCGAGGCCGGACAAGTTGGAATCAATACTCCCATTCCTGGTAAGATTTGTGCTTTGCGCTGGATTATTCCCTTCGGTAGCTGACGTGGAGCAATAGTGCCCCTTCCCATGTTTTCCTTTACCGGAAACAAAGGATCAATCGCTGGCGGAAGTGGTCACTACTTCTATGGCAAGGCTGGATTGAACTTCTTCACACAACTCAAGACCGTTACTGCGTAAGAATCCTCGAACTCCCCGTCATGTCGAAGCTGCCAATTTTGGCGCCATAGTCCGTAATGTGCCGAATAGTTGCTGATGTGCTGGCTCGAACAGGCTGTGGAGAAGCGAAGATGCTGTAGCTACAAGAGCTACCACCGTGATGCCCACGCACTCATAGGCCATCGCCGTCTGTGAAAGATTGGCAACCTAGAGATGTCTTGTTTTTGTTTTCGTCCGGTCCGGTATCTGTACATAACGAGTTTATGATATGCTGCTACTGCTACCATTCCTTTCGTCGTTGCCTTATCTGAAGCGCATCTGAAGCGTCACAGATCTAATCTTGCACGCTCACGGGACTTGCTGCAAGGTACCATTTCATTGGCGCATGCAACGAAACAGTCGTCTGACGATTCCACGTGAACCTTCACCAAGCTCCGAGAACCCGGCGGCGGGGGAAGAAGTGACATGTTAATATCAGTCATGATAAATCTTCGTGTTTAGTTCCATTACATAGGCGAGAAGCCTACCTAGAACCTAGAAGCAAGTGAAGCGCCCGCCGCCGCAAGCTATTCGTTTATCGGAAGAGATAAGGGCCATGCGCAGACAGCTTGGCGAGGAATAAACCTTCACCTCGCCGTCTAACGCTGCGGGTAGGGATTGCAGAAGTATGTGGAGCCTGTGATGACTATCAGTGCTAACTAACCGAGAATGGCGGGGATGATGGCATTTTGCCTTTTTTATGGACCGAATAAGACGACGGTTGGATAGAGGAGGCCGGGGAGAACGGTTGCATATAGTACATAGAGCAACTGGGCTCCCGAGGAAGAGATCTGGTGTGATGTCTGTGATACCTTAAGCTTCCCCCTCTGCCCTGTGCCATCCTATCCTGCTTCTTCCTTCCCTCAACCCACAACACCATCTCCACCACCTACAAACAGCTCTACAACTCGAACGCACACGCAATATATCACCTCACTTAGTACCTCGAATAGTACCCACAACCCCCCTACAGACAAACTACTACAACCATGTCTACCGAGCCCGTCTACTCTCACGGCCGTGGAGGTACGTACCTACTCTACATACATAACATCAAGCATCACCCCACTAGTTCTAAACACACTACCCAGAGCTTCACTCACCATGCCGGGCCTCCCTTGAACATGAATGAATGAATAAGCTGACGGCGCCGTCTACCTCCAGGCCAGGGCAACATCGGCCCCGACAACACGGAGTACGTTGACGGCGAGATCCGCCGCGAAGAGGACCCCACGGCTTCCGGGGGCGCGTACTCCACCGGCGTACGTCACAGCCACCACCTATACCTATTACACTTCCATTTACAATACCGCGGTTGCCCAGCTAGTTACTGACGGACGGACGTGTGGATAGCGCGGCGGAGCAGCGAACATCGGGTCACCCAGGGTTACCCCGGTGAAGACGTCGAAGCACGACGACGACATTATTCCCGAGGCGGCGATGGTCAAGCCCGACGATAAGTACCATGCCGGCCGCGGTGGAGAGGGGAATGCCTTCGTAGGCGGCGAGCGGGTCGAGGAGAAGAAGAATACACACAATGGATTGGCCGATAAGCTCAAGAGTGAGTTTGAAGCTCCCCGGTGGTGGTTGTGGTGGTGGTGGTGGTGGTGGTGGTGGTTATGGTGGTGGGATGCATATGGCTGACACCGGATGTGCGCGCAGAGAGATTGTCCGCCATCATGGCGAAGTTCAAATAGTCACGGACTACATAACTGGACTCATGACATGACATGATATGACTTGACTTGACGGGTGGTTTGATTTGTCTTGACTGACTGGCTTTGCGGGGCGGGAGGTTTCACTTGTTTGCGCGTTTATTTAGGAACTGACGGCCGTCTTCGGTAATGTGGGGGAGTTAATAGGATCAAGAGGCTCTTTTGTTTTTGTTTTTTTCTCTGCTTTTCTTTCGGGGAGAGGGGGGGAGGAGGGGAGGATGTATGGCGGAGGCTGGATGCTCGATACCTTGGGGGAGCTTTGTGTTCTGTTCTAATGATTCTGCTTTCTTGTTCATGCTTTGGGAATGGGGATGGGCAATATACCGTTTGCGAACTGTACGATGGGGTGAACCAGTCAAGGCATGAGATTGAAGCAACGCCCCGGAAGGAAGACGAACCACATCACCATCCAACTCCAGTTCCGCAATCATCGAGATCTCCGAGCGAAGGGAATCGTCGATTCGCCACATGTTCCAATCAATGAGAACCTTCGCTTAGAGATCTCAGCTGAACGTTGATATGTTTCGTTCCATTCCGAAGTTTCCTCCATTGGTGCTATGTGTTCGCACCGTAATAATGGCTGGTATACATGATATTCGTGCCATCCCCCCACGCGCCTACGGAGTAGTAGTACCACTCACAAATGTGGTATCGGTATCATGGCCTCGTCGGGCCAGCTTGTTCGCGCTCTCGGGCCTTTTATACAATGCCAATTTCTCCCCATCCTCGCTCCCGTCCTTATGCGCTCCGTCCGTTCTTTCATTACTGCGACTTCTTGTCCTCGCCCTCGGCCGCATCCTCCGTCATGGCGACGATCACATACGCAATCAGTACTACATTGGCCGCCACTGCCGCTAGCGCTCCTGCTACCGTAGATTGTCCTGCGCGCGCGCGTGTTAGCCGGGGAGGGGGAGGGGAGGTGATGGTAGGTGTGCGAGGGTGGGTCGTACCGACGAAGAGGGAGGTCACAGAGATGTAGTAGGTTCCGAGCGGCGCTGTGATCATGGCGAACGTGAAGAGGAGAAGTTTGGCGACTACGGAGCTGCAAGTACGGATTGTTTGTTAGTGACAGCTGTCGAGGCTGGTGGGACAGGTAGGTAGCTTACCCAGGCACATTGAGGGACGCGGGTTGCTTGGTCGCGATGAGCGCTTCGGGAGCTTTCTCGGAGGTGGAGGGCACAGGCTGCTCAGCCTTGACGTTTCTGCGGGTGGCCATGGTGTTTGGGCGTGGGGTTTGTTGGCGTGATGGTCGTGAGAGTAGGTAGTGGGTGGTGATGCGAAGGGACACTTCGTTGTGTGCTGGGCAATTGCTAATTACATGTGTACTGTATGTATGACCTGCGCGGCTCTTTGATTTCAGCCGCGCTAGTCCGCACCACTCAGCTAGTTATCTTTTGCGATGTATTTTGAGCCTTGAAGTACCACTCAACCTCGAGGTGCTCTGAGACGTTGGCTAGCTTTCAACTTTCGCCATAAAACCTTCGTTCCCACTCCACAACTTCCTTCCTCCTTCATACTCCACGACTTCATCCTTCGTTCACACTCCACAACTTCATCCTTCTTGTTGTTCTCTCCTAGGTGCTTCTCCTTCTCCTCTTTCTCTCTCACTCGTTCCGTCTTCCTCCCTTGATTGGTGCGTACCTTGTCTTGGCAGCGCACTTCCACTTGCCGCCCCACGTCTTTTTCCCAGCCTAACCCTGTCGCGACCAGTCACTACTTTCCGCGTTCTCCTCGAGACATCCTCCTCACCAAACTTCCTTCAACCACCCACTCACTACTCTCCACCACCACGCATCGCTACAACAATAACACCACGACCACCCATCGCTACTCCAACAACAGCATCACACTACACGCGCTTCTTTTCCAACACAACCGACATGGCTTCTACTGGTACAGTAAGGCCGTCGGCTTTCGAAGACGAAGACACGTCGGCCAAGCGCAGAAAGATCGCGTACGATTCCGAGAACGATAGCGGCGATGAGCTCTTCGATGGATACATAGAAGAGGCGACACTACCCTTGAACACGGCCACCCCTACACAGCTGCTCAATAGCTTGATTAGCCCCTCGAAACCTAACGGTGTATATTCGAGTGTTGCGACACAACCACTCACATCATCTCCTCCTCCACTGTCCTCCTTTACGACTCAGCCAACACAAGCTTTACCAACACCAACCAAGCCGACACAGCAAGCCCTCCTTCCTCCCCCTACTCCGACGCCCGCTGTCCAGGTGGAGGCTTCGTCGCCGATCACCAAATCGCCGCTCAAGCCATCCGTGGAACAGTCGCAGTCGAAGCCTGCTCTACCAGAAGATGGCAGCGTCAGGCCTTTTGAATTCTATGCGACAAAGTCTGCCAATCCCAATGCCGAAGCCGATGCCGGTGAGGCCCTTACGAAGCCTATCAAACTCGATGACGATGGTCCGATTTACATTGGCTCTTCTTCGGAAGATGAGGACAAGCACACGTTCAAGCCCGTGTTTGGTAGTAGCCCTGTCAGACGCCCAATTCCTTCCCTGAGCGCCATCCGTGGTCGCAAGGAGCACGCCCTGTCGCCTCCAGCTTCGGTTCCCGAGTCGCCGATGGGGAAGCCGTTGACCAGACTGCCTTATGAACCGACGAAGGCTAGCAAATTACCTTACGATCCGACGAAGAAGACGGGAAGGTTGGATTCATTGGCGAGACGGCCTCTTCCGGTTGGTGTTAGCGCATCCATGCAACGACGTCCTGAACCAGCTACGAGCGCGGCGGATATCTCAGTTGAGAGCATTAGCAATGTCGAATATCGAGCAACGGTTGCGAGGATGAAGTCGGTGCTACCGCAGAAGAGGGTTAGTGTGCTTTTGAACGCTTTGATTCAGGCCGGAGGACATTACGATGACGCCATGGAGCAACTACTCAATTCTGTCGATTTGACCGGTGAAGACGGAGGTGCCACTGCTGCTGCGGCCATCAAGACGGCGAATCGTGGAACTGGAGCCGGTAAAGTGGCAATCAAGGATAAATGGTCGAAGACGCAAGTCAACAACCGCGACCTCGCGTCTTCCCCGCCAGCTACCACGGTTCCAAAGAAGAGGAAGTTGGTGAGAGGATCTAACAGGACTTCCCGCGAACGAAGCGAATCGCCCGCCGCTGCAGTCATCGCTGATGACTCGGATTCCGACGCCGCCGGTGGTTCAGATTCGGAAGATGATCGCGAATTCGAGGTCAAGGTTCTCAGTTACATCAACGTCTGTAGTGCCAAAGAGCTTGCCGACATCGCAGCTACTACAGATGAGATTGCGGAGATCATCATCGCCCAGCGACCATACAAATCGATAGACGCGATCCGAGAGGTTGCGGTGCCGGCTCCCACCAACGGCAAGAAGAGAGGTGGCAGGAGTAAGCCCATTGGAGACAAGGTCATCGATGTTTGTCTAGAGACCATGAAGGGTTACGAAGCGGTCGATTCATTGATCAACAAGGTCGAGGCATTGGGAAAGCCTATTGCGGAGAGCATTAGATCCTGGGGTGTGGATGTTCAGACCGGAACTACAGCAGGAGAATTGGATATGACTGATCTCCACGTTGGTTCGGATACTGGCTCCGCGAAGGATTCTGGCATTGGGACCCCTACCGATGAAGGAGACAACGATGTCACTGGAAAGAAGCGCACCAAGACTGTGACCTTCTACGATCAACCCAAGAATATGAAGGAAGGTATCCAGCTGAAGGATTACCAAGTTGCCGGACTCAACTGGCTCGCCCTACTGTACGAGAAGAAATTGAGTTGCATTCTCGCCGACGAAATGGGTATGTTTATCTTTTGCTTTTCTCTACGTTCGATACTAACGAATTTCTCTAGGTCTGGGAAAGACTTGCCAGGTCATCTCGTTCTTTGCGCATTTACTCACGAAGGGTATTACTGGTCCTCACCTTGTTGTCGTACCTTCCTCTACCTTGGAGAACTGGCTGCGAGAGTTCGCCAATTTCTGCCCTGAGTTGAAGGTTGAGCCCTACTACGGTAGTCAGAAAGAGAGACCGATGATGAGGGAGATGCTGCGTAAGAACCGCTCGTGGAATGTTCTGGTCACCACATACCAGCTCGCTACTGGAGACAAGAACGACCGAGGCTTCCTGAAGAGTTTGAACTTCAACTGCTGTGTCTACGACGAGGGCCATCTGCTCAAGAATGGCAACTCCAGCCGCTACGAGGCTTTGGTCAAGCTCCCAGCCGAATTCAGACTCTTGCTCACGGGCACTCCACTTCAGAACAACCTCCAGGAATTAGCTTCTCTGCTGGCGTTCATTCTGCCCAAAGTCTTCGACGAGAGGAAGGCCGATCTGGCCAGTATTTTTAAGTACAAAGCGAAGACTACGGTCGACGAGGAAGCGAATGCCGCGCTGTTGTCGCAGCAGAGAATCAAGCGGGCAAGGGCGATGATGACACCCTTCGTGTTGCGCAGAAAGAAGGCTCAAGTGTTGAAGCATCTTCCGACGAAGACTTCCAGAGTGCAGCTATGCGCTCTGAACAGCGCACAGAGCAAGATCTACCAGGAGCAGATCGCCAACGCTAGGGAATCCCTCGAAGCTCGTGCTGCCGGAAAGAAGGCCAACAAGTCCAGCAGCAACGTCATGATGCAGCTCCGGAAGGCGGCCATTCATCCACTCCTGTTCAGATCCAACTACCCCGACGATAAGTTGCGGAAGATGGTGAAGGACATCATGAAGGAGGAGGCGTACCGCAACAATAACGCGGACTACATCTACGAGGACATGGAGATCATGAACGACCTCGAGTTGACGAGGCTCTGCGAGAACTTCCCGAAGACGATGGGGAAGTACGCCCTCAAGAAGCAGGAGTGGATGAATTCCGGCAAGGTCGACGAGCTGAAGAGCCTCTTGGTCGACATGAAGAAGAACGGGGACCGCGTGCTGGTTTTCAGCCAGTTCACGCAGGTCCTCGACGTCCTCGAGATGGTGCTCACCACTCTCGATATGGGATATCTTCGGATCGACGGGAGCACCGCGGTTGATGCCCGCCAGGACCTGATCGACCAGTACCACCAGGAGACCGACATCATGGTTTTCCTGTTGAGCACCAAGGCAGGTGGCTTCGGCATCAACCTGGCCTGTGCCAACAAGGTGGTGATCTTCGACAGCTCCTTCAACCCCCACGACGATGCTCAGGCGAGCGATCGTGCCCATCGTGTCGGTCAGACGAGACCCGTAGAGGTCATCAGGTTTGCTCACCCATTCCTTTCCTTTTCCTTCCTTTTTGCAGAACGCTAACATCAAATCAGACTGATCACGAAGGGCACGATCGAGGAGCAAATCCTCCAGCTTGCGAACACCAAGCTGGCTCTTGACCAGAGTATCAGCGAGGGGGACGAAAAGGCCATCGAGGGCAAAGGGGAGGAGCTGGTGGCGAAGATGTTGCTGCAGTCTACTGCAGCAACTTCCACCACCAGCCCTCTCGCGGCGAATGACGAGGAGAAGAAGGAGTAGACGGGGGGCCGGGGGGGGGCATAAAAGGTTTTTCTGCGTGTTTTTTTGTTTTGTTCTGTCTACAATTTCAGGGTAGATTTCTTGACTAGAGTGGTGTGGATTCACGCCAGTTTTTTTCCTTCCTTTCACATTTTTTTTCCTCCTCTACGTAGGGGGCCGGGATACCTTCATTCGTTCGACACATTTCTTCTCTTGTTTTTCGTTAGGGTAACTCTTGTCTGCGTTCTTACTTTACTTTACTTTACTGTTGCATGTAAACATCTAGATGGGCGGGGCGGGGCTGCGTGTTGTTGTTTCTTGTCTGTTACTTTGGTTTTTTCCGCTGGCGTTGATAATGGAGGTTTGTTGGATGTGTGAGTCGATGCTCAAGTGCAGAGGTTTTGTTGACGCTTGTATGTACGAGTCGGCTAAGGGGGAAGTTGTTTCTAGGCAGTGGGCGGAGGGGGACAATGGGGGTTACATATGTGGGGGGAGGGAATTGAAGCGGTTCTACATGCTTGAGTGTCCTTGAATATCCGTGAGCAGCGTGCGATACATTCAACCACCCCACAACCTAATCGGTGAAGGCATACGATCACTGTGCGCAACTACAATGCCAGTGGACACAACTGCGAGAAGGAGTAACATTGCCGATAGTTATCGATGTCAGATTGAGGGTTTGGTTTCAGACTTCTAATTAGCCAGGGGTGCAATTGAGCATGCGCAACACACGCAGCTGGTGACCGACCTCAAACCTGTGACAGACCTGTAACAGAACAGTAATCCAGGACTTCCTTCTGGCGTCCAGGCACGCTTTCGAGCTGTCATCAGATCACGACATCTCACATCCCCAAATATGTGCCGAGTGACACTTCGTGGGCCCTTTCGGCCCTTTCGGCTCGGCCATGCCGGGTGCGGAGGATACCTTGATGCCGCGGTGTCATAGATCACAACCCAGCTAGCTACTGTCCCGCCACCCCGCACCCCACCGCCCCGCACCACCCCCCACCAGACAACCAACATGTCCGCCGCCGCTCCGCTCCGCCGCCTGGCACGCCCCCGCACAATCGCGTGCATCGGCCGCAACTACGCCGACCACATAGCAGAGCTAGGGAACACGCGTCCACGGGAGCCGTTCTACTTCCTGAAGCCGGCGACGTCTATGCTGCATCCATCGTCTGGCGCGGTATTGGCGCCTCGCGGCGCAAAGCTGCACTACGAGGTTGAGCTAGCGGCCATCATGGGAAGGGACGTCGATGAGGCGCCGGATACAGACGAGGCTGTGGCGAAGTATGTTAAGGGCTGGGCGGTCGCGATTGATATGACTGCGCGGCAGTGTGAGTCTACACCCACTAGAGGGGATTGTGGGCATTGTTGGGATCGTGGGGATCGTGGCTGATGACAGCGGCGGCGACAGTCCAGAACGACGCGAAGAAGCGCGCGCTCCCGTGGACGCTGTGCAAAGGCTTCAAGACGTTTCTTCCAGTTTCGCACTTCATTCCGGCATCGAAGATCCGGGACCCGCACGACGTGCGGCTGTTCCTGCGGGTGAACGGCGAGACGCGCCAGGACGATTCCACCGCGCTGATGCTGTTCCGGATCCCGCGGCTGCTGCAGCACGTTACCAGTGTTGCCCCGCTGGAGGAGGATGACCTGCTACTGACTGGGACGCCGAAGGGCGTGGGCGAGGTCAGGGCGGGGGATGTTATTGAGGCGGGGATTGTCGTCGATGGAGTCGAGCTGGAGGAGGGGAGGATCGAGGTTGTCGTCGAGCAGAGGGCCACTGGGTACAACTGTGAGGCTAGGGAGGCGTAGGTGGTTATAGGTACAAATGGATATCCAATTGGTTCGCAGCTTCGCTACAACTCAGTGGCTTGCTGTGTGAAGCGATCGTACGGTACAGGTAATTTTACGCCGACAAGTGAAGCCGTAGGCAGGCAGACATACGAAACAAGCGCATCACATCGACGCATGCATTACAGCAGCAGCAAAGAAACCCTTCATACAACCAACACCTACATCATTACCGCGTCGGCCAGATAGCTACGCAGGCTGCTCATCTAGCTGCTTCAGCATCTTCTCCCACGTCTCGACCATGCCCTTGTAGAACTTGACATTCGCGTCGGCCAGCCCGCCCAGCGTATCCTTCATCTCAATGCATTTGATCCTCTCAAAATCCGCCACCTCACGCAACACCTCCTCGTCAAAGCTTTCCGTGATCTTCCTTGCCTCCTCCGCCTCCTTGTTGAGCATATCGATCTTGTGTTCCAGCTTGCGGACCCTTTCGCGCCTCGACGCCTCGTGATCAACGCCCCTGACATCCTCGATCTTGCTCCTCAGGAACCCGGTTGGGCCGCCGAGTCCTGTCGAGCCCACCGGCGCAGACGCAATATGGTCCCTCTCCATGCTCGCGCGTTCACGATAATCCATGAGTCCTTCATAGTCCAGCTGCTTTTGCTCGCGGGATTTCAGGAGCTGTTTTACGGCGCCGATGTATGCCTCCATGTCCCTGAGCGAGCTCAGATAATCCTGATCGGTATGTTCCTTGAGCGCTCGCAAGCCTTCGCTGGTCTCCTTGACGCCTGTGGAGAACGCGCGAATAGTTTGATCCAGCTCTGGCTCTAGCTCGACGATCTTCAAGAACTCCTTCGAAAGATCCGAGTAATCGCTCTCCATATCCGCTTCCCGGCGGACTACCCGTGCGATGAGCTTCTCCACGTGGGTCAGGTCCTCGTCGAGCTTGTCGGCGCGGTCGCGGACCACGATGAAGCGATCGTCGGGCTTGTGGACTTTTGAGAACGCATTCAAGAAAGTATCGGTAAGGCCGTCGAACACGCCTCCTCCGCTGTCCGGGGCTTGTCCGGTGTTGCCGCGCGTTGGGCGCAACCGCATATGTGCATTCCAGTCGGGAGATTCGAGGAAGACGGTCAGTATTGGGGTCCGTCGGAGCGACGGGTGGAGGGTTAATCGCTTCAGGAAACGGTGGAGGGAATGGGCCCGGCGCTGCGTAAAATCGGGTCCGAAACGGTCACCGCGGACGTACTCTACCCCAGAAACGCATTAGGACACAAACACCCCCCTCACACACGCCCGAGATATGAAGACACACCCATCTTATGCTTCTCCGGTAATGGCGGCACCGCACAAGCCGGAAACTCTCGCGAAAGCGTCTTCCACAGGTATACAAAGTCGGTGAACCGTCGCCTTACATCAACATGCGGTTTTTGGAACGTCGGAAAATCGGTCTGCGTGGCCGCACCATATGAGCTTCCCAAAATATGCGCACAACCATGAAACACCACACACGGGCAGATATACCTTGGTTGTGACACGATACGACACGTAGGCATCCTTAGTACCTTCACCCTCGGTCTGAGGGTCGGAAACAAATGTCTCCAGGACTCCGCGGCCGACGCCGGCAAGATCGAGGGCATCTGCGTTCGGACCCGCCTGCAGTCCCGGCGAGAGTTGCTGATGGTGTTGGTGTTCTGTGGAGCTTGAACTACTGCCGCCGTTTGCTCCTCCAACCGGGCTCTTGACGGAAGATGAGGCGTGGTGTGCGAAATCATCTACCGAATCCTCGTCGTCGTCGCGCCACTGAACTGAATCGAAGTTGTCCTCCATTCTTAGCGCGGATGTCGTTCAGGAGCTATGGCGGGGTATGAGGAGTGCTGTAAGTTGACAGGACGGGCGGTGGAGTGATACAGGCTGCAAAGAGAAGCAATGGGAAGCTCGCCTGTAGCTCGATGAATCGGGATGAGGTGATGCAAGTCGTGAATTTGCGATGAGCAATGTGGGGTTGGAGTTCCTGGATGTATGGGTCTGGGGAGGTGTGGGAGAGCAGCAAGGTGCAGATGATGTAACTAAGTAGTTGACTTGGCATTGTGCGCATCTTCTCACTCGACTCTCGAGTCTCTCCTGGCTATCTATAGAATCGCATAAAACTTTCAAGCACTCACGCTATCAATGATTAAACAAAACAAAAACCTTTCTATGGCACCGACTCTTGAGGTGACAATGCCAATTACACACTCAGAGATTTCCCTTCTCGACCTGCGCCGCCACCTTATCTGGCTCCAGCTCGGGATCCGGCTTCTTCTTGACAATTTCCTTCATCTCTCCCTTCTTCTCCATCTCCCTCATAGCCTCTTCAAAGCCCAGCTCCTGATCGAATGGAAACTCCGGATCTCTCCCATACGCAACCCTAGCAACATCGACCAATATCCTCGCCGTCATGCCCCAAATCCTATGTCTTTTAAGAGTGCTCCCCTCCCACACCGGGGCGTTGAACTCATGGATCGTCCACGGCCGATGCACCCACATCGTCTTCCCGCCGCGATACCACGTCTCCTCCGCGGCGCCGCCGGGAATAGGATACGCGCGCTTCAGAAACGGCTCCAGCTTGACAGTAAACAGGCTCGCGACCTCGGTCTCCTGTAGCCGGGGGATTAGCGAGTCCTCCACATCGCCCTTCCCGCCGTCGAGGTAAGCCACACACGGCCTGACCGCCAGTCCCGTCCGCGCGAGGGAACACGGCAGCTCGCACAAATGCTCGACATCAAACGGCTTCGGCAGTCCGCCCTGCGAGTCCAGCGGCAGCCCGATCTCCTCCCACGCCTCGCGGCGCGCAGTCTGCGCTGCCGTCTCGGACAGGAAGTCGGCTTTTCCGCCCGGCAGCGCGACTTGGCCCGCGAACGTGCGTAGGTGCACCGACCGCACCGTCAGCACTACTCGCAGGTCGCCGCGCCGGTCAGAGAATAGCAGGACTAGGACCGCTGCGCGCCGCGTCAGTGGCAGTGAGGTGTATATCGATGCCGGAGGGAGGTAGGCGCGGAGCCGCGCAAGGGCTTGCTGGGTTCCCGGGTCAGTGGAGGTCGAGCGAGGGGGGGAGGTAAGCTCACTGTGGATACGGGCGACACGGGCGACATCTGAGGTGTCGTTGGCTTGCTTGCTAGGTGTTGTGGGAATGTGGGGAGAGCTTGTCTATCCCCTCCCGCTGCTTAGCCGACCTGCAGGGTTCATGATACCGCGGCTTCAACGGGGACGAAGATCCTCAAGCTGCTGATGGCAGACAAACGAGTGGTTCTCTGGGTAGGTATCGTTTATACCAGTCAAAAGCCGCTTTATGGGGAATCCTACAATAATGGAGGTAGACCCGCCTTATGTACCAATCGCAGGAGTCTGAGCCTGACAACCGCCCAGTTCTCGAAGCCCACAAGCAGAGTGCCGGTACTTTACACCTCCCAGCTCCCCAGTCCCCTCTGCTCTGTCTTCCTAACGCTGTGTCATATCCTACTTCATCGGAGACCGTGTGAGTGTGTGACTGTGTGGGCCTTCTGCTCAGAGATATGTAGACTTTTCGGCGTGAAGGAAGTGGAAATACTCGTCGTTGTCGTCGTGGAATCAGCCACCACCTCCACCCCCGCATCCCCCATACGGCACAACCCGAACCCTCCATCTATCTAGAGCACCTACGCTTCCGCATGCGTGCCCCGACTGTCTACACCAATGCATCAAAGCTACCGTATTATTTTATGTTTAATCATCATTGCATTCAACCTTACTATATCACGGCAGTCTGCAGATAAAATATTCTGTACACTAGTAAGCTAACTACCACACAAACTTGCTGCGCCACATCTGCGTTGCAGACGAGTGAGTTCAATCACCGTAAACAAGCCCGGGAGCATACATGCATTACGGCGAGACCCATATGTGGGAGGTGGCTATATATGTGCAGCCGCCGCTCTAGTACTACAGTGGCCGAGTACAAGGCGAGCAGAAGAACTGCAGCACTCAATATCAATCACAAAAGCTCACTCGTGCTTGAATTCGAACTTAACGAGCGCGTTATTTTTGCGCTCCATGATGGCAGGAAAGATCGAATTTGTGGTCGCCATAGTCTAGGAATAAATGTTATTCTCTCTCTCTTTATTCTCCACGCATTTGCTGTTTCACGTTTGATTGGCGGAATGGGAATATCCACACATCCCGAGAAATGTTGCACTTTCGACCGTTTCTCGGGATGAAATTCAGGAACTGCCTACCTTAGTTACGTGTGGTTTACATACCCAGGCCTTTCATTGGAGGAAACATCAGCCCGAGATCGGAGGCCATGATGCATATTCCTCGCGGCACTACGTATGCAAAACTGTCGTAGGTATCTTCAATTCCGTATAATATTCGTATTTGCATGATTATGATCCACTAGTTTCCACTTCCACACATGCCTAAGCCCATCTCGCCATACCAACATATGGCGTCCCCGATGATCCTCCATTGGCCATTCGTAAAGCCTCAGGTACACCCATGCCCGTCCCCTCCCGAGCTCCTACTAACATATCCTCGTCAGCTTTCGTTCTCATGGCACACATCCCACGTCCAAGGCGGCAAACAACTTACTTACCCAACAGTATCCCATCCAAACACCGCATTCCCCACGAAGGCCCCCAGGAGTATCGAGAAGATGATGTAGCCTGTATTGCATTGCCGTTAGCCCGTCGTTGATCCAGCTAGGAAGGGGGGAGATATACCATTGTAGTACATAGCCAACAACATGATGAAATATCTGCACCCACCGCATCAGTTCCTTCCCCTTCACAATACTCGCAGCCTGCAGGACCTTACCCCGCGCCAAAAAGCGCCGTATAGATCGCCGTCCTCCCCGCCTGCTGCAGCAGCGTGGGCGTAACCTTCGTCCCCTTTGCCATCCCCACCATCGTTCCCATCCCCATCCCCGTCCCCATCCCCGTCCCCGTCTCCGTCCCTTTCTTCCCCTCGATCCCCTCCTCGTTCCCCCGCTGCCGCACATGCCGCCGCACAATCCAGCGATCCCATTCTCTTCCTCCCCTGCGTAGCCCCTCGATGAGTACCACGAGGAGGAATACGCCCACGCAGCTGCCCGCGAACTGTGAGTGGCTGCGGATGTGCCATGATGACGATAGAAAGCAGGAGTTGAGCGTGCTCCAGTTCCAGAGCATCTGCGTCGTCAGCGGTGCGAAGACGGGGGGGGAGGGGGAGGTGGACTGCTGGAGACGGACCTGCATTTGGCATGCTGCTGCTGCTTCGGCGCTGAAGGCAGAGGAGGAGGCGGCGGCGGCAGCGCTGGTGGTGGTGGTTGCGGAGCCCATGTGCATAGAGTGGTCCATCTTGGATTTTCTGGCTTGCTGTCTGTCTGTCTGTCTGTCTGTCTGTCTGTCTGTCTGTCTGTCTGTCTGTCTGTCTGTCTGTCTGTCTGTCTGTCTGTCTGTCTGTATTTCTGTTGGTGAAATCGTTCTGCTGGCTCGAAAACGGATACAGGCTCGTCGGCGGATGAAAGCTATCGAGTCAAGTCAAGTCAAAGGGAGTGGAGGGGAGAAGCCATCTCTTTTAACAACCAAATGACATCCCCCTCCCCCTCCCATCCCTCTATGCCAGACTCCAGCCAAAAACTACCGCAGCCTGACACATCACCCCCCGTCAGTGCAAGCAACTTCCCGTCCCTCCCACTCGGCGAACATTTAGCGGGAAGCTACATAGGAGTCCAGTTCAGTTCAGCTGGAGGGATTAACGTGCTCATACCCGCTCACGCTCACTCGGATTGCAACGGCTAACGGCATTAACGGCCTGCGCCCGTTTTTTCGGGATGGAAATTGGCGCACGCACATAATAGGTACATACCAAGGGCTGAAGGGAGGGAGAATGAGGGAGTTCGCGGAGATGGATGGATGACGGAACTCAAAAGCGAACGGGATAGATACATGCGGAGAAATGTGTTTAGTCCGCCCGCCTGCTCGTAGATGACGATGGAAAAGAATGCGGGCAGGCTAAAGAAAAAAAGGTGATCGGACGAGATGCAAAAGCAAAACAACAAGTTCCGTTACGGGGAATTGAACCCCGGTCTGGCCGGTTGAATGCTCTGCTTGAGAGCGGCCGATGCTAGCCACTACACCATAACGGATGTTGATGTCATAGGCTGACTAAATACATCTATATTCTATATTTCGCTGGAGGGCTCTGCGGGGTGGTGACTCGCTAACAGAACGAAGTGGGGTGAAATATTCCGTAGTACTACAGTATTCAAATACACGTATCGTTGCTCCGTCGTGAACGCAAAGTGTTTTAGTCTCATCATTCAGCAAGTATCAAGTACCTATTTGACAGTGTCCAGTCATGATAGATGGAAGTTCTTATGATACCTATGTATGCACACACGTCCGTTTCCTAACCCCACCATCCGCCAACGAATGATTCCTACCGCTACCATACCTAAAAGATCCAGCTCTGCTCTCGAGTCTCACCGACGATCACCCTCGCCTACATACTTTCCTATAATTTCCCATACTTCCCCATACTGATCTACGAAGAGACGATAAGACAGCACAGCTGTGGGTTTATTCATACCACACCATATATCAATATCGACAACTCCCACCAGCTCACCCAGCCAAGCATGTCCAGACTCCAGAAGTGAGCGGCAGTGGTCACGGCTATAGCGGGCAACTACCTACCTGGTGCGGTATCGCGGAAACAGCCGCGATCCCCTAGGTGCCGTACCGTGCAGTTTTTGGCGGAGTGGCCTGTCGACTGGTACTTACTTACACCGGAGTAAGAATGAATTCCACATGTTCCTTCTTCTTCCGGGAACCATCGGTATCTATGGTGTGCAAGCAGAGTCATGGATGACCAGCCGAAGTTCGAACCTGAGGGTGTTGGCTCCGTGGATCTTTCTCAAGAAACAGTATACCTGATGTCGACGCGGTCACAGTGAACCTCACACTTGAAAAAGTAACCTTTCCCCTGGTGTATATGTACATACCAGAATCATATCTACGAAGCGGGAGTCGACAGGATATCTGAACGCAAAATGGCACGAAGGCAGCCATAGTCCTGCCATCGAAATCAATGGCAAAGTGGATAACACTACCTATTGGGGGGTTGCCTTTGCATCTGCAGGCCTCGGTGTCCGTTACTGTTACTACTATATAGCGAGCCGAATATCAATCCGGCTTCCCGGCTTCCCGAGCCTGCTGTTCCCGACTTCCCGACTTCCAGTTCCCCAAATCCCGAATCCCGATACTCGGAGCGAAGCTTTGATCATCGTTCTTGTTTCCCTCCTCCCTCGAGGTTTCCGGTGCCGGCGTTCCGCCAGACTCTTTCAAGTTTCAAGACGAGGCAGGCCGGACCACAGGGACGGGGACAGTCCGATTTTTTCAATACCTATTACACGTGATACCTACCTGCCGATAGATTTCCAGTTTGTGGGGAGGTAACCTGTAGGCATAGTGCTGAATTGTAGAAAACCTGGGTAACCTAGGTACATGGTGGTGAATTGTAGAATATATACCTCTAGATATATTAGGTAGGTATTATTGGCTTTCCAGCCCCGGTATCGAATACCTATGGCCAGTAGATGTTCTGTTCCTGACTCTCTGCCGGTGCAGCCGGTGTCTCGTACGGATACGAGTTACTCGGTCCTCTTATATGTATAGCAGTAAAGAAGCCATGCTTTCCGGTAACTATGCGCCTCTGTCGCGGTGGTTCGTCTTTATGTAGTAGCTAGAGATGACCTGCGTACTATCATAGGCCTCCCCCGCCTCCCGAACCATGAATAATAGTAGCGAGTGCGAGGTCAATCCGGTCAGTCATGTGCGTGTACATATGTCTCGCACATAATCAGAGGGCCTTCTTCGTGTACTAGGTACTATTCCATAATGGAGTCACATGCCATGTCCGACCATTCGTCGGATATCCACACCCTGAGCGGACCAGCTGCTCATACCGTAGATACCGAACTAACTGGTATCGCAGAGGCCGTGCGAAGTGTGGAGTAGATACGATAGGTAGTAGGTAGCTCGTTGGCTCGCGAATGGGTTTATCTTTTCGGCTGCGCAGTGTCAGTGTCAATGGAAGCACTCGCAACAAGCACTCGCGACCAAACCCCAGCGACAACGTCCGTCCAAAGTTCACAGCACGGTCCCTAACGAAGCTATCACCATCACCATCCTCCTCCTCCTCCTCCTCCTCATCATCGCCAGCCTCACGTCCATGCCCGTCGCAGCGCCCGTCACAGCGCCGAACCATCCAGCCCCATCCCCAACCCCCCCGCCCTCGGTTGGATCCGACGACATCACGGTCCGAACGCGATCCATCATCCATGAGTCCGTCCGTTGTGGTCGTGGTCTCGTCGTGGTCTCGTCGTGGTCTTGTCGCGGTCGGACTTGGATGTGACTATGATGACTATGATGTAACTACTCTAGAGTAGACAGACCGGGCTTGGTGGTGGTGGCTGGCATGGTGTCGACGATGGCCTGTGCGGACTTGCGGCCTTGCTCCGTCGTTGTTGTCGGCGTCGGCGAGCGCGGAAGAGCACGAAAGAGCATGAAGAGAAAGAGCATGAAGAGAAAGAGCAACAACGAGGGAGAGATCTTCACGGCGGAAAAAACATCCTACACATCACATCTACACAATAGAACACCGCATGCCTATTCCGACCATTCCGCTCGATACATGGAGTCTCCCTCCACCTGTGTACGGTAGTCACAGGAGAGTAGAGTTTCCGCAGCCGAGGAAGTGTTTGGGCTAGCGCGCACACACAAACACCCCCAACACCCCTCGTTCGTGCATCTGCCATCGCCGCTAACTACTCTAGCTACTCTACCCTAGCTACTCTACCCCACCGCCCCAGAGTCGTCCGATTCATTCCCAAAGCGTCCTCGCGGCGTTCGAGCGGCGGTCGGCGGGATGATCGCTGTGCTCGCTGCGCTCGGCTCGGATGAAGGATAGAGGGGAGCGTCGCTGAGGAGGGAGGAGTGAGCGTGAGCGTGAGCGTTTGTAGAATTTGCATGGGGATATGGAGATGACATGCCGTACGGCGTAGAGTACCTGGGCATGTAGAGTAGCGAGGATAGAGTGTTGTGCGGATCCAGCGCTGGGGGGTTTCCGCAGTCCGCACTGCATCCGGCCGGCGAGCAGGCGGGCATGTCAGGATCCCATGTACCGGCCTGCACTTCTTCCCCCTCTGTCGTAGTTATCATAGCACTCTACCCAGAGTTGATATGGAGTGCCCGTAGTGTAGCTATCCCCTCTCGGCCGCAAGGATGGGCCGGCCTGTATCCCGTGCAAGCCTCCCTTCTGTGTTCTGCCCTCACGTACTCCATGTATCTATACGGCGGAACACGAAGCGACAACCTCCGCCACATCCGAGCAGCGCAGCGACAGCTGTGAGGTTTACTTTAATCTAACCTTCCCACACACAGAGCACCACCGCATATCCAGCCACCCCTGCGTGCAGAGGTTCTCGTATGAAGAATTGAACGGAGTAGAGTACGGTAGAGTGGTTATTCAGAAGTATGCGGAATTGTATGCAGAGTGTCATGGCAGTTAGTCCGTACTTAGCCGGCAGACTCTGTACCTGCATCCTCGCCATGCATACCCATCCGCGCGATGCCGTCTCGTCTCGTCTCGTCTGGTCTGGTGGAGTTCCTCTGTCCTCGTTGGTGGTTGCGCGTGACTAAAATTAGTGGCTGGGGAGGGATCGGGGGGAGGTGGAGCGTTTACTCGGGTAGGGGCACGCAGGAGAAGGACGATCTTCACGTTAGACATGCCCGCAGTGCGAGCGATGGTGGTGGTGCTGGTGGGCATCTCCCCACACAACCCAACGGTGGTAACCTGACTCGGTAATACACATCGACCACCAACTAACACACCCGCTGCAGCTTGTGTCTGAGGAGGAGGAGGATGAGGAGGAGGAGGATGAGGACGGGGTGGACTGTGGAGAAGTAGATACTCTAAGCGCATCGGAAGAGGGCCCCCAAGGGGAGGGAAATTGGATGGAGGCAAATTGGGGGGGAAGGGGGGTGGTGAATAATGAACTACTTCTTGCAGCAACCAACCGGATTCTCACTCCCCCTTGGCATTATGTACTCTCGTCTACTACCCAAGTTGGCCTTGGTGCACTTGTTTGTTGTGATGTTGTGTGAGGCAGGAGGCCGTCTTGTCGAAAAGTGCTAGCCCCTTCCCTCGCCGTCCCCTTCCCTCGCCGTCCCCTTCCTCAAAACTCGATCGAATCCCCCTTCCTTCACTCATTCCCTTCCCACCTGCATCCCGCTCACAGTCGTTCACTACCCACATCCTCCCTACCTACCGTAACCTACTCCGTTAATCAACCCCATCCATACACTCGTTACTCTTTCCCTCACCACCCCCAACAACCCTCACATTCAAAATGAAGTTCACCAGCACCCTCATCACCTTCGGCCTGATCGCCTTCGCCGCCGCGCAGACCACGACCTCGTCCGCCGCCGCTTCCCAGATCACCCAATCCGAGCAGCAGAAATGCGTAACCTCGTGCGACGGCAACCTGACCTGTACCGCGGAGTGCCTTGGCAACCCAGCGTTCGTCTCCCCGACCCCCCCGGTCCTCCCCCCTCTGTTATACCTCCACCAGCTAACACAATCCAGCCCTACTGAGGACATGGTCAACGCGACCACGCAGTGCGCCATGAAGTGCGAGCAGGGCGATGGCACCGAGACGCAGACCAAGAAGTACGCGGACTGCCAGCAGAAGTGCATTTCGGACAACTTCTTCGTGAACCCGTCCGGGGCCTCTGGTGCCGCCTCGCGCGCCTCCGCATCCGCCACGTTCGTCTCCCTCCCCCCTCATGCATATAAAAAACCATACTAACGTTTAAAAAAAAACAGCGGTGTCATCGGCGCCTCAGGAACCGGCACCCGCTCTTCACCCACGGCCTCCGGCTCCGCGGCCGACGCAAGCGGCAGCTCCGCACCCAATGCCGCCGGCCACCTCGCTGTCAGTGGTGCGGCTGGTGTCATCGCGCTGATTGTCGCTGCGGTCGCTTTGTAAATGTCCTGGTCCTCTCACAGTGTAATGCTTGGGTCGGGGTCTGGGTGGTAATGCTGGGTCTGGCTGGGTCGGGGTTTAATGATCGGATCGGATCGGATGATGGATGGGTAATGGAATGGAATCGGAATGGAATTGGTGGGGTGCTTGGGTGTCTTTTTTTTCTCTTTCCTTTCCTCTTTCCCACTTCGATTGGGATTGGAGCGGTGCGGAGCGGAGCGGATAGGTTGCAGGCGAAAGTGGGCGTGGGCGTTGCATGTGATTGCTAAAAACAATACATGCAATACCCGAAGCGAAACGAAACGGTGGTGTTTTTGCAGTGTACCACACCAATACATTACCTACTCTATACTCTACTCGTCCATTGTGCTGGTGAATTGTGCTGGTCATTCGTGAACACTGAATACTGAGCGCAGATGCCTCGGGAGTCGGATCGGCACTGTGCAGTGATGTGATGTGATGTGATGATTCGGAAACAATATGTCTCCTGCTCGCGTGCTCGCGTGCTCTCATCGTGGACTGACGACTGACTGAGTGACTTGAGTGAGTGAATGAGTCGAGCGGCCATGTTGTCAACCCGGCGAACGAAAGAAACGTCTGACACCACCCACCAAAATCACGGAGGATCTACACGAACCCTTCCCTGTTCGCATCCGGTGGATCCGTAGGTAAAGTGCCTACTCATCCTCATCGGCAAGCACTCGCTATGGGTAGTCGGTAGAGTAAAATCACTCTGTGTCACCCGACTACAGACCACTCGCATGCGAAAATAAACTGAAGATCTCTCACTCACCCACTCATGACACGTGCAGGCGTGCAGAACACCAAAAGCTGGCGATATGTAGAGTATGTAGGCTGCATGAGAAATAAAACTGAAGATTGATCTCTCTCTCTCACTCACTCATTACATGTGCGTACAGAACACTAAAAGCTGGCGATACTAGGTAGTATGTAGGCTGCATGCGAAAAATAAACTAAAGATCTCTCTCTCTCTGAAGATCTCTCTCTTACATAGCAGACCACTCACTCACTCACTCACTCACTCACTCATTACACGTGCAGGCGTGCAGAACACTAAACACTAAAAAGCCGGCCCATATGAGATTGTATGACCGTATTTAGCTAGCAGCAGTATGTGACTCAGAACTCAGAACTCAAAAAGAAGGCCTCCCCAAAAGAAGAACAAAGCCCGTCATGTAAGGTAAACTCAATCGACAACTATCCCCACCCAAGGCTCCCCCCCACCTCCCACCCCCCACACCCCCACCCTTCGCCTTCGCCATCGCCATCACCACTCCGAGGAGGGAGCAAAGAAAGAAAGAAACGAAATCAACACGCAGAAAAAGAAAAAGAAATCTTGAGGGTGGATGATGCGGGAGGAGGGAGGAGGAAGCACGACTCCAGCTGATCCCCTATTTCCTGTCCGAGAGCTCTGTTAAAGTCCTCTGCGCAGCGACCTTCTCCTCCTCCTGCTTCATCTCTCTAACCTTTGCGAGCACGACCTCGCGGAAGATGGCGGACCTAGCAGCACGCGACAACCTGCGAGTGGGGGACGCCTTCTCGAGGGGTGCCGTTCCTGCGGCCGTGACGCCTTCTGCAGCTGCCTGAGCCGTGTCCGAGGGTAGTCCGGACTCTTGCTCGTCGTCTTGCATCTTGAGCGCTTCGATGCGGTTGGCGAGCTTGACCATTTCGATACCACGACGGAGACGCGCCTTGGCGATGAACGACTTGATCTCGGGCAGGATGTCGTGGTCGGTGGCGGTCTCGCCCTTGAGCCATCTGTGCCTCAGCGCCTCCTGTGACTTGGTTAGGACTGGATTGTTCTGAATGGTGGGGTATTACTTACTCTGCTCGAAGGACGGTCATCAGGGTTGGGCTGGAGCAGCTCTCCGATGAAGAGCTTGGCGTCCTTGCTGACCTCCTTCCAGTATCGCTCGTGGAAGATGACCCTGCCATTGCTGCACTCCTCGATGAGGTCCGCGAGACTCTCGCTGCGGAAAGGTGAGTAACCACAGAGCAAGGTGTAGGTTATAACACCGAGCGACCACATATCGACCGCCTTTCCGTGGCCCTTCTTGAGCATCACCTCCGGTGCCGCGTATCCGAACGATCCAGCCATGGTGTTGAGCATGTCCTCTCCGGAGTCGAGCATCTTGGCGATTCCGAAATCCGCGAGCACGAGCGACGAGTCCGCATCGGGCGTGAGGTAGAGGAGATTCTCTGGCTTCAAATCTGCAATTGCCGTAGACTTTTAGCAAGCTGCGCCAGCAGGAGACTCGGAGCTTCGGTCCCACGCACCTCTGTGGACAATGTTGTTATCGTGCAAGTAGCAGACGGCATCGAGCACCTGGCGGATGATCTTGGAGGCGTCTTTCTCGGTGAATTTTCCGTACTCGCAGATACGATCAAACAGCTCTCCTCCGGTAGCAAGCTGGGTAACGATGTAGTATTTGTCCTACCCGACAGAAGAATACAGTAATTAGCTCGCATATTCCATTTTATTCCCACGCCTTTGCCTCTGCCTCTTGTTCCCCTCGATTCGCGGGACCAACATACTCTCGACTCAAACCAATCGCGGAACGCAACAATGTGTGGGTGGTGAAGTCTCTGCAGGAGCGACAGCTCGTCGTACACCATCCTTTCGTTATCCTTAACATTTTTCTTCAGGATGATCTTCACGGCGACCTTGCCCGTAGGGCCATCAGCCTCCCGAACGATTCCGTAGGTACCAGCACCCTATTTCGTCGACCAGGTTAGCAACGTCGGTCTTGGAGGATTGCTCGCGTGCGCGTGCGACGGATAGCGACGAAGAGTATGGGGAGAGATTCGTACCAAGGTGCGGCCCATCTTGTACTGCGCCCTGATACACGCCAACCGTCAGCTACCAATCGACTCTGAGAGGGGGGCCACGAGCGGCTATCGGATGGAACTCTGGGACACGCACTTTTTGTCATACGACGCCGGCTGGCCGTGAAGCTTGTTGAAGACCGAGGAAACTATTTTCATGAGATTAATACTGCGGAGCCATTCTGAATCCCACGCCATGACGCAAGTTTCCGCGGTAGCGGCGACAGCGGGCGGTAATGATCGTATGCGGAAAGCGACGGACAGCAACACAAAATATCCAAAATATGTGGAAGAATGTGGTGTTGCGAGCAAAGTAGATGGGCAACGAAGATTCGTAGGGGTTGTTGGGTGCGTGCGTTCGTGCGGGAGAGGGAGGGTGGAGGTAAAGTAGGGGGAGGAAGCTTACAGCTCATAACGAATTACACGTCGTGTTTTGACCGGTTACAATCAGATGGAAGCGGTTTTTTGGTTGTTGTATGTGTCAACCTTTCTATGGGGCGAAGATGCGGAGAGTATGGCAAACACGTTTAAGGGCTTCGTTTCTCTGGACGCAGAAGCGATGGAACAGCCACCGGGGCAATGCGATATGCGTGCGCCTTGGGGGTATGTAGACAAGGAAGCGGGGGTGGGGCTGAGTGCGAAGTTAAGACACCGAAGATACTTGGGTTTAGGGTCGGGAACGGACGTTGCAGCAAGAGAAGCGGGCCGCGGCAAGTGACAGCGGAGTTCGGAGGGGGAGCGTGAAGCTCGAGCTGGCGATGGATGACGATGATGGGGTGACGATGAAGAGTATGGTATTGGAGAAGGATGGATGCTCGAGGAGGGTTGCCTTTGGGGGTGGACAAGCGGTGGACGGTGGGGTTGGAGCTATGTAGGGGTGCTGACCGGGGTGCTGCCAGGCTGCCGCCTGTGTCTTCGTGTCTGTGCTAGCTGCAACAGGTTCTGTAAAAGCACTCTATTCCTGTCCTGTGTCGTCCGAGTGAATGAATTCAGCAGGCACGGTTGTGAAGTCGGACTCGAAGACTTCTTGTTCTCTCGTCGCTTGCGATCATCGCAGGGAGAGGAAGCGGTGGGGTGGGATCTACGGTCTCCACATAGGGATGCGAGGCAGGATCTCTACCGCCAACACCAAAAACCCCCTGGTTTATCGAGCCAGTAGCGCTCGTGGAGCCAGAATAACCAGGTGAACATACAGCCTTAGATCGATGGAATACGGCCGTACATCGGCATCAACACATATCGTCTTTCTGCATGGGAACTCTGCAGAGTACCGCAGGCCGTCTCGGGAAATCCAAGCTCTTCCACTCCGTCTCCAGACGACCACAAGACTCCACGAGCGCGGACGTCGCGCCTTATCTATGTGTAATAGCCTAGCCCTCATGAATCATGACAGGACGAGACTCAACAACTACGTTTACCATGTGAAATTGCACGCAACGGCGACATAATCCAAGCATCGTGGCTGTTCCAAAAGTGGTCAAGCGTAGTGATGAATCGCGAAAGACCGAGTGACAGGTTATGACATTCGAAGATTACTCTTCCACGGCACAGATCCCAGATCTCGAGAATCATGCTGAGTGACGGAGTAATGTAAGGCCATGAGCCCCCCGGCCCTCTTACCCCAGCACCATCATGCGCATTCCCATTACTGCGTCAGTCGTTTGCGAGGACTTCTATGCAGGGTGAAGGAAGAAATCGCGGCCACGAGCGGAGTGAGGAAGATTGGTACTCCATAATACATTAGCATCACCTCGACGTTTCGACAGAGAAATAAAAAAGGCTTGATCTTCCCACATCTTGGCTGTGATTAGGTATCTCATCTCGGTGGATGCCGTGTCTAGTTGGAACGTAATCACGCAAAACAGAAGGTCCGAGGGCAAAAGAAAGTCCGAAGAGCAACTTGATTTCATAACCATTCCTTGCTGCGGGTCTCTACTATGTAGTATTCTTCCTATCCAGTGACGTCCAGCGAAGAGAAGTCCAAATCCAAGCCGCGATGAAATCACTCGACACAGCACAGCACAGCACAGCACAGCGTCTATTCTACGGTCTGTCACCCAGAGTTGAGCATGAGCGTGAGCGACTGAATGCAGGAATTGAATGGGGAAGGGAGCCTTGAATCCTTGATGTAGGGTTTTGAAAACGACTGACGCTTTCCCTTTCCTTTCCTTTCTATTTTGTCATCTCATTGTTCTTCTTTCTTTCTGTCTTTCTTTCTATGTTTCTATGTGCGGATGGGCCGCCGGAGAGCAATAGGGAACCCACATCGAACTCGCGAGCTCGCGGCCAGCAGTCGCAGACAGTGGGGTGGAACTGGACGTGTGTATTGTATTGTACAGCCATGATCTGATAAGGTCGAATGCTATGTACCTATGATGATTAAACAAAACAAAATTGAGCATGAGCGTGAGCATGATCGTCAGAACGCAGTCCGAGTTTGGGCCAGGCGGCCGAAAAGATCGTCGTGGCCGCGAGTACCGGTGGGTATGCCTCTCATCCGGTCGAAAGCTGACTGGTTTGCGGATCCTGTGCGCACGAAACAGTTTCCAGTGATCAACATCCCGTACTCCAACGAACCAGAGGCTGACGGAAATGCGGGAGGCTGGGAGCTTCCATCGGACGAGGACGTCGAGACTCGACACAATGATAGTAGAGCAGCCGCAGCAATGTGGGGTAAGCAAAGAAAAGCTTGAAGGAATCGCGTATGGAATAGAGTACCTACATCAGATGACTTCCCTCTATATTTCGTACGATTGCACACGGGAGATTGACATCAAGGTTCTTCGAACGTCCGCGCTACCAAGTATAAGAAAAGCAGGCCCTCATATGAAGAACCTACGATTCTTATATGTATCAGCTGGCGATATTTTCAGTTACGGAGGCATCACTATGGACTTCTTGATGATGTGGAAGTCCCGATAACATTAGTTACGGCGACCTAACCACCTAAACTATGTACATATGTTGAGAGAAGAACCGGACGAGCGACCACCAGCACCCACGAACCGCAATCTTCACACCTATGCTCTGTCGGACCCCCCTCCCCCTAGATATAATCTCTCATAAAAGCATCATTAATCATCATTAATCATTCACAAATCATCACAGATCATCATGACTCAATACATTACCCCCGGCTCCCCCACCAACCAACCCTCCTGTACCGTATTTATACCCGTTGCTTTGCGCCTACCGCAACTTCAGCGTACAATCATCAGACCACGCTGACGAGTAACTCCTCAGCGTGTCCCCGCCAAATTTGATCATGGTGCTGATCTGGGGCATTTGAAGAGCTAAAGTTGAGTTAGCACGATGGGATGAGCGGCCTGGAGGCACGTACCTTTCTTTATGGCGCGCGTTCTGACGGCGTGAGGCGCAACTTCGGCCATTCGCAGGATCTGGTTGCACACCGCTTTGTAGTCGTCGTCGTGTTGGCACGCAAACTTGCAGATTTGTTTGTGGTCGCGCTCCAGCGGGTATCGTGGGTCGGCACCGACGTTTAGCAGCGCGGAGGAGCGCTCGACGATCTGCCATCCACTATACATCAGCATCATATAAACGACTGGAAGGAGGATAGAGACTACTCACAACATGGTCAAAGGCACTGACGACACGGGCTATCTTCGTCTTCTTAGTTTCGTAGAAAGTGGCCAGATCCAGGCCGTCGTGGTTCAATCTAAAGTCGTTTTCGATGTCGTCGAGTTGGCCCGAGTTCATGCACAGTGCTAGAATTAGGTCCTCCCGGACACCGAGAGCTTTGGCGGCGATGCCGAGAAAAGAGTTGCAGGCCAGATCGCTGCCCTTGTGCGGTGTGGCGAGGAAGACGATGCCGTGGGTTACTGTGCTGATCATGGCGGTTTGGGTGTCTTCGAGGGCTGTGTTGAGAGCCTAAAGAAAACTATTAACACTGACTTCTCCAGAGAAGAATGGGGGGGAGTGTAATTACCAGCTTGACAATGATCCCGCCCAAGCTGTGGCAAACAAAGATGATAGGCCTGTTGCATTCCTTTCGTCCCCGCTTGTTGATGATGGCCCAGAGCAGCCCCTGCGCAAATTCTGGGATCGTCGTCGTCGATGTTTTATCCCACACACTCGAGTTGTAGCCATAGGTCATGATCCGAGTCTTGGGCATCTGTGCAGGAAGGAAGTCTCTCAACCACATCCTATCACCCGAAGCCCACGAGGAAAATGCGTGGCCGTTGAGACCATGGACAGCAATAAGACTGTGGAGAAGAAGACATTTTGCTTCAGTATATGCCACACGAAAGAAAGCTACTCAGCACAGATGGGTGGGTGGATTTACTCGACTTCGTCCTGGTCACCGCTGGTCGAGAGGACGGTGAGGCCCAGAAATTCCGTGTCGATATTGGGTCGTTTCCCAAGACATTTAGCGGGCTTGAACCTCTGAACAGACCTGAACTTGTCGGCGGCCCTCTTGGACCCGAAGGTGATGGTTGCGGTCGAGACCGAGTTATGGGAGGAGTCGGTCGGTGCCAAAGATATACAGTCGGTTGAGACGCCGGCTGCCTTAGAGAGCTCCCTCCTGGTTGTCGTTCGTGGGATGCCGGTGAGTCTGAGGGTGGTGGAAGTCATGGTTAAGATTCATATACACCGAAAGTGTTTGTACTGTACTGTCTTCCTTCCTTTCTTTCCCCAGAACTAAGAGGGTGCGCGACTATAAAATAGCAAATCATCCCATGGCCCACGAGCTGGCCAAGTGCGCGGATTCCATCCATAGCCCAGCGGGTGTAACCTCCTGCTGCGGCTGCTGTCAGAACCCAATATGGTGTGGAGATAACGGCACTTGGAGCGAGCAGGATGCATACGATCACGACAGGCCCTGCGGTCGACCATACGAGCGTGCTACGGGTACTGGAATACGGTCAGTGGCTGTTGAGAGGACTCGTAGCTCTAGAACCAATGCGGACGATATGTTTCTTGTGCTCAGTACATACCTCTGACCGTTTTCTAAGAATATGATGCACAAGCCCCGCCCCGACACCGGTTCAATTGGAAGCGGAAGCTCGATGCCATGTACCGAAGCCGAAGGAATTCAGTGCCGCTTCCTTACTGGACCTGCATTGAAGTCTCCCTCTTGACAGCGCTTCCAGTATCGCCCGAGCATGTCGAAACTCCTCTAGTTCGCCTCAAGGGCTAACTGCTAAGGTTGCATCTTGAGACGGCTAATCGCTTAGCTAGTGGCAGTGCTCGACGGAACGAATCACGGCCATGCGGGGGAGGGTGCGTAGGGCAGTTTCAGCATTGGGCGGTTACGATCCGAGCCTGCGCATTGGTTGGCAGGAATGTCAACTAGCAGCTCCTGCATAATAATTATAGGGCGGAGGATATGGACGAGTGCCTTCTTCTTCCTCGTCCAATGGAGCTGCTGGAGTTTGAGCTTGACCCGAGAATATGTATGCAGGCCTTTGGGGGCTGCAGTCTCCGGGGGTTCCGCGATTCGAAGCTCTTCTGGAATTGATATGTATCATGACACCAGCCAGCAGCAAAAGCGGGGGCTTCACGATACGTGTCGAGAATCAAGGCCCGGGGAGCTCTGAAGCAAGTTGCAAAAGCGGGGAAAGCGATGCCAAAGCTCTTATCGAAGGAGGGTAGCGACCTGGGAGCAACCATAGAAGTCAAGTACTGCCCCATCTGGTCACCGGCGATCACTGGCCCGACGACATCGCAGAGATGAAATCAAGGCGGGCCGGCAGCTGCGGGTTCCCGCGTTGGAAGAGTCGTTTCAACGCCACATTCGACTGGTATGTATGGCCGGATTCTGCTGCAGTAGGAGAAGATGATGTTTGGTCGGATTCTGCCGCAGTCGGAGAAGAGCATGTTTGGTCGGATTCTGCTGCAGCAGGAGAAGAGCCATGGCCAGACCTCATCCGAGTTGCGAACCGTGCAGATCTCTCCGTTGATCGCTCCGAATCGCACGAAATACCGCATCCCGCTTGAGGTCTTCTGATGATAATTTTTCAGAGTCTGAGGGTTTGGCTTTTCTCAATTTGCAATCATGGTTGAGTGTTTGAAAGTCTGGATTGACGGCGGGATCTCGCTTGTGAATCGATACCGCTAACTGCCGAGAGTGAGTAACTTGCAAAGCTTGAACAGCGTTCTCGCAAGTTCGTAGCCAGCCGCAGAGCGCATCCTGGACCTCTCGGTATCTGCCGCACTCTGAGGCACCCCCCGTCGGTCAAACCCCCCAAACTCCACCCCGTCATCGATCCAATGCAGTTCGTCCGCCCCCTCCGTCTGAGCACGAAACGAATTGTTTCGCTACGCCCAATTCCAATCACCAGATACCACCGGACCTATGCCACCACAACCACCACCACAACCAACTCAGCAGTTATCTACGATGTAGTTATCGTTGGTGGAGGACCAGCGGGACTTTCGTTGGCCAGCGCGCTGCGTATGACGTTCTACCACCACCCCCCACCATTTCCTCGTGCTGATGGGTCGCAGGCTCCTCGCCAGCCACGAACGCGCTCAGAGTCGCGCTCATCGAGGGTATGGATCTGGAGCCATTGAGGAAGTGGGCACCGGAGCCGAGGACTTACTCGAATCGCGTCAGCTCGTTGACTCCGGGATCGGTTAGGTTCCTTAGCGATACTGGCGCGTGGAATCATGTTCGGGGGGAGCGGGTACAGGCATACGATGGGATGAATGTCAGTCTGAATCATTTAATTTTGGGGCGGGAGGGCGGGCGCGCTGATGTGTTGGCTGGATAGGTGTGGGATGGTGTGTCGGGCTCGCAGATTTCCTTCTCGGCGGGCTTGCAAGGATCGGAGTCGACGATTGCGTACATGTGTGAAAACAACAACCTCGTCTCCGGACTCCTCTCGAGGATCGCTGAGCTCGGTGAGGGGATTGATATCATGGACAAGACGAGGGTGGAAAAAATCAGCTTCGGTGAGGACAACGGGGAGCTGGATCTGCGATCATGGCCGGTCGTGCAAGTGTCCTCGGGCAAGCAGTTAGCAGCGCGGCTGCTCGTTGGCGCTGATGGCGCAAACTCTCCAGTGAGGACGTTTGCGGATATTGAGACACGCGGATGGGATTATGGAAGGCATGGGGTTGTCGCTACGCTAAATCTGGAGGAGGAGGGAGAGAAGATCGCGTATCAGCGGTTCCTACCAACGGGCCCTGTCGCAATGTTGCCCGTAAAGTCCCCGTAGCTCGTTGTTGGCTTTGGGCTGACGGCTCGATGACAGTTACCAGGGCCGTACGCCTCACTCGTATGGTCAACCACACCGCAGAACGCAGCAGCTCTCAAGACACTAAGCTCCGACGGCCTTGCGGCGATGGTAAATGCCGCCTTCAGGTTGAGCCACGTCGACATCGATTTCATAGTTTCCAACTTCAAGGCTGGACTCGTGGACGAGGTCGCATGGCGGGAAAAATCCACCTCCTTCGATACCTCCCGCGTTCCTAGCAGAGTAGTTGGTGTGCAGGAAAAGTCCGTAGCCAGCTTTCCGCTCAAGATGCGACACGCAGACTCCTACATCTCCGAGCGGGTAGCGCTCATCGGGTTCGTCATCCAGCCCGCCCCATTTCCACCGTCCAATTCTAACAGCACGCAGCGATGCAGCCCATTCCGTCCACCCCTTAGCTGGTCAAGGCCTCAACCAAGGACTTGGCGACGTCAGGTCCCTCATAAAAACTCTTGAATTCGCAGTCCAGCACGGCCAGGACATCGGCAGCGTGCTCAGCCTCGAGCCGTATTTCTCAGAGCAGTATCTCAAGAACCATGTGCTCCTCGGTGTCGTAGATAAGCTGCACAAGCTTTATGCCACTACGTCGGCACCCGTGGTGGCGGCTAGGAGCTTGGGCTTGGACGTGGTCGATAAGTTGGGCGTGTTCAAGAGGTTCATCATGGCGCAGGCGGCGGGGAGGTGATGCAATATACATGGCAGACAATGATGGAGCAAGAACCCGTAGAGGATCAGATTGAGGTCGAGACAATTTCATTTTACCCATCACATACATAGGATAGACTGATGAGCGTGAGGTCGTGCGAGATATGTTGGAAAGAAACAGCCAACACTGAGGTCTGAGGTACATAGAAAGGGTTACCTACCTCATAGGTGAGTAGATATGGTGGTGGAGTACTCATAGGTAGAGATCCTTTATAGACAGTCATCAATCACTAGGTGCCAGCTGCCAGCAGCAATTATTAAGCATCAAGTTCAAGTATCCATCACGGAAAAAACCCGCGCGGTCTAGTAGTCCATGCAATCGGCGAGGGGAGCCGACTGAAAGTTCTGGGTTCAACCCGGGTAAAGGACCTTGTTTCGACTCCTGGGGTTTCCAAGTCACCCAGGAACTGTGGTTCTTCACTGCATATCACTCGTCGCAGGATATCACGACTTGGAATATTATACCCCGCAGCTGGTGCCCAGCAAGAGTGACGCTTGCGAGATGAATCCGAGAAGAGATGCGGCTGTCTAAAGCCACGCGGAAGGAAGAGTAACAGGGCCACGCTGGGAGGCGTTCGTGGTAAAAGTTTAAAAAGGCCTCCACATGGCACAAACGTCCATACGGCGTTTTCCTTCCCTCCCACCATCCATTTATCCACCTAACAACGTGGGTGCCACCCTCCTTCCCCTCCCCCACAAAGCCAACACCAATATACACCGACGCTAGAAATTTCAACCCAGGGTCCAAGTGTGCGGCCAGATCTGGCAGCGCTGCGATTGTTACTGTACCGAGATGACATTGCGCCCGCCGCCCAGCATAGTCCCGGATTCGGATTGCTGATTGCTTGATTAGTTCCCATGTACCTACTACACGTGGTAGCCCACCTTCCACCTCTCATCTCCCACATCCGCCCAATTCCCTTCTCTTCCCCCCTTCTCTTCCCCACCCTCCACCCAAGATCGATTCGCTGAAATCACCCCGCAGCCAACTACCATACGCCGTGTGTGTATGGGGACAGGCTATCTATGAGTCTCCACGCCCAAGAGCAGCGTGGCATCAGCACCAGATCAGTCACCAAACGCAGTGCCTTTCGACGACGACCACGAATGAGAACTGCCGCCGACCCCCCCACCTGGAAGACGGTCCGGATATTTCAAGCAATGCAGCGGTTCAGATGCGGCTTCGATTCGATTTGATGGGAGGCCTGCCACCTGGTCATGATACACGAACGAGCGGGGAAACGTATCGTAGGTATCTAGGTGGTTACCGTGGCCACGGGGCGGTTCGATAAGATGGGCGGGGTATGGGCTGGGCCGCTCTCCTCGTGGTCGGGGAGGAAGAAGAAGCTCACCGGTCGTGACGCGGCCAATTGGAAATTGGGCGTAGAGGTGAAACAAGGAGGGAGGTCAGGACTTAGGGACTCCGATGGATCTGTCAAATCAGGAAAGCATAAAGGAAATGCAATTGTGAACAGGAAACCTAATCTCCGCCATCGTTGGTATCGACTAACTATAGACGTTCCACTGGCACTCCTACATACCTAAATTGTACGGCCAGGCCAGGCCATTGGCTACTGATGGTCCGAAATCCGCAGATCTTCCCCGTAGCTAACCTTGATCGTGGACGTTCTATTGCATCTCCTCCATGGCCAATCCCGAATACTGATATGGACGCAATGCGAGTGTAGCCATGGCCATGGCCAATCCCGAATATGGACACACTGCGAGTTTCACCTTAACCATGGCCAATCCCAAATATAGACGGACTACGAGTATCCTCATGGCCAATCCCGATTGTAGACAAACTACGAGTCGCCATGGCCAATCCCGAATACGGACGTACTACGAGTATCGCCATGGTCAATGCCGAATACGGACATCCATCTGATACCTGGAATTCTCAGAAACGGTCGGATACAGATTGATGAAACCTTCACCCGCCCCCCTTCCATCAGACTCCGCAGAAACCCCCTCCAAATCCACGGCACATAAACTGAAAGGTATGATGTTTTGTCCAAGACAACGCATGTCTCTAAACAAAGAAGTCTGTACCTACAGTCCAGTCAATCTAATCTAATCTCCCCCTCGCAGCAGCTGCCCATCCCTATTCATCATCACTATCATCGGCACCTCCAAACCCAAAAGCGAACGAGAATCCTATTCCGCCCTCCTTTTTCTCCTTTTTCTCACCCACCAGGTCGCCCCACCTATTTCGCTTCTTGTTTCTCTTCCTCGCCTCGATAGCGTCCCTAGCCGCCGCAAGTTCTTTCGGGAACGACTCCTCCATGCGCTGCACAAACAGGCCGTACGGGTCAGCAACACGATCGCAGTTAAACCCACTCACGCTCTGCCGCTGCACATCCAGGAACTCCAGGGCCGCGGGGAGTTGTGTGCTGGGAATAAAGTTCTGGGTGAGTGCCAGCGAGGGCGCAGTGTTAACTACCAGGTGCCACCAGCCTATATATGTCTCCATCAGCAACTGTACACGGATCACTCGGCGACGGAAAATCTGCCTACCGGACGGAACATGCAGGACCTCGCCCGCGCGGCAGACACCCTCGATGCAGCCCTGCATTCCCCTCGCGGCACGGTGGAAGCCCACCAGCCACTCGGCGATACTGAGGGGACTAGTGACCTCGCTCTGGTCCTGAGAGACGAAGACGCCGGGCGGCGGGGTGTTAGGCGGAAACATTATCCAGTACTTTTCGCCCTGGAGCACGGCGTTCCACGCCGACGTTGCGTTCGGGTCCTTGTGGAAAGTGCTGCCGCTGCGAGCGGGGCCCAGGATGAGCCAGCGGTGGTCGGGGCGGTCCGCTCCGAGGACCTCGAAGAAGTCCCGGCCGAAGCATGCCGGCGCCGCGAAGCCGGATTCCAGCGCGCCCTGCGTCTTCGTGACGAAATGCCGGTCGAATAGGTACAGTGGGCTCTCGTCCGTTTGGTTCTCCATGTAGGAGATGTAGTCGCTCAGTCTCCAGTCGACGCTTTCGGCGCGGAACCGCACGTCGCCGTATGAGCGCTCGAGGGATTGGTAGGTCCAGTGGTCATCGCGGTAGCCGGACCAGGCCTTGACGGGCGAGGTGAGGATGAACGGCATGGATGAGTATTCGCCGTTGAACTGTGCTTCCGTGAGGTCGGGAAACCGCCGGATCTGGTTGCGCGGCGGGATGTTGGAGACGAAGGGCGCCAGCGGGATCTGCGACATGTGGAAGGGGCGGTATAGGGCATCGGAATAGAGGTCTGGTAGGGCGATGTGCACCTCGCGCGATTCTGGCAGGTCGAGGAGCGTGCGACGCCACGTTCCGCGCCAGGTAAAGGCCGTTTCGGAGGCTGCGGATCTGGAGGGGAAAAACGTCAGATGGGTGCACCAGTGGATAGTCAGTCATAGATACCGACTGCCTGCGTGTAACATGGAGAACGTGGATGCTGCCGTGCTATGGCTCTTGTGCGACATGCGACGAATGGCTGCGAACGATGGTGGATGCAGGGCCGCGCAAAGGGCAAAGCATTCCACGCAGACATCTCACGGACATCTGACAGAAATCTGACACACAGGCGGGCAATTCGGTTTCTACATACCCGATGAACAGGGCCTTCCACAGCTCCTCGGTGCGGCTGAAGCCATACAATGCTTTGCTGGTGGCAGCGAGCGCATTCAGATCGTCGGCAACAAGATATCCCAGCACCTGGAGGATCAGCTCGTCGGGGAAGAGGGCGAGCTGGCCGCAGGATGTGTCACGCAGATTGGTCGAGGACGTGAAGGCGTTGCCGCTTGGCTTGATGCGGAGAGGGTGTGGCTGGATGATCTCTGTTTCCGCATCTGTTTCAACCGTCGCCGCGGCCGCCGCTGTTTCCTCAGTTTCTTTTGCTTTTGGTGGTGGTGGTCCGGCATGTGCAGCACTGACGTCGTCGTGCAGGGAGCGTCCGTTGGGCAGGGTGGATTTTAAACGTTTCGACGGCGGAGACTCCCCGTGAGCCAGGGAAAAGAGCGAAGGGGCCATCGAGCAGAGGGAAGATTTCGAGAACGGTTTTGGAGGTGGATGAGGTAGGAGATGAGCGGCCACAGCAAGAGAGTGTGTACATAGGAGGTGAGGCTTGTAGGGTGTGATTTTCTTTCACGATTTTCCCGTCACTAAACTACAAAGGTAGATAACGGGCTACCAGGAAGAGTAGTAGATATTTGCTAAGGTACATCATGCCTATGATACTCAAGGACTTTCCCTTCCTCTGTTGTTGCGCTGACATCTTTCGTCTGGTTTTGCACGCGTGAGTTGGCACGTTTGATTCGATGCGGTTTGGCGCAGGTAAGGTTATTTTTGAGCTCTAAGGCCTTTGCCGTGGAGCGAGGGGATGTGTATCATGTAAGCATGTAGTGTGAGGGGGAAGGAGGAGGAGGGGGAAGGGCAGACATCGCGACTCCGGATCCGTTCTTTCGAACTTCTTCACGGCAAAAGGACTGGCCGTTCATGACTCATGGCTCGTGCCTCATGACTCATGGGCACAGTGCTTCACCGGTGCAGAACCGTACGAGCAGAGCAAGCAAGCATGTAGAGAGGACCGTACGACCAGAGCAAGTATCGAGAACCGTCTCCTCCCACGCCGCTCCCCGCGTGCTGTATAGGACCAGTAGCGCGAGCCGCCGCAGTGGTGGGAAGAAAGGCGGTCTTCGCAGCCATGGGAGAGATCGGGTCTGAGTTTTCGAAAGCGAAGTCGCTGGCTGAATTTTCGTCGTGGCTACTCCCACAATGGAAAGCAAAAAACTCGATCGGGCGATGACTCAGCTGAAAGAAACTTCGAACGGCGAGAAGCGATTGGCTGGGTGGGTCGAGAGTGCGCACAGTTGGTGGCGGGGCCAGAGGCCAGAGAAGTGAGAGAGAGAAAAAAAAAATTGAATGCAACCCACAAAACCCGCCCCACCAACACCACCGCCAGCCCTCCTCCCCCTCCATTGTTTTCGATAACACAACCATCTTCCCCACTACCCATACCACAACCACACAACCAAAAAACCACCGTAATAAAACTTCTCTCCGTTCGCTCGCAAAGACCAGTCTCCTTAACACTTCCATAGTTCACATCCAGGCCGTCTTTCGTCCGGATACACCCCGCGCACACATAACTACCACAAAACACCACAAACACAACTCGCCCAGCATGGCTACTGAAGGTCTGAAGGACGTCGAGGTACGCATCTCTCCATCTTGTCACCGCATCTCTTCTCGTCGTGCGACTTGCGCTCTTCTCCTATCGAGAAACTGGCGGCACCTTTCGCTCGCTGTGGTTGGCGGTCGCTCAACGTCGCGGCGGGGAAATTGCGGGGTTGTTGTAGTGGCCCGATGGCCACAAGAGGCTAACCCGCCATCTCGAACAGGGACAAATCGAGTCCAACTACGATGAGACTGTCGACAACTTCGACAGCATGAACCTGAAGCCCGAGCTTCTGAGAGGTATGCCTTCCCCGTTATCCCCTCACCCTTTGTGCGACTGCGACTCCGAAAGTCTACGTTGCTTTACATTTTGAGCCTCATCTTTACACCTGTAATGAACGAATGCTGACCTGTGTGGCTTTTAGGAATCTACGCTTACGGTTTCGAGCGCCCCTCTGCTATCCAGCAGCGTGCTATCCTACCCGTTATCAACAGTATGTCTCCCTCTCGACAGACGTCAACCGTCTGGCGCACATGAGCGGAACCCACGACTTCTAGTCGTTTCGTTTTCACCAGATGTTGCGTCGCACATGTATGTCCGCTCGTAAGGCTGACATTGTCTCCAGACCGCGACGTCATCGCCCAGGCTCAGTCCGGTACCGGAAAGACCGCTACTTTCTCCATTTCGGTCCTGCAGAAGATCGACCTGAGTGTCAAGCAGTGCCAGGCATTGATTCTTGCCCCCACTCGTGAGCTGGCTCAGCAGATCCAGAAGGTTGTCGTCGCCATCGGTGACTTCATGAACGTCGAGTGCCACGCCTGTATCGGAGGTACCGTCGTCCGTGACGATGTCAAGATCCTCCAGGACGGTGTCCACGTCGTTGTCGGTACCCCTGGACGTGTCCACGACATGATCCAGCGTCGTGCCCTCAAGCCCGATGCCATCAAGCTCTTCGTCCTCGACGAGGCCGATGAGATGCTGTCGGTATGTGACCGATTCCTCCACAGATCCCGATAATGTCACTAACGCCCTTTTCCAGCGTGGTTTCACCGAACAAATCTACGACATCTTCCAGCTGCTTCCCCAGAGCACCCAGGTCGTCCTTCTTTCGGCCACCATGCCCCAGGACGTCCTCGAGGTCACCACCAAGTTCATGCGTGACCCCGTCCGCATCCTCGTCAAGAAGGCTGAGTTGACCCTCGAGGGTATCAAGCAGTTCTACATTGCCGTGGAGAAGGAGGAGTGGAAGCTCGATACCCTGTCGGACTTGTACGAGACCGTCACCATCACCCAGGCCGTCATCTTCTGCAACACCCGCAGAAAGGTCGATTGGCTCACCGAGAAGCTCACCGCCCGTGACTTCACCGTCTCTGCCATGCACGGAGATATGGACCAGACCGCTCGTGACTTGATCATGAAGGAGTTCCGCTCCGGCTCTTCGCGTGTGTTGATCGCCACCGATCTGTTGGCCCGTGGTATCGATGTCCAGCAGGTTTCCCTGGTCATCAACTACGACTTGCCCGCAAACCGTGAAAACTACATTCACAGAATCGGTCGTGGAGGTCGTTTCGGACGCAAGGGTGTCGCCATCAACTTCGTCACTGCTGTGAGTATCCCCTGGACGAGAGGTTCTTCTGTAAAAAAAATTGTCGCTGATTTCCATCACAGGAGGATGTTCGCATGATGCGTGAGATCGAGCAGTTCTACTCCACCCAGATTGAGGAGATGCCCATGTTTGTTCCCTCCAGATTTCTTTTGCCGCCAGCGGCTAACCAAGCAATTATAGGAACGTTGCCGACCTTATCTAAGCTCGCCATCCTCATACCTTTCATACCACGTTTGAGTGTAGGGAGCTCGATAATATAAAAGTTTCTTTCTTTCTTCGGTTTTCCGGATGGCTCCTCTAGGGATTTTTGTTTGCTCGGCTGGGGGGTTTCGGAGAAATAAAAGGAAACATAGGGTGGAGACATTGGATTCAACAAGGAGGTATCAAAAAAAAAAGTTTGCAACCTTTTGTGTCCGATCTTTTTCTTCTTTTCTTCGATCTCATGTTCTTTTTGTTTCTTTCTGAAGGTGTATGGCTGGAAGGCGTATTTTTTCTGCGTGAAGATTTCCGTTCCAGTCATGTTTTTTTCTCTACCTGTTTCTCTTTCTTTGTGTTTCGGATTGTGCCCTTTCCCCTTTTCCTCATGTGAGATGGTTTACGACTGGAGTGGTTGGTTTTCTTTGTTCGTTTTTTTTCTCTTGCTCTTTCAATTCTATGGAACTTTTTTGCTCCTTCTTTCTTCTACTACAGCGTGCGAGAAAAAGGTGGGCGGCGGCGGGTGGTGGGTGGTTTACGGGCGGCGGGTGGGCGTGCTATAGACTATTTCGAAGTTGATCTTGAAGTTGATTCTGAAGTAATTCTGAAAGCCGGTAGAGGTGGTGATGGTGTGCTATGCCGTGCTGTGCGAGAAACTGTCGTGGTGAAGATAGGTACAGTACCGAGGTGTAGACTGCCATGACTGCCTGGTAGTGAGATATAACTCTGTACAAACTTGCCATACCATTTAACTCTTCCATCCGATTTCGAGAATTTTACACTAGGTCTGCATCTCCAGAACCAAGTGATATCATACATGAGCACGGGAGAAAGTGCCTGAGAGGGGCGAGTGATATCGGTGCCCGCTGCGGGTGGGTATCGCCGCATCGGCCAATCGCAACAGCCGTGGGGATTGAATTGGTCTTTCACACCTCACACCTCACCTGCGGCCCGCAACTTTCAGGACCGCGCAGGGCAGGGTGGCTGGCTGGCTGGCTGGCTTATTGGCTTGTTGAACCAACGGATTTGTGCGTAGAGGGAGAGAGCGAGGGAGGGAGCGAGAGAGGTCTATGGCTCTTTTTCAGCTCGCCGCTCCCCGCCGTTCATCCAAATTATCCATCCATCCATCCATCCGTTCATTCAGCTGCAAAACAAAGCACAGCCGCAAATGATCGCTATGTAATGCGCACGGTATGTGCTTTGATTCACCCACTCCCCGCCCCCACTTCACATCTCACATACCCATAAACCCCCACCCCATCCCACTCACACCCCATCCTCGGTCTTCTTGTGGGTGTGTGGGTTTGTATTTCTTCGAGCGGGCAGTGCTGAGTGGTTTGTAAGTATTTCCGCTCCTTCCTCCTCATGCCCAATTAGCGCTGATTCGCTGAATTGGCGGCCGCGGTCCGTTCGGTCTCTCTTCGGCTGGCTGGCTATTGATTAATGACTAATGATCATTCCCGCTGTTCGCGATACTTATCAAGTACCTGGTTAACTAGTGGCGGGCGGTGGACGGTGGGCGATGTTTCATTCCCTCGCCGCCTGCCCGCTAGCACGCCAGCACGCTTTTCCGAGACCTCTGGCTGATTCTGATATACCTACCAGTGGTTAGTGCTTCCAGTGTATATAATACCTATCGATGGTGATCTACCTTCTTACTGCCTAGAGTAACAGGTACCTATCCGGTTGCTGGCAGCGGATCCAGAATCTCAAAGAGTCGAAAAGTCGAAGCTTCCCCAGCTTCCCCAGCTCCCCTTCAGCTACCCAGAATCTTCCGGTGAAGTGAAGTGAAGTGCACACCTGCACAACCTGCCTACTTGGGTGTGCACCCTGGATGGCAGCTGTCTTGTGGCTCTGATTTGTGGAAATTCGGACCTGTCATAGTTATCATAGGTACTTCCCTGCTGTTTATCTCGTACTGTGTGCTTGTAAGTTGTATGTAGGGGGGCACCCTGGATCACGGTTTTTCCTGTGGGGCTTCTTGTATGTACCAAGTGTGTATGTGGACCCGTGGTAGATCCTCGCAGGGCGAGCCTCGGAGTGAGTATCATACTTTTTGCCCAACTGGAACGTGGCCCGTGGGTGGTTAACTACGGTTGTCCGAGTGGCCGGATGGCCGCCATTAACAATCCATAGGTGAGTACATGCCCCGCTGGTTGGCCGCAATCGTCGGCGTACTCGACCTATTGCTATCGAAACATGCGGACCACCAATTGCCAAGCACGCCTGCGAGCTGAAGAAGAGGGATGGATACCTATGATACTATACCTACCTGTGTTGTTCTGCACGCTTCTCGAGTCTCGACGATCAATGTCCAGCAGCCTGCGCGCAGGGGCCTGGGTGGTACATCATAGGGTACTCTACATATGCTCGGAGGATGACGCGGCTCGAACACTACTAGGTATGATAGATACATCACAGTTATGCAAACCCTGCCGTTGATCCAGCCGGGCAGCCGGAGCCGAGCTCTTGCGACTCGAGAGTCGAGGTGACTGCTTGGGTACTCTAAACACCCACCCAGTCACTGCATTGCACCACGTCGTTTGGCAGCCCGGCGGTGGTCTCGGCATGAGACCGAGTCACTAGGTAGATGACTCCAGGAATGACTGGACATGCTGCAACGTGCTAGGTAGAGTAGGTAGAGTAGCAGTATTGTTGATGGAACCGGGGAGGGGCGATGTATATCGCGATCCTCAGTCGTCGAAGCTTCATCCCTACCACTCCTCCCACAGCACTCCGCGCAACACCGGTACCACCGCATCTCAGCCCAACATTCACCAGTGGTGCATGCTCTTGGATCCGGGCACTTTTGAAGTCGTCCAGTAGCGGAGTGGTATGTAGGGACGTCGTCGTGGACGAGAGGGTGATCTTGGCTGCTCTTGCAAGGGTATCGGTGTCGCTAGCTACGGGATCGTCCTTTGGCGTTGCGAGCCGCACGCGGTCACGGTCACGGGACTGGGCAACAGCAGATGGGACCAAACAAACCTACACCTACGGTACCCTCCACCACCACTCTACCTCCTACATATGCTTCAAACTCCCTACTGGCTCCAACTAACTAACAACCCCGCCGCTCTTCTTCTGATCCATTCAACCGTCCGCTCGACATCCGAAACACTTCTCGCACGATGATGTTGAATGCAGCCAATTGCATCTCCGGCCTGGGCGGACGCCGCAAGTGTGCACCTGCCGCATGCTATGTACCACCTCTGTTTCCGCACCGTGCACAGCCACTACATTGGTGCTGAGGATATTGGTTTCTGAAGCTGAAGAAACTGGAGTCGGCTCGATGGATGAGCTCGAAATGAGTATGAACAGCTTCTTGCTATGTAGGTAGGTAGTCTACTCCGAGGTCCTCAATCATAATATCCGCCCCGAAGCTTTCGTCGAGACAAGCCCCGTTGGATTGGCCCTGATACTCAGCCATGTGCATTGCCGACATGGCTTGGAGCATGATCGTTACTGGTGCAGTGTTGCTACCTGGCCCATCTTATGTACTCTGATTGTACTCGAGGAACATCAGAGAGCACGTCGTCGAACTGGTAGAGAAACTCGAGAAACCCACATGGTTCGTTTGATCTGTTTAGTGGCGGATGAGCTACCTACTTGGAAACGCACGATATCCTTCTTCCTATGTGGTTACGTTCTTGACGGTGTCAAGAAAGCTCTCGGAGGCGTATGGGATCCGGACGTTCTCCGTCCAGCTTGTGGATGGTCCTTCACTGACACACTGACCGCCACAGGAATCGAGAGCTACTCTTATCACATACAAGCACATAATTACGGTTCATACAGCCAGACCTGTGAATCGGGCGCCCAGTCCGTCATTGGGAATGCCCGAGACGAGACGAGACGGAATCAATCGGGCCCAAACACGGAGGAAAACGGGTTTCGGGATCGTGCAGAGGAAGACGTCTGACGAATATCCCACCGGGCCCTACGTAGAATGAGGTTCACTTCCGTGACGGACGGAATTTCGGGTTTCCCAACAACCGTCGGAACAAAACACTAGTTACTCTAAACGGCCCGCCACGCTACTCTATTATATAGTTCTCGGCCCCCATTCGGGATCCTGACATTTCCAATTTTCCATCCCCACTGCCCAGATTGGACGGCCCCGGCTGCGGAAAAGACGGCCCCACACCCCCCGGGCCCTCCATTGATCTCCGCCCGGACGTTCAAATCCCCAGCCCTGTATACTCCACTAGGTATGCAGCCTGGTCCGAAGGCGCAGTGCGAGGACTCCGGAGATCCACAGGTTGCAATTTGCACGTGTGAATTCGAAAGTTGAAACGGGGCTGCAACTCAGGTTTCAACAAGCAGTGGCCGAGCACCTGAGGGAGAAGGGAGAAAAGACTTCCGCATACCCACGTGCGACAGTTGGGAGGATTACGGCGTTGCTCAGCAATTACGAGTGTTCCGATTTTCCTCACGCACTCCAGTCTCCAAGCACTCCATCTACCTACTTCGGACGAAGATGCATATGGCGATCCCTATCCTGTCCAAAAGCCCCTAACAGTCGGTTAGAATAAAGCCGGCAAAAAAAACCAATTTTTTTCTCTCTTTCGGAAAACGGAACAGAGATTGGGCTGGGCTGAGCTGGTATTTGAGGCTAACTATGGCCCAAGGGGTCCAGATGTGGTGGTGATTCCGTGATTCCGCGATTCCGTGATGATGGTTATGCTACCCGAGTAGGCACCTGGGTCCTATCATATGCGAATAGTTACATAGGAGTACCGTACCTATCTCCAGGTACAAAACTACATAACCACATCCGGGAGCCAAAGAAAGAAAACTCAAAAACCGAAAACGAGAAAACCGCAGGCTTTGAATTTGGCTCTTCCGCAAACTCCGGCTCTCGCACGAAACGGTAACCAACGGGGGAGTCGGGACCACTGGGACCACTGGGACATGCTGTGATGCTGCACAGGGACAGGGTTTTCGTTTCGTATCACTCGAGAGGTCAGGCTCGGCGGCGAGATCGACAGCTGCAGCCCGCCCCCCCTCCCCCCCTCCCCCTCCCGCCCGCCCCCGAGGAGAAGAAGTGGAGGAAGGAATTCGGAACAACTTCTCTACTCTGGAGTAGAGTAGAGTCTACCGTACTGGGCGGTTGCGACCGACACTACGATGATGAAGTACCGATAGAGATAGTAGTTCGGATATCGCGGCCTTGACAAGCGCTCCTAACGTACCTACTAACTATTATTTAGTAGCGGAGCGGAGGGCATTGACCTCGACATATATATTACTACTAACTATTACTAGTAGTACTACATAGCAGGAGGGTTGCGCTATGATGGACGGGTAGACACGCTGCATGAAGAGAGGTCCCGACGACATCCGCCGAACGCTGGGCGCGCGGGGGGCGGGGGATGATCCCTTGTTATCCGTCGACATCGTCGCCAGCACGATTCCGGATCTACCTAGGTCCTACATACGGTATCGCATCAACTTGCTCGACCGACTCAAGTCTCGAGCGCTCCAGCGCTCCAAGCCTACAACCTCCAACAGTGAACACAGCTTTCGGCGAAAACCCGCAGGCGTGCATCTATCTACTCATCCATGTCCTGAGATACATACATAGATACCTACGGCATCGATCGGCTTCGGAAGGGCGCCGCATGCAGCAGCAGCAGCAAGGATAGGAGAGGATAACTACGAGTCTGCGACTCACCTGGGGCTTTCTTTACTCGAAGTACTGGATACCTATTCTACTGGGGCCGCGAGGAAGTCTTCTACGGTTCTATACCCGGCGTTTGGAAGACCTTTTCAGCTGGTCCTGGTAGTTGGGCGAACCACTCGGATTCCAGGGCTGCGCCAAGGGAAGCCCGTCAAAAGTCCGCGGGTCAACCGAACGTCTCGTTGTAGTTATGTGTGTATAGTACGCTCTCCAGGTCTGCGGAATGGAGCTCGAGTGCCGAATGCCGAGGACCGGAGTACAGTACATACACGCAAAATGGCACGACAGATGCTGTGTATACTATAGTAGGTACTATGGTTGCCGACGGAATAGACGGATAGGTGGGTACGGAGAAAGATTCGGCGCCGCGGATTGAAGTGGATTGGAGAATATCGGTGCCAACGGGGCCGGTAGTGGAGATGCGGGGACCGGCGGAGATTTGGTAGAGACGGCGAGGTTGAAGTCGAGGTCGGAAGATCAACCGGTCTGGTAGTGGGGATGATCGCAGATTCACAGTGGGGGAGTTTCGACTTGTTATAAATGTATAATACGTGGAGTATTAATGTGATGTCTCGGCCGAGGCACACTCCGATGGGGACCGGCGGCGGCGGCATGACGTGTGGGCGTACGAGAGAAGAATCGAATGGTCTATGTACTGCCTATATGCAGCGGGAAAGGTGTGCGATGAAGAATCGTTCGTTGAGTACGGTTCGAGAAGGGCCTGATATCTAGACTTATCTAGTTAAATCCCGGTCCGATTCACAACGCCACAGGTCCCGCGATCAGCCGGTAGGCCGGACGGGGCACGCGGGGTACGGTAGCTAGTACTTACCTAAGAGAATGCGTGTAGATGTTCATCCGGGATTGCGTCTTCTTCATGTTCCTCCTCTTCTTCTTCTTCCCTCCCATCGTTTCTCGTGCGCTCAGCCTCATCCTCAGCCTCAGCTCAGGGCATCCGATCTGTACCTCGTATGCATACGTACATGAATACATAATTCGATTCTCGTGCTGCAGGCTGCGATGGATAGCGATAGTCCACTATTATAGGGCCATAGGCACATCGTGTTGGTTGGTTCGTGTTTGCGACGTGCGCCGCTGCTGGAGTGTCTGCAGGCCCTGTGCAGGGAGTACCCCCCCAGGGACCCAGGACTAAGTTATGCGTCTATTTTCGGGGCCATGACGACGCCTGCCCGTCGCACGTCGCCCACAACAGCCCTCACCGTCCACCCACGCTCACCCACGCCCCATCGCCAGTCCGGGAGGGTGGAGTACCGAGCCGATCATCAGATAAGATGGGTACCCGTTGGCAACGAATGCGAGGGAACCTCTTGCCGTTGCGGGCGCCGCGGCGTAGGTGGCTGGCTGGCTTGCCAGGCAAGGTTTATATGTACTGCTGAAGAGGGAAAGCAGATACCCAGAGCACTCTATACGTATGTAGCGGTGCCGGATGCCCGGGAGGGGCAGTTCGAACTGGAACTTCGAGCTGCTGCAGCAGGTCCTCTGCATCCTCTGCATCCTGGGGTGCGCTGCTTGTAACTCTATGTACTTGCCTAGGTACATGCCTCAACTGACATGAGGCGTTGTTTTCTCTCGTCATCACTGATTCCGAACATAGCCCACACATATACTCTACCCTACTCTACCTCTTCCCAGCCAACATCCACACACACCCACCCACCACCCCCGGCCAGTCTCCTCCTCCTCCTCCTACATTTCCACCGCTTGTGGTTGAGCCCTCTCGTCACTCCCTTCTCTTCCTCGTATTCCTCCTCGATCTCACCGTCATCCCATCTCCCCCGCGCTCAGTATACTTACTAAGTACTTACCTACCGACCTACCTGGCGGCATCAGTTCATTGTTTTTGTCAGAGTTATGAATTGAAACTCTCCATCGGTTTACCAGGTGCCACTTATTGAAAAGACGAATTCCTGGTTCCAGTGCTGTTGTATCCGCCATTTCCGCCAGTTCCCGCCTTTCGGATCTCGAAAATCCCCCTCCGTCGAAATCCCTACCTACCTATTTAATCTTCCCCGTTTCTCTCTCGCTCTTCGAACCTACCGTTCCTGCACTCGTTTTTGAAAGGAAATCGCTTTTCTTTGACGCAAAGCTCCTACAATACCTAACCGCAAATACCGGCCGACTTGTCGACTGACCTGACTACCTCTCGGAATCTCACGGCTTACTTGCGTATAACCTCGAAAGGCTCCTCTGCACGTTGTATAATTCTCCGGAAACGCCGGATAGAATCCCGAACCGGAAACAGTCGAAAAGGCCGCTCCGTCCGTGGGTGAGGGGGGGATAAGACATCCACAATGACTCGCGCTCGATGTAGGTGATCCTGCCGCGTTAATTTCTTCTTCCTCTTCTTCTTCTTCTTTACCCAGTTAAGGCCAGCCGAAGAAAAAAAAAGCGGCTGAGACCTTTTGGCGTTCTCAGCCCGGGCAAAAGTAAAAAAGAAGAAAGTCGTTGGGCCGAGGGGGGCATAGTACTCTATAGGCGCGGAGGCTGACACCCGTATCCGTGGCGCCTGCACAGCATGGTCCGCCTCCTTCACCAGCATCCTCTCCTCAAAGTCCTCTTCCGACTCGCGAGATAAGAAGGACAACGGAACAGGAGTAGGAGGAAGGAACCGCCTACGACGCGAAACTTTGAACTTGACCCCGGACTACGGCATCGCGACGCACGTTACCGCCGCCGACTCCAACTCTCCTACCTCGACTACGCCCCCCCACCCGACTCTCACCAAATCAAGACCGGCGTCGAGGCCGTTGAGCATCATGCAGATCGCGCCGTCCCGCGTGGAGGTCGAGGAGGATACGCTACCAGAGCTGCAGCCCGCTTTCAATCTACTCAACATACATTCGGAGAAGTTATATACTGAGGGTTATTTCTTGAAGCTGGCAGATCTTACACCGGGTGAGTGCATTCTTGCGCTTTGTATGGGGGGCGCGCGAGTGGGAGGATAGAGACGGGGGGAGGGGCGAGGGGGGTGGGGGGAGCGAAGGGGATAGGGAAATCTTGGACCGCGCACTGGACCCTGAAAAAGATGTGGAAGCTGACAATTTCCCCTGGATTTTGGCTCAACAGATGGAAAACCGAATGCCGACAGAACGTGGAAGGAATGTTTTGCGCAGTTGCACGGCACAGTGCTGTCGTTGTGGGATGCTGTGGAGTTGGAAACATCGGACCAGGGCACCGGCGTCGCGCCAATGTTCATCAATCTCACTGATGCGTCCATCAAAATGGTTAGTCAAGTGCAAACACGGCCACTCCCGACGGGACGGGCGGATCAACTAACGTTGGGGGGTTGCGCTGGTCTAGATCGATAAGATGCCGACACAATCACCGAATATCCCTCCTCTCACCAATGTCCTGCGCATATCTACAGCCGGACGAAATCGTTACCTTTTCCACTTTAATTCGCATCACTCGCTCGTTCAATGGACGGCCAGCATACGGTTGAGCATGTTTGAGCATGCTAAGTTGCAGGAGATCTACACTGGCGCGTTGATTGCGGCGAAGGGAAGAACATTGAACGGAATCACCCAGATTACGGCCAAGACAAACTTCAAGTACGAGGACTGGGTCAGAGTGAGATTTGGTGCCGGTACTCCGTGGAGAAAATGCTGGGCCGTCATCACGCAGCCCGACGAGAAGGTCATCAAGAAGGCGAAGGCTGCCGCCAAGAAGGCAGGCAATACTTCGTATCCACAGCACCCGATTTTCAAGGGAGACATTAGATTCTACGATTCCAAGAAGAGCAAGAAGCAGGCTCCCATCGCGACCATCGTGGATGCATATGCAGCGTACGCGATGTACCCGCAGGCCAAACAACTCATCGACATGTCCAGCTTGATCAAGATTGAGGGCAGAATAAGGATCCATTCGGACGAGCAGTCGGAGAGCGAAGGCTTCGTGTTTCTCATGCCGGACATTCACCCGGCCATCAGTGGATTCGAAACTCTGCTGCGGTGCTTGTTCCCGATCTACGACACATTCGCCCTCTACGGACGGCCTGGCAGGCTGATCCCCGATAAGACGGATCCTAGGAGCCTGATGTTCGCCATGCCCGTCGATACCAGCCTGCAATGCGGGTATTTAGAGGTCGTGGACGTTGTCAACATCGTCGTGACGGACGGAAGCAAGATCAAGTTGGAGTCGGAATGGAGGGACAGGCTGAAGGGCGCGACGCAAGAAAAGATCACCATGCTGTTGGATCGTAGGAGCAGGCCACGCGCAAGCATGCCGCCGGCACCACGCATCGCCTTCAACCCCGGATCGACATCATCGTCTTCCGGTCAATCGCAGCAGGCAGACTATCCTCCGCAGCATGTGCCACTGACTCCGGGATTGATTCACCAGCACAACAGATCGGCCTCGGAGGCAACTGGATTCATGAACTATCGGGGACAGAAGCCAACAGCACCGACGTCTTACTTCGCGAACGCTTCTGGGAGCAGCAATAACCGATACGACAACAATGTCCCGTCCTCGGGCCACAGTGAGACCTCGTCGGACGATAGCCTCTTCCAAGTCAGTCCCGCCGCCCGTCGTTTGCAGCAACAGACCAACCAGCCACCGCCCGAGCCCGTTCCCGTAACACCTACTTCGTTTCGCCCACCAAGCTCAAGGCCGCCGCAGCTGCCGTTGCCAGACATAGAGACTTCCAGCAACATGTTTGCTGGGGTTGTTCCGCCCAGGAATCCAAGCTTTTCCCACGGAAAACCGACGGTGGCTCGCAAGGCCGTACCGACCAGTCCTACCGGTCAACCACCGCAAGTCGCGCAACATCGGAATGGAGAGGAGAGTCAATTGGAAGCACCGCCCGGGTTTGCACTGCAGTCTTCGCACATAGTTCTTAGAGGCCCGCCGCCCAGAAACGACGAAAAGGAAGGATTTGATGACGAGTATGCGGACTACCCGCCGCCAGGGAGACCGATGTCACAAGAGTACACCGATCAAATACTCCGAAATGAGCCGCAAGCCAACCAGGGTCCTCCAGCGCCTGAATACACCGAACACAACCGTTCGTGGCAGCTGACTCCCCCATCCGAGAGAGATTACCGCGATATGCCTCCTACTCTCCCGCTGTCGCAACGCAAAACGCCTCCTCAAGCCAACAGCAGGACTCAACCACCACCTCTCAACACGAATTTTAGCCAGAGGTCCGTTGCTGCTGCTGCTGCAGAGAACAATACTCCCGACAGCACCACTGATCTTCCGCATCTGATCGACCAGAAGACGCTGGATAAGATTGGACCACAGCGACGGGACAGTCGTCGTTCAGTCGAGAGTTCGTCCGAAGATGAAGATACTCTTGATCGTAAGGCGATTGCAAGAGTGCAGAAGGTTTTGGCTGGTGGTGATAGCGACAGCGAATACGACGACGATGACAATGATGAGGAATCGGACAATGAGCCGGACTACGCAAGCAGCATCGATTCGCGTGCGGCAGCACCAAAGCGAGACGCCGATTTGCCTCGAGCTGGACGTATGAAGATCGTGGGCCAGAAGCCGGAACCCGAGGTTGTCATCGGTGATGTACACTATCGGCCTGGTTCCTCGGGAAAGCCACTCGAGCCGACGGACATCCCAAAGGTTGATTTTGGTATGACATTCAGCCACGGAAGATGTCTGTCGACGGATCTGAATGCGAAGGGCGTTCCGAGGAGTACTGTTGCTGGGGGTACTGTTGCTGCGGTTGAGCCCGAAACCTTCCCAACTCCGCAACGGGGTACAGTGGTTGGTGGTGGTGGTGGCAGCGGTCGGGGGAATCATAGTCGCGCACCCTCCATGTCGTCTGGGGGAAACCGCGAATCTCCGAGTTCTGAGGAACACTTGGGGAGACGGAGGAGTATGGCATGGCAGCCTGGTATCGTGCCGCCGCCAAACAACAACACCGACCGCACCGCCGCTGAACGATATGTTAGCGAGAGAGCTGCGCAAGCAGCCGCCACCAGCCAATCACGCAACCGCCAACTGCATCACAGGAAGCCATCCAGCACCGCGCCGACCCCTCAGCGGAATCAGTCGGTCGAGCATCTTCCCACCAGGCCGGCTTCCCGCGGCCCCAATGCAGCCTTCATGGCCCACGGCCTCGTGTCGGCACCGGATCTCTCGACCCATCTCTCGGCGCGCGAGCAGGAATACGTAGCTCGTGTGACTGGCTCGACGCTCCTCCACATGGAAGGTGTTCAGACCAATAATCCGCCGCACAGGGCGGGCCTCATCGGAGCCATCCATTCGAGGGAGACGGAAAAGCAGCAGATCAAGGAATCGTTCCAGCGCGGAACTTCTAGCATCACGGTCGAGCAAGAGATTGCGAGGCGGCAGCAAATGCAGGCGGCGAAGGAACAGGCCATGAGGGCGGGAAGGACGCCGAGTCCCAGGGCATTCTCGACGACCATGGACCAGCAGCAGCAGGGCTACTTCCCGCAGCAACAGATTCCGCCGATTCCGGCGCTGCCCCCGCCACCGCCGCCGCAGCATCAGCAGTTGCAGCAGTTCCAGCAGCAGCAACAGTACTTGCAGCAACAACAGTTGTTTCAGCGCCAGCAGTTCCTCCTGCAGCAGCAGCAGCAACATCAGCAGCAGCAGCAGCAGCAGCAGATCTTCTACGCGCAGCAGCAGCAGATGGGGTATGATTACTCTGGTCAACAGGGACAGGGACGTTGAATACCGAGGAGAGATTCAGCGAAGAATGAGTTGATTATTGTGGAATTTTCTTTCTTTCTTTTCTTCATTGTAGAGGTTGCATTTGTTGTCAAGTACCAAAATCTTGCAATTTGAGCGTTTGGGTTTTGTTTTGCTAGGATTTTTTTGTTTGTTTTTGTGTTTGTTTTCTTTTGCATCTGCCTGCCTGTTGTTTTTGGGGATTCATTTTTTCATTTTCGGGGGTTCTTTGGGTGTTCGTTTTGTTTGCCAATAATTATGACTGAAGTAAGTATTTTAACTGGATCTTTTTCTCTCTCTTCGTTTTTTTTCTGGACATGGACGGGCAAAAAGTGGATTTGCATGGAGTGGGGGGATGGGGATGTGGGATGGGGATGTGGGATGGGGATGGATGGGGGATATGTTTCTGTGGGTGTAAATGTTGGAGGGAGGGAGGGAAACGGTCATAATAGTGTGAATCTGCTTAGTGTCAGATACGAAGGCCGGAGGAAGAGGCATGAGGTGGGGAGGAGGCATGTGGAGGAGGCACGAGGAGGACGGAGAATGAGAATGTTTCTTTCTTTTCTTTCTTTCGGAAATTTCGATATTAATTTGCATCTACTCTATGATCTCTACATAAACCTTCCTTCTCATCATCTCATCATCAATCGTGAACCTAACCTATTTTTCCATTCTTTGCAAGGTCAGTCCTGCTGTCCGAAAAGAGAAACGTGAAGGAAGTTGTGAAAGTAATGGGTAAAAGGTGATGTCAGATTCCCAGTTCTAAGCACGAAAGTCTCCGGGTAATCCATGGGAGCCCGGGAACTTCTCATACGGCTCTTCCTGATTGTATTGGGTACGGCTTTGAGCCTTCATCATTGTATCGTTGTTGTGGTTGTGGGGTGGGAACGGGCAGTGGAGGGAGAGGGGGGGGGAGGAACTTACAGGTTGTGATTGACGATGCTGGTTGGTGGTTCCTCTAAACGTTGAGAGATGGAGGAGTGAAGAGGAGGATGGAAGGAAGAAAAAAACCGAGAAGGATAATTTAAGAACCCGTGGGGTGTGCAGGGATGTGTCTTCAACTTTTTTTTTCTCTTTCCACCGACACGCGCGCTCTTTGGAGCGGAGCCGCATCTCACTACAGACGCTATCCACATCCCACCCTGACCTACACCCAGGAAGTATCTACGTAAACTTTTTTTTGCGCAGAGCACTGCACGCCCGCCCCACCACCGCCCCACCCCCCTCCACCACCCTCTACCCCACGGACCAGGGCGCAAACAAGAGCAATGACAGAATCAATGATCACCGCCACAGCGTGGGTGCCGCGCGGCTTCGCCGCCGCGCACCCCAAGCGCATCGAGCTCGACGAGAAGGAATTTGAGCGCATCTCAGAGCTGGCAAAATTGCAGCTCGAGGATGCGAGGGACGAGATGATGGGTGGTGAAAGTGGTCCTGAGGAACACGTAGGGGCAGAGGCTGGGGATGCTATGGAGATTGAACAAGAGGAGGAGGAGGGTGTGGACAAGGCAAAGGCCGCTGCCGCGGCGGCGGAGAGTGGGGCGAATGAAGGGGGTGGGGTGGGAATTGGGGGGAAGAAAGGGAAGAAGGAGAAGGGGGAGAACGGGAATGGGAAGAAGGAGAGGTCTGAGGATATGGATGATGATCTGAGGGAGTATAATCTTGAGGACTATGATGAGCCTACGGAGGAGGAGCGCAGGAGTGGTGGTAGTGAGTCTTCTCGATATGTGGGGTGGGTGGGTTGAAGGGTGTGGTGTGCTGACTGCTGGAAGCACTGGGGATGTTTGGCAACGTCAAGTCGCTGGCGTACTACGAGCCCGGCGAGGAGGACCCATACATCACGCTTGCGCCCAACGGAGAAATGGACGAGGAGGAGCGGGAGGAGCTGCAGATCCTGCCGACGGACAACCTGCTGTTGGTGGGGAAGGTCGAGGATGAGATTGCGCACCTCGAGGTGTACGTCTACGAGGACGAGGCGGACAATCTGTACGTGCACCACGACATCATGCTGCCGGCGATCCCGCTGTGTCTCGAGTGGCTCGATGTGCCGGTCAATCCCGGCTCCACGATTGCGGCGGATGCGCGGGGCAACTTCGTGGCGATCGGAACGACGGATCCAGACATCGAGATCTGGGACCTGGATACGGTCGACAGTATGTTTCCGAATGCGATCCTGGGTGCCGGCGGCGATGAGAAGGCGCGGAAAAAGAGGAAGAAGAAGAAGTCGCCCAAGGCAAACGACGAGTACCACGTCGGCGCTGTCCAGGCTCTCGCGGGAAACCGCCAACACCGCAATCTCCTCGCCTCCGCGTCCGCCGATACGACTGTCAAGCTGTGGGATCTCACCACGACCAAGTGTGCGAAATCCTACAGCTACCACACGAACCAGGTGTGCGCGCTTGCCTGGAACCCGTCGCAGGCAACGACGCTGCTCTCCGGATCTTACGATCGGACCGTGGTGTGGGCGGACATGCGATCGCCGGACGCGAAGCAGCCCACGTGGGGAGTCGAGAGCGACGTAGAGGCGCTCAAGTGGGATCCCCACAACCACAACTTCTTCTACGTCTCGACCGAGTCCGGCTACGTTCACTTCTTCGATACCCGCACGCTCCCCACCACCCCCGCCGACTCGAAACCCGTGTGGACCCTCCAGGCACACGACAAGGCAGTCTCCGCTTTCGACATCAACCCGATCATCCCCGGCTTCCTCGCCACCGGCTCCGTCGACAAGACCGTCAAGCTGTGGAATACCCAGGCGTCCGCCGGAGGCCCCAGCATGGTCGTCAGCAGGGATATGGACGTCGGCAAAGTCTTCTCTACCAGCTTCGCGCCGGACAAGGAAGTGGGCTTCCGACTGGCCGTCGCCGGATCCAAGGGTGTTGCCACCGTGTGGGACACCTCGACGAACGCGGGTGTGCGCCGGGTCTTTGGCGACCGCGTCAAGGTCTCTGATCCCACGAAACCGGATCGTGCGGTCAGGACAAATGCTGGCGACTACGAGAGCGAGAGTGATGACGAGGAGGGTGAGGGCGCGAGCGGTGATGATGATGACGGCGAGGAGGCTGCCGCTATGCCAGATGGATGGGAAAGTATGGATGATGAATAGGCGGGCTGCAGGCGTAATTTGATAACCCGGGTTGTTTTTGTATATAGGTCGCTGTCTTTTTGCTTGGGTTGGGTGGGGATAAAAGTAATTGATTTTCAACACATGGGGTCTCACTCGTGAGGTTGCGTGGCGGTGGATATACCGTTCTTCTAAATCCCAGCCCTTGATCCGCTGCAAACCTCGTAAGGCCAATGGACCGCATATTACGTTGTCCATGAGCTTGCTATGACTCCTGACCAATACCGTACACTCCGGATTCTACATGATCTGAAAAGTATATTCCTCTAACCATGCGAAGCCTCATCCGTGCCGGGACAGCCCTCCATTTCGTCGTCTTCGTACTGCCACTTGCACCAGAAGCAGTACTTGTGTACATCTCGCAAATGCCGGACGATCATATCCAACTTCTCCTCGAACGGCAGCTGCTCAAACTCTTTCAGCTCCTCGTCTTCGTCCTCCAGCCCGTCCCCTCCTCCATCCTCCTCAAAGATCTTGCCCTTCTCTCCCAGTATCCCCGGTTTCACACCCAGCGCGATTTTATCCACCTCGTCGAGCTCGTGCATCCTATGGTAACCGGGCAATCGCGGCTGCCCCAGTCCCTGCTCCATATCGTATCTCATCCTCCTCTCCTGCTCCTTCTCCTCGCGATGCTTGACCAGCCCCCGCCACAGGACATTGATACTCCTCAGCGGGATCTCCCTCGCCTTGCCAATATCGACCTCCTCGACGCCATAGTCCCTGGCCATGTCCAGCTTCTCAGCCACCTTCTGCGCAGCATAGAACTGCGCCTGGAACCGCTTCTCCTCCCTCTCGACCCTAACGCGGTCCCTAAAGTCCTCAGGATCAACCTCTACCCGTTTCGTCGTCCTCCCCGCCGCGCCCGCCTCCTCCTGCAGCTTCCGTTTCATCTCGGCGGCATGCCCAATACCCGCTCTATCCTCCTTGACCGCGACACCAATCGGTTCCAGCACTACATCCCCCCTTTCCCGCCCCTTCTTATCCCCGTCCCCCACCCCCTCCCCCCCCTCTTGCTTCTTCCCTAACCCCCGCCCCGGCGTAAACCCCATCATCTTCATCATGCGCAGCCCCTTATTACTGCGCTCCGCCTCGTCATCGATCAAGCTGCGCTGCAGCGCCGCCTCGCGCTTCTCCTTCTCCTGCCGCGCAAGCTCCGCCTTGCTCTTGGGCCGCCCGCGAGCTTCGGATTCGCGCTGCTGCCGGAGTGTCCGCTGTGTCAATGTCTCCCGGATGGGTAAGGGGTCCGCGATTATCATCGACATGTAATCGTCTTCTTCTTCTCCGGAGGCGGTGGGGGCGGGGGGGGGAGGGGCGGTAGTGGTGGAGGGGGTGGAAGTGGGGGCGGCAGAAGGCGGTGGTGGTGGTGCGATGATCGCTGGACTGCTGGTGCGCCCCCGGCGGGGCGGCGGCGGTGTGTCCTCTTCCGATGAGGAGTGCGATAGGAGTAGGCGCTTGCCGGGGCGCGGTGGGGGTGGCATCTTGGTGCTGCTCGTGGTGGTGGTGGTGGTGATATGGAGTTGTGCGGTGGGGTGGGATAGGTACGCGTCGGTGAGCTGAGTGTTAAGCAGTAGTTATGGTGGGGTTCGCGGTTCACACGCGGGAGCATGGGGTATCACTCGTCTTTGGCGACGTGAAGGATCGGATTATACTTTATTTTTACACCAACGATGCTCGAGTTGCTGCGGAGTTTGGACTGGTAGATGTCGGGTTGGACAGTGGACGGTGAACAGTGGACTTGGAACGGTGTGTGTATATTGGGGAGAGGGAGAGGGAGAGAACATCCCCGCTCCGCTCTCTTCCCAGATCGGCTCTGCTCATTCAGCCCAATCCTCCCAAGCCCACCACCACTCATCACTCATCCTACATATGTAACAAATGTCACTTCCCATATACTTTAGATCCTACACACAAGAACCGCATCAACCGCCAACCACCATGGACATCATCATGACGGAAGGACCATCTGGATTCTGGAACGCTCGCAATGCAATCGCCCAGGCAGAATCAACCAAGCTTCAGCCGTCCCGTTATTACTAGTATGTAGAACCATCTACCTAATGTACCTCCCGCCCACTTTATCCCCCGTATCCTACAAGGTATTCTATTCGATTCCAGTTCCAGTTCCAACGCCAATGAACAACCCACTATGCACTATGATAATGTACAATACAAATATACACGCAAAACAAAATAACTCAACCAAACCAAACCATCTATACACCCAAAACGCAACCATATCACGCCTTCTTCTCCAGCCCGAGCACTTCCATATCGACGCCCTGCACGCCCATATCCAACCTAGCACGCAGGACATCATCATGGGCAAGTACACTATCGCCGAGCTCCCTCTTCAAGAGGACGGTAAGACTCTGCAGGCTCCCATCCTCCTCCTCGATCCTGAGTGGTCTGCGTCTCGCCGCTACCGCAGCCGGCGATTTCCTCCCGCCTGCGCCTCGCTGGGCCATGATCTGCCTGCCCAGGTCTCTGAGGCGCTCGACGGAGGTAAGAACCGTGCCCGCGGCGATGCGGGGTCTTCCGCCGGTGATCTTGGGATCCCACGGCCGCGCGCGGAGCACGCCGAACGCTACTTCCTGCACTACTGTTTGGTCGATTGGCGTGCCCCACAGAGATGTGCCCGCGTGCAAGGCGATTAGGGTGCCCTCGAGATCCCGCGCGAGGAGGAAGCACTTGATGATCGCGTACCAGATGTCGAGGAGCTTGCCGGCGTCGTCGGAGTCTGGCGTGGTGGGTGGCAGGTGCTGTACGGTCAGCGCGAAGAGCTCGCGCGGGGTCAGGAAGTCGTGGTTTTTGCGGTGGGTTTGTGTGTAGTGGCGCCACATTGCCGTCCACATCACCAAGAACGACGTGAGGTCCGGCGTCACCCGTGATGTGCGCAGCATGCTGTCGAAGGTCACCGCGAGCCGCGTCATGTCGTGGGTGCGCAGCAGGGCGTGCAAAAGGTGGTTCATGATGTAGCTGTTTGGCGGGATGGCACACGCCGTCATCTGGTCGAACAGCGTCAGGATGTGCGACATCTGCTGGCGGCGCGCGTAGTAGTGCACGAGGATGCTGAAGGTCTGGATCGTTGCGGGGGGGATTTGCGGGCCGGGGACTTGCGGGGTGCCGCGGGGACGCGGACGGCGGGTGCGAGTGACGGCCGGGCTGGGGCACTTCGACGTCGCGATCTGCCCGATCCGCTCCGTGATCATCTGCTCGGCGATGGAGGCCGCCATTTCGGGCTTGCCTTGCTGCAGGAACGCCTGCATCACCCAGTTGCAGTGGATGCTGTCCGGCAGGAACTGCTGCGACGGCATCACGTCTGTGATCAGCTGCCACGCGAGGTCCGCCCGCTCCATCCGTATCAGGTTCAACATCCACCCGCCGTAAAAGTACTTGTCCGCGACACTCGTGGGCAGGTTCTTCAGCGCATCCACCGACACGGCATTCAGCTGATCCGGATCGACGGTTTCCTCCTGAGCCGCCTTGACCGCGGCCGAAAGATTGCTATGAGTATCGGTCTGCTGTCGATCCAATGCATTGTGTCCCGCAAAGACCATATGCTTGTAGACCTTGAGTCCCATCGCGGGCTGATAGCTATCGAGAAACGACATGGCGAGATCATCAAACTGCTTTGCCGTGATCCTCTCGCCATTCTTTTCGGCACACTCCCGCATAGTCTCATAGACCTTCCACGCCTTCTCCCCCTCAAAAACATGATTCCACGCCATGATGACCGGAATCCACGCCTTATGCTGGACACTTCCCAGCACAGCCTGCATACGGTGCACAATCTCCTGCGCTTCTGCAGGCTGCTGCAGCAGCGCCCTCAGCCTGACGCCGAGACTAAACACCTCTCTCGTCGGCGCGCGTTCCACTAAGTCCTCCCACCTCATTACCGCCTGCTCCCTAGCACCATTCCAGAACAACCCGCCAATATACCTCATCTCCGCCTCGGTATCCATCTGTGCCCCGGCCAGACACATCAAATCGCCAATAACCCTACTCCGCACCGTCGGAATCGCCTCTTTATCTGTCTCGAGCCGCCACAGCAACTTCCACGCCACCGGCGTCAGCAACTGCAGCAGCCGCGGATGCGCCTCCAGCCGGCGCAGCCGCGCGATCACCTCCGCCGAAGCCTTCTCCGCCCCCACCGCCGCTTTCTCAGAGCCTCGCAGCGCGCTCGCCAGCTTCCGCAGGAGAAACATCTCCTCGCAGCCCAGGCCGGCAGTGGAGCTGACCAACCCTCCCATCTCCGCGCCGACCCGGCGCACGAGCCGTCCGCGCCCTCCCATCCCCGCCGCCACCGGCCGCACCACCGGCCGCGCCCCCGGCCGCACCACCACCGCCGGCCTTAGGAACGTCGGCCTTGGCAGCTGCGGGGGCGGGACGGTATCGAAGATCCGCACCTCAGCGTCGTCGCGCGACGTGGGCACGTCGTCGATGGAGTTCCATTGCCGCGGTTGTTTGCTGCCGCCGACGCCGCCGGGGGCCGGTAGCTCGCGGAGCACGGCGCGTTCCGATCGGAGCTTTTGGAGGTTTGCGAAGAGGCTGCGGAGTTTGCTGCTGTCGGGGGGTAAGCGGATGCGGGTGCGGAGCATTGGTTGGATGTGTTTAATGGGAGGGGGGGGAGTGAGGTGCCTAGGTGTGTAGTGGGTGGTTTGAAGGAATCAATGATCGTAGTGGGGGTGGGGGGCTAGCTTGGCGTGCATCATTCATGATGAGCGCTGTTCACGCACGAAGAATGGCTCGGTGAAAAATAGGTACAATACAGTACATGAGTAAGAATACAGGTCGTCAATCGTCGTCATATCAAGACACTCCTCTCCTCCTCCTGCTCCTCCTCCTCCTCCTGCTCCTCCTCCTCCTCCCCTCCTCATTCTCCCTCGCCCTCTCGCTCTAGTCCTATCCAAAAAAAAATCAAACGCATACAGATACATTGTTGAACACCGAACACCAAATAAACAAGCAGATGAAAAACGTGCAAGCACATCAAAAAAAAATATAAAAAAAAAAACCCTCCATCCATCGTCCTCACCCATCTCCATCTCAGATAAATAACCGAAGAGAAAAAAATAAGCCAAACCAAACCATGTGCAGATGAGATGAGATGAGCATGCATGCACGCCACTCCACGCTCCCACAACCACGCCGAGCCTCACCATCAAAACCCCCCACCACGCACTCAGATCCACCCCGCACTAAAAGCCGGCAACTGATCCTCAAAGACGCCGCCCTGCCAGATCTCCTCCAGATAGTCCTCAGCACGGAAGCGGCGCAGGCCCCTGGCAAGCATGTACTCCTCCTCGACGTCGACGCTCTTGAAGCCCGCGATCTCCTCGGCCATCTCCGCGACCTGCGCCAGCTCCGCGCCGAACGGGTGGGTACTCATGTGATGCTGCTGGTGTTGTTGGTGCTGCTGCGCGCGCGATGCGGAGTGCAGCTCCTTGGGCGGCTGCGCGGTTGGCGGCCATGTGGGCGGCATGCTAGGGTGCCGCGGGCGCGAGGTCTTCGCTTGAGGGGTGCGGGTGGACTGCGAGCGCAAGGGCACGGGCGAAGGGGTCGGCGCCGGTGCCGGCGCCACAAAGAAGCTGCTCAGGTGGTTTGGCGGGGCGTCGCGGTCGGCGAAGCCGAGCGGGCTCATGATGCTGGTGGGGGAGGTGCTGCCCGAGGCGCTCGAGGAGTTCGAGGATATCGAGCCGGTGGAGAGCGAGTTCCGCAGCGTCGGCGCGTCGTATGATAGCATGTTCGTCGTCGATAACAGCGCGATCGGCGCCGAGATCTTGTTCTTCGAGATCGAGTGCCGCTTCGAGCCATCGTTCAAAGTGTTCAGTCCGTTCCGCGAACTCTTCTTCGTGATGCTGCGGTTGAGCGCCATGGTGCCGGTGTCGTGAGGTGCGAGTCGGCTGTTCAACTGTCCTGTCCAGGTGTGGTGGGCGGGGACGGGTGTGGGGGATGCCGCGGACGATATAAAGGTGCGGTAACGGTGCCGTCCCAAACACAGATGACCTTGAAGACTGTAGGTATGTACTCTAAAGTGTGGGGCTCTATATTGGCCGAGTCTAGGTTTTTGCAGTGCAGTGCGGGGGAAGGGGGGGTCAAGTGACGATGGTGCCGGTCTGGCTTCTCTTTATCGCCCCGGCTACTCCGAAAGTGCGTCGCAATATATGGCTAAAAGCGGTGGTTCGGCGGGTTGCGATATTCTCTTTCCGAAACCGCGGGGGGAATGTCCGACGATTGATACTATGATCGATTGATTGATTGATTTGATTGTTGGCTGGCAACGATATAGAACGTATGTATGTATGTTTGATATGTATGATATGTATGTGTGTGTACGTGTGTAAGGGAGTGCACGAAAATATCCCTTCCTGCTGGCTGGTGGGGGGGTGTGATGAAACGACAGCTGCGACCGCAAAAAATGAGTGAGTGAGTGGATGGATGAGAACGAGTGATTCCGATTCCGATTCGAATGCTTCAAGCAGCGACTGGCGGGCGACTGGGCGACTGACGACTGGCGACGAGTGCGGTAGTTGAGTGAATGTGGGTTTTGACAGGAGAAGCTGTAGTTTTAGGGGAGGGGAGGGGAGGGGAGGGGAGGGAGGGGTGTGGTGGGTGAAAAGGCGCTCCCAGGAGAAGTTACAGACCAGCCGTCGGAACAAAGAAGAAGAAGGGAAACGGAAGGGGGGCGCACGAGAATGGTAGATGAAAAAAAGCGCAGAAAAAAAGCGGGAAACAGCAGACTTGATACGTTTCGGTGCAGAGGCCGTGGTGGTGGTGTGGATTTTAATATCTCTACTCTGTGGACCGTCGGGGGACGGGGCACGGGGGAGCGAAAGCTGTGACACTTGGTGATGCAGGGGCATTCCGGCCCAGGGTAAATATCCTCCGCCATGCAAAAAAAAGGGCTCGTTGCTGGGGTTGGGCGGTGGATGGCGAGGGGGTGGATGGGGGCGTGGATGGATGGTGGTGGTGAACAAAAGGCGGCTGTGTAGAGCCAATCACGTCTCGGGCCCGACCGACGGAACGGAACAAAGGGAGGGAGGTCTCAATAAATCCTCTCGTTCTTTCGCATCTTCTATTCGGGCGTGGAGACAGCAAGCAGGTACCCGTCGTGGAAGAACTCGGGATTGCGCCAGTCCAGTCACCACTCACCACTCACCACTCACCACTCACCACTCCCGCTTCAAGACTCAAGATAGGTAGTCGCCGGCACTAGTTATCTCCACCATCTGCACGTGTTGCCCAGTGACCATAACTAACCTCCATGAGTCCATACTCTACATAAATACCTATCCACAAGCCTCATCCAGCGCTCGCGCATCGGTATATAAACAAACCCTCCCCATCCACGCTCCGTGCCTCCACCCCGCGCGTGCGTAACTACTCTCCAGTTACTAGTATGGGCCAAGTACCATCCATACTCAACCATCGCAGCACCCACTCACGGGGGTTTCGGATTGAGTTGAAGATTTGCAATTGCCGCCTTGTTGTTTCGGGCCAATGGGGGACCAGGATGGGTTGTGGAATGGGTTGGGGGTTGTGGGATGGGTTGGGGGCAGTCCAAGCGCCTTTCCTTTCCTTTCCTTTCCTTTGGTTTTGTTGGGTTTGTTGGGTTTGTTCGAATCGATCGTGAAGGGGAAAGAAAGAGAGAAAGAAAGGAAGAAAGAAAGAAAGAAAGAAAGAAATCAGCAGACCCAGACCAGACACAGAGCCAGACCGAGACCAGACCGAGACCAGACCGGGACGAACCGTCAACCGGAGGCAGAACTGGGGAGAGACATAGCTGATAGTCATCCGTAGGGAAAGATGCCCGAGAGACAGAGAGAGACAGAGAGAGAGACAGAGAGAGACAGAGAGAGACAGAGAGAGAGACAGAGAGAGCTCAGAGTCGAGACGTCAGTTCAAAGTTGGCCGTACTATGGTTGAGGACGGTTCGGGATAGGTAGGGCATCGCCGAACTCGACGCACAAACATCACTTTGCCCGCCCTCGCCTTACTGTGAAGATACACAACACAGCAAAACACAACAGAATAGAACACAACAGAACACAACAGAACACAACACAACCGAACATACATGATGGAATCCGCACGCATGTATATGACACAACAGAATCCACAGTCCGAAGTCCACAGTCCGAAGTCTACAGTCCACCCTGTCGCTGTGGGGTAGGTACTTGTTAGTAGGTGCTCTACATAGGCGTGTATGTAGGGTCTCCATCAGTTGCCACAACTCCCCGACCTCTTCCCCGAGCTCTTCCCTACCTACACAACTAGGTGCAACCGGGCGCCTGGGTAGATATCTAGTCACTTCGGTACTTGCTTGGGTAGTTACCTGGGTATATAGTACTGGTATCATTCGCCGCCGGTGTAGGTAGGGAAGCAGTTGGAAGGTGCGATTCGCCCCGCTGCGAGGATCCGAGCGAGTGTGTGTGGGTATATGTGTGAAAGCGAAAAACGACCGATGGACGATCCATCAGAATCAAAAGGCAGTGACGCCACGATTTCTTCCCTTCCACTTCGTCTTCGTCTTATGCGCGTAGACAATAATAGTCTTCAGGAGGCATGTCTACGGCGAGCGCGAAACCCAGTGCACGAATATTCCAAAAAACCTTCGTACCTGAATTTGTGCGACAGACAGAACGGACGAGAAAGACGGCTCCCCTACTTCCTAGTGGCCTACATACGGTCTTGGGTGGTGAGCAGTGAGCAGTGAGCACTCTATCGCTCACCGGCTGAAGTTGTCCCCAAGTACTCCCGGCATCGGAGTTTCCCTGAGACCTCTCTCCCACATTCATTTTTCTGGGACAGTCAAATGGGGATCAACCATCACTTCAATTTCGCCCCGTCTGGTTTTCCGGGTCCGAAGCTGTAGTTAACTAGCACTGGATTGGGTGATTGCCTAGATGTCGTCTGACGGACGTCGACGGACGAGGTTTGAACTGAAGCCGACTTTTCGCTACGGTAGGAGAATAGAGCGGACTATAAATCAGAGGTGGCAATGCATCCCGCATCGTCATCATCGTCGTCGCGAGCTCGAGAACCTCCATTCCCATCTACCGCGTGCCGTACCTAGTACTACTTGTATAAGCCCGCAAAATACTACATTCCCGTTCCCATTCCCATCCCCATCCCATCCCCATCCCAAGCTACACACGCACGCAGGTACTAGTGCGCATCTCGCCTTTCCCCCGAGTCCCCAGATTCCTTCTCGCCAGTATGCATACATAGCCACATCATGCAATCAATCCGAACCATTACCTACGCCTCCCTGTCCTCGGCGCCCCTGATGCCGTACTCCTTCCTCAGACTAGCGACCGAGTACATCACGGTCGGTTTCACGGCGGCCAGGACTTCCTCGCTGACGTCTACGGCCTGCACCACGGCCTGTTCGATGGTGGCAGCCTCCGTGGTCGCCGTCGGCGTCGGCGTCCACACACCCTCCGCGGTGAGGTTGTAAATTGCCAGCAGCGGCGTGGCGCCGTCGAGCGGATCCCCGAGCGGATCCACCGACACGTACACTTTACTTTCCGCCGGGCTGACGGCGGCGTCGAGGAAGTTCCCTGGCAGCGAGAGCGTCGACGTGTACTGCAGCCCCTCGGGCGTCCACGAGAACAGGAACAGCGCGGGGACGCTCTCTATGCCGACGAGGATCCCGCGGATTTCCGGGACCTCCCACAAGCCGCTAACGGCGAACTTGAACGAGGCGTCGGCGTCCTCGGCCTCGGCCTCTCCCTTATCGGCAGTCTTGGGCACGAAGATCTTCGCGTCGGCGCCGAGCACCGCCTGCACCGGCGCCACGAGGTCGACCTTCTGCAGCGCGCGCCGCTCCCGCCAGTTCCACACGAGCAGGTACTCGTCGCCGCCGCCGGAGATCAGCGACGTCAGGTCCCAGCTCGGCGCGTGCAGCGTCTTCACGAACTGCGTGTGCCCGAGACAGAACCCCTCGATCACGTAGCTCTGCGGGTATCGCGTGACCCGGATATGCTCGTCGCGGTCGCTCGTAAGCACCCACGTCTTCTCCTTCCCGCCGGCGGCCGGGTGCGAGGCCGGGAGCGTGATCGTCAGCAAAGACAGCAGCATCGATACGTGCCCCAGCACGAAGTCGTGCGCGAATGGTATGTTGTAGTCGACGTGCAGCCGCTTCCGCCGTTCCGCTGCGACCGCTTCCCGCTCAGAGTTGAGCCGTGCCTTTTCCAGGTGCCGCGCCTTCTGTTCTTCGCTCTCGTAGACTTTCTCGGTATTTGCCATCTCGACATCGGCGGTGGTAGTGGTGGCCGCGGGGGCGGCAGTAGTAGTAGTAGTCGCAGCCTGTGACGGCTCTTCGCCGCTGTCGGACGCGAACAGCGGAATCCCGAAAACGTCACCGAACTTGTCCGCGCACAGGATCGTCTCAGTGCGCTCGACGAACGCGAGGTCGACGACTCGTTTCGGAAGATGTCTGCTCGCATCACATCACATCAATTCCCGCACACCCACCACCCCCACAAAGCAAGGAAACAACAACAACCCACCTAACACTCATCACCTCCAGCCCCTCAGCCCTCAACACCGTGACAGCCTTATCATCGTTCGTCGCAACAAGCACGAACTCTCCGCTCTTCACGGTCAGGATCTTGGTAATGGCGTTGAGACTCGGCTTTCCGCCGCCCTCCTTCTTCTTCTTCTCCTTGCCCTCTTTGCCCTTGCCGTCCTTCCCCTTCCCCTTCCCCTGTCCCTGTCCGTCCCCGTCCCCCTCGACCTTGCGTTTCTTCTTTGGTCCCTCGTCCTCGTTGGCGACGACAGCGACGGTGGTGATATTCCCCGGCGCAGCAGTCCACGAGCCGAGGTTTTCGCCGCTGGCGCTCGAGAATACGTGCAAAGCATTGGATGTACCAGTGTATAGGCGCGCCGTCGCGGCGCAGACGTGCAGGCGCTGGATTGGGTGGCGCATCTTGCTGGTGCTGGTGGTGGTCGTGGTGGGGGGGTGTAGTGGGGGGTGGTGGGGTTAACTGCGTGCAATTGAGTGAGGCTCGAGTTGAAAATGTTGGCGGCTGCGGGCTGCAGAACGCGCCAGGGTGGGGGCGCTGGGCACGTGAGGGCGTAAGCTTAATAGGTACGGTACCTACTCCAGCTTCTCTCACGGTCTCGCCTTGGAAAACGGATGAACTATGGAGACAGATGGAAATTTGAAGCATTGTCATAAACACATGTCATTACATTCGAGGATCATTAGAGTATGAGCCCTTGCTTGAGTCAACCGGGTGAAAGCCGGTTGACAGTTAAATACCTACGTAAGGTTTATTCACACACACAATCACTCGCTCCAAGCGGCACTAGAGTAGAATGGAAAGGTATCGCTTCGGTGTTCGAGTGTTTGAGTGCTCGGCTTTCCGTGGAGCTGGCAGGAAAGGTTGTGTGTGTAGGCGCCATAGTTTCTGGTAGTCCGGCGGTGTGCGAGAATGAATCGATATTCCCCCCTCCCTCTAGCACTCTGTTCGAGTACATAGAGTATGTACCTACATAGCAGTAATAACGGGAAGCTTGGTTGATTCTCGACATCTTTTTTTTCTTGAAGATTGCGAACGTTCCACATGATTCTTTCTTCATGATGTTCGTGGTGATTGACCGTCGGTGCGGTTCTTGTGTGTGTAGGATCTACCTACAAAGAAAGTGACATTTGTATGTAGTGTGAGTGATAGGTGGTGGGTTTATGCATAGAGGACTGGGCTTGGAGGAATGGGCTGAAGAGTAGAGCCGAGCTGGGAAGAAAGCGGGCACGAGTGGGTGTGCGTGGGCTTGCCGGGGAAGGGGGAGGGGGTGGGCTTGGAGAAGTTCTTTGGATTCAGAATATGAGGTGCTTGAAACGCTGCATTCAACCAGGTTCAGTGTCGACGGTTGCGATTGATGAGCAGATATCGCACCTGAATTTCTTCCAGGGGAGGTGCGGTTCCGGCTGCGATGTACCTCGCCCTTACAGTTCCCCCTACAGTCCTCATACAGTTCCCGCAGCAGCCATTCATTCCAATTTCCCAATGAGTTCTTCGCGGACGTTCTTTCATTCATTCATTCTAGCTCGTTCTGGCCTAAGCCATTTCCGTTTCCGTATCACTCTGTTTCTGTTGTGCCGTTCCAAGTACCTTCCACTTCCATACCACGGAACTATCACTCGCTCGCCCAACCACCCCCGTCCCCCCTCCCCTCCCTCCCCCCACCACACCAAAAATGCCACCCCGCACCACCGCCGCCCTCTGGAACCAACTCTTTCCCGCCGCCCCACCCTCCCCACCCTCACCCCCACCCCCGCCTCTCAGCCGTCCATTTCCGCAATATCCGGCACTGCCACATGTATCAGTATCACCCACGCCGCCGCCGACCTCGCCGCCGGCCTGCGCATCTACATTCACCTCTCCATTCACCTCTCCAACTACCTATCCAACCACCGGCCCCACATACACCTCTCCATCCGGCAGCACACATGTCAATACAACGCCGGAACAGCAGCAGCAACAGCAACGGCAGCAACAGCAACGGCAGCAACAACAACAACAGCAGCAGCAGCGGGAAGAAACTAACAACCTCCTCCTCGAATGCCGCTACCTCCTGCACCGGCTGACCACTACCACCGCCGCAGCCACCACTACCACCACCACAGCCGACACCACCGCCTCACAACTGCAGGAGCTCCAAGTAATGCTATCAGCGCAAAGCAATGTGCTACAGTGCGTGCTCGAGGAGCAGACGCGGTTGGCGGGTGTGGTCGCTGCACTGCTCGAGAGGCCAGCGGGTGCGGGTACGGGTACGGGGGCGAGGGAGAAGGAGTCGGAGATGAGTGCGGCCCACACGTTGCTGGAGTTTCGGGATTCGGTGTCGCGGACGACGTCTGCCTCCTATACCTCACATACCGCTACAGCGGATGCGGAGGGGTATGTGCGGGATGTGCAGCGGGATGTTCAGCGGGATGGAAGAGGGCGTAGGAGGAGGAGGCCAGTGGGAGAGGAGTTACGGACGCAAACGCAAACGCAAACGCTGGGTAAAGCTTCGACACAGGTTAGAGCGCAGCAGCAGCAGCAGCAGCAGCATCGGAAGATGACGATACGCAGCCTGCTCCTTGAGACGCAGGATGATACGCAGGCGGCAACGCAGGCGGCAAGTCATGTCACAGTGAGCTCGGGTGAGGATCTGCGCAGCGCTCCTACTCCCAGGGAGACTGGGAAACAGCAGCCACGGCAGCCGCAGCAACAACAGCAACCACAGCAACCACAACGGCCGAAGAAACGTCGTCTCCTTGACACGCAAGACTCGTTAATAGAGGCAGAGGGGGCAGATAGACAAGACGAAGCCCTCGCACGTGCCTGGTCGCAAGTATCCTCGACGCCCTCACTGCTGTCGCAGCCGTCCGACCCAGTCGCAGGCGGCGGTGGCGGCGGTGGCGGCGGCGGCGAGATACAAGTTCCCGGATCACGCGCGCACACGCAGGTATTCATACCACCCGGCGACACAGCCCCGAAAGTGGACGCGGAGATACAAGTTCCCAGCTCTGGCACCGCGGGCTGTTCGCAAACGACAGGGAAATGTCGTCCTCCGGAGGTGCAGGAATCGCCGCTTGAACCGTCACTCGCACCGGTCATCACGTCGCCTCCGTCACACATTGTCACTCCGAAACCCACTACCACCACGGCAGCGAAAATGAAGAAACGCTCCCTGCTCGAGTCCTCGGATGAAGAAGGGGAAGGGGAGGGGGAACAAGAAGAAGGCGCTAGCCCGTTCCTGGATAGGAGCTGGGAGGAAGCGAGAGTGATGCCCGCCAGGGCTTGTAAGCTGTCGGTACGAGGGGGACGGAGGAGCGGGAAGCGCGGGAGGGGGTTTTACTGATTGGCTATGTATGTAGCGAGGGGACTTGTCTTGGCCGGTACTTGTATACAAAGAACGGGGGATTCTCATTTGAATGGAGCGGATTCGCGAATCGGATCGGATTGGATTGGGGTTGTCATTTACTTTACTTTACTCGTTACTCGTATCATAGCAACTTACACTAGGAAATATACACGCTTGGTACCTACTCATTCTTACACCTTGCCGCTGACGACTGGCGGCACCGCTGTCCTACAGTTCTTGCGACAGTTGGCCTTGCGCAACCGTCTCCTGCTTGTCTTGTGCCGGGGGGTTACTGTCCTCCCCCTCCTTCGTGGTCCACCTATTGATCCACTCCAGCACCTCGGTATGCCACTGCAGCGAATTCTCTGGCTTCAGCACCCTAGTTGTCCCCAGCGTATTAGCCACCCCCCTCCCCCGGCCACGCATGTCAAACAAAGACTTAGTTACCAATGATTCTCGTCCGGAAAATGCAAAAACCTGGAGGGTATTCCGAGTTCCTGGAGCACATTGAAAGCGGCGAGGCCCTCGCTGACAGGGAGCCGGTAGTCTCGCTCACCATGGATGATCATCTGCGGCGTTTTCCAGTGCTTGATGTTGCGTGCCGGGTCCCAGCGCTCGTAGCCCGCGCGGTTGCTCCAGAGCGTGCCTTCGAAGTCGTGCTGCGGGAAGTACAGCTCCTCCGACGAGTACTGGTTCAGCGTGCTGAAGACGCCATCGTGGCACACTAAAGCCCGGAATTTGCGCCCGAGCGGGAGGCCTTGCAGGTAGTTTATCATGTCTTTTGTTTCGCGTTTTTTCAGCCGCTGGCTCGATATTGGAGGAGGAGGGAGAGGGGGGCTTACATCCACCATACGATGCGCCCAGGGCGACGGCGTTATCGAAGTCGATATAATCTCTCGCCTCATGCTCGGTCTGCAAATACTTCACTGCGAGCTCCAGATCGATGTACGGCTTTCCGCCCCATTGCCCCTGGATCCCGTCCACGAACGCCTGTCCGTACCCCGTGCTGCCCGTTGGGTTTACTGCTATCGCGATCCAGCCCTGCTCTGCGAATAGTACCGGGTTCCACCGCGTGCTCCAGCTGTCGAGCCAGGCGCTGTCGGGTTGTTAGTGCTAATTGGGGCGGGGGGCGGAAAGGGGAGGGGAGCGGTGGAAAACGGACCCCTGAGGACCGCCGTGGATGAAGAACGCCATGCGGTACTTCCGGCCCTTCTCGAAGGCGCTGGGCCTGACAATGAAGCCATGGACCTTCCCGCCATTCGCTCCGGCAAACCAAAAGTCCTCTACCTGTCCGTTGTTCAGGTGTTTCTCATGTTCTGGCTGCTCCTGCAGCGCCTTCATGCTCTTATTGCTAGTATCGAGGATAAAGTTGCCGGGCGAAGCAGTGAGCGAGCTCATATGCAGCAGCATCTTGTCTCCTCCAGACAGGAACTGGAAGCCGGAGACGGAGTGACGATCCCATACCTCCTCTGCAACCCCGGTGGAAACAGATATGCGGTACAGCTTGTGCCGCCCCACGCTGTCCGCCGTCGCGAATACGTGCTTGCCGTCTGGATGCCACTGCAGCGTGCCAGGGGAGACGTCCCACGCCCCCGCAATCGCAATCGCCGCTGTGCTGGCCCCCCCACCAACCCCGCCCGGCCCCTGCCGCGAGATATATATCTGATTCCTATCAGCCTCATACCCGTTCATTGCCATCTGCAGGAACGCGATCGCCCTGCCATCGGGGGAGAACACGGGGGCGGATGAGGCTCCCTGCGGGCTCCCCTGTCCCACGGGCAGGTTCAGAGGCTGCGGCTTCCGCGACCCGTCGAGCGGGACGACGTACACGAGCGATTGCGTGTTGTTTGCGGGGTTCAGCCCCGGGGTCTTGGATACGAAGGCTACGCGCCGCCCGTCGGGGGAGATGGAGAAGTCCGCTGCGCCGCCGAAGGGCTGGACGGGGGACTCGAGCCCCGAGAAGGGGGGGAGCAGGTTGGTTGGTGAGGACGTGGAGGTGTAGCGAGAGGAGGTGAGGGAGAGCGTGCCTGAGAAGAGGGACGACTTCTCCGCGGTGGTGTAGGCGTCCCAGTGCCGCACGAAGAGGGATTCGTACACCTGCCCGCTTGCGTGCGGCGCGTGCGCCTTCGCGGGGTTGTAGAGAGTGCCGTTCGGGCTCGCGAGCGACGAGAAGACGAAGTGCACGGTGTCCTTCAGCGGCAGCAGCTGCAGATCCGACACCGGCCCGTCCACCGTCGCGGCCTTGTAGATGCCCGTCTCGTTCTGGCTCGTCGGCGCGATCCAGAAGCTCGTCGTCCCGTCTGAGGCCGTGACGTTGGTGAATAGCAGACTGTCGTCCGAAACCCATGATACGGTCTTGAGGTTGCTGTGCGGGAAGAGCGCAGATGAAGCGCCGGTAGAGAGGTCGAGTAGGTTCCAGGATCGGGACTGCTTGTGCTCCGTGAAGGAGTACGTCGAGCTTGAATATACCGCCAATGTCTATTATTATGGAAGTCAGGCATTGTACGCGTGGTAACTGGGCATGTAAACAACGCGTGAAGCTCACCCCGCCACTATTAGCTTCCGCGGCGGACCGTCGGGGCGCACTCAGGACATCCCTAAAGTGAGAATGAGCATTGCTACGGCGAATTGAGCATTGCGCGGGGGGAGTCGTACTCGGGCGTGAGAGCTGCAGCCGCAGCTACGGAAAGAAACGCTGTGGTAAGACGTAGCAACATGGTGCGGTGCGTGTTTGAATTGAATGGCCGCTGGAGAGCTCGTTGCTATGAGCTTGACTATTATGCATCGCTGGAACCCTTACCCACGCATAGGAAGAGTAGATCAGGCGACGAAGCGAAAATCACTAGCCACTCCGAACACCAATAGCCTCAGCCGAAAATCAGAGAATGCAGTTGGCCACTGCGTAGCCCATTCACCCCTTCAAAAGCTTTCGCAATGGCTCTTGGTACTTAATTAAGTGGCCGAGTGAGACTGGCGGCGAGTACTCTACTTTAACTCGCTCGAGTGATCAGTCCTTGCTGGGCCACTCGCTCATTACTCTCAACAGCGTCGCAACCACAACTCGTCACTCATTGTTTGGCGACACTCGCGATTCGGCGGTTCTTCACTGCAGGCTGACTACGCTTATCATCGTAACCACGGGTTCTGGGCGGCTGCGGTTTGGTCACCGGTGTTCTCTCGGCCTCGAGATGCCTAATATATAGCGCCTCACCGGCCATTTTACGCATAACTACCGTCGTCGTCGGCTTCGTTAGCTGCGTGACGGTGTCGTCATTGGGCAATGGGCGCATTACGCTCGCCGCGTCGCCAAGTAGATATGTGGGGTCTTCTCATCGATCGGTGGACAAGGCATGTGTAGGTACGGTATTGTACCAGTAAGATGTGAGGCGGGACGGCAACCATAGCCACATCGAGATGTGGCTGGGGTGCGGGAGCGTTAACTGACTGTTGTTGGTATGTCACATGTGTGCTCGAAAAAGGCATCCTTTTCGAGGCAACGAAAGCAGCCCTGCTTCCGCCCGCCCCCTTCCTCAGCATGTGCACTCAAATGCTTGTACTCCAAGCAGCCAACCAGCCGCTTGTCCGGGCAGAGCAGTGCAGACTCGGCACGCTCGGTATTCGGCACGGCCGGTGTGCTGTTCTGCTGTTCTTATCACCGTTCGCATCGAATCCCTTCGGCTTTGTATATATGTAACTACCCTCGGAACGAGCAGACATATGGGGTAACCGTCAGGATTTAGCTCGTCTAGCCGCCGCGCGTCCCGGTTGGTTGGCCGTTGGCGCAGCACATCGAAAGCTTGGTATTGCTTGGTACCGGGAATGGCCGCGCTCCGCCAACGACGCGGCGAGGATTGGCGATCGAGATGCGAGATTCGAGATTCTTGAGTCGACGTCGGTTGCGGAGGGGGAATGGGGGGAATGGGGGTTGGTACTTTGTATGGATGTTTGCAGGTTTCGCTTCTCTGAGAAGAGGTCAATGGCCTTGTGAGAGCTAATTGAGAATAAAGGTCGTTGGGCTCTCTCTTTCTCTTTTTTTTGCGGGGGCGCATCCCTTCCAAGCATCTAATACCTGTTACTACCGAGCACCCAGCTGTCGAACTTCACCCCATGTATGATGTGTAGGCCGATATTGCCAACACACACAGCAACGGCAATGACGTACGACGAAATCCTCACGCTACTGCTACTCTACTCTATCCCAACTGCATGAAAGCTGAGAGTGCGTAGTGTGGCTCGGGGACTCCCAGCCTCGCCATTTGCTGGAGTGACAGCTGGGCAGTGGGCAACCCGTCACCTGGGTGGATACCCATGTTTTTCTCTCTCTCTCTTGCTTTCCCTGAACGGTGGAGGTGGATACCGAACCAGAGTGCACCGATGCGTTGTTCGATGGATGAAGCGTGGAAGAGCTCACTCATGCAGGGAAGCCGGTCTCAGCCTTTGCACCACTCGACTGAGTGGATCGAGAGAGAGAGAGAGTGTGTGTAGTAGACGACCATACTTAAGGGAATCAACTTCTCCCAGCGTCCCAGCTAAAAGCATATACATACACCGGCCCATCACCTCGTCACTCGTCACTCGACCCCGCGCTATTCGCTCGAAGCTCATCGCATTGAGCTACACACGACCCGACTGCACACTCAGCAAGCCGCACACGAATACCCAACAGCCAGCCAGCCACTATGTTCCCCGGCTTCCTATTCATAGCCGTGCGCATCTTCGAGATCATCTCGCTGATCCCAATCTGGGGTATGCTCGCGTGGTTCGTCGACTTGTACCAGCCCGCCACGCCGCCAGACTACATCCTCTACCCGTTCATCGTGAGCCTTCCCTCCTCCCACCCCCCTCCCCTCGCGCAGTAACACCCCACTAACCCCTCTCCCCATCAGGTCGCCCTCCTCGCCACAATCTGGGCAATAATCACGCTGTTAATGTACCGACGGATGGGGTGGACGCCGATCTACATAGCGATCGTAGACCTCTGCTGGTTCGGGATCCTTATTGGGGGGGTAGTGGTGTTGGCGCCGTGGGTGCGGCGCACGGACTGCGTGCAGTGGCAGGGCCAGAGCGCCGTTCTCAACGCCGCCGGCATGAGTGTCACCTCGGGCGACGTCACCGTCGCGAAACAGTGCATGATGCTCAAGAGCTCGTGGGGACTCGCGATACTCAATATCATACTGTTCTTTGCCTCCGCCGTGCTGGCTTGGGAGGTCTGGCATCGGACTGGTGTCGTCGTGGTTAGGCCGAGGAGGAGCAGGAGTAGTAGGAGGAATAATGGCTGGTAGGTGGTAGGGGTGAGTGGCGCATTGGATTTGGGAAGCGGAAGGGGCATGGCGCGCTGGTTGGGTGGGTGTACTGTACTGTACTTTGATGCTTTTATGATTGCGACGATGACGAGAGCGGGGTCTGGGTTTTTTCTTCGGGGGATGAGGAAATGTATATACATGTACCAATTACTTACTTACCTTGGCCGTATACCGTGCGAAATGGCTGGTGTTGGAAGATGAATTGGCGGGATGGGCAGTATCCGGTACATCGAGTACATACCGGACGATATCAAACCTCATCTCCACGTGATACCATGAGCTTGGAAGTTGGGGAAACATTTCTGTATGATCTCGCGTCTCGGTGTCTTGGAGCCTCAGGCTCTCAGCTCCCATCTCCTCTTGTCCATGTAGTTATCCGACACAAGCCATCACTCCGCATCCGTATCTACTTTCTTGATGATATTGTGCATCTTAGTACCTATTCCGGTATCACTGCTACTTTCCAGTGTCCTTTGCATACTGCCCTCATTTTCTTCGTGGCTGCTTAGCATTGTCCATTATCCATGGCTTCTCACCAAAATCAGCCTCGTTAGAGTAGCCAAAGCCTTCAAGCCTTCAAGCCCCCCGTCCAGTCCGGCGGCGACTATCGTTGCATCCTCTATCTGAAGCCCAGCCTTCTAGTCTTCTACACGAGCTCGTTTCTCTTTATAAGCAGTCTTCTTTCTCTTCTTTCTCTTCTTTTCCGTATCAATACAATCAATCAAGTCAAGTTCTTCTCCCAATTCCAACACTTTTGTACTCGAGTACTTGGATCATCCGGCTCTTCCGGGAATTCGGGATCAATAGCGGCTCAGGAGTCAGCGTGCCATTCAACCAACGATTACAGCTTAGATAAACAAACCCCAAATAGAAACAGAAAGGAAACAGAAAGAGACAAAAAAACGGCTTGGCGTGTTTCAAGTTTCAACTTTACTGCCCGGGGATCTGCTTCGTTTTCCTTTTCCTTTTCCTTTTTCCTTTGCCTTTGCACCTGCAGGAACAAGAGACAGCAGCAGCAGTAGTAGGCCCTGAAGCCCTGACCGGACTGCGGATGATGTGAGTTGTAACGGCCCTGGCCCCCGGCGGCGATTCGGCTTCCCCGTGAGCACTGGGGAGTCATAGAAACTAGGAACCCGTATCGTACTGCGCTGCATCGGATCTTATGTAGGCACATCGATACGAGGGCCGAGGCGTACGTGAGTCGGAGATACGGTACGGTACTATGATATGTGTATCATTTAAACACAGGGAGCTTCTCACCGTACCGTATTCGGTTCTGGCGAAACATCGGTTGTTTCGGCGGGGCCATGGGAATGGGAAGGTCAGACCTGTAGGTAGGTTGCTGTTGTTTCCTGGCCTGATGGCTACGCGACTCCCCTCCCCCGCACCTTGTTACATAGAGTTATGTAGTCACCTTCCTGCCCGTGCCATGTATTTTACCCATCAAAGTTACCACACCCCCCAGCATTCCCAGCAGCCGCTCCTCGCCTGGTGAGCTGCATCCATCGTAGCGCTTATGTATAGTATGCCATCCAGTGCATCATACCGTACATACCGGTATGTATCTGTTTAAACACCTCGTTTACCACTTGGATACGTTGGGAAACTTCCGTTCCGCTGACCCCGAAGGCTGACGCAGTGTGTCGAGGTATATAAGTACGGTATGATATGTATGTTTGATTTATCCGAGCTGTTTATCCCCCCTCGGTCGGGATTATATGGAAGCGGAAACAGAAGCAGGTCGACCTCACGCCTGCGTCCCTCCTCAATCGAGATTTCATGAAAGCCAGGCCTGTCCTGTCCTGTCCTGACGCCTGCCCCCTCCTCCTCCCCCTCCTCCGAATCGACCTCCGAATCGACCTCCCGCCGCCGCCGCGATGCCTCATAGCGAGCCAGACTGTATGTAACTACGCTTTTTCTTTTCTTTTTCTATCGGAGAAGGGCTGGTGGGTGGGGCGCAACTGGCTTGACTGACTTGACTGGCTGGGGCAGATCCGGCGGAAACGGCGCGGCACTTCTGCGACACCGGGATCTGGAGGGATGCGCCGGTGCTCACGGGCACGACGTCGTTCCCGCCGCTAGATGACGCAAAGAATATCCTTGTGACTGGCGGCGAGGGGTTCATGTCAGTCCGCTTCGCATCTCCATCTCAAGCTTCCGTCCCACCAACGGGAAACCTGAAACTAGAAACTGACGAGATGGGATGGTCCGCGCAGTGCCTCCTGGCTGGTGCGCCATCTGACACTGACCTACGAGCACTACAAAATCGTGTCCTTCGACAAACTCGAGTACTGCGCGTCGTTGAACAATACGCGGGCGCTCGACGGGCGTTCCAACTTCACGTTCGTGTTAGGGGACGTGACGTCTCCCGCCGAAGTCGGCGCCGTCCTCCGCACCCACAACATCGACACCGTGTTCCACTTCGCCGCACAGTCGCATGTCGACAACTCGTTCGCCCGCGGCGGCGGCTCCCTCGAGTTCACTAACACGAACGTCTACGGCACCCACGTGATGCTGGAGTGCGCACGCAACCATTCCCCGCTGAAAAGGTTCGTCCATGTCTCCACCGACGAGGTATACGGCGAGGTGCCGGACGACGCCGAGGACCTGCGCGAGGATGCGCCGCTCGCCCCGTCGAATCCGTATGCTGCCAGCAAGGCCGCCGCGGAAATGCTGGTGCATAGCTACCGCATGAGCTACCAGCTGCCGGTGATAGTGGTGCGGAGCAACAACGTCTACGGGCCGCACCAGTTTCCGGAGAGTAAGCCTTCCCTCCCCCTCCCCCTCCCCCTTCCCCCAGTTTTCCAGAACAACTGATCCCCGCCACCAGAAATAATCCCGAAATTCACCTTGCTCCTTTCGCGGCGGCAGCCGCTGCCCCTGCACGGCTCAGGCGCGCACAAGCGGCGGTACCTGTTCGCGTCCGACGCCTGCGACGCCTTCGACACGATCCTGCACCGCGGAGCGATCGGGGGGATCTACAACGTTGGCTCGGCGGACGAGCTGTCGAACACGGCGCTGTGCCGGCATCTCCTGCAGGAATTCGGACATGATCCTAAGGATCTGGAAAGCCATGTCAGGCGCATCCAGGATCGCCCGTTCAATGATAAAAGGTATGCCGTTGATGACGCGAAATTGAGGGTGTTGGGATGGAGGCAGAAGGTTGGACTGCGGAAGGGGCTGAGGATCACGGTTGAGTGGTATAGAAGATACGGCGAGGGGTGGTGGGGTGGGCTGGAGGGGGTGCTGGGGCCGGGAACGGGTTAGGGAAGAGGGTCACGAGCACGCCTTGTTTTGGAGGTTCTCGAGTAGAGTTAGAGTGGACATGTAGACGGCAGTTTCTGGCGGAGGGGGGATATATCATATACTATAGAGCGGTGTGATGGCCACCCGGGGGCTCCTTGTGCAAAGGAGATTCTTGTCCGAGTGGTTGTCCGATTGGTTGTCCAGCATGCTGCAGTGTTTTTTGTACGGATGCTACGTTGTTACAGACTTTGTTACGGACATGATGTATGGCAATACGGTAGATGTAGAGTAGATGTATAGGTAGTACTCTAAAGGGGTCACATGTGCTCGGACTGTGGGCGGTGGGGGATGGGCGATGGGTGATGGGCGAGGGGCGAGGGGCTCCACGATTAGCAGCTGTTAGGATAACGTTGTTGAACTACCTACTCCGCACACTGGAAGAGGCGTGGATCTCTGGTGAAGGTATACTTACCATGAGCCGAAGCTATCCTAGTCTCCGGGTCCGACCAATCCTGGCGATGTCCAAGCCCAATGGATCGGGGAGAGTAAGAACACTATAGTAGCTACCGTACCCTCATGAAATATCACTTGCTAAAGTAGCCATCACTCGCCAACTAATCAATCGCACCGTTCGACCGCCCGCGCTCTTTCAAGTTCGAAGTTTCAACCGAAAACACGGAGAGCACCCAGAGCACGGAGGGCAATCACTCTCGCCATCTCCGCATAACACTCGTACAATGCGTACAGTCCCTTTCACGGGTACGGTATGTACGAGCTGAGCTGAGTTGACCTCGATAGGGACTGGAAAGCTGGTATGGCATGACGTCGACTCCGCGCCCGCATGCGGATTGCCACGACTCGTTGCACCGCCTTCAGATCAGATATAGCCATTTATCACTGGGCTGGACCATGCCGATACGGTGGGCCAGCGAAGATTGAAGACACCACAGTCCGCAATCGGCAATCCGCAGTCTGCAGATGGTTGTTGGCCGCCAGGATCGCCCTCCACCCCACCCCTCATTGATGCTCGATGATGCTCGGGGTGGGTCGCACCCGTCGTCGACGACGACGACACGGGGGTGCCAAGTTGGATTCAAGGTTCATGGTCCACGGAGCGACTAAGTAACGGCATCGACGGTTGCATCCGTGCGGGTGCGGGATTGCGTGCTCGGAATCCGCCTTGATACCAGGTACTTAGTTGCGCCGGAGAACAGGTGTAGGTGTGTGGTGACGGTGACGGCGATGGTGCCGCCGTGTCGGAGCACAACATCGATCGGCCCCCCTTCCCCGCCCCGAGGCTTGCTATATAAGTAGGTAGGTATTAAGAGACCCTCGACGAGTACCTACGGACAACTGATGAACTGATTCAATTGACTAGAAAAAAGCAAAGCAAGAAAGAAAAACAGGCCTGCGAACTTTTAGAGGATACCTGTAGTGGTTGATAATGTCTGACGTGTTGAACAAGAGACCGACAGACTACCTAGACGAACAGAAAAGCAGGAATAGAGAATATTTCAACGTTGAGCGATCGCATCGGGTCTGCCCGCCAACGCACCTCGGTCCCACCATAGGTGCCGCTGCTCGCCGCAACACAAAGCCGCCTCTGCCCCCGAATCTCACAGCTTGCACCTGGAATCTAGGTTGGTTCTCGGCCTGTGTCGGCCCCATATACCGATGTCGGACACGGACAGGACGGGACGGGTACTGGCGTTCACCCCTCCCCCTCCATTCTCCCCGTGCAGTGCCGTGCAGTGCACGAATCCGCCTTCAGGCTTCGGCAAGCACAGTCGTCCGTGACGGTGACGGTGCTTGTGCGCGGCAAAGTAAAGTGTAAAGTTTAAACGATGTGGAGCGGGGGCGGGGGATTGCCCGATCGATTGCCGGGCAGGTATTTCTCGATCGATTGCCGGAGCCGTTCAACCTGTAGTTATCCGGGCAGCAGTGTCCTCCGTCCGTGTCCTCTACGATCAGATCTTCAGAAGTCGCTTTGCGGTATGAGGTATGTAGTACTCGGAATGAAATGGTTAGGATCGACGCGCCGGGAACGGCGACGATCACCACGATCACCACGATCACCATGGCTAGATTCGACCTCTATACTGGAGTCTGGACTGCTTGCTGGACTAGATATAAACCACGGTCTTTGCCTGTAGAGTCGCCCGTAGAGTCGTTCTCCAGTTCCTCTGATTGACAAACAAACACACGAACCAACCGCTTGATCACGTCCAATCACTCACTCACCATGTCCCTCCACGCCGAAAGCGCCTACTCTCTGATCCCAAAAAAGCCCGGTGACAAGGAGAAGGCCCACTCCGCCGAGGTCGAAGAAGCAGCCAACCACTACCGTGCCCAGCACGCCGGGATTGCGCCGTACTTCCTAGGTTAGTCGTGCGAGTAGTATGTGTGTAGTTGATAGGAAAGGCAGGACTGATGGGCCACCTACCCAGGCCCGCAGGCGGAGAACCACGACTTCTTCTCGGGCTACATCAACAAGATCCTCTCGGAGCACAAGCGAGCACGGGAGACGTACCACGGGTGCTCTGATCCCAGCGGCTCCGACGACGGGCGGTTCATCACGTCGGCGATGCAATCGCACCCATCATTCGTAGCCAGCCAGCAGCGGCTCGAGACCGAGCTGAACAACCTATTCTCGCTGCTGATGCAGCACAGCGTGCCGTTCTGGAGTCCGCGGTACAATGCGCACATGCTCATGGACACCAGCATACCCGCCATCCTAGGGTATATCACTACCATGGTGTTTAATCCGAACAATGTCTCGCTTGAGGCTAGTCCCGTCACTACTATGCTCGAGATCGAGGCCGGAGAGCAGTTGTGTAAGATGCTGGGGTTTCGTTTGCAGGAGGGGACGACGCTGCCGGGGTTTCCGGGGGAGATGGAGGGCCCCCTGTTCGAAGGGGAGAGGGTCGCTTGGGGACATGTACAGCACTCCGTTCCACTGCGCTGAGATGTAGTATGAATGCTGATGATACGAAAGATCACCTGCGGCGGCACGGCAGCAAACCTCGAAGGAATCTGGGCCGCGCGAAACCTCAAGTTCTACCCGCTGGCGATCCTGAACGCCATGGCGCCCGGCGAGGACCTCGAGTTCATCGCGCCGACGTTCATGGTGACCACGTGCAAGGATCCGGACCACCCGGTGCTCTTCTCCAAGCTCACGACGTGGGAGCTGCTTAACCTGACGCCCGACGAGGTCCTCGACATCCCCGACAAGCTGTACCGCGCCTATGGCATCTCATCAGCGTATCTCCAGAAAATCATGAAGAAACACAGTATCCAGTCCGTAGGCAAGGACGAGATCGAGCGGCAGTACGGTATCAAGCCCATGCACTGGATGGTCTCGGCTACGAATCACTATTCGTGGCCGAAGGGTTGCGCGCTCACTGGCATCGGAAGCAGGAACATGATCGGTGTTAGGATCGATAACGAGGCTTGTCTGGACTTGGCGCATCTCAGAGAGATATTGGAAGAGCATGTCGAGAATGAAGTGGGAGTCTATGCCGTCACCGCCATCATCGGGTCCACCGAAGAAGGTGCGGTCGATAACCTCAAGGGAATCCTGGCGCTCCGATCAGAGTTCCAGAAGAAGGGCTTGTCGTTCGTTCTCCATGTGGATGCTGCCTGGGGTGGTTACTTTGCTTCCATGGTTCCTCACAAGGAGGAACGGGACGTGGGACTCGTTGCCAGTCATCGGCTCAGAGCTCATGTCGAGGAGGCTTATAGACATATCAAGTTTGCAGATAGCGTCACTATCGACCCGCATAAGAGCGGATATGTGCCGTACCCGGCAGGTGCTCTGTGCTATAGGGACGGAAGGATGAGGTATCTAGTGACTTGGACCAGTCCTTATATCGCTCGGGAACATCAGCCGGAGAGTATTGGAGTGTTTGGTGTTGAAGGTAAGTCCCCCTTCATACGAAGCTCCACGGACCGCCGAACTGACCAACGTCCAGGCAGCAAGCCCGGTGCGGCAGCTGTCGCTACCTGGCTGTCCAATTCAGTCATCGGGATGCGCGGTGATGGATATGGAGTGCTTCTAGGAGAAGCCTCCTTTTCTTGCAGCAGGGCGAGCATTCCCCATCCACTGATTTTCCATTATACACGGAGCTGAAGATTCCTCGTACATAGCTCTCGGCTCACTGGGCAGCCATGTCCACCGATGACGACGTCTTCAAAGTCGTCCCCTTCAACCTGCTCCCATCGGAGCGGAAAGCAGGCTGTACACCAGCCGACATCGAAGCTGAGCGCAAATTTATCCGCGAGCACATCCTCCCCCTGCAGAACATTGACCTCCTCTCCGACCCGAAGGCCCTCGGGCTCCTCCGCGAGCTCGGCTCAGACCTGATCATCAACTGCTTCGCCGTCAACTTCCGCCTCTCAAACGGCGAATGGAACACCTCCGTCGAAGAGGCCAACTACCTCAACAAGCGCATCGTCAAGCGCCTGTCCTACGTAGATCCAAAGCAGGATCTAAGCAGCGTCGAGTTCTTCCTGACATCCACGGAGTTCGGCCACGAGTACGGCGACTGCGCCAAAAACTTCAAGCGGCGGCTCGGGCTTGACGTGAACGACGATGCGGACCTCTTCGTGCTGCGCAACGTGGTGATGAGTCCGTTCCCGACGGCTGGGAACTTCGTCACCATGCTCGCGGACATCTTCAGGAAGATCGTGGAGGAGGAGGTCAAAGTCTGCCAGCTGCGCAACTCGATCGATCCTGCCATCCACCGTTTCACCATCCAGGGCACCAGTAGCGACGGAAAGGTATTCCTCGCCTACGAGCCGTTCTTCCACGAGGCCGACTGCCTGACGCAGCTGATCGTGTCGGCGGACATGGCGCCTGCCGCGCTGTCCGCATACCTAGACCGCCGCTCAACGACAACCCGATATGCCACCTTCCACGTGGCAACCACCGAGAAGGTCCGGCTATCCGACATCCTGTCTGCCGGGCACTTCAGCGGCACAATGTACAAGGCCGACGTAACCAAAGACCTGTGGACCTTCCCGTCCGCCAATTTTCAAAACGTCCGCATCATCAAGAACCGCTCGCTCTCGGACCGATGCCAGGACGTCACCTACCCAGTCTCATACACGCCATTCTACCTGTACGGTACCGCCGCAGCAGGGGACCAACACATCTCGCACGTCCTAACCCGCGCGCCCAACGCCATGTTCCTAGCGGACAACATCGCGCTATCACTCTCAACACCACTGTCCTCCCTCGCCTCCGAGCTATCAAACGGCTGCATCCTAACCGCCACCACGATATTCGAGCAGTCGCGCCAACCGTTCTCGCCCGCGACAACGAACGCCCCGCACCCGGCGGACCCGGCGTTCTTTTTCCTGCCGGACCGCACGCTGGAGGTGAGCGTCTACGCGGATCCGAACGGGCCGGAGGCCAGCGGACCCGGGCTGCTCGCGGACCTGGAGCTGGATAAGCCCCTGGCAACGGGGACTATGACGCTCGCCGGAAGCGTCTATGTCGACGCGAAGCATATCAACGAGGACGGACTGGATGGGCTGTTGTGGAATGGCTCTGGCTGGGAGGCGCCGGAGAAAGAGACGTCGGAGAAAGAGACGCCGGCTGCTGGCTGCCCGGGTATGGGCGCTGGAGGAGTGGGGGGAGGGATTGGCATCGGTATTGGATTGAGTGGGCACGGGATACAGGTTTCTGCTGGGGTGGAGGCGGGGCAGGGTGGGGTGGAGCACCATTTGGCGGTCAAGGCTGGGCTGAGAAGGGTCCCGGCGAGGAGGGGGCTGCTCGGTTTGTGGAAGGATGAGGTCCATGGAGCTCTTGGTCAGCGTTGAGGTTGTTAGGGCTTGGGTCGTTCCTGCCTTATAAAAAATGAACGTACGATACCTTGCGTGGTCAGGATGAATTCACCTTGTATCTCGCAAAACCTACGTTTGCCCGTGGCATTACACCAGCTGGGTCCGTTAGACATATAGGCACATCTATCGCAATGACCAGAGAAGAAGCTGTTTCGTAGATTTTTTTATTCATGTCTAAAATCTATTTCTTTTTCTTCGCGGACGTAATGCTGCCTCCCGAACCCGACCTGGCACTCATCGGCCTACCGTCCGCTCCGACCACCTGTTCGTCCGAGACACCACCACCAGCAGCTACGGCCGCTGCCATAGCCTTGTCAAACGACCGTGGATCAATGCCGAGAATTCCTCCGTTACGGTCACCGCTGACCGAGAACTCCCTGTAGGCATACTTCCACTCATCGAGGAAGGCACGAATGGCGCGAGAAAGCTTGTCCTTGCCACCCTTGGAATGGTGGCCCGTGCCGACAACCGCGTACAGTGGCTGCGAGGAAGTCTGGTGGGTCACGAGGATTTCTTCGAGGTATTTTATACCTTCGTCAGGGAGCAGACCTAAATAGTTTTGCATTAGCTTTCGATAAGAAAAGGCAACAGTAGCGGGGTTTATTTATACCATGAAGATCGACAAACAGTTCTACCCCCGGCTGCTTGTTACGCTCCTCGTAGATCGCCCTCGCTGCTTCCTTGTGTGCCTTGACCATCGCAAGGTTCTCATTGTTGGCCTTTCGGGAGTGTTCCTTGGCAGCCTTTGCATCGTTGCGTTGCCAGGCACCGCTCGCCATCTGTAGATACTTGGCACGCAGGACACCGTGGTTCAAAGCCTCCTTGCGATGCTTAAGGTACATGCGGTTGAGAGTGCTACCAGTCTCGAGCCAGGGAATCTGTTGCGGAGTCGGAATGTGGGACGCTGAAACTTTGGAAGTTCCTCTCTTCGAGTTAGGAGAACCACTGACTCCAGTCCAACGGTTGGAGCCGGGTCCAGGAGACCCCATGCGTACCACCTCGGCAAGAGACGACGGCCCGGTGGGAATGTCATTCTTGGGGCGACGGTCGCGTTTCTTGTGATTCTTTGCACTACCGAGGGATGGGAAGGCTTCAGAGTCATCTAGCGGTATGGATGAATCCTGACTGCGGTCACGGTTCTGCTGGCGAGAGTGGGGACGCGAAGGCGTAAGCTTGAAGCCCGGAGGTGGACCGGTCATGCCAGGACCCATTCCTGAACCCCCGTTCCAATGTTCACCCGGCGAGAGCGAGGGGAAGGCAGAAGCATCTTGAAACTGGAAGCTGGGAGGTGGAGTAGAGGTTCGACTGTCCGAGCCGAGAGTCATCTTCGAGACCGACATGGTTGGGTCGTGAGAGAATATACACGTGTTACCAGCAAGGCACGAACCCATGAGCCAATACTTGCAGATTGTTGTCCCCAGATCGTGGGAAAATCGGCAATCTGCTCTGAGGCATTGTCCAGTCGACAGGAAGAAGCGACAGACAACACCGTTACGAGGGGTAATGGGCCGGGATCTCTCGGGATTCGGGGTAGTGGATTTTCCGATGATGGCGGCACTCTCGACTGGCGCGCATAGATTATACCCGTGATGCTGTTGTTGCTGATCCATCAACATGGCCAGTGTTGCGGCCAAGTCGTACGAACAGATATCCAGCGCTTGATCGATCTGCTCATCCGAACGCCCCTCCCCCAAAACAGAACGTAGCATGTCGTGTGGGGTCATGTTCTGGGTCGGCCCCACGCCGTACATGTAGTTGCTATCATCTCCGATGAGCCACTGCACCGTTTCGCTTCCCAGATCACCGTAGGCTTCGGAAGGAGCGCTTGTCACGTCGTGGTGGAGCACCGGCTCATAGTTGTTGAGGGTTGGAGAGTGCGGTATGAGAGGAGACGAGTACGCGAGCCTCGGGCTTGGTCTCGGCGACGGGAACGGCGAAGATCTGAGCGACGGAGGGAAACCGGGAGCCAGAGGAGGGGTACCGCCGAGCGATGGAGCTGGGGTGCCTACACGCTGGAATTGCCACGGAGCCGGGGAAGCACGACGGATGATGGTGTGGTTGTTACGGATGGGAGGCGATGAAGCGGGTGAGCTTTTGGTACGGTGTCGCCAGAGTACATCGAGAACCTCATTGTCCAGTACGCTGCCTTCGAGATCTGTCTTGCTCGCGATAAGAGTCGAGATTCGCTCAGCTTGATCTTCCTCGAGGATACTCTCGTCTTTGACGAGTCGCGCGAAGGTTAGCCGTGATCCGGAACGGCCACCTTTCGATGCCTACCTTGAAGGATGACGAGGCATTCCCCAAAGAGCTCGTCCGATATCATGCTCTACGAAGGGGTAGTCTTTCCTTTGCACGAAGCGTCGCCGACGGATGTAGTGATTTAGCAATCCGTTATGGTGATTATTGCTTTTCCGAACGAAGTTCACGTGTAGCGAGGAGGAAACAGCTTGTTGGGGGAAGCTCAAGGGATGGGCAGGTTAACGGCACCAGGGTGAGGCTAGGTGTTTTTTCGTTTGGCACCTATCCGAAATCCAAACCGAGTTATCGAAGGCTCCTCGTTTTGGGATCGTTATTTCGAATGGAGTGCGATGTCAGGAAAGCGAATAAGCAAAAAGAGACATGAGAGCGGGGAGAGATGGAGAGAGGGGGTTGGATATGATTGTGAGAGCAAAGATATAAGAGAGAGGAAGGGGCAGAGAAGGTGTGCGAGCGAGCTGCAACGACTGGAGACGGGCCGACAGGGAAGTGTCCTGAGACTCGACGCGGGGGGGCAGGGGAGTGCGAGCGCTGCTCCGTGCTAGGTAGATACTTTGCAGGCAAACTGTAAAAAGGGGACCGGGTGCGGATAGGTTTGGCGGACGAGTGAGGCCGAAAGTGCCTCGTGTGCTGTGCGGGGCACGGGGTTAACTTGATGGAGATTACGATTGCCTTGGGCGACTTTCTCCACTTCCATCGATAAGTTGAGCAGAGACCGAGCTCGAGTCAGTTGACGGAGCCACTGTGTGGCGCTGAATGTGCTTAGTGCAGTGGCGGTGCGCACTTGACCGGAAGGTCGTTGGGCTTGGCGAGGCGGTTTAGGTTCGGGCCTGTGGTTAGCTTTTGAATAGACACACATCGTTGCGTGCAGTGTCACGACTACCTATTCTACGGGCACCAGGGTTAACCCGGTGAAGATTACGATTGCCTTGGTAGGTTGACCTCTTCCACTTCCATTGATGAGCTTAGCAGAAACCGAGTTCGAGTTAACGACCATCCTGCGGGCCAAACACATCACTGTACGGTCGTCCTAGGTATCTTTCTCTCACAGTCCATCCTTCACCGGGTTTCTGTGTTTCACTAGGGTGGATTCAGGTCTTTTCGTATCTACCGACCTGGGGCTGACTTCAAGGCGGGTTTCCCGTAGACAAAAACGATGTCTTCCTTTCAGCGACCTCAAAAGCCTAGCCGCGTATATCACGTGGATACATAACTATATGTGGCCTTTGCACCGTTGCGCATCGTTGATTTGGTCTTTGGAGGCATGGGCCAACTGCATCGTCAGCTTCTTGCGAATGTCGATGCGTAGGCCTGTTTTGACCAGTGTATAAATGTCTCTCTTTGCGTCCATAGGCGGCGGATAGAATCTTTATCCACTTCATCCTCTTCAGCCCCATCTCTCTGCTTCAACATTGGTGCTATACAGCTTATGCACTTCTCCAGGCGCAACTGGGCCAGCTCATCAAAAGAACCAAACGGCTCCGGAGTGAAGACACCAAGTCCAGACGAACGAACCAAAGGTCAAGGGAAGCCGGCGAACCACGGCCCTGAAATGCCCCGAAAAAGACCCTGAAAATGGCTCTGAAAATGGCCCTGAAGGCCCTGAAAGGAATAGCCCATTAATATCACAGAAAACTGCTGCATCAAGTAGCTCCATCATCGCACTTGCATCATGGCAGATCACGAGAACCTCAGCCGGTACGCCACGTGGACAGCAAAGCACCAGGCGGCAACCGGTCGGTCGTCAATTCTGCGGAACTGAGCTCCGGCCCCGATGGTCACCATGGGACAGTAATCGTATCGATAATCCGATGGAAAACTGTCGGAGACGGTCAGAGGCTTAGAGCTTCAGAGGGGATCACTGAAGTATGAAAAGACAAATGGCGGCTGGATGGGATTACTGGTCAGGGTGTTAGTTATTTAGGGCATGTGCAGAAATGGAGATATGATGACTCGAGGTATGTAGATACCTAGTTTTACTGACCTCAAAAGGGCCGGCTGTCATCATACCTCACTCCCAGAGGACGTTCTTTCGCCAAGTATGTAGATATCAAATATCATCCGCCGCTTCAAGGCCGAGTTGCGCCGTTCGCATATCTAGGTGGTGTTGAGGAGAGGTTCGAGCTGAACTGCCGCGCTACGAGTGACCAGGTAGATAGAGTAATCGTTAGATAGGACACCCGAGAAGGTTGGTGGTTCCGCATGGAAGCCCGATTCGAGCTAACGTGCATAACAAAGCCATTGTTTCCGTGAAACATGAAACATGGCTCGCACCAAACGAAACCACCCCCGGAAACCACCCAAAACGCTGAACGAACAGTGGGATGCCGCACCCGAACGATCCCGAGTGTGGTAGTGTCCGTATTCGTGTTATCCGCTCAGTGTAGCCGTATGGCATGTATGGCCTTTTCTTCATTTGTTTAATCACATGTGTACTCTCATTTAGCCTAGTATCTGGACTACTCTACCGGTACGGCGGCGTACATTTCTCCCGTTCCTGTCTACAGGGTACCAAGTTTGTACCGTATGGCTTCTCTTTTCGTTCCATCATACTCGCAATCAGTCCGTATAGATTACCTGTGGCGGTGTATGTACATTTTCTGTGTTTCCAGTCCACAGTCCAGGTATGTTCGTAACTGGCTCGGTGTGGCCGCCCCATCCCCGCTCGCCCTCCGTCCGGGCTCGAATAATTGTGTCTGACCAGGAAACCGATCCACGGGTGGCCCTCATAGAGCCATGGTATGTACGTCCGTATCTATGGCTTCGTGAGAGAGAGAACATCAATTTATTGTCACATATGACCTTTAATAGCATCTCTATGGCTTCGTTGGAGTGTGGAATACCGTAGCGCAACAGACGGATCGAGTGACAAGCGACGCTGGATGGCGGAAAGTTGATATAGTCGAATCGACGGGAAGAGAAGAGAGAAAAGGCGGAGAATTGCTAATGGGGTTGAATATCTAGCTTGCTCAAGATATTTTGTCCCCGGTGAAAGGCGACCTGCGCGGAAAACTGCGGCCTACTACTGCTAATAGAGTCCGGTCATCCCACGGCACTCGGAGAAAACCGTTGGTGCAAGCCCAGGATTTCAGCACATAGTAACCTACCGAGACTGGAACAGTGGTAAATATTCTCTAAACTCGCGTATGATATATGGTTGAAGTGTAATAGCTCAAGCACCGAGTTGAGTACTACGGAGCCACGAAGGAATCGCCGACAACGAGGAAGCCGATGCCTAGGACAGAGACGCGGTAGGAACGGAACGGACACCGAGCAGCTATTTCATTAGCCGATCAGACCTTCATTATGGTCGTGATCTAAAGCCGCCGAATCAGTTATGATGGAAAACAAGTCCCAGACTTCAGTACATGGCGGAATACCTCGTGACGTAAGCAACAGCTGAGCTACGATCCAAATCAGTATAACTCGCCCGAGTCAGTAGTGGGGGACATGACAAACATTTCTTCACGACCAGCACGAGGTGCTTATCAAATGATCCGCAGCTTATGCGATAAGTCACAAGCCCCGGGCCAACAGTTTCGGTGGTTTATTAATATGCGGATTGGCTGGTAACTAATGGTGATGCATCGGAGATAGGCCTAAGAGGCGCCATCACAGTCAGTAAATAGCTTAACGATCGTATAAACCCAAGACAGTGGGTGAATAATACTAAGACCTCGTTTGGACGCACCGTTTCCGTATTGTTACGGTGAGCCTGATTCTTTTTAAAAGTTTGGATTCAATTCACTCGTACAGAGCTTCTACTGCTCTGTAGTCAAATAACGTTTGGCGACCAAAACACTCAACTGCGAACTCTTACGCAACCACTCCTGTCTATTGATTTCAATACTGTCTTTATGCGGCGCATGGAGAAGCTTTAGAACTCACAATCGAAAATAGTAGCGAGCTATGGTTCATCCAAATGCATCTTGTATCAAACTGCACTCCATAACTGCTGGGTCTGGTCTGCTGTCGGTGCTTGCCGAGAGACGTTCAAACGCCTGCTCGTGGCCACCTGAATACTGCATTTTGGTGCCGAAATTGTCACACGTTACGCTTTGTCTGACGGTGTGCGGTGTTGCGTAGGGTCCGAACGACTGGGTGCTCCGCATGCGTAGACTCTCATTCGTCTCTAGATACCACTGGTAGCATATTCTGTGGTTTTTTTAGAAGATACTAATGCAAGGCCACCATTGATACGAATCCGCCGTCATGTCCGATGCACTCTGCTGCGTGACCGACCATCATCGGAGATTCCACAACATTTCCTCAGCGTGTGCTTAAGCTCCCGTCACTCGTAATCAGCGCTGAGGGTATGTTGATATCGCCTCCTACATGTTTCCCAGAACTGCGGAGCTCAATGGGCAGTGACGGTAAGTTATAAAGCGAGCAGTTCCGCAGGTCTTCTGGAGATTCCACAACAAGCTTCAATCCTACCGCAACAGTTACATACCTCCGGCCAACATACGTTCTTATAGTTCAATATCAACTATGTCTCAACACTGGCTCAACATTCCCGGCAATGCACTCGTCATTGGCGCAGGTTTGTCCCCCACAACTTACAAGCCATCGAAACCCACCAATGCACTAACAATACCCGATCTGTAGGCCAAGGTATCGGCAAAGCCACGGCGCTCGCCTTCGCAACGGGCGGCGTATCTGGCATCGTCCTGGCCGGCAGAACCCAGGCTACGCTGTCCCAGACCGAAGTCGAGATCGGGGCCATTGCCGCCAGCCAAGGCCGCGAGGTCAAGACTCTGATCGTCATCACCGACATTACTAAAGAAGCGGACGTGATCTGTCTCCACCAGGAGGCGAAGGAGGTCTTTAGACGCATCGACTACGCCGCCAATACCGCTGGTGTAAGTCACCGCTAGCCCCCGCTCCCATGAGGAACGAAGGACAGAAAACTGACAGTCTGACACCAATGAAGCTGCTCGGGGACGACTTCAAGCCCACCACCTCGGTAACCGCCACCGAGGTGAACGCGCAGCTAGCCATGAACGCAACGGGTTTCCTCCTGTGCATGCGGGAGGCGATCAAGATGATGGAGACGCAGGAGCCGCTGTCGGTGCCGGGATTCCACACGGCGGAGCGGCCGGGGGTGCGAGGGTCGATTGTGGTCAGGCAACAGTACCCATGAGTACCAGCTACACTATGGCCGAGTTCGCGAATTTGGGGATGATGCGGTGTGCGGGTGTGTAGATGCATATCTTTCCCTCCCTCCCTCTCCCTCCCTCCCTTGCTCCCGGGTTGAGGGGAAGTTTTACTGACGCGGGAGTGATAACTACAGCTACCGACTACGCCCTAAAGGACATCCGCATCAACGCCGTTGCGCCAGGCTAGATCGTCTCGGCGGGGCTCTTGGAGAGCAACAACAACACGCCCGAAAATGGTCTCAAGAGTGTCGGCTCCGTGCCGATTCGCAGGTTTAGCACGGTCGATGAGGTCGCTGATGTGGCCGTCTTCATGTGCAGTCCCAGAGCTAGCTATATTCATGGCATGAATTATGTTGTCGCTGGTGGGGTCGGGTTTGAACAGTGCTGGAGCGTCGAAGCCTGATAGGTGCGGTTTGATGGCACTTTTGAAGATGAGTGATCCAGGGCTGGGTAGCCAGTGGAAAGCAGTCGGAAAGGGGCTTGTTGTGGGATTTTACGTGTGCAAGAGTTGAATTCAAGGATCTGAGAGTTGACCGTATGGAGATCACGAGTCGGAATTATCATAGTAGTTACTTGCTCTCCAATACTAAAGTGATGTGTCTACTGCCTGGAGTACCGAGTAGAAAGAGGACATGTGCACCCAAAGCACCATATCACGGTAGGTACGTACCAGTTAAACGGCCAGATTGACGTTTCAGTGAACCAAGAAACAATCCCCAAAATTACTCGGCAAGACATCACATGTATACTTAGGCCGACCGCAGTGAAGGCTGAACTGCTTTACTGGCAGCAGGAACGGCGACCAGAACTTGCACGGGCGACACAAGTGGCCTCACCACCCATCACTCGCGGGTAATCTCGGAGAAGGAAGTTTACTTTTCGAAAACAACAGGATAAATCAAGCAATTAACGATCCCACAAGACCAATCGTAAAAAGGACCTTCAGAATTCAAACTCTGAGGTAAACATTTTACTGATGGTGGTGGTCGCTGCCTCTCTGGAGGTAACCTCCCTTAGTACCCTCCCAGCCCCGTGAGGTTAGAGATGAAGCTCTACCGTCGCGATTAGATGCTACGCCACTGGCTATCTACCTTCCAGAGCTAGCAAGCAATCGCAATTGTTGCTTGGAACTTCAAGAGAGTGCGAGTGATGATGAATGATTTGCTGGCCCAACGCCGTCCAAGCAAAACAGTGTTTACTATCGTCTAGCCTATTTCCGAGGCAGGCAGAGTAATGCTAGGCAGCCTCACCGACTCTCACCCTCATCCCCATCCCCGCCGCTGAATCGGCCGCCATCTCAGTGGCAGGGCTGATATAGGCTCTCTTCCCTTGTTCTCAAAGGAGCGGGCGGTCGGATCGTTGATTGTTTGCTACGGGCGTTGAGCGGTAGGGATATTCACCCGCAGTTCTACATGAATTACGGATGGCCCGAAGGAAGAAGGAAACGAAATATTTGTAATCGTGATTTATACGTAGACCGCACCCCGGGTATCCATCTCAAATTCCATCGTTACAACTTCGCCGTCTTCCCACCTGCCCTCTCCTCTCGATCCTCCTGGACAAGTTTCGTAGCCAACGCCGCCAACTTCGGCGTAAGCTTCTCGTATGCCCCGGCATTCTCACTACTTGCCTGCCTCCTGGCAAACCGCGCCGAGATCCCCTGTGTGATCACCGAGTTTCTACAGAGCATGAACGCAAGCCCCCAATTCTGTCCGTGCACCTTCCACCCCACAGCTTGCTCATAGACCTTGACCGCCTCCTCCCTACTCGGCAGGCCCGGGGTCTTTCCCGGCAAAAAGTCCGTGGCGCCCGGCGACAAGCTCGCTTCCGGATTCGTCGCGAACAGGAAAGGGGAGAGCAGATTGCACAGGTCGCTAAGCGGATGTCCCAGCGTGGACAATTCCCAGTCGAGGATTCCGACGACGCGCGGCTCGGTGGGGTGGAAAATCAGGTTGTCGATCTTGTAGTCGCCATGGATGATGACGGTGCGGTCCTCGGGCAGGGTTTTCGAGAAGTACTCCATGTTCTCGGCGAAATTCGGGATCGGGCCGACTTCTGCGCCGGTGTCGATATCGCGGGCGGCGCCCTGCGCCGCGCTGATCGTTGCTAGAGTCCGGATCTGGCGCGTGTAGAAGCCGCTGGGCTTACCGTAGCCCTCCAGGCTAACGTCGCGGAAATCGGTCTGGTGCAACAGCGCCAGTGTCGTCAGCGCCGAGTTCCACATCGCCTTGCGGTCGGCGGGTGAGACTCCCGGGATCGACGGGTTGGAGAAGATCCGCCCAGCGACGAACTCCATCACGTAGAACGGCGTGTCGAGCACCGTCGAGTCCTCGCATAGGATTATGGCTTTGGGAGCCGGGACCGGAGTGGGCGAGAGCGCTGCTAGCACCCGGTATTCGCGCTCGACGGCGTGTGCGGTTGGGTTCAGAAGCTTTCCGGGAGGCTTCTTGCGCAGGACGTATTGCGCGCCGTTGGAGGCCGTCAGGAGATATGTGGGGTTCGATTGGCCGTAGCCGAACTGCGCGGCGCCACGGGGAGTCAGTGATGCTGAAGGAGGATCGGCAGAGGGACGGTACCTACCTGCTTGACGTCCAGAGGGGCTTGGATGTAGGTTTTTGCGGCCAGGTATCGCTCGAGCGCTGGAATGTCGATGGGTTGACGTATTGGGCCGGCCATTTTTGCTGTAGTTGTGATGAAGTCGAGGAGGTGTGGAAGTGGCAGGCTGTGGGGGATGTCACATAGTGATAAGACATGCCGAGGTTCGGTTCATGTAAGGCACACGAGGGCGACGCGACGACCGAGATGCCGATCATGTGTGGGGAAGCCGCCGCGGCCGCGCCACGTTAGGTAGTCGGCAATGGAGAATCGGGTTGGGACGTTGGAGGCTATGTAGAGTACGTGCATTCGGAAAACTCCGTCATTTGCGTTGGAAGAACTCTGGATCTGCCATGCGAGCTATCTACAAGTATCTACTTGTACAGCGCCAGTGCAAGCATGTAACTATTATTTACAGGCACCTCTTGTACGTACAGTTGTGGCTTGATTCCGAATCACAAAGTTGTTGGACATTCTCTGCAACACTGAACACTGCACAGTGCAATGGAAGCCTTTCCCTATATATTCGTGTCCTAGAAATGGCACGTGTCCACGCTTATTTAGCGGACAATCGCGATCGAGCGCTGGGGTCTCGCTTCGCCCCGTGTCACTGATTGACCCCTACACGAAACCCACACGGCTGGCATGGCGGAGGCAGTGCGGCTGATCCTCGTTGGAAGAGGGGACAGGTAACGGGAACACTCAGCTCTACCTATTCTTCACATCCGCCTTCGTTCTCTCAGCGCGAGCCCGAACCCAACGATGGCTGCCGTCCATGAGTATTCACAGCAACCAAAACCGCATGGCCAGCACCAAGAGCCAAGCTATCAGCTGCCGCCCGGCGGGGAACCCACGCCAGCTGCTCACGGGAGCTACGGCCAGTTTCCATATGCGCACACGAGTCCGCCGCAACAACCTCTCTCACTCGGATATCAGCCATTCCCGTCGTCGCCGCTATACGGCAGGCCCCCCGGCCAACTCTCAGAGCCCATGGGCGGTCCCCTTGTACGAAGCGCGGGGTATCCGCAACAGCAGCCACAACCACCTCAGTCCGGCGCTGGCCCCAGCCAATCGCCATTCGGCTATCAAAATCACAATCCACAGCTCCCGCAACCTGTGCCTCAACCGCCACAACTGCAAACCGCTCACCTCAGTAGACAGTCGTCACGGGTTTATGGTGGCCATGGGCACGGAGACTACGGAGGTTCACAAACCTTATCGACCCAGGGAATGGCGGGCGGATATGAACAGTATAACAGCAACGAGCGAGTTCAACAACTAAGGAACGACGGACGGCCTGCTTCTGCTTGGTCCACGCCGCAGCACCAGCAGCACCAGCAGCATCCACCGCTGCCGCCGGGTTGGACTGCATACTGGGATCAGCGACTGCAAAAACACTACTATAGCAACGCTGCGACGGGGCAGACAACGTGGGAACCACGTAAGTACCCACAGGCCATTCACGTAATAGTTACTGATGCCCCCAAAGCGCATGCATCGCAGTATCCGATTCCGCAGACCCCTTCCTTTGCCCATCCACCTGCTCTTTCTCAATCGCCGCAGAGTCTTCCTCAGCAATTCCATCCCCCACAGCAACACCAGCAGCGACTTCAAACACCCATTCAGCTACCTATGATCACCGCATACCCAGTTCCACAGACCCCACAGCCTCATAATATGGATTTGTCGATCGACACCGGTATGCAGCAGTACAAGCGCCCTTCAACCGGAACTCCGACCAATCAGATGCACATTCAGAAGCTTCCTCCTATCGCATCCCATGTCGAGCTGTGTGCTGAGCCAAACTCTCCAGTAACCAACAGGTCATCACCTCAGCACCCATTTGCATCACAATCGGGTCAACCGTTGTCATTCTCGCCCGGGCCGCCACCGCCGCCAAAAGTGCTCGAAAAATCACTCATAATCACTCGCTTCGCCCACTCACCACCTCACTCGCAACTCGAAGTCGTTACAAATACCGCACCTCACCAGCCCGCATCTCACCAACCCGCCCCTCGCCAGCCCACACCTCGCCAGCCCACGCCTCGCCAGTCCACACCGGTAAACAAGGACACATCCGCTTACTCCAACTTCGGGCAAGCAATCCTGAGCCAAGTAAACACCAAGGTGCCTACCGGCAAGAAAACACCGGTCAAGAGGCCGCAGCCGTCCAATATAGATCCGTCGGTCTCGCCACTCAGCTCACCGCCCCAAGAGCCCCCCAAGAAACCCTCTGCCAAACGCTCCTCGACTCCTCCGTTCATGTCATCAACATCGCACGGCCCCCTCTCCATGACCGAGGACGAGCTCTCTCCACGAGCAAGACGCGTAAAGTCGAACGACGAGGAACCACACGTGTCTGCCACCTTCACGGCCCTCGACAATGATCCCATATTTACCGGCTTGACGGTGAACACGGGCTTGAACGCACCACGTAACAGCGGGATGGTGACTACGCAGATCGTGCGCGTCCATGGTGGGCATGGTGGGCACGGTGGGCATGGTGGGCATCAGGGGACAATCACGCCCCCTAGCCCCGCGATATCAATCCGGAATCCGAAGCCGGTCGTGCCACCCGGGGCCATGGAGGTGCCCCTGCTGAGGCAGAGGGATAGTGTTGTCAGTTATGGCTCTCCGGGTGGAGCGGCCGGAGGATTTCACCCCCCGCAGCAGCAGCAGCAGCAGGGTGTTCAGATGGGGCAGCAGCCGCAGGGAATGCATATGGGACAGCAGCAGCAGCAGGGCACGCAGATGGGACAGCAGCAGCAGCAGGGCATGCATATGGGGCAGATGCATCCTCCCGTCCACAGCAGCCAGATGGGGCATCAACATCAACAACATCCGCAGCAGCGAGAAGATCCACCAGCGGACGGACAACAAAGCAACATAGTGGCGTTGCAGCAATACCACAGCGCCTTAGCGCAGCGCGCAGTTCTCAAGCACGAAGGAACAGCCGTCGATCGCCTCCGCATGCTGGCCGAGGACCTTGCAACCCTCTCCAATACCATTTACACGGCACTGGAGCGGTTGCCGGTGGGCTACGTCGAGGAGCTCGCCGGTGAGCTGAGTAACGATTGGGAAATCGTCGAGATGGATACTATGCTGAGAGGTGTACTGGTTACTCATGGAAGGGACGAGCAGGCTAGGCCGAATGAGAGGTGGAGGAAGCAGGGGCCGCCGGGGTATCATGGGTAGTAGGTACTAGTAGATTGTGGGCTATATAGTGGTAATTGGTGGGTGGATGGAGCAGGTTACGTGGGTGTTGTGCGGTGTGAGGTGTTTGGGGTGTTGTGTTCATACCATAGTTAGTTCATTCGGTGTTTTGACTTTATTTTTGCCCTGTAGGTGGGATATGAGATTGCAATACTATATGAAGGGATACCCATATGTTAATGGCGGAAAACGATTAGCCTTCTCAGAGGTCTTGGAAGTTGGACGTTATGAGGGTGCACTCGGTGAGGAAAGATATGAACGCGGGAGAAGTGTTGTACCGCATGTACAACCCAGCTTTGCAAAGCTCATTCACGCTGATCCTGCTTCAAACACCTAGCTACACTAAAGTGTGTGGGCTGTTCAACCACCTATTCAGAAACGACTCGAGAGTTGAGAAAGCCATTAGTTATGTAGCCACTGCGATCCCTAAATAATCATCAGTTATCACACACTCCTATCGTCCATATGAAACGCTTACACTACCAACTACCAACACGGGTAGCTACATACCACCAAGTCTTGAGCCCCAACCATGTTGGAAGGGACTCATGGATGATGGAGGTGATCACTGAAACGATTGAAATGGAGAGAGAAGTGAAGTGATCTGTTCAGGTCTGGGAGCTACAGGTACATACAAGAGAGAGAGAGAGAGAGAGAGAGAAATAAAACTGAACTTAGACCCGCTACCGCACCGAATGTTCCAAGCACCCACCACCGATCCTCCGGGCGGCTAGTGGACTACCTACTCACAGGAACACACTCGTTCCCACAAACCACAGCCATGCTATCCCAACGGACAGCAACTCCTTCCTGTGAGCCAGTCAAGGCCCATACAAACTGTCAAACTTTAGTTGCCTGGAGATCTCGGCACGAGTTGAGGTTTGGCGGTGGAAGAGTCTCGACGGCCACGATGGACTATCAACGAATATATAGTTACGCGGCAGCGGACTCTGATGAGCGGCCAACTTTGTTCGGCGTCCAACCTTAGGTGGCCCCTCAGTCTTAAAATAGAGGTTTTTGCCGTATGCGATAGGTTTTTCTTCTGTATCGAATAGAATATCATCACCTGTCTACGCAAATATTTCAACAGGTTATGAGCCCGGATTGAACGCTTTAACCCGCATCAATCCTTTATTCTTCTTTTCCTCCTCTTCAATCCTCTCCCCAACGGTTGATCGCCCACGATGACCGACTTCACCGCAATTTACACATGCGAACACGGCTCCACACCCGTACTCACTGCAAAAAACTACCACCCGTGGAAGCACAACCTCATGGACTTCCTCGTTATGGACGACGCCCTCAACATTGTCCTCGGCCTAGAACGAGCACCAGCCGACATGGCATTTGCCCTCGGCAGAGACTACTCCAGACGGTCGAACAAAGCCTTCGGAATGATACGGCAATCCACCGAGCCGCGTATCCACACCTTTATCAGCGGCCTTGGGCACCGCGACCCGCAACGCGCATAGGAAGCCCTCGGACAGCGACTCGACTGCTCTGCAGCAGCACGCGTCGCCACCCTCATCCGGTTCCACAACTCATCGATGCAACCCAGAACGCCGGTATCCGAGTACATCACCTACCTATGCGACATACAACAGGAGTTGGAAGGAACCCCGGACGAGCAAGATGAGAGGACGGTACTCATGCGCCTCCTCACAACCCTTCCCAACGCATTCGTACACATAGTCGGCATAATCCTGAAAAGGGATTCCGGCTTGGAAGACCATACCCTCGACTCGGTCGCCGCAGTCCTGATCGAGCACGAAGCCGCCGGAAACCTTTGCGCCGCGTCGGCTGGGTCGAGCCCTAACACCGCCGCCGGTACTACTGTTCAGGCGGTGGCGACCAATACCAATACCAATGCGAGGAACTCGGGAAAATATGCGAAGCGTATCAAGGGCCGCAGAAAGAACACCGGTGGTAAGCCCTACGACAGGAAGCCGGAAACCGCGGACCAGGATATCGTATGCTTCTACTGCACGAAGAAGGGCTATACAGCTGGTGAATTTCGCATGAAGGAAAAGGCAGATGAAATACGGAAGGAACACCGACACGGACGAGCTTCCTAGCCTAATCCGGTCGACACCCATCAGCGGATCAGAGGGTCAGGGCTGCTGCCTGCTGGCCCAAGATTGATCGGCTCGAGTGATCGGTTCGAGTGACGGCTCGAGTGGACGGCACTGGGATGGCGGTTGCGCTTCGGCGAGCTCAAGATCAATGGCTCTGATGCTGAGCCCGACTCCGGCCTCCTGACTCCTTATGACACGCGAGACTAGCTGGTGGTACGCGGGACGCGCGGGACGGTGCAATGGTCACCTAGAAATTGTGCTCTGGGCTACTTTCTTCATAAGTATTTGTAGATATAAGGGATTGTGCCGGTAACTATAGTAGTAGGTACTAGTAGGCCGTACACGAGTGACTATTTGAGTCCGAGGACACATGGCAAACATGGACTATCACTTGATCGTAAGGCACTGCACAGTGTTGATATTATGCGTCTTGTTGCCTGTTCCAGTGTCCCTGCTACTTTCCACTGTACGTATGAATACTGCCCTCATTTCCTTTGTGACTGCTTAGGATTGTTCATGGCTTCTCACCAGAGTCAGCCTCTTTAGCTAAAAGCCTTCAAGCCCCCAGTTTCAACACACAGTGCAAGCAAGGTATGTACTTATTTGCGGCGTAGTTGAAACTTGCCATCCTGTTGGTCGGGACGCTGGGGCGAGACGGGGGATGGAGTAGGAAGAGAGGGGAGGAAATAATTACATACTGGCATCGATATTTTCGGAGGAATGTAGGCCCCAGGGGAGGGGACATAGAGATGGCTATCGACAGGTAAATATGGGAGGAGGATCACTGGGCGCGGCATCGAGCCAAGTACATATATTCTCCACCCCCCAGCCCGCTGGGTATTTTCGGCCTCGTCTTTGTTTCGTCTTATCTTGTTGTTCCACTCGCTCCCAGCGGCTGTATGAACCCGAGAGGTGAAACCGCTAAGAAGTAGTTAAGATCTGCCTGCTTGCCACTACGGCGACCTCATCATACATAATACAAAATATCCTCTCTTGGCGTTCATGCGGTGCGTTTACTTAGGTCCTGCTCTGGGCACCGATTTCGGGGCGGGATACCGTGCATACCGTACATACCGGTACTTAATCGGTGATTGTGACCGGCCGAGTGAGCACACTGTGGCAGAGTGATGGAGGAGCTGTCGGCGGGAGAAAACGAATGTGGTTAGTAGTTCGCATCAACGTTGGCGGGCATGGCGGGGTCTTCCTCTTCCTCTTCCTCCTCTTCTTCTTCTTATTCTGTCTTGTTCATCCTCTATCGAATAGACGGCCAACCCCTCATCTCCTCTCTCTCCTCTGTGTGCGCTTCCTTTCTAGTCAGGCCTGGATAGGCATTGACAAAGAGCCCTCGCAAAACCACTATTTGGCATTGATGGATACATAGGTCCTGACAATCCTCATTGATTCTGAACTGCACTAACACCTGATGGGGTGAATTCCGTCTTTGAAGTTGCGTCACATCAACCCCGCACCCGCACGCTACATACGATCGCCGCACTCTTGCCGCCGGCGCAACCGCCCAGCTCCAAAAATAGCATCCCCGCACCCCAGGTTACGACGTTACGTACCCGTTGAACGTTCACCCCGCAGGCGGCACACACCATCACTCGGGGCGCTTACGTTCCGGTTTATTTCGAGACCGCACTAACCAGTGTCTGCGACGTGCGTGTAACCGTATGTATGGTACTTTATCTATACAATTTGACTGCTTACGTATGCACATGGTACGACCACATCCTCCGCTCTGATTGAGGACCGCAAATGGATGGCGGGGGGTGCTTGGCTTGTCGGGATCCCAGATGCGGGTGCTTGTGTCTGTGCCACACGTCAAGCTGATCGTTGGATCCGTGGGCGGGCTGACGGCTGACCGATCGAGGCCTGGTGGGGCGCTCACGCCTTCGCTACTCGACGTCCCCGCCCCCCATCCGGTGAGAGTGAGAACCCCTCAGGCCGCCAGTCAATCGTGTTTGAAGGAGGTGTATGTCCGAGATATTTCGAGAACGCATGCGAAATGCGCGCGCAACGAGGAACAGATGTCAGAGTCGCACCACAGTGAAGGCTATCATTCCACATCACACGTTGAAAACTCGAAGGACGGAGTGTCGAACTTACATATTAAACCTCGACGTTGTCCCCCCAGACCAAGCAAGCATGCAAGCAAGCGGTATTCACAAACTTCAATGGGCTTTCACACGAACCACCCCCCTCGCTGTCCTGCGCGCAATTCGCCATTCCTCAACGTTCACCTCTCCAGCTCGAGGTCCTCGCATCGCCATGGCGTGAGTGCATACTACTTACCTAATAATGTACCTATATTGACACCATGACACTAGCACACCGCACACGCTTAGAAGTACATGTCAGATCAACAATTCACGCAGCCAGAATGGAGAGCTCACGAGTCACGAGTCGCGAATTCAGTGGAAGAAACAATTACGAGTATGTACGTACATACATACATACGCAGTCCGGTGGCCCGCAGCTGGATTTGGGCGGCAAACGTCCATTCAGCCCTTCGGTGGCTTCCACCACAACCTCCACTACATGATTCCTGAGTTGGATGGATGGATGGATGGATGGATGGATGGATGGATATGGACCATGCATGGTCAGTCTCCACGTGGAATCCGTGCCGTTTTCGTCCCATGACGTTCGACTGCAGAACAGCTGTGCTGACACGACAAACGGCATCATCCACCTCACCGTGACCTACGGTACGGTACATACCTACCAGCGAGTTTTTTTTAACGTATGAATGACCATGGAAGTATATATGATACACAGGTACACAGCAGCCAGGTCACGCCGCCCAGAAGTAGGTCATCTACACTGTACATACTACGTATCAGCAGCCGACCCAGAGTGCAGCCACTCTCGTATCGAGGTTGAGGTATTTCGACATCCGCTAGAATTATACCTACATACATGTGTCTACCAGGTCGATGCCATGTGCCCAACAGGAAGTGCTTCTGCGACGACAATACTGCAACCGCACACATACCGCAACAAGCGCAACAGCCAATCAGCGGGCCGTTGCTATCGGTCCTCGCGCTCACTGTCATTCCACCACATCTTATCTTACGTCACCGTACTTATTGCATTAACAACTCAGGTTTACCAGTGCAGCGGTGCAGCGGTGCTGAGGCCGCGCACGGTGGCGTTCTCAGGATCAAAGTCTCAGCGTATGTACCTACGATAGGTACCTATTCAGATCTCGCAGCCGACCCTCTGCCAGCGCACTTCAATCGCCGCATCACCCCCACATCCTCCAGGCTTCCATTCCCTTTATCTTCCCAGCCGCCCTGGAAGGCCGCGTCCACCCGCCAATATCCAGTGCCCACTGTCCACTGATACCCCGCCATGTAGCCGCGCCAAGGATAACATCCCTACGCGCGCTTGAAGATTCTCCCGGTTTCGCTTATGACGAACCCAGCAACCCTCCGTACCGTAGGTATCATCTATCTAGAGTACGTACTATGGATACCAGGTATGTTTTTTTATCTCCGAGCGAGCGAGCGAGCGCTTCCATCATACACATTCGTATTTTGGGGATGCAGGCTGATCCTGGCCTGCGGGCCGAGGCTGCAGAAAAATATTTCGATGTATAGTACCATCCACCACGTCCACCACGGTCCACCACCAGCATCAAGATTCAACACCACCCCGGCTCCCGCGTACCCACACGGCTGGATGGATGGATGGATGGATGTGCCCTGCATACATACATATGTACGCATGGCGTATTTATGCAGCCGGCGGCGTTTCGAATTCTAGCATACCCACGGCAGAATTCGTTTCGGCTGGTATGTACTGAGTGGATGTCGGCACGGTGGATGCGGTACCTACGTAGTGATATGTAGGAGGAGGGGGAGTGAATCGCTCACGAACGTCACGCGGCGGGGCGGGGCAGGGAAACAATCCCATCCTCCCACGGACAGGGCCCGGTAAAAATCCCCCGGCTGCACGTCATGTCACGTCAACCAGCAGGCTGGCGTTTCAGCTCCTACGAACCTCCGTGTTTCGATGCTTCGCGGTATGTTCTTCACCCTTCCCCGTATGCATATCGCGTTTCCCATCTGCACAGTGCATATCCGGTAAACGCCCGGGGTCGAGACTTGTACTCTAATACCGTACTCTCCACGCGAGCAACCCCCAACTCCCGTACCGGGGATACACCCGTACTCTACCTTGTGTAAATACCCCGTCCGCCCGCCCGCCCAGTGCCCTCACCGCCCGTCCCCGCAAGTTTGGCGTACACGCATTGCAAAGACAAGCATTAGCCGTTGACCGCCAGTGTCCGCATTCTTGCCCGCACACCTACCCGCCTGCATGAGTGTCTACTCTATGATAGATGTCGTCGTCTGCGCCGTAGTGGCGCAGACCCGTCCCCGGGACTGGTCGGTGGCAGGTCGGTGGCAGATGGTAGGCGCATGGTGTAGGGTACATACTCTACTCTACTCTACATAGAGTACGCCGCACGCACGCGTACTCTATGTGGAGTACGTTGGGATCTTGTACTTGTTCGAGAGCGGGAGAAAAGCCAAGGACTTGCGCTGTCAAGTCTGCGCAGAGTCTGGGCGGGTCGATGGTACTGGGCGGGTCGATGGTACATGAGGTACGTTGGGGAGTAGAGTACATACATGCGCCCACAGCGGTTGGGTTGGCCGTGCCGTGCCGCGTCTGCCACGCACGCCCATTGTCCATTGCTCGCCGCAAATCATGTCCGCCGCAAATCATGTCCTCAGAGGGGCTCGAGGCACTCTATGTACCGAGTAGATGGCGTCATGTGTGCCGTTGTGGCTTTCTGTGTGCCGTCATGGCGTTCTGTATGCCACATGTGCCATGTCTTTGTGCACATGTCCTCGTGCACAAGTCCTCGTGCGGATAGTCGGTTTTGCATCATAGATCATGGCGGCAAAGGATTCAAGAGTGTGAACCGCATTAATTCAAAGACTCCGTGTGAAAACAACCTCTCAGAAGAAAGAAAAAAACAACAAATGCCGCCAATCGCAAACCCCGCACCCAACCAGACCCGACCCCGTGACCGAAAAAAACGAATGATTGTGCGCCCAGAGCGCCATGACAGAAGATATGCTGCAAGGAAGAGAGAAAAAGAGAAGAAAAAAAAGGTAACTATACAAGTATTTACAATGAAGGTACAGGAATCCACGCATTTCTAGCCTCCCCGACTTCACTCTCCCGCATTCACCTAGCCCGCGTGTGTCGTAGTGTCACAAGGAAATTAAGAGGTATATGTTCGGAAATAGGTAAATGGCGGTGGTAGCCAGGAGGTGGTGGTGGTTGGTCTATCGGCCGGGAAAAAACTTAAAAGAACCCTGTCGAGCAAAGTCCACGTTAGTATTCGGTTCCAGCGAGTGGTAAAAGCGAGGGGAAAACTTACAGTACTCGGTAGCGTACGGGATCTCGAACTTTGCGGGCATGCCCTCGCACGTCCTGGGAGCCATTCCTCCTGCAGTGTTGACTCTGTAGACGTCGGAGAACCCGCGGGTACCCTCGATGGCCGAGAGCCTGAGCCAATCGACGGCGCCGTGGTCGCCCTGCGGCGCAGCAGACGGGGCGGGCACTCCCTCCGTCTTCTTTCCGACGAAGATGTCGCTGCTGCCGCTCTTGGTGAACTCGAAGACGGGCGTGGTGGCGTCGGTGAAGTAGTGCAGCCCGACTTCGACCTTCTTGTCGCCCATGATGCTGCACAATCCCAGCAGCGCGCGGATCTTCTTCTCCTCCATGGCCAGGAGCATCGCCGGCATCGAGTGGAGTACTGCGGGGAAGTTCTGCGCCAGGCATGAGGCGTCGTACAGCAGGGCGTACGCTCCGTACGCCGCTGGTGCCACGGACGCGGTGCTCGTGGAACAGGTGTAGTTCTGCGTTCCTTTGCCGAGGACGACTCGCTTGGGTGTGCGAGGTGAGGGAGACGAGAGCTCTGCATCTGCTATGAGGTTAGCTTCCGATTGACTCGTGCTGGGGGCCCGCCACGAGGGAAGGATCGGGGGAATGCATACATCCGTCCTGCTGGATCGTCGGCATGACCGCTCTGTCCAGACTGCAACCGGTCACTCTCGCAACCCTGGAATCCTCGTAATCGTCATCGTTGTCGTCTCGTCGGGACCCTGGGAGGGCGCTGGCGACCGCCGCGAAGCCGGCAAGCACAATGGCGAGGCACTTGATGGAGAACTGCATCTTTGTCGTGGTGCGGCTGGGAAGGCGAGCGGAGATTGAGTTGGAGGGGGAGGAGGAGGATGGAAGATGGAAGGCGTCTGGATGGAGGAAGGAAGCAGGCGGAGGAAGGAAGGAAGCAGGCGGAGGAAGGAAGGAAGACCTTTAAAGAAGTAGACTGGAACCTGACCGGTTGGTTGGGATAGTGGGTCTGGATTGGTAGAGGAGAGACACGTTATTTATCTACCGTCAATGTGTCCAGGTGAAGGTAGGCATGCCAGTATGCGGGCGCCTGGATTTGTGTGTTGCATGCTTTCCGAGTTTCTTCGGCCAGGGACATGGATGGGCCACGACGACATGGACAGGGATGGGCAAAGGCTGCACCCTCCAACGATCCCTCCCCCCCTCCAATGATCCCTCCCTCGTCCCCCCTCCCTCCTCCAACATCTGGCTCTTGCGGCTTGCCCCGCCGACCCTCTTCTCCCTGCCGAAAATCAATTCCAGCCACTTCCTATGGTCTGTCTGTCCCGCGCGCACGCCCGTTCCTCCCTCTGTTCGGCTTGGTCCAGGCCGCTAATTCCACTCTAGATAGTCTTCCTGCCGGTGGATCCCTCGTTGTTCTCCGCTGGACGGGTGACACCCTCAAGACTCAAGACAGCCACGGCGCCCTGCGAGCGATCACGGCCAGTCAGTTGGTTCACTGTGGCTGAATCCCCTCCCAATTGCTGCCCCTTACGGTTCCCGCCCGCAGAACTTCTCGGCGCCCTCCATCAGATACAACCTCGGGGACCCCCCAACACTCACGATCCGCATCGGGTGGGCAAGCCACCAGGCTCTGCATTCAATGCAGTCCTTCTCTCGCAGAGAAATTAACGGCCCATCACACTTTTTCATGTCGTGCAGCAGACAGGCAGCCTTGAGGAGAAACCCGGCAGCCAAAGAAGCAATGATGCATGTGTGGTTCGAAATGCAGCAGCAGCAGCACACCTGCCAGCCACGGGCACGGCGGTTGCACGCCCACGCTAGAGATCCACACTAAACGGATCTCGGCCAAGCTTTTCTCTGGCAATCTCGCCTGCGGGAGCCAGGAAGGAGCATGGGCTGGCGACTCACGCTAGGCCTCTCGCCGACAGCCCGGCTAGCTCCTTCGCCGATAGCCTATTTTCCCCAGGCCACAAAAATAACTGGTTCGCGGCTCGCTTTGCGCTAAGAATAACCCCGTCCACTGTGCAGTCACCAGTGTGTCTCCGATATCTCTGGGCCCTCCAAACAATCATTATCGCTGTGGTGGGATTTCTGTTTTTTTGTGCCTGCTACGGTATTAGTCCCTACGCAGTGGACCGTGTGGAATTGATTATCAGCCACCAAGGCCCACGGCTACATGCTCACGAACCATGGCTGAGAAGTGAAAGTGAGGGGGCCTTGCACAATGTTGGTTTTAATCAACTGAGCGACTCGCCCATATATCGTGCGGGATTCGGCAGAGATTGAAGGGCGGCCGGATGCAAGAGTAGAAATGCACTGCGGTCCCCGTCTCGGTCGCGAAGGTACTATAATCATTTGCGTCCCCCCCCCCCCGGTCCGACGCGTGTATGTACTGGTACTCTACTGTAGAGTGGAGTATTTACGTGAGCGTTTGACCACGATAGACAGCAGACAGCGCTGAGTCTGTGCCGCGAAATAGGTAAACCGCCTGCACTTGTGCTCACGATCGTTGCTTGGTATGCTTGGATTTGCATTTGTTTACCGGGCGGCTTCCATCTGACCTCTAGTATGTACAAATAAAGGTCTGTAAAATTTATAAAGCGAGCACTAATAGCACTGAGCAGTGAGCACTGAGCAGTCCAACCCTAACATCCCAAATCGTCATCGTCAGATCGTCTGGAAGAGATCTACATTTAGTTACCTCGTGAACTAGAGTGCAAAAACTATTTGGCACGGTTTCGTTGTCAGACAGTCAGACTCCCGAGTCCGAGTCCGAGTCCAGACGTCTTCAAGCGGGGCTGCTGGGGGTGGGGGGGCCTTGATTTCTCATGCAGCCCTGTGGCTCGTGGCTCGTGCCCCAGTCACGGGTGTAGCCAGCCATCCAGCCACTGCGACTCCGCCACGCCGCTCGACCTCACCTCACCTCACCGAATCCGGCTGCGTATGTACGGTACATATTACTGTACATATGAAGCGAATTGTCAAATTGTCACCGACCCACCACATCCTTCCATTCAAGTGCGTTGGACGACCGATCTTCCACCCACCCACCGCCTCGTCTCCACGTCGCGGGATTGGGAACAATGGGATCCCGTCAGCAGCCACAGACGAAATGATCACAGACGAAATGAACTGAACTGAACCGGAGGCGAAGGGCCCAATAATCACCGCGTCTACGCCACATGCCTGCAGTGCTCTGCAGGCTACACCCCGACTCCAGCCCCAGTACTTAATGACCGTTGACCGCATTTAGGACGCCACAGGACCGCAGGCCACACCCCGTTTCCAGTCCCAGTCCAGACAATGTCCGTATCTGCATAGGACGCCACAGGTGTGCAGTCCAATGTCCACCCCCCACCTGCAGTCCCGCCTGCAATCCCGCTTCCAGCCTCAATGATGGCCGCATCTAGAGTAGAACGCCACAGGTCCGCATCCCACCCTCTCCGCGCCTCCGGTCCATCGGTGCGTCGAGTGCGTCAAGTGCGTCGAGTGCGGCACGTATGGACGAATAACTGCAGCGAACCTCGAATCTCGAGAAAGAATAAAGAATAAAGCCTCATGCTCCAGCCTCCGGGTGACCGACCACGCATGTTGTGCGCGCGTACGGCGAGGATCGAAAGAGAGGCCTGGTTGGCGCTGTGATTTTGCAAGTATGTAACCATCGTCATCGGTGATCAAGGAAGACCCTGACTCTATTCTTTATTCTTTATTCTGGCTGGGCAGATCGATAATCGATTGGACGGGCGAAGACGATCGTCGGTGTTCAGGGAATATAGACGCGCACTACCTGCTAGTTCTCTACAGTGCAGCGCAGTCCGAGGAACTACCGGTAGTCAACTTTTCGGTCGATGTCCGTCGGGAGTCGGGAGTCGGGATACGCCTATAATTGGCCGGGTTTCTCCCACGCCCGGTAGCACCTGGTAGCACCTGGTAGGCCAAGTTGGCCAAGAGCGCGGATTGTGCACTTCTCTGTGCGGTCGGCGCGAATTTGGGGTTTTCTATGTATGGAGGCTTCGAAGTTCGCACCCGCCTTTAGGCCCGGCTCACTCTCGAAGATAAGTCGTCTGGTCCACGGCTCGGTGGCGGTAAAGCGTCTTTGGTGCGGAGTAGATACCGGTAGCAAAAAACCTACGCCAACCACGATACGACATGCTCACTTTTTGAGGCTTCCTTTCAGAGTACTCTACCGTACTCGTACTTGCTTTTTCGGAATCACCGATGGACGCATAGTAAGATTTACTCTAGTACTCGTACTCTACATACGATAAGGGTGTAGGCAAGTTGTCTCAGTGACTCAGTCCCTCCGAGCGAGCAAGTCCGCGATACGATCGGTCACTTTCTTCCCCTCCCCTCTCCTTTTCGCTGAATACATACTGGTGTGCAGTTGGTATGTAGGCAGGTAGAGTATGAATAATACAACAGCGAACTGTCGGGTGGAGATTGTGCTAACAAACAAACAAACAAACAAACAAACAAAACTGCGGAGGATGTTCCGTTGTGGCGGGGGAGGAGGGGGAGATTGGGATTATTGTGACGGCAGGACGAGATCATGACTACATAAACAATCCCCACGTCAAGAGGCACAGTCTGCAGCTGGCTACTGGGCAGATAGGTATAACAGCCACACACCACGGGGCCGATCAGTCAAGCCACAGCTGACACTGCACCAACACTACACCGACACAGCACCGACACAGCACCGACACAGGCACACTCTGATTCGATATGCGAGCTTTGGCTTCACCTGGCACCTGGGTGGGAACCGCCGAATTACTCCATGAGTATGCAGCATTGCAGCCTCAGCGGTCATAAGGTCTTGCCTCGGGGCAGCCTATCCCAAAAGGCAGGCGTACCCCGGAAGCCTCCACACACGCATGCATAAACCCTAAGGAAGACCGTCCAATGCAATGCATAACTGTCGCCTATCGCCAACAGCGGGGGCGCCCAGCCCCCTCTCCCCGGTACAGCCCCTGTACGGCTGCCTGTACGGCTGCCTCCGTTGTCGATCTCCTGTGTCTGGTACACAACTGCTTACTTCTCTACCAACCCATTGGCTCTCACGATTCACGAGGGCTGTTCAGTGTTCAGCTTTCAGTCACCATTGTTCGGCCGACGGTGCTTAGCATAACTACCGTCCATTTATGCATGTTCTAACATAGAGTAGAAAAGCAATCCGAAACAAAACCCAACACCCAACTCCGCGAACGCAGGACGCCGAAAAACAAAAACCCCCGAAAGCATAGTAAACCCGAAGCAAGCCCAAAAAGAAAGAAAAGAAAACAAAACGAAAACCCGAAGCATGCCCAAATGAAAGAACGAAAGAAAGAAAGGAAAAAAAAAACAGAACTCCCCCACTTTGTTGTCATGTCATGATTCATCCCTTAACCTCCCCTCCTCTCCCCTCCCCTGTGGGCCCTTCTAAGTCCCCCGTGCAACAAGCGCCGACGCCGCCGATCCCAACCCAACCTCGGATGTCCCCGTCCAATGCTCCAATGCTCCAATGCGCAGTCCCGAAAAACCTTAACGTGGAGCGTTATACGTTGACATCCCCATCCCCATCCCCATCCCCATCCCCAATAAACCCCATCCTCAATCCACCCCACCCCATCCAATCCATTCCATCCATCCCATCCAGCCTAGGTAGGGAGGTGGACTCCCTAGCCCGACCCGACTCGCACCGCACCGCACCGGCCCCCTACTAGGCAATCTGCCGATCCCGAACATCCATCGCAGCATTCCCGTGTTGTAGTGTGGTCTAGTCCGGCTGACGGCCGCCGTCGTAATGTGCTGATTGTAATTGGCACGGCCCGCCCTCGTGATTTCGATTGTGTTGTGTTTTGGTATCACTCCCCGCCCGTCCGCCCGTCCTTCCATGAAGTAGTACAACTCCCCCAACTCCTCCAATTCCTTTCTACACTTCGAACCCCATCCGCGTCATGCTCGCGGATGAGTGGCGCCGTCGGCTACGTCGCAGCCGCACGAGCTGTATGCGCACGCCCATGAGGAGTGTGTGCAGCGGCATTATGTAGAGTAGATATGTGTGCGTGTTGTGTGTGTTGTGTGTGTGAGAGGCGCGGCGGGTATTGGCGTCTCGGTGCGGTGGATGGATGGTATGTACGGATATATGCGATGCGATGCGATGAGTGATGCGGTGCGATATAATGCGATGCTTTCTGGGGGGGTTGATGCGGGCTGCTGTCTGAGATATTGTTGAGGAGTTAAGATTTGGATTGCGGCAGATGTTGGGTTCTGCGCATGATTTATGTAGGATCCGTTTTTTCGCCAGCAATATTGGGGGAGGACAAACAAACAAGCGATGCGTTTCACTGTTGCAGGGCTGAGTCCGGTTGCGATTATTCCGTCGTGGCGGTGCATTGCAGGCTTGCAGGCTTCCTTTCACGTTTCCCGAATCCCCATGTAAGTACTCTGTGTAAGAAAATTGTATGTAAAGTACGTGATGTACGTGATGTACGTAAGCTGAGTGGTCGGCGAGATAGGGCTCGCGAGAGGGAGGGGAAGGGCGAGGGCGAGACCGCGGTGCAGCAGGATTACTAGTGGTAGGCAGCGACGGGCTGCGTTCTTGGTCATTGCGGCTGACGGTCGTGGCGGCGCTGCGCTGCGCGGTGCGGTGCGGTATCTTACTATCATTGTCACTGTTAGAAGGGTTGTCTCTACTCTAAAGTCTAGATACCGTACTCTATTTGCAGCACGCGAAGGTCGAATTTCGCGATCAAGGCAACTACAGGCTATAGTACATACGGGCTACACATACGGGCTATAGGCTGACTGCAGCCTACAGCCCCACCTGAGGCTGACTCGGCTGCGAGCTATCACAGTACTCGTAGATACAGTACAGTAGAGTGTCACCAGTGCTAACAACCGTAGTCATACTCTATCGTAAGGCTGAGCGTGCCATGCCAGCCACAGCCTCGAGCGGAGAATCGAGATTCCGTGCTGCACATTCCAACGATTCCATTGGGCTACGAGTCAGCGTCGCGTCTGTGTGGCTGGAGGTATCGTATAGTACCAGGTGACATACCCACCTACGTGGCCGACCATGGAATCCGTATGTATGAAGTAACTACCGGGCAAAAAAAAGTCGCGCGAGCATTCCCCCCGCAGCCTTGGCCTTGCGTGGTACGTATCGTGGCACGCCGTGTGTTCGTGCGCTGCCCCTGCATCTGGATGGCGATTGAAAAATTGCATATGTAGAGTATTGTACATACCACCACTCCACCGTTTGTGTGTCAATTGTCGACCGCGAGGCTCCAGCGGGCGGTGGAATTACAGCCGGCGGGACGATCAGGTGCTTCATCTCGTTTGCTATTGTCTTCGTCATTCGCTGGAGTACTAGTAAGCCTTTGGAAATTGGTAGAGTTTGCTGGAGCCTGGAGCCTGGAGAATCGAGGTGTGCATAAATAGGTGTAGGTGCCCAACTGAGTACCTTATGTACCTAATGTACCTAAATACTTCCCTACCCTTGGGTGTAAATTTCGCTTTGTGGACAGCCGCGCTCTATGTGTAGGTAAGAAGTTACGCAGACCGCAGCGCGCAGATAGCAGTAGCCTACTAAGTATATTTATACAGGTAGTTGTGTAGGTAGTACGTATCTTTATGGCAGTATCAGTCATGATGACCAGTTCAGATCAGTTCAGCTCCGTGAGGCTTGAGCAGCAGCTTTTCTGCCGGCCATCGCGGACACTGCGGACTTAGGAGTGCGAACCCCCATCTTGACGGAAGTGGCAGCAGGCAGCAGGCAGCAGGCGCAGACGGAGGCGCTGACTCATTGCTCGCACGCACGATTGGAGTCTCTGTGAGCCAGAAAAACTCTGACAGGGCAGGAGGGATACGAAATAAACGCTGGAAACCTAACCCAACAACTCGCACTGCAGGCTGCAGCAGCACTGCGCTGTATAGTAGAGTAAGTGATCCCCCCCTTGCCCGCAGCGTCTGTCTGCTTGTATGTTAACAGCGGCTAGTCGTTTCTGCGCACGTCGTCGCGCTAGAGTAGAGTATCCAACAGCATCGAAACGCATCGTAGGCGCCACGGAGAGTGCTAGTTATACGCTTCCGCCAACGCAGTACGCGGGTTTCCTGCCGCGTCGGCGCATACGACGGAGGTCACGTGTGTTCGGAAGCGGCGCTTGGACAGCGCTACGTAAGATACTCTAGGTACTTGGTACGTATCGGACCCCGTCCACACGATGAACGAGGCGGCTTTGCGTCTGCCACTCCCGGTCGATGACATTGTATCTCGTATCTTTTGTTTTTGTTTGATCATCATAGCATTCGACCTTATCAGATCATGGTTGTACTATACACGCGTCCGGTTCCACCCCATGGCTGACGTCTCCGACCGCTGGCCGTGAGCTCGATGTGGGTTCCCTATTGCTCTCCGCCCGGCCCATCCGCACATAGAAAGAAAGATAGAAAGAAAGACGAACAATGAGATGACAAAATGGAAAGGAAAAGCGTCAGTCTTTCTCAAAACCCCACATCAATGCACCCTTCCCCAATCAATTCCTGCATCTAGTCTAACGCCACATCTCTTCCAGCGTGTGCCGGAATCTCCGGCCGTCTAGCCCGTACTCTTTCCTCCACTCTGGCTCTCACCGCGTCCCAGTCTATCTATTACTCTGCCCGAGGCCCGGGTTGGGGTTGGGGTGTCTGGAGCCGGCAGTGCGAGGTTTTGGGGGTGGGGAGGAAAATATGTTCCCCTGCCTGTCGCCTTTCTTCTACTGCCATTGCTCCCTCCGCTGCCGCCGCTCTCGTTGTATCTCGTATCCCCCAAACCACAACCCACAACAACTAGGTACCTACCATATCTAGTGAGAGACATGTGATAGCAAACATCGCGAACTCTACACCATGAACAGACAGGATCTCACTCGTCGTCGCCGTAGCCGTCCCTGGATACGATACACTAACTACGTAGGTTTGGAATGGCCATGACATTTTGTTCGGCGCATTGGGAAGTGGGTTTCCACAAAGAGACAAAAGATAATAAAATTGCTCCAGCACTGGCAAGAAACGGAAAGAAACGAAGAAGAGAACCCTTCTGAAATCCACCGGCCTAACCCGCCCAACAGAAACGCCCCAAAAATCACACTTCTCGAAGAAACGACAAACCGAAAGAAAAACAAAACTGTGAATGGATTGACGAGGAACACAGCCATCAACCCAGAAATGAAGTAGATCTACCCGGCCCCCGGAGAAGAAGAAACTTTTCCCAAGTCGCTTCTCATCCTTCCACCCTGCGAGCGACTGTACGAGCTACCTAGTATATGTGCGCGTTCCCGATTAGGATATCAAGTTGTGTCATTGACGATCCGCCTGCCATGCCTCCAACACAGAAACGAGGCATTCAGGCGGAGAGCCACTCGTATCCCCAATGAATCCCCAATGAATCGGCATAATTTTTCAGCGTAGCCGAACAGTCCATCTGCTTTCTCAACGAGACGGGATAGGCTTGGTTCGTCAGGCCAGTCCATCTGCTTTCTCAACGAGACGGGATAGGCTTGTGATTGTATCAAGTTCAAAAACTGTAAAGCAAGCTTTCGGTATATTGTCGAAGCCATAGCGAATCTGAGCTTCCGGTCTGCTAGTTATAAATACTTGCAACCGCACGGACTTGAGAGTTCCCGCTTGAGAAAGAAGGAGAAGGATGAGCGCGATATCGTTTTCGTCATCGCACTCATCCAGCGCATCAATAACCAGTATCAATGACTGTGGGTGGGATACACCATCCAGTCGAGAAAGTGGTTCAAGGATGAGATATTTCCATTGCTCCCTGAGGCTTTGCCGGGGGACATCAGGGTAGTCGCATAGTGTTTTATACACACCGGTGGCAATGTTAGGGTGCACACACGCCAACTGATAGGCGAGGGTAGTGAAGAATTTCGAAGCATGAGCCATGTCTCCCCAACCCCTTACAAAGCAGAAACTCGCTCCAAGCCGTTTCTCATCGGCCCACATGCGTGCAACCGTCCGGGCTATGGTGGACTTTCCAATTCCAGCTTCGCCATTCAACCAAAAGATGGACGCATCAGTTGGACCATCCGACCAGCGCATAATTTTGCTGATGGGGTCAACTTGAGTGTTATACGAGCATGTAGGTTCGTGTTCAAAACGCCGTGAGTTGAATGCGGCGTCATAGGCGATGTAAGTTTCGGCTTTAGGGCAAATCAGTTACATGAACTTCTATTCGACCTCTCTCTAACTTACCAAACTCTTTCAAGGCTTCCTGTTGTGGGGACGGGGTGTAGGAAATTATCCCACCAAGTCCTGTACCTAGAATGCGCGCATCAGCCACACTGTTGCCTCGCCACAACACTGAACAGAGAACAGGTTGACGAACCAACATTTCCGCCCCCTTGGAAGCTTGTAGGCAGAAGTTCGAAGTGATTGCTATCGGCCCCCTCTTTATCTACGTTTCCATTGTTGCCGGAAACGACAGGGTCCCGGAAAACTTCATCTGTGTGATCACTGTTGCCGGAAACGACAAGGTCCTGGAAAACTTCCTCCGTGTGATCACGGTCCGGGTTTAAGTCGAAAGCCAAGTCGGATTCATCCGAAGAATCATCGAGGTGAGCAGTAGCTCTTCCGTCAGCTGTGGTCTTGAGAGATTGGGCATCACCAGGTTCTGAGCTATCGGACTTTGGCTCGACGTTGAGTGGAAGAACAAACAAGGCCAGTTGCTGCATATGTCGAGCTAGATGTCCTCGAAGCCGCTTAGGAGAACGTTCTTCCGAACATAATGGACATGGTTGCAGTCCAGCGACAATAGTTCGTTCGCACCTTTCAGCTAAATCCAACAGCTCCGACTCCTGGCCCTCATCCTGATGGCTCTGTCGCAGGTGATCGACTAGCTTGTCTTTTGAGGCGAATATTCGTTTACAGCCAGCACAAAACCATTCTCTCCGATGGACTTGTCCTTCGTGCTCATACCAATCGCGCCGGTACTCGAACATCTGATCCGGTTTCGGACAGTCCTCAAATGTACATATGTACGGTCTTAGGTCTTTGAATACGTGTTTCCTGGCCAATTGATTTAGCATGCATGATGGTTGGCTGAGACGAGAGTACACTTACATCCAATGATGCGTGCTTTTCATAGTTACTAGGGAGAAGCAGTACGGGCACTGAAACGGGGTTTCACCGTCAAGCATAGCACCACTTGGAGGGGGTGGAACCTGGAGTCTGATTTCGTTTTCGGTAGCATTGGATGTGGTATATGAGGTTTGAGATTGACCGGCCTCAGACGCCGCACCGACACAGTCCATTGTATCTTTCTCGATTTTGTAGGTAGTTACAGTCGTTTGACTATTTATTCGGGTCCCAGACTTTTGGCTACTCTTTGCGGTGATGCTCGTACCCGATTCTTTCCTTTGGAAGTCGTTGCCGTCATCATAGTCGGCGATCTTGTCGTGGTGGTTCTTGTGATATTGAAGCAGCTGGCGACGCCTAGTATTTGCTTTCCCCATTCGTTTCTGAAGGTATTCCGGTGCCTGTTTGAATTTATTTCCGGCGTGGTCTTGATCGTATTTATCGTAGTGTGAGACATCGATGGCGGCATATTTCTGAAGCCTGTCGCGAGGCGCGGGCTGGCGCAAAGCAACGGAGAATCTGTAAAGACATGTAACGACGTGTGTGATGTTCAAGAAGGCGTATTCGAGCTCTGTTGTGGATGGCAGTTCTTCCTCAGCTTCATGTGTGTTCGAAGGGCCATCATCGAGAGATGTATGCGAAGAATCAGAAGACGCGTCCGACGACGATGTATCCCATGGCCCTTCTTCCTGCGTGATAAGTGTGATTGCTGTGACTTTGTCAGTGGCGTAGGTACTACCTTAGGCTTTCATCACATCGCCATACGCACCTTCCTCCAACGCTCTGTCCAGATCATCCAACAGGTTTGTAACCTTCCCATGGACGTGTAATGCCTCCCTCAGTCGGTGGTCTAAGGAAACTCGTCCAGTCCGATGCGCACCGGAGTTTCCGGCCCAGACTCTGAACCTTCCAAGCTCATCGCGAAGAGCTACTCGTTGATCAAAAAACCCTTGGTCCTGGGACAGCAGGGTCTTAGCGAGTCGATCGAAGGATTGGATGCACAAGTTGTAGCACGAAACAATGGATTTTATCCGCGGGGCGACGAAGGTCCTTTCCATGGTGAATAGAGACATCGGAAGAGTCAATGATGGCTAGTAGTAATTTAGTGGAGTGTTTGCAGGCATCTGACCTGGTATAGGTGGAGGAGCTGGAGATATGGATGGTTGCAGCTGGCCAACCGCATCTTGCAGGATAGGTGCGGGGGTGAGGGGTTGTCACGCCTCAAGATGTGGAGCTGCGGGCGGAGACCGAGCAACCATCTCTCGAACATGCTTCACCATATCCCGCATTGAAATCGGCAACACATAAACGTCCCCCAGCCGCCAAATCCAACCTCTGGACGTAGCACCAACATGGCTACGGGCATCGAAATTGCAGGTCTCGTGCTGGCTGCCCTTCCGCTTGCTGTCGAAACCATCAAGTTCTATGTCAAAGGTGCCGAAACAATGAAGGAGATGCGGCACCATCTACCAGTCTTGAAAGAGTTTGAGCGCGAACTCGATATGGAGCACGCCAAGTTCGTCGACACATGTTACCACCTTCTTGGGAACACAGTTGCACCCAAGGATCTGTCGAGCCTCATGGGTGACCCCGGAGGAGATCTTTGGGAAGCCGAGAGCCTACAAGCGAAGATTCGCAGTCGACTACCCAGTCACTCCATCGAACCTTTCCTAAAGGCGATCGAGGCTATGAAAACGGTTGTTGATGAGCTAAATGAGAAATTCGGAGTGGACAAAAGCACGGTTAGGACACCCATCCGCTGATCCAGGGTGGACCGCGCTGACCAGGGGATCATAATACCCATCGTACAGTCCAGCAAGCGCGCTTTGAAGCGTCTGCGTAAAAAGTTTACGCTAGTTGTGTTGAAGAACCACCGTGACGAGCAGCTTTCACGCATTCGCAGGATCAACCATGACCTAGATAAACTCGTCAACGGGGGTCGGCAATGGTTCGATCAAACGTCGACTGCGCGAGATGGATCAACCACGACTCGATACAATCGCATACGAAGCCATGCCACCGCTCTTTACACCGTTCTGAACGAGAAGCTGCAGACTCCACATTGCACATGTCCATCGTCCCACGACATAAACCTACAGCTGGAGACGCGCAGGGGCGAGACTTTTGGACCAAGGGAACCGGATCCGAGGTTACGATTCAAGTTCATTTTCTCCTTTGGTCCCGGGTTGGATGACGTGCCGTCCAACTGGAGAAAACTGGAATTAGAACATCTCGCCGAGAAACATCAGTCCGGCCCGCCGAACGAGGTTGTCGTCAATCCCGACGGAGACCAAGATTGTCGATACAGTTCGATTCCCACCAAAAACTCAATATCCACTGTAAAGGATGCTGTAAAACATACTGGACAGGGGCTTCCGAGTCCCACGGCTGTGGAAGAGCGAAATAATGTGACCAGGTGAGAAATCTAATTTCGAGAATTTCGATGATGTCTAACCGTGGGGGATCATGCAGCCCTCCCGAGCGTTCGAAACGAGTTAGGTTTCTCGGAATTTCCACTGCGGTCGTTAAAAAAGCATTAGGCTTCAGCCTGAGTCCCAAGAGAACTCCGAGTCCCTTGAACGCAGCGGATTGTTCCGACGAATGTACAGATGATCTTGCTCGGACCGAAATTTCGGCCCCTGAAAAGCCCGAAATCCTCAGAACGGACATAATCCGTGACTTCTGCTTCACCATACAGGAGGCCAAATGTGCTCAGTCTGACTTGGGAGTCCTTATCGATGGGATGAGAAAAATGCACCGTGTCTGGCTGCCCACCGGTCCATCGCTCTTGTCCCAACCAGCGACAACAGTGACACTGGAGACTCTCCTCTCCAAACGACCACCACCTGCGAGGAAAGAGAGGTTGATGCTGGGGATTAAGCTTGCGTCATCAGTCGTTCAACTGCACGGCACCGGATGGCTGAGCGAGGGGTGGAGCAATAAGGACATCATATTTCTCTGCGACGAGTCAGTAGTAGACAACAACCTTAAAGCATTGATCGAACAGCCTCTGGTGCGGCGGAGCCTCCACCCTTTGCATCCGTCGGATTCCGCCCAGAGATCAGGATCGCGGGTTGTGAGGTGCAACAGAACACTCTTGTCTTTGGGCATCGTCCTTTTGGAACTCTGGTTTTGGGAGAAGTTGGAAGATCTCCATAAACGCAGAGAGGGTGGTGGAGGGACCACCGGTAATACCGACACGGGTGCGTATGCGATCGCCGACGGCCTCATCCCTAAACTGTACGACGATGCCCTCAACATTTATGGCGATGCCGTGCGCCGGTGCATCCGCGGGCTAGATCATCGCGAAATAACCTTGGAAAACGACGATTACAAGAAGGAAGTTTGTCGGGTGGTGATCCGCCCGTTGGAGGAACACTTGGCTCTCTTTTGTTCTTAGTTGCTCATGGCTACCTATGTCTTTTTTTCTTGTTTTTTTTGCATAGCATCGCATCTTGTAGTGTGGAGTTGCGGAATGATGATGGGCGTACTTCTCCGTATAGGGTGATCTTTCAAGCTGGTGAACTCCACTGTTGCGAGGACTCTTTCGCCAATGCCTCTCCAGACTGGAGAGCGGCGGGTAGAGAGAAAGTGATGATATATCATACAAGTGTGTGTGTGAGTAAGAGAAAGAGAGAGAGAGAACTACGACGACGCACTTGGCTGAATCCTTGATTGCCTGCGGGCTATCTGGATCATGGAATACACGCCCACTGTTTCCTTCTATCAGTCCGGAGTTGCTCTTAGTGGCCCCCCTTGATCTCTGCCCTGTGTCCTTGTAACCATCTCCTCCATTTTCAGGTTCATAGACCAGACCGAGCACAGGTGCCCCCTCCCCCCCGAATTGAGTTTGAGGTGACAAGGATTGACCATTTCTAGTGGGTCTAGTGCACTTAAGCCAAATCCCCATTCCATGTGTCTTGCCGGTCAAAAGCCTACCCACATTTATTCGGAATCACAAAACGATGGTCTTTCGTAACCACAGGCACCATATGCACCATGTAGAGCCATGTACTAAAGTCAGAAGCCTTATGTAGGCCTTATACATGATGGGGAAATTATTTAGGCCTTCTATAAGCGACTCATAAGCACGTGCAACTCATAAGGCTTCCGTAAGACTTATTTCAAAATAAGGCTAATGTTTTCATAAACCAAAAATTGTTGTAACTCCTACATAATGCCTAGGTATGCAGCGAAAACCACCATCACATAAATCGGCCTTCTCACTTTGTAAGCCCGAAGGCACTCGTCAGGTATAATCAGTCATTGCTGAAATTCACACCCCTGGCGTACAACAATGACTGCTAAACTGGCAGGTTTTGTGAAGCATTATGGGATATATCAGCCTGAGATAGGAAATCCTTAGAGCACCACACGCTCAATTTCTTCAAAAGCATGATATTTGCGTTCAATGCGCCTTATTTAAAACTATAGGTTCTATCACCTTTATGACTTTGTAGCGCATATGCGAAAATTAGACTGCATGACACGGAAATTCTTGTACCGGCCTTATGTTCTCCTAGAACCGGCACTGCTAGAGTCCCCAGTAGGAGAGGAAGCCGAAGAAGCAGACACAGACGACTAAGAGAGCACACGGCACCGCTGGACCCTCCACCGCTGGTGCTGCCCCCCCCTTCCGCCGACAGCTTCCCCATCACTTCCTCATCACGCTGACAACTCCTCCCCCACAGACTTCTCCTCCCGCCCAGAGAAGAAGAAACCTCCGCTGGACCCGGTATGGCAGAGCAATCGGAGAGGTGCTGGCGGAAGGACAGAAATGTCGGTGGAAGGTAAACCAGCGGTGGGGGTCAAGCGGTGGAGTTTGATGCCCTAGCCGTCGGCTTCTGCCTCTCCTCTCTTTTTCTTTTTCGTCTTCTTACTCTTCCTCTTCTTTTTTCTCTAAGATCATCTTATTATGACTACGCAAAACTAGTTTACGGAGTTTTCCTCCTCCCCACTCGGCCGACCCCGCCATGCCCGCCAACTTTGATGCCTACTACTAACCACATTCGTTTTCTCCCGCCAACAGAAATCCTCCATCACTTCCTCCACTTCCTCCTCTCGCTCACGACTCCTCCTCCCACTGGCAGCTCCCCCAGCTCTTCATCTCGCTGACAACTCCTCCTCCCGCTGGGATTCGCTGGACCGGATTCGGCTGCAGTCCGGTAGAGTAGTGAAAGAAACGTCCCTCTTTTCAGCACTTCCCTCACCAAGTACGGCAGTAAAACCTTTCTGCGATCCATGTGTACTTGTACCAGTCTTGGTGGTTTTAGCAGTCGACGGCAGTCGACTACAGTCCGCCCCGTCCGACCTTACCGGTCGACTGGTCGGTCGGACATCCAACACACCTCCGGACGGACTGGATGTATCAAGTATGTAGTCCAGTCCCGTTCCTGGGTCCGAACGGACTGGACTGGACCGGACTACGTACTACTACGTAGAACACAGGCACAGTGTGAAGCCGCGAAAGCCCTCTCAACGAATTAAGGTACCCCGTCTGACCGCCTCTGCCTATTGAAATTTGGTATCACATCATATCGTACACATCACACATCTATCATCCCTAGTTAACCACCAGTTTACGCCGCCACCGCCCTCGCACCAGCACCAGCAGCTAACCGTGCGGCCTTCTTCGGCGACTCCACAGCCACAGCCACATCCTCAGCAGCAGCAGCAGTCAAAATATCCTGCGCGACAGCGAGCACCTCGGCCGGCATCCCCGCCATCTTCGCGACGCGCAGGGCATGGCTCTCCGTGCTGACGCCCCTGCGCAGACGGTGGACGAACGTCCATGCGCTGCCATCCTTATCGACGCTGATATCGGTGCACCAGGTAGCGACCTTCTTATCGCCGCGGACCCACTCACCGAGCTCGCCAAAATGCGTTGCGAACAGCGCGCGGCACTTGTTCTTCTCGACGAGGTGTTTCAGCACCGCGTAGGCGACCGCAGCACCGTCTTTTGGCGCGGTGCCCCGCCCGACTTCGTCCATTATCACGAAGGACCGTGGAGTGGCGTTGCGCAGGATCATCGCCGTCTCGAGCATCTCTACCATGAACGTCGACTGGCTGGCGTAGAGGTTGTCGGCGCTGCCGATGCGAGAGAAGATCTTGTCGACGATCCCGAGCGACGCGTGTGTGGCGGGTACGAACGAGCCGGTTTGCGCGATGATGCTGATTAGTGCGTTTTGCCGGAGGAAGGTGGATTTTCCAGCCATGTTCGGGCTAAGGGCTTAGTTACGATGGGAGGGTGGAAGGGAGGGAGGGGGAGGGGGGGTACCCAGTAACTAGCCAAAGCCGCTCAACATCTCCCACAAAGCAATCGTTACTAACAAACTGCCTCCCTTGCTCTTGGAGACCAGCTTCAACGGTGAAATGCCTGCCGCCTACGATCTTATGTTTCTGGTCCCGCGTGAGGGTTGGCCTGGTAAGGTTCTGTTCGCGAGCGAGGAGTGCGAAGGATGATGCAACGTCGAGTTCGTCTAGTACTGCGGCGTTGCGACGGAGCTGCGAGATGTGGCCCGATACCATCCGTAGAATGTTCTGGAAGACGACTTTCTCCTCGGCGCGGATACGTAGCCGGGTGTTGCTTATCGTTTCACCGAGTTTTGTCCATTCCTGCGTACATTAGCGGTTGCGGGTGAGCGAGTGAGAATTGGTGACTACAGGGTGTAAGAACGACCTCGTGGTTCTCGACGAGGAAACGCTAATCACGTCGGGTACATTTACATCCTTGCCCTTGATGTGGCAGAAGTGTCCCAGCTGCGGGCTCCACTTGAGCGTAAGACTCTGGACATCTAGACCCGAATCAGAGAGGGTTAGAGGGCCACGCTCAGAAAACCACACCAACGTACTCAGTTTGTTTCGAAGATGCACTTCGAGGTGGCCTTTTGCTTCTCGCAGGCCCTCTAGTCGTGCGTGTGTTTCCCGAAGTAGTGGACTCGCGCTGTGTGGAGTTCCTGGTTAGCCAGCCATTCTCACTCGGTCGTGGCAACGCGCAGATGGAGCCGAACGAACGTTTTCTTCATAACCCACGCCTCGTCCCCCTCGACGTCTACGAGTGTAGCGCTCTTGATAGAATTCTCAATCCCCCTCGCAATCCTCTTCTTTCTCCCCTTCTTCGCCTTTGTAGCACCAGCCTCGACAACCTCAGCCAGCAACTCCTCAACAACCCTCGTACTCTCCGGCATCTCCTCCGTCTCAGCTGTCTGGGACAGCGCTGCAGCGACGTCCGCAACCTCGGCCTGCTGTCTCCTAAACCCCTCCTCATCAATCGAGTCGAGAATCGTCTTCGCCAGCGCTGTGGGGACATCCAAGCGCTTCAGGATCGGCGCAAACGTCTTTTTGTCGTCGGCACGTTCCATGCGGCGCAGGATGTCGGTGGTGGCCTCGATGGTGCGTGCCAGCGCCACGAGATCGTCGGCGTCGGCTCGGCCGAGTGAGAACTTCTGCACGATCCGTTGCGAGTCGTACGTGCGCTTCAGCAGGATGGGAATGTCCTCGCGCAGGATGTCGTCTTTGAGGAAGGCTTCCACCATGTCGAGCCGCGCTTCAATGATGTCGATGTCTGTCGATGGATTTGCTGCAGAGGCAGGATCAGTCGAACATCTCCAGCCAATCAGGGGAAAGAAGGGACTTACTCAACCAGTTCCCCAGCAACCGCTTCCCACCCCGAGTGACCGTCCGATTGATCGTGTGCAGCAAACTTCCCTTGGCAAAGCCATCCCTCAGCGTAGCCTTAATCTCGAGCCCCCTCATGGAATTAACATCAATCGCCATAACCTCGCTCGCCTTCCGCCTGACGGGAGTTTGTAATTTGACATCGATGCCTGGCAGCCTCGACTCGACATAATCCAGCAGCCTCGCAGCCGCCGCATGTTCCAGCCGACTCAACTTCTTCAGCACATTCTTATCGACCTCCTCGCCCTCGACCGCCAGCGCCTCCCACGTCTGGAGCCTCCCCTTCTTCTCCGTCTCCTCGGACGCATCATGGGTCGTCAGCACCCACGCGCCCGAACCCTCCACGCCCTCCAGCGCCGTCTCGCCACTCTTGACGACCACCTCCCTCGGCCCGATCCTCCCCAACTCCGCCGCCAGCCCATCCGTTCCACACGTACTGCACCAGACCTCGCCCGTTCCCAGATCCGTCCAAGCCAGGCCAATCTCGCCCGCGCCCTTATTCTCGACCGCCAGCAAAAAGTGATTCTCCCCAGCCTCAATCCACTCCTCATCGATGAGTGTCCCCGGGGTAACAATCCTCTGCACGCGGCGCTCAAACATGGCCTCTCCGGTCACAAACTCATTCTCGACCGCGCCGGCTTTCGGATATTCCTCACAAACAGCAACATACCTCCCCTCCTCCTTAACCAGGACCTTAAGAAACTGCTCGAGCCGCCACCACGGGAACCCCGCCATAGCAACAGGTCCGGCTACAGTCCGCTTCTCGCCCAGCTTCAGCCCTAGCCGCCCCGCCCACTGCGTCGCGGCGTCGAAATACAGCTCGTAGAACCCCCCAACCCGCGTCAAAAGGACTATCTCCGGCCCGAGCCGTTGCATGTTGTCGAGCGCCTGTTGGACAACGGGCGGGTAGCGCTTTCCCTCCGCCCCTTCCCCCCCCTCTTTGCTCTCCCCCCCAGCCCCATCCCCCTCCCCCGCCAGCGGGCCCACCCCATCCCCCACCCCATCCCCCGCCCCATCCCCTGCCCCGGCCACGGGCCCCAGCGGCCCCTGCGGCACCTCCAACCACGACTTCCTCACGCGCGTACCAGCAGCAGCAGCACGCGCCCCGCGCGCCCGGTCCACAGGCAGCGGCGGCAGCGGCGGGCGCGCAACGTCCGTTGGAGCGGCTAGCTCGTCGAGCGATAGTTTCTCGCGACGCTTGGTTTCTTTGGCTGTGCGCACGGGGGTGCGGGCGTGAGTGGAGGGGGTGGTGGTGAAAGGCCGCGAGGTGGCGGGAGTGGAAAGGGCGGTGGTGGTGGTGGTGGGATTGAAGGGAGAGAGGCGCGGCGGGCGTCGCCGCAGGTGCAGGCGGAGGAGAAGCATTTTTTTTTGAGTTTCGAGTTTTGGGTTTTTGGATGGATGGCTGATTCGTGCGTGCGTGGAAAATGGGCGGTGGTGGGGGGACGTGGTGGGGGCGACGGTGGGCAGACGCGTGAGCGGTTATGATGAGATGGATGCGTTGGGGCAAAGCGTGCTTTTTTTTTTAGTGGGGGTTCTCGCGTTGGTGGGGCTGCTGGTGGGGCTGGGCTGGCGGGGGGGATGTCACGAACTAGTGCGATAGTGGGTGGGCTGGTGGGGTGGGCACTGGGGGAGGGAGAGGGGGATGTGGATGGGATGGATGGAATGGAATCTGGATTGATGTTCAAACGTTCCATTGTTGTCGTAGGTCTGTCTGCATACATGGAGAAACCGGATGGAAGATGGAAAAAGGAAAAAAAAACATCTTTGAAACCGTCTCCAAGAAAAGGTAAAAATAGGTAGAGCGCTGTACGACAAACAGAAGAACATCACCAAAGTTGAATAGCCACACTTCCTCCCAGCTCTACGGTACGCGTGCCGTATGTATAGGCCTGACCCGACCCTCCGGCCGCCAGAGAGAAAGAGAGAAAAAAACACCGCGAAAACCCTTTTAAAAAGAAGTAACTACAGCGTCAATCAACCAATCTACGCCTCGCACCCCACCCATCCCCCAAAAGAAAAGCCTACCGAGGAAAGAGAACAAGAGAGAAAGAAAAGAAAAAAGTGACAAGTGAGACCAAATGGAGCCGTGAAAGCCGCGAATGAAAGAAATCGTCCCATCGTATCTGCCATCGCCGTCATCGCCATCGTCACCACCCACCACCGACAACCACTAGCCTCTTCCATCCAAGTTCTCCCCCGTCCGTCCGTTCATTACTAGAGTACCGCCAGCTTACTGCGATGCACACTGTACACGTTCACCACCGCCGCCGTGCATGTCGTCATCCTCATCGTGCATGTGGCCGTGGCCACCCTGCTGCATAGCACGTGCCTGTTCCCGCGCGTCTACGGGCTCCAAAACGACGTCTTCCACCATGGCATCGGGGTTGAGCTCAGGGATGTTCCTCGGTGGGAGGATGTCCTCGAGGAGCGCGAGCTTTTCGGGTGTGTTGAAGTTGTCTTCGGGGAACTTGACATCGAAGTGGATGTAGAGGTTACCCATGTCGTGGTGACGGTAAGATGGCATACCCTGTCCGCGGATCTGCTTAACGGTTCCTAGAGATCGCTGTCAGCACCACTTCCGACGAAAAGTAGACGGGCCGCCGCGACACTTACCAGGAGAGATAACCTCGCCGGGTAGGATCGACACCTGCAGGAAGCGGTCGTCGAGGTGCTCGATCACAATGGTGCCACCAGCCAGAGCTGTCAACAGATCGATCTCGGCCTTGAAGTACAGATCGTCTCCCTTCCTCTCGAACCGATCGTGCTTCTTCTGCTCAATGACAAACACGACATCTCCGGGGATGATATCCGGGCCCTGGTCACCCTCGCCGTTGAAGGTGATCTTCTGACCCTCCTGCATGCCCTTGTCGACGGGAACGTGGAGCACCTTCCGCTCGGTGATGGTCTTCTTTCCGTGGCAGTGCTTGCATCGGTCCTTCTCCCTGATAATCTCTCCCTCTCCGCTGCAGTCGGGGCAGACAGTCTGGAAGCGCTGGATCATAGGACCCATCTGACGCATCATCGTCTTCATACCGGCACCGTTGCAGCCACTGCACTTCTTGACCGCACCCTCCTTACCACCGCGGCCGTCGCACTTCGGACAGAGCACGCTCTTCTGCAGTGCGAGCTTCGAGATCTTTCCCTTGTAGAGATCCTCGAGCGAAACCTTGTGGACGTGCACGATGTCTCGGCTCTGCGTGACGGGGACCAGTTAGCACCGCAGCCAACGGAGGTTAGTTGCGCGGACACGACATACCCGCTTGGGACCCTGCTGCTGCATTCCGCCACCACCAAACATGCCGCCCATGCCGCCTCCGCCGCCAAAGAACTGCGAGAACAGGTCCTCCGCCGACATGCCGCCTCCCATGCCGGCATCGCCGTTGAGGCCCTCCTCGCCGTACTGGTCGTAGATCTGTCGCTTCTGGGGGTCCGACAGGATCTCGTAACTGTGTTTTCGCCGCGTAAGCAACCGACACCTCTACCACCCAGCAGCGTCAAGACGTAGGGAGAGAAACGTACGCATGTCCAACTTCCTTGAACTTATCCGCCGCGGCCGGATCGTGAGCGTTCTTGTCAGGGTGATATTTCTAAGCGGTGGTGTTAGCGAGATTAAGTTTTTCTCCACTTGAGGGTGTGTCGTGTCCCCCCGCTCCTTGTCCTCCCCCCTCCTTCCCCCCCTCCATCACGTACCATAGCGAGCTTTCTGTACGCCTTCTTAATCTCCTGTTCCGACGCGCCAGGCTGGATCTCGAGGACATCATAGAGATGGGTCTTGCTTCCTTTCGTTGACATGTTGGCGATGTTCTATGTATGTGGGTGTGGGTGTGTGTGTGTGTGTCGGGGTGGGGCGGGGTGTATCGAGGAGGAGGAACGAAGAAGCTTTATCGTTCGTTCGTCGAGTAGTAGTGTGTGTCGAGGTGTATGTGTTGTGTTGTTGCGTGCCGGTTAGGTCAGGGTCCTGGGGGGGGAGGGTGGTGGGAGGGGTTGGGTTGGTTTATCGACAACGCAATTATTTTTTTTGCTCGTCTTTTCTTTTATTTCTCGGAGACGGAGAGGCGAGAGGGAAGGGAGGAGAAGTCAAATCGGTGGGGTACGCGGTTGCTGTCCTGTCCTGGGGTGGTGTATGGTTAAGGTAAGTAGAGTGTTGTATGAGCGAGCAGTGGGTTGGTTAAAAAGGGAAGAAGGTACGAGGCTTTGAGGGAAAGTCTTGGACGGATGGGGGGAGGGGGGAGGGTAGCGGCGGCGGCGACGGAAAGCTGGTAGAGTAACAGTACGGTAGTGGTGGGTTCGGGATCCTCGCAGTAACGTTCCTGTCCTGTCCTGCTTCTCTTATTTTCCGAGTCTCTTCTGTCTCTTCTATCTCTGCTTTGCTTCACTCCTCCCCTCTCTCTCTCTCCTCTCCTCTCTCTATCTATCTGTCTGTCTGTCTGTCTGTCTGTATAACCTTCCCCTTCCCCCTCTCTCTCCCTCACCCTCTCGCCCTCTCGCCCTCTCGCCCTTTAGCCTCCTAGAGTCCCAGGAGTCTGTCCCTTTCCATACATAACGCACGCATATAGTTACATACACGCGCCCCGCAGATTCCATCTGCTTCCATCAGCATCTTTCCGCTTCGATGGTGTTCTGCGAGCCAAGCCAAGCCAGCCCATTAAACGATCTGCAAAAAAAGCAAACCACCAATAGGTAATCGGATCTGTCGCCAACAGCCGCCACCAGTTCGCAGCAAAAGCAGCAAAGGCAGCAAAGAAGTTGCCATAGGCAATCCACTACAGAGCAGAGTACCGAGCAGAATAAATCCCAACCATCGACTCGCAAGTAAATGCAGACACAGAGCCGGGAAGAAAGAAAGAAACCGTTTCCGCCCAGTTGTTTCCATACCTACACTGCCGGTACGGTACTCGGCAGCGGATTCTTTGCAGCCTTCACAGAACACGCAAACCCACGAATCCGCAAATCCGCACTAACCCCTCCCGGCTAGCCACCGAAAAGTCCAGAACGTGAAAGAATTTCCTTCACCGACGATCACTCAGCCACATACTCCACATAGCCCATTCGCTCAGCCTTGCGGGAAAAAATGATATCATCTTTGACACATATTGTGCACAAGCTTGTTGGTTGTACCTAGCAGTGTGCGTGAGAGAAATCACCCTCTACGTATCTACCTATGTGTACAGATTCTAGCTACCATATCTATACCATACACAACACAACTGCTGCATCGCGGCATCGCGGCAGAAACCATACCGGCATTAACAGCCTACCACCACCGCGCACGAAAAAGGAAAAGAAAAACAGAAAAACGAACAAGCATTCATGGTCGTAGTAGTAATAGTGGTCGTAGTAATAGGTAGTAGTAGAGTAAGAAGGGGGAAGGGGGAAGGAAGAGCACACATTAGAATCATCTGTTTGGGGGGAGTAGGTAGGTGGTCGGAGCACATCATCAAAAACATCACATCACATCACAATCCCATACCATAAACCGAATGAACTTTCATCCGCCGCCTTCGTATCCGCCCCTCCTCGCCTGTGAATAAAAGCACAATTGTACACCGGAATATAACACCCCCAAAAGCTCAAGAAGAAAAAAGAAGAAAAAGAGACCAAAAGAAGAACCAAACTCAACATACACCAGCCGCCCAGTCGCCCAGCCGCCCCAACAAGTCAACAGTCAGTCAGTCACTCAGTCACTCAATAATCCGTCTCCTCCGGGCAGTCGACGCTGTCGTGCCCGTCACGCTCGCAGAGCGCACACCACTTGTCCATATCCACCGTTCCGCTGTCCTTGCCGGCCAAGGGTCCGAACGAAGAGCCCGTGTCTACGATCGGCGGCGGCGGCGGGAGGTGGGGGAGGTGCACGCTCTTCTTCTTTTCCGCGATGGGGGTGTCGACCGAGAAGTCGTCTTCGGTGGTGGCGGACGAGACCGTAGTCGGGGGAGCAGGGGACGAAGCGGGAGGGCTTCCGCTCGGTCCGTCGGCGAGCGACAGAGACTCCTTTCGTCGCAGCGGCGGCAGGGGGGAGGACGAGGGCGTGTGTTCCTCCTGCTCGGCGGCGGCGGCAGCAGCGGCGGTCGTCGATCCGTTGGGGCCAGCTGACGCGGGGCCGCCGGCGCCAGAGCCAAACATGCTGGTGCACGTCAATATGTCGTGGCCGCCAGTCTCGCAGATCTCGCACCACGGGACGGTCGAGTCCGCATCCGAGTCGATGGGCGTCAGCTCGGAACTGTCCTTTCCTTCCGAGATCGAGGCCTCCTTGATCGGCGTAGTGTCGAGCTGGAGCTTCCGGAGCGAGTTGCCCGAGCCAGACAGCTGTCTATTTCTCCAGCCGATCCTCTCCGCCGATCCACCCGACACAACCCTGCCGCCCCATGCAGAAACAGTCTTCTCGGACGAGGCCGACGTTCTCGCTTCCCTCTTCTTACGGAGTTCTTCGATCTCACGCTCCAGCTCCTCTTCCCGATTGACCTTGTTCTTAATCTGGTTCTGCAGTTGAGTGATCTCGTGGCTCAGCTTCTCGCCGTTCTGGCGCTCCTTAACCAGCTCAGCGCCACCATTCACCTTGGGGTGAGTCGGCGCCGCGGTATCCTCTAGCGCCACCGAATCCCTTGAGAGGGAATGGATGATGGCCTTGAGGCCGCGGATTTCATCGTCCTTCTTCTCGACCTCGTCCTGACCATTACGCATCATCTTTCCGACCGCGGCATTGGCCACAGCAGCCGCACTCTTCTCCCTCTCCCTTCGCAGCTCCTCCCTACTCCGCTCGACCTCGCCGCGCAAAAACTCGACTTCACCCCTCGCTTCTGCCTCGCCGCGCCTTGCATCCTCAAGCCCCTCCTCCAACTCGGCCACCAGCTCCTCCAGCTGCTTAAGCTGCCGGGCCACCGAGTCGACATCTTCGTTGCGGTCCTGCAGCTCCCGAATGTCTTCCATGAGGTCCGCGACGCGCTTCTCATAGACGCGCTCCGTTTCCGAGCTCGCGAGCTCCAGCGTATCGATCGTGCTCCGGAAGTCCGCGCGGTGCGCATCGAACTCGGCCGTGAGGTGTGCAATCTTCTCGTTCTTCTCGCGGAGCAGCGCCCGCAGCTGCGATGCGTCGGCATCTTCAAACGTGTTGGACCGCGGTGACATCATCCCGCCGTTCATCAGATTCTGAAGCTCGACCAAGGACGCCTCCATCTCCAGCAGTGACGCCGCCTGCCCCTGTAACTGCCGGTCCTTGTCTGACAACTCGACCTTGAGCGCCGCAATGATGCCGTCCATTTCCTCGCTCCTCGCCATTCCTATGCCAGAGTCGATCGGGGAAGAAGAGTAGTTTTGGTGGTGGTGGTGGTGGTGGTTGTGATACGGTGTCGGCATCGGTTCCTCCTCCTCCATGTGTCTATCCAGCGAGCTGCCCGGCCGCGAAAACCCGATCGAACTGCCACTCCTCAATGCCAGATTGGATTTTGGCTGCTTCAGCGTGTGCAGTTGTGATGTTGGTGTTTTGGGCGGTTTGGGTGTTGATATGGTCGGTGTCCTACTGTTCTGATAATCGCCCGCTATGCTTCCTGCCACACTGCCCGCTCTCGCACGCCCCTGGAAGTTTGGCCGTCCTATCGCCGGAGTGGGTGAAAGTGCCCCGATCCGTGTGCCCATTGCAGACCCAGCTCGCGGAGTGCTTGGGGGAAGTAGACTCGGTCTCGATGGTCCTCCCAGAGGCCCCGGTGTGTTCATCCTCCGTACTGGGCTTTCTGGCCGGCCCGAAAGAGATGGTCGACCACTGCCGGGGGTCTTCATAGCACTACTGAAGGCACGGCCGGCAGGAGATTCGGAGCGGACACGATTGGGTGTTATTGCTGGCGGGGCAAGGGTCGACGGACTATCGAGGAATGTCGGAGTCGGCGGGGCTTGCGAGGAGTCTACGGAGTTTCGTTTGCTGGCTCGAGCCAGAGGAACAAAGATCCCCGACTGAGGTTGTGCCGTTGTAAAGTATCGAACCCTGCAAGAGACACACGCGAATGCCGTCAGTCAGTCGGTCAGTCAAAACGGTCGCGAAAAACAAAAGTGCGCGTGCCGCCAAGTCGAGCATTGTCTCCCGGCTGCTACAGCAAACAGCCCATCACATGGGAGACAACAACGGCAGACAGACAGTGCCAGATCGAACGAAGCTTATCGGGTGTTCCTTACCCATCGACAGCGCCGTCATTCTTCCCCCTTCCAGCGAGCTCACCCTCGAGCTCGACGCCCACAAACACTCCGCCCTTCCCCTTCACGTTGCCAATGAACTTGACGATGCCGTGCATTCCGCCGGGGGTGTTGACCAGGTCACCGACCTCGACGTCTCCGGAGCGGGCGGCCTGGCGCACGCCATAGCCCGCGCTCGAGTCGGGAATCGACGCCAGCGAGTTCTGTGTGAGTTGGTTGTAGCTGGTCTTGCGGGCCAACATTTCTCGCGAAATCTGCGGCGTCAGCGATGGTGTTGGAGGAATGCTCTCGTTGTTGTTGCTGTTGGGTGTGGTGTAGGTTCGAAGCGAGGGCCGTCGTTGTCTCCCTAGACCGAACCTTCTCGCGGGCGTAAGTGGCGTGCTTGTCATCGCTTCGTGTTAGTTTCCGTTGCTCTTCGTAGTGGGTTAGGGGGGTTCGGCGCAAAGGCAGCACAGCAAGAACAGATCGCGGTTTTTTTGAGGGGAGAGAGAGGGGGGTGTGTTTTTTGTGAGGAGAGGGAAAAGAAGGTGTAGAGTGTAGACGATAGTGATTCGTTCACATACCGGTGACGGAGGGAAGGAGGAGAACGACGCAGATGCAGCTGCTTCTTCCTTCAAAATCACAGGGGCTGCTGCTGTGGCCAGGGGGAGCTGGTTGCATGGAAACGGTGTGCAGTTGCAGTTGTAGATGATCATCAAATCATTCGAGCAAAGGCCTTTCGTTTCGTTTGGCCGTGACTGAAGAGGTTGTTTGATCCTGCCAGTCCTCTCTTCTCTTCTCTTCTTCTTCCCCTTGGCTCGTGTAGTTCGGCTGGTGAACGGTTCGATCTGTTTGTTCCAAGTGTGATGGAAGGGCGAGAGGCGAGCGTAAGGACGAATGTGAAGCAAGTTGACGAAGTTGAATGAGTCGTGTGAGAGTGAACGTGAAAAAAGTCTTTCTTCCCTTGGACTCGGGGATAACCACTAGGAGAAAGGGATCAGAGAAGAGTCGAAAGAGCAGCAGAGCAGCAGAGCAAACCCACAGACCTCTCCAGAAGTATCAAGACTCACTCGATGGGGCGGCTCAGGGGAAAACGCAAAGAACTTGGCCCGTTTGGGAACCGCGTTCGCCCTCCAGCCCGCACATGCACACACGAACGAACGAAACGAACGAAACCCATCCAAGAGAGCAGTTATGTAGAAGAATTATGTAGATACCGGCTGGATGCTTCTCGTCTCCTTTCTTCTCTCGCCCGTGGTACGGCAGACCTCGAAGATATACACTTTTTTTGTTTTATGAAACGCGTTCACACGCACCTCGCTCAAAACCTTGCAAGGCGAGGCGAGGCGAGGCGAGAAGCCTTTATCTCTTGGGCTGACGGGCCGGGGAGCCTGGCTGGTGTGGAGATGGGGCTCAAGTACGTCCTTAGTTATCACAAGATCCTCATGGAAGGAGATCGCCACATATGCATACGTTTAACCTCGCTCCAGCCAGCTAAGACCAATGAATGTTCCTGGCTTTCTGGCCTGTCAGAAGTGATGCTCAGAGCCTGTCAATTGTCAAGTGAGGGGAATCCGAACGATCCCGTTGGCAGGTGCGGGCTGCCGGCCGGTGTCACTCATGGCTTGACAGGCGAAAGGGAGTCATTTCTCAAAGTGACAGATGCGTGGTTATATTGGGACACGTAGGTAGCGTACCCAGAAACTGTCGAGTGATAAAGACCTGGTTCTGATGTTGTGATGTGCTCTAAGACTGACGCCTCCGGACTGCCACTATGTAGGAAAATAGGACAACCAGCAAATAGGAGTTCTTCACCAGCGATCACGCCGATTCCTAATATCCACCTAAGCATTTGCTTATGACAGTGTTCCTGTCGCCACGGGAAAAGCACTGACCCCGACGGAATCGGAGCTTCCAGCAAGGCCGATAGGCTGTGCCGCCTAACTCCGCTTCCTGCATGCATATGCGGGAGTACCTCGATATCGCCAGCCCTGGAGAAAACAGGTGGGTGCTCGATTACCGCGCGCACGCTTATCGACTGCTGCATCCCCTCCGGGTTCGGTGGACATCTGCCGTTTGCTTGCTTACTTCGTGTGTAGATATTTCCGCCGCAGCCGTAGAGCTCGTACACATGTAGAGTAACTGTGCCCATCGGCCCCACAAATCGCTACGGACAGGAGTGCGTGCAAGACACGTCGTTACCTACATCTTACTCTGCACCGTTCGGAAGATGGGGTTGCAGTCTGGGCCCTGCCAGAGGTCGGAATCCGGATGCTGGTGACTCGTGAGGACCCTTCGCCGTGCTTGACGGCAAACGGACTGCTGAGGATGCTGTTGGCAGTTGCCTCCTCCCCCTCGCTTCCCGGAGATCGGAGGAGGTCGAAAAAGGTGGACGAGATTTAACTCCGCATCCGGGCCCGATCACGTAACCATGCAGCACAAATGCTTAACTGCTGCCTGTAAGCGGCGACAGAATCCAGATATCCGACAACTTTAAAAAAAAGTCAAAAAAAGTAATCCTTTGTCCCATCTTTCAAATGCTCATGTGGGAGGGGCGGGTTTCAGATAAATCAACATGTAAAAAGATACGTTCACGAAGAATCCTTAGATAAGCAGGAATGCACCAGCAGTTTTCGATGGTGTGTAATTCTTGCAAAGCGGAGCTATACCGCATTGGGCAGTCACCGGCGCAGCAGGGGTGATTTACAAGAATTGACAAATTGGCGGGGCAGGCTGCGGGTCGGATTAGGCGGTGTAAGCAGCTTGTAATCATCCGCAAGCAAAATGATGCTTCTCTGCAGCACCAGCCAGGCCAAATGGTGGCTGCTTGTCAACCTCTAATCTTCGCTCCGTGTGGGCAAGTTCCTTGAGAATAATCTGCTAGTGGACCCCGTTCACCGCTTCGCATTCCAGTTCGGGGATAGCTGTACCTTAATGGGGTGAAGACAGCGTTCAATCGCGACTCCCCTCGGATATCCGCTGGACCCCAAGACGCTGAGTGGGCGGGGTGTAGCAGGAGGATGTGCAGCAGTGGGAGGAGGAGGAATGATATAAAACCTACCCTTCTCCCAGACAATCATCCCATTCTCATTCCCAGCACACAGCATCTCATCCTCTTTCCTCCACACACAACCTCATCCACTCTCCCCAAGTCAACCCCACAAACCTCAACAATGGCCAAGATCGCTATCGTCATCTACTCCATGTACGGCCACGTTGCCACTCTCGCCGAGGCCGAGAAGAAGGGTATCGAGGCTGCCGGTGGACAGGTCGACCTCTACCAGTATGTTGCACATTACTCACGATCTACAGATGTTGTGGTGAAAGATCAATCGCTGACAGTGTTTCTCCAGGGTTCCCGAGACTCTCCCCCAGGAGGTCCTGACCAAGATGCACGCCGCTCCCAAGCGTGACTACACCATCGCTACCGCTGATGCCCTCCGCAACTACGACGGTATCATCTTCGGTATCCCCACCCGTTACGGAAACTTCCCCGGCCAGTTCAAGTCCTTCATCGACACCACTGGTTCCCTGTGGCAGGAGGGTGCTCTCTCCGGCAAGTACGTTGCTCTGTTCATCTCCACTGGAACCATGGGTGGAGGTCAGGAGTCGACTGCGATCGCCGCCATGAGCACCTTCGCCCACCACGGTCTCATCTACGTTCCCCTCGGATACAAGCACGCTTTCCCCATCCTTGCCGATCTCTCTGAGGTCCGCGGTGGTTCCCCTTGGGGTGCTGGTACCTTCGCTGTATGTTATCCCGCATTCTTCGCACTCAATCGGAATGATATACTGACATGTAAAAGGGCGCCGACGGTTCCCGCTCTCCCTCCGCCAAGGAGCTCGAGCTCGCTGAGATCCAGGGTAAGATGTTCTACGAGACCGTCGCCAAGGCCTACGGATCAGCGTGACTCCATGGTAGTGACAACACTCCTGCCGCTGTTGAGGGCACCTCGGCACCAGCAAGGAACGGAGCTTCGGCAGTACGGAAGAAGGAGAGGAAGGAGAAGGAGGCGGGACCCTGCGGACTTCCAGGGAACTGTGTCGTTACGTAGGTAGTTGGCTGAGCGCGGGAGTTCTGGGATTTACCTTCGTTTTTTCCTTTTCGCTAGTTTTCGGTTCAGCGTCTGCGTAATAGTTCAAATATGGGACATTCCGTTGCCTAATAATAAATAAACAAAATTTTTGTCTCCCAACTTCCGTGATCGTTTTGTGTCTGTGTCAGGTTTTCACGAGCGGGATGGAGCCCCTGCTCGCAGAGCAGAGGCTAATCAAGCGGCTAGCCGGTGGTCGCACTTCGGCAACAGCCGATCGCTCTCCCCACCCCTCTTCCGCCCGCTCCAAGTGACCTGAACTTCCCAACTCTCCCCCGCATCCTCCGTCTCCAATCTATACAACACCAAACCATGTCGGAAAAGCCATTACAGAATGATCGTCTCCTGCGTGCTGCAAAAGGTCGGAACCGCTGCTCGATTGACCCATTGCCTTACTGACGTTGCCATTCAAGGCCTACCGGTCGACCGCCCGCCAATGTGGGTGATGCGTCAAGGTGCACTTCCTCAACTCCTCCGAGCTGTCATCCGACATATGGCACAATTACTCACTAACATGTTAACCCACGAAAGCCGGTAGATACCTTCCTGGTACGTCTATCCTTCCCCCTCACTCCTCCTCCTCCTCCGCATTCCCATCTAACGTTACTGGCACACAATAGAGTACAATGCCACCAAGGGCACACGCGACTTCTTCGAGATCTGTCGGTCGCCCGAGATCGCGAGCACGATCACGCTGCAGCCGATCGAGCGGTTCCAGCCACTCATCGACGCGGCGATCATCTTCAGCGACATTCTCGTCGTGCCGCAAGCGCTGGGGATGACGGTAGAGATGGTTGAGAAGCGGGGGCCGGTATTTCCCGAGCCTTTGCGGCACCCGAGTGATTGCGAGAAGCTCCGGAAGGAGGTGGATGTGACGAAGGAGCTGGGCTACGTCTTTGAGGCGATTAAGGAGACCAGACGGAAGCTCGACGGAAGGGTCCCGCTGTTCGGCTTCGTCGGCGCCCCCTGGACCCTCATGGCTTACATGATCGAGGGGGGTGGCAGCAAGATGTTCACAGAGATCAAGCGCTGGATCTTTGCCTGGCCCGAGGAGTCCAAGGCGCTGCTGCAGCAGATCACAGATGTCGTGATTGAATTCCTCGCGCGGCAGGTTGAGGCCGGCGCACAGGTACCTCCCGCCCCGCTCACAGCCCCACTCCGCGCTGACACACCACTTAGATCGTACAAGTCTTCGACTCCTGGGCAGGCGAGCTGGCACCGCACGACTTCGCGGTCTTCTCGCTGCCCTACCTGCGGCAGATATCGTCGCGGCTGCCCGCGCGGCTCGCCGAGCTCGGCCTCGACCGCGTGCCCATGACCGTCTTTGCCAAGGGCGCGTGGTACGCGCTCGATGACCTGTGCGACTCCGGCTACGACTGTGTTGGCCTCGACTGGACGCATGATCCTGCCGAGGCGTGCAGAATCGCCCGCGGCAGAGTCACCCTCCAAGGGAATCTCGATCCGAATACTCTGTATGGTGGACGCGAGGCGATTACGAAGGGCGTGGAGAGGATGGTTGGAGGGTTTAAGGAAGCCAAGGGAAGGTATATTGTTAACCTCGGACATGGAATCACCCCTGGGGTCAACCCGGACGATCTTAAGTGGTTCTTTGAGGAGGTCGTTAGAGTCGGCACTGAGGTTTATAAGGAGTTTTAAACCACCAGGGCTGCGCTGTGTGGAAGTGATGGGAGATGTCATGTACTCTAGATGACGAATCGATGAACGTGGTTGACAGGAAACGTTTGATTGCTGATGCTGAATCGGATAGGTATACTGATGCTTCGGATTCGGTATTCAAGGCAATGGTGTGCAATCATCCATCTAGAGGCTGGGTTACAACTTGCAAGTTCTAGAATTCCCCAAATACTCTATGATCACTCGCTGCCCGACCTTGATCGGGTATTGGAAAGTATGACCGAATATTGTATTGAGAAAGTCTGCAGGCCTCGATAGAAGACGGGAAAGAGGGGTGGTATGTAGCATAGGCGAGCCGTCATGACTGAGTAACCGACTACGCAACAAACGACTACGCAATGAACGACTATGGAACGGACGACTACATAAGGAATAGACGACTACATAAGGAACGAACGACTATGGAGAGAACGACTATGGAGTGACCGCCTATGGAGCGAACGACTAAGGAACGGACGACTATGGAACGGACGACTAAGGAACGGACGCCTATGGAACGACCGCCTATGGAACGACCGCCTACGGAGCGACCGCCTATGGCGACTACGCAACGAACGACTACGCAACGGACGACTAAGGAGCGACTGCATAAGGAACGAACGACTAAGGAACGACCGCCTATGGAGCGAACGACTCGATCTCGGTATTACAACATCGGGTATACCTACTGGAATAGACTCTCATCTAGTACATAGGTGGGTAGATGTAGGGTGGATTTAATCGAGTGAGAGGGGGGGGTGGGGTGGGGGGGGGGGGAGCTGTCATACTACATTCCCTTACTCTAAACAAACCTCCACTATCCCTCCCTGAAGGAAGAGGGGGCTTCCACCACCGCCAGACTTCGGTCGAATGAGATTTTCCGCTGCCCGATGCTGCTACTTCCCGTTGACGCCGAGTGACCGCACCGGACCGGACCTGTCAACGCCACATTGTACATCGTACCTGCACTGGTTACATGTGGCATTCGGTAGGTGGGTTACAGTCTACTGAGTCCACTGAGTCCAGCGTACATGGTCGAGTACGATACATACGGTGCATACTCGAGTACGGTACGGGATTCGGTATGGATGTATGGATGTAACCCACCCGGGGAAGGAAGAAATCCTGCAGACTGGGCTGGACTTGTACATAGGTATGGGGTAACGGATTGTGTCGGATCTGGGCTTGTAGATACCAGGTAGGTACGGTAGGTACGGTGATCCCCGCCTTCACCACCCATCTGCTCCCCCAACTACTGGTATGCTCGTGATTCGGTACTCTAGACCTATTTGGCTCGATTGCACCACCAGCACTCGGCTGGTTCGTTGTCTTTTTTTTTTGTTTGATCATTGATTGTATACGACCTCTTTAGATTATGGAAATATCCGCCCATTCACACGGTTGATCCGTTTTCCGCGGGGTGCTGTGGGGTGGTCGTCCAGTGTCGTGTGATATTGTATGATCGACGCACCAAACGATAGCCGACCAAACGATAGCCGATCAAACGGCTAACGTTGCTGGAAGCTTCTAGATTCCCGAGCGTCGTGATGGGTATGTGGATAATATGAGCTAGAAGTCGGAAGCTGACTGATGTACATACTGGGGAGGATCGAGTGGGTTGGGGTGATCAAGGAGATTGAATGGAGGACGCACAGCCCATCACGATTCATCAGTGGTCAACTAGAAGCTACATGCATCTATTCCGTCTACAAACCGTCTACAATAACTCTCCATACAATCAATCAAAAAGCCAAAAAAGATCAAGCACAAAGCACAGTCATCCATTACAAAGAAATTGCAAGACCACCACACTGTAGAATTCGCACAAAAAGATTAGAGAGCAAACAGATCTTGAAGCATGCACAAAACCCAATTCCAGAGAACAAACACACAAGCAACTTGGGTGGTATAAAACCCCCCACGTTAACCCTCCAACACTCCCCCCGTGTCTGAAAACTGCAAAGGATCGGCGCCTTGGACGACGGCACAGCCTACACCCTCCAATAGCAGCGCTGACAGACCTGCTGAGCGCCCGCCTGCGCACCACAGCCGATACAGCGGTACTCCTGGAGCAGCGGGGCAGCGTACTCAGCGTGCTGCATATCGGCAGCGACCTTGCGATCGACGGCCTCGACGCGCCACTGTTCCTCCTGCAGAACCTGCCTCCTCAGGCGCACACGCTCGTCCTCCTGACGCTGGAAGTCAAGAGTCGCCAGAACATCGCGCTGCTTCTCGAGCTCCTGAGCCCATCCGCCCTGGAATCCCACTTGGTTATTGTTATTGCGGAGCCTCTCAGCGGCCAGGAAGTTCTCGCCGCCGTAGACCTTGCCGAGATCGCGGGCGCGAGCGTCGTCGTTGAACACGCGGGTGATCGCCGCGATGTTGGGGTCCGCATATTTGTAGGGGACAGGGGCGGCGTACTGGTACGGGGCTGGGGCGGCGTAGGCAGGCGGCGCGGGATCGGCGTACCGGGAGGCCGCCGCGGCGGGGGGGCCGTACTGGTAGGCGGGCGGCTGCGCGGGTGCGGCGTAACGGTTTCCGGCAGGGGCGGCGTTGTAGTACTGCGCAGCGTAGCCATACGGGTAGTACTGGTTTCCGTAGTTGTAGTTGGCCATGTTGTTGTTTTTTGTTGGGGCGTGGTAGTTATAGTTGCGTCGTTGGTGTCGTAGGGGATGGAGTGTTGTGGTTGTTGTTTTTGAAGTTGTAGGCGGGGGCGTGGGATGGCGGAGTGATGGGCTGTGTATAAAGGTATTCGGAGGGCTAGGGCTTCGGAAGTCGTTTGAATATCGTGCGGAGGAATTCTTGGATCTGAGCGGTGAAGAGAAAAGAGAAAGAGGGAAGGAGAAGGAAAATGAGACGCCGCTTTGTCCGTGCTTCGACTATTCAAAGGATCACGGTGATTGCCTGCTCAGCCTTGCCACTCGGCTTCATTGAAAGATTTGCTTCCTGAAGGATTTGCTTTCCTTTGAAGGAGAAGACGGAGCAAAACTGGGGTCTATCTAGAAAATTACGACGTTTGTCTTGCAGCTTTGAAGGCGTAAGGTATCTACACGAGGAATTACTTGCTATGCATCAAACGCAGAACACTGCTACACGCTTGCGTCTTCATCCGTATCTGGGTTTCCCATAGAGACCTGCAATATTCGTAGGGTCTGAATCAATATTCTTCAGACACAAAGATGCCGATGTTATCGTTTATTTTCCGCGCGGAAGTTACTAGCTCCACATCCTTACCGCGCAGAAAAATATCTCGCGTTTCTGGTCCAGCCTGGAAGATTCAGCCAAGGACTCTCCATCTCCCTGCAAGCCTAGGTCCATCTCGATACCGCAATTCTGGTTTGCTCGGACGTTTCACTGCTCGAGGCTTCGACTGTGATTCTAGGCACTTCTACAAACAAAGACGAACATCCTTCAGAAAAGCCACCATGTTGTCTGCCCCTCAGCCTTACTGCGTTTGACCGAGTTCGCGGTATGCAGCCCTCCGTAGAATGTTCTGCTCCAAATCCTGCTTCTACTGTAGGTAATAAGACTCGTAAAGGGTTGGCTGACTAAGCGATGGAAAGAGGTGACGAGTTTTTATGCACGCCTGACAGCGATGCAGCGCAGCAGGGCCGAGTAAGCGTGGTTGGTCCTTGCGAAAATCGCTCAGGGCTTCACGAGTTCAGGCGACTTATGCACGTTTACTGCTTTTTCGTCGATTTCTCTGTCAGGCTCAACGGATATAAAGTGCATCCTGTTTTTAGCAGTGACCGTTTCTGTAGGTTACTTGTTCAGCATCGTCGTCATTTTTAGAAGGCCCATCGCATGACAAACCCTGTCATCGCAAACGCCTGGTCGCTGATGCCCATAGTCCGAGGTCGCGATGGAATAGAAACATCAGAGTCAAAGAGGAACCGTCTACTCTATTATACGTCTCGAGTCTCGGACCGGCAGGTCGAGAAGGGAGACAGCCCGTATATACCAACCATGATATGTAGCAATGCTTCGCAGCCGGCAAATTTCCATTCGCCGCACTCCATAGTACCCATACTATTGCCTGCACTACCTAATCAATGCCAGGTAGCTACCCCACTTTTCTGGGCCTATGTGCTGCCTGCCTACCTGCTTGCATCAAATCATCATCACCAACACCACCCACTACTCCACCTCCGCTTCCACCGGATCTCTTGTCTCCGCTCCCGGTACATCCGGAGGAAGAACTTGTTTACTCAGCAACGGCAGGCCGGCAGCAGCAGCATACATTCGTCCGAAGAACAGCAGTCGCGAAGAAAAGATTGAGTGTCGCTGGTTGAGAAGTGCAACCCTCGGACACTCCTACTACTACATACCACTCCTCCTCCGCTGCTACCACAACCAGCTGACTTTCCAGTCAGTCCGCGACTCCGCGCCCTTCGCCGATCACCACCATCATCTTCCTCTTCTCCGTCAAATTTACCTGCAACACACCTCGGTCCTAGGTATTCGACTATCTAACACTCAACCCACCACTCGCTCTGATTGCAACAGCGGCCACTAACCGGCCCACAAATCTACCCACCCTCCGGTTGTCGCTACCACCCTTGAGTTTGAAACCACGCGAGACCCCGGTGGCCTCGAGCTCCCCACAGCCACCATCATCGTTCCCATCCTACCTCCCTACCTACCCGTCCACAAATACCTCCCTCGTCCCAACTATCTTACCGCCCCACCAACATCCCACTGTCCCGCAACCATGTCCTCCGAAATCCCGCGGCATTCACGCGCCCTCTACTCCCCTGCCGATCACTCCTCTCCACCGCTCGAGCCACGATGGTCGCGTCCCCCGAGGGCAGCTTCGGTTGCGTCGTCACGACGCTCTCGCCGTAGTCGCATCAGCAAACTCAAATCCCGCGCCCGAAAGCTATTCCGATGGGCCCGGAAACGAGTTCGCTCGATGACGCTCGCCCAGCAGATAATCTTCAGCCTGCTATTCATTACCTCCGCCACTATCGGAATACTCACATTGGTGTTCCACACGCAGATCTTGGCCGCTATGCTGCCCATCTCGGAAAAGTTGCGTTCCTCGCGTGTGGGCTGGCTCGCCATCTTCGCACTATGCTTCATTTCCGCGTTTCCCCCAATGATAGGCTACAGCACCTCTGTGACCCTTGCCGGCTTCGTCTACGGCTTCCCCAAAGGCTGGTTCGTCGTCGCCTCCGGCACCCTCCTCGGAAGCACCACCGCGTTTCTCTGCTGCAGATACATGTTCCGCGACTTTGCGCGCCGCCTCGTCGCTACCGATAAACGCTTTGCCGCACTCAGTCTTACATTGAAGCACGACGGCGTCAAGCTTCTGTGCATGATCCGTCTGTGTCCGCTCCCCTACTCGATCTCCAATGGCGCCATGTCGACGTTCCCCACCGTCACCCCGTGGGCGTTCGCCTTCGCCACTGCCATCGCCACGCCGAAGCTACTCCTACACATCTGGATCGGTGCGAGACTGGCAGTGCTCGCAGCCGCAGAGCAGAAGATGGATGCGCGTACGAAGGCGGCGAATTACGGCGGTATTGCGGGCGGGCTCGTGCTCGGCGGTATCACGGGATGGGTCATCTACACGCGGACATTGAAGCGGGCCCGCCAGCTGGAGATTGAGGAGCGGGCGGAGCAGAGGGAGGGGTTGTTGGCGCACGACGATGAAGAGGATGAGGATCTGAGGAACGAGGCGATTCAGGATCTGGGGATTCTCGTCGGCGACGAGTCGGACGACGACGAGGAGGACGGTGGCAGTCTCATCGAGGATGATGATGATCTTGAGGTGGGCTTGCTTGGACGGAAGAGGGGGAGGAGTATTGGACTCAAAGATCAGCCACAGGATGACGTTACCAAGAAGGGAACCACCACCACCACCGCTCCTCCATCGCTACCCCCACCGCCGCCGGCGCACACCGAGTCACTGGTATAGACAAGGGGGGCTTTGGATGGGTCAGTTGTTGAGATCCCCGATTGGAGGCTGTATGTATTACCCCTACATACGCGCCGCCGTTACCCTACCAGATAGATCAACTCTCACATTAAGAAAGATGATACATTTTTTATGGTTTTCTTTTGGACCGAACCTAGGCTACACCTTTTCTTTTTCCTTCGGGGGGTTTGGTTTTCCGGGACTTTTTTTCTTTTTCCTATCGTTATGCTTGAACGGCTGGGCAATGATTCTGCTGGTATTTGTGTATACCATCTCCGCTGTAGAGCACTAGGTAGAAGGAGAAATCCGGAATTCATTTGTGGTAGCTCAACTAAGCACACGATATCACCCGCCTCCAATCTCCAAAGACAATAAGTAAAAGGTAAAACGAGATGAAAAGAAGAAGAAAACACCGATTAAATCCGTCATCCCTCATATCCTCCCCGCTCCCCGCTCCTCCTCCTTCCGTCTGGTTCTTACCCAGCATGCAGAGCCGTAAACGACGCTTCCACCAGACTCCTACTCCCCTTAGCATCCCCCGTTGCTGTCCAATAAAACACCCCGCCGAGTCCCTGATCCTTAACATACGCCGCCTTCTGTCTCACGGTCTGTGCATTATCATAGCTCACGAACCCGCCGTCGCCCCCGCAGCAGTACGCAGCGCCCAGGCCCATATCCACATGCTCGCTCGCGCCGGGCCTCGGCAGGTCCTTATACTCGAAAGTGCCCTCATCATCACCGCCATGCACCGCACATCTCTGTCCCACATCACTGCACCCCAGAAAACTGCGGCCATACGCCGGAATACCCAGGATGATCTTGTGCGCGGGGACGCCCATGGCGCGGACATACGTGACGGAGGACGCGCACGACGTAGCGGCCGCGTCGTTGTGCGGGCTGCGCGGCGCATACAGCTGCGCGTGGTGACCGCTGGCATCCGTCCATGGCCCGGAGAAGTCATACGTCATCAAGTTGATAAAATCGAGATACCTTGCCGCGTCCGCCAGCGCGATGTGCTGCAGCGCCCACTCCCCCGCGGGCAGCGCGCTCGTAAGGATATATGGCGCGGGCAGGTACCGCCGCAGGGCTTCGAGCAGCAGCACGAAGTTGTGGCCCTGCCGCCCGTCCGCCGGGTGCTCCCAGTCTACGTCGATCCCGTCGAGCGAGTACGACAGGCACAGCTCGCGAGAGGAGTGCGCGAACATCTCGCGGGCTTGGGGGTTGGCGGCTACCGCCGCGAATGGCTCGCTGCCTTTGCCGCCGCCGCCGATCGAGAGGATTAGTTTTAGGTGCGGGAACTGAGATTTGAGCGCCGCGAAGGACCGAAGGCACCCGGGCGACCCGTCCACTTCCATCTGTGAGTCCGCCCATTCGTCAGAGAGGTAAACGGTCCCGTCGGTGCGCACCCACGCGAACGCGTAGTAGACGTGCGAGATCAGGTTGAGCGGCAGCGAACTAGGCGTCTCCTGCTTGTAGATTCGCCAGTTGGGGTAGTAGGCTCCATTCACGCTGGGAGCGATTAGCGCTAAAAAAGAAAAGCGTGCTAGAGACGGCAGAGCGGGATGGATGCTAGATAGAGACGGGAGAATGGGATCGCTGGGACGGGACTTACTACACGCGCGCCGGCTCGGGACGGGATCCTAACGGCGGCGGAGGCGGCGGCGGCGGGCTCTGGCCGAGTGGCGGCGGACTGTGCCCGGGACTGCTGCGCCCGATGTGGCGCTTCAGGAAGTTGTAGCGCGGATGGGAGTACCACGGCACCGGCGGAGGACTGCCGCTGTTGCTGCTGTGGTCATGGTACAGAGGCGGGGTAGGCCCGGGCCGAGGGCTAGGTCGTGACATCTCTGCTGTCTGTCTGTCTGTCTGTCTGTCTGTCTACCCGTGGGGGTGGGGGGGAAAGGAAGTTGTCTCCTTCGGAGCGAAACGTGCGCGTGAGGATTATGATGATGTTGCGGGGCGTGAGTCAGTCGTGGGTGTGTATGTGTGTGTGTGGGGTGGGGAGGGTGTCGTGTTGGGGCCGATGGGGATGGACTGGGTATGAAAGACCGCAGTCGATTCTCTGATGTTCTATGTATGATGTATGATGTATGATTTCTGTTTCGTTCGTTCTTGTGCTTCACAGGCTACGTACAGACAGCCAACTACCCCGCCCGGCGGTAGGCGCAGCAGCAGCAGCTTGCGGAATTTTGTTTGGACGGGTTTATTATTTTTCCTTTTTGTTTATCGCACACACCCATGTGTCTTGCGTCTTGCTAGATGCAGTATCGCTCTTGCCTTGTTGGTGGGCTGCATATGCGGGTTTTAGGAATGGGCGGACAGGGCTGCGGGCGGATACGTGACTGGACGGGATGGACGGACGGTGGCGGAACGGCGGACGAACGCGTGTTGGGCTGCTATTTCGGGTACCTACCATGAGTGCCGTAGCTGGCTGGTGAAACGCAACGGTTGCAGGGAAGAGATCTGCCAGCCGGCCGAGGCCGGGACGAGTGCGTGCTTATGATGATATTGGAGGACTCGGAGCGAGAGGATGCATGTGGTCGAGTGAGCATGCATGCGGATCTTCGTGCAAGTCCATCATCTCATTGTGCGTGCGAGTGGTTTCCGTGCCGACGACTCCTTCCCAAAGCGAGCCTATACCTGAATGCGGCACCTACGGTGGAGGAACTGCCGGAATCTCAATTTCTCAAAGACGGCGGGGCACGGCGGGGAATGGATGGATGGATGTGCATATCGTCCCATCATCCATCCTTCATGTTCCCAACCGCCGGTCGGTCGCACATCGAGAACGCTCAACGGCGTAATTGCGCATGCGGTTACCCACTAGGAAAGGCAGGCATCGCGGACCATTGCCGGCTCGGGAGTCAGCGGGGCAGAGGCGTGAGACGGCAGTTCGCTCTGGCTCATATTCCTATTTCTTTTCCCGCCTACTGCCCAGTGGCGAGTATTGAGCAATCCGAAGAGTTCGGAGGCTCGAGTGTCTACCCGTTATACCGAATAAGTCGGAGCTGGAGTATCTACCCGTTATACCGAAGAGGTTGGGACTGGAGTATTTACCCGTTATATACCGGTACACATCTCACCGAAGCCCTCTCTCTCACACACTCTCTCGATGGGATTGGATGGATTTTCGACCTACTTCACTATATAGTTGAGTTTCAAGAACGTACCGTGGAATTGAAAACCAACGGTCTCGCATACCTAATCCCCAATGAGGACTATCTTGTTTTGCCTTGCCTTTTATACCCATTGCCCAGCGCATCCCCCCAGCGCACCCACAAGCTCAGTCGTGCGCGCTGTGGTATTCGTCCCGATGGAATGAAGCCAAATTCCAATGAAGATCCTCCCTCCATCTCTCTCACAATTCTAGCACTTCTTGGCCCCGAGGAACTAGGGCTAGTGCTCGGGCCGAATTCAGTTGTTGAGAGCTCGAGAATCGATTTGCTGGGAGATGATGGATCAGCGATCTGGTCCGATCTAGGTATTCCGTCTCTAGAGACGGACGGAACCTTATGTTTGCCATGTGTGTTATGTGTGCTAGGTATGTTTGCTAACTAGGAGGACACGGGGGACACGGGTGAGGCGTCGGTATCTTGTTCTTGCCTATCACTATCATAGTCGGTAAATGTTGGCCCCCACCGTCACAGACGCCGCATTTCGTGAAGATACTGCTATTATTTTTCATACCTCATACTGCTAATCGTACAGCCGTACATAACATGCCACGGCGACAGTGTACGGACCGGCATGTAGTTCACCTGGCTTCCAGCTTCCCGCCGCGATGGATGGATGGGGCCCGCGCAGACCCACACACGGACGTTTTCTCACGGCCATTTTCTCACGGGCCCGAACCACGGAACCATTCCGAACCGGTGACGTCCTCCGGCTGGTGCTCGTGCTGGTGGCCGCCGGCGCCGGGAAGGAGATGAGGCCCGAGGGGGTCTTTTAGCGCTCTAGCGCTTCTCTAGGTACTCGATATGTATATGTGTGTAGAAACGTGGTTTGCGCTCGGTGTTTTGCTCTTGGTAACTTGGTAAGGGGTTTGCCGTCTGTTTATACGTACCTAGTGCAAACATCCGTTTGAAGTCGATCGGTAGTCATGACCCGGTGCCTACACGGTAGGCACTGCATCCATTAGAATTGGTGGTGGACCGTGGTGGGATGGAAGGAATTTTGTTCTTTTGGACTTTTCGAGTTATGAGTTATGGAATTATACGAATAAAGTTCTGTACGAGTACCAGGTAGGTATCGGACACCAGCCGACAGCGTTCGAGCTTCGAGGGTTCATGAAGATCCCAGTTTCACTCCCATGTTCTGGAAACAAATTCCCCCCGGTAGACCGGTAGATCGATACCAAAGCAGGGACTTGGAGTTTTGGACGCACCGGTACCGGTACTCTATGCACCCAGCATCGCACGACTCCCCTCTTCGTACACAAAATCCATCCGGAGGCTCCTCCGCGCTCGGCGGCGGCGGCGGCGGACTCGGAAAATTACAGGCTCGCCGCGGCCGCCAATCGCGCGGCTAACAGTGCCCCAGCCACACCCGCCTGCCAGGGGGCCATGTTTCCCCTGCGGATTGTTAGTTGTGTACCGGTAGTACATGGCAGTACATGGCGAGGGAGGGAGGCGTCGTTTTGCGGACTGAGTACATGCATGCCCAACGATGGTCAACTACCATGTACGGTGCGATGCGATGGCAATTGCTGGCGCCACCTCCTCCTCCCGGAGCAGCTTGACAAGATGGAAGAGAGAGAGAGAGGAGGAGGAGGGAGAGACAGATAGAGGAATCTGTTTCCTTTCTACGTGCGCCGCGCGGAATGGGAGCGTGCGCTGGTCCGCTTGGACGGTCTGTTCACAACCGCGCATAACCACTCTCTCCTCCTCGGCGCCGGGCGCTGGGCGTTCGCATCGGAAGTAACTCTACACATGAAGGCTGCCTATCTACTCTACATATCGATTCCCGGCGCTCTCTTCTGTCGACGATCGCACGCACGCAATTAAGTCCGAAAGTGCTTGTCAAGACCCTTAATTGCGTTGCGAAGCTAACTTAAATTGCTCCCTGCCTCCCTCCCTGTGACAGACGTAGGAGAGCGCGGAAGCCTGAAGGGCCCTGGCTGGAGAGTGTGTGCCTAGAAATTGCGAAACCTCCCCAATCAGATGTCAGAACGACAAAGAAATAGGTGGAGAAGGGAGGATGGGCATAGCGACCCCAAGTAGAGTACACAACAAGCGGCGGGAAAGAGCTGAATTCTATTCCGCGTGGCTCAATTGTATTGCGAAGAGCACATATTCCTCGGCTGCCTACTCGGCGTGTAAATGATGGGACGAAGGCGACGAAGGGCACGAAGTGAGAATTCTAAGCGAACAAAGAAGCCTAAGGAGAAGGGGGCCGCCGACACCCGCGGAGTCGGGGTGCATACATGCATCCAACGCGCATCGTGAGGTTTCTCGTCTTTCAGCTCTTTTTTTCGCACTCCTCCCTCTCGCTCTCTCTCTCTTCGCCTCCTCATCCGGCGAACAAGTGGTTTAGTGCCTGCATCTCGCCCCCGACCCCTGGCATTCACCTGGCAACCACCTCCACCATCACCACCACCACTACCACCTCCTTGCTTTCAACCCACACCAAAGTCCCCCCTCCCCCACTCCCTCCCCCAGACCAACAACAAGCTCCCACAAAGTCTAGGTACTCCACAGCCCCATTACGATAGTCACTTCCTACCTCTTCCTCTCCTCAGTCAGCGCGATCCCGATCTCACCTGGAGTCGCTATCTATTCTCAGACGAACGGCGCTGGAACGTCATTGGCTTCCCCTACTTCGATGCTCACATCTTGCTGTCAGCTGTCTGCTTTCTCATCCTTCCAACTCGAAACCCAACTCCAACTCCAACACGGTCGCTGCCAACACAATAGCTGCCCTTCGCTCCACTCGTCCTCCGTCGTCGCCGCCACTCCTTCACTACCCCTTCATACCTCAACAGTAGCATGCGCTTCTATTGACCCAACTAGTCTACCCACCTTTCCGGACACGATAGAGCATCCGTCCAGCTTCTGCCCGTCGTCCCGTTCCTTCGTTTCCGTTTCCGCCGCCGACTCCCTTACCGCGTTCCCGACGCGCCTACCGTCGATATACACACCACCCCACTCGCTCATTATACACCACTCTTGCAGTTTGGAGAACCGTGGACATAATCGTTAAACATGCAAACTCGGCCTCAGCAGATGCCGCAGCCCGAGAGGGCCCATACCGCGGGCACTGTCGGATCCTTCCGACACGAGCATGGGCCCGGCGAATTCACCCCCGAGGTGTCTCCACTGGGTCAGCTCATCTACCGTGGGAGGATGCTCAAGAAGGAGCTGCAGCACACTACCGAGCGTGATGTACCGTCACACTCCCAATTCAAAGAGCCACACTCCGGGAGACCAGATTATCCCACCCCGATAGACGAAGAGCAGGGCTTCCGTCTACGCAGCGATTCCTCGGTTAGTGAGCGGACGGAAGTACCACCGACGCCACGACCGGAGCCCGTCGAGATGCGCATGCCTCGGTTCAGTACTCTCACCAACGATAGTAGTGATGACCGCGATAGCATGTACTCGAATGACCGGGACTCCTCGATCATGGGCTCGTTTTCTTTTGGGTTCGGTGGTGCTCACACTGTAGGGCCACCTGACATCCAGAGTGCTCCCAAAGCCGTCAGACAAGAGTTCAACGAAGGGAGGGACTCGGTCAGGCCTACGATCGGACACTCGCAATTAGAGGAAGAGTTGCAGCAGGCGCCGCAACCACAGACGGCTAGAGCTGAATTCTTTCCTACCCGCGAATCTGTCAAGCTCGTCTTGGCGTCCGTCGACGACTTGGAGGACGACGAGGAGGAGGTCAGCCCAACAGGGACCAGAAGTCATTTTCCTGCACAAGGTGTCCCGGGCATGGATGAACGCATGCGGGAGGGCCACAGAGCAGAGAGGTCGGGAGGAAAACCGTATGTGTCCGGAGGAAGGCCTGCAATGGGAGGACCGGGATTCATACCAGGAGGAAGGCCAGGACCACCGAACATGATGCCAGGAGGAGGAGACAGGAGGGTTAGTCCGGGTCCTTCGGGACACCCCGGGTTCAACAGGACGCAGTCACAACCTGGATTGCGCGCTCAACGGGCACCACCAAATCGGCAACCTTCGGGCGACGATTACCGACAGGCTCCGGCGGCGCAACCGGCTCTGTACGCGCCTAAACAGTACCAACCGTACCGGCAAGATACAACCAGTCCGGTTGGTTATGGTCCACCTCCCAGAGTTAGTTCTGCCGAAAACGGCAGATTCCTACCTCCACTCCGGACCGGCTCCGGGAACTCGGACCGGTTGATACCAGTGCGGACCGATTCCAGGAACTCGGAGCGATTGATACCGGTCCGGACCGATTCCAGGGGGTCGGATTCACACTTTGGACCTCCGAGTCGGCAGAACTCGAACGAGTCCGAGAAGGCGAGATATGCGCCCTATCGGCAAGGGTCGGCAGGTTCACTACCGGCCAGGCAGAATTCGCTGGAGACCAGTGGTGATCGTGGCTACCCACGGAATTCACCGTCACCCCAGCCGCCGTCGATTCTCCCGATGATATCCGATGAACGGTGTGCAACTCCTGATTCACAGAATACCATTCAACCGGGCATAACTTCGCCCATCTATTCACCCAATCCGTGGAAGATGGAGCGCAGTGCGTCAGCGGCGTCGGATGTCAACTCCATCTACACCATCGGTGGAACGCGGAAACCACCACTCAACTTTTCCCGGCCACTCGGTGGTAGACCGTCGATGGACTCACAGCATAGGCCTTCCATCGATACTACGAATATGGGATATGATCATGACCCTTTGCTTCACGGGGAACCAGGGGATACCGTACAGGACGGACCAGCACCCACTTACCTGTATACCAAGTTTGATCTCCCCAGGGGACGTCGTTTGGGACGTGATTCTGTGATATTCCAGGATTCTCATCCCGGCGCCGAGGGCCAGCAGCAGCAGCGGCGGCAGCACCAACAGCAACCACAGCAGCAAAACCGCGGACCACGCCCTCAGGGTCCCCATCCTCAGGGTCCCCATCCTGGCCCCTCAATGTCTCCTTCGCCACCCAAGGGCAGCATGCTTTCACCACCGCCACGGCTCCTTCCTGCCCCTACTTCACCACGTTTGGACAATCGAGGGCCCGGATCTACGACGCCTACCGTGCAACCCCCAAGGTCGCCGCGGTTGCCACCTGCTCCGTCCGCAGTGTTGACGGCGGACGAGCACCTGTCCAAGGGCATCGATCTGCACGAGAAAGGAGCACTCCAGGAATCGACCTACCATCTCCGGTGCGCAGCGCATGGTGGACACCCCACCGGTATGTTGCTTTACGCACTCGCCTGCCGCCACGGTTGGGGCATGCGGCCGAACCAGAGGGAGGGAGTCGAGTGGTTGAAGAAGGTCACACAACTTGCTAGTAGCGAAGTTGCGGACGACGAGAAAGGGGTTGTCAATGTACCTTTTATCGAAAAACAGGGCAGGCGTGCTCAGTTTGCGTTAAGCATATATGAATTGGGCGTCAGTCACTTGAACGGATGGGGAACCGAGATGGATAAGGGGCTGGCGCTTAACTGCTTCGAGATTGCAGGCAGTAAGTTTTCTCTCACCTGCTATCCCGGTTGTTTTTGTTTCGTTGATCGCTAACCATTGGTTGTATAGAATGGGGAGACCCGGATGCACTCTCGGAGGCTGGCTTCTGCTGGGCTAACGGAGTCGGATGCAAGAAAGACATGAAGAAGGCGGCCAAGTTTTATCGTATGGCGGAGGGCAAAGGCGTCAGCATGGTTGGAAATAGCTGGATCTGGAAAGACAAGTACCTTGACGACGAGGGTAGGGCCCTCAAACTCAAGAAAGAGGGTGGTGCTGGTGCTGCTGGTGGGGCGAAAAAGGAGAAGGAGGGAGGACTCTTTTCAAGAAAGAAGAGTCTTCCTATGTGAGTGGACGCTTGGGTTACGAGCATTTCCCTATGTTTTTTCCTCCCCGTTTTCTTTTTCCTTTCCGTTTGCTTTGTTTTTCATGTCTTACTAGGGGTTCTTTCTTGCTTGTATTCTTCATTGATCTTGTACTTATACCACTTGTCCGTCATCTAACCATTCTAACATTCAAGTCCATACTTTTTTTATTTACTTCTAGTCTGATTCGTTTTTGTTTCCTTCACCTTTCCCTTCCATTTGTTTGTTGTTCTCTTCTTTCGAGTTGGATATCCCTCCCGCGTGGCTACTACACTGACTGGCCGCCGACCCGGGGTTCTCATGTTGAGCAGGCTTAATGTTGATTTCTTCATGGGCTCTCTTTTTTTTTTTGTGTGTGTGTATTGTACTGTAGTTACCCTTCCACTCGTTTGTTATCTCTTCTTTTTTCTTCTCTATTTCTTTTTTTCTTCTCTATTCTCTATTCTGTCGTCATTTTTTTTCTTTCGCTTCATTTTTTCTTTCGCTTCATTTTTTCTTTCGCTTCATTTTTTCTTTCGCTTCATTTTTTCTTTCGCTTCATTTTTTCTTTCGCTTCATTTTTTCTTTCGCTTCTGTTTTATCTTCTACATAGGGTTTTCTTTCTTTGTCTCTGTTTTGTTGCTATAGATTTTTTGATTCAATTTGTTGGTTCTGTTTTATGGGGATGGAGATGGCGATGGGGTAGGAGGGGTAGGAGGGAGGAGGGAGGGATGTAGTAGTTATAGCATGCCGATACCTATCAATTTAAGCTGAGGACAGTTTGTTGACTCTGAGTCTCTGATGTGGGCGTTGGTTTGGCTTGAACCTAGGTGGGCACCAGACAAGGTGTTTCTCTCTGTTGCAACTTTGCAAAAGTGTAGTGGGCTGTAGGCAGACGACAGTAACTGTCGCCTCTCGAGATATCACTCGCCTCCAGGCTTCAGGCACCAGGCCAGGCGGACAATAGACGTTCCCGAGTAGGACTGTTCGGTACCGGGCGGTCAGGAGTCTGGGCATACTCATATCAGTATATACAGCCAACGGTACCGTTCCCTTCCGGCTCTGCCGACCGCCGGTCCGCCGGTACCGGACGGTCTGGTTATACTCTTATAGTAGGAGGTAGATGTTTCATCCAGCTTGTCCGGGTGAAAATTGTTGATTGGAACGGTAATCAGTGATACATCACACCGCTGGGTACTGCATCATACTTGGGTAGTGACTCCTGAACTGATATCCTGGATTGTTTACTTCTCTTCGTAACCGGTTTTGAGTCTTGAACGCAGCCTCCCAACCGATTTCAACCGCTCCGCAGGTTCTAATTCTCGAAAGGTGTGGTCTGGCACTGTGGCACATCGGTACCGGTCAGCACCAAGCGGTACCGACGACGACGCTAATTCATCTCATCCCGTCTCCGTACTCTACATATATTTCAACACTTCACATATGAAGCATGTACACAGGGGGTAATTGCTCATCTGGTGTCTTTTTGATGAGATATTTTTGGCTTCCGGTGGTAAAAGTTGGAAACTCTCCAGCAAGTAATACATACTTGAAGCGAACCAACTATCCATCAACGGTATCGTTCACATGTATCTACGACATGTTAGATTGTCTTAAGAGTATGATAGGGGCATTACGGATAGTACATCTGTAACCTTGACCACAGCCTAGGTATCTTCGTGGGGCATATAGACGTATGTAGCTGTGGGTTATCTGCCAATCCTCCAAACATAAGACCTGTGACCGGTGAAAATGAGTTAGGTTACATTCGGGATAGATATGAATGTGTCTGTGCCGCCCGGTACGGCAAGTTACTGTTACGGCATCCAGCAAAGGCTGTAATGAATAATGGTTAGGTAGCAGCGGCAGAATCAGCTGCGAGATGACGGCGGCTGTTAATCTAGCACTAACGTCGAGTCGGTGATTACCCACCCGCGTGATGTGAGGTCACTAACACCACAAACACTGAGGAACAAAACCTCAACTAAGTAAGAAGGTACAATGAGAGTGACAGACGGAAGCTGAGGAAAAAGAAAAAAATCAATGGAAGGGGAAAAAACTACGGTACCAGGGATTCCCGCATGGTCACCCACTGCAGTACTAACCTGGCGATACCATGCTTAACTAGGGCTGAGCGGACGGGAAGCCGTGTGTTCATGGTTCTATGACCGTAGCTGAAAGAGTTCACATGTCAAGTCTTATACACTGCGTAGAGAGGAAGTGTTGGCGCAGCTCCCAGACGTAATATGATAGCGAATTGTCACCCCGTAGGTGTCCAGAACGATCAGTTTTAGTCAGTCCACCAAAGAACCGCAGGCTCTTGGTTCTCATCATCGGCGCTACAATTCCGATTGTCCAGGGAATGGGATCCGGCGCCGTGTATGTACTCCCTTCCCAAATATCACTCGCGCACGCGGTACCAGTTCATCAACAGGTGACACTACCTGACACCACGTGACACCACGCCACAAATTTCCGCACCAGATTTTATCACGCGGGGACCGCCGCGACGCCGCCCTCCCCAACCGCCACGATGCCCCCCTCGCCCGCGCACACGACCAAATCCAGCCCGACGCTGCACTACCCCCTGCAGCACCTTCTGCAGCACGCGCCGCTGGTACTGCACCAGAACTCTTCGGCAGGCAGCACGACCGGCAGCACGCTGTGGACGTCGTCGCAAGTGCTGACGGCGTTCCTGCCGACGCTGGGGCTTTCGGCGGGGCGGGCCCTGGAGCTGGGCGCCGGGATCGGGCTCGCGTCGCTGGCGCTTGCGGCCGCGGGCTGGGACGTTACCGCTACCGATGTCGGCGACGCTATGCTGCTGCTGAGGAGAAATGTCGCGGAGAATGCCCCGGGCATGCTGGGAAAAGTGGGTGTGCGCGAGCTGGATTGGTTCACGGGCGAGGAGGACGTAAGGGAACACTGGGATCTGGTAATCACCGCGGATACTCTGTATGTGCTGGAATTGGTCGCGCCGTTGATGAGGACTATTGTGGCTGCGGCGGCGGGACGGGGTGCGAGCAAGCCTGCCGTGGTCTACATGGCCGTCGAGGTCAGGGATACGGCGCTTGTGGAGGTTGCGCAGAGGGAGGCCGCGTGCGTGGGGTTGAGGATCAGGACGGTGCCGAGGACGAGGGTGAGGAAAGCGGTCAAGGCGGCGCTTGGATGGGAAGAGGAACAGTGGGCTGGGGTGGAGGTTTGGAGGTTGGTTAAGATGTAGGATTATAGTGGTAAAAGAGACAAATACCATCAATATGCAAAAGACCATCATCCGGAATATCTAAAAGCGCTGAGAATACTTCTCATAAGCTTTCCTTCTTGGGGCCTGGGCCATACTAAAATGATGTCCAGTCATTGGAGTCAAAATGTATAAGATTCACAGACGAGCTGCAAAAGTCAGTTACTGCTCTGTTGCATGCAGCATGTAGGATTAAAGGACTGTGTACCACGAGGAGGAGGAGGAGGACCATCGGCAGATACCGTAGATGGGTGGTGGCTGGTTGACAGTTTTGAGCCAATCGATCATTGGATGATGAGCGGTGACCCAAACGGATAGGTACCCAAGCGAGTTGCAGGAACGGTCCCAAAAGCGACTTTCAGGGGGTGATACTTGCTAAGCTGGGCTGGTCCCGAGGAATAAGTGCGTATGGAAGTATATTCATGAATTCATAAATGCCCAGGGACAATCTTCCGGTAGAATAGATACGGATTCGCGGAGTGCGAGCAGCAGCTAGTTCATCTCCAGCAATATCTATTCCGAGAGACTGCGCTCCTGTGGATGAATACCGAACGATCACGTACATACCTAGGTCCTCCCTGAACGCCAGCGGTTGCGATTCAGCTGAAGCCTTGGGGTTTCCGGGCCATATGGACGTAGCCATTTCGGAGTTTTGGCGTGAAGCCTGGATCCGTCGACTGCTTCTTCCTTTCTTTTTTCCTAGTGGGAGTATCCAGCACGCACTCCAGGTCGCCGCCTTCAACAATAACGAATGGAGTTTGTTATTCTGTGTGACATCACTCGCTTCGTGCATGCGATCTCACTCGTGTTTCAAGTTTAGAGTCCAGAACAAAAAACAATCATCTAGTGAGGGGAGCCGAGGTCACTCCCGGAGTTCTTCCCATCACCCCCCTCTTCATGGTATCTCATGATGAAGAGGCTGAGAGCGAGGCGGAGTGAGGTGCAGAGTTTTGGGCCGTATCCTATGTGGTGCTATCTTCTTGGTGTGCTCTGCATGTATCGCTGGGACAGGCCAGGGCGGAGTGAATTGGGGAAGCAAGATTGAGCCGCTTGACGAAAGTCGCGTTCGGCAGTAGAAGTGGAAGTGGAGAGAGAGTGTGTGTGTTGCCATAATCTGGACAAGTCGCAAGCAGATGTACACACTGGACGAAGAAGCAAACGACTCGAGGAAACACACTGCAGCACGCCATCGTGCACGCTTTCATCGCGACATGGACTCAACAACCCACCAACGTAGACGAGTCACGGGACTTTCATCGGTGGGAAGGTTGAAATAAGGTTTGAATGGTGCTAGTTGATTGGTTGGTTGGTAGCTTAGCGGTCTCGGCGTCTCGCCGCCACTAAGAGAAGAGTGCTGAGCAAGGATGTAGTTACCGTGGAACGATGGAGCGAACATCATCTCTTCCTAGGGTTGTGTCTTTGGTGCGCTCACATTGTCGGTAAAGGCTAGGGCAGAGGGTAGGGAAAGCCACATCGGGCTGCTCGATGAAAGTTGAACATTGGCATGGAAACGGGGGGTGCACGGGTAGGTATTGCCATGATCTAGACATGTAGGTCGCATGCAATCAGTAAATAAGCAAAAAAAAGCCGAACTGTTACCTTATTGCCATGATCTACCTAGGTCGCAAGCAATTACTGATGAAACTAAAAAAAAGCCGAACCGTAGTTTGAACCAAAAACCTTCACCACCCCCGGTGGGTGGCTTGGAAACCCCGATAGATGGACTGCTGTCCATGCTAACTCCGCCGGGTGCGTGACCGCTAGGCCACGCGTGTTTTTTTCCGTGACAGAGGAATCGTACCGCAGCTTATAAACTGGTGGTGACGACAGCGGGCACATACGGCCTTACTAGAATAGACTATGGCGACCACCAACTTCCCAACCTTTCCTACCAATAGAGAGAAAGCTCTACCACCATGGTCCGTTCCTGCGCTGGCGACCGCTACCTACCAACAAATTTTACAAAGTAAAAAACATGATCACACTCATTGATTGTTGAGACCCTCCACAAAAGCAATGCCTACCCTGCCGGCGGGTACACTTGTTCAACTCCAGAGGCGCCGCTCTCCCGGTCTCCTCTCTCGTTAGGATTTTCTTCCGCCACGTCCGTTCGTCGTTCTTAAGTATCATACGCCAGCACAGCTCATCTGCAAACACGTGACAGGTCTGCAATGCACAATTTCTTCCTCTTTTCCTTCCCCTTCCACTCACCTTCAATCTGATCTTCTCCCACAGCGCTCTCTGTTGCACTAGTCGTCGTCTCGCTGCTTGATCTGCTTCGCCCCCCAATTGATTTTTTCCTGTTTAATCAGTAATTGCTTGCGACCCAAGCAGATCAGGACAATATATATCATACCCAGGCTCAACGTGACCCGATCTCCTCTCCGGGACGTTGGGGATATACACGTGCTCAACAAGGCCATCAAACACTCCACGAATCTGTTTACACCCTCCCACCCCCACCACTATAAATTTGTTTATGCCCAGTAGCTACACGTGCTCGGCAAGAGAATATAACCGTACCCAGCCGTAATGGTAGCACGCAAGGCCGCCGGGAATAACATCTATCCGATGTGTTTCAGACTTCCCGGTAGAGGAACCGATATATAGTAGCTCATCGCCCAGCTGTTAAGCCGGGCGGGATTGACCGCAGTATCATCCTCTCTCGCCTCGGTGTGTCTCTTTAGGTTGGCTGCTGTTACAGCATCAAACTGCACACGCCTGCTCGTGGGAGGGCTTCATATGAAAAAGTCACAAACTTGGTCGCCACCATCTCACGTTTATTGGAGCCCGAATGACTGAGTGTGATGTTAAACACGTGTCGACACCTTGGAACGTAGCGGTGTTTGCTAAAAGGCAAACTTTTGAGTCGCGGCTAGTGCGCTAGAAGCGAGTGCTTGGAATCCACCCACTTCATCTATTAAACCCTCCTTTCCTCCCAACTCTTCCTCCCTTTCTCCTCTCTCATCCATTCATTAACTTCTTCTCCTTCTTTCCCGTCCGGCACTAATTTGTGATTCATGCTACTGACTTAGATTAGTTTAATTAGTTTCCACGGTCCGATACCGACGATGGGAATACTGGCAGTAATGCTACCTCCCTTCCTTCATTCCCCCTCCCCTTCCTTCCTTCCTTCCTTCCACCTGAGCTCGAGCTCAAACCTCGAGGTAAGTCCCTCTCCCCCCACTTTTTACTTCCAGGATAATCTTACAGAGCTGTCCTGCTCAGCCGTAGCAGCGAGGAACTGAGGGATTCGTGCAACCGGTTTACAAAGTAAACTGTTGCAGTAAGAGACGGATCCAACCCTCGAGGCTGAGCAGAAAAAATCCAAGGACGGGGTTTTCTCTTCTGCTGCCGGCACAAGTTCTTTCCCCCTTCCTCCGGGGGTCCAAGTCGGTCAAGACTTGACTTGCCGACTTGCTCCCGTTAGATGGCCCCTGACGGGGAAGAAAAAAATAAGAAGTATAACTTGGTTTACTATCCCCCCAAGTTATATGCGGAGGTTTTCTTCCTTTGCTGTGAGAGAGCAAAGGTCTTTCCTCCTGGCCATGTGTGTGTGAGAGACATGCATGGCCTTGGCCACCTCTCCAAAACCGGGGGACAGATGGTTTCGGACGAGCAAATAAAAAAAACCAAAGAAGTATAACTTGGGCTCCTGTCTCCCCCTAAGTTATACGCGTATAGCCTGGTTTACTACCCCCCCCTCCCCCCCGCAGGTTATACGCGGAGGTTTTCTTCCTTTTAAAGGTCTTTCCTCCGGCCATGCATGTGAGGCATGCATGGACATTGGCTAAATGTTGTTGCTCTGGCCGCTGCGCGAAACAACGATATTTGACCCGCTTGTTGATTAGGCCGTAAGATCGACTGCAGCGAGTGATTATACGTGAAGTTGCGTTGCATTCTCCTCGTTAGACTGATCTCTCGTCTACCTTCCGTGTCGTGTAACGTTCCCGACAAATCCGATCATGCGCGGGAATCGAATATGAGCTGTAACACCCGCACCAATGGTGCAGTCCCCTCACAACCACCATCACCACCGGAAATCCACACATAAGCACGCAGCTCTGAGCTCTCCGCCACGCCTCCAACGTTGCGTTCGGATTTTCACTTCGTGTTCCGCCCATACTTCGAATATGCAATCATGGTGAAACCGGCGGTCTGGCTACAGCGGCATCAGGACTTATCGCCGAACTCGATTCGGCAGCACGCTCAGACTCTGTGATGTAGTATACACATCACATCTTTCCTTACCATCCTCACATAGCACACCGGCTCGCGCTCCTTCGAAACCTCGAAGCTTTATCCTGCACCGAACACGCAATTACCAGACGTCACGTGACGGCACACCTCACTCACCAACAAGATGTGATCCTGCGGAACGGTGAAACAGATATGGGCACGAACTCCGTTCTCGGATGCAGCGTATAGTGGTGGCGAGTGCATGGCGGCGGAGGAGGAGTGTGGGGGCCATTGGGGTTGATATCAGCGTGGATACCGGCTTGCTCTCATCGGAATAGTTGATGATTAATTCCCCTCATCCACTGCGGACCTGCGGTGGCAACATGATACTCGATGCATCGCCCGCCGTGTGCACCCCTCAGTCGACGCCTCGCACCAGCACTTACACAGCAGCGTTTTGCCGGCTTCTTAGCGATGACTAAAACGCAACTCGAATTCCTGCAGGCCTACAATACTATACAGTACATTCAAGAACGACTACCTACCTGGTGGAGTTGATCTCGTTTGGCGTCCGGGGGGATGGTATGAAACCTCCAACGCAAGAGTGATCATACGGTGACTGTGTGGCTGGCTCGGGAAGAGCCGCAATCCCTACGCGGAGGTCGTTGTTTGTGCACGTTACGAAGTAATCAATGGAGTTAGCGATCTCTTAGTCTGGCTGGCTGCCAGCGCGACCGAGTTTCCTCTCTGAGAATTTTAGGATCTCTCGATCATGTCGTAGATGATGGGCATCGCGGGCTCCATGATCATCGCACCATACGCAACAAAATGAATCGACCTGTAAGTGCTCGGGCTCATTGCTTCCGAGTTTTTGAGGTATGTACAGCTACTCGATAGGAGCCACCCAAGCAACTTTCCTCGTCATCTCGTGTAGCAGCCAGAGAAGCAATAAAAAAATAGGGGATCCAGTCAGAACATCTGCAGCTGAGCGCCTAGACCCTAATTCCAAAAAGTAAGCAAACATTACCTGACCAACACATAGAGATACTCTCATCCCCAATCGACCCGCCGTGACTCGGTGAATCGCAGAGGAATCGAAATGAGTGATGACCTGATATGTGTGTTGACCTAGTATGTTCGCAGATGATAAGGAGAAAGGAGAGAGTGGGGGAGGGGAGGGAGGGTTTTATAGGTGGGGATTCTTGAAATCGAGATTTCGCCGCTGCATGGTCGGTCACTCGGCGTCGCTAGCCCTAAGCACTAGTGTCACAGGCGGCAACACTAGAAAACACCTAGAAGCGGGGGCTGAGGCAAGAGGGGGAGGAGGGTACTAAGGTTGAGGAGCCGGAATCACTCTCGGTATTCCTCCCCACTCCTTCTTTCGTGACATCTCCTGTTGAAGAGGCAGGAGGCGAGGCGGGGTAGGGGAAGCTGCACCGGGCCGCTCGATGAAAGTTGGGTTGGATAGTGTCGTGGAAACTGGGGTGCACGGGTAGATATTGTCATGATCTAACTAGGTTGCCTGTAGTTAATGAAAAAAAAAAGCTGGGCCGTGGTCTGAACCAAAAACCATCACCACCCCCGGTGGGTGGCTTGGAAACCCCGATAGATGGACCGCTGTCCATGCTAACTCCGCCGGGTGCGCGACAGGCCACGCGGGTTTTTCCGTGACAGAAGAATCGTTACGCAGATTACAAACTGGTGACGACGACGGGCACATACGGCCTTACTAGACTATACTATGGCAACCACCAACTTGGGCCCGACCTTTCCTGCCAGTAGAGAGAAAGCTCTACCACCACAGCCCCTCGTTGCTGCGCTGCTGCCTACTACCAACAAGTTTTACAAAGGAAAAACAAGACCTCCACATCCTCCTCCACAGACGCAACACCTACCCTGCCGGGCACTCCTGTTCGGCTCCCCTCCTCGACCGGGCTGGCCTCTTCTATCGTGGGGATTTTCTTCCCCACGTCCGAGCAGTGCTCATCTACAAACAGGGCTGCAATGCTCCATTTGCTCTTTTTCTTTCCAGTCTCCTTTCATTTCTGGTCTCTTTGATTCTTCTCCCACAGCGCTCTCTGTTGAAACTTGAGCTCGCTCGCCACCTGTTAACATGCAGTTCTTGAACAAGTGTTGGGCCCTTGTCCGATGCTTGGACTTGCTGCATTACCATCACTGGTCATTGTCTCGCTGCTCATTGGAGAGCTCCTCCCGATACCATTACCCAGCACTCCTCCGGATACCGAGTGATACCGCATGGTACCATGGAGCTTTACCTTTTTTCCATGTAACTGGTGCCTGGAGGCTCGACACGGAAGATGCTCCCTTTATGATTTATGGAATCTCTGACTCTCTGCGAGTGCATCTGTAACTCCAAGCCTTGACGACAACCTCCCTCCCTACCTCCCTCCCTCCCTCCCTACCTCCCTACCTACTGCTGCCTACATCCTACCATTTCCAGCCTCCAGCCTACCGGCAAAGCCGCAAGATCGAGGACTCGTCCCGTCCCAGACCGTCTTTCATCACCATCACTCGGAATGCAAGCCGGATCGCCCCTTGGAGGCTGGACTGTATCGCGGTTGTCCGTACGGCGTGCGGCCTGCGGCCTGCGGCGTACCTATCGATTGGCACAGCAGCGGTCCGAGGTTTCGGTTGATAGGTTTATATGTACATAAATAATACATTCAAGGTTCCTGACGGGGTACTCAGTGTGTAGTGTGTAGTGTGCAGGGTGAATACGACGTATGATACCTACCAGGTTCGTACCTAGGCGCAACTCCCAGCTATCGAGAATCGCCGCTCGCGAGGCCGCATGCTACATACATACATAACCGTGCCGGCTAACTAACTAGGCCACATGCTATACAAGTAGTTAACTGGGCCGCGCCGGCTATGCCGCAGAAGTTCATTTATGTATAGTACATACGCCAGTGGTCGCCGCAACTCTGGGCCCTCGGGGTAAGGGGGGCGGACCCCAAAGCAGTGGGATCGCGAGATCGCAACGGGGTTCTTCTCCTTCTTCTTCTCTTTGGGGCATAGGAAGCTATGTGTCGAGACAGAGGGAGAGATGTGGCGTTTACTAGGTACCTGTACCTAGTGGCCTGTAGGTGCAGTATGTACATAACAGTGGGACGGGGGACGTAGGGGGGGCGACGGGCGACGGGAAGATGTCCTGACATGCGAATGGGGGCTACATACTATAGTTGTATGTACATACTGTACATGTGTTGCACCCGCCTGCGCGTCTATACGAGTATACTTCGATGGGTGGATGGATCATGGGTGGATGGATCATGAGTGGATGGATCATGGGTGGATGGGTGGGTTTGCGGACATGAAATCGGACAGTCTACAGATGCTACGTAAGTAATTTGCTGTGAGGTATTATAGGGAGTATTATCCTCCAGCGTCCAGCGAGGTGATCCAGCGAGGTGATGCCGAGTATACCGTAGTTGACAGTTGAAGCTCACCGGAAACTCGTCGGCCGGCCGGTTGGCCGGTTGCGGAGTTGCCGCCACGGGGCGTTGGTACCGGTATTAGCTAGCTAGAACCGTCCAGCCGGTCGCCGGATGATGTTGCATCATGAGCGATCGCTCGACCAGCGCTCTTGTGGTTTTTTTCTTTTTCCATTCGAGAATGGAGAATAACTACAGTACCCGAGCCACACGCGTGGGAATATTGGGCAAGTTGGTTAGCCACTGCCACTTCGCCCCCATGTATGAGGCATGTACGGATATCCGCTCGTCGATGGCGACGATGGATGCACGCACTCCAGCTCCAGGCGGGGTAGTTAGAATCAGGCGACTACTAGCAACTACAAGGGCCCATGGGGCCATCTAATTTGCGCTCACGGCATAGGCGGCGGACTGCAACAGCAACAGCAACAGTGGCATCACAAGACTGCTCTGTGAACTGCTCCTCTGTGCTCTGCGCCGCACGGTAATCGTTCGCGGGGCTGGGCGGGGCCAGTGAAGTGAGGGGCAGAACCGAAAATGGCGCGGGGAGGGGGAAGACGAGCGAAACAATGGATGGATGAACGCTGAATGAATGATTATGGGGCAGCAGTTCGGTCGGCAGAAAGAACGCGCGCGGCGGGGTAGTTGGACGTGTGTGGGAAGGGCTGCTAGTAGGTACTAGTAGGTAGCATGCCTCATGCACCTGTGAAGGCTGGGGCTGCAGTGCTAGTTAGTAGAGTACTAGTTAGTAGAGTACTAGTTAGTAGAGTACTAGTAGTTGAAGCGGAGTTGCGACCCATGTGTTACCAGGGCAACAGCCGTACATAGGCGCCGGGTGTGGTGCGGGCGGGAGGGGAAGTTGGGGAAGGCTGTGGTTCAATGACCGTTTGAAAGCCCCGCCTTCCCCCAACTACATACCCCACGGGTTCGAACGGACATTTGAAATCCCCACGATATATTCGTGTCATGATCACGATTCAGCGTCGACAACCCAGACGAGGAAAGAAATTTTTCTTTCATTTTTTTCTTCGCGGTTGCGCCGTCCGGCAATTCCAGGTGCGCATGCAAGATTGAGTGCTCGATCTTGATGACGACGGTTGGACTGCTCCTGCTCAGCATATTTCTGTTTTTCTGTCTGTCATCCTTCCCTTCTCTCGTCCGGCTAAACCGATTCGGCTGCGGGCCTGCGGCGAGACAAGAGCCGCCTGCGCGCGATCGTGCGATGCGACTGAGACTGCGGAAGAAGATGAAGAAGAAGTAGGCAGATGTTTGTTGCGCGATCCATCCATCCATCCCGGGATTCAATCGATCAAAGCGGCATGAGTAGAGTACTCGACAGAGCAAGTCGTTACCATCACCATCGCAGAGACATGTATGTACTATATGTGCTGCTTATGTACTATACACAGCCAGCCATCTAACCAACTACGGTGCACCGCCAACTACGGCAGCGGCTCGATGTGGGTGTTGCCGACGGCACAATCTAATCTGATCGCTGCGATGTGCAAGCAGCCTGCAAGAGGGGCACCGTCAGACGCAGCCGGCCCGATTGGCTGCTGGCCGTGGGCGTCCTGCCAGCCCTCACGAGTCACAGTACGCTTCGGTCCAGTCCTGACAGTGGTTCGGCCCAACCCCAACCCAATCCCCAACCCCCAATCCCCAATCCTCATCGACCCGATATACCCCACGGGCTTCCTGCTGCTCTTCCGACCGTTGTCCAACGACTGTTCTCAGGCCTCGTCGCATTCCCACCCGTCGCATGTGTTGCTGTTGCTGGGGACGGCGTCAACTCGCCGACAGCATCAGCATCAGCATGTGCATGTGCAGCCTTTTAAAGGGCCTAGGAGCTGGCTATTTCCTCACAATCGGCCGCCATGGCCAGGATCGAAACTCAGGTTTAGGGTTGCTTCTTCCACCGTCCACCCCTCCAATGTCCACCCCTCAAACCCCTCCCATCCCCCCCCTCCACCACTCCACCACTCCACTGCTCTGCACCGTCCGCGCACGGTGTCGTGTCACTATGTCAACGGGGAGCTTTCGCCCTTCTTCAGGAACCGGTCACCGCTCACGTATGGCCACTGCTCGCCGCTGGGTGGCCGTGCATGGGTGTCGTGCAAATTGATTGATTGCGTCGGTCTGTCTGTCGGTTCGGTGCGGTAGGAAAGTCACGATCCCCCGATCAGGAATGACGACAACAACGTGTGCGCTGCAGAGAGGTTTTTAACTATCGCGGATCGCTGGTTGGTGGCCGCGGTGACGCAGCGCCATGCTTCCCCCCACCACCAAAACTTGACTGGCGCGATCGAGAGTTAATACTTCTCGTCTGTCTGCCTGCCCCGTACATAGGTAGACTAGCTCCTCGTCAACCCCTCGGAAAAACCGCCAGTATCGCTGGGAAGAAGATTCACACTTCGATCTGATCCGCCCGCCGTCTCGGAAACGTCAAAAGTCAAGGATAGCCCCCCCCTCGGTTGAATCCCTACAGCTCGAAGCCACTCCTACATACATACCCACCACCACCTCCACCTCCACCACCATCACCGTCGCCTAAACTTAGTTGTTGAACCCTGGATCCCACCCCCCCTAAGAATCGACAATGACGACGGAGGCTCCTCGCTTCGTGTTTGCCTTCGGGCCAACTCAGGACAGTTACTTCATCGGTTGTGGCGAGGAGATGGAATGGTGAGACACGCCTGCTCCACACTCTCTCACTCGCCCAAACTCATGGTTTACGCAGGAACAACCTGCCCTCCGACCTCGAATCCGTCCTCATCAATCGAGCATCTTCCGTCATCACCATATCCCTCGGTGAGGATGACGCGTTCTACTGCCGTTACATCTCACGACGAGATGATTGCGCATATACAGGTTCGTCCATCACCGGCTCGCTTCCTCCATCTGCTCACCACTTGCATTGATACTGACACCTTCTCCTCTATAGCTACCGGGAACCTACCATCGAACCTCTCCTTCCTTCTTTCAAGTTGGTTCGCCGATCCCCAAGAACTACCTCATATCGCCTTCGGACCTGGTGGCTCCTTCTTCTTCCAGTCATCAGCACTGGCAGCCTGGGAACACCTCCCGCGACACCTCGACACTCTGCTGAACGAGTTACGGGAGTCCCGAGGTATCGCGATACCAGCTCGGTCGTTATCCATCGGAGAGAACGGAAGCTTCGTGTTCCTCACCGGTGCCGACGGAGAAATCCCTGTGTGGAACGACATCGATGCCGAGCTCGCACACCGCCTCAGCGGGGATGAAGAGAGGATCACTGTCGAGGTGAATATCCCCCCTCCCCCTCCCGCATACTATGGAGTCAAGCAATAGAATACTGACTTGTAGCCGATTGATTAGAGCACAGCATTATCGTTGGCAACACGAGAAGACTATCTCATCGTTTTCTCCGACGGCTCGATATTCTACTCTGTGCCCGACGACCTAGTACCCGTCGTCCAACGCTTCGTGCGGACCTACCACCTCGCCCTACAAGAACACGAGCACCTGATGGCGTGCCTCAACATGTCGCGACCCGCCAGTCCGCGAGCGGAGATGGCCGCCACGATGGCGGCCATGGCAACCAAATGCGCCACGCAGATGGACCATCCGTTCAGTCTCGAGTTGCCGGACGGCATACTCGGCTGGGACGAGGAAGTCATCACGCGGTTCATCGAAGAGGCCGTGGGTGTAAGCCGGAGTGAAAATACCACACCGACGAGTTCCTCGCAGGAGCGAGATATGATACGGCATACCCCACAGACCCCAGTGTATCCATCGTATCCGTACTCGGGGGGCAGACGAGCAATCGGCAGTCCCCTGGCCAAAAAGCCGCTCGACGCGCCAATAGCCATGCGCGGCCGCGGCTCGGGAACGGATTATGCCGCGAACTGGGTCGAGAGCCAGGGGATGCATATGTACGATCCGTTGGGAATGCAGTTGACTCATGGAATGGTGATTGAGCTGTGATTGTGATAATGTGTTTTTTCTTTGTGCTTCTACCTGGAGTTTTTCGTGTCTTTGCAAAGCGGGTTGCTTATTTGGGGTGTATCAAAATCCTTAGATGATTTGGTCTGGTCTGGTCGGGTCGGGTCTGTTTTTTTTCGTCTTCCTTTTTTTTCTTTCTTTCTCGGATGGGGGGCCTAACGACCGTCATGATTGATTATGAATGTGTGCGTTTGCGCCGCAGCATGTGCTTTGGCTTCTTCTGCTTCCCGTGCCTTACTTCCTTCCTTTCTTGCGTGCGTAGTTACTGCGGATAGGATGGATGGAAAAAATGAACGAGCGTTGAGTACCGTACCGTACACGATACCTACAATACCTCCTAACTCACCTCCGGGGAAACCGAACCGCAACAGCCGCCAAAAAAAGTGCGAAAAAGCGTAAATCTGTCCCTTCAGGGAAGAATCCGATCCCACCTGCGATCCAGATGGGTGCAATCACAGTCGTAGAGCGATCTGGGGGTTTTCCCTGCATCAACAAACGGACGGCAACGGGAAAGTCTGAGGCATCAGCTGGTTAGTAGCATAGTTAGTACCATAGTTATAGCAGTAGCGGGAAGAGATGACGGAGCTCGCAGGATGCTGGTGCACGCAGGGAGCACAGCACGCAGGGACCAACGGGAACGGGAACGGGAGCGGCCCGCTCCGCTGTCGCTGCCGAGGGTGGGGTGGAGTGTGGGGGTGGGGCGGTGGGTGTGGGAGGGGGTAAGTGTGGTAGGGGGGTGCGGGAGAGGGGGGGGGGGAGACGGGACCGATCGCATCGGAATGGACGGTGCTCTAGACTGGGTCTTTTCGGGCACGTGGCCTCGGGGGGAAGGGGCGCGAGTCATGGGGTGTGATAGGGTGATGGGGCGTGAGCGAGTCATGGGTAGTGAGTTCACGGACCTGGTTACCTGGTCACCTGGGTGGTGGGCGCACAAAGTAAGAAGTACCTATTATCTGCCTGCTTTGCACTGCTGCGGTTTCCCGTTGTACTGAGTGTTCATTCCATTTCATGTTTTGTAGATATCATTACATATGCTGCCTTGCTTGCGTGCAGCCCAGCCCAGTTCATCCCACTCCAGCCCACTCCAGTCCACCAGCCTCGTGTCCCAGCCTCGCTTCCCCCCCCTCCCCCCAAAGACTATCTCAATCCACCACCCCCACCCCAGACCTAAGGTTTAACAGAACAATACGCCCTCCCATCATACTCCTTACAGTACTGGTGGTATGGACAGCACAGCGCCGACAGGTACGCGATGCAGCAGTACTTCTGCGTCCACGTGCCGCCGCAGCCGCCAAAGCACGTGGGTGCTGGTGCCGGGGGTGCTGGAGGTGCTACGGGTGCGGGCACTGGTGCCGCTGCGGGCTCTGCTGCGGGCGCTGGTGCAGGCGCTAGTGCGGGGCCTGGTGCGGCGGCGGGAGATGCGGCAGCGAGCGCTAGGAAGAGTGTGAGCGTGAGGACGAGGGGCTTCATCTTTGCTTGAGGATGAGGAGTAGGAGCCTGAGGGAGGAGGTGGATGAGGGTGGAGGAGCGGACTTTATACCGATTGCCAGCTACCTACGTACCTACTCGCACATGTCGGCGATGATTGCGCTCACGATTCACGAACCGCGGGTTCTGGACTGCAAATGCGGGCTACCGGGGCTCCGGTTACAGTATATAACGGTACGAACCTACAGCCTACAGGCTGGTGCTCTCGTCGCGACTCGCTTGTCTTAACTGCATTTGGATTTGGATCTGGTAGTTACAGGTATGGGTACAGGTGCACGTCGGGGTCCGCCGTGGCAACTGGCGAGGGACTCGCGACTCGCGAGGGGAGGGGAGGGGAGCTGTAGATGAGCACAGGTGTACCGTCAAGAACGTGGCGGAGTGATACCGGTTTCGCTAGACTCTGGAAGTATGTACTCGCCGTTCTACCACCTCGTCGTACTGGTACCGGTAGTGGGCATATAAATGGTAGGGCTGCACGTGTATCACTCGAAACTCGAGAGTCGAGCCGGTAGTGTGCTACCGGTACCGACACCGACAGCCGCAAGAGGATATTTATTCCCCACCCCCAACTGTAAACGGTAAATGGTAAACGGTACAACCCGTCGTACTGTGACTTTGTAGTACTTTGGTATTCTGCATCATGCACCCCATGACCGTGACCCGTCAATACGGTAGAATCTAGTAGACTCAACCGTCCGGTAGACTCAAGCTACCGAAATCGCTTTTGCCCTCAAATTTTAATTCTCTCCCACTGCCGGACGAATTCTGCACGGGTGATTGTAGTATTCGGATAGTCTCATGAGCTGACACTCATATCAAGTCCTTACTCGGGCCCGTAGATTCTCCCACCGACCCTCTCCGCGGCCCGTGTCCGTCTGGACTCCGTATTTCGTTTCCACGGCGTTGCCGGCGAAAAATCTCCATAATGGTCCCCTGGAGACCCACAGGTACCATGTCTGCATCAACTTCCCACCCACCACAACCAACGCATTGCGAACGATGGTGTAGCGGGCGGATGCAAGTTTGCTTTTCTTCCCTACTGCTGGACTCGCGGTACTCTAGTTTAGTTATATTCTCTGACCGGCCCTTCGGGTACGTGATCCCGTTTCTTTTTTTCCTGTCTTCCAGCGGCCTGCATTCGTCCGAAACACTCCCCCCCCCCCCCCTCCCCCCCCCAGTGCCCCTACGCACTTCCCACGGTCCTGTTCCGAAGAACGGCCGCAAATTAGTTGTTACTGACTGCTGGTCGAGAAGGAGTGGTTGATGCATGAAGATCATTTTGATCGCTGGTCGGTCAGTTAATAGCCTGGAATGAACTGATTCTTCCGTCGGGCTGCCGCTGGAGTCGCGGTGGTCGGATTTTCTGACCGGTCTTGAGGGTACGTGTCCCCCATTTTTGGTTTCCTGCCTGGATGCGTCCGCAATCAAGTTCCCATTCCTCCCCACTGGAGCTCTAAAAGACTGAATTGAAATTGCCGCAGATGATAGATTGAGATGTAGATGGTTAATGTCCTCGGATGATGTTGAGCGGTTGGTTAGTTTTCTTGCCGATATGTAGAGCGGATGCCCAGTCCACTTTGTGCCCCATAGTTTCCAACAGTCCGTGTGATATAACCACATGTCTGCATCAGCTTCGCACCCGTCACAACCACAACCACAGCATTGAGAGCTGTGGTGCAGCGGGTGGATGCAAGTTTGATCTTCTTCCACTCTTGAGTCATGCTGGACTCGCGATAGTTGGATTTCTGACCGGCCCTTGAAGGGAATGCAGCTGATTTGCTGTTGTAGCTGTTGCCGCCAAATGGCAGACATGCTGTTGCTGATATTGTTATTTTCGCTGTTGATTCTGATTTGATATTGTGGCTATTACCGCCGATATGCTGACCTGTTGTTGCTGCTGTTTTTATTGTCGCTGATGCTGTTGATTTGCTGGTTTGCTGATATGCCTTTGCTGCTGTTTTTATTGTCGCTGATGCTGCTGATTTGCTATTGTAGCTGTTACCGCCAGATTTCTGACCTGCTATCGCTGCTATTGCTGTTATAGCTATTACTGCTGCCGCCGCCGTTGCCGTTTCATTAATTGGTTTCCAACCCGTAGGTGTATCTGGCATAGCCCTCCACGTTTTCCCTTTCCGTTGATGCGAAGACAAAACTAAAGTTGCCCTCGCTGTTGTTGATTAGAGTAAAAAACCCGCGAAGAAGGAAGCAGTTGTTGTCTGTGGTTGCCGTGTTAGTGTGAGAAAGTTGTAGTTAGTGGCACCTGTTGTGAAGGAGCTTGTTATTGTTGGTGAAGGTCGTAGTGTTGGGAGGAAGTTGTAGTTGTTATGTTGTAGGGAGGAAGGTGGGAGGAGAAAGGTGGAAGGAAAAAGTGGGATGTGTAGGAGTGGGAGAAGAGGAGGAGGAGGAGGGGTGAAAAGAAAGCTCCTGTCCTTTTTGTGTGAGTTAGGGCTACACCCTTATTTACTAGTGGGGTCGATGCACATCTGATAAGCCCGCTAACCACAAGATTCTGTCGTGTTAGATTGGATGGGTAGTTCGAGTGAGAAGGAGAACACTAGTTTATTTCGCGATGGGTGCGAGTGATGTGAGGATATGGCGATTACTCATCCGTTTCGCGAGCCACCCGAGTCCCGGCGCCTACCTCGCCACAACTTCGCACATGCTAATCCAGTCTAGCTGCCTCAGCCGCCATAGACCACACCAAGACGCAGGGAATTCTGGGACTGTAGTCCCGTCCCGTCCCGTCCCGTCCCGGCCAGACTTTCCAGAGGACTGATCCATTCCGTCCGGAGGATGAAATGCCCGGATACTCGACAGGTACCTATAGGTACCTGATAGCATTAGCGTGCTGTGCCGACTACTAGGTTGCGGAGTAGCGGGGTTGCTACCAACAGAATTTTCAGCCTTGAGCAGAATTCTCAGTCGTCAAACGCTCAGGGGATAGACATTGCTGGAAGTAGGAACAGGGATGGTGTGAAAGTTCTATACCGTGAGAGACACTGCGAAATAGAGCTGCACAGCCACACATCCGCACACCGGCGCCACTGTGTGGTGCCACGCCGCAGGCAGTGTACTAGTGTCCCAATCAATTCCGCGCCCTGTAGGGTATCCGTCCTCATTTCTCCAGCCCGGAAGACTGTAGTCCTTGGTCTCCTTAGCCCGACTAACTCCGTCCCGGGCCGGGCAACCTCGAAGACGGACGGGACGGACGGTTGACAGCCCTGCTGTAACGGGATTGGCGAATTTGCGCCTCGCCGCCTCCCGAGTCCATTTTTGGTTTTTGATTATTCATTGCTCGCATGTAGTCTGACTAGGGATGTACAAATCATATGCATTATTCTCTTACTGTCGGGAAGTACGGTAAAAACATCTGTGGAGCCCTCGGATCTACTACTACATGAGAGGACGCCCGGTCCGATCTCAGGAGATGGGGTTGTGTGCCTCTCCGTTCGTTTGTTCCGACATCACCCCCCGGACGTCACATCTGATTCGGTAGTTGATGGACAATACCTTCTCCTCGAACTACCTATATGTATCTCTCCTCGGTGACTGGTCCATCCCGTCGACGTTTCCCTAATCCCGAGGAGATTACATTCGATCTATGGCTGAGATACACGAAAGATCATTCTATGGGTTCAAGGATCGGCGTGGCTTTTTTTGAGGTAGGTTCCGGCGACGCTGTTGAAGGCCGAGTGATCGGCAGTGGAGCGCCGGGGGGGCGGCGGAGGATAGAAGAACCTAGATGTGGATTCGACATCAAGAGCCCAAGTTGATGTGGACTCCGCACAAAGAACCTAGTTTTGTCGGTTTCTACGTTGCTTCACTGTCTACATAACAGACTGTCCCTTCCATAGTATCAAACGATATTCACACTCGCATCAACAGCGTTGTCCAGCCATAGATCAACTCTAATCAAATATATGCGGGTCCTTTAATTATACGGTATACTTAGAGCTCTCAGCTCTCAAAATCGCCTTCAAAGATAAAATTAAGTATTTCATATCCCAGAGTATTGAGAAGACGGCAGACTACTAAGATCAAAGAAACAAGTCCCGGAATCCAATCCTTAACCCATCGCATGTTACTCCAATATATACAAGGCAAATAAGGTATTAGTGCAGCGGCGTCAACCTTTCTCCATCGACGACCGAAACATCGGCCCCAGAGTCGATCAGCAGCTGTGCAATCCCCCGTGCTAGGCTAGGTGTAGCGGCGTCGACCCATCATTATCGGCGGCAGAGACGTCAGCTCCCCGATCGACCAGCAGCCTAGCCACTGCCTCGTGCCCCTGGCGCAATGCTATGTGTAGCGGCGTCGACCCATATTTATCGGCGGCAGAGACGTCAGCTCCCCGATCGACCAGCAGCCTAGCCACTGCCTCGTGCCCTCCATACGAGGCTTCGTGCAGCGGCGTCGACCCATCATTATCGGCGGCAGAGACGTCAGCTCCCCGATCGACCAGCAGCCTAGCCACTGCCTCGTGCCCCTGGCGCAATGCTATGTGTAGCGGCGTCGACCCATATTTATCGGCGGCAGAGACGTCAGCTCCCCGATCGACCAGCAGCCTAGCCACTGCCTCGTGCCCCTGGCGCAATGCTATGTGTAGCGGCGTCGACCCATATTTATCGGCGGCAGAGACGTCAGCTCCCCGATCGACCAGCAGCCTAGCCACTGCCTCGTTCTCCTCGCGCAATGCTATGTGTAGCGGCGTCGACCCATCATTGCCGGCGGCAGAGACGTCAGCTCCCCGATCGACCAGCAGCCTAGCCACTGCCTCGTGCCCCTGGCGCAATGCTATGTGTAGCGGCGTCGACCCATATTTATCGGCGGCAGAGACGTCAGCTCCCCGATCGACCAGCAGCCTAGCCACTGCCTCGTGCCCTCCATACGAGGCTTCGTGCAGCGGCGTCGACCCATCATTATCGGCGGCAGAGACGTCAGCTCCCCGATCGACCAGCAGCCTAGCCACTGCCTCGTTCTCCTCGCGCAATGCTAGGTGTAGCGGCGTCGACCCATCATTATCGGCGGCAGAGACGTCAGCTCCCCGATCGACCAGCAGCCTAGCCACTGCCTCGTTCTCCTCGCGCAATGCTAGGTGTAGCGGCGTCGACCCATCATTATCGGCGGCAGAGACGTCAGCTCCCCGATCGACCAGCAGCCTAGCCACTGCCTCGTTCTCCTCGCGCAATGCTAGGTGTAGCGGCGTCGACCCATCATTATCGGCGGCAGAGACGTCAGCTCCCCGATCGACCAGCAGCCTAGCCACTGCCTCGTTCTCCTCGCGCAATGCTAGGTGTAGCGGCGTCGACCCATATTTATCGGCGGCAGAGACGTCAGCTCCCCGATCGACCAGCAGCCTAGCCACTGCCTCGTTCTCCTCGCGCAATGCTATGTGTAGCGGCGTCGACCCATCATTGCCGGCGGCAGAGACGTCAGCTCCCCGATCGACCAGCAGCCTAGCCACTGCCTCGTGCCCCTGGCGCAATGCTATGTGTAGCGGCGTCGACCCATATTTATCGGCGGCAGAGACGTCAGCTCCCCGATCGACCAGCAGCCTAGCCACTGCCTCGTGCCCTCCATACGAGGCTTCGTGCAGCGGCGTCGACCCATCATTATCGGCGGCAGAGACGTCAGCTCCCCGATCGACCAGCAGCCTAGCCACTGCCTCGTGCCCTCCATACGAGGCTTCGTGCAGCGGCGTCGACCCATAATCATCGGCGGCAGAGACGTCAGCTCCCCGATCGACCAGCAGCCGAGCAATATCCAGGTCTCCAAAACTGGATGAATTGAGAAGTAGCCTGTCTAGTTGCGCCGTCGGTACGGGGTGTGAGTTAAATACCGTGACCAACTTCTGTCGTAACTCAAATAAACAAACCAAAGAGCAAATATCGCTGATTCGTTCGTTTAGAGCCGCAGATCGTCGCATAAAAGTGTCGTTGCTGCGGTTTATGTGTATTAAACGAGCCTTGCGATGATAGTCGAGCCATCGCTGGTAGGTGGTTTCTGATACGAATTTACTCCAAAGGGAAGTCATGATTAGAGAGCCTTCTGTGTCTTCGCCGCGAGAAAGGTGCCATGGCCAAAACACCGCCGAGTAATTCAGCAGATGGCCATCGCTATGAATCCCAATTGTGTCATAATAATCCCAAGCACTCGAATTGCATAGCAGCGAGAGGCAGTCTTTTGCGATTTCGGTATGAGATTTGACCCTTTCCAGTTTGGTCTCCAAGTATTCATCGACGGAAAGGTGAGCAAATCGGAACACGTCAAGTCGTTTGTCCAAAACGACTAGATTTTGGCAAGCTTTCAGCAAGTCGTACACTTGTACGGTGACATCGTAGGAAGATTCCCCCGAGCTACTAATTTCAACGGTAATTGCGTCAAGCAGGATTCGTGTTGGTAATGGTTCGTATGAACACTGGATCCACCGGAATGCATTCAGTGCCAGTCGAGGATAGCTGCCCTTTTGGGTAAGAATACGCTCGTATATCTCGCTGTAGGCGTCTGCTAGGGTGTCGGGAAGGGCCCTCAGACTGCGTCGTACATCCTGTTGAGTAGCCACCTCGCAAAGAAAGGTAATCTGAAGGGCAGCTAGTTGGAACCTAGTATTTGGGCGTCAGTTCCTGCGCTTATCAATAACCGGGCGTTGTTTTTAAACTTACATTCCTTTAGATCGCTTGCAAAGGATGTCACATATTTCGTTCTTCAACTCATCGGGTACACTGCCATGAAGCAGTTGCTTCTTTTCGACAGCGCTCCGGATGTTCGCTTTCACGAATTGGTTTATGTCACTGACATTGTCGTCGGGCTGCAGCTCAATCCTGGGGAACGTTTCGAATTGTAGGAGGATGTCGGTGTCCATTCGGGTAGTCGCAAAAATCTTGACTACGTTCTTCGATCTTTCCACGACATTCTTTAGCGCAGTCAGTAATTTCAACCTCATTTTGTGGTCGACCTCGTCTAACGCGTCGATGCAGATTGTCGTCTGGGGATATATATCCGTGAGTTGAATGAGGAGCTCTTGGCTTTCGATCAGGCTTAGCCGCGAAGAAATTTGCCCTTTTTTCTCTCGATCCTGGTAGATATCAACAACTGGCTTTAAGAGCTTGTCCTCTTCGGAAGTCTGAGCGAGCTGTAGGATAAGCGTGTTCAATATGCTCTCGGGCTCTCGTCGAATTTCCTCGGCTCGGTTACAGTAGAAGTATGCCAACTTCTCCGGCGTCGCACTTGAAAGGAAAGAATCGATGACTCTGGAGGCAATGTACGTTTTGCCAGCTCCAGCTATACGGGCTGGTTAGACCAGACGTGACCAGACAACGGAGACATGCGGTACTTACGGATTCCCCGTAGCAACAACAACTTCGAAGCGCTCAATGATTTCCAATCGTAATACTCGTTCCTAGCGAATAACCACTCGCCGGTTCCGCCCAAACGATTCTCGCTGATATGCCTGTGATGGCTGATATACGGGATTGTCGAGATCCAGTTCAGAACGTTGGATTTATTGGATACTTCTCGGAATGGTTAGCGATTCTTTCCAACGACTATCGATTCGGAGTTCCCAAACCTTGCAGCATGTGATGTATGGCATCAAGCCTAGGTACCACCCTCGATGTTGTGCTGTCCAGTTCGCGCAACAAATCTCGAAGCTCTAGTAATAGATCACATTAGCCCCGTCCGTGGACAATGGTAAAGTTACGCCTCGATGTCGTCTTTCGAATCATAACTGCGGGCAAACTGGGTGTCGCAATTGGGGGGGCCAACGGCCAATTCCTCGCAGGGCTCATTTACCGTTAAACTTGGAATCCATTTCTTGGTAACCCCGAAACCGGTCTGGAACAGCATAAGCATCTACCTTGGGGGATACGGGTCTGAGCATTTACTCTGTGCTTCAGCAGCCTGAGCATCTTTTCCGACTGTTTCCTCTAAGACATCGATATCGCCAAGATAGTTTGAAAGCTCCTCCGTTGTGAATACTCCACGCACAACATTCTCTAAGGACCTATTAGCCGCACAGCATTGAAGATGACAAGATCTCTGGGAACTACTCACCTCCCGCACTCTTCATACCCTTCACTAGATACTTCAAGACGGCAGTATAGAGCTTCAGCATGGTACGTTCGAGGTTCTTTGATGCATCTGTAAACTCCCCTTTGAGATACAGATTCTCGTACAATTTACACCGGTCGATAACATAGCTAGTCCTTTCGATCCCAACGAGGATTGTATCCAAGGTCTCCTTTTTACTCAGACAGGCCTGCCAAATGTCACTCTTTCATTCATCCACGGAGTCAGCGATAGAAGGGGAAGTTTTCCGAACCTGTAGAAGGAATCGGAATGCCGCCCACGGCAAAGCGGCATGCACGGGATCGTACTGAACCACGATATCTCCGATCGCCTTGAACTTGTCCACCCAGCGCAAAATCTTCCCTACGATGTCTCTAAGCTGTAGCTCGTGACCCCTGACTTCTATTTTCCAAGATTGTCTCTCATCCGCGCTCAGGATTCGTGTCATTTCCGCGCCGACACTTTCGGAGGTTAATATGCCCGTGGAGGTCTGTATCTCGGCTTCGATACCGGATTCTTTGAGGATTGCACGCTCCGCTGAGGATAACTCATTGAGCGCCCTCTTCCATAAGGACTCGGGTATGCCGATACTGCTGTCGACAGTTGGCTGGGGCACGCTATCCGGTTCCGTGCCGATGTTCCCTTTAGCAGCGGTGCGGCAGCTCCCTTCCGAAGTGGGCCCGACCTGGACAGTTGCATCCAAGTCTGCCGTGGTGTCTTCGGTCGCGCTCACGACAGCGCCGGGCAATAGTTGAGCATCGGATTCCTCCCTTGCCCCCTCATCGAGATCGACTCCAGCGGCGGGCTTCTCCGGCGGCGCAGGTATAAAACTCGTAGATAGTCGCGCTGGTAGTGAGGCAGAACTCGGCGTTGTGAGGCTCGCGGAGATCATTCCGGCGACGAAAATCGCAGAGCCGGCTCGGTCAGGGCCTGTTGATGAGCCTGACAGGCCGGAATTGGGAACGCTGCTGCTACTCCTTCTGAGGGCCCAGTCGACGAAGCGGCGGGCCGTCGATTTTCCTTTGGGTTTCGACATATCGCAAGAGGTAGAATGAAAACAGTGTGGCGGCAATGGAGATGGTTGGAGCTTGGTGGACGTACTGAATTGACGTTCAGCCGTAACTGGGAAGCGGGGTCAAGTAGAGTCTCGATACAGAACACACCCGGTGTAACACTGCACGACGCAGCCGATGCCGAATAAGCAAAGGTACAGAATGCCCACCGTGGTGCTAAATCGTTCTCTGATACCCTTCACGTTAGGCAATGCCCTCACCAGCGCGTTGTGAACAGCGCAGATCAGATGAGTGGAATTTGCGCTCGGAGCATGAAAGCCACTGACTCGCTATTGACACACCTACTAAGGAGGGGTAAAAATAATGTAGTGCTACCGTACCTTTAAGAAAATGCTGGTGATATCGTATCAGTACGGTTAAAATACATATTTTTTATGGCCTGATACGATATCAATATGCGTCCAGGGGGGTATAACGTATTTTTTTACCTCTCCCTTGACTGTACACGGTATCTATATTCTTATGGAAGGAAAAGTGATCTTGAGCCTAGATGTTGCACGCAACCTGAGCATCACGGCGATGGCTCGTGGGAAAGAGGTTATCTAATAGGATCTGATAAGATGGTACAAGGCTCAGCCCCACAGTCTCTCTTGAAACCAGTAACACTTTTACACGTCCTCTTTTTGGTCGGATGAATGTCAGTTGTTGAGTGCGTTTTCACCTTAGCATGGTCCTCGGTTCACAGAGTTGCGTCTTTTGAACGCGGGATGACTGGCCTGACTTGTTGGTTTCTCCGCCACATATGCTATTCGAATAGAACGAAGACCGATGATACGGATCAATGGCCACTCACCTAGGTATTAGGCCGCTAAATTCAAGAAGGAAAGGTGGTGATAGACTTTCTTTGCTGGTGTGAGGAGCGTTGGCTAGAAACGCGAATCCAACCGGCTGCCGAATGTTACACGAGTGCCAAGCATCTCTCGTCACGCCCACACCCCCACCACCAATCCCCACCACCAACGTCCAGCTCCAAGCTCTTCATCCTACCGCCCACCAGCCACCACCCTCCCCAACCTCCACGCGATGGCCGACGACTACACTTCCACTATTACAGGCTCCTTGCGGTCGCTCAAAGCTGTCGCATTCAAATTAGCCGATAAGATTGACGAGACAACCGATCAGTGGGTTCTCGGCCGCGATCCTTGATTCCGCCACCACCTGCTAAGATCAGCTACAGTCTCGCTGGTAACATTCGCGAATCGCTCTCTACCTCAGCCTGGCTTCCTTCATCCGCCCGTCCAACCCCTCCTCCGCCTCCCCCGCCCACACGCGTCCCGACCGCCGGCTTCTCCTCGCGCCTCTTCAACTGGGCATGGGAAAACCGGCTAGCGGTCGGCCTCGTGACGGCCACCTCTCTCGGTCTCGGCAGTTATATCGTCACACAGCGACGGGCGGCACGGTCCAAGAAACGCCGCGCGAAGCGAGCCTCCAATGGCGCTCGTCAGGAGGTTTTGGTACTGGCTGGTAGTCCACACGATGCCATCCTAAAGTCCCTGGCCTTGGACTTGGAGCGCCGCGGTTTTATCGTATTTGTCGTTGTCAACTCAATGGACGATGAGCAGCTAGTTATCAGCTTGGGAGGCCGTGATATCCGACCGCTCAACATCGATCTTCTAGACACCGCGGGTGCCGAAGCCTCGATTGCGCGCTTAGAGGCGTACGTCAGTTTTCCCGTATCCGCGTTCCAAGGGGCGCACCCGCACCATCTACACTTCGCCGGCATGATCCTACTACCGGATTCCTACTTTCCCACTGGACCAGTCGAAATGATTTCTGCCGACGTCTGGTCGGACGTGCTGAACCTCCGTTTGCTCTCTCCTTTCATCACGGCAAAACTATTCATCCGCCTCCTCCGCGCGCACCAGTCACGCCTGCTCGTGCTGACACCAACAATTACGCATTCACTTTCGCCGCCGTTCCATGCGCCGGAGGCAGTAGCGGTAGCAGCTTTGGACTCGTTCACTGACTCCTTGAGGAGAGAGCTCAAGCCACTGCACGTCGACGTCGCACAAATAAAACTTGGCACCTTCGACACATCGACCGTGACCGGACGGCAACACCTACAGGCGGCGAATGGTGCGCGCGCAGACTTAATTTCATGGCCCACGGGTGTTCGCGGTGCCTACGGCCGGTCATATGCAGCGCAAGGGGGGAAGCGACCCGTCAAGGGGAGTACTCTGCGGGAGCTACACCATGCCGTGTTCGACGCTCTGACAATAAAGGGAAGGCCCCAGAAACTGGTGCGTGTTGGCAGCGGCAGCGTGGTCTACGACCTCATCGGAAGGTTTGCGCCGGATGGAGTGATCGAGTGGATGCTGAACGGGGGAAGAGGATCAATTCCAGCCGATGAGCTGTTGGCGCGAGGCTCGGCGGGCAGCGAGGGAAGCGGGAGTGAAGGGAGCGTGGAGTGGGAGAAGGTGGATATGAATTCTTCGGCGTGATCATTGCCATTGGCATTGGCATATGTGGGGGTATTTGTGTGCGTTTGGTGGGGTATTCAATATCGGTCCTCGTTGGCTCTCATCTCTTCAGTACTTTTATTTTTCGAACCAGGCAACAGTATTGTACGTATTGACGTTTAATGAGGATTCTCCACTTTGCATGAGCTTCGTATCATCTCCTCGCCTGAGCACGGGCGGGATTGAAATCATTTTTTTGTCACGGAATACCACGGACAACGGATCGCAGATGCACACTGATACGAGTGCAACTCCATCATCATAAAATGTGTTCTTGTTGCGGGCGTGGCTTGATGGTCACATTAAACTTACGGCGATCTTCAAGGGGTCGACGCAGAGTACCTGGATGACGTAGGGTGCGGGGCTCTGTGTACGAAAATTGGCACATGGCTATCACTCGTTGGTACTATAGAAATGAGCACTGTGAGTCCCCTAGAAATAAGAGCTGTTACAGTTTTCCACTAACCTTAATTCTAAGGGCTACTTATTCTAAGGTTGGTATGTATGGTAGGCCCTAGGGTTCCATGAAGCTCGACCTATAAAAACAACGACAACTACTCTCTCCCCTCCGTTACTTTCACAACTCTCAACATCAACATCAACATCAATATCATCAACCTCAGCCATCTGTGGCCTATCCTACTTGATAAACATAATATCAAAACCTCAAATTCCACTACGATTTCCATTCCACGAAGCTGAGATCCCCCTTAACATGCCGCCGGGTTGAAAGCTCCGTCTCCTTCCCGCCTGCGATTCGCACAGGGAGAAGAAAGTTCCTCTGATCTTTCCGCCGTTTGAAGATCCGAATGCAAACACATTTTTCAACGAAGAAGATTTGCGTGTGGGGCGGTGGAGGAGACGAAGTCATTCATCGTCCCCAGGTACACTAGCAGCCAGCGCCACCCGTTCAGTTCGCAAGTCCCACACCCGGAGGACACGGCGGATATCGGTGGGGCCCAACTTTGGCGCAGGGATCCGAGTCGCGCATTGATGTCTCTGCCGGACCGAATCACGGAGATAGATATACCATGCCGGAGTCGACTACAGCAACGGGTACTATTCATCTGTTGTGAACCCCGGCGGCGCATATTTATCTCCAGGAGCGAATTACACAAATCAATATGCCCACGCCGGATTGTACTACGGAAGCTGAACCGGCGGCGTCGATAGCGATGACGATCTGTGGCGTCAATGCATCCACTACATATTAGCGGCGAGCTCCCGCCACCTCCCATTCCCGTCAAGAACATCTCCATGAAGCACCTGGGTGCTGGGGGCCGCGGGGGTTTATACCCGCCACCTCCAATTCCCCCCAAGAACCCACCTTTTGGTGGCTCAACTAGTGTGAGTAATTCCCATCACCGGTAGAAGATATCTCAGCTAACAAAAAGTTCAGGCGAGAATAATACACCAAAGACGACGGGCCGACGCCCCTCGTCCACCTGGGAGCGCGGGAGTCTACCCGCCACCTCCAATTCCCCCCAAGAAACCCACCTTTTGGTGGCTCAACTAGTGTGAGTAACTCCCTTCACCGGTAGAGGATATCTCAGCTAACAAAAAGTCCAGGCGAGACGGATATTTTCACCGCAATGCCGAATGATCCTTTGGACGACTGTCCACTGCAGAAAGAGTGCTGCTCCACATTTCACATGTGATGGGGAGGAGATCGGGATGCGATGACATCGGAGAGGACGATCTGTTTTCTTGTTTTTGCTTTCTTCGTTTTTGCTTTCTGCGATTTTGTTTTCTTCGTTCTTGCTTCCTCTGTGGCTGGAATGTACACTCCATACACATACTACCACCGACTCACTCAATGCAATACACACATCGTGTGCTTGACAATCAATCACTCTCTCTACATACCATAAGTTCTATGCTTCCTTCCGGTCAGCCTGCGTGGGGCGCTCAGGGAGCCTCCTCAAATCGGTACATACCTCCTACTCATGTTGAAGAACGCACCATTCCGTGAGCGATCACATAACCACATTAGCCTCACTGTATCTACAGTATCCAGTACATTATAACGAAGGTCATTAAGGCCGCCGCGCACTCAATCGGTTCACTCCCACTGCAGCTAGACTCCAGTACGTAGTACGTATTTTTAAAAGCTGAAATACCTATGAGAATTTGGTTCCTCCATATACCTATCACTCGAACCGTCGCACGGTCGCACGTCGATGTTCGGGTCTTCCAGATGTTCCACCCAGTGCACCCACTCACCCACCCATCAGCAAATGTGGACTATAGTATAGTAGGTGTTGGGCATCATGGAGCCACACTCGGAAATCCGAAACCATGAGCTACCTACCTGGGGGATAACTTCTTACATCCGAGTCTCACTGCTCGGCTACAGCAGCACTTTTCAATCCATCATCCATCATCCGTCATCGCCCCTACGTCTGAGGACTGAGGGCTGAGGGCTGAGAGGTTACACTTCAGTCGTTCACGATATCGTCCTTTCCGCCCCCGGCAATACTTTCGTTGCCGCCGACCGCCGACCGCCGTTCCTTCTCCGCCATCCACCACCACCACCGTCTACCGATCTAGACCCCCCTTCCCCGCCGGTGGCAGTGTTGCTTGCGTGATACTAAGCGTGAACGAACACCTAGCGGACTCACAAGGCGGTGTTTGATGTTTGAGAACATTCCCTGGTCGGGGGATCCCAGGTATTTCCACATGTATGGATAGTACTATAGTACTATAGCCACCTTCGCCACGCGCTGGTGGAAAGTTGGGAGGATTTAGCTCTGAGCTCTCGTGGTTCTTTCGGTTCTTGCCGGTTCGAATCCAATCCAAGCAGCAAGTATATCTCCGGTATATGTATGACATGTGTACATACTTATCATGTAGGTATTCTGGGAGTCCGGGACTGGCCAGGTTTGCAATGACTGTGCTATCTGCCAGGGGCAGGGCAAATAAGGCCTAGACGAGACGAGACGACGTGAAGATCTAATAAGCAAGGCCCGGCTCACCGGGGGCCTGGACTGCGAGAAAGTGCGGGGTGGCAGGAGATAGGAGATTTGCCGCCCATTCGCCACCCAAGTCCCCACCGGGTGAGAAGGGGACGGCGGAAGCGGGAGGATCCGAATATTCATTCATCGCGGCAAAAGTTCCGGCACCACCACTGCAGCTTCAGCTTCAACTTCAACTTCCGCTCGAAGCCACGGCGGGGCCTGTGCTGGCCACTGGCGATTGCTCGTGCATGTCCAGGCAACAAGGCCAGTCCAGTCCGGTGTTTGATACGTACCGGCTCATGCCGGCGTTCCCTCCGCCAGCTACCGGAAAGGAAGGAAGGCCTGCACGCTGGTATAACTAGTAACCATCGTGACTCGTGTGGGAAGGATGAACTCCTCGTGGCGGCGGCGGAGCCGCGGAGGGGTATCCCAGCTTGTTCCTGAGTCCTGACTGTCGGTCGTGCGACAGTGGAAGCGGTCAAGGATGCGGCGTTCGACATTATCCAGGCGATACATACGGATACGGTATGCTAGGTACTTCTAGAGTGGGGTTTCCGGCGAGTTCTTCGTGACAAAGTATGTAGTTGGTAGTTATCCAGTGATGTTTCTGCCACAGATATTGGCAAGGCAAACATTGCAGGATAGGTACTCTACCATAGGTGGTCAAGGAGCGAATGAAATAAAGCAAGCCGAACCTACGGACCATCGTGGGAGGGACAGCCCTGGCGACGATGGAGGACGCGGGAAAAAGCACAGCCCGACCTGCCATCAACTTTGCCTCGACGCCGGCAGTGGCGTTTAATTACGCACGAATCCCCCAGCGAGCCATCTACTTACTTAGTAGATACGGTTGAGGGGAGGAATGACAAATTACCTTTGGAGCACACTTGAGAATTCACTTGCCAGCAAGGATTCAGCGAGATATCGGTACTACTAGGTAGGCAGAGCACTCCATTCCGGGATCGTTCCCACTTCCCGAGCTGAGGTGCTGAGTACATAGGTATGTATTTAGGCGAGGGCACGCGCCAGCATGGAGTTGTGTTCCTCAGGAGCGAGCGCGTGGAACCGTCGTGATTCGTGAAGACAGTTCGGTAGTGGCCGGCGGTGAAGGGTTTCGGTGGTGGTGATGGCGGTGCATGATAGACGAGGAGGAGGGTCGGGCTGTCATGCGTCCAGGAGCTCGCTTGCTCCGGTAGGGGGAAGCCGAGTGGGGAGGGGGGACTTCTACTCTATGTCGCCCCCGCTTTGATGCGGTCCAAGAGATTGAAGCGAGACCGACAATCGTCGAGATCCTTTCGGTCCTAGCGCCTACTTATTCAAAATCGACTCTCCGGCAAAACTCGCTGTGCAGATGTGGTACTTGGGTAACCCATGTTCTCAGGGACCCTACGATCCCGCGAGAGTGAAAGGCTAGATTGATCGATTGATCATTGGTTCGGCACCAAGCGAGGGCCACACATCGCCGGCAGCCAGCCGCAGCCAGGCTGACAGACAGCACTGCGGCCAGCTTGATGGCAAAACGAATTATCCTACGCGGGCGTGCAGGTTGCTTCCGCCGCCACACGCCACAAACACATGCATATGTACGTCAACGGATGGCTTCGATCCGGCTGAGCCGAAGGAATCAGAGACAGACTCGTACCGGCACGGGAACGACAGTACACAGGTGCAGTTGTTTTTGGCGAACTTGGCTGATTAAGCAACTACCGGTAACGTAGTAGAGCAGGAAATAAATCAAACCTAGGAGTGAATCAGAGAACGGCTGAATCGCCAGCCTAACCCCCTTCCATTATGTGCATAACCTCTCTTCGCCTTATCCTTCTTCAACCGTGGAGGTGGATTCTCATAGTCCTCAATCCTTGAGTCCGGGCCCGCTTCCGGCGCAATGACAAAGAACTCAGCCTTAAGAACTTCCAACACTGATGCCCCAAAGCCACCCCCCAGATTCATGGTTCTAAGAAAAATAGACTCGTGTTTCTCCGCAGCCTGTTCAGCTTCATAGATTCCACCCATCGGACCTGCAAGCATTGCATCCCCAAAGGCTTTCTTCTGTCGCTTCTCCTCTATGTGCTGGTGCTTCGGAGTGTTGGCTTCCAGCTTTTCCTCTGCCCTTCTCTTCCGTGAGTGAGCCTCTTCCAAGCTGATAACCCGAGTCCCCTTATTAGTCAACTCAGTCCGACTGCCCGGCCCTTCCCCATCGACTTTTCCTCTCTTCCAATTGACAGACCGTAAATGTCTGCTGGTTTCAATTTGCAGCGATTCCCTTGCCATTGACATTTTTCCTGACTTGACCATCTGCTGGACTCGGTCTCGCATGCCTGGCCGCAGTTCTACTCCCTGACACTCCATGAAGTCAAAGTCTTTCAACAGAGCCTCTTTTTGTTTCTTCAGCCCGATGGCATTATGGGGGGTGGTAGGAGGTGACGGCCGAGACTACCGTGGCTTTGCGGGTGGTGTTCTTGGTACCGGCTCAGCGGCGCCCTGGGGGGCCTCGACAGCGGGAATGCTCGTCGCCCGGCAGCGTGAATGCTCGGCGCCCGTCCTCGGCGCCCTGGGGGCCTCGACAGCGAAATGCGCAAATCTCAGTTCCTATTCCATCATTGTGAGCGATCATAGCAATTAATACCGTATAGCATAGAATTCTCACCTCGACTAAATTTGGTGGTGGTGGTGGTGGTGGTATACGAAGGGGGTTAGGCTGGCGATTCAGCCGTTCTCTGATTCACTCCTAGGTTTGATTTATTTCCTGCTCTACTTCGTTATCCGACTTCTTTCGTGGGCGTGCGGCCAGTACTCTATTTTATGTGGTGACTGCCTCCCACGAGGATCCTTTCGGCTGTGCTACTTACTTAAAAGTTTACTCTTATTTCTCCATAGATAATTTCTCCGGCTCTTGGATCTGCCAGTTGCACCTACCCACTCTATATTCGGTTGTGTTTGTTACTTCCCAGATCTATGTAGGAAGTACCAATTAAGTACTTGTTACTATAGTTAGCCCCGGACGACATCTCAAGTCTGGACAGTGGATTCTGCAGGCATCAATCATCGCCAACCCAAGGTCGCCAAACCCAAGAGTCCAAGACATTCCTTGCCCCTCTTCAGCAGCAGCAGCACCAATCCAATCGGGGGAAACGAAACGAAGGAATATGATCCTTCCGCTTCGCCAGCTTCCCGAGGAGAACCATATCTCGATCAGGGAACTGCTCTTACCCTCCCTCTACCCTCCCCATCCCCCCACATGCGCACCATTCGGATGATATCGATCGGGTGGCGACTCGCGAGATGTGGATGTGGATGTGGATGCGTTTCGGTAACTAACTAGCCGGCATCCGGAGCTCGCAACCGCGCGTGCTCCCCTTTCTTTTTTTTTCTCTCTCTCTTTCTGTTCCACGTTGCGCGCGATCAGGGACATACATATGTACACACGCACGGCGGGCGCGATGCTTATCTCTCTCTCGCGGCGGCACGGGTGCAGGTCACCATGGCAGATCGGGTTCCGCTTTTAGGGGGGGATCAGGACTTCGATCCGTGCTCTCGTATCTTGTTCGGGCTGAAAATAGCTGACTAGTACTACATGCTAGCAAACTACATGAATACCTAGCAGTGTGGATATTCGCGGCCCCGCAAGGTGAGCCTTGAGGACTAAATACATAATACATAGAGTACTATGTCTATACCTAGCTATGCTTTAAAGATGCCGCTACTCTTCTGAACAACTACAGGCTATATGTCGTGCGTTGCTCGGCGTCGAGATCTGGTATGTACACAGGTATATAAGAAGTATGCACTTATGTAATTCCCTGGAAGGAATAGCCTACCTACATACTTCGATACTACTACATACAGATGATAAAGGGGACGTCGCGGCCGGGCTCTCTCCTTGCATACAAACCTACTATAGTTGGGTTCCCTCCAACTGCCGTAACGTAGGTGAGCTGAGTGCCGTCGTTACAATCTACAGTAGGTAAGTACCGTAGTTAACGGAATCTATCTTACGGCAGCATGGTAAGGATCGTGTTCACCTGCCGCTAACTCGGTTACTGGGTTCCTTTCACCAGCAAATAGAAAGGAAGAGAAACGCGAGTGATGATACGGGAAAGGCTGGATCATGTGGCTGCTGCTGACAGCTGAATTCCCCATGCGGGCGGTCCCGATTCAAAGACGGCATACCTAGTTGCCTACCGGGTATAAGTTTGCACAACCCTTTTGTGAATCATCCATCATGCATGTCTCAGTGCGGACTGAACCCCCGGCGGGTGGTCTAAAACTAACCACCTATCCGAATCGTATGTAGGCAGAAGAAAGAAAGGAAGGAAGGGATTACTACTACTCCTATACATGCTCGCGGGTTTTCGCGAGAAATTCACCCGTCCGAATGCGTGATACGGGCTCGCAAAAGTTCCCGTTGCCTTAGCGTCAGTGCGAGCTTGAAGAGTCAAGACCGCCACGAGATATCCCCGGCTTGGTCAGTTGCAATGGCATATGTTGACGATAGTCTGTAGCAGGACAGGAAGGAGGTTGAAGAAGCGCTGTATCTGTATCACAGTGAGCAATACGGTCTTGATGGCCTCACTACCTAGTAGCTTGTGACATTTTTCCGTCAACATCATGCGATCATCAGGGTATGCACATATGTATGTATGTAGTAGTAGTGTATGTACTTCCGCCCTCAGCTGGAGACAGGCTTATAAGAAGCGGTACATCTCCTTGTTGAATCTCGCCATCCAGCAGCTTCTCCTCGGGACTCGGACATCAGCTTTGGGAATCACACTTCTCAGACATATCGCCTGTCATTTACACTCTTTCGATATGCGTTCGGCAAACACTCTTCTCGGTCTCCTCTCTTTGGGACTTGCACTCATTTCGGAGCATGCTTTGGCCCATCCTCTCACGGCCACTGAGGTCGTCAGGAGAGGAGATGACGAATGGCTTAGTCCGCAATATACCCTCTTCCGTAGGTGTCCCCCCATAATCCACCACATGAACTACTATCCTAAACATCTTCTACTACTACCAGAGGCTCCACTGGCCATCCCTTCGGTGATCAATCCATTGACTACTCACACCAACACCACCTCCGGAGAGGTCATCGATTTCTTCCAGATTTCGATTCAGGTAACCGACTGAGTTGATGTTCGACTGAAGGTTGAATCCTGGAGACTAATCCCTATTTTTGCTTGTGGCAGGATTTCACTCAGCAAGTGTATCCCAACAAGCCCGCCACCGCGCTTCAGGGATACAATGGCCAGTTCCCGGGGCCTCTCTTCCGCACCACAGTGGGACGCCGCTCTGTAGTCCGCTTCATTAACCAGGTTGCAAATCCCGCATCGATCCAGTAAGTCCTGCCTCTTCTCCGTGTTCTCGACGCTACCAGTGGCTCTAACGCCGCCGCCTCGGTACTCCCAGTCTCCATGGATCTCCCACCAGGCCTGTCTGGGATGGTTGGGCGGAGGACCTCATCCTTACCAACCAGTACAAAGACTACTACTACCCCAACGAGGGTGCGCGCACGCTCTGGTACCACGACCATGCCGTTCACATCACCGCTGTGAATGCCTTCAGGGGACAAGCTGGTGTCTACATCCTCTCGGATCCTGTGCAGGAGGCCGCATTGAATCTCCCCCAGGGGAAATACGATGTTCCGCTTGTGATCACCGACAAGATCTACAACAGCAATGCACAGCTGATCACTCCCGAGGGAGAGGAAGACAGTATGCTCCACTATTTTCCCACAGATTCCGCATGAAAACATTGCTGACCGTTCTTTTTTCCTCCAGGCTACTACGGCGACGTGATCCACGTCAACGGCATCCCCTGGCCGTTCCTCACCGTGGAGCCGCGCAAGTACCGCTTCCGCCTCCTGGACGCCAGCGTCAGCCGCTCCTACAAGCTCGATATCCGCCGCAGCAACGGCGCCAAGATCCCGATGGTCGTCGTCGCCACCGACAGCGGCTACATCCAGGGCCCGGTCTCGACCAACACACTGATCTTGGCGATCGCCGAGCGCTACGAGATCATTGTCGATTTCTCCGCCTATGCGGGCCAGACCCTTACCATGCGTAACGCCCGTGACTTTTCCAGGAACGAGGACTACGCCAAGACCAACTATGTCATGCAGTTCAGAGTCGGGACTACCGTCACGAGCACCGCTGGTGAGCGCTTTGTCTCCTCTTCCACTTCCTCCTATCGATGGGACTGGATCTGATAGAATGGGACGTGTAGGAAACGGACCAATCCCGTCCACCCTTGCCACCATCAACTACCCCACCAAGACTGGTGTCGACCACGCCTTCGAATTCGAGCGCTCCAACGGCGAATGGCGGGTAAGTCCCCTTTTTTCCCCTCTCTCTCTCTCTGATCCTCGCTGACCCGCGCTCAGATCAGCGACATCGGCTTCGCGGACGTGACCAACCGCGTGCTCGCGGCGCCAGCCAAGGGCGGCGTCGAAGTCTGGGACCTAATCAACAACTCCGGGGGGTGGGCGCACCCGATCCACATCCACCTAGTCGACTTCAAAGTCGTATCGCGGACACGGCGGGGCGTAGAGCCCTACGAGATCGGCTTCAAAGATACGGTGTTCCTCGACGAGAACGAGCAGGCGCGGGTGATCGCGCGCTTCCATCCGTGGGCGGGTGAGTACATGTTCCACTGCCACAACCTGGTGCATGAGGACCACGACATGATGGCGGAATTCGACGTCGGCAATACCAGGGCCGCCCCTGCGTATAGAGATCGCTTCAGTAATCCTATGACGCAGGAGTTCCGTGCTAGCCCGTACACCACCACGGATCTCACACAGGTGCAGAATACAGTCCTCCCGTTCTTTTCGGGGCTCGAGGCGTATAACTTCCCCGTTTAGAGGAACACGGCTATAACGCGACTTTCTTGCGTTTTTTGCTTCTCTTTTCTTTGCATTGTTGTCTGTTTTGTGCGAGGTACATAATGGCCGGAGTTGGGTTGGGTTGGGTTGTTCGGGTTGGGTTGGGTTGGGTTGGGTTGGGTTGGGAAGTCCGAAGGCTGCGCTTTGAATGTGTACTAATATTTATCGGCCGCTGTACTGTACGGTACGGCACTGTTGGGGCGGTGTGACGAATCGTATTAATAGTAAAAATCGGTGGATGTTCATTGGCAGTTACTCAACCCTTCATGTCTCTACTACCTATAAGACTTTCTCAAACTATTGGTCGTCGGCTACCTCGGTGGTACGTACTCGGAGTCATACCGGCAGGGAGAAGGAAGTGGAACTTGGTAAGTATGTACACACCGAGAGTGCCGTGTCAACCAATCATGTTACATCATTCGTTTTAGGAAATTTGACAAGTGTTGTAATATCTGTCTAGATTAGTCATGGTAGAAGGCACGGGCCTTTACCCCTATTCCCATATATCTACTGTTCTCACGAGGCTACAACCATACATTTCAATACTACACTGTTCACCACCATATCTTACCATATCTTACCATATCTTACTCTATATTTCCAATAAGGTTCAAATTTAATTTTTTGGCTTACTTATTCCTTCATCGATCGGGTGCGACTCCCTACCTGCCTGCCTACCGCAGCCTGCAGGTCGTACGTAACGATATATATCGCCCCGAAAATTTCCTATTCTATCTACCACCGCCGCCGTCTCTGAAGCGGGCCAGCTCGTTGCAGGCTTGCAGCAGCCCGATCTCCCCGGAATCCGAAGTCACATCGGTGCAGAGAAGTAAAATGAAAGGGAGAGAACAAATTCCGCCACGATTTAGATTCGTGAGTCCTCATCTGGGGTGCTTCGCCGGGCCAGGTACCAAAATGGTTCAGATTATGCGCACATGATAGGTACATGAATAGCGGCTAGAAACCCCAATACAGCCTGGCAGCACCGCCTTTGAAGCGATCACCTTGCCCATCCCCTCACTGCCCCCTCCCAGAGGCCCGAGCTCTATCCAAGCCTTTCTGCTGACGCCCAAGCCTGAAATCTCGCCCCCGACAACTCCAAGTCTCCAAGTTTCCAAGCCGGCGACCGAGTGATGGTGAGTGCACCCAGCAGCAGGGAATAGCACCCGTCAGCGACCTTCAAGAACCACGTCCCGCTGCATGACCAGCCTGACTAGCACGTTCCCTCCGTGGGCATCGAACCGAAGCTTAATCGGCGCGCAATCGGCAGCACCCGCAGCCCGCAAGCTGCAACTTACAAGCCGCCGACCGCAACGACAATAACAGCAATTCTGTACCTTTGCTTGCATGAAATCATCTTACCAGGTACCTAGTACCTAGTACCTGGTTATCTAAATGCCGGTAAGATCCACACGCCACATGGCAAATATCGATTGATTGGGCACGTATGAAATATCACTCGCTCTGGCCTTGTCGTCCTATGAGGTCGCGGACCGCGAGCGGGAAAAAATAGTTGGACAGTTGACAGGGAAACGGCGTTTATATAGTATATTTTCGCAATCCAGATGGGCCAGACGAAATCGATGATCAAACAGAAAATATTCCTCCTTCAGGGCATCTCCACGAGGCGGAGTGCTGTGCAGACCTGTTCTTCCCTGGCTTCAGCATCTCCACGAGGCGAAGTGATGTGCAAACCTGTTCTTTCCTGGCTTCATTTCGTTGATGCGCTCAATGTATATCTTCGGCTCTTCTGGAAAATGCTAGGGCGGTGAATAGCGGGAGCTAAGTCGCGCCGCCTGACGAATGTCGGGTTTGGGCAGTGGCCACGCAAATGGAGCGTGTATGTTGCCACGTTCTAGCAAGCATTGAATGGTTAGACGAAAAGGCAGCTGGAGGCATTACACCATAGAGTTTCCACCGCATGTCCAGAATATGTCGGGCGTGTATAAGGGGATAACCTTTCCATCTCACGATCCGCAGCGCGGTACTCATGTCGTCGAGATCTACGGTATTGGATAGGTATCGCAGTTCAAACTTCAAGCTCGTATAAGATCAGGATGGCTCAGCACCTAAGCTAAACTTCGTCGTTTCTCCTGTGCATCGCGCGTGCGGGGCACAGCACGCACCCACCACTTTATAAATTTCGACTTCATGTTTCTAGCACGGAAAAAACCTCGCGTGGCCTAGTGGTCTGGGCCATGCAATCGGCGAGGGGAGCTGAGGGAAAGGTTCCGGGTTCAAACCCGCTGAAAGACCTTTGTATTCAGCTCTTGGGGTTTCCAAGCAACCCCCACCGGGGGGGGCGGTGAAGGTTTTTGTTTCTGACGTGACAGGTGGAGCACAGTATATCACTCGGTAATATCCCGTGAAACGCCATACGCTGCCGGCTGTGGAAGCAAGAACCCATACGACGAACTTTGTCAGAGATAGGGGGGAGGAAGCGAATCTTACGGCGACGAATCCAGATCCCCTTACACAGGAGGTAAGGCAATATACAGATAGATCAAGACTAGAAGATGTGGCGGCGGGCTATGCGGTGATCTGGTAGATAAGCAGAAATGGGGATCTCTAGCTAAAGACCAGTTAGGTGCCCGAGGGCAGGGAGTGGGAAGCTGCTCTAGAGTAGAGCCCGCTCGAATAGGCAAACCGAACAAATTGCAAGTGGAGGTCAATAATCGTGTCAAAGAACTCGGTCATGCGAACTGTATCCGGAGATGTTTTCTGCTGGTTGGTCTCGGTCATGAGAACTGTATCCAGAGGAGGAGATGTGTTCTTCTATCTATTCTCGCCGGGGGGTCTATATCCCACTGACAGACATATTCTGTATATATACCTAGAAGGGCACCAGCCCGGAGTAGAAGAAGAAGCAAGCAACAAAAACATCTACATATTCCTATATATCCTCCTATCGATCTCAGTATGTATGACAAAATGGAGTTTCATAGGGGCATGGGAGGCAGTCATGTTAGTAAATGCGTACCTCTTAGGTAGTGAATACGTATAACGTGCAAGCAATTACCTAAGAGGTAAGTACCTAGCTGCGGTGGTAGTGGTAGTGGTGGTGGTGACAAATGCACCATCATTGTCATAGGATGCTGGCAACCGAATTTCGCAGCGCCACTGGATACGTCGCATGTGTATAAAGCAGGCGACAAGTACCGCAGCGTGTCGATAGAAGAATCGTCCAGGCACTCCTCAACTCAAATCTGACAGGCAGCTCTGCTCCGTCGTTGGTGCTCCTTTCAATCGCGTGTACGAGGCGTACGGTACGTACCCACCACTTTATGATTTTCGAATTCATGTTTCCAGCACGAAAAAACCCCCGCGTAGCCTAGTGGTCTAGGCCATGCAATCGGCGAGGGGAGCTAAGGGAAAGTTCTGGGTTCAACACAGGCCAAAGAACTTTTTATTCAGCTCTTGGGGTTTCCAAGCCACCCGCCGGGGGTGGTGTTGGTTTTTGTTTTTGTTCACGGGATATCACTCGGTATCAGATGTCATGTGACGCTTTTTTTTGTAGAAGTGAAAAAGTATTACTCGTTTGGGAACCCGTAATTAGAGGCATTAAATATGGTAAAGATGCGACTTTATATCCCGCATCTCGGTGCTATACTCTAACAATCTCTATCTGCAGCTCTATTATGTACCCCAAAATCCGATCGTCCCCGCCCTGATACGCCAGCTCCAACGCCAACACAAGAATGAAACCGAAACCCGAAATGAAAAGAAAGCAAAAGGTACCGCCATCTCACAGTACATACGTGAACCACACGCTGCGATCGCCGTCCCTCGCCAGCTGCTCCTCCTTCCTGACGAGGAACCCATGTCTCCTGCATCCCTCCTCCTCATCGCCACCGACTCTCTGCCCCTCCTCCGCGTCTTTCTCCATCTCCTCTGTCAGCCTCGCCTTCTCCGCGTCCCTCTGCCGATTCTCAACGACGTAGCGCCAGTACAACACGACACCGGACACCATTCCCAGCGAGACGAAGCCCAGATTCAACAGATGTCCGAGCAAGAACCGTGGCTGATCCTCCTTGCGATAGAAGTTCGCGCCCATGGCGCCCCCGAGCGAGCCGCAGCCGATGTACACGGCCATGGCGAAGCTGCGCTTCTTTGCCGAGGCGAGGTTGTTGGCGCACCAGGTGAGCGCGCCGGGGAACGCAGGGTACAGTCCGCACGACGCGATGAACACGCCCGCGTACGCGGCCTTCGGCGCCACCGCTGCGATCAGGAAGCCGATGAACATGACGACGTAGGAGGCGGCGAGGAAGGGCGCGCGGATGCCGATGCGGTCAGAGACGAAGGCGGTGATCAAAGAGAGGATGCACGCTGAGATGTAGATTGGCACCGTCAGGAAGTTGGCCTCCGTCTTGTTGTATCCCAGTTCCATGATTATCGTGGGAAGACAGAGGGAGATGCTGTACAGTGGGCAGGTGATCCCTAGGAAGACGAAGATGTGCAGCGGCAGGTGGTAGTCGGTCAGGACTTGCTTGAAAAGCCACGTCTTAGGGATCTCGGCGTGGATGCGCTCCTGTTCCGCCGGCGTCAACAGCGCTTCCTCTTCGCCGAACTCGTCAACCGACAGCCGGTGCAGCAGCAGCTCCTTCTCCTCTTCGGAAAGAAAAGTCGTCCTTGCCGGGACGTCGAGTACAAGCCAGAACGCGGCGACAGCCACGACGACGGTGACGAGTCCCTCGACGATCATGATCCAGCGCCACCCCTCGAGTCCGCCGAGACCGTCCATCTTGGCAAGGCCGACAGCGAGCAGGCCTGCGAACGCACCCGCCATAGAAGCGGCACAGAAAAAGAGCGCCTGTCGGAACTGCGCCTCCTTCTTGCGATACCACAGAGTGATGACATATGCGACTCCGGGGAAGAGCCCGCACTCCGTCATGCCGAGGAACAGCCGTGCAATGATCAGGCCGTCGCCTGTCTGCGACATCCCCATACCCACCGTGACGATGCCAGATGCTAGGGTCACAAGCGGCAACCACACGTTGGGCCGCAGGAGCTTGAGTAGCATGTTGCTCGGGATATCGAACGTGCTGTAGGTAAAGAAGAAGACGGTCAATGCCAGCGTGTAGTGTTTATCCGACATATGAAGGTCTTCCATCAGGTGGTAGGTCTGGAACACGAAATGCACTTCAGCACCAATCCCGGCAGCAAACGATGGTGGAGGAATTTACCTTGGCATTGCCAATGTTCTGCCGACAAAGGAAGCAGAGCAGGTACAGGAGCGATAGGATTGGAACGAGCCGGATGTCAACACGACGGAGGAGATGTGTGTGGTGCGGATGGTGGGTCGGTCTAGAGCATATCGACGCCTTTTCGTCGACAACTGATCCTCGGCGATGGAATTTCCTCTGCTCGCCCGTGAAGTTGATGGCAGGTTCCTGCCGTATGTGCGACACCGTGTCAGCGGGCGACGGGGTCAGCGTGCTGTCCGCCGGCGTGGAATATGTGGATTCGTCCATTGCGATCGTAGTTGCGGATGTGACGTTACGAGGAAGTCGAGGTCTTGGATACGGGCACACAATCGGTAGTTGACTCGCAGTGAAGTTGTGGGGACAATTCGAGTGATGATAATTATGGGAGTTGATCCGAATTAGCGCACAATAGCAGTGAGGAATTGACGCTTTATACCTGTGCTCGAATCCGAAAAGCCCTTTGTTGAGCACCAAAGGGCATATCGGCGTACGGCGGCTCAGCAACACGGCCGCACAGAGCAGAGTGAGAGTGGTTTTTCCAGGCACGCCAGCATCCCGGCGCAGATCCCTACCCAACGCACCTGTCAGGCCATCTCATCCCTCTCTCGCTTGTTCCGAGCCAACGAACAAACTTTCGCGATGAAGATCAGGCCATCCACGAGCACACGCATAACCTAGTGAAATCCCGTACCCAATCCCCAACGTTCGACACATGGCGAACAGGGGAGAATTTCCAAAATCCTTCCTTCGCCGACGTCACCCCCGTCGCCCTTTCGGCGCCGCTCGAAAGCCCCCTCCCGGAACCACCACCGGAACGGCGCGACGGCGCGAATCCCGCTCCGACGAGTCCCTCGCTTCGCCCTGGTGCCATTGGTGCGATTGCCGCTTGTGCATAAAAATCCCGAGATTTTCCGCTCACCAAAGAGAAGAGAAGAGAAAACGGGAGAGCTATGAAGGACACGCAAGTCCGCAGACGCCACAGTGTAATCGCCGCCCCTCTCCCCTCTCCTCCTCCCCCGCCCCACCATTCCGAAGTGCTGCTCCCAGTGGCTGTACATAGCGACGTCAAGTTATCAACCACGCCACAACCAGGACTCTATCTAACTAACCGGAGCAAGCGAGAATGTTCTCGACCAAGGTTAATCTCGATTCCAACCATGGCCCTGGGTTGACGAACGTTGTGGGGTGCCGTTGTGGGGTGCCGATGACTGCGAAACCCCCCACGCACGACCCACGTTAGGTAGACGTCTCCCAACCGTTTATCATATCGTCTGGGGCGGCACGTTTCCGGCATGTCTACTCCCCGGCATTACCCTGAGAGAATCCTTAAGCCGGACAGGCGCAGTATCAAACTCTGCTGATGAACATCGGATTTGTATCATGTCTAGGTAGCATGTGATCTCCACGGAATATCACTCGCCAACACACACCAAGCTCGATTTTTTTTTCTTTCAATTCCAGCATTGCGTCTTTGGTATTCCAGAACAACCTTGGAGCTACGGGATTGCCCATAGAATTCATGTTCTTCTATATGAGTTGAGTTCGCATCGACCGTGATGCGAACGTGATCTGCCGGCGGCAATCCGACAACAACCACACAGCCCACAGACTCCCAATGAATCACCGCCTTCGAGTCTTCGACGGATACGCGGAAAGCCTCGGCAAGGCTGTGTCTCTCTAGGGTTGCCGAAGGAAAAACCTCTCGCAAAGCCTGCCACAAACCGGTCACGTTGAGTGTCAAAGTTAAAATTCTAGGAGGTGATGGATGAGGTATGTACTTAGAATGGATCTAGGTACTGCACGGGAATAGGACTGTATGTAGCAACAATGCCGTCACTATTGCTTTCCATCATCTGGCATTAAAATTCCAAGCCTGGAGGCCATAACTACAACCTGAAGCACGGCGATTCGAGGAGATGCAATTCAGCGTCTGAAGCTTCTTCGTGGGGCCTCATCCGCATCGGATAGTTTGCCCATCGTTCCTTTCCAAGTGTGAGGTTAGGAGGTCGAGTATGTTCCAAGATACTATCTAAGGAAAGCTGGTTTCCATGATTGTATGATAGCTTTCGAGAAAGGGGCTTTGCAGTTTGGTACGATGCCGTGCTGAAAGCTTGGAAGAAGCACCTACATACACAATGGAATCTTCAAACCATCACAATACCTACCTCATACCTACCTATTTCGAATCCCGTGCTGAAGAATTCAACCAACATGAAACACCACTGGCAGTTCCATTTCCTCTAATGTACATGCCTGGTTAAGTTCCAGTTCAGTTCTAACGGACGACCGCATCACAAATCCACAATCTTCTCACAGCGGACAGGAGATTGGTTATCGATGGTATCCGCCCTCGGCCCGAACCGTATCTTCGACGACGGACGGCGGACGACGGACACTATTGATCGCAACATAGCCCCGCCAGCAGCAGCACGTACCTGGTAGTTACATTCCGCGCGGGTTTCTAGGACCCCAAGTCCCCAACTCCAATCTAGACTCCTCAGGAGTATGTACCTACGTTATCTACCTGATATCTACTCATTCGTAAGCCACAAGCGCCAAGAACTCCGAATACGCTTGCCTCGTGGCTATGGAAGTCCACTATCTAACCACTTTAATCGTCGCCATTTCAGCATGATCTCTTGTACTCCACAAAGTACCATATACCTCTACAACCTGATATTCGCCATCTTGCGTGACTCTGTCGCCACACTCGCACTATGTACCCGTTGCCACTCATTAGCTCATTAGCTCATTTGGAATTTTTAGCGTTTGTGTCTTGTGAACGAGTAGATACGGTACTGAATATGGAACTTGATCGGCTAGGAGATCTGGCGTGAGTATACACCGCTAGGCCGGCCATTTTGAGCTTCGTCTTTGCCCAAATAGGGGATGCGGCTACATATCAGATCGGGATTTCACATTTTTCGACCGTTGATCTGTTTGAGCAGTGAGCCCGGCCTAGAGAGGAATTGGCGAAGAGCCCTCGCAAAACAGTCGTGATCCCCGGTGACCGAAGTCGCCGAATCGAGTGATAGTTCATGATTATCGTCCCCCTCCACCCACCGTGATATCTCGTGAAAGGCGAGAGAAAAACGAGGGAAAAGCGAGCTCCTCTCTGTGGAGTGATAGAAGCGTATCATTATGAACAGACACCGCCCAGAGTCGCCAGTAATGGTGGCGTATATACTACTGTGGCCCGCGGATCCGGTTCGACTCACCTATTCCAGTCGGCTCGGATATCGTACCTATTGTCAGTCGGTAGTTACTTGGCGATGGTATTTTGTATATAAGTAACCACCAAGACCGCCGAGACCGTCGGCTACAGAATGGCATAGCTACGGCGTGTGGCTGGCTCCCTTCCCTCAAGCTCCATGGGACTGCAGTATGTACCGGATGCGGGACGGGGCGGGGCGGTGAGCGATGGTGATCGGCGGTGTGTGATCATTCCCGTGGCAGAACCAACGAAGAAAGGGGAACCTGTGATGTATTTCTTCCTCAGGCATTACATGGAAGGATGGGGTCCCTTCACCGAAGTTCACTGAAGGTACATCTGTTCTCTAGAACAGTGTGTTTTGTTTGCTTGCAATGGTAGCATTTTTGATCATGAGAGCCGGCGGTGTTGCAGGGCCGCGTTTTACCCGTCTTCTGATACTTCGAAGTACTCTATGTACTCACGCCTTATCGTAGCCATGTGGTCAGACAACACAGAAATAAAGCCATCAGGCGGTCGCACAAAATATCCACCTTGGTACATGCGAATCATCATGAGGAACAGACACCGGATCAAAGTATTCGGTTCGAAGCGAGCGACATCATGCCGGTACCTAGCGAACCAGTCATCGTCCAGCTCCCACCACGTTGTGCTCGTTATGGATGCGGAGGTATCGGTATTAATTGGCTCTTATGTCTTTACCCAACCACCACCACCCGCCAATATATACCAGCGCGCCTCCAGCGAACACCCGAGTATTTGCCCCTCGCAGACGGCCGCTCCATACTTTAGCACGTGCACAGCAATGAGATCTCTGGGGTAGATATGATCATGTATGTATTTACGCATAAATACGGCGAGCTCGGGCCCCCCATGCTGTCTCTCCGTCCCTGCAGCGCGGTGTGCGGCGGCATACGCGCATGCTGTAGCTCAGCACGTCAGATCTCCACGAAAGAGCGACGGGGGGAGGGGAAGGAGGTGCGGGCACCCAATCGGAATCGACGATCCAACACGATGGGGAGTCTGTAGGTCCAGGTTCCTCGCGCCCGACCGTTGTGCCTAGGTATTTTACACAAATGTAAGTATGTTGGTTGGTAGACATCGCCGACGTGGTCTGGCGGGCGGGCGTGAAGTGGTGGCTGGAGCCTGGAGCCTGGGGGGAACTCCGATGCGGACAAGGTAGAGATCTTCGTTTTTCTATCGTGTTGTTCTTTCTTCTAGAGCACATAACTACGGTGCTAGGTGGCAGTCCTTCTTTGTTGCGTTCTCCAGAGTCCAGTGCGGGTTCTTTCCCCAGCCCCATTTTCTCGCCGGGGCGATGTCGAATGGTCACAAAATCAGGTTCCATTATTACGCCTTCAAGACGGCTCTTGATTGGCTGCCCATCACGTCACCTCTCGCTAGCGGCGGCTCTTTGGCACCCCAAAAACTTCGAATCCATGCTACACCACGCAAAATCACTGCCCACGCAGAATCCGCCGACAGGATAACAACAGCAACTCGTCGCAGCGGGACGAGAGCAACGCGAGAAATGCCGCTTAGAAACCAGAATCCCAAAAAGAAGAACCGGGGTTGGCAGCGAGGCATCGAGCTCGGCGGAACCAGCATGGAGCTCCGGATCCGATCGAAACTCTACTATATGTGGTTATCCAGAGTGTTCTGCACTAGGATATTAGGTTGGAGTCCGTGTATCAAAACGGCCGCCCTCCCCCTCTCACCTCATCTTGCCCCATAAATTCACTTTCGATCTTTCCGTTATTCCTTCACTGCACTCGCCTGTCCAACCGTCCCCTCCCCCGCCCTACCGACCGACCGACCGACTCGTGCCAGCCGTGTTGTCGTGGCCGCAGCAAAAGGAAGCCCTTCTCCCCCAGGACCCATCGACCGCGGTCGCTACAACTACGGCAGTATGGCCAGTCCTTCGCCCCAATCCCCCAAGAAGTTGGGAACGCAGGTAGGACAAGGTCTCGCCAAAGTCCTCGGAATCGAGCTCCAGCATGCCACGCCCTACGAGCAACACGTTACCCGTGGGGAGTCGATCTACTCGCTCAACGGGGCAGCAGGCGCTTATATCGAGGCCGAACCGACCGTGGTGGAGTACTTCTCGCAGTTCAAACCCAGTGGCAGCGGCATCGGACAGTACTTGCTCGATTTCTTTCCGTTTATCACATGGATCGGGAGGTGTGTAACTCTTGTCGAGGAATGAAGTGGCTGGAATACCGTTGGCTGATCTAGTGCAGATACAACCTTAAGTGGGCTACTGGAGACTTGACTGCTGGTATCACGGTGGGATGCGTCGTTATCCCTCAAGGAAGTGAGTGCCATTGGATCTCAAAGTTGTTGGGAGAATTGTCGCTGACCAATGTTAGTGGCCTACGCACAACTGGCCCAGCTTCCCCCGGAGTTCGGTCTCTACTCTTCGTTTGTCGGTGTGATGATTTATTGGTTCTTTGCGACTTCCAAGGACATCACCATTGGACCAGTCGCCGTCATGTCGACGCTCGTTGGCAACATCGTTGCGGACCTCCCCGCTGATCAGCGGCCGACTATCGCGTCTGCGCTCTCGTTGATCTGCGGTTCCATCGTTTTCTTCATTGGACTTTTCAGACTGGGATTCGTAGTCGACTATATCCCGCTGCCTGCTATTGCTGCTTTCATGACCGGATCGGCGCTCAGCATCACGGCGGGACAGATTCCCAAGATGATGGGAATCAAGGGCTTCAGCACTAGAGGACCGGCGTATGAGATCTTCATCAACACCCTGAAGAATTTGGGCTCTACCAAGATCGACGCGGCAATGGGCCTCAGCGCTTTGGTGTTTTTGTACCTCCTCCGATGGATCTTCACTAGCTTCCTGCCCAAGAAGTTCCCGTCGATGCAGAAGACGTGGTTCTTCATCGGTACCCTGCGCACGGCTTTCATCATCCTGCTGTACACCATGATTTCGTGGCTGGTAAACATGAACCGACGGGACGACCCGATGTTCGGCATCCTCGGGTCTATTCCCAGCGGCTTCAAGCATATGGGCGTACCCACGATCGACGGCGACATCATCAGCAGCTTCACTTCGCAGCTACCGGCAGCCGTCATCGTGCTGTTGATCGAGCACATTGCCATTTCAAAGTCGTTCGGAAGGATCAACAACTACACTATCGACCCCTCGCAGGAACTGATCGCCATCGGCATCACCAACATCCTTGGTCCGTTCTTCGGCGCATACCCTGCAACTGGATCCTTCTCCCGTACCGCCATCAAGTCCAAGGCCGGTGTGCGCACCCCCTTCGCTGGAGTCATCACCGGTGTCGTGGTCCTCCTCGCCATCTACTGCCTCACCGCGGTCTTCTTCTACATCCCCGACGCCTCCCTCTCCGCCGTCATCATCCACGCTGTGGGTGATCTGATCACACCCCCGAACACCGTCTACAAGTTCTGGCGCGTCTCCCCCGTCGAGTGTGTCATCTTCTTCCTAGGAGTGCTGGTGACCGTCTTCACCAACATCGAGAACGGAATCTACTCCTCCGTCGGCGCTTCCGGTGCCCTCCTCCTCTTCCGCATCGCCAAAGCCCGTGGCCACTTCATGGGCAAAGTGAAGGTCCACACCGTACTCGGCGACCACCTGATCGCACCCGAGTCCGTAATCCCCAGCACTACCACCTCCATCACCGGCTTCCCCGGCCTCCCCACCGCAACCGGCCTCGACACCGCCGCCTCCTCCTCCACCGCCCTCACCATCCCCAAGAACTACGGCGCGATCAACGCCCCCGCCAACAAAAACTACGAGGCCACCCGCAACGTCTTCCTGCCGATCGACCACCGCGACGGCTCGAACCCGGCGGTCGACATCGTCAACCCGTACCCGGGCGTATTCGTCTACCGCTTCACGGAGGGCTTCCTCTACCCGAACGCGTCACACTACACAGAAGCACTAGTCGAGCACATCTTCGCGAACACACGACGTGGGAACCCGCTCTCCCTCGCGACCAAAGCGGGCGACCGAGCGTGGAACGACGCCGGCCCGAAGAACCCAGAGGCGCAAGCGCAGCTCGAGTCGTCAAGGCCCGCACTGCGCGCGATCATCCTGGACTTCAGCAGCGTCAACAACGTGGACATCACATCGGTACAGAACCTGCTCGACGTGCGCAACCAGCTGGACCGGTACGCGGAGCCCGACGTGGTGGAGTGGCACTTCGCCGCCATCGGCAACCGCTGGACGAAGCGCGCGCTGAGCTCGGCGGGCTTCGGGTTCCCGCCCCCCAGTTCGGGCGGCCGCGAGGGCTGGCAGCCCGTATTCTCTGTCGCGGAAGTGGGCGGGCATATTGAGCTGGGAGGAGGCGAGATGGAGCGAGAGATCGAGAAGTCGAAGGAGGCGGATCCCGAGGCGGCAAGAGCGCTCACCGGAAGACGCAGGGTCGTGCCTGTGGGAAGCATTAACCTCCCGTTCTTCCATATCGACCTCGAGGGCGCCGTGGAGAGCGCGATCAGGAATGTGCGGTAGTGCGGGGTGGGCAAGATGTGCACGATGTCTCGTTTTGTTTGATTTGCATGGGCGCGGCGTTGTGGACACGGACGGTGGGGTTGTTTTTTTCTTTTGGGCGACGGTGTATATATCTTGCGCGGGTACTTGGCTTGCTTGGCTACTTGGCTTGCGGTCGGTTGGGTGTAAATAATTATGATGTATCTATCTACATATCTATGGGGAGATTGGTATCTTATCTACTATGAGGAACGGGACTTTTTTCAAAGTGCTTTGATCGGAATGGTGTGTGGCCGAGTGATGGCGGTGATGCGGACTCGCTTCGACACTTGCTACATACCGGGACTTCACCACTCACCTACATTTATTGGTCCAGATGTAACCTGCTCCCGAGAGAGTGACTACTGGAGAGATAATACGCCGCCGAGTGACAGAGGGCGAAGACGGTGGTGTTGTGTATCGTATGCTATCATGTTAAGGGAGATGGTGGTTGCCATTGTCGTTGCGAGGATGGAACAGCTTGGAATGATGAGCTGTATGGTACAAGTCGGTAGGTTACTATCGGGGAGATCTAATCTACCTTTGTTATTTAGATATGCCGTGACATTCCAAGAACAAGGACTGCGGCTTCACTTGTGACTCCACTCTATATCTTGCTGAGCTATTGCGTGTGGTGGTGGGGTTGTGAACTCGAGTAGCTCTCTCTGCGCGCGCGACCCCCCACTCGTCGTCATCCATGTGAGCGATCTAAAACGGCGCAAGTCCCCCGCGTCCCCCTCCCACGCCCCACCTCATCACCCTCACAACACCACGATGACCACCAAGACCGACCCAACGCTCAAGTCCGTCTCGGGGCACTGGTTCACCGCGTTCCCGATCCCGGAGGTCGCCGCCGTCCCACAAACCTACCAGTTCACCGACCGTACGCTCTCAGCGCAAGTATTCACGCACCCGTCCTTCGCCAACGGCACTGGCCCGCACAACGCGATCCTGAGCTTCGAGGGCGCAACGCTCATCACCACGCTCGCCACGCTCAACCTAACCGTGCTCTTCCCCGCCACGCCCGTCTCAACCCTATCCGACCTCCGCCTAGCCATAACCTCTCGCGCACTACACGCACACCTCTCGCGGGCGCTCTCCCTCCCCTCCCACCTCCGCGCCGCCTCGGCCGACACCGCCAGCACCGAGCGCGCGCAGTCCGAGCTGTTCGAGGCGTATATTGCGGGGGTGTTCCGGGAGCTGACGGCGGCGCGGTTCGACGAGCTGCGCGCCTACCACCTGCAGCTGCTGCAGCCGTACATTGTCGCGTACCACGCGCTGCACCGCTCTGCCGCGCACCACCCCGTCATCCGCGAGAAGCAGCGGAAGCAGGAGATGGCGACGTACACCGTGCGGCTGATGGAGTACGCGGCCAAGAACCGGCTCGAGCCGCCCGTGTTCGAGTTCACCTCGAATGGCGCACAGGGCCCGCTGGTCCAGTGGGGCTGCCAGGTCATCCTCGGCGGAGTGCATGTGGCCAAGGCTGTCGCGGGGAGTAAGAGCAATGCGAAACATCTGGCGAGCGCGGAGGCGTTTAAGGCCCTGCCCGTCCTGGTGGGCGAGAAGGATCCGCCACATACCACGACGGAGAGGAGGAAGAAGAAGGAGTTCTATAGGGCTGCTGCAAAGACCCGTGCCACTCCCGCACTGTTTGGACAGCCTGGCTGGGCGCCCTCCAACGCTGCGCATATGGCTACCGCGCCAAGTTGGGGATCGTAGGGGAAGTGGGTGGGGTTGTGGGGCGAGAGCAGCTCGTCCCCCCCCCCCCCCCCCCCCCTCCCCCCTCTAAATGACTGGGGGTGGGCACAGCGGTGCTCGGGGATTTGGAAGACCGGATGCGGGGAGTTATGGGTATGTTTTGGATTCTTGATAGGGATGCGTTTTGCGTTTTGCTTGCATGTTTTTTGCGATTACCACTTGGGTAATGTTTCTCTTTTCGATTTCTTTTTTTACCGACGATGTTACAACTGCTGCCACTTGCTGCCACTAGACTTTGTGGCTGGACTACAATATATGCGAGAGAGGGTATATGCGTGGATGATAATGGTTCATTACTACATGCTATCACGAGTGTATGTACATAACTCGTACTTGCACTACTGCACTGGGGATCTCCCTTCTTCGCCGCAGCCGCCGCCGGGGGGGGGGAGGCGAATGATATCCCATGGCCGGCATCTGCCAACGAACTCGCGACCCCACAGTGACGTGGGCCAACCATCTTGCCGCTCCAGGATTCGCCAGCTCTGCCTTGCATGCGCATGTGCAAGCGCAGTTGCAAGTGCAATATGGCCGGGTGGGGGTGTATGATAGAGCTGTCCGTTGGCAATCGAGCTCTCCCCCCATAGCTGTAGCCACAGACAGACAGATAAAGAGCGGGCGCGCACCCATTCTCCGTGGCGGCCGCCATCCGCCGCCGACCACCGTAATGACCTCCTACGCCCCCTACAGCAACGCCATGCGCCTCGGCCAAGGCTTCAACTCGTACGCGCAGACGATCTGCATCGACAACGCGGTGGTGTTCGACGGCGTATCGAAGAACCCACCGCCGCCGCCTGCCGCCCCCGAAGACGACGCACAGAAACAGGTCGTCACCTACTCCGCCGGCTTCGTCGATAAGCTCTCCGACGTCGTCGAAGCGACCAACCTCTCCCCCAGCACGTCGATAAAGTCCGGCAGCATCGGGAACTCGGGCAAGGGCGGCGGCGGGTTTATCGACTGCGACAAGGTCCGCTCCTCCGCCCGTCCCCCCGTCCCCCGTCCCCCCGTCCCCTCCTCACCCCCACCCGCAGGGCTAACCCCCCGCCTTTAGTTCAAAGAAGCCCACCTCAACTACCTCGTGCACGCCAAAGTGACCGTACAATCCTCCCCCCAATCCGGCACGGAGACCCCACGGTTCCAGCGGATCAAATCGCTGCCCCCCCACCTCTTCCACCGCACCTTCGGCGACTGCTTCATTAGCGGCTTCCTAAGCGGCGGTGAGTTCTCCGCCCTCGTTTCCTTCCGCTTCCTCCCCGGCGTCGATCTGACGCTGGGGCGCAAGCTGGCGATGGCGGCGCTTACGCCGCTGGGCGGTGACGCGGCGGGAGAGGAGGCGGGAGAGGGGGCAGGAGTGGGGGGGGTGGGGGGAGTGGGTGCGGACGTGCACGTCCTCCGTGCGAGGAGGGAGCTGGCCACGAAAGCAGAGGTCAGCGTCACCGTCAGCTGGAGCGGCGGGGGGCAGCGAGTTTTCTCGCCAGCGGCGGGTTCGGGTGCGGGGGGCGGCGAGCAGTGGGACATATCCTCGGTGATGCGGGCGGCAGCGCGGTTCCCGTCGGCGGTAGCGAGCTGTCCGCAACGGATCGCGGCGGTGCTGACGCGGTATACTACCCTGAGGTCGTTTGTGGAGCAGATGCCCGCGGTGGTCCCGCTGGATTATGATAATACAGTCCTGTACTCCGGTGATCTGTTAGATGCGTATATGGAGTATAAACACCTGGTTAAGCAGCTTAATCTCAGTCCGTCCTCCCCCCCTCCTTGTCCCCCCCACCCCTTCCCCTTAACTAACCCCGACGCAGTGCTCGAAACCCCCCACCTCTACGCCGAAACCCAGTTACTCGACGAGTCCCGAGAGGAGATCAAGCCGATCCGCCTGCAACTGTCAGAACTCGACGACGCGAAAACCTACTGCCGCCAGCAGATGCTGCGCATAGTCAAGGAGGTCGATAATATTGCCAAAAACCCCGAGCTCGCGTGCGACGAGGAACACCTCCCGCCGTTCATGAGCGCGGAGCTGTTTAAGGCTATGATGCCTGTGTTGAGGCATGGGGGGATGGATGGGGGGCTTGGTGGGCATATGAGGATTGGGGGGAGTGGGAGGAGTGGGAGGAGTAGTAGGGGGAGTGGGGTGGAGGGACGGTTGGGGAAGCGTGATGACGACGGGGAGGAGGAGGGAGTGCTGGTTGCCGCTAGCTCGAGGGGGTATGAAGAGTACTCGGATGGGGACGGCGAGGGGAGGGCATTAACGGAGGTGGGGCACGAGCAGGAGCATGGGCAGGAGCACGAGCAGGAGGAGGAATTATAGAGGAGGACAGACTGTCAAGCAGTCAGACGGGTAGGCTTCTGTGAGTGATGCACCATGATGGGATATATAGAATCAAACCAGGAAATGTACATACGCACGCTCTCTCTCTTTTTCATCTCTTCTTTTCATCTAGATTGATGCAGAATGCGGGGAATATTGACGGTCCAATACAAGAGTCCTGCATCACACAATGGAGACGGGAGAGTGAGCTCCTCGGCGCCGGTTTTTGTCGTTTTCATGCGACTTCGTCTCGGCGCCGAGACGACCACCTAAAGACCGAAAAGTCTGTGCTCGAGTAGATAACTACAACGGCATTTCGACGTGGGATGGCTAAGTACACAAACACACTACACACTAGGTACCGCAGTGGGTGCATACGGTAGGTACACGCTCACCGCAAAGCGAGCATGTGCTCCCGCCTCCATACGCCACATAGGTACACGGTTGCTATGCGGTGGGGTGGGTGGTCCAGACCTCACTCCGTTCTTTTCTTTCTTTTCTTGGGAGCGGCCTGGTCGCCGCTGCCGGGCTGTGCTGGATGGCAGTTGGGGCTGGGGTTGGGGTTGGGGTTGGACCGTTGGTGGTGGCAAGTGGCAAGCGGCAAGCCACCAGAGAGCTCCATGTTCGGCTGCGCAGAAGGGCATCTAGTGCGTGAGCCAGCGGGGTGTCGTTGATGCCCTTACCCGGCCTTTCGCCTGTCAGCGCCGCAAGCCGTAGTTGGGACCAAGTGAAGAGTGAAGAGTCAAGACCTCGCTGCCGTATGTAGAGTACTCTACAGACGGTTCGTTGCCATGTCGCTGCCTCTGCCTACCAAATCAAAGAGACGGGCACGCCTGATCGGTTCCTCGACCGCTTCTTCCATCGTGGAGATTCCCCTTCCCACGTCCGTCCACTGTCTTTACTTAATCCAGCCCACGTGGCCGTCCGTTGGATCGCAGTTCTCGAAGAGGAGGTCTGCGCAAGACAGAATGGCGCTTAGTTTTCTACATGGCTGACTCACAGAGCACTTCTTCTTTGAAGAGGAGGTCGGCAAGAGAGAATGGCGCTTAACTAGGGCTACCCCACGCCTCACGGGTGACGGAGCAGATATCCGAGTGAGTGAGTGAGCGCTCGGAAACGTGGTTGTTGGTGCGAGTGCGAGTGACTGCCCGGTGCCCGGGTACCTGTGCTACGGGAGCTTGGAAGGAGCGCACTGGGTCCAAGACTCGATACGAGGCCAGAGATGCCAGAGATTGTCGGTGGATAGATGTTTCTTTTCTTTGGACACGAAGACATAACGTTTTTGCACCACAGGCCGGGGGGGCGGGATGAGCATCCGCCGATCCCAACGATCGCCGGCAACGAGGCTGGCCGCCGCTTCGGCGACTCTCAACCCTCCGAGATGAACGGTGCAGCCGGCACAGGGGAAGAGTACGTCAGCGGCGACAGGGATCGTTCTGGCGTATCAAAGTCTGTGTGTTTCTGGTGTTTCTGGCGTTTCGGACCCGGTGTGGGGTAAACGATCTGGAAAGACGAGGGCTGCGGGAGGGCGGAGGGCAGAAAGATGGCTGTGAGTCACGGGCTGCGATCCGCGGGCCTTTCCACACGGACTGGCGGCCCAGCGCCGGTGCTAGTTATAGTTCTTTCCGCCGAGCCGGCCGGAGTGGCCCCAACCCGCCCGCTCTCCCAACAGTCTCCGCTGTCTAGCACCAACCGTCCGTGAAGTCCAAGTCGCGATCGCGGTGCGCCATACGCGATCCAGGGCCACCGCTAAGCAATCACTCTAAAAAAAATAGATACCCAATTGCCACTCCTGATTGGCTCGCTTAGTGCCCCAAGTGCGAACGCTTTTTTTTCTCCCACTTCCCACTCCGAGCAGCGAGGAACAAGCCGTCAAACTGAAAAGAAGGGAAGGAAGAAAGAAAGCGGACGGAAAAAACTTGGAGGGGGACCAGAAGAAAGAGTCACACAAGATACCAAGAGCGGAAAGCCCGCGGCGACTATCTATACCCTCTCTCCGTCCCGCTTCTCTCCCTCCTCCTCCTCCTCTTCTTCTTCACTCACAACGATATACCACTGTCCTCCCCCTCCCCCCCACATCCCCCCCTCCAGTACCCCACACACCTCTCCCATCACCTCAGCTCCGAAAAATTAAAAAGACCACCCCCCACGTGGACTCATCTGGGGCTCAACCTTTCGGTCACCTCCGTCCTTCGTGACCCTCTCCTCCTCCTCCTCGTTGCTCAATCTACCTCTCCTATAGCGTCCGTAGTCCTACCTTTCGCCCGCAATGGCTTCGTCTCTTCCCCGCCGGTTCGCCCTCTCCTCCTCCTCCCTCAGACCGGCCCGGACACTACTGCCGTCGTCTTCCACACAGTCCTCGAGGGCTCTGTCATCGCTGTCGAGGCTGCTTCCCCGGGCACAGAGCAGTAATGCCGCTTCGAAAACTGTAGGCCAGACCTCCGCGAGGTGGGCGGCCATCCAGCAGGCACGAACATTCACCTCGTCGAGGAAGTTGTTCGCCGACGAGGCCCCCTCGACCAAGGCCTACATCGCCTCGAACGCGATTGCCCGTGTCCAGGACCTGGTGGATGTCAACAAAGTGTTGGTCATCGGTAGTGGCGGCTTGAGCATTGGACAGGCGGGAGAGTTTGACTACTCTGGTACGGACCACTCGATTCTCCCTCATTGCTGGCTCAACTGCTGACGGTGGTGACGAATAGGCTCGCAGGCTATCAAGGCACTCAAGGAGGCCGGCAAGAAGTCGATCCTCATCAACCCAAATATCGCGACCATCCAGACGTCGCATTTCTTGGCCGATGAGGTTTACTTCCTGCCCGTCACCCCGGAATACGTCACGCACATCATTGAGCGGGAAAGGCCAGACGGTATCCTGCTCACCTTCGGAGGACAGACCGCTCTGAACGTTGGTGTCCAGATGGACAAGATGGGTATCTTTGACCGTTACGGAGTCAAGGTGCTAGGAACCCCAATCAAGACTCTGGAGACCAGTGAGGATCGTGACCTGTTCGCGAAGGCTCTGCACGGTATGGCGCCTCCCTAGAATCGGTGATGAGCTTGAGACTGACATGCTGTGCAGAGATTGATATCCCGATCGCTGAGTCCATCGCTGTCAACACTGTCGACGAGGCATTAAAGGCCGCCGAGACGATCGGATACCCTCTCATTATCCGTTCCGCCTACGCCCTCGGAGGTCTGGGATCTGGATTCGCCAATAACCCCCAGGAGCTCCACGATCTGTCGGCCCGCTCGCTCTCGCTGTCGCCCCAGATCCTGGTTGAGAAATCGCTCAAGGGCTGGAAGGAGGTCGAGTACGAGGTTGTCCGTGACGCCATGAACAACTGCATCACCGTCTGCAACATGGAGAACTTTGACCCTCTCGGTGTTCACACCGGTGACTCCATCGTCGTTGCGCCTTCGCAGACGCTGAGTGACGAGGAGTACCACATGCTCCGGTCCGCCGCCATCAAGATCGTCAGGCACTTGGGTGTCGTCGGAGAGTGCAACGTTCAGTACGCGCTCCAGCCCGACGGACTCGACTACAGGGTCATCGAGGTCAACGCTCGTCTCTCGCGATCGTCCGCCCTGGCTTCCAAGGCCACCGGATACCCGCTCGCCTACACCGCGGCCAAGATCGCTCTCGGACACACTCTGCCTGAGCTGCCCAACGCCGTCACCAAGACCACCACTGCCAACTTTGAGCCTTCGCTCGACTACATCGTCACCAAGATTCCCAGGTGGGATCTGAGCAAGTTCCAGAACGTCAACCGCGACATCGGCTCTTCGATGAAGTCGGTCGGTGAAGTCATGGCTATTGGACGTACCTTCGAGGAGTCCATCCAGAAAGCCATCCGTCAGGTTGACCCTCAGTACCTTGGATTCCAGGGTGCTCACTTCGAGGACTTGGATGAGGTTCTCAAGAACCCCACCGACCGCCGATGGCTCGCCGTTGGTCAGGCCATGTTGCACGAGGGCTACAGCGTCGACAAGATCCACGACATCAGCAAGATCGATAAGTGGTTCCTGTACAAGCTCGAGAACATCGTCGAGATGTACAAGAAGCTCCAGGACATCGGATCGCTCTTCGGCATCAACAGCGAGCTCCTGATGCAGGCCAAGAAGATGGGGTTCTCCGACAAGCAGGTCGCCATCAGCGTGGGCTGCACCGAAGATGAGGTTCGCGCCAGGCGTAAGTCGTTCGGAATTCACCCCTGGGTCAAGAGGATCGACACCCTCGCCGCCGAGTTCCCCGCCGAGACCAACTACCTCTACACCACCTACAATGCCACCGAGCACGACGTCAAGTTCGAGGACAACGGAGTTGTCATTCTCGGATCTGGAGTCTACCGTATCGGATCGTCTGTCGAGTTCGATTGGTGTGCCGTTTCTTGCACTCTCGCCCTCAGGGAGATGGGTGTCAAGACCGTCATGATCAACTACAACCCCGAGACCTACTCGACCGATTTCGACACCGCCGACAGGCTGTACTTCGAGGAGCTCAGCTACGAGCGTGTCATGGATATCTACGAGCTCGAGAACTCTACCGGTGTTGTCGTGTCCGTCGGAGGACAGCTTCCTCAGAACATCGCCCTCAAGCTCAAGAACAAGGGCGCCAAGGTTCTGGGAACTGACCCCGAGGACATCGACCGTGCTGAGGACAGACACAAGTTCTCCAAGATCTTGGACAGCATTGGTGTCGACCAGCCCGCCTGGAACGAGTTGAAGTCGGTTGATGAGGCCCGTGTCTTCGCCGACAAGGTCGGATACCCCGTCCTCGTTCGTCCCTCGTACGTGCTGTCCGGTGCCGCCATGAGCGTCATCCGCAGCGAGTCGGAGCTCGAGGCGAAGCTCAACAACGCCTCGAGCGTGTCCCCCGAGCACCCCGTCGTCATCACCAAGTTCATCGATGGTGCCATGGAGATCGACGTCGACGCCGTTGCCTCCAAGGGTAACCTGATCATCCACGCCGTTTCGGAGCACATTGAGAACGCCGGTGTCCACTCCGGTGACGCTACCCTGGTCCTTCCCCCCGTCACTCTTGACGACAGCATCATGGCCCGTGTCAAGGAGATCGCCGAGAAGGTCGCCAAGGCATGGAAGATCACTGGTCCCTTCAACATGCAGATCATCAAGGAGGAACTGGAGGACGGCAGCTTTGCGCTCAAGGTCATCGAGTGTAACCTCCGTGCCTCGCGTTCGTTCCCCTTCGTCTCCAAGGTCCTCGGAACCAACTTCATCGATGTCGCCACCAAGGCTCTCGTCGACAAGCAGGTGCCTGAGCCCACCGATCTGATGAAGGTGCCCCGCGACTACCTGGCGACCAAGGTTGCCCAATTCTCGTGGACTCGTCTTGCCGGTGCCGACCCCTTCTTGGGCGTCGAGATGTCGTCGACCGGAGAGGTTGCCTGCTTCGGAAAGGACCTGGTCGAGGCCTACTGGGCGTCGATCCAGTCGACCATGAACTTCAAGGTTCCCCAGCCCGGCTCGGGTATCCTTGTTGGCGGTAACACCAAGAAGCCCGAGATTAAGAAGATCGTCGAGTACCTTGCGCCCATGGGCTACAAGATCTTTGCCACCACAAGTACCACCGCCAACGAGCTCAAGGCCTTGGTCAGCGGCGTCGAGGTCACTGTCATCGAGTTCCCCAAGACCGACAAGCGCAAGCTCCGTGAGGTCTTTGAGAAGTACGACATCAAGGGTGTGTTCAACCTGGCGGATAAGAGGGCTGAGGACATGCTGGACGTGGACTACGTCATGCGCCGCAACGCCGTTGACTTCAACGTTCCCCTCTTCATGGAGCCCAAGGTATGTGATTCCGACCCCGGATGAGTGGGAACAATGCTGACGATGATATAGACTGCTGTGCTGTTTGCCCAGTGCTTGAGCGAGAAGCTGCCGTTGGGTGAAGGTATCCCCGCCGAGGTCCAGAGGTGGTCCGAGTTCATTGGCGGAAAGCCTTTGTAAAGGGTCAGTTAGGGACGGTTTGGGGGATTGATTGGGGATTTGAAAGGCGTGTTGGGGGTTCGGGATAGATGCATTTCTTTTTCTTTTCTTTTTCTTTTTCATATCCTCATGTAAGGTATTGGCTGGTTGTTTCTTTTCTCTTTCCTATTTTGGTTTTTTCTCTGCGATTATACTCTAGGGTGACGACTTTTTCGCGGGGTTCTGTTGTTTCCTATTTCCTCTTCCTTTTTTTTTCTCTTCTTCTTTGTGTATAAAGTAGTAGTTGGTGGATTGTGGTCGTGGTGGTGGTGTAGTGCAGGCAAAATATCTCTTCTTTTGGTTCGGAAGTTGAGTGACATGGCTTGATGATTGATGATTGATATAATTGCGAAGAGAAGAAAAGAAACCCCGATTTTTTGGCCCACTAAAGGAGCTACATTCAACGATTACCACCCGTGGATCGCAAACAGGCAAACAGGCAAACAAAGGCACCCGATAAACATCAACATGAACATATAACGAAACCTCCAAAGGAGCAGACATAATTATCATACAGCCGCGCCCCCATCAACCGCACTTATCACTCATCATCCTCCAGCTCATTCACCACCGCCTGCACCTCCGCAATGAGTTTCCTGATGTCCGGTCTCTCCGCAGGCTCGATTTTGAGACACATCCGTACCAAATTCTTGACCGACTCGCTGACGTCCTTCTCGCCGACCTTCCTGCCGCCCAACCTTCCCGGCTGCGGGAACGAGTAACTGCCAGAACAAATCGCAAGGGCCAGACTACCACCACTCTCCTCAGTGGCGAGCTCAAACGGCGAGTGTCCATAGAGTGCGCAGAACAGCGTGCATCCCAGACTCCAAATATCGACCTTCTCGTCTATGACGGAGCCGGTCTTGACATCGAACAGCTCTGGCGCGCGGTACGGCATGGTGCTAGTCTCGGCGGCATTGTCTTGCACGGCGAGCGCCATCGTGCGTGACGTGATGTGGAGGGGAGATGCGCTCAGGCTGCCGAAATCCATCACCACTGGCGTCACCCCGTCGTCGCTGATCATTATGTTCCCCGGCTTGAGGTCGCGGTGCGCGAATGCCCGTGGTGTGCCCGCCGCCTCCGGAGGCGCCCGCCCGCCCATCAGCGGCGCGGAAGAGTTGCCCGACTGCTCCTCCCCCTCCCCCGCTCCCTCCCCCGCCCCCGCACCCCCCTCCCCCGCCGGCCCGGAAACAGTATGCTCATGCAGTGCGCGCACGCCCTCACACACGCCGAGAAACAGCCTCACCAACATCCTCTCCGGAAAATTGGTATGATTAACCAAATTCGCGTTTACCGCATCCTGCAGATTACCCCTCCGATAATACGGCAAGAGTATATAGACCGTTTTCTCCGCCTGATCTCCCTCGCCATCGCTTCCCACGACCGTTGCGCCCCCCCTCCCACTCGACGTGACTACAGCGTAGTCCACGCTCGCGATAAGGTTCGGATGCGAGAACTGCCGGTAGCTCTCTGCTTCGCGCACGGCGAGCGAGACGGACTCGCGCCCGAACGGACATCGGATCTTTTTCAAAGCGTAGATTGAGCCCGAGGATGTGCTGCGCACCAGGTACACGTACGAGAACCCGCCCTCCCCGAGGAGCGAGAGGATCTTGAAGGTCCGCGCGTTGATTGTGAGGTTCGGGCTCGAGGGGAAACAGGAGATGCAGGTTGTCAAAGAGTAGAGCAGGTCTAGGAGGTATTGCGCCATTGTTGCGGTTGCTGCTGCGAAGGGAGGGGCGGGGGCGCGGCGATGGGCGGTGGGGTGCGAGTGTGGTTCGTTGGTTGTGCGTCGTTGGGTTGGGGAGCTGTGCAGAGTGTCCGGCAGCTCCTGGCTGATGAGGCTGAGCTGTCTGTCTGACTATCGGACGCGGGTAAACGGTCGCCGGAGAAGTGGATGTTTGCCATGAGATTGGGTAGGTGAGTTTGCAGACATCAAGGTCGCTTAGCTCAGTTGGTTAGAGCGTGGTGCTAATACAACAAGTATGCAACGCCAAGGTCACAGGTTCGACCCCTGTAGTGATCATTTTTATTTTGTTCTGGTGGCGCCGGTGGTAGGTGGTGGGTGTGCTGCCTCGAGGACAATGGGCCGGTTCAGCGACTGGTTTTTTGTTTCATTTACCTTTCATGTGTTAAACCTGAATGGCCGTCGTTCGTATCCAGCTCGTGGTCACTGGTGATACAGACTCAATCAATCTACGGCTGAAATCGGCTTGTGAAACCTGCACAAACACGCTAAACCCCATTCTTTCAGGCTGAGCGGCAATACAAGGCCAGGCGAAGCTCCCATGGATTTCGATATGTGGCATCTTTTGCGACCTCGAATCCGCACCACCACCCGCGAGCACTCCTCGTGAGAAACATCCAGCCAAACAACTCGATCACCAGACTGCCCACCGATATAAACCACCCGCACCTAACCTTCTTCCACCATGGCGAGCAGATCACGCTTGACCCGCTTCGACGCGTTCAGCAAGACGGTCGAGGATGCGCGGATACGCACCACCAGCGGCGGCCTGGTCACCCTCGCGTCCGTCATCATGGTGCTGTTCCTCGTCGTCGGCGAGATCAGGGACTACCGCAGCGTGCAGGTGCATCCCGAGCTGGTCGTCGACAAGAGTCGGGGCGAGGTATGTAAACACCTATGCTGCTGCGCGCACAGACCCGCTGGCTGGTGGGGTGCTGACTGACCGACTGTGGGTAGCAATTGCCGATCAACCTCAACATCACCTTCCCCGACATTCCGTGCAACCTCCTGACGCTCGACGTCATGGACGTGTCGGGCGAGCAGCAGACGGGGATCACGCACGGCGTGCACCTGACGCGGCTGACCGCGCACCCGGAGTCGCGGCCGCTGTCGACGGAGCAGCTCGACCTGCACGGGGACGTGGCTTCGCACCTCGACCCGTCGTACTGTGGCGAATGCTACGGCGCGAAGCCGGCGGGCGAGAAGCAATGCTGCAACACATGCGAGGAGGTACGGGAGGCGTACGCGGCGAAGGAGTGGGCGTTCGGCGACGGATCGGGGGTGGAGCAATGCGAGCGGGAGCACTACTCAGAGCACATCCGCGCAATGCGCGACGAGGGCTGCAACGTCGCCGGCCACCTCAGCGTCAATAAGGTCGTGGGCAACTTCCACTTCGCGCCCGGAAAGAGCTTCTCCACCCCGCAGATGCACGTGCACGACCTGCAGCAGTTCTTTGCCTCCCCGAAGGAACACACGTTCTCGCATGTCATCCACGCGCTCAGCTTCGGCCCCGAACTCCCCGTCGGCAACGTCGACCCAAACCCCCTCGATAAGACGAGCCACTTCACAACCGAGCGCAGCTTCAACTACATGTACTTCATCAAGGTGGTGTCGACGTCGTTCCTGCCGCTGGGCGTGCAGCCGGGCCAGCCGGGCGCCATCGAAACACACCAGTACTCGGTGACCAGCCACAAGCGCAGTCTCAGCGGCGGCAGCGATAAGGAGCACCCCGACACGCTGCATGCCCGTGGAGGCATCCCAGGCGTCTTCTTCAGCTACGATATCTCCCCCATGAAGGTCGTCAATCGCGAGGTGCGCGAGCGCACGTTCCTCGGATTGTTGACCGGGATATGTGCAATCATCGGTGGTACCCTCACGGTAGCGACGCTCGTGGATAGGACACTGTATGAGGGCGGCATGAGGATACGGAAGATGCATCAGGGATAGGAGGGATAGGCAGTGGGCTTCGTCTTGTTTGATTTGCAACGGGTTTGCAGGGTGGGGGAATTGGTAGATGTGATTTGTGTTTTCTGTTACCCATTTGTGTGTTTGCTTGCTTGCTTGCTTGCTGTTTCCTTGGGCGTATTTATCGTGTGTGCTTTTGTGCTCGCGGGCTTGTGGGTTGTGGGTTGTGGGCAGGGCAGCCTCCTTGCAATGGAAGGTTGAGGTTTGATACCATTTTACTCTTAGGTACTCTTGAGTGAAGGCGGGTTGAGTTGTTCAGTAGGAGTTGCAGGAATGAAAAGTAGTAGAGCCAACTCATTCCACAATCGAGCTCGAACAATGTGGACTTCCAAGCAGCGACCTACTTCAGAAGAAGAAGAATGGGTTCTTGAGTGCCAATAGCAGCCCACACGTCATCACTCGCTATCAAATATCCACAGAAAAAAACGAACAGCCCCTCCCAGTTGCTTCAATTGGATATCTAATCCACTACTACTCCTCCCGTCTCCTCCTCGGCCGCAACACCTCTCCCATCCTCACGCGACCTCATCACAACCACCACCGTATTGAAAACGTGCCAGCCAGCCGACCAGCGGACCCCCCAGCAGATGTACCCCGCGAGCAAGCGCGAGTTCGCCATCGCGCCGCCGATGTGATGGGTTTATGTCTCACTCACGATCATGGCTGAGTGGTAGGTGGGCGTTGTGGACGAGAGGCGACTATCTACCGTGAGGTGGACTGCCGCCCAGTATATGCAATGTAGTATGTATCTTGATGAATCTGTAATTACCCCTGATGTTTATGCACCGTCCCAATGCCATCCCCTCCTTCCCATCCCTCACCCTCCTCCCATCTATACACCCCCCCCCCCCCCCTTCCCTCCCCTCCCCTCTACCCGACCCTAACCCCCTCCACCCCCCTCCTTACACCCATCGCCCAACTCGCGCACCCGGGATTCCTCACGATAAAATCAACGACCCTCTCCCTGCCCCACGCGGGTGTCTCCGTGCCCTCCAGGACCGCCCTCAGCACGCCCGCAAGCTCTGCCTTCTGCAGCGGCGAGACCTTCGCCTTCAGCACGCGGTCGCGGAGCAAGCCCATCTCCTTCCGCTTCGCGTCCTCGCCCGCGGCCGCGAATAGCTGCTCGATAAGCGGCGCAAAGTCATCTTCCCCCGAGACAGAAGAGACGGCTGGCAGCGGCGAGCCGCTGCGGCTGAGAAGTGCCGGCGGAAGGTCGTTCCAGTGTGATTCGATCGTGCCGGTTTGGTGGGAGCGCGCGGCGGTGCTGGGGGTCAGCGTACCGTCCTTCGGCGGCGGAGTGGGTGGCAGTGGTGGTGCCGGCAGAGGGATCGTGGGCGGTGGGAACGGCGTCTTGACGTTTGTTGGGGGCGAGGGGAGCGGGATGGTCGGCGGCGGGAGCGGCGGGAGCTCTTTCTTCAGCGAGGAGGTGAGGGATGGCATGTTCTTTTCGTGGTCGTGGGGTGGTCGTGGGATGGTCGTGGGATGGTCGTGAAGTGAAGTGGTGAGGGAGGGTGAGGTGAAGTGGTGAAGGGGGGTGAGGTGTTAAGAAAGAAGGGAGCTGGGAGAAAAGGTATGGGAGCTTGCTTAATGGCTGGCTGGCTGCTCGCCTCTCAGACCCTGTCGATCGAGTCCGTAAATAGATGGTCGGTAAGTACTACCAGTAACCAAGTAGTAAGTAGGGACCACATGCAGGCTCCACCGCTTCGCAGCTCCCTCCAGAACACCGCTCGCTCTCACGCATGATCACTCACCGGCGACCAAAAGTCTTCAGGCGACGGTTGACAGAACTCCCCCCGGATTGCATTGCGAAGGTGCATCCAAGTAACGCAGTAAACTCCACTGGGAAAAGAAACGGCAACGAAAAGCCAAAGAAAATCGTCACCTTCCTTCCTTCCATCCTTCCTTCCATCCTATCTCCTCGTAACTACACGCAGAAATCACAACCTCACGACGCACGTTGAACTGCAGCAAGCACGCACACACACATACCGTAGGTACCCAGTAAGTAGCAGCAGGACGCAAGCATATAAAGCACAGTCGAAAAAAAAATGATCTGATCTGACGAGAACGAACAATGAACCCCCCCATCCCCTTACAAAAGAAAAAAAGCAAAGAAAAAAGAATAAAACGGAGAAAAAACGGAGAAAAAGAAGATGAAGAAAGGAAAACAGAAGGAAGGGAAGGAAAAAAACAAGATTCGCGCAACCAAGGAAAAAGAGAAGCAAGCAAGCACGTACTAACTTACGTAAGTAAATCAGCACTCACTTAAGCCCCCGTCAAGCCAAAACCTCCCATAGATCCTCTCGCAATCATCATTCCCCGCGAGAAAAGGAAAAAAAAGCCATTATTCTACACCTTGCCCATTGAAATTGTCATGCCTTCACACCAGAGATATCCGTTTCCCCTTATCGTAGCCTTTCCGTCACATCCTTCACCAGCTTTTCGTGCGTACAGAGAGAAAGAAAAAAAACAGAAAAGAAAAGACAAAAGATATCGATGTGTCATTCAGAAAGCTACGCCTCAACCTCTTCCTCGGTCTCAGCCTCAGCCGCCTTAGAGTCGGTAGCAGCAGTGGCAGTTTCGCCCTCCTCCTTGTCGGTAGAGGCGGCGGCAGCAGCAGGTGCGTCTTTCATGGTGACTTCAGTGAGGACGAGAGTCTCTCCCTTGCGCTCAACCACCTCAACGCCAGCCTCAGGAGCGTCAGCAGCTTCCGCAGGGAGTCCGGCCTTCTCAGCCTCTGTCACCTCCTCCTTCTCAGTCTTGGTCTCCTCGGCCTCAGCCTCAGCCTCCCCGTTGACGCCATTCTCTTTCACCTCCTCATCTTCCTTAGCAGACTCATCGGCCTTACTCGGCTCCTCAGCCTTAGCGGGCTTGTCGGCGTTGCGGATAGTCTCTACCCACTTCGCATGGAGCGGCTCGGATCTCGCCTTGAAGGTATAGGTCTCCTCGAGGGGAATCGCGAAATCAACATTCATGATTCCACGAAGTACCTTGTGAATCTTGGTGGACTGTGAAATAATTAGCTTCCACTCATTATCCCGCAAAGTGGAGAAATATACCTTGATAAGATCGGCAGGCATGTCATCCCACTCCTCCAGAGACGTGAGCCACTTCGACAGCTCGGCCATTTCCTAGTCTTGTCAGCGACTGTCAAAGCATCGGGAAAGCAATCTGCATACCTCTTCCATAGGAGGCGTCTTGTCCTTGTTCAAGAACGCCTTCTGAAGCTTGTGCCGTCGGTGAAGGATGTACTTGTGCTGGTCCTCGGCGGAGAGGGTCCTGGGATCAGTTGAGGACTGCTCTTCCGACTTCTCGGTCTCGCTCTCCTCTGATTCGACGACCTCCTTGCTCTTCGCAGCAGCGGCCTTCTTCTTCGCAGGCGCAGCCTTCTTCTTGGAAGCAGTCGCCGGAGGAGATGCCTTGTCCTTGGGTGCAGCAGCACTCTTCTTTGCCGACGCTTTGACGCCATTTGCGGGAGTTTTGGGGGTCTTCGCCTTAGCTGGAGTAGGAGTAACTTTCTTCGCCGGGGTCTTGCTGGTAGCAGCGGTTTTCGGAGTCTTCGCCTTGGAAGCAGCGGCCTTCTTCGGTGTCTTGGCCGGCTTCTCAGACTCTGCCTCGTCGTCACTAGCGGACTCGGACTTCTTGCGCTTCTTGCCGCGAGCAGCCTTCTTCTTCTTGGGCTTCTCGTCGCCACTGGCCTCCTCATCCTCGTCTACCTCCATCTCATCTTCTTCTGGTGATGGCTCAGCGACCTCAACGTCCTCGTCCTTCGCCTCCTCTTCCTCGTCGACGTCCATGACCTCCTCCTGAAGACCCTTCACGTCGTCGAGAGAGAAACCTTGAGCAGCCTCGGAGAAGGCTTCATTGAGCTTCTTCGCCTTCTTGGAGGCCGCACCACGCTCAATTTTCTCGGTAGACAGAGGCTCGAGATCACTGGCGGCAATCCAGGAGCTGTTATGAAACGCGCTTGTCAGCCAACCCAAGAACAAAAAACAGGGATGATAGCCAAACCAGCCATTTCCTCGATATGAAGGTGATGTGGTTTTTTTTCTTTTGAGGATCAAAGCGCAGGAGGGTGTGCGGAGGCGAAAACCAGTCAAAACTCAGGGGGGAAAAGCAACCATCCACGCCCACAATTTTAAGAGCACATTCCTCGCACTCTCGCATGATGCCATAAAAACGGGCAAAGACGGAGGTCCGGAATTTTGACTCCGCTTCCAAAAATGAGGCCGGTGATGGTTTGGTACAGGAAGAAACACAAGCAGGATGAAAGAAAAACTCACTATTCATATGTTCCCATGTAGAAAATCGGGTATTGAGTAGTCCAGGCAGCGTCTCCGAGTGACTCCAGCGACTTCGCGTTTCCAGCAGTCGGCTTGACAGCCATGATCTCCGGAAGGAGTTCCTTGCTGAGGATGATCGCTGGCCACGGGGGAAAACTGCGCATCTTTGCCAGTACGTATTGGCCAATCTCGTACTTGGTATCGGCAGCAGCAGGGCCGCCTGTCGACTTCCGCCTGAGATTGGCGAGCGACTTTTTCTTCCCGATCGACTTCAGGGCCCCTTTCTTCTTCTTCGAAGCGGGAGTAGCAGCCGGCTTCTCAGTCTCGGTGGCGACAGCGACATCGGCATCGGCAGGCGTCTCGTCCGCAGCCTCCTTGGTCGCGTCATTCTCATCTCCATTGGTCTTGCTCTCCTCAACGGTCTCTTCCTCATTCGCCTTCTCCTCGACCGGAGCATCCTTCTTCTCTCCGACAGACTTGCTCGCGTCGTCATCGCCAGCGGGCTCAACAGAAGACGCGACCGCGTTATCTTCCGGGGCTGCCTCAACAGACTGCGCAGGCACCGCGTCGGGCGACTTTCTCGTGGTCGCGTCTTCAGCTGCCATTGGGAATGGTTGTGAGGGTGGGAAGAAGAGGGTTTTTTTTCCTTCCGCTGCTTTCGTTCGGTCGCGATTGGAACACGCGCTACCAATCAGACCCGATTCCTTTCGCGGGCGACGGTCGGGTTCGGTGGGGATTGAAGAGGTGGTGTGACGCGGGCAGCTGCGATGAGGTTGGAGAGAGGAGGGTGGTGAGTGTGAGAGGAAGATAGGAAGAGGATGGTGGTGATGATGTGTGGTGTTGTTGTGGGGTGGTTGGGATGACTTGACTTGGACACGGAGTGAGGGAAGGGATAGGTGGATTGGGCTTGGGTTTTGGTTGGGTGAGAGAATAGGAAGGAAGGTAGGGGATGGGGTTGGTTGGTAGTGGTGCTGGGAGTTGTGAGTGGTGATGAAGGAGTTCGCGGAAAGAAAGTTGTGTTGCAACGGGAGTTTGGCTGGTCACTAGGCAGAGTGAGGGCGATCGAGAAGACAGCAGGCGACGGTGTGGTAGTGTGGCAGTGAAAAAGAAGGGGGCAGAAAAGGAGATGGAGACGCTCGGAAAGAGCAAACAAAGTGTCACAGAAACTTTTCGTCTTCTCTCTCTCATCCTTTCTATCTGTCTCTTCATCAATCCTACTACGGTCATCCTTCACTTTCGACCCTCACAATCAACTGTATCGTGAGCCAACCGCCACCATTTGCTTCCCATCGACAACATCATCACGGGATTCGCCACAGCAGGACAGGCAGAAGATCGGAGGAGTAAATATCTAACATCACCTGTGAAGCAATGTAACAATCGCTAACAAGTATCGACAGAAATCATCAACAAACAGGGGTCGATCATGCCTCATGCTTCGCGATGATCAGAACACGTTCATCGATACTAGGAGTTTCTGCCGAGAGGCCAGCCTTGGTGCAATTGTGGCCTCCCCCGTGAAAGAAGCGCACGTTACACACATGAGCGAGCATGATCTTGACTTGGATCACAGTGCGATAGGCAGATGAATGTGTCGTATGTATTCCTCTACTCTAGAGGACACAGGCTGCCAGCCGTACGACGATACATACGCGGTAGTTACACCCGACCCACACACAGAATACTCATTAGACATATCCACCCGATGCATGAGAAGAGAGGACCGGCTATAGCCTGAAGGCTACATGCCGTATTATGCGAAGAAGAGAAGAAAACAACAACAGAAAGCAAGTACACGCAAAATACACAAGCATGGTGGTTTGATATCACAATCAGCCTTACAACTACAATACCCCCGCCATGCCTTACAATTCCTCCCCAGCCCGCCCCGAACACAGTAAGTCGACCACTCAAGCCCTCCTCCACCACTCCTCCTCAGGCCCAATTTTCCCATCGCCGACGGGACTCGCCGTTCCGTCCCTCGCCTCCTCGTGGTCAGGTTTATGCACGTGCAGCAGATTGAAGAACCAATCCTCGAGCGGCAGCAGATTCACCAACACGCCGTTGACATGCCAGCCGGCCACGGCAACAAAGAATCCCGCCACAGCGTCGAGCACGAAATGGTTCGCCGTGGCGAGGATCGCGATAAGGATCATGGTCGGATACGCCATTCCCGCCGCGATCAGCATTAGCCTGCGGCGGATGTTGGTGGCGCGCACGTTCGGCATCGTGGCAATCGTTAGCCCGATGATGAATGAATAGCCGAAATGGAGCGATGGCATTGCCGCTCTGGAACGTCGGTGTCAGCAGCGCGCTTGGTGGGGGATACGAAGGATGCATGCATGCTTACAGTTGCTGGCAAAACCTGTTGCTTGTCCACACACTCGCAACTTTACCGGTGTGCACGGTGTCCACGAAGCCAAACCCGTCTTCTTCTGGCAGCAGGCGCGGCGGCATACACGGCCACGACGTGAAGATCACAAACGCTATCAGGTTGCATATCGCCAGGGTCCTCCTGCGGGCCTCGAAAAGCGGCCTGGGAGCGTAGTGGTACAGACACGCAAGGAACGTGATGGTGCCGGGAATGTGGATGAACGAGTACATGCAGTTAATGATCTTTAGCAAGACCGGACGCGGCAGGAACCAGTGCTGAACATCCAGCTCGATGAAGAGCCCGAGACGCTTTTCGAGCGAGATGAGTGATAGGGCGTGAAGTCGCGCGATGGGCGTGAGGTCGGCTTGCAGCGTTAATGCTGTGAAGGCTCGCCCGATTTGGTAGGTCTGATATCGGCCTGTTAGGCTCCAATAAACCGACATAGACACAGACAGAATACGCACCCAGTACACCAACAACCAGTACCAAACCTCGACCGCGAACGGATATCTCGCAATGAACCTGCTAATCTTGGTGTCCCTCCACACAGCGGTATTCCGACACCTCACCGTCCGGCCGAACACTTTACGTTCCCGCCACTGCGGCTCCATGTTGGGCAGCAAAGACTCCGACGATGGAGAACGGTAGCCATCCTTCAGGCTAGTACTTCGCCGATTAACGTATACTCCGCCGATGAGAATCGTGGCGACGATTATCGGTTCGATGAAAGCGTCGGCACCCATCTTGGACGATATGATGGGAAGTAGGCTTGGGCAGAGATGGGTAATAGTAACTTGAACCGATAACAATGTTTATCCGAATCAACGTCCGTCTTCACAGTGCACACGGAGTCGAGAGAGAGGTGGAGAGAGCTCAAAAATCGACGGAAGCAATGGTGAGCTGTCTGACAAATATGGTGGTCCCCATCCCACCACAGCGGACCAGACGGCATCCGGCCCTTCCCCATCCCGTGGGAATTGTAAACATGTGCGGAGAGTGATGCAATAATACATTCGGCGTCGGCCGTCGGCTCGTCTTCTTTCCGATTTTTGCCAAGATATACAACACCCACATCACTCATAACCACCGTAAGTTTCCGAAATCTCTGCAGCTGTTGTGTGGTTGTGATGTGACGTGATTCGTTCGTTCGTTCGCCTTGGTGGATTGGCAAAACTTGGTTGCATCATGCCGAACGTACCGTACGTGTGGTGTCGCGTGATCCGTATAACGAACCGTATTATCACAGGATTGCCCCGCTGCACCGCTGCACTGCTGCACTGCAGAAATACGAATCATACCCACCTGCCACGGAGCCTGAGATCGCCGCCCTGCCTAAGTGATCGATATGTGTGGTTTTTGTTCTTTGTTGTGGTGGGGGGGACAGGGCGGGAGTGCAAGAGTGGGGATCTCGAGGGCATCACCGTGTTCAAGATACCCAACATGTGCACACGACACAGATGATTCTCGGAGCCCCGTCACTGCCGTCGACGTCGAAAAATATCGCTGGATTTTGCTTACATCGCTATGCTATCCTGCAGCGGGTTCGTTAACTCCGACGACAACCCTTCACTTAACGTTAACTGCATAGAGATTAGCTGTGGTGGCGGTGTCTGATTGGCACCAAGCCCGATGCTGCTAGTAGACAAGCGTAGATCCTGCATGCTGGTCCGTGCGTCCAAAAATTATTCCCAACGAACGTTACTCCGAGTAGAGCCCCACGGCCTCCCACCACCAGCAGCACCACCACAACCACGCGCGACACAATGACGACGCCGATAAAATTCAGCACACATGCGAACCTGCGGCACCGGCTGGTGCTCGCGACGCTGACGGGCACACCGCTGCACATAACTCAGATCCGCTCGAACTCGTTAACGCCCGGCCTCACACCGTCGGAATTCTCGCTCCTCCGCCTGCTGGACACGCTCACCAACGGCGCCTTCTTCGAGGTGTCCGTGACGGGAACAACCTTCCTCTACCGGCCCGGCCTGATCACCGGCAACGGCGGCAAGCCCGTGACCCACGTCCTGCCGGAGACCTGCACGCGCGGTGTCAGCTACTACCTCGAAGTGCTCGCGCTCCTCGCGCCGTTCTCGAAAGCCTCCTTCTCGGTGACCCTCACCGGCGGAGTGATCACTGCCGCAACCGAGCTCGACGCAAGCGTGGACACGTTCCGAACCGCGTACCTCCCGCTGTTCGCAAAGTTCGACATATCGCGCGGGCTGGAGCTACGGATCATCAAACGGTCGGCGGGCCCGCACGGCGCGGGCGAGGTCCAATTCGTGCATGGCCACCAGGTCCGCCTGCCAAAGACGCTGCACCTGCAGACCCCAGGCCGCGTCAAGAAGATCCGCGGCGTGGCGTACGCTATCGGCGTCTCCGCCGGGAATAACGCGCGCATGATTGAGGCCGCCCGCGGCGTGCTCAACAGGTTCATCCCCGATGTGTATGTCTTCAGCGACGTTGCGAAGCCGCAGATCGTCCCTGCGGACTATGGGAAGGAGGGCGCGGCGGAGAGGGCAGGTGGTGTGACGAAAGGCCGTGCGGGGGGGAAGACGAAGAAGGTCGGCGTCGGCTTTGGCATGAGTCTGCTGGCCGAGAGCGGGACGGGGTGTATATATTCTGCGGATGCCACCGCGGCGCCGAGTGAGCCCGCCGAAGATGTGGGCCGCAGGGTCGCGTTCATGCTGCTGGAGGAGATTGCGCTCGGTGGATGTGTGGGCCGCACAGGTGCTATGGCGGTGCTGACGATGATGATGATGGGTGTTGAGGGTGATGTGGGAAGGGTGGTCCTGGGGAAGGACCTCATTGACGACGGCTTCGTGAGCTGTCTGAGGGATATGAAGAAGGTGTTTGGTTCGGAGGTCGGAATCAGGGACGCCCAGGGTAAGGAGGGTAATGTGATCGTCAGTGTCGTCGGGAAGGGAGTGGGTAATGTGGGCAGGAAGCTGGCTTAACGCATATATCCTACATCTCTCTGCTTTATCATGTTTAGGGGGTTTGCAAAAGTTTTGTCCTCAGTACCTAATGAATGTATAGCGTTACAATATGGACGGCAAGGGAAGCCTTTGGATATGATGATCTACCCATTCATCGACAATCAAAAGAAAAGTACATGACCAACCAATCGATCCTACAGTTTTCAATTCCAGCAAAATGATCACTACAGGGGTCGAACCTGTGACCTTGGCGTTGCACATCTGATGATATTAGCACCACGCTCTAACCAACTGAGCTAAGCGACCTATACACTGTCTTTCACTCCGCGCACCTTGAGGCCCACTCCCCCTCTCTCACCAGAGAAACTTCTTCCTCTCCACCGCGCTATGCGTATACCTCCTCCCCTCCTCCTCCCTAATACTCGCCATCCCCACATCCCCATCCAGCTCTGCCATATCCCTTTCGACAACCTCACACCCCGGCCAACTCCCACTCCTCGCGCCCAACCCCGGAAACCTCCTCTTCTCCCTCCCGCGCACACTAACCAGCCTCCTAACCCTATCCACCACGCCACCAATCGCCATCCCCAGCGACCTCCTGCCCACCACCGCGGCCGTGTTCCCATTCCCGTGTCCGTTCCTAACGCTATCATTACAGCTAGTCGCATCATCACTCCACTTGGACTCCAGCGCAGCCTCGAGTTCCAGCAGCTCGCACGCGGCCACCTCCAGGTCGAGCCTTGCCATCCGCCGCACCACGCCCACGTCCAACGGCGAGAACCAACTCGGGTGCAGGTGCACCTCTGGGAACGCTGGTGACGACGCTGCGGAGAATGAGAGCGAGGTGAGAGGTGGGTTGAAGATGTCGAGTGTGGGAGGCAGGATCGCCGGCGGGAGGAGGTCGGAGAGCCGCCGCGAGGAGATGGAGGGTGTGGGCGAGGGGGGGTGAGGGTAAGGGGCGAGTGGGGAGGGAGGTGTGCGTGGTGCGGAGGGCTGCGAGCTGTACACGCTTGACGAGTCGCTGCGCGGCAGCGACGCGCTGTGGGCGCTGCGTGCGAACGGGGCGAAGCGCGGGGAGGCGAGGAGGGCCTCAAGGTCGGCGGCGGCGGCGGCACTGGTGGAGAAGGGGGAGAAGGGCTCGGGGGAGAGGGGGGGTGCGAGGGGGAGCGGTTTTTGCGGCGGGAGAGGGAAGTCGGCTGGACCAGGCCGGATGCGGTCGTTGAAAGGGCGGTGGCCGGGAACGGGGGGGATGCTGGGCGGCTCGGGTAGGGGCTGTGGGTAGTCCATTCCCATGCCGAGGACTTGTAGGTACTTGTTGGAGCGCTTGTGCTGCAGCGGACGAGGCCCGCGGGAGCCGATCGGGGAGTGTGGTCGTTGCGGACTGAATAGCGGGGATGAGTCAATGGCTGAGGGGGAGAGGAAGAGGGCTGACAGCTGGGTGGCTAGGTGTGCTGGCTGGAGGACCAGCTCGTGGCGTCCTAATGTCTGCATTGGTCAGTTCAGTGATGGAAGAGGTCGAGGACATTAGAGTTATCTACCTGGATATCTTCGACGTCAGCGGCGAAGCCTCTGTTAACAGATTTCGAACGGTACAGCCGCTGCGGTACTTCGAAGCTGACAGAAGTCGAACGATACAGCCGCGGTGGTGCTTCGTAACCGTGGGCCCGTCGAACGGCGGCCAGATTGTTTGATGAAACTGAGCTCCGTACCTTCAGCGGTGCCGGGTGTACAGACCGCCTGGAGGAGGAAGCCGTGGTGATAGTAGGATCCATTTCCCGTGAAGTGCAATTTTGGGAGTCGAGATGAAGGAAACGAATAGACGGATGAGACAATGGGGAATCAAAGAGAATTGGTCCACCATCACCGTTTTCACTTGGGATGCTGGCTGTTGTAGATACATCAGTAGGTAGAACAAAGAATGAAGGTAAATGTGGATTCCTAAGGGAGAGCACGTGCTATATCTGCTGAGCATTCCACGGGGCACCGGAAATGCCCATCTGTAGCTGTGATATCTGATGTCAGAACGGAATCGTAAAGTTCAATTCTGATATCGCGAGTGATAGCGCGTGGGGCAACGGGTGGTCCCTTCTGTGGGGTAGATTCTGCACTTGGCCCATGGAAGACAGCCCCAAAATTCTAATTCGTGCGCTAGAGACATTCTCTGGACGCTGGAATTCTCGGTACGTCCGATAACGGCGATCACTTGCGGTGGTTCGAGCATTCCTCTCCACCGTCATGGAAATACACTCGCCACTCATGAGTGGCTGAGTGGCTGGTACGATGTTTCACTCCAGTCCGTGAGTTGCTCGGGCCGGAACTCTACGCGAGGGAAGCCAGGAAAGCAGCCTATGCGGCCGATAACGAAGGCTGGGATGAACAATCTAGCCGATCTCGGCCAGCCGCCAGCGTGTCAACTGCATAACGAACATGAGACCAGCCTAAGTGCCAGACTGGCCCTATGTAGCAAGTAACAAGAACACCAGCCATAGAATTCTCCTTGTGTATGTAGATGCCCCTTCTGCCTCTTGGATAGGTACATAGCTCAGCACGCATAACTATTGATCGCCAGGGAATCGCGATAATTACCAAACTTCTTATCGTTGACTGACCTAAATAACCTACGCTGAGTACGTACTCTACATAGAGCATCCGCAGCACCATAGTACTCAGCGCAACCCCGGCAACGTGACGAATACGTACCCCGGACACCCATCATCAGCAGAGCAGAGCACCTCCGACTTGCAGTTCGGCAAGCACAAGCACAAGCTCCAACCGTCTAACGTCTCTCCTTCCCCCCCTCCCCTCCCCTCACTTCAGCGAGCGACGGAACGGAAAGCGACACAAGCGAAAGGGGAGGAACAAAGGAAAAAGAAGTCTAAGCTGACGGTACGAAACGCAGGACAGATCTACCACCACCACTACCACCGCAAATAGATTCGTCAAAAAGCGCACTTTGAACCATGTCCTACGACGACGACGAGATCATGTTGTCCTTCGAACCTCTCCCCACGACGACGACGCGCGCAACTCCTCCTGCACCGCCACCGCCACTTCCGCTATTACCGGTGGAGAAGAACGAGGAGGTCGAGTACGATGACTTTGGTTTGCCCGTTAGGAAGCGCTCGCCGTCTCCGGTTTTCGATACCGACGTCTCGGACTCCGACGACGAGCTACCTCCCCCGCCGGCGAAGGTTACCGAGCAGAAGTCGGGTGAATCGATAGAGGTGGCAAAGCCGGCGAGGGAAGACGTTTCGGTAGCTGTAGCGCCGGTGTCAGTGGAACCGGTACAGCCTCCGGCTTCGAGTGCACCGGTGGTGCCAATTGCGGAGGAAAGGAAAGCGGAGAGAGAGGTGCCCACAATCACCAAGGAGGAGCCGGAAAGCACACAATATGTCGTCCCGAAATCGAGCCATCAGCGCAACAACTCGCTCATGTCCCTTCCGGAGGAGGACCGCAAGGACAACGAAGTGCGGATGTTCTCGGAGGACCCCAAGGACCCTCACATGCCGACGGGGATGGGCACGGTGTCGGAATGGTCGCACCAGCAGATAGTGCCGCGCGGGGGTCGCGCGGAAGGCAAGGGCGACATCGTCAACGACAAAAAGAACGACTCCGAAGACGAGTGGCAGGCGATGCCGGCGTACGCGCCCTACGACATCTACGACGACGACGACCGTCTGATCGCGCGCGCGCACGTGGACTCGGAAGACGAGGAGGATAGTGGCGCGGCGAAAGGGTACACGAGGGTGTACGACGACGAAGATGCGGACTCTGTAACCAGTATGGATGAGAATACGAACTACCTTTTTAGAGAGAACGAGGACGACGAGGCGGCGAGGAACCCGCTGTCGCAGATGAAGGCGACGAAGGAGCTGTTGACCGAAGGGCAGCGCATCGCGTATGTCGGCGTGTGTAGGCTAGCACTGATAGAGATGCTGCGGGATCTGCAGCGGCTACAGGCGAAAGGGCGGGGGGCCAAGAGGAATGTTTCGCAGGCCGTGGACGGAATGATCAAATGGAGCCAGAAGATAATGGTGCGGCTGTACACGCATATGGAACTATCCCCACCTGGTACGCTTTGCCTTAGATTCTGCAGCTCTCTCCCGGGGAATCGCTTGATTGGGTATTGACTCCGTTCTTGAAGAACAAATCATGATAGAACAATTGGCCGGGCATGGCGTATTACCATCGGACCTCACGCCAGCGCTCATGCAGAATTCACGTGTCCACAATCCCATGGCAGGCGGAGCCGATACTCCTCGGCGGCAGTCGTCCATATTCTCCAACGCCAGTAGCTCCCCCAACCGCGCATCTCAAGCGTCCTTTGCGCCCGGGGCCCTGGCGGAGTATCAGGACACCGACCTCGAGACCACTAAGACGCTCTCACAGCTCCCGCAAACCAAGACGCTCGACATCGACCTGCGTTGGACGGTGCTGTGCGATCTCTTCCTGGTGTTAATCGCCGACTCGGTCTACGATGCACGTGCGCGAGTGCTTCTGGAACGTGTTGGAGTGATGTTCGATGTTTCGTGGCTGGACATATGCAAGTTCGAGAAGCGAGTGACGGACGCGCTCGAGATGCAGGAATCCACAGAGCAGCACTGGGCGGAACAGGAGCACCTGGATGCGCGGCGGAAGGCGGCTAGGAACAAGCGTTTCGTCATGCTGGGACTCGCTACCGTAGGTGGAGGCTTAGTTATCGGGCTGAGTGGAGGATTGTTGGCGCCCGTCATTGGCGCCGGATTGGCTGCTGGGTTCACTACCATCGGTGTGGTGGGAACCAGTGGATTCCTGGCGGGTGCGGGAGGCACGGCTATCATTGCTAGTGGTGCCGCTATCAGCGGGAGTGTCATCGGTGGGAGGGCGGGTTTCAATCGAATGAAGAGTGTCAGTACATTCGAGTTCAAGCCTCTGCACAACGCCAAGCGGGTGAACCTGATCATCACAGTTTCCGGGTAGGCCACTCTTCAAGCACTGATATTGATGCCAGCATGCTGACTCTTCCGCGATGCAGATGGATGAACGGCAAGATCGATGACGTTAGACTGCCCTTTTCAACGGTCGACCCGATCATGGGGGATCTCTTTTCCATTTACTGGGAACCCGAGATGCTGCAGTCTATGGGACAGACCATTAGTATCCTGGCTACAGAGGTTCGTGTTGGATCTTTCGTCCTACACGCGCGGCATATGCTAACGGTATTAGGCCCTGACCCAAACCCTTCAGCAAGTCCTCGGCTCGACCATCTTGATCTCCCTGATGGCTGCCATCCAGCTTCCAGTGGTGTTGACGAAGCTGGCCTACCTCCTCGACAACCCCTGGTCAGTATCCCTCGACCGGGCTGCCGCCGCGGGCCTGATCCTGGCGGACACGCTCGTCCACCGCAACCTGGGAGTGCGTCCCGTGACATTAGTCGGCTACTCCCTCGGCGCGCGGGTCATCTACTTCTGTCTCAAGGAGCTCGCGCGGCTCGGCGCCGCGGGGCTAGTTCAGAACGCATACATGTTCGGCTCTCCGGTGGTCGTCAAGAACGACGAGTACGTGCAGGCGGTGTCGATGGTGTCGGGCCGCTTCGTGAACGGCTACGCCACCAACGACTGGATCCTCGGGTACCTGTTCCGGGCGACCAGCGGCGGCATCGGTAGAATCGGTGGCTTAGCCGCTGTGGATATCCCCGGCGTTGAGAACGTCGACGTCACCGCAGAGGTCAACGGCCACATGGCCTATCGTGCCGCCATGCCGAAGCTGCTGAGGAAAGTGGGCTGGGAGGTCACCAGCGACGAGTTCTCGGAGATCGAAGATCCGGTGCGTCCCCTCCATCCACCCATCCATCCGCCTGTTGGGCCGGTGCTAACACCAAATAGGACCCGGAGAACCACCAGCAGCGCCAACGCGAGCTCATCAACGAGCTCGACGAAGTGCGCAAAGAGCTCGAGCGCAGCGGCGGGCAAAAGCGCAAGTGGAACTTCTTCGGCCGCAACAAAGACCCGGTCAAGAAGAAGGACTGGGAGACGTACGATGCCCATGCCGCGGCGGCGGCCGCCGCCGCAGGCACGGCAAACTCCAACTCCACTGGCACCCCGACTAACGGCGCCGATCCGAAATCAAACCCCAATCCAAACCTAAACCCCAATGTCCTCTTCGACATCGACGCCATCCGCGCTGAGATCGAGGCGAGTTCTCGCGAAGAACAGCTGCCGAAGGATATGGCGGGCGTGAAACTCGACTCGAAGCCCCCGGCGGCGGCGACGCTGGCCCCGGAATCAGCCGGGTTGCGGCATACGAAAAGCTTTGATGATCGCCCCTTCGACAGGAAGGACGCCGGCTCGCGAAGGGGGTATGGTAGTGATGTGGATGAGCGAGGGGGGGAGAAGAAGGATAGTAGTAGCAGTCGGACGGGGTATACGAATGCAAACGCAAACAATGGCGACGCCGGCGGCGGCTACGATGGATATGGCAGCGGGAAGAATGTTTGGGCGGACTACGATGAGTATGAGGACGGCGAGGGGGAGATGCAGATGACGTTTGCGTAGTTGGTGGGCTGTGGTGGGCTGTGGTGCTAAGGTGGGGGGCTGTGGGGGGCTGTGGTGGGGTGCTACGTTGGTGGGGTGTATGCGGAGTCTTATTGGTTTGTTTATTAGGTATTCTATTCAATGGGCTGCGGTTGCGGCTTCGGATTATTCGCGTTCTTGCTCTTCTTGGTACTTATACTTGCTGCTTGTGTACTGTGGGGGTGAGGGGTGAGGGGTGAGGGCGTTGTTTTGTATGCGTAATTGCAAGGAATAGACGTGGATGGACTCTATGGATCGTGCAGTAGATATTGGAGGAGAGGATGCTGTGTATAGAGATGCCAGAGAGTACTTACTTAACGTTTATAACTACCACACAACTTTTCCTGAGATCTGATATCCGGCCCGACTGTAGTACTCTTGCCAGGTGATAGGCCTCAGCTGCGAATCACTCGTGATGCAATCATTGGATAGCTGTTGCAACTTGCGGGCTGTTATTGGTTTATTGGTTCTACCTACCTTAGGTAATTACTCTCGACTTTTACAAGCACATGGAGAGTCCAAAGGGTTGTGTGGCTCGAGTGATGATTGAATGGCTGTCAAGCAGATCTTTGATCTTGGAATCACTCGTGATAGTTGAATGGCGGTTGCGGGATGCTATTGATTCTACTCGCACTCTCTACCTTTCCAAACACATGAAGGTAGGAGGGAATCTTGGAATCACTCCTGCTGCAATCATCGAATAGCTGTTGTAGTGTTGCAACTTACGTGCTGCCATTACCAATTAACTCTACCTAGCTAATTACCCACCTACTCTCGACTTCCCCAAGCACCCCAATACTCCCAAGCGCCGAATGGCACGAGTGATAGATGCCCGATCACTCGCGATGTGTGCTTTGAACTTTCGGCAAGGCACCCGTTGGTACGATTTACCGGTATTTAAAGAGGCCCGCGGTCAGAGACGATGGGAGGAAGAGGATTTGCATGCATAACTACTATGATCTGGTAAGGTTGAGTGCAATGATGATTAGACAAAGATCAAAAAAAAAAATAAGGGCCCGTTTGGATGGCACAAAAACTGAGAAAAAAAAAACTGAAACTGTGCGGCTTCGGCGATGAAACGGGAACTGACCTCTGGAGGTCTTTTCTTCACCGCCACCACTCAGTACCGCATTTTAACTTCAACCATGGACTTTCCTTACGAAATGCGGGACTACAATGTGTCTACTATTTATTAAAGCTCTTGTGAAGCCTATTTACTCAGACTCATGGCTGAGTATCTATACCGAGAACTGCCAAACACTCTGTTCACCTCAAGGCTTTGCGGAAACTGAAACTGAACAGTAGTCGGTGTCCCGGCGGGGAACTGAATTTGGCTCTAAAACTGGAACTGAAAACTGAGGCCATCCAAACGGGCCCTAAGATGTATCCATCACTATTTCAGATGCCTAGATGGACTGCACGCTATCAAAGGAATTAGGACAATGTGATGTGTGAAGGGCTACCTGCTCTCAGTGGTGCCTGGTATTCAAAACCATTACCACCATGCATGAGAGATTTCTCAGTATGCACGAGGAAGCACCACATCACCGGCATCACATCACGACCGCCACGCCACGAGTCCGACGATACCACAGCATCAATTTGAGCAAATATACTCAATTCAATTCTCTTCGATTCAATCTTAGTCTACGGCTTCAACATCACGCGAATGGGCTGGCTAGTAGGCTGGCAGGCGGGCGGGCTGATGGCGTAGCAAGGGCGGGCGGGAACTCGAAACCTGAACCTAATCTATAAATCCAATTAACAATCCATTTCAACCCAAGAAACGAAAAGTAGTAAAAAAGGATGATAAAGGTAAGGCGTCATGAAAAAATTAGAGTATGTTGCATTTTTAGTCGTCATTGTGATCGGGGTTAAAAATGTTTTAATCCTCCGCCAAGGGGGTGGGTATAGATATGGTGATGTGTGTGTGTGCATGGAGAAAAGAAATTGCACCGGATGAGGGAGGACTAACCATTTGGTTTTGCGATGGGCAGCAGATTTGATCGTTGAGGGTTAGTATCACAGAAATTCACGTTGCGGGGGCTTGTTGGTGGTTCAGCTCTGTATTGTCTTCGCAAATTTCGGACTACATAGCTGCTTGTATCGGCTGATATCGATGAGTTTAGTCAAAGAGACCACCGAAACCACCTGAGAAATGTTAGCCATCTGGCCGTTCGCACATCGAGGAGCGCAACATACCATCCTCCTCAGACTCCTCCTCCTCGGCGGCCTTCTCCTCCTCAGCAGGCTTGGAGGACTCGGCAGGGCCGGAAGCGGCGGCAACAGGGGCAGACGAGGCGTACGCATCGGGGTTGGCGATGCGGTCCTTGAGCTCCTCAATAGTATCCCAGCTGTAGTCGGTGGCCAGGGCAACAGCAACGGCCTTCTTGTAGGTGTTGACGAGCGAGTGGGCGACCGAAGGCAGGGTGGGGTAGTTGGCGGCGAGCGAGATGCAAGCGATCGCCTTGATGGCGCTCATGAAGGCCTTGATCAGGTCCTCCTCGGCGATATCGAGGACGGATGAGGCGAAGCACTGGCCGTCGTCGTAGACCTGCGAGATGGACATTCCGTAGGTGAAGGGCGAGATGTTCAACATGTTGAGCAGGGTAGCCTCGGAAGGTCCGACCTTTCCTCCGGCCTCGACAAGCTTCAAGTCGGTGGTGATCTCGATGGTACCACGGGCGATCTTGGTGGGGATACCGAGGGCCTGGAAGAAGGCGGTCTTTCCGGGCTCCATACCGGTGTTTCCGGCGGGGACGTAGACGTCGGCGGGAGCGACGGCACCGGCACGGGCAGGGGCGGCGACCTTGTTGTCGAGGATGACATCGCGAATAACCTTCAGGTCATCGTTGGTGAAGACGAAACCGACGTTACCTGCATCGCTAGTTTAGTTTTTGTCTTTCTTTATTTTTTTATATTTTCGTTCCGTAACGACGGGACCAAAGCGGTGGAACGTACCCTTGATGTGGGGAAGGAGACGCTCGTACTCGGGGAAGTCGGACATCAAGATGCGCACGGCACGACGGACCATGGTGTTCTTTCCCATGAGGACGACACCGCGGCCACGGAGAGCCTTACGGATCTCGTGCATCTGCTGGGAGGCGACCTAGAAGAGAAGAGTACTGTTAGCATTGCGATTGCCGCGGTTGCGCGCGCATGGAACTGGAGTGGAGACATGCATTGTTGACGGAGACAATGAAGATGGACTTGTAGTCTTCCAACAAGCCCTTCAGCTTGTTGAAGTACTGCTGCTTATCGGTCTTGACCCCCATTTCTTCTTGTTTGTTGAAGAGAGGATTTTTAAGGTGCAAGAGATTGGGTGTTAATGTGGGGGGTGGGTATGAATGCTGGATCGCAAAGTGAACATCGTGAGAAAGTCTCTGACCAATTTCGCTAAGCCAGCGTGCTAGTGTGTGGGTGTGGGCGGCTCTGCGGGAGCGGACTGCGTAGGGCAACGCCCTTCAGAGCAGGTCTCTAACCGGCCCGGTGTGGCTCGCCATCGACACATCGCTTATCAGATGTGGCTGTGCTGCTACACCGCCACAGCACGTCGATGACTCAGCGACATGCGGCTGAGACGGATTCCGTTGCGACATGCAGCATAGCGTGGCCAGTGGCCACACCCACCCACGCAGCGCCCACCCACCCACCCCGCTTAGCGCCAGGCAAGCTGCTTCGTCCCTACCTAGTCCCCTGACCTGCCTAACAGTAAACTACCTAGCTGCCGACTTCAAGTTGGCAACGGCCAAGCAATCTTGAACGGACTTCACGTCGTGCTCTCCATGCACGACAGATGTTTCCGTCAGCGTGGTCGCCGGCTATCTCAGCTCGGGGTGCATTCGCTGGCTGGCGTCCGTGCCTGGCAGCCGTACACATAATATCTGCTGGTGCGCCCGTTCCCCGGTGGCCGGATTCCGTGTGGGGCGCCCTCTCCCCTCGCCCCTTCCCCGATCCGAATCCCAGGGTTCCCAAGACCTCATGTGTAACCGTGACATCCTCGGAGGCCTTGTTCGGTTCGGACGACAGCCACAGCGACAGCCACTGCCACAGCAACAGCGACAGCGCAGCAAACGGGTCTGACGTCCGGACTGACTGCTGCCCCCCTCTGCACGCCCCGTTCGCTCCGGTGGCTGGGTCCCTCTTCGTCCGTTTCGCTCGAACCACGACTGAGAGGTGCCCGCCCCGTGTCGGTATCTAGTCCATGTAGTAGTTTCTCGTTCTGGCTGATCGGCTGTCTGGAATCTCGGCTCCGGCGGAGGCGTCATTTGGTGTCCAAACGCCCGGCCTTCTCCTTTGCGCTAAAATGCTTCCTTCTGTGCATTTATCTCCTCGTCTCCGCCGCCGCCGCCGCGCTGCTGCTCCTGGCTGGTTCCGTCCATCTGGCGAAAGAACTCCCTCCGTCATCTCTCGCGATCGTAAGCGCACCACCACCAGTGACCACCACCACCACCACCTCCTCCTCCGTGACATCCCCGTCCACTCCTCTCCCTTCTCCTACATGGAGTACCCACTGTCCCCCGCTTGATGCTGTTATCCTCCCTCGTACACACCACACAACACACCACTGCTCTTCTCTTTTGCGGCGGTTATTTATCCACTTCGTCTCTTTCTCCTCGCGTTTGCATAGCGTCTTACATGCTCTGACGGGATCAACCCCATCTTGTCTCGACTCTCGTTTATCGTCCTTTCCCCGTGCTCACTTATCCTGCCGTCCGTTCTCGCGCATGGAATCCGGCCCTTCTCTCCCCTCCCCCCCTCCCCCCCTTTGCCGCATCTAGAGATTCGACGAGCAATTGCTCAGCTCTCAGCTTTGAACCTGTCCGGAGTCCTTGCGGCTGCGGCATATGGCAGCGAAGAAACCCTGCAGGAGCTGCTGACTAGGTAAGGTCGCCCTCGACTTCTTCCCACCGCCTCTCTGACGGATGGGCTCTCGGATCTTGGGCAGCACCACCTAGAGTTCCAGCCGTAAAGTTATCTGGCCGGGGGAGAAACACGCTGCTGGGGTGAAGACCTCCGGAGTACAAAACCACACACACACCTCGATATCTCCTCCCCTCCTCCCCCACACACGAAGAAGGACGGTGGCTTTTGGCGAAGAAAGATCCCTGGGGAAGCTGTGAACTCTCTGCATGCCTGCATGCCTGGAGACAAGAGAGAATCGGGACCCGCAGAAGGAACGCATTGTTTGACACGCTCTGTTCACGCTCGTCGTTCCCTAGAGTAAAGTTACATCTTACTTTGCCCAAGACTCAGGTGTGTAGTGCATGCAAAAGCATACATCCATACATCAACTTCTTCTTCTTCTTCCTCTCCGTCCCTCTTCCCCATCACTTCCTCCTTCTCTCCTTTCCCATCTCTCTCACTATCCTTCTCGGTTTCTCTTTCGTGGGCCTTGCACATCTCGCACATCTCCCACCCCACACCACCCACCGCCAACTAAGCCACGAGCTTATATTCCGCTAATCCCTCCCTCTTCCTCCCCCCCCCCCCCATCCCGTCAATCCTCCCTTCCTCCCATCCCATCGAATCCCCAACTTCCCGCTCACCCCCGAAACGCAACCCGCATCACTCCCCACACACCCCCGCAGCGAACCCGCCAACCGCCGCCGGCTGGGCGCGGTCTCTTCGTCCACAACATACCTCCTCCTCCCCTCGCAACAATCTCCACCACACCGACCTTCTCTGGCCGCCGTTCTTTGACACGCACCAAAAACCAACTAACCTTCCCTCTGACACCCTCACACCCCCCCCCACTCCTCACCATCCCTCCCACCCCCCATTCACCCTCCGCATTGTATTTTGCATTTGACGCCATATAAGTGGGCCGACTGCGTACACCCATTCTGGTCCTCTTTGTATGGCGGACCGTAAAGGTTCAGTGTCTTCACGAGTCACTACCGCTGCCGTCACCACCCCCGTCACCGCCCCCGTAGACACTCCGCCAACAAACACCACTTCAAACACTGCAGCAGTTGCAGCAATAGCAGCAATGTCCAACGTACGAGCATCATCACCATATGGGACCCGTTCCCGGAACCGGGGCGCACGGGTGAACTACGCTGAAGACAAGGACAACGAAATGGACTTTGAACTCTCAGCCAACTACAATCCCACTCCCCCAACCAGCAAAGCCGCCGGGGATGCGACTGCGAGCGGACCTTCAAGAAGACAGCCGGCGGCAGCTGCGGTACCAGCTACCGGCAAGGACTCGAAAGACGGGAAGGATGCCGCGCAGACTGCCCCGCCGGCCACGACGACGACGACCAACTCTGCCGCTGGCAAGAAGAGGAAAGGTGGCGCTGCTGCAGCAGCAGCCGCCGCCCAGTTGGCCATCTCCTCCATGACGAAAGACGCCTCTTTAACGAATATGCTGAGCTTTGACCGCCCGCACCTCAAGGACGGGAGGTTGATATCTGACGATGGGACTGTTTTCGAAGTTCATGGTACGTAGGAATCTGTCGCGATCTCGCAATCGCGACAACCCACCACCCACCACCTACAGCCCACCACCACGCTGCGGCCGCCACCAACCCCCTTCTCGCTTTGGCTCCGAGCCCCACATCTTTTTTGCACCACCGGAACGCGAAACGAACTCCAGCATGCTAACCACCATGTCTTTCCAGATCACATTTACCTCGTCTGCGAACCTCCCGGAGAGCCGTATTACCTCGCCCGAATCATGGAATTCTTGCACGCGAATAACAACGCCTCCCAGCCGATCGATGCGATCCGGGTCAACTGGTACTACCGTCCCAAGGACATCAACAGAAAGGATCCCGATACACGCGTTCTGTTTGCCTCAATGCACTCGGATACCTGCCCTCTCTCGTCGATCCGCGGCAAGTGCTACATCAAGCACCGGTCGGAGATACAGAACCTCGACGAGTTCCGCAAGTGTCGCGACAGCTTTTACTTTGAGCGCATGTTCGACCGGTACATCCAGCGCTATTACGACGTGATCCCCAGTACTTTTGTGCGCAATGTGCCCGAGGCGATACGCAAAGCATTGGTCGAGCGATGGAAATATCTTCTTGTGGAGCCTCAGCGCGGCAAGGAGCTGTGCAGCCAGATGAAAGAATGCAAGCGATGCACCGGATATTGTGCGAGGTAAGATTTCTATTTTATTATTATTGCTATTTTCTTTAAGCACACGCTCCCCCCCCCCACTCTTTATTTATTATTTTGTGTTTTTATTATCTTAATCGTTTAATTTATTCGCGGGCGATGCTGACGAGTTTCAAAGCGCCGATTCGGTGCACTGCGCTGTGTGTGGCTCGACGTACCACATGAACTGCGTGCGGCCGCCGTTGCTGAAGAAACCGAGTAGAGGATTTGCGTGGGCTTGTGGACCCTGCAACCGAGCTCAGGAGCGAAAATTGGAAGCGCGCAACACTCCGACGCTAACCACTCCGGGGGGCGACGTGGAAGAGGACGTCCTCGATGACGAAGAAGACGAGCTGTCGCCGGGCACTGGAGTGGGAACCGAGACGCCTTCCGAGAGGGCGGCCACGGACGCAAAAACACAGGACCCGACACCGGAGCAACTGTCGTTTGCGCGGATGTGGCAAATGAGATATCTGGGACAGCATTGCCATGTGGAGGATGCTCTGGATTACGACGATCGCATCTACCCCCGCGCGGCATCGCGACTAGGGTCCCGGCATCAGGCTACGGTTCTGCCGTGGCCGGGGCGCCCGGTCGAGTACATCAAGCCACCGGAAAAGAAAAAGACGAAGGGCGGCAGCAAGAGTAAACAGCAGGCCGAAGCCGAAGCGGCTGCACGAGAAAGGCGGCCGAAATGGATCATGGAGGAGCCTCCCGGGTACATTGAGCGCGGAAAAGACGACGGCACGACATCGATGTTACTGTTCAAAATCCCTGTCGATGGCCATGACGACGACGCGGAGCGCCAACGCGGAGATCTCATCGCGACCATCGACGCCTACCTCACGTCGACTAAGAGAATCGCGGATAAAATGGGCATGAAGCCGTACGCGACGAATTTCGTGGACAAGGCAATCGAGATACTTTATGCGAATTCGTTCAACGAGAAGAAATCGCTCGAGCTGCTCGCGAAAGTGCAGGCGGTCAGGGATCTCAAGGAACCGCGCCTCAAGCCGGATGAGGTCAAGCGCTTTGAGGAGGGTGTGGCTAAACACGGAAGCGAGCTGCATGCAGTGACCAAACATGTCAAGACGCGCAAAGAGGCCGAGATCGTCCGATACTACTACCAGTGGAAAAAGACGCCGAAAGGTCGCGAGATATGGGGCAACTACGAGGGCCGCAAGGGAAAGAAGGAAGCCAAGCTTAAGGACAAGGGCGTTGTCGTGTCCAAGCTGGTCGACGATGTTGCCGACGACGAGGACGACTCCGCTTTCGACGTCGAGAAGGCGGGCGAGAAGAAGCGCGGGTTCGAGTGCAAATTCTGCAGCACCAGGCACAGTCGGCAGTGGCGGCGCGCGCCCGGTGTCGCGCCGGGCACAGTCATCACAGTCGAGAAGGGCAGCGGCTCGAAACGGAAGAATGCTGAGCCCAGTCAGTACGTCAGTGCGCTCTGTCGGAGATGCGCCGAACTCTGGAGACGATATGGCATCAGGTGGGAGGATCCCGACGAGGTTCAGAAGAAGATGAGCCAGGGTGGTGGACGGGCATGGAAGAAGAGGATAGACGAGGAGCTGTTGAAGGAGCTCACTGCCGCACAGCACGATGCACAGGCAGAGGCTGTCGCTCTCGCTGCGTCCACGACGGCATCTGCTACCCCGCAACCTCCTTCCAGTGGTACTGTGACCCCCGAGGGGCCTCCCAAGAAGAAAGTCAAGACCGAAACCAACGGTCAGCCGACGAAGAAAGAGAAGGCTAAAGCTCGGGCCAAGGAGAAGGAGAGAGAAAGGGAGGAGCTTCTCGAAAAGGGCAAGGAGAAGGAGAGGGAAGAAGTGCTCAAGGAGAGAGAGAAGATGCTGGAAAAGCTCAAGGAACCACCACCTCCGCCGCCGGAACCACCCAAACCCAAGATCGCCGAATGCGGGGTCTGTAAAGACATCGAGGAGATCGGAAGGCAGCATGCCATCTGCCGGGATTGTAAGATGATAGTCCACAAACGGTGCTATGGTGTCGGAGAGATGAGGAGCGCCAACAAGTGGGTCTGTGAAATGTGCACGAACGACAAGAACCCGACCGTGTCGACGGTATGCCCCCTCTCGCCCTACCCCCCGATACGACGGACGGATTGGCTAACTTGATGTAGAATTACGAATGTGTTCTCTGCCCTGAACATCAAGATCCCGACGCGGAACCGGAAAAGAATAACCCCTACCACAAGAGCTCCTACAAGAAGAAGGCTGCCCAGGAAAAGGTGACCAAGGAGTCTCCGGAACTCGATGGTCGCAAAGTCAAAGAGGCGGACAAGCACAAGCCTCAGGCTCCACGTGAACCGTTGAAGAAGACTTCCGGAAACTACTGGGCTCACGTGATATGCGCCGTATGGACCCCGGAGGTCAAGTTTTCTGATCCGAAGACCATGCGTGTCGTCGAAGGCATCGGTACGATTCCGACACCGCGATACCAGCAGGAGTGCAAGGTGTGCAAGGTGAATTCCGGTGCGACCATCCAGTGTACCGCATGCCATGCGAACGGTAAGTTCCCGACGACCACTGTTGCCCGCGTATATATGCATGCTGACCTGTGGCCTAGTGCATATCAACTGCGCAAATACATCTGGATGGAGAATAGGGTTCGACATCCAACCGGTGAAGGGCTCCAAGAAAGATTCCCCCAATGTCGTCAAACTCGGCGGCGAGACGGGCCTGATGACCGCCTGCCTCTGGTGTCCCGAGCACGAGATCAAAACGAGGATTCATCGCATCAATGAGATCGCCGAGGGGACTGATTTGACTGTGCTGGAGCTCTTCTTGCAGACTTACAAGCAGGCAGACCTATCCCTGACCGGAACCGTTCGCAAGGCCAACCTGGTGTCGATAACGTCAAAGACAACCCCATCGAATCGCCGAAACAGTTTGGTCGCTTCCGGGAAGGAAGGCGCCGATTCGACGAGCCCGGTTATCATCAAAGATGGCGAAGAGGAGAAGATCGGTGGCGAGGAAGGACTCCTCGATGACCACGTCGGTGGAGACAAGCCAAAGAAGTGCATACAATGCCAGGTGGATGTCAGCCCGCTGTGGTGGAAGGTTCCATTGCCGGCGACAAATGGTGCTTCCCCGGAACCGCTAACGAACGGCAACGTCAACGGCAACGTCAAAGACAACGACAACGTCAGCCCCGCCCCAACGAAACCACAGGCAAAGGGATTGATGTGCAATCGCTGTCACACGAAGGACAAAGAGGCTCCACCATTGGCATTTCTCAAGCCGAACGGTGCAGCAAGGGCTCCCGAATCCAAGTTCACGCCTCTGCCGCCATTGCATGTGTTCCTGGCTCAACAGCACCAAGTCGCGGCGCACCGACAACAGCAGCTGGCCCAACAACAGGCGCCGCCGCCTGTACCCGTTCAAGCGCCACCACCACCAGCTCCTCCTCCGCCTCCGCCTCCGCCGGTTATGAGATTGCCCGACCCACAGCCGGTAACGATACCACCACCAGTGCCATCTCCACAGCGGCCACCACCTCACGCATACATGGCACCGATCCCGCAGCCACCCATGCCTCCGCACGGAATGGTGCACGAGGTCCACCATCAACCGCCAATAATGCACCATGCGCCTCAGCCTCACTTACACCAGCCTCACTCACACCAGCCACCACCTCCTATGCCGGTGCACCACATGTCACGGGTTCCCCCGCTCGTTCATGGACCCCACTCACACCACCCTCATAACCCTCCTCATCATTCTCACAGTCCCCAGTCCAACCACAATACCCTCAACAGCCCCCATAACCACAATGGCCACCCCAGCCATCCCGGCCACTCCAACCAAAATGGTCATCCTATGCATAACGGCTACCCAAGTCACAATGGCCACCTGAACCAAAATGGACACACGAACCATCACAGCCAGCCAAACCACATACACCATAGCTCGCCGCAGGGTCATAACGCCATGCCAAATCGACAATCGCACATGGTGTCGCAAGCGCCTCTGCATCTGAACCCCCCTCATGGGCATATTCCACCGCGTCACCCTTCACATCCTCATTCATCGCCGCCACCGGTGATGTCGATGCACCAACAGATGGGGATACACAGGGTGAACTCGACGGGACATGTGCCGACCATGATGCAGCCGCATGGGCCGTCACTGCCGCAGATTGTCCATCAACATCATCTACCACCGCCGCAGCCGCCGCCACAGGAGGAGCCGCGAAGAGTGCTGAGTGGAGCATCTGGGAGTCCGGCGCTAGCAAACCTTCTGAGCTAAACGAGGGCCTTATTTGTACTGTACGAATGGCGATACAGTTGGTTAGGAGCAAGTTGGGATCTTTTTTAAAATCTGGTTTAGGACTTTTTTTTTACTGTTTTATCTTCTGTCACCGGTTTATCTCTGGGCGGGGTTTCCTTTTTGTCTTCCTTTCCTTTTTTTGTTTACGGAGTAGGCATTGACGAATTGAATTTTGTTTTCCGTTTTCTTTTCTTCGCTTTTTTTTCTCTTTCCTTTTTTTCCGTTTCCTTTTGTTTTCATTGCTGAGCTGGCGATCTTTCTTTTTTGCTTGGGCTGGGCTTAGGGCTTTACTTTTACTTTACTTTGCTTAACTTTTACTATGCTTTGCTTGTTCGCAATTTGTGGTTTTTTTTTTATTCTTCTTGGGGTCTTCAGATAGGTGAAGCGTGTCTTTGGGTTTTTTTGGGAGCGGAGAGCGCAGAGTGGGGGGCGGAGAGCGGGGGGCGGAGAGCGGGGAAGGGGGGGCTGTACATGCGCAGTGCAGTGCAGTGCAGTTGCTGGTGATGCTGTATGTACGAAGTATAATAGGTACTTGACGTGCACTGAGTTTTGACAAGTCCATGAAGTTGCATCATTTGGAAATCTGCAGGAACTGGATGTCTTGGAAGGGCTATGTACTGATAGAGGTCACTCGTCGAATGCAAAATGGTGATCAAATGACTGGCGCTAGTCGTGCTGACACATCATCGCGCTGTGCGGATATTGAATCGAATCGACAGGGAACAACCGAACAGGTCCTGACTCCTGAGTAACAAGTAGTAGCTACTCTACAGGATTGCTAGGATGCGTATCAATCCAGTCAGGATTCCCAGTCCTCGCCCCTCAGCCTGAAACGCTGAAACACCCATCGATCCATCTATCCCTCCGCTTTCCCTGTGTGTTTGCTTTCCCTGTGTCGCTGCTCTGCGTGTGTAACCCTCCTCGTGCCAAAAAAAAAAAACCTGGAAGCCATAAGTGACAGGTCCCTGTCGATTTGGCTTCTGGGATGGGCACTGTAGATTACATACTGTAGAGTACATACCGGTAGAGTACATACCGGTAGAGTAGGTGAGGTAGGGAGGATTCGCAGATGACGTCGTTGGCGGCGTCATCTCCTCTCTCTTTCTCTGTCTGTCCAAGGAGAGACGTGATGGAGATGATGGACGGATGCGAAGCTGGGGGCAAGTTGGGGGCGAAGCTGGGGGGGGAGGGGAGGTTCCAAGGACAGCCATATGACGGAGCCGATGCTGAGGCGAACTGGAACTGGTGAATGAGAATGCAGACAGTGGTCGGTATAAGGGTGGGTATAAGATCTCACGGCATCCTTCTCGCGAAGCTAATTTTTTAATAACAGCACTCCATCCACAGCCTCCACCTTTTCACACACAGCACAGCACAGTACCAAGCACACAGCACATACACAGCACCAAGCACCAAGCACAACCCTCACAACACAGACCAGAAATATGTCCGACCTCGAACCCTCCGCCGCCCGCGCCTCCACCGGCAGCGGTTCCGAAAGCGAAGCACCCGCGCCACCACCCCGTCGGCAACGGAAATCCCGCAAATCCCGCCAAAACGGGGGCGGGCCCTTGGGCGGCGGGCTTCCCACAGACGCCGTAGGCGACGTAGTCGGCAACGCCGTCGACACAGTGGGCAACACTCTGGGGTCTGTGGGGGATACGGCGGGCGGGCTTGTTGGCGGGGTGACGGGCGCCGTGGGGGGAGGGGGCGGTGGGGGTGGAGGGAAGGAGGGCGGGAAGGATACACTGAGGCTCAGGCTGGATTTGAATCTCGAGATTGAGGTCACGCTAAAGGCGAGAATTCATGGCGATTTGACGTTGGCGCTGTTGTAAGTTGCCCCCTTCTTTGTATTTTGGGTTTTTATGCGCGTACTCCTCCCCTCCCCCTCCCCCGACGACGAGGTTCTGCTGGCGGGCGGGAAACGGACACTTATGGGTGTTGACACCTATGGCCAGGCAGTAATTGAAACTGAACACTGTGTGCGGCGTTAGAACATAGCGGGCGCTACACTACACACTTCTACGCCTTTATTTCGACACGATGCGGATGGTATGGTAATGGGAAAGGTGGAGATGGAGGTGGCTGGGCTGGTGTGGTGTATTGATATACGGTTTTTCTGGTTTTCTCTCTCGGCTTTTTTCATACCCACGGTTCTAGGGGATATCTTATTGTTCTTGTTCTTGCTGCGATACCTATGATAGTCTTTTCTTGTATGCATACGAGAGTCTTCGAGTCTTCAACGGGGGGTTGCTTTGGAGCTGCGTCTGCGTCTGCAAAAAAATAAAGAGCGGTTTTCTTGAACGGTAGTTGGAGTTGCAGTTCTCAGGAATGTTCGATCGTGTGTGATAATATGGAGACCGACACGAAAGGTATGTGCATTGTGCAGGTTACCTATCTGCCTGAAGTCTACACTATGGGACTCATTGGGTTGCAACTTGGTAAGGCATGCTGCACTTCCGAGAATAACACCATTAGTTGAAGGGGAAGAAACTGAGAACTTCTCGTGAAGTAAACTTCTTTACCGTATACTCTTTCCACCACCGTCCACTGCAAAAACCGAGTGATGGTCCCTGACTACCTAGTCATGCCACCCTCCGTTCCCTTTTTTCTCTCGACATTACAGGGCAAGTAAAAGTAGGCAACCTCCTTCCGACCCTTCCAACTTCCAGAACCTCTATTCCCTCTTCCTCCTTGATTGCCTCCCCTGCGTATATAGACACACGGGGATATATATTACCCCGTTACACGGGTGATGTCACGCATGACGATCGCATATCCTGGCCCCGGCCCGAATTACGACACGGCCGAGTTGGGAGGTGAAAAGTGGGAAGTGAAGTCAAGAGAATATTCGTCATTGGTACAGAACAAGGAACGAGGGAGCTGGAGGGGAGGGAGGAAGGGGGTTGGTGGGGGATATATGCGCTGCTCCCCCGAGCTGTTGCTGCTGCTATTGCTGCTGCTGGAAACCAAAAACCCCACCAGCGTCCTCCCACGAATCTCAACCCATCACTCGCCACAATGCCATCGCGAGCCATCGACATCCCGCGCGCGGGCCAGAGCCAGGGCAAAATGATCGAGCCCTTCCAGCACCCAGCGCCCAAGCTGGTAATGGAGCCTCCGTCGATGCAGCCGTGGACGATGACGCCGCCGTCGCTGTCGCCGCTGCACATGACGCCGCCAAACATGGAGCTGCCAAACTTCAGCCCTATACAGGACCACATGCCGCTGCCGACGCTGTCCGCATCGAAGTTCATTCCCCCGCAAAGCTTCCTCACGTATAAGCACCCGCAGCCGATCTCGGTCGTTAAGTTCTGCAGGCATGATCCTACACTGCTGGTGGCCGGGAGTAGCAACTTGGATCCTGAGGAGGCACGGCCAGTGCAGGAGGAGGCTACCATCACCGTGTTTAGAGTCGAGGATGTCTCTAGGGAGGTCCGCGGCGATGACAAGATGATCGCTAGAGGCATCTACGAGGTCCGCCAGAAGATCAGACCGAGACTGTAGGCTCCTCCGCCTTTTCCCCGCCCACAAAAAGCACTGGCTAATACATATGACAGCCACGTTATGGCCACCGTCAAAACTCCCGGTGCAGTCCTTGACCTGGCCTTCTCCCCGCACGACTCGGAGCTGCTGCTCGCAACCCTCAGCACCGGGCAAATAATCGCCTACCGCACGCCGCGCGGAAAATACACCATCAAGCAGCTGAGCACCCACACAATCTCCCGCGGCAACCCGATCCACAGTATCACCTTCTCACCCAGCTCACGCACACTCGCCGCGGCCACCAGCGGGAGCGGCGCAGTATTCCTCCTCAACATCCCCTCCTCCCCGCGCTCCGACAACGCAATCACCCCTCTCGCGAAAATAACCGCCCACACCTCCGCCGTGCTCCACGCGGCCTTCAGCACGGACGGCAAGCGCCTGTACACGGGCGACGAATCGGGCGTTCTGAGCAGCTGGTCCATCACCAAGCCCTCGACACCAAAACAGAAATGGACGTCGTCAGATGAGCACCCGAAGGGCCTCACGGCGCTGCTCCCGTGGCCCGCGCCCTTTGCCTCCGACATAAACCAGAAGCGCCGGCTGCTGCTCACCGGTAGCTACGACGGGAACCTACGCGTGCTCGACATGTCATCGCACGTGCGCCCGCCGTACTGCCGGCAGGTGCTGGATCTCGAGGGGTGTGTCTGGCGCTTCGCGCCGCTGCCGCCGCTGCCGGTCAATGCTGAGATCGGCACGCTCGGGCCGGGCGCGTTCTGTGCGGCCAACCGCCCAGATGTTGAGCTGGATCCGGAACAGCAGGGTGTTCTCGCGGCGAGCACCAGGGGTGGTAGTCGCGTGCTTATTCATAAACAGAAGTTTGAGGAGGTTTTCCTGCCGAGACGCGACGGGAGCGATATTGTCGATTGGACGACGAGTGATGGGGTCAAGATGGATCATGAGGGACGTGAGAAACAGTACTATTGGTATGACCTGGCGGATATTGAGGAGCATGGCGATAGCGAGGTTTATGCCGGCGATGCCGTCGCCGTGATCGATTATGATCCGCTGTTTAAGGATGCGGGCGAGCAGAGGCTGCGTAGGGGCTGGAGGCTGGTTAGTGCTAGTAGGGATGGGACTATGTGCTTCTGGCAGGTTTATGTCGAGTAGGCAGACGGAGTTTTCTCTCTGGGTTGTTATTTGGGCATTTATTTTCCGCTTCTTCTTCTTGATGTCTTTGAGCGTACTTGTATTTGTATTTGTATTTGAGCGTTGTATGTAGTTTTGGTTCCCATAATAATGTACCTACCATGGCTTTCTTCTCTCAACTCAGCGTGAATTGTGATCAACAGAATCTAGTTTCACTCCTCTACGATACGGTAGTGTTTTTCAGCAGGTAGTTTATCCGTAAGGATACTGGTTGACCCCAATCATAGCAGAATTTCTGTTTTGTTTTGTTTCATCATCGTAGCATTCGAGCTTTGCAGATCATGGCTGTGTAAACGTCCGGTTCCACCCCACTGTCTCTAACCGCTGTGCTGAACCACCCGCACGACGTGGAGTGTTGCGATTCTCGGGCGGAACGATGGAACGACGGAACTTCATTGGTTATCACTCTACCAGTGCAGAATATGCGGGCAGATTAGTCATGTTGGTAATACGCGCGCGTCTTGGGAATCCTGTTTATTCTCATACTTGCATGTTCTTCTGATGCTTCTGCCTGGTATGTCTAGCTGGCTGTCCACTGTGGTTTTGCGAATAAGTCAAACAATCGAACACACACTCATATTCTCAACATGGAGGGAGAGCAGTGAGCCGAGTGCTACTCCACGCCTGGACTCTCAGCTCGAGGCTGGGTTGGTTCGACTCTTTGACGTAGAATCAATTCCCGGGAACTTAAGGCGGAGTTCGCAGTTCCGAGTTATAGAAATGTCAAGAAACCGAACCGAGTGACAGCGGCGGCGGCGAGGGCAGCTTTCATTGCGACAATAATAAGACTCAAGAGTACACCTCGGCTTCATCAACCCCGCTTCAACCCTGCTTGCTTTCTTCTCAAATTTTTCTCCGTCGTGTATTTCAACACTACTGATGGTGAATAGACAAGTCACAGATGATGAAGAATCTGAAGTATCCGTCACCGTGACCGGGCGGCTGCAACTACCTCATGTGGTAATCCCGGTTGGCCGAGTCGTCGAAGGCGTCGGCTCCCCTGGACAGACAATATGGCCGAGTTAGGTCGGCTGAACCTAGCGTGAATGGAGTTGAACAACGATTACCAAACAGCCATGTCTACAAAATAGGAACTTGCAGCTAACAATGCGGAAACAAAACATCGTATATACCATTCAATCATTACAAAATCTGCCCCGAAAAGAAAAAAAACCTCTCTCCAACCTCCCCGACACCCATAATTCACGGCACAAACACGACCAAGAACCATTCTTCCCCAGTACACACAGCGCGCTCAAGTAAACCCTCCGATAGCGCGAATCTCGCCCCTCTCCCTACTCAGCCTCATATTCCTGAGCGCCGCCTGCTCAGGCGTGAGATAGACGACCTCAATCTCCTGCTTGCTCGTAAACGCCTCCTTCATCCTACGCTTCCACTTCCCTGACGTCGTCTCCTTCGCCCGTTTCGTCTCCGCTAGGGCCTTCTCCCGCGCCTGCTCCTCCTTGTTCCGCTCCAGCTCCGCGACCTCCTCCGCCGTGATGATGCCGTTGCCCTTCAGTAGGTACGCGGGGATCTGCGACGTCGGCAGCACCGTTGGTGGCACCGTGGCCCCCGCCGATGTCGTGGGCGCGTAGTTGAGGTTGAACGCCGGGTTGCGGTAGCCCGGTGGTGGTGGTGCGTCCGCGGCCGCCGCGGGGGAGGGGTCGGAGAAGGAGAAGGAGGGGTGGTGCGGTTGGTATGGCGGGAGGTCCGCCTTGTTGGCAGTGGCCCCCGTGTTGGTCTGTTCGTGTTTTGCTTCTTCGGCCTTGCCCATTACTTGTTTTTTTTTCTCTGTGGTGAAGTTGGGGAGAGGGATCAAAGCTTGGTCGTCGAGGGCGAGGTTTATATAATCCAACCTGCGCAGGGGCACCGGTGGAACATCCGCTCGCTCGCTCGCTTGAGGATGCTGCCACTACGGGTGGCTTTCATGTGCCGCACAACATGTTCGGCCTGGGGCTAATATCGAGACAGACAGACAGACAGTCGGCTGTGCCTCCGCAACGTTTTGTCGTGGGCGTGCATATATAGCATGCTACCCACTCCCGGTAGATAGCTGGTGGAACCATACGGCCAACCTTAATTGTAGCGTGAGCGCATCCGTTCGCACGGCGCAAAAACCTGTCGTTTGCGGGAGGCTCTCCGCCTTTTCGTCACACGTCATGGGTGACCGCCTGGAGGGTAGATATCGGTTGATAACTTTTATACCTCACTTCAGAGATTTCGGGAATCGTATGTACCCTACATGTGTAGCTACTTGCAGCGTCGATTGGGGCGCAGTGGTTGCATGAGACGATTATCGCCTTGCGCGTGGGTTGGTGGCCTGAATCCTGATCATATGTATGTAGCGTGGTATCATCAGGTACATGCTTGGTATCCAGTGGGAACTTGGAAGCCCATCCGCGAGTGTCAGGATCTGGCTAAAATGAAGCTTTTCGGCGCAGGGAAAAGCTCACACTCTAAGTAAGTAGAGTACTCCTCGCTTGACCAGGTAGATCATCAGCGTTCTCTCTTCAGTTTTTCCTCTTTGGGTTTAATCACCAACCGTTTGCTTCGCGGACAATCATGCGGATCACTCGATACATTGTTTGCAAGCAAGATTTTTGTGGTTGCTCATGAGAAAGACCCAAGCTATTAGGTTGCATGCAATCAATGATTAAACAAAAATATATAAATGAGAAAGACCCAATGCGCTCTACTTGTATCGATTAGACAGACGAGGGCGGGGGGGCAAGAGAAGCCACATTGGGCCGCTTGATCTCGGTCAGGTTGGACAGTGGACACGGAAACGGTGTGTATTGCCATGATCTCAATAGGTCACGTGCGATTGATGAGTAAAAACAAACGGAAAAAACGAGAAATACCACTCCACCGGGAAATCGCATCACTAAGAAGCCTTAATTATACAAAGCGCCGCCCCCCTTAGAGATCGTACACACATGCAGTTTACTCCAAGATTCCCCTTCCCCGCTTCCGATCGAATTATCCAGCAGAAAACCACAGCGACGCAAAAACAACCGCAAAAAGCCCCCCCAAAGGCAGAAACCAAGAAATCCAAGTAAGCTCCGCACTCTGCCTCCCACGCAACATCCCCACTACCCCCTGAAACCTTGCATAGAAAACGACCTCGCCTCTTCCCTTTCCCGCACGAGGCATGCTTCCCTCGCCTCTGCCTCGGCGACAGTGAGATAGAGCACCTCGGCCTTGCCTGAGTTCAAGAACATCTGGCGGAGCCACCAGATCCAGGACTTTGATTCCGCGGCCTGCGTGTGCTCGGCCTTCGTCTGCGCGATGGTGTCGATGGTGTCGATGGAGCTGGTGGAGCTGGCGGCCGAGGCGGTGGTGTAGGGAGACGACATGGTGGTTCGGTCCGGCGGTTGGGGCTAGCTAGCGGGTTCGTGGGGTGGTTCAAGCTCGATGCTTGTTTTGGGTTGAGTTGTATGGAGTAAGATGTAAGATGTAAGTATCGAAGTCTATGTGACCAGGTGGAAAGTGTAAAGTGTGATAGATATGTGTTTGGGCAGCCTGATGCTCGTAACCTTCCGTGTGATTGTGAATGTCGCGAACAAAGAGCTGCAACATCGGTGCCAACAAGCCAACACGCTCTCCCTTATATGCTTGCTCCAGTAGCCGCAGTCGAACGAACGGAGCAATCTCCGGACGTCAGGCGGGGAAACCGGATTTACTTTGGGGCTTGTACTCCCCGCATGGCCACGAGGCTGGCAGAGCGGATCGCCCACGTCACGGGCGGAGCTGAGGTGTTTGCGCTCTCCAAAAGGAGAATGTACATACACAGGACCATTTACTCTACAATTCTGCAACAGCATGATTGGTGGTGAGATGTAGCCAAGTTTAGTGTGGCTGTGTTCCACCGCCGTGTCGTGTCCCGTCGCCTTGCGCAGCGAGGAGAGATGGGGTATGTGCAGCCACGATGAGTCGGGCTTCTAGATGCCTCGAGTCCTTTTGGGTAATCATTGGGTGGCCTCCGTATCTACTTAATATATTCTTCTTTGAACTCGAGCACGAATTCTCATCGTGAGTCATAGTGCCACTCGAGTGAGATTTTATGGACAGGCGCGAGTCACTTTAGTAATCTTAATCGCGGCTATTCTGTCTGTGTTTGCTCTTTTCCCGTGTCCTTTCCTTGGGAGCTGCTTACTCTTTTCGTGCTCGGTCAGCGGGCGGGGGGAGTACTATGTAGTAGGTAAGGTCACTCCGAACGCCAGCACAATGGGGGGCTGTGGGACGGAGCCGTCCCGCGCAGGTTCTCTAGAGGACCGGTCCGTCCAGTCCGGATACCCTACAGGTACATACAAGGTAGGCATTTGATGATCTTAGCGTGACGAGGGTTCTATTTTCTCGCGGCCCGAAGGCTATTTCGCAATATGTAGGACAGTAGGAACCGAATCTTCGCCGCGTCGAGCGGAATTTCCGCTGCTGGGAAATCCCATTATCCGCTATATACATATGTAGATGGAGAACATGCTTATGTAGAGACGTGGAATAGTGAGGGGCGGACATGCAAATATAAGGCAAGGTTATGGCGGAGTTTGTCCGTCGCGGAGGCATCCATCACTTTATAATTTTCGAATTCATATTTCCAGCACGGAAAAAACCCCGCGTGGTCCAGTGGTCTAGGCCATGCGTTTGGCGAGGTGAGTTGAGGGGAGGTTTTGGGCTCAACCTGGATGACAGACCTTTGTATTCAGCTTTTGGGGTTTCCAAGCCACCCGGCGGGGGTGGTGATGGTTTTTGTTTTTGTTTTTGGCGTGAACAGAGGGTGCACTAGCTAGATATCACTTGGTAGTTTCACGTGATACGCCTTTACGCGGCCGGCTGTAGAGGCGAGAATTCATTTTCTCTGCGTCCTGTTCAGGTAATAATCTGTATTCAAGTGTCAAAGAAGCGGAACCAAGACGTTACCTCTGATGTGAGTTACTACGGTATCATGTTTAGAACAAATACCTGGGTGGATATAGGAAGATATGGGTGGATATGGGCGGAAATGGATTGATATTGGATTTATGGATTGATATAGTATTATATGGGCGGATATGGATTGATATGGGAGGATATGGGTGGATGGTAGGCGGGTGTGGTGCTAAAAATTATCCGGTAATAAGTGGGGTAGAAAAAGAATGCAGCCGAGATAGGTATTGCAAATTACCTAGTGTGGCTGGTGAGGGCATCGTGTACGAGTAACGTGAAGGGTAGATACTGGATCACATTTGAGCACCACGGCGGGATTCTGTACCTTTGCTCGATTTCATGGCTGAGCATTCGGACAGGTTGAGTGGCACTAGCAGGGTGGCTATGCGAATACCCATGAAACCATCTAGATAGTAGTTTGAGTCATGCTCCGTCAGCTATCAGTGATTCAGTTTGGCTAATCATCTTATCTGTTTCGCTCCCTATGGGAGGTGTGCGCACTCACGTACCGAGGCAGTAGTTACCTATCGTACACACCAAGTAATGAGAAACAGCGCCTCGGATGTGGTTTTTCTTAGCTGTACCGAATCATTTCCATGTTGAACAATGTAGATATATCATTTATGAACGGCCGTCCAAAAGATGGCAGGGATATGCAGGCACTCACAGCTAGGCACCAGCCATACGGTACAGCCCTACAACTGGGTGGACTACTCTACTACATAGGTGGGTCTTTAATCCGGTTCCTCCCTGTGGCGAACCATGTGTCTCGTCCTGATGACTAGCAAGGGTGCGCCGTAGTCTACCGGTAGATAGGCTCGGTGCGAGAATAGCCTTGAAACCAACCGACCAACCGCGACATCTGGAGTGTGGCAATATGTCACCTTGACGTGCCTAGGTATGGTTCATAAAAGTTGGGCAACTGTCATCTCGCTAGGAAACACCATGAACCTGAGGCTGATTGCAGAGCGCGCGTGAGCGGATACGCCCCTACAACCATTCATACATACCATCTGGCCAGTGTGTGCCCGGTGTATAGTATTGGAGGTTTCATCGACGCGTGCCCCGCTTAGGTTGGCCCGGTCGGGGGTGATCCGCACGTATGTGCCGAGCATTCATTAGGTACCTGCCCTTCAACAGCTCGCGGAGTCTTATCGTCCGGAGTTGCTATTCAGACTCTTCGTTGATTGATCTACTCAAACAGCTGACGAGTGTCGGTTGATGTGAGTTGTTACGCGCCATTCATCCTGAGCGGTTTGTGTGTTACCCGCATGGGTCCGAGGTGAGCATCGCCTCTCATCGCAACATGTTCCCTCACCACAGGTTCACTCACAACAACACACAATCACTCTGCAAGCCGCGCACTTGCACCCAGATCAACTCCCTGAGCCGCGCACTTGCACCCAGATCAACTCCCTGAGCCGCGCACTTGCACTTCGAATCAACAGCACCCCCCCGCGGAGCCGTACGGACGAGAGACCCACGCTGCCTAAGTGCGGACTCACGGCGAGATTATAACCCCGAGACTTCCCTCCTGGAATTCCGTCAAGTACTGCCGCATACAAAGTTGCGCGATAGCCTTGAATTCACCACCATCACTGCCTTGCACGATCTGGATAAACGGTGCCCACGATGCACGAACCTCAACCGGATGCCATACCCAAACCCCAAGCGGATGCCATGCCCGACCCCCAGCCCGATGCCAAAGACTGCCGCTCCACACTCATAAAGAAAAAACTTGACGACAAGAGAAAGGCTATGTTGACGCAGGCAGGGCATGTTAAGTCCGTGCCACGCTATGAGCCCATCTTCTTCCCAGAAGATCTGATCAAGGACGTTTTGAGCCGGAAAACGGTCAAATGGCTTCTGGAATGCGATTGCAGTTGGTGCGAGAAGCACACTAAATATCTATCGCCGCAAATCCACGGGGAGAAGCGGACCGACTACCTCGGATGCATTATGGCAGATGCCCTGAAACTGTATGCTCTGCTAGTTTTCATTGAACACCCTGCTATCATTGGCGGCTTCGTGTCCAAGGGCAAATACGATAATATCCTGAACGATAAACTTACCCCGGACAATCTGAAAGAAACCCATCTGACAGGAATTGTGTCGGCAACTCGACAGAGAACCAGCGAGATGGAGGATCTTCTCGATTCCTTTCTGAAAAAAAAGCATTGGTTCTCTCCGCAGTTCTTCAAAGGCCCCTGGTTCGAGGAATTGGATTCGGAGAAGGTTCTGCCTTTCATCAATATCACGTACATCGGAGAAGGCGCCTTCGGCAAGGTCTATTCTTTCCAGATCTATCCAGCCTACAAGGGACCAGAATATGGAGATTCGGTGAGCGCTCATGTATCTAAATATTTTCACTTATGCATTAAAGTGCTGACATGACACTGGTACAGACAAAGTTCGCGATGAAGGAAGTGTACGCGCCTACAAATACCTGTGGCGCGAATTCTGCGACGGACAATCCAGAAGTCGATAAGGTGAATTCCGAGGCGAAAAATCTTTTGAAGATTCGCAACGAGCTCGGTGACGAGGAACACATCATCAAGGTGCTGAAAATATTCCGTCACGGCGAAAATATATGCTTCATATTCCCACTGGCAATTGGAAACCTTGCAAAACTCATGGAGGAGCCTTGGATGCATCTTTCTATTCCTGGACATCCGATTTGCCAGCACTCCATCTGGAATGAAGTCCTTGGCATGATGATGGCTCTCGGCAGGTTTCACAACCCACCAAATAAAAACAGTTGGAGCGGTGTTCATGCAGACATTAAGCGTACATACTACCACTCTGTCACGCCGCAGACAGTCCCTTTTAGATCTCTGGCTGACATGCATCGCACAGCTACGAATATCCTGGTATTCGAGGACGGCAGATTGGTTATAACCGATTTTGGCCAGTCTTCGATCATGCAAAAGAGAAGTTCTGGTGGGACCAGAAGGGTTAATCAAACGCCTGGAGAGCAAACATACCGCCCCCCTGAAAACTCCGGCGATACAGACATGGGGCTTGAATATGACTACTGGGCGATCGGCTGCGTTCTCCTGGAGATTCTTGTGTTTGTGGTCACAGGGACTCAAGGAATTCGGGAGCTGCTCGAAGCAAGAGGGCGCAGAACTTACAGAACCGACTATTACTATCAAGTGGAGGATGACAAGCGTTTTCTCCATCCTGCGGTTGAAGAAATAATGACACGATTGGAGGAGGGAATGAAGGACCGGCGGTTGGATAGTGGGTTTACGGATGCCGTTGTGGGTATTGTGAAATCCATGTTGAAGGTGGATCCCAAAAAGCGCCTAGACGTGGTTACAGCGGCAAGAAGGTTAAAGTATAACCTTAAATATTGGAGGCGCCGAGCAAGTGAAGTTAACCCAGTGAGCTCTTGTGGGGGTAGCTTTACTATACTCAATGTCTCAGATGCTGCCTCCGAAACCGCCTCAAGCGAGGAATCGACTACCACAACGGTCGACGCGGAATCCGAGATCAACACTAGTAGGATTGACGACAACGAAAGTCCTTCGATCTCTCAATCCCCAGGTGACACTCTGGGTAGCAGCTCGCACCCTGAGCACCCTCCCTCAAACCGGGGAGGGGAAATCGCAGCAGGTTCCTCCGACGGTACATCTTCAAGTAGCATCTCGCGAAGACTTCGTACCATCCCTCAGCCTATCCCAGCTTCAGCCGGCGAGCCCCGCCGGCAGACACCCGACCTCATATCGGTCGACACCCGATCTTTGAGAGACATTCCCGTGCAACAATTGCCGCCAACATTTGCCCGCACGCGTCCCGCATCAAGCCCGCGGGCTCCTTCGCAGTCCTCGAGTTCGTCCAGCCTGCCTCACCCCATCGCTGAACGGACAAGTGGTCAATCGATCAGTACATCCATATCCAGTAGTGTGGAGAAGCCCAGGCCGTCTATCGATGGACCGAAGCTTTATGAAAGCGATGGTGAGATCAACTGGCATCGAGACGAGTCCGATTTGGATGGGAACCCAAGGGAAAGTTACCGACACAAGGTGTGCGTTATGGCTGGAATGGCCCATGGAGGACAGCCGAAGATAAAAATGCTCGATAGTGGAGGTGCCATGTATCGAGACTTCTGTGCGTTAAGAGTAGTAGTTGATGCATTTTTCGAATACTAATCTTTTACAGTGCTGGGATCGAACCCTGTCATTTTCCCGATATACGCCTTTAAACGGCCCCAGGATGGGGAAAACAGGGAATACCTACTAAAAGTCAACCATGTATCTTTTGAGTTTCCAGTTGAAAAGGGTCAGTCCACTGCACCATAGCCCTCTTGCATATCTTTTTGCAGAACCGCTGACCGACCAAGCTGTCTATCATCTCCAGCAGGTCTTGACGGAGCAGAAGATCCATGTCAGGTTAGTCATGTGGCATGGGCCACGTCGGTGGCGAACACACAGTGCTGACCATAAAACGTGAAAGCTTACGAGCCACTGTTACGCTCAAAAAGAAAGTAAAACTTTTCCGCTACTCCCCATATCCGTTGGAACAATGCCTTGTGCAACTATGGACCGAAGTCGGGGAGTCGATACGCAATCAAGAGGTTATGGCACAAAGCAATGCACCACCGGAATTCGTTAGCCGTTTAGTCTGTTTCAGCACCACCAACACTGACGGAAATGTTTCATACCATATCTCTTCTATTCCCCGTGAGTGTCCACTTGTTATTCCTTCTCATGAAATATGCTAAATCCCCATTCCCCCAGTGATAAACGGCGAAAATATTCTTGAAATGCAGAGTGATACGGTTAATTTCTGCATCAAGATAAGCCGCCGGGAACAGGCCAAAATTGTGGGTTACAAAATGACGGCGTGTGTTACGGAGCGTCCTCCTGGGATAAGTTTTAAGAAGGAAATGTTCCAAAAACATGAATCCAAGAATAACGAGGAAATATACGCGAATATCCAATTGAAGTTCAAGAATATCGAGGGTAAGCAGGTTATGAGCCTAGCATTTACCCACCGAGATGGGCCTGTCTATATGTATAACTAACTAACTCTCTAATGACTGTTGCTAGATTTAAACAGTTTCAAGAACTGTTACGATGGACTGAAGAAAGCGGCGCGGTGATGTAAAATAATAATAATAAGAAACATTGAGGGGGGCGGGGGAGTTGATGTATATATACGGGTATTCAGAGCTGTGAAAAGACATCATCAGCATCATCATCATCATCATCACGCATTGTAGCCATTCCTTTTCTCCTCCTCGAACTTTTGTGTCTGTCTTCGCTCCCAGAACTTGCGATAACTTAGCGTCACAACCAGCAAGATTACCGTTAAGAACGTAAAAATCCACATCTCCTCGTCAAGTTCAGGAACGAGGTACCCATTTTTGGATTTCGTCAATCGTATGTATCCCATCGAAAGCAACGTCTGTAATAATTCCCTATGAGCTTTCCATCGTACTCGGATTACGAGGAAGAAGGAAATTACTAACCGCGACAAAAGTTGCCGGCAGGTACACGAGCGTCAAAAGCGTGATTGTCTTTAGCGCGCCGCCATCCTGGTGCGCTTTCTGCGAGAGTTCCAGCATGATCTGACTATCGTAGCGCGCACTCTCGAGTGCTCTAAAGTCGAGGATCGTGCGGAACTATTCCATCCGCTATGGTCAGCATTCTCGCAGGGCCCACAGCTTGGGGGGGGGGGGGGGGGGGGGATGTATGTACGCACCAACGTAGACACCCCCTCAATCCGCCGCAGCAGGTGCTCCACGCGCTGAGCCTGCACTGCCGTTTCCCCCAGAAACCTGACGAAGTAATCCGCGAGCGCTGCCTTCGGGTCTGCCGAGCAGGCGGTGAGCGAGGGGCCGGGCACCGCCAGCCCCGGGAGCCGGTCCCGCAGCCCGCCAAACACCCCCACGTTCAGACGCAGCACATGGTCTAGCAACAGCACTGTGTCCTTGAGTACCTGCAGCCCCTGGATGTCTGCAAACGAGACGTGCTCGTCGGGCTCCTCCGCCCCAGGGTCTTTTGAGAGGCTCGTCAGGGCAATGTCTGATCCCCTCATTCCCGCCTCCCGCAGACCAGTCAGTGTGCGCGGCGTGTGGTTGCTCAGCTGTGCGAAGTGGTGGCTGGGGACGCTGAGGGACTTGCTTTGCTGTGCCGGTAGTCAGAGGGAAGGCCGCCGGTAGGAAGGGGAGGGGGGGGCGCACCGTCGTTTCAAACTTCGCTTCAAGGTGGTTGACATACTCCCGCCAGCGGTAGGTCATGGCGTATGTCACAGCGACATGCAGGTCCATCCAGCGCATGCCTACCGGTGTGCTCTCGTAGGCCTGTAACCAGTGCTGCTGGAACGTGAGGGACGCGTTCACGAGCACGAAGGTGTGTCCGTGGTTCGGCGCGTCGTAGCCGTGGTACACGCCCATCTGCCGCACAGAATAGATGTCCACCGCCTGCTTTGTGTGTTCGCTGTCGTTCAGCTCGACGTGCTTGCTTAGGTAGCACAGACCTGTGAATAGAGTACAGACACCGGTGAGCATATATCCCCTAGGTGTACGGGCATCACGTGGGAGTACGGCGGTGGCTTACGGAATGAGCCCGACGCTTCCCCTTGGAAGATTGGACGGCTGGCAAAGGTTTCGTCCACAGACGATGTCTTGGTGCCGAAAGCCTGGAGCAAGTCCATAAACTCGCTGAAGACACCGAGGCCACTCAACAGAGTCCGACACCCGTCCTCGGTTATCTGGAGCTTGCCCCACGAGTAGCCTTGAACGATGAGACTGTTTTTCAAATCATCAGTTATGGGGGATCACCAGAGCTACTGTCTAAAAGAAAGAAAAACATACATTATACGAGTTCCTGTGAATGTTGGAAACTTCTAAAAACCGCCAGAGCATAAACCGTAAGTCCTCGGGCCACATCTAGTCGTGCTGACAAATTTGCACGGAGCACGATAAGAACTAACCGTGAGGTATTCCTGGATCTTCAGTTCAGACGTCAGAGTTTCCGCTGCAAGATGTAAGCTGAGCACATGGAAGAAGAGAAGTACTGCATATGTATATAGTAGGGAATAGTGCCGCTCACAGTATCCTTTGTCGCAATGTCTAACCCGCACAGCGTTGGTTTTGGAGAACAGACGGGCAGCGTGCGAGCTGAAACGGGAGTCGTACTCGCCGGAATTGAGGCGGTAGGGGTTGTCGATGTGAGAACTGGCCGGAAATGATGCTACCATGATTCCTAGTACATAGGCAAGCTGAGGAACTAGAGCAAGTAAGGTAATATGTACCTATGTAGTTCACGGGGTGGGGAATGGGGGAAGCCAGAGAGGAATAAATTCACGGCAAAGCGAAGCTGTAGAAGATATAGCATAGGTAACCGGCGCCTTGTTCATTTTGTTCCGCTTGTCATTCTGCCACTGTCACTGTCACTGCGCTTCACTCCGCCTCTTTCCTACACCCCCGCAGTATCAACCACCCACCGCTTGTGTTCACATGAGCACAGCAACCGTAGGGAAACTCATGTCCTGGATGTACCTGATTTCCTCCTGCATTCCACAGCCCCATACGTTAGCGAACCACTCTACTTAGCGGTATCATGGGTGCTGTTGCGGGCGCCCCGCCGACAGTTACTTACGTCGGTCAGCAGCTGGGGAATATCGAGTTCGAAAATTCCGTTTACGGCCTAAGACGGTACGGTCAGCCGAACCAGGCACATTTCAGGATCCCCCGTAGTATCCACCCCCAGACGGAGCCCATCATCAACCGCTTAACTCGTGATCACTGGTCACTCACCCTGGGCCGTGTGTAACAGTTTACCCCAAATAGCTCGTTCAGGCGTTTCTCCAACACGCTGAGCTTGAGATATTTCGCTGTTATAATCTGCCTCGGCATTGTTTTCCGTGTTGATAGGGGGTATGTACGTTCGGTTCGGAGGTGGGTTGTGGTTAACCGGTAATTTGAGATCACAGGTGGAGAAAGAGTAAAAGAAACACCTTTCTCCTCAGGCTATATACTATCTACCATATCAGTGAAGCACAACTTTTTTTAAGGCAGCATCACCATCCCCACCACCATGCGCAGGCAGTTCCGCCAATCAGCGGAGCGAGATCACAGCCGGGGCCCAGACAAACGGACAGACGGACGCAATCTCCATGGTCCCCTACGGTGCCAGGATTCACATTTCGCGTGCGCACGCACTACTCTGCATTCTGCACTCTGGAAGGTGCGCACCCCGACACCGCTCCAGCGCAGCAGGGTGGCATCCCCCGTATCTACATACAATATATTTTTATATAGGTAGTCCGATAATCGGAGAAAAAAAGGGAATATCATATGTACAAACAGACCTACGTACGAAAGGACTGGCTGCGGCCTGGATACCCCGGCACTGAGGCTGATTGATTGGTTGGTTGGGAAATCACCTTCGGTGCCTACCTTATAGTGGTATCTACATGCTAACTGACTATACCTACCACACCTACTCTTTGGCCAGGCCAGGCAGCCGCTCAAAGTTCACAACATCGTCCTCCCCACGCAACGTGCGCGAGCCCAGCTTCCCCTGCCCGATCAAGATGGCCAGTGATGGCTGCCGCAAGGCTTGTTGCTCGGGAAATATGGGCTACCTAGGTAGTTAGATGTGGAACGATCCTGGAGTAGGCGGCTAGGGCGGGTTGGAGTTGAAGGCACAAAAGATGGACACGCCACACAACTAGATTATTTTAATAGTAGGGGGCATGTGCTCTACATCATAGTTACCACCAGCTCAGGTTCCTCCAAAGACGTACATACAGAAACTTTGAAATCCTCGGATGCTGAGACTTACGCTGGTCTCTGAAGTACATACAAAAAATTCCAGATGTCTCATCCGACTCGAGTAATCTATATGTGCTTGTCTGCATACATGTACTGAGCCCGTGTGTCTCTCACGTGATATATCTAATAATTAGAGTATTTGTCTCGCAGCTTCCAATGAGAGGAGCGATATGTAGGATACCTAGATAGGGGATGAGATTATAAGCGACGGACGAGATAAGATAAGGAGGAGTGGCTAGCCGGATCGGGTGGCGCTGAACGTTGTAGGCAACGGTGGAGAGCCATACAACATGGTTCTTCGAAGTTGAATAGAACCTCGACTTCTCCATCATTCATTTTCGCCGTTCGCTCTACCGGGCTCCCTAATTTGGGTAACTACATCTTATTCGTACATTGTACGGTGAATTCTTCGTAGCTGATAACTACTCGAGAGAGTAGACCACAGACAGACGATCACGAAGAACTTCCGATCCATCTTGTAACTACTGAGTTCATATCTGAATCGGTTGTGGTATCTACTATATCTATTAACTATTACAACAGAGCTCTCCGGCCGGTACGGTTTCCATTACGCTCCTTGTACCGGTATTGCCACCATCTCCACTTCCAATGCCGTTTGCGTTGGTGGCTCCTCGAACCCCCACAGGGTTTTTTGTACCTTTGGGCGAACCTGCAGTCTTTCGAGGATGCCCAATATACCACCGTCGCCGATCTGCACGGGCGGAGGTGAGCGATTTTTCGGTAGGATGCAACGGGAGGGATGTAATTATGGTTACGCTGATCATGTGCTTACCTTTTGGTACGTCACCATTCTGGTCTGGCCACGGTATTTCTCTGGGAAGGGATCGTTCGGATCCTCGGGCTTGATCTGGAAGGCTACTCCGACTATTCTCTGCAGCCAGTTGGGCAGCGGATCCGAGACCTGTGCTGCGTGGTCCGTCGTTCTCGCCGTGCTCGGTGTGGTGCCGGCGTTGTCGACGATGACGATGCCGCTCGGATCGGGCGCGGAAGTTTGGATCTCTCGGCGCGCTTCTAGGTCCCCTATAGTTTCGGCTAATGGTCTTTGGAAGGGGTTTTCCAATGGCCACAGAGCAAGTGCCCATATCATCCCCAGCGCCATTGTCCCGAACGCGATCGTCGGCTGCAGCCACATGCCCGAAGGCGTACCCTCAGATTGTTGGCTCGGTATCATGGTGAGGACTATGATTCCCACGTTTACGATCACGATGGAGGCCGTTACGGACACCACTACGAACCGATTCATCAGCGGGAAGGATCGTTGCTTGACGGTCCAGTATAGCGATCCGCAGATTATGGCTATGGGTGATGGCTGTCAGTGGATGCACTTTGGATCGATGTCGATGAACGCGGTCACTCACCAACGACTAAAGTACGGCCGTATGTATACAACCGCAGAGCGATGGTCGACCTGCCCTCCGTGTACGGCGTCGCGACGACGATTATCCCTATGGTACATACGACCCAGTGCACCAGGTACGCACCGGATCTGGTCGGAGAGCTGAACGTCGACTCGTGACAGAGGATCTTCCAGATGGGAATCAGCTTCTGCATTCCGATTTCTCTGCCGACTATACCATCGACGCCGTCAGCTTTTAGTTCTGAGGTATGCAGATATAAGGATGTAAGATGACGTGGGAACGAACCTTGGGAGTATGCATATGTACTCGCGAGTATGTTTCCAACCGGTGAAAGCGAGAAGAAAGCCGCAGCTATAGCCTTGCCCCGTGGGCTATTCATCATCTACAAGGCATCATCAGCACGATCGACTGCAGCCGCGCGTCGAACATTCTTGCTATACCTACCGCGGTTAATCCTTCGTCGCCTACGACCTTATCGAACGGTAGGGCCACCATCTGCAGGGAGCAGTGGTAGTCAGCATCAACTACGCTCAAAGATCTCGCCATTCGCGGGGCCGTCTACATACCACTGCTATGTTGACCATCATGTATAGGATCGTAACGAGTAGTATCGCCATCAAACCCCCAAACTTGAGGGCCCTTCCGGAAGATTCGACCTCCCCCACCACCTATGGTTCGCTTAGTCGGCGTTCCCGTCCACTCATCGTCCTCCTCCTCCTGCTCTGCCCAAAGGATGCGTACATACGTAAAATGGGATCTCCCATCCCTGGTAGCTGAACAACACCACGAAGAGCGCGGATATAGGCTTTGATCCCTTAGTGTGTAGCGTCCACTCATTCTCCGCGAGCCGCCAGCGATACCCTATGATGGAGATCGCCAACAGCAGTATGACCTTGTAGATGGCAAACAGTCTGTTGAAGCGGAGACCCATCCATTTATGTCGGTAGAGGACGAGAGTCACCGCGGTGACGACGGTCACCGCAACCCCCTTCACTGCGTGCGGGTTCAGGTCGTGCGGATCCGTCGTGTGCGGATTGCACGCCTGCAGGACGTACTTGGCGAAGCCGAAGGAGTTCGGGTACGCCGTGCCGAGAGTCAGCTGGTACACCGAGTACGCCAGCCCAGGCAGGTATTGCAGCCGTGGAAGGCGTCTAAATATTCGATCGATCTTTCGAGCGAGGGCGTCAGTAAATAAATACATACATACGTACGTACATACGGTGAATCTCCCCGCCACCGAGAGTAAAAGGTGGGGGAATTTACATATAGCAGCTCCCCTCCATTGAAAGGCCACGCGTTCCCATACTCAACATAAATCGAGAAACTTGCCCGCGCATCAATCAGCAAATGCGAACGCCCGCCCGTCGGATGAGACTCCTCGAGCGGAGGTGGGGAGCGGGTGAGAACCAACCACAAACATGAAAATAACCCGCCAATGAACCACATGCCCAGAGCCAGCCACTGGCTTCCGCAGAACCACAGCACGAGCGAGGGGTTGGTGAAGATGCCCACGCCCACCATGCGGTTGATCATGAGGGCGGCGACATCGTAGCGTGTCAGGACTCGGGGGAGCTCTGTCCTCGGCGCGGGATTGTCGACAGTGACGTGCGCTCGGTCCTTGGTCCGTTGGGTAATGCCGGTCGGGATTTCGCCGTTCAGGTTTCCGTCTTCGGTAGACCGTTCCACAGGTGGGCTCGGGCCCGACATCGCACGCCAATCGGAGTAGAGGCTCCAGCCGAGAACAGGAGCGCGAGCGGTGAGGATGCAACTACTGCAGGAATGGGGTCGGTGGGCGAGGAGGCAGTGGAGAGACGAATGGGATGGGGAGAAAATAGATGGGGAGAAAATAGATGGGGGAGCAAGATATACTAGGTACGAGGTATATACAGAAGAGCCAAACATCGATACGTGGAGATAGTAGAACTACCTATAGTACTATGGAGTCAGCACATTGATTCTCGACTGCCGACCTACCTTGTACCTGGCAGGCTGCCATGCACTCTATTCACAATCATTGCAAGAAGACAACGCTAGAGATTATCCAGCTTTCCCGCATTGCACCTCAGTCCACTGCCCATTCCTCCTGTTTCATTTTTGTCTGTGATCGCATGCCGCGCTCCTCGTTGTGGGCCATACTATCCGCCCCTCTACGTCCAGCCATTCGCGGCTACGGTCTCGCTTCGTCAAGAGACCAACTAACCAATCAAGCCCATGCAGCGCGTGGTCAAACATCGCCTTGGTTTACTACTGTATAGTACTCAAGTAGTGCCGCCACCTCAGCTGTGCCTAGCCGGTGTGGATGGACGGTATCCGGCGGTGATCGATAGTTACCCACGAGTCTGTATGAAGTACGGTATGTACAGATGAAACTTTATGGGAATTGCTGCACCGTGTTGCCGAGAGCAATACGGTAACGGTGTAGCGGAGAGGATGACTGACTCGCCAGGCGCGAGTCGAGATGAGTCGAAGCTTTGGGGGGGAACCCGTTCCAGCGCATTTCGTGGCGAGACCACTGTGCTCAGCCTGGCCATGTATGTAGTGCGCGCAATGCGTGATGGTAGGTGCGCACTCGAAACGTGCGCGCTGCGCACGAATAACTACTGCAGTTCGTCCGGACATTAATTAAGGGTCAAGACATGAAGAAAGTGAATAAATGCGGAAGGTGCGATAATCCTGGACAACTTAGTATGCACAAGAGGGGCGTTTATTCGTTAATTTTTGATTGTTGAGCTAACTGGATTGGGGATTGTTGACTTCCCACGCAGTTCCACTCTGGGACTGGTCACCGGTCCACCGGTATAGCCCCAGCAGCTATTTCTGGATACATAGGAGGTTTTTTTTCCCTTTTTTTCCCCTTAATCGTTGGTTGTATGCAGCTCCTAGATAGGAGGCAGAAGGCAGGCTCCCTCACCCCTAACATGGACCGCACGTTTCAGAGCGAGTGAGATCTTGTCATTACGGTAATGCTCTGCCGCTTCGGCTGCAGACGTGATGGAGGAGCAAACGGAGCAGACAGAGCTGACCGATGCGAGAGTTGTGCCCCCTACAGCGGTGAGGCTGATGCCCCTCTATCTAACGATTTATCTTCCGCAGCAACCTCTTCGCACTGCGCAGAGTGACTGGTAGACGTGCGGTGAAAGCACGCTAGGTATGACTTATCTCATACGAGGATACTGCTAGTGGTTCACCAACGATGGATACACCGCCCTCAGCCTTGTCGGCAGTTTATCCGGAGAGACGATGGTGTGCTACACGTGGATATGTATGCGGGTTAGCCACTTAGTTACCACGCCCAACGAGTCCAGCCCGCGCTGGCTGCGAATCTCAAGAAATGCCCGGCACAGCCCCTCTCCTATCGCCGGGAAGTACCAGGATCTGACATCTAGATTCAGGCGATGGAACGAAGCGAAGTACATACCAACCTAAAGCACAAAGGCGATAGGTGGGAGGCCCCCCGGGTGTTTAGTGTTCGGTCTTCGGAGGGCTGCTTACAAATTTCAATGTGCGAGATCTCCGGATTTTAGTCTTCAGAGATAGGTTCTGGGTGTAGTTGAGTCTCGAGAGTCGGCCCTGGGTACTTACTAGGCACCTAGGTATCTATGTGAAGTAGCAGTGAGGAGGTGAACATTCGCGCCACTTTCGTCGAAGCCGGGGTTGTGCGCCACTACTACCTAGTAGCCTGTGAGAGGCTGGATCACATGGGTCACTATGAGTCACTCGTCTCACTTCAGCATGCTACAAAGAATCGGTAGGTACTCTAGTAAATGTCTGCACCAAATGGAACTACTAGTAACTACAGTAACCAAGTACTCCCAGAAGTCCTATGCGAAAGAACAGCCCCATACCTATCCATGCCCAAACATCAAATGTTCAACTCAGAGAACACATAAGCAACGAAGTGGGCATACATAGCAATATTCCTCGTATCTAGTCCGCTGCGGCACGACCAGTTCTTCACTGGAGCCTTCTATTCATCTTGCCCAATGCGCCGTGTATGCCAACTATATATTATATTTCCAGTTCCGGGCCCGCAGGCGCAATAATCCTACACTCGTCCTCGCCCGCTATCTTCCCCTTAGCTGGTGCTTATCATGGGCTGGCTGGTGCCAGGCCTTGGGGGAGTGGCTCCATCGGTATCTGCGCATTCTCCGCGGCGGAGGGGCGGCGGCGGCTGCGCTCCCCTTGGCCCTCCCAGCAGACCCGACAGCCACTGCAGAAAGTTGAGCTCCCGGAGGTATCTCAACAGACCACCTTCGCCGACCTGCCACGATGTGAGTGAAAAATCTTGGGTGGGATGCCAGATACAATGATACAAATGGGTAGTATCATACCTGTATGTACGTTGCCATTCTCGTCTGTCCACAGTGCTCGCCCGAATTGTTGCAGCCCCTGATCTGTAGTGCTACGCCGAGAGTTTTCTGCACGAAATTGCAATCATCTCCGGTCAAAGGAATGGCAGCGTGCTCCGCAGCCCTCGGCGCGGCTGCGTCCGCGGCACCAACAACGTCGGCGTCATTCTCCGATTGCGCTTCGCTGTCCGAGGGCTTTTGCGACTTCTCCGACGGCCATAGACATAGTCCCCACAGGGTTCCGAGGCCCATCAGGCCGAATGCGACTGCCGGGCGAGCCCATGTCTTGCCTGACGGGTTGTCGTCGCGCGGAATCGGGTACGAGTTGATGATCAGTACGCCGATGTTCACCGAGGATATAAGGATTGCCGCAAGCCACCACAGCCATCGCGAACGACCCCACTCCTTCTCGAACACGCCCCACGGCAGCGCCACGGCGAGAATCACTGCGATTATGCATGCATGTCAGCGTAGTGCACTGCAGTGCGAGTCGCGGCACTGGGTGGTCCCACCGATGATGAAAGTACGCCCATAGTTGTAGATCGTCAACCCGATCGAGAACGTGAATTGTTTGTAGTGCGGAGTGGCAACGGCGACGATCGAGGTGATGCATGCGATCCAGTGCACCAGGTAGGCACCGGAGTTGGTGCGATCGCTGAACTTCGACTGGTGCGCGAGGATCTGCCAGAACGGAAACAGTTTCTGGTCACCAATCATTTTGCCAACTTCCATACTACCAGTCAGTCGTGTGGTACTACCAGTCAGTCGTGTGGAGCTCCGGTTGGATGATGGGACAATGTCAAAGCATAAGGGAAACACACTAACCACAGCCGTACGCATATATGCTCGCGAGCATGTTCCCAACCGGTGAGAGCGAGATGAGAAACGTTACCGCTGCCGCCGCTTGGAGGTTGGTGATCATCTGTCCGGATCAGCGGACTGACCGTTTCTGCCTTGGATCGACGTACATACCGCGCCTACTCCTTCACCATCAACCAGGGCCTGATAGGGTAGAACTACCATCTGGAAGCAACGCGTGGTGAGCATAGGATTAGTGATCCGTTGGAGGCACGTAAATACCAGTGCTATGTTGGCCATCATGTATAACGCCGTGACGGTCGCGATCGCAACGAATCCGCCCTCTCTGACGATGTTCTTGGATGAATGACCTCTGAGCTCGCCCAGGACCTATGAGTAGTAGTTAGTACATGGTACGATTAGACTCCGAGATCGCCTCCCTCCTCCTCCTCCCTCGGGACTCCCTCGGGAGAGCGTACATACATAAAAGGGAATCTCCCAACCCTGGTACGCGTACACAACCGAGAAGAATCCGGAGGCGACTCTCCAGCCGTTGTGATGATGGTTCCACGTGATTCCACTATCGCTGTAGCCATAACCCACGATAGACCCAAAAAACACCAGCACGACTTTGTACACGGCAAATAAGCGATTAAGGCGGAGCGCGAGCCACTTGCATCGGTAGAGGATGAATGTCAACCCGGTGACGACGATCGCCGCGCTCACTTTGATACTTGATCGATCTGCGAGCGCAGTTATAGCGACGTCAGTACGGTCTTCCACCGGTCGGAACGGAATGGAATAGGTAGGTAGATGTCGGCAGAGTCACCGTACATATAGTATATCTCCTCCATTATATGGCCACGTCGTTCCGTACTCAACGTAAACACAGAAACTAAACCAGCACGGTCGTCAGAAATGCCGAGTGAGGAGTAATGATTATGTACAGGGGTGACGGGAGGGGGGCGGGCGAACCAACCACAAAAGGGAAAAGAGTCCGCCAGCAAACCACACCCACAGAGCCAAATGCTGGTTCCCGCAGAACCAAAGTACGGCTGGAGGGTTGGTGAAGATCCCGACGCCTATCATGCGGTTGATCATGAGGCTCGCCACGTCGAACCGTGTGAGATATCAGGTTGGAATGTTCGGTTCGGACCCACGCTCGCTCGCAGTGGTGGGTGCCACCGAAGCTTGCTGACTGGGCTGTGCTCCGGAGTAAACTGGTTGTGGCGGGGTTTCCGCCGATATATTGTCAGGAGACAAAAGTAAAGACATGCCGGGCCAATAGGGCGGGCAAAGTAGAAAAGATCGGTGAAGGCAGCAGTCACGGGAGTAATAAACAATACGGTTGGACGAAAAGCGGCGGAGGAGAAGGATTGAACTTATAAGTTATAACAAGTGAATATTTACGCATAGCTAGCCATTTCGCATGCATGTCGAAACGTGAGGATAGACACTTCAGTGTATGCTTAGCGAGAAGTGGGGCTGACCGTGTCAATTGACTAATTCTCTGCCTACAGCCTGATTCAGGGGTTTTTGTATATCCTCGTTGTCTACAATTCAAGATACATAGGTGTAGAGAGCAAAGTCCTCACTCGGTCCAGACTCCAGACGGGCTGCAGAGTGCAGTATGGAATAATACCAACCTGATGAAATCCTTAACCTGATGAAATCCTGAACCTGAGGAATCCGGACTGACAGCCTGACATCCCATCCCGTCCCATACTCAGCCGTAATTGCTTTTTGTGACTGACGTGGACACCGAGCGGTCCCTCCGTGAAAAGTGCATGACCGTGCTTCTGGCAGGCTCATGGAGTGCGTACCGGAAGGCCAGCAAGACCATTGGTTCGCTCCCACTATGTATCGCTCCTCCTCGGTGGTAGGTGTGTGGCTGAAGCCCCAAGAGCTACACAAATTGGCCTGCTGAAACCTGAAGGCGCGGCCATGCAGATGGGCGGCTAGCTGGATCCGACCTTTCCCCTCCCGAAAACAAAGTCAGTGGTCACCAACACTCACTAGCGTTTCAGTTTCGGGACCTACGAGGGTACTGTGAATTATCCTTGCGTTCAGGCGCTCGTTGGCCGCAGTGCGCAGCGCTCTGTCCAGAACAATGTCTCTTGCATGTGTGGTACCTATTAAGCGCATCTTCCAACTTGGAAGCGAACGGACATCAGACAGTTCCAGTGGAGGCTAACTCAGCCTCTTCTGAGATCTCGCTGGCAGACATCTGGTCAATAGGCAGTGGCTGGTAAAGGTACGGTACTCTACTCGAGAGTTTGATCAGCTACATTCACCCTGGCCCCACATACTGCCAGCTATGTGTAAAAGAAAAGCCAAGAAGAATAAAGGCATGGATTGACGTCAGTCAGTCAGGCTGTGCTGTGCGCAGTGCGCATGCCGCACGGCACCAGTAAGGTATTTCAAAATTCCTACCCACATGTTAGTGAGGGCCAAGCTCCGTCTCGTCTCATATTCGCGATCGCCGAGCTGACGGTACGATAGGGTGCCGAATCTTGCAATATTCGTGCACAGGGGGGTATTTGTCTGCACGGGTCGACTGCGCACGCCTGATCGCCGTCCAAAGCGCCCCTGTGCAAACAAAATACAAGTTGATGAGCCACGGAGAACGTGTCGATGGGACACGGCGCGCGAGGCATAACCTGCTCCCTCGAGGATGACATAATTGGTGGATGCACATTCTTTCGTGTGCGCACTCCCAACTTCGCATGGGGATACCCCAAAACCGGTGATTCCGAGGATTATATAGAGTAGTGGGTATACCGTAGCCGGGGATTAGGCTTGGATATCATTCTTCCCTTCTTCTCCATCAGCACCTATCATACCGAAAGAACACATAACTCACAGAACACGCCCCCGCCCCCCGGGACGTAATCGCGATGACCAAGCAAACCTTGAAGGCGAAATATGTCCAGATCAGTGTGCTAGGTAGTTACTCTAGAGGAGCATCTGCAGATCGATGCTGTTTGCGCCAGGAACCTGCTCGCGGCCGAGGGTGAGCGGTCACTGTGAGCGTGTAATTTCAGCCCCGGCTGTGGAGTTACATACTCTACCGCAGCACGCGGTAGAGTACGGCATGCGCCTGGCATGCCTGACCGTTTCCAGGCTATAAATAGAAGTGTTGCGTTGAACGTTCCTGGGTGGCTGACCGACGGGAGTGGAGTGCTACTCTGGAGTCTAAAGGCCGACTCGCGGGCGTAAAGTACTTGGTAATTAGGTGATTAACACGCAATGCCTTGGAAAGCAGGACCAGTCAAACTGTCAAAGAGATCCACAGTCGCAATTATGTAAGGCAAAGTGGGCAGGGGCGGTGGCGTAAGGATGTACATACGGGGCGCAATGGTGCTATGGGGGCACTGGCGGAATGGAAAGGGGAGGAAAGCCTGTTCTCTACTCTCATATTATCGGCCATGCCCGGAGGTGAATATGCCATATCAGCAGCTTCCGTCCTGATGGATGGTTAACTGATAGATTCTTTTGAATCTCCACAGAATAGCCTCAGCACCTTCTCGAGCCATTCATCCATCCCTATATCCATACACACCAATCGAATAGCCTCAGAACCTTCTCGAGTCATTCATCCATCGCCATTTCCATACATACTAATCGAATACCATGTCATCATTTACAGCCAACCCCTACCGCCACAATGCCGTCGAGTCCGACTCCCGGCTTGCCGATAGTGCTGCTCGGCTCTTCTCATATACCGATTCAGTGCGCGCAATACACTGCGACGGCGGGTATAGTGAGTGACAATCATCCACGCGTATTCTCTAGCCTTTCTACGTGCTTACACACATTTTCAGAGGAGACACTACAATCGCTACCCGCGATCGAGGAATACGTGCAGGTATGTTTGCATCAGTCCCGGGCCTGACCGGCTGCGATTAGCTGACAAGTTCTGCTGCGTTAGAAATTCTCCGCCTTCGCAGGAACCCGCATCATGTACGTCCACCCGGCTGCCAAGTTGGCAACCACCAAGCTGCTGTGAACAATGACCTAACAGCCGCGACAGCATCATCCCGCAGCGGTTCTCGTGGGGCGAGCTAATGGTCTCGGAAGCCAGTCTCCGCACGCTGCTGCAGGGACTGGGAGTTTTCGGCGAGTTCTCGGACCTGATCCGGGCATTCGGCGCGAAGACATCGCCCGTCGACGAGACGTACGCTGTGCGTCCGATCTTCCAGAAGGAGGCGTCGGGTTCTTTCCGTAAGTAAAAAGCGCACCTTCCCTGCGATTGCTAGAGACGAGGCTGACGCGGTGTTGCTGCAGGTCTCTGCTACCTCGCAAAACACGTCGAGCAGAATAATAAGCTGCCCAAGCAGCAAGTGGACATCTACTCCGTACGGCAGATGGCCGTCTACCACGGCTACGACGCACAGAACGACGCACACACGTTCGTGCTGGTGAATCCGTCCACCACGTTCCAGATGCACTGGCTACAGGCGCAAAAGAGCGATCCGCAAGGGATGGGCTGGATGGATTTCCACGTGGCGGTGGCGTATGCCATGTCCTGTCGCTGGCGGGAATATGTCAACCACCTCGAAGACAAGTTCGACAAGACTGTAACCACCCCTGGTCGGCCTCATACCCCGTATACAAGCTCTAACCATTACAACAGCACGACAAATCACTCACCGGTCCGAGCGACGACGACCACGTCGCCTTCGCGGACATCCAGAACCTGCAAATTCTCAAAGACAAAGTCCTGCACCTCGAGCACGTGCTCCGGCTGAACCTCGGCGTATTCCAAGAGCTGCAGAGCCTTCTGCAGACAATATCCGCGCCGGAGCGCGCACTCACCGCGTGTCCCTCTCCCGCCGGCGCAAACCTCAAGATCGCAAATCTCTTCTCCCGATACCTGTCGGAAACCGCAGTCGCCGGGCAGCGCGCTGAGCACCTCATGAAACGCATCGATGGTGCGTCCACGATGGTATGCCATCATCCATGCCCACTGCTTAATTCTCACTCCCACTCCGCTCAAGAAACTGATCTGTCATCCAGTTTCGTACAATCCTAGACTTCACGGCCATGCAGAGCGCCCGCCACGAGAGCGAATCAATGCTGGTCCTGTCGCAGAAAGGACAACGCGACAGCAGGACGATGAAGAATATAACGCTCCTGGCGCTTGTGTTCCTTCCAGCTACATTCGTCGCAGTACGCAACCCCCTCCCCGCCCTCCTTTTAAGTACACACAGCTCATGCGACATACAGACGATCCTTTCGATGAAGTACATAAGCAGCACCCCCGGCGGCGGTCTCCACCTCGCAAACGAGATGTGGATATTCCTGATACTGACACTGCTGTTGTTGGGAGTGACGCTGGGGTACTGGAAGTGCTGGGAGCATCGGCAGGTAGTTTCGACGGATACAGAACAGCAGCGGGAGAGCGGGGGGGATAAGGGAGAAGGGGAAGTGGAAATGGGAGGGCGACTATATGGTACAGTCGGCGGTATCGGAGGGAAGTGGTATGATAGGTATAGAAGTGCGAGGGCGAAGGTATCGTGTAGTCAGCGATGCCGGAGGGAGATGGTATGATGTGTATAGAAGTGGGAGGGAGACTATAATGTGTACAATAGTCAATCGGAGGGTGAGGGAGATGGCAAGTACGGTTCTTCGATGGCGGGACAACGGCGCATAAAAAATAGAATAAAAATAAAAACTTGAAAATCGCCGCTCGTCTAATTAGAATACTTGGTAGAACAAGTGCCCAGAATGGAAGAGACAGCGTACTTACGCATTCGCAGGCGAGAGAGACTTGTTCAGAGGTAGAACAGTCAACGTCGGGAACGCGAATATAAGCTGGAGGAGGATACCCAGAACGGGCACTAGCCCTCTGCGCCCTGCTGCACCCCATAGGGAGTGAATACCTGCACTCTATTTCCAAGAAACGTGTCCATCTACCTACCTAGGTAGTCTTATGCTGCTTCCATCTATTCTACATATCCACATCATCTTGCTACTGAGAGCACGATGCTGTACATTCTACCCCCCTCTTTGTATATATACCGTCTCCAAACGAATCCAACAGAAACATTTGACGCCTTTATATACTCCATTCAGTACATCACCACCCAACCGGTCACCAGCCATTCCTAGTAAATACTTTCCTATATACTTTCCACCCCCCTCGCTTTCTTCCTAACCTTGTAGCATTCTTTAAACCTCCTAAAATCGTCTCTCGCCGATTTCCTGCCGAACCTCAAATGGATAGCCACGTACTTCTGCAGTTTATCTTGCGATTCGCACTCCAGGAACGTTTCCTTCTTCAACGGAATACCAGGAAACCTCTTTTCCGCGGTGCTCGTGAACGTGTAGCAGTTGATGTTGGCGTTTCCCGTGCGGGTAATCGTGATGCAGCGGGTGGGCACGTCCTCTTTCGTCAGGAGTTGGTTGTCCCAGTGTACCACTTCGGCGGGGTGTTCGGGTTAGCAAGCTCCATCGTACTACTGGTTTCGCGGAGGGGGTTAAACTGAGTAAACACTCACAAGGAATAGAAATAAACGATGAATGGTCGCCTTTGGCATCGAACAGGACCAGCCAGCTAACGAACTTGGGCGGAGCATTGCCCTGGCCCTGCCACTTTTCGCGACTGGGAATTGGTGTGCCAAGTTCAGTCCATAGCTGGACCAGATATTGCTTCCACACAAGCTTGGGTTCTTTGCCCGTCACTTTTCGTCCCAAGCTTCGCTTCTTTTCGAGCGCAACTTCGGCTCGCAAGCTGTTCCCATCAGCGATGTGGGCTCCGAGACGTTGGCGTGCACCTCCGCATTAGTTACTAACCTGAGGTGTATTTTTTGTTCTGTCAAGAACTGCTGGAGCTCGTGTGCATCTGGGTCGGTCAGCATGTTCTGGGGGAGACCGCGAGGCGTAGGCTGGACTAACCGTCTCTAGTTGGAAGGCGAAGAGAAATCATGGGGATTTGTATACTGTATTCCGGATTTTCCTCGCCTCTGCCGGGCATGAATGCATAAGCTGGAATCATAACCGAGTTTGTTAAAACAGCTAAGGAGTAGTTATTAGAAAATTCGAACTTGTATCGACCACCGAAAACTTACAGGGTGTTTCGCTGTATTGTCTCTCGTTATCATGCGCTTGTACCTTCAGCGAAACTCCATCTCCATCCGGCACAATAAACACATTGCCCCCGTGTTGAAAGTCGCTCGAATCTAGAGACCAATAGATCTCACCAGGACTCAGATATGTCCCCCTTGGATCGGCGGGCGGCTCATTTAATGGTGCTAGGACTTCCGGAATGCCGCTACTCAGGGATTGAGGAAGCGAAGATCCACTTGCACGTGAGCCGATATCGTTACGGATATCTGCGATAGAATGGGTATCCGAGTGCACAGCGGACCCGGTTGCGGCGAGGTGAGACGCCAAGGGGCGTGAATCCCTTTCACGCAGTGATGCAGCATAACCGTCGATGGACAGTCGCTTGGAGTGCTCGGAGGGGGTAGGTTCGGGACATGGTAAAAAGGATTCGTCTATCTCGGAGTAATATGCCCTAGCCGGAGTTGAACGATACAGAGACGTGTCCTGGCGCGATGCGGCACACCTACTGGTGGATGGTTGGGCTGGATACTCGGCGGATACAAATTGGGTTGATCGGATGGCAGTGGCTATTGTACTCGAAGGCGGGCCGACTGACGTGTCCGGTGTGACGTCCCTCTTGCCGCGGAAGATGTCGCTGGCTGCAGTTGAAGGAGTTGAGGATCTGTCGCGGTAGTCATCTGGTGGGGAGCTCTTTGGAGAATCTCTAAACGACGCTGCGATCGATACGGCCTCGTCTTCATCGAAAGTATGGCGACGAAAATGTGGGCTTTCCTTAGTCCCCACGCCCAAGGCACCATTTTGCAGTCCGGAGATCGATAGACTTTTACCGGTGTCAATGTGGAGTCTGCGGTCGGATGTGACGATGATATCGCTGCTCATGACAATTCGCGAGCCTACTATGTCGTAGCGAGAGTTTCTGGAATTTTCAATCAGAAATATCTTGTGCCGTAAACAGCTGGATGACATACGATTCGTGGGTTGGCATTAAACTGGCATTGGAGCTGGCACTTGTCTGAAGACCTTCACGGGCTCGATCTCTCTAATAGATAAGATCTTTCTCTAGTCTCTCCGATGCTCTGGCGGAATCCATACGTGAGTGGCGTTCGATCCTCAGCATGGATCTCAAAGTTTCCAGAACAGCCTCAGCGAACCCATTATTCCACAGTCGGGCTGACCGTAGTATTTTACGCAATAGTCGCACAACTTCAGGATGAAAGATGGGCTCACCATCGCGGTTAACCTGATAGTAGTAATCGGTTTGGTACTGTGGCTATTTTCGTGATTCGTAAAGCTGCTGAATCCCTTCCGGACCGAAAGCGGTGAACACAAGGATCTCAAGCAAAACACAGGCCATGGCCCAGTCGTCGTACTCCGGGCCCATATGGCTCTCGTTGGAGTTTCCAACGGGGCGGTACGCTTGTTCTCCAGGTCTTTGAGGAATCCTTCGTGTCTTTTCGGAACTTCTCTCCTGCGCGATCAACGCCTGGCCGAAATCGGCTATCACGAGGGTCCCGTCAGAAAACACCAGGATATTCGTAGCTGTGGATATCAAGAAGACACATATCAGCCAGGGCTCTGGAATGGAAATGTATGGGTTGTGAAATACGTTTTATGTCTGCGTGATACCCTCTCCAACTGGTCATGCTCGGTGGTCGATGAAATTTGGCCAAAGCCTTCGGCATGCCAACGGCCTTGTCCCATATAGTGTTCTGGCATATCGAGTCAGAGGTATTGGGCTGATGCTTCCATGGCTTTTGCGCATGAAATCGAGCAGATTTCCAGGCGCCAATGGAAATATGAAGTGTATTTTGTCCCCGCGGCGGAATATCTTCAACACCTTGATGATATGTTTCTCGTTTCCAAGTTCATCCCGGATCTTGGTTATATTAGTCGCCTCTTCATTCAAGGATACTATAGGTCCGGTAGGCAAGTTGACTTCCTTCATCGCATATTTTTTCTTTATTTTCACTTCTGTTAGAACTACAGTGGAGTACTATATATATTCGGGTGCATGATTTGCTTACCGAATCCCCGAACTGGGGGTGCTCATATCCTCGATAGATCTGGAAGGAATAAACTGTGCCGTAGCCGCCTTCTCCGATAAATTGAGTGTTGATGAACGGGAGAGCCCTCTTCGAATCCCAATGGTTAAACCACCGACCTTTGAAGATGGGTGGCGCGAACTGATGTCGACGCCCCAAGAATACTTCGAGAAGATTATCGACTGCTGCGGGAGGTAATCCGAATCCAGCCTCGATCTCCTTGAGATAGGTATCCTTCAGGCGCTCCATATCCAGTCTTTCGTCCAGGAGCGCGTCGCCGCGACCTACAAAGGCTCCGATGAGGGCTGGCAAACCGACATAGACGAGTAGAGCAAACAATCTCAAGGCATCGGACATTATAAACTCGAGGTAAGTGGCCCGTCTCTCGTATCTCCTTTGGAGGATGTACCTTTCATGCTTATCGCACCAGGCACAAGGACATCCCAGAGTGGATTCAACCTGCTTTCTGCTCAAGACGCCCTGGATTGCGTCGAGTGGAAAGAACACTGGCTCATATTCGGACGCCGAATCGACATGCCCTACCTTCTTCAACTTTGCTAATCTAGTGAAATCAAGCTCCTCTTTGAGTGGTGTCGAACGACAGTGGGTCGCGCTATTGGAGGGATTCGCTGGTATTCGGGTAGACTAAGATGGTAGCGCTAGTAGCATGTCCGAATGTCTAGTATCTGCCTTGGTGTCGGACATGGTAGGTACGGCTCATTCGGAACTTGACAAGACTGCGGTGGTGATTGTGTCAATGACGATTGTGGTGTAGGTAGTATTCGAAGATTTCACTTGAGCGCCGTATCGATACGTATCGTGGAGGAGGCGGGGGTCGCGGGATCCGGAGCCTGAGCTGAAAGCAGCAGAGTGTTTTCGAGGTCAGAAAGCGCGTTTCTCGTGGATCTCATCCGGCTGTAGCTCCGAAGACGGTTGTTGATCATGGGGGGTAAAGGTATATCGTCGAGGAGTCGTTTGGTCGCGGTGGGCAAACGTGATAGTAGCGAGGTGATGGTCCATCTGTACGCTGGGCCTTTGGGCGTATGACATAAGGTAGGTGCGCTAGGTTTCACCGACTTTCCGATGGACCATTCAGCCTCGAGTCCGAGTAGGTATGTAGCACTCGAATGGCCGGTGGTGGAAGCCCACGCATCGATCGGTTCTAGTGGTATCGGTCGTTCGCAGTCCCCTGGTGGGGGGGGGGGGGGGGGGGCTTGCCGGCCAACCGTAGAGTAGATAGCTCACCAGGGCAGACAGTTGCACCAATCTCAGCTTAGACTTCCATGCGCTGCGCACGAACACACGGTACTCCGCAGTGACCACATGCATCGTTACGTTTGTGTGTAGTCAGTGGCGTCAGGCTACACTTCTCGGTACATCCCGTGTAGAGTCATAAGTGAGTACGGAGGCTGCGACAAGGTTATGGAGATCCCCTCTTACCCTCTTCACTCACAACTACGGTATTCAGGTCTACGCAAAGACAGCTATCAGCACGTGTCTGCCCAGGAATCCGGCACGTGACGTGTAGCCACAGTGGCGCTATGTGGTGGCTACAACCCATATCTACAGGTGATCAAAGCTTATCTGTGTTGCTTGACGGTGCGGCGGCTTGGCTTTCCAGGTTTGCACCTCTGCTTAGTCGACATCGCCTTTGAAGAATCACACATCGCTGCGTGCGCTCAGAGAGTGTCACGCGGCTGTAATGCCGACCATCTCAATCTGCCCCCGCCTCACCCGCACCCCATTCACCGCCCACCGGATTTTGGCGGTCACATAGTGGGCGGCGACGGGAGCCTGGGCAACCTTGGAGAGGAATTTGATCTTGGGGTAGACCGGTCACCGATAGCCCAGTCCTGACTCCTTGAGATTTGTGTTCTCGTCGGAGTCCATTCCATACATCAATCAGGATATTGTTCAGTGCGCCACGACGAACCACAGCGTACGATGGTTGATTGCCACGATGTGACGAGGCTCGCAGTTGTTTACGGCTGCGTGGCTTTGCGAAAATTAGGTAACCAAGTGGCTCATAATTTGCCGCCCCTCTGCTCAGTACATACGGAAAACACAGCTACACAAGCGTTCCCCTCATACATGCCCGAGATCGCACACTGGAGACCTGTTTACCGGTAAGCCGGAGTGACAATCTGAGACCGAAGATAGGGTACTCACCCCTGCATTAGTGCTAATACATACTCGAAGTACCCTAGTAGCGAAGCTCGTAGGCCTGTGATCAGCGCAGGAATTAATAGAGTACCTAGTAATTCATCACGATTCATAGTAGTCAGCGTATGCGCAGATGTGACACCATTTTCTTCCACGGATACGTCCGTCACCGACCGGCTTGGTTGCGCACACCTAGTGCATCCACTTCTCATATCTACCCGACGAGAAGGAATGCAATCCAAGCTAATTTAACTGCATTTACTCTTAGCAACTACATCTAACTCGTATCTACGTGTCATGAAAATATCGAAGCATTTCCTCGACTCGAAAACATGCTGTTTTTTTGGTGTTCGCTGTCTCGCTCTGATGATCTGAGATTCTGAGCGTTCCAAGCAGCCACGGATATATCATATCACTCGTCGGATCATTGAGATTTCCGAATCACAGCTCACGCAGTGTGACTGACTAAGTAGGTACCGGTAACTGGGATCGATCCAATCCCGTCAACAGCCCCAGGGCCAGAGCTACCGTACGTTTCACCATAACTGCTCCGACCGTTGTTTCCGTGCTTACACATGTCTTCCCCTAGGTGGGGAGGTTTTAGAAGGAGCATGATGGAGGTTTCTGAAATCAAGAAAGTGGCGTCCGGCCAAGAAGCAGTGCAAAAATACGGAAAGTGAAACCCCAAGGTGTGTGGGAGCGGACCTATGATAAGCACACTGCACGCAGCGGTCTGTCCACACTAACTCTTTTGAAGTAGATACCGGTAGTAGTACATTCCTAAATCTCATTGTTCAATGACGACGAACAACTTGTAGGTATCCATCATGATATCCAGGCGGGGTTGTTAGATGTACGTGCGTGCTAGTTACTCTAGAGTACCTACGGTAACTCGTAGACTGCCGGGCCCCTCAGACGTCTCTAGAGATAAAGTTCCAGGTATTTTATAGTTCTTCCCGCCCGTGCTGTACATACCGGCAACTACTCCACCAACCTATCTACTATTACTTACTTCGGTACCTATCAGCGACCCGAAACCGGGGACGGGATCCAATCGGGCGGCGCTACCGAAAGGGTTGCGTACTAGGACATGGTGTCCCGCGTCTGCGGGCTGGAAGCGATTACAGGACGATTATTGTTTGCACCTATTGCAGCGTTTATAGGCTCGGTATTCCCTTGCTTGGGAATGGAGGGTGTGGGAGCACAGTCGGCCCCGCCCCGCTGTCAACCAACTTTCAAATCGCGGTGGTTCAGTTTAGTTATCTATCACCCAGAACCCTGTTCTGATCCCGAAGGGCCCAGTCCGTATGTAGCGAACATGAATATCTGCGTTCGTCTTGCTATGCATGGTGGCAGGTGCGCATGGAGACATGTCTCACTTCAGCATCTTGGCGCCTATCATTGGGTAAGCAAGTCTCGAGTACTCTTCATTCTCTACATGTCTGCGCTATTCTCAGGTGTCACCGTAGTCAGTGTCTGCGGCCCGCGAACTCGATGTTCAAGGAGGGAAGGAGTGAGTACCTTCAGGCCCAGGGCCAATGGGCGCATCGTTTCTCGCCACACAGGTCTTGGAGCGGAGGGGGAGAAGTGGGAGGCGGGAGAGGGTCTTAAAATGCGGAAAACAGTATGTTAAGAGGGGGCTCCGTGTTATTGTTTCTCATATCCTTCGAGCCTTCTATCCCATCTCTGTGCTCTGGATCCGATTTTTCCTTCATACCGATCCTATTTTATTTTTCATCGACTACCTCCGACTCCTCGCCCGTGTTCCTGGCCCGCAACTCTTCACAGTTTGACCAAGATGTCCGACGAAGCCGCTCAGCAGCCTAGGAGAGGAGACCTTGAAACTGGGCCGCTGCCTCCAGGACCGCGGTGGCAAGACCCAATCGAATCAGGGATAAACAAACACGGCACGAACGATTCTCTTGAGGACATCGAGGACCCGAAATTAACACCATTCGACGTTGGGAGCTTCATGATCAATCGCATGATCGGTGTCGGAATTTTCACCAACCCTCCGCTCGTACTATGGTTCTGTGGAAATCAGCACCTGGCCCTCTGGGTGTGGTTCGCTGGAGGGCTGTTTTCTCTCATGTGGTTGGTTTGCCTGCTCGGCCCTCACCCCCGCCTCTGGGCCTCTCCCGTATATATCACTCGGCTTTCTGACGATCGTTAAGCTTCTGCGTGTACGTTGAGTACGGCGCCGCGTGGCATTACAACGGCGGGGAGCTACTATACGTATGCTTGTTGCATCATGACTGCTAGTGGACGTGTGTACCATATTGACTTCCGAGTTCATAGCTCGACCGGATATTCCGTTCGAAACGGATCAAGCGGCTTCGATACCTGCCCCCTCTGGCATTCTCGTTCTCCATGATCCTTATCGGGACTGCATACCCAAACGCGTTCGGATTCGCGAAGCATATCCTCATATCCTTCAATCCGCACATCAAGGACCCGTACCAGCTCGACCAGCACGCGGTCAAGGGAGTCGCCGTGGCTGTCGTTACGGCGGTGACGCTCATCCTCTACCGAAACAAATGGCTAGCCATCCGCATGAATAGACTGTTTGCTGTGTATAAAGTTGGATTGCTCTTTGGGTTGTCCATAGTGGGATACGCTCACCGCCACGAGGGGGTCACATGGTCGCAACCATTCAACGGATCAAAATTCATTTCCGGCTTCTTCGTGGTCATGTTCAGTTACCAGGGATGGGAGATCCCCTTCTATGTACGCAAACCTTCTTTGAAGAGATGGGGGGGATGAAACATCGTCTAACCCAGCCACAGGTCTTGGGCGAGCTCGCCGAAGACCGCTCGTGCAAGAAGATGCTCAGGATCGGCGGCATCTCTGCGATCGTGGCCGTCACGATGTTGTACATGATGGTCAACGTAGCAGTGGTATGTACCAGTACACAGAGCAAACTCGCGCGAGGAAGATGGACGCCGCTGACCACAGCCCTGCTACTCCCAGATGGTGGTTTTACCGTTCGAGACGCTCGTGGGTGGTGAAGGATTGGCCGCAGTGGGTATATCGAGCACAGTAGTGGCGGGGCCAGCCAGCTAAACACGGGACAGATAACCGAAAAGCCATGGGCCACATCCACGGCGGCGTTCCTCGTCTCGCTCTCACCGGTCGGAAACATAATCGCGAGCACCTATGTGTACGCCCGTGGTAGGTGCATTCGAGCGTCCCAGCCACCGGCTGCAAAAACTCCCCCGAATGAGACTGATTGATTCGGAACGAAAGTCTGCCAGATAATCGGGGAACAGAAGCTGGTTCCCTTCTGGAAGATCCTCCAGCGCAGGTCGAAATTCGAGCCCAAGACCAGCTCCGGTGGTTACCTGGTGCACTGGATCACATGCACTGCCGCGATCGTCGCAGTCGCTACGCCGCACTATAAGGCCTCCAGCTCCTCCATCGGCATGCCGGTTTACGTCTATGCGCGTGCTCTGATCGTCGGTGAGTTGCACATACATATATACCGTGACCTCAACGCTCACTGAAACCCGGCGCCCTAGCCATCATTGCCGGAGCTCTGTTGTACACAGTCAAGATAGACACGCGCATCTGGATGTGGAGATTTTTGACGGGCGTGGTAGTGCTCGTGAACATCGCCGTGATGGTTATCACCATGATCCCGAGCCAGCAAGACAAGGACGCGCCGCTGCGGATGTGGTTGCAGCCCGTAGTCGGGCTCGGCACGATGGGCCTCGGAATCCTGTGGGGCGTGCTTCTCTGGCCGCTGGAAAAGCCGCCACCCCCCGTTTCGGGAGACAATGGGGTGCGCGCCAACACTGCCAGTCCCGACGACACAATGCGCACCGCCAACGTCACGCCACGGAGCGAGGTCACCCAGATCACCGAGGTCAAAGTCCAGGACTTCGTGGTCCCGGAACCGTTGTTGAAGAGCGAAGAATACAACATGCTGCAGAAGCTACTCGGCTTCGCACTCGTGATCGAGCACGAGCCCCCGGAAGGCTGGCCGAGTGAAGAAAACAATCAGGGTAGAGGTAATCGTCCTCTCGCGGAACAAAAAGACGACCAGGCGAAAACAAAGGACAAGCACATGGGACAGCCGAGGGTGGTGACTTACGTAAAGGTATACCTACCTCGACCTATCCCAAATCTCTCCAGAGTTCTCCGTTGGCTCACTCAGTGATAGGTTAGAAACGGCGGGCTGTTGGGATTCCTCAGAGGCCTCACACCTCCGGAGTGGGTACGAAAATACCTGTGGCCCAATAAGGAGCGGCTGGCGGCCTAAGTAGAATGGCCTCGCTCGCTCACGGGCTCGATTCAATCTAGGTTGAGATAATCGGTATATAGGCACTATGGCGGGAATGCCAGATGATGGCTCTCCTTAGCTAGTAAAGATGAAGTATGTACCTACAGTAGCAAAAAGTGGGGTGCGATTACTACCTAAAAAATACCGCGGTCATTTTAATACCGAAGAACTACCAGGTTTTTACTAAGGGCCCGTTTGGATGGCCTCAGTTTTAGCGAAAACTGTCAGTTTTTCGAGAAAATGAGCAAACAAAACTGAGACCCCGTTTGCATGGCACAAAAACTTTTTTTAAAAAAAAACTGAAACTGTGCGGCTCCAGCGACGAAACTGGTGCTAACCTCGAGAGGTCATTTCTTTGCCGCCACTCAGTATCGAATTTTAACTTCAACCATGGACTCCCTTTACGGGAAGAGAAAAAAGCGGGACTACAATGTGTCCACTACATATTAAAGTTCTGGCGAAACCTATTATTCAGACTCATGGCTGAGTATACTGAAAATTGCCAAACACTCTGTTCATCTCACAGTTCTCCGGAAACTGAAACTGTACAGTATTCGGTGTCCCGGCGGGGAACTGAATTTCGCTCTAAAACTGGAACTGAAAACTGAGGCCATCCAAACGGGCCTTGACCCGTAGTTTTGGTTAAGTAAAAACCTGGTAGTTCTTCGGTATTCAAATGACCGCGGTATTCACCCCGTATCAATCGCACCCTACTTTTTGCTACTGTATGTAGATAGAGAATACAATACCCACACTCCCAGCTGCCGCACAATTGTCGACTACGTTCGAGCGTGAGTATTCACCATGTTCGGTGGATGAACTTTGTGTCAACCGTCGACTCGCTAGCTCGTACGCAACAGCGAACCACCTCCTTGGAGAGCTGCAAGCTGCAAGTCTGCAAGCTGCGAAACATGCATCGTAGTGTATAGTATACCGTACACGTCAACCGAAGATAATGGGGAACCCCGACAATGGTCGGGGGGGCATTCTACTAGTACCGTATTGTGCGGCATTGATTCGAAGTATGTACACGGGTGTTCTCTCCACGCAAGGTCTGTATCTAAGTACTACTCTACCTAGGCCAAACGTTTTTGCCCAGAGGCCATTTTACACCAAAATACCCATTTTCACGTAACCAAAACCCACCCTTCACTTGGCGGGAAAAAATCAGGTGTTTCATAGAAGCTTTGAAACTGCAAGAACTATCACCTACCTATAAGAAGTCTGATGGCTTTTGCTTCGGAATGGTGGCGCACTGTATGGTGTTGTGGACGGGTTGGAAAGTGATTTCAGATTTTGTATGGGGCCCTCATACAAAATTATTGCGTGACAACCAGTGTCAACGCCTACCTACTTTTCTCCCATATGGTATTACTCAACCACAACGAGTTAGGTCCCGTTTGGATGGCCTCAGTTTTAGCGAAAACTGAAACTGTGCCGCTTCGGCGATTTTTCTTCGCCACCGCCCAGTACCGCATTTTAACTTCAACCATGGACTCCCTTTAGGGGGAAGACAAAAAGTGGGGCTACAATGTGTCTACTATTAAAGTTCTGGTGAAGCCTATTATTCAGACCTATGGCAGAGCATACTGAGAACTACCAAATACCCTGTTCACCTCAAGGTTTTCCGGAAACTGAAACTGAACGTATTCGGTGTCCCGGCGGGGAACTTAATTTGGCTCTAAAACTGGAACTAAAAAGTGAGTGCATCCAAACGGACCCTTAGAGTTATTTGCCGATTTCAATTAAAGTTCTCGACCTAGTCTGGGAGACCTTTTAATGGCCCAAATATTTTTATACTATCATACGGTTGCTGTATCCATGGCTGGAAATGACCTGTCTTGGTGAAAGAGAAATCCGCTCAGCCACCCTGCTTCGCATAAAATAATCAGCCTAGCGGGCTGGAAATCTCATTAAAGCTTTATTAATATATACCTACATACCTAGATAGGTACCTACCTATGTATTCATGATGTATGCCAATTATTAGCACTTTCTAAAGTGTGGTTGTTGAGATTTGTGGGTGTAATTGTCTAGTTGTACATACCCGGGTGAGCAAAAACTTTTGACCTGGTACTTACCATACGCGATCCCACACAATGTTCGCGCGAGCCCAGTTCCCCGCCCACCGCACGATCACCGCCACCGACCGTCAGGAAAGCGGGCCTGCTGGGTGCCGGGTAGATTGGCAGAGCACTGTCGCAACGAGTGATTGATTCCGTTGTGGCGCTTTGACGTTGAAGTTGAAGACCTGAGGCGTGGGACACGAACTCCCCCCCACAAGTGAATCATTATCCTCATCATCGCTCACTCACTCACTCACTCGTATTCTTCAATCGATCGGGCTAAGAGACTGGATTGCCGCATTGTGCTCAGCGCTCGAGGGCCAAGGTCTGCAGCGGATGGAACATCAGTAGAGTGCTTTCTGAAACATAACCACTGGTCAGCGACACTGCTTCAACCATTTACCTATTAATTTTCCTCTACCGCGGTTTCCTACCTAGTTTCCGATCCGTACAGGAGCCAGAAGACAGCTCAGTCTTGTGCACATGTTCGCGATGCGATGCTCGAGAATTGTTTCGTTTGGGCTCCGTTTGGTTGGTTGGTTGGAAGTCCGAAGTCACCCCATCGGTTGGCTGCGAAGCCCTAGAGCCCTCGTATTGCCACTCACATTTCACGAGAGCTCCACTTGAGACGTGTATGTAGTCTCATTCGTGCCCCGTCGGATGGTACCTAGGTAAGTATGTATGTGTGTACGGCGTGATTCTTGATCTGCGGCACTGCCTGCCTGCCCGCCTTGGTGCACTAGCTATTAGTTCCCGTCGCGATTGCAGTCCGTTCATACATAGAGTATGTGTCGCCTGTTCGTTGTTTTGTTTTTTTATTATTTGCTTTGTTGTCTTTAAGGACCGTTGAATGGCCGGCTTGGTGATAACTACCCTTGACGCACGAAAGCGGGGTCCAATAGGCAGTTACCTAGATACTGCAGTTCGCATTGTGCTTGTGCTTGTGCATGTGCTTGTGCTTGTGCCTTTAGAAGCATCGATAATTCTTCTGAGCCATCCACTCAGCTTCGCCGACTTTGGAAGCACACTCCGTTTTCTAATTGTCCAGCCCGGAGTCCAACTCATGATTCTGCGCACGCACATTCAGAGCTGCGAGTCCGTGGGAGGCCTTCGCCCTGATCGTAGAGAAACCCAGCAGCTCACAGTGTATCACGGAATATATAGCCCACGGGAAGAGAAATTGGGGGGCAGCACTTCGAATTCCTTCTGTTCTAATTCTCACCATCACCACCACTGCGACTCGCTCGTACTTTGTGGAATACGAACACACCCACACCCACACATACACACCCGTCGACACTGCCCGGCCACACGGAAACCATGATCCAGCAGACGTTGAAAGCTACGTACATCAAGGTCAGCGTGTTGAAAGCGCAGTTGGAGGTGATATTTGGGCCAGGCATTACGGTTCCGCGGGTGAGTACATACTAAGTGTTTTCATAACCAGTTTATGTTTCAGCTCCGCCTACTACGTACTGGGCGCGCAGGCGGGCAGGTGGGCGGGCGAAGTTGTTTGTTAGCTGACAATCTTTAGGCCATCAACGGAATGTTCGAGCTGAATATCCCATCCCCATTGTCGAAGGTAAGAACAGTGCCAAAGGACGGGCGAGTGCGAGTGAGAGTGTGCGCACAGAGTATTGACAGATGCTAACGCACAAGGTATTGGCGATTTAGGATCAAGTCCAGAAGATTCAAGATATCAGCTATCCTCCGGAACCTTCGTACATGTGAGGTGTGGTGGATTGTGGCGATGGGGAGAGGGGGAGGCGGGATTGAAGGGAGCGCAATGGCCGGCTATGCCGTGGTGTTCCACCTTGCAACGGTGGCATTGGCAGTGTGTCCGTAGTCAATGAACTTGTACTTGGTTATATTATATATTCCGCAGTTTCTGTCAATTCCCAACTCCTCAACGAGCTCTCCTCTGTGAATATCCAAATAGATATCGCTCAAGCGCCCTTCTCTTGACTATACCCGTCAATTAATCATGGCATCATCGTTCTTAGCCTGTTCCCCAACAGAAAACCCTTACCGCCTCAACGCGGGGGAGTACGAGTCACGGCTCCACAACAACGCCAATCTATTGTTTTCCGCTACGGATTCAACTACGAAGGTCATACACTGTCACGAAGATCACAGTGAGTGACAATCGAATGCTACTCGATTCTTTTTCCTCGTGCACGTGCTTATATTAGAATGTTATCAAGCGAGGGATTTGACATCACTATCGAAGATTGAGGAATACTTCCAGGTTAGTTTAGATTTCGCATAGGTATCATTGTTGGGTATGGCACTTGCTTACGCGGTTTATGATACGCTGATTAGACCTACCCAAATTTCTCTGGAACACGAATCATGTAAGCCCTACCTAACCATACATTAACCAGTTGCCCTGGAGCGTATGATTAAACATATCTCAATAGAATGATCTACCAAAGAAATTCATGGGGCAGGCTCATGATATCCGAAGATGAGTTTTCCAGGCTCCTGGGCGGGCTGGGCGTCTTCGGCGAGTTTGCGGAGCTAGTTCAAGCGTTCGGCACCAAAACCTCAGCCGTCGATGAAACATTCGCCAGCCGTCCGATCTTTCAAGGAGACACATCGGGATCATTTCGTGAGCACATCCCAGTCCTAGAATGTTGAGAGGGAAATAAATACTCACAGCGGGTTATACCTATGTCAGGCCTCAGCTACCTGATCAAACACGTGGAAGCGAACAAAAAGGAGCAGACAGTCGACCCATACTCTGTACGGCAGATGGCCGTATACCATGGCTACGATGCACCAAACGAGGGGCACACATTTGTCCTCGTGAATCCGTCCATCACGTTCCAGAAGCACTGGAAACAAGCAAAAGAGAAGTCGGATCCCCGGCGGGGGATGGGCTGGATGGATCTCCATGTTGCTGTGGCGTACGCGATGACCTGTGGATGGCGGAAATATGTCAACTACCTTGAGTCCGAGTTCGATAGGACTGTAAGCTCACTGGCCGCCGCGGCCCTCCTCATCATTGCATTCTGACGTTTTTACGGCGGCACAGCAAACAAAGTCGTTCGGCGACGCGAACTTCCATTTCTCACAGGCGCGGATGATAACGGGTCTCAGTCAAAAAAGGTCGCCACAGAAACCCGTTGCTGCTCTAGACCGGGTGGCAGTGTCCACCACCGAACTCACGAATATCCGCGAATACGTTACCTTCGAAGACATCCAAAGCTTGCAGATCTTGAAGGATCGGGTCCTGCTGCTCGAACACGTTCTCCTCCTGAACCTGGGAGTGTTCGAGGCGCTGAAGGAGCGGCTGGTCACGCTGGAAGCGGCGGGGTTGGCACTTACGGGGTGCGCCGGGAAACCGCAGGATGAGGTGGCGAATATCTTCTCACGATACCTATCGGACACGGTGGTGGCGGGCCACCGCGTCGACCATTTACTCAAACGCATCGAGGGTGCATCTAACTTGGTGTGCTCGAAATTCGCACTAGACCGTGTACCCAGACGGCTGACGGATCGATTTTCCAGTTGCGCACTATACTCGACTTCAGAGCTCTGGAGACTGCACGCTACGACAATGAAATCATGCTAGACCTCTCCAAGAAAGCACACCAAGACGGTAGGACGCTGAAGACCATCACGCTCTTGACACTTGTGTACCTACCGGCGACATTCGTCGCGGTGAGCAATCCCCCGCCAAAAAAAACCCCTTCGTAGGCACAGCCAGCTTATATAAGGTTTCAGACACTACTTTCCATGGGCTACATAAGGTTCACGTCTAAAAACGGACACATTGTTCTCGAACTTTCAAGCGAGCTGTGGATTTTCACGCTCTTGACAGCAGTGTTGTTGGCGATTACCATGGGGTATCGGAAGTACTGGGAGTGTCGGCAGCGATCCAAGGCACGGAAGCAAGAGGAGGAAAGAGGGATGTGTGATCTTGCATAGGGCCGAAGGAGGCAGCAGATATTTTGATTCATAGTTCTATATCCACTACTGTGCACATACATTTCCAATATCAGTCCAATTGGTACCCCTTAATGCCGGCTTAGCCTCGTCCTTTCTTCAGACCGTTGTAGCAATCTCTGAACTCCTTAAAATCGATTAAAGCTGGTCACAGGTGTCACAAAGTCAGTCACTACTCAGGTACATAAAAACCAAACATCAGGGCAGAACTCACTCTGTGCTTTATCACCGACGAATTCCAAGTGAACTGTTGAGTATTTCTCACAATTTCTGTTGGATTCGTGTGCTTCAAACTTTTCCTTCTTCATATGTATCCCAGGAAGGCCGCTTGCCGTCTTCGCGAACTTATAGCCCTTGATTTTTGCCTTTAACGAGCGGCTTATCGTGATGCAGCGCTGGCCTAAATCTTTGCTCCACTGAAGGTGATTATCCCCATCTATCACTTCGGGGGGTTTAGCAAGCTCATGGCTTCACAACGGCGCATAGGTAGATAAACACTCACAGGGAATGGAAACGAAGAACATGTCATCCTCTTCGGTATTGAAGACGACCAGACGGCTAACGAACTGCGGTGGTGCATTGCTCTGTGAGGCCCACACTTCTCTACTGTGGATTGGTTTTCCGACCTCGGTCCATAATTGTACTAGAGATTCCTTCAGAATAAGGTTGGGTCCCGCGGATTTTAGTGCTAGAGCGTGTTTCTTCCTCCTTTCTAGCTTGACGGTGGCTCGTACACTTTTCTGATCAGCGATGCGGATTCTAAATCGCCGTCGTTTTTTTTTCTTTTGGCAAAACTAACCTGATGTGGATATGTTGCTTCGTCAAAACTTCATGGAGCTCATGGGCATCTTTTCGATTAGCCGTTGGTGAGGAAACTTATAAGGCAATGGTTGGACTGACCTTTTCTAGTCGGAAGAAACAGAGAGAACGGACCGACTTGTATCTTATAATCCTTCATTTCCACGCCCGGGTCGGGTAGTATGAAAGCGAAAGCCGGAATCATCGGAGCGTCGGCGAGGACAGCTACAGAATATGTTAGCATTTCGAAGATCCACAGAGTTTTCCGTAACTTACAAACCACTTCAAGAAGGCCATTCGAGTTGTCGTGCGGTCGTATGCTCAGTGGCCCTCCAGTCTTGCTAGCCACAAATAATACCTTGCCCTCGTTGTTCTTGCCATCCCCGTTCGAAAACCCGCATTTAGGACTCAGATATATCTCTTTTTCGTCGCCATTAATCCTGGTTTGGCACTGAGAAATGGCGCCCATGGAGAGTGCACTTATTGAAAGATCACTCGCCCGCGGTTGGGAATAATAAGAAGCTTCATTCAAGGATTGGGTTTCTGCCGGTGATCGAACGGTCTTACCGAAGGAAATTTTGGGCGAAGAGCTGGATTGAAATGGCCGGTTGTGTGGTGTCGCATAACTATCGGTTGATTTCTGTCTGTGATGCTCGGTGGAAATCGTGCTCGGGCAGTAGGTGCCAGGTGGAATGGCGTCGACTCCCCTGCGGCGAGATACGCTGGTCGCAGATGAGGAATGGGAGGACCTATTGCGACTTTGTGCGGTATATCTGCTGGCGGATGATCTCGTAGAGTGCTCAGAGGAAATGGAACGTGAGTCTGATAAACTGCTGTCGTCTATCTCGTGAGGGATCGTCGAAGCCACGGCAAGCGGATATATGTTGGGTCGTGATGTTCTATGACCACTTGTGGTGGAAATGCTTTGCAAACGACGGGGGTCCGAAAGGGCGAAACCCCCACCGTGAGGCACGCCGGTCGCAGTCGAGGGGCGGGAAGGTATGTTTCGGTTCTCCCATGAGTGGAGACTTTTGGGAGACATACTAACGGGGGAATGTCGGATAACCCCTTCCTGGTCGAAATATACGTTTTTGAAATCCATAAATCCTGGTGTGCCCGGTTGGTTGTTCGCTGGGATTGATGGAATTCCCCCAGTGTCAATCATGGGTCCGGAGTCGGAGATGCCCTTTCCCGCGCCAGCTTGGGGGGATGCTTGGCAGGAAGAACCCCTACTACGCTGTGATCAGCAATGTCTCGATGTCTAATATATCTGGTTGTCTTACAATTGTTTTGATAGCCTCTGGTCGGCATTGGGAGGCCAAGAAGTTTCGGGGCAAGCAGGACCACTCCTGTTGGAGCTGGTCCGTCTACCTCTATTTGCTTGGTTTCTCCAGTAATTGAGTTTCTCTCGTAGCTGGGATGCTGCTTCGCCGGAGTCCATACGCGTTTTGTGATTGATTCTCAACATGGATTTCACAATCTCCAATGCGGCTACCGTAAACTTAACATCCACCGACCAGCTCGCCACCTCGCTCGCTAATCCTCCCAGCAGTTCTTCAACTTCTGGATGGATAAAGCGCTGATCATCCCTGACTTGGTAATAGTAATCGGTTGGGTACTGAGTCTTCTGTCTTGCATTCTTGAGTTCCCAGACACCTCTAGGACCTTTGATGGCGAAGACAAGAATCTCGAGGAGGACACAGCCCATCGCCCAGTCATCGTATTCAGGACCCATGAAACTTTCCTTGGAGTTCTCGGGAGGGCGGTAAGCTTGTTCTCCAGGCCGTTGAAGAATCCTTCGTGTCTTTTCGGAACTTCGCTTCTGCGCGATCAATGCCTGGCCGAAATCAGTTATAACCATCGTGCCGTCATCAAAAACCAGGATATTCGTAGCTGCAAGTGTGAACCTATATCAGACAGAGGTCAAGCCTAAAGGGCGTCCGAGTAACCAAGTATGCACATACGTTTTATGTCTGCGTGATACCCTCTCCAACTGGTCATGCCCGGTGGTCGATGAAACTTGGCCAAAGCCTTCAGCATGCCAACGGCCTCGTCCCATATAGTGTTCTGGCATATCGAGTCGCAGGTATTGGGCTGATGTTTCCATGGCTCTTCCATGAACTTTTCCAGATTCCCACGCGCTAATGGGAATATGAAGTGTAGCTTGTCACCGCGGCGGAATATCTTCAGCACCTTGATGATGTGCTTCTCGTCTCCGAGCTCCTCCCGAATCTTCGTGAGAGTCTCTGCCTCGGCATTCATGGACCCCGACTGTGCAGGCAAGCCCACTTCCTTCATGGCAAACCCTGTCTTTGTAATGGTTGTCAGTATCCATGAAAATCCAGATGCTTGAGTGCTTACCGAAACTTCGAACTTGAACTTCTCATAGCCGGGATAGATCTGGAAGGAATAAACCGTGCCATAGCCGCCTTTTCCAACAAACCGAGTGTTGATGAACGGAAGAGCCTTCTTCGGATCCCACTGCTCAGACCATCCCCCTTCAAGGACAGGCGGGGAAAATTCATGCCGATGGATTAAAAACAGGTCAAGCAGACCGGTAAACGCCGTGAGTGGTACGCTATTTATGCGCTCGAAGCCCTTCAAGTGCGTCTTCTTGAGCCGTTCCATATCCAGATCTTCGTCCAGGATTGCGTCAGCTGTTCTCAAAAAGCCCACAATGAGAGCTGGAAGCCCAACATAGACCAGGAGCGCAAATAATCTCAAGGCTCTGTTCGTAACGAAATCGATGTAATCGATCCGTTTTCCGCAATTAAAGTGTCGAAATATGCTCCCCTCATCCTTCTCGCACCAGTTGCAAGGACAACTCAGAACAAATTCGACTTTGTCTCTGCTCAAGACTTCCTCGATCACATCGCGCGGAAAGAAAACGGGGTCATATCCAGGCGCTGACTTGACATGCCCTACCTGCTTCAATTTCGCTTTTCTGGTATCATCGAGTTGCTTCTTGAGTGGTGGGGCTCGGCATTCGTCCGGATATGTGGCGGACATCGTAGGTTCGTCTCGTGCGGACTTTCGCAAGGTGATCGAGCGGATAGTGGATGGATACCGAGAGCTGCCGATTGAATTCGTATCGTGACGGAGCGAGATTCTCGAGGCTCGGGATTTATGAAGTAGCAGAGTGTCGCAAGATCAGGAAGCGCGTTGTTTCTCGTGAATCCCGTGCGTTTACTGTCCCGTCCGTTTATTATTCCCGAAGGAAACGTTGACTATGGGCGTGAGTATGTGGTCAAGGCAGCAAATTGCTCGTTGGAGTGGGTGGGCATGTTGGGTTGCGACGATGCGATGATCCCTCGTATGCCCCGCCTTTTTGGTGTGACATCGCATCGACAACCCAGTTGGACGATTCAGCAGCCGCTCGTTGGGATCGATCAGCATCAAGAGTGTGTGGCACTCGAGCGATCGCAAATTGGAGAGAGCTGCTACATATCTAGAAAAGCACACATCATGGTCTGCTCTACCAATGGTACCAATTCATCAGCCCCCTAGCGTTTGCAGAAATTCTCACATGTACCTATGTAGAGTGAGTGCACCAGTACCGGCGATCATTTCAGCCTCAACATTGCGGCCACCCTACTTACATACTAAAAGCCCATTCTCCAAGCAAGTCAAATCATGCATGAAGAAATTTGGTGATGATCATGAGCTTAGAGCTCTTGGTTGGTCAGAGCTAGCCAGTAGCCGGCAGAGCTCAGGAGACGGGCGGCGCCCAGGGATTCGCAGTAGCGGCCTAGGTACCAGGCCATAGCGATAGCTAAACCACACAGAGCCTTGACAGGTGCAGTTTACTGGTACGCTCCGGATGGAGAATCAAAGGAGGTACATCGGCATATTTGCACGGCGATTGAATAAGCTAGCATAGGTTCTCACCTGGCGATCGACATCTCAAATAATAGGACCGTATACATTAGTTGCCGGTCTGATGAAGAAGCTTTTGTCTCCTTGGTGCGCTCTACGTGTATCACTAGGACAGACCATGGCGGAGGGCAGGATGTTGCCATGATTTATGAAGGTCGCCTGCAATCAATGAACAATCATCACCATCACCACCACCATCATCGTCATCATTATATTGGCTGCCGGCTTACATACAGACTGAATACAGTGTGATAAAACATAAAACTCCCCATTAGCCATAGACAGCGACTCCCGCGGTGAACCGGAGGGTCGATAGGTATTTGTCGTACTCGCAAGGCTGCTATCACAAAACTGCTCGTATACAGACTTCTTTATTTTCATTGCAGTCGCTGAACCCCAGGTTTCCATGCTATATGTATGAATTATCAATCTCCATTGCATTCAGCCAGCACTCATCCTATATAAACAGCCGAGAAGCTGACAAAAACAGTCAGTACCCTTTCTAACCCAGTTTTGTCTGATCTCTACCAGAGATTAGCAATTGCCAGCTATCTGTCCTGCTCTTTGACCTTTGACCTTTGACCTTTGGCCCTGGATTCCATATAGCCTCTTGCAGTAGGCATCTGCTCCTGAGTCTTCAGTAAATCCTTTCCGCCACTATTCTGCGTCCCCAGAACCACATAGGTAGGTAGGTACCTAGCTGGCCAGGCATATCTCAAACAAAAGCGACCAGACACTCCGAAAACAAAACTGAGACGACGGTACCCGAGACTCACCGATGGTCAACCACCGCCCGTCCTAAACACGCCGCACCATCTGAGAAGGGAGTGGGAGGGAGACGCTGAGGTTCTATGACTGTAGTTGTCACTCTTGTTTGCTAGGTGGCCACGACTACATAAAAGGCTGAGAGCAATTTGGTCTGTAGGCTGGGTGATGGATGGTGTCCGGCCTTTTGCTTTGCCCCCGGCCTCTTCCTCAATCTGCTGTGTAGCTTCCTCTGCTCGTTCTTTGCACGAGCTCGCGAGAAATCGCGGGCAAGTATTGTATAAGCCACGACATTCCTCCGTGGTCGTGACTCGCATGTTCGAATTCGATTGTTTTGACCGCACGCATCCAACCAACGATTCCCAAGTTCTCCATTCTATTACACGGGACAATCAACTAGATATGTAGGTGCTGTACATCCACCATTACCACTCTCGTTCGTAATACAAGCTAACGCCGTCCGAGCCCACAATCATCACATCATTAATCATAGCCCATCCAAGGGATCTTCAGATACCATCACCAATAACCCCCACACCGCCCCCCAGCCCCGCCCAAACACCCCTCGGCCCCTCCTCCTCCGACTGCTGAAACTTCCCACCACTGCCCCTAACCGGAATGCCCCGCCGCTTCGCCTTCTTCCTCGATCCGCCAGCACAGAGTGTATCCAGTTCCTCGGCGATGATCTTAGCATCGCGCAGCTGTTCAATCGCATGCTGGTTGTATCCGTGAGCTGTCGCTTCCGCAGCGGCCATGGCAGTATTGACTTCTTCCACTTTTTTGTTGGCGGCTAAGATCACGTCGTCGTCCGGGGACGGGAGGAGCTCCGTGAGCTCTATGCGCCGGCGAGCGAAGGAGCTGGCGGCCCAGTTCTGGGCAACTAGGAGGGACTTTTGTGTGCGTACCAGCGGGAGAAGGTGTTCACAGCGAGCGAGGACGCGGAGGACCTGCGGGGCTGGGAGCGGTGGGGAAACGTCGAGGCGCGAAGCAAGGAGTTCTTTTATTTCCTCGCTCTGCTCGGCATCTTCGCTGGATAGTGGTTCAGCAGTAGTATGTAGTGTGTCGGTCATGTGTTCTAGCAGTTCAGTGCGCGCGGAGAGGTAGCCGGCGTAGGCGGCGTCGATATCTTGGAGGACTTCGGCGATCGTTTTGGTGGAGGTTGTGGTAGCGGCGGCAGTAGATGATTTCTCCATGTCTATATCCTCCGCTGTCGGTGCAGTGGTCTCCTCCACCTCCTCGTGCGTCAACGCCTTCTCCAACCACGCCAAAAGCTCCGTCTGCACAGCCCTCAACCCATCCATCCTCCTCCCAAACCCACCATTACCCAACTTCCCCACCTTGGCCGTCTCCTCCGCCAGCGCCTCACTAGCCTCCACAATCCTTCTCTGCACCGCCAACACAACCGCTTCACACCCAGCCTCAACCCCACCCTTGCCCGCCTCTTCCGCCGCCTTCCCAGCCGGCATCAACGCCTCCGGCATCTCCGGCGGCTTCTCCGCGTACGCACCACCTAGCCCACCCGGTGGCCGCTCAATACTCGCATCAGCCAGCGCGGCCACGCCCTCCCGCAGCACCGTCAACCGTCCCACCTGCCTCCTCAACCGTAAAACATCGACATACGCCTGTTTCCACCCATCTGCCTCGCGTCCCGCCTCCTCTTCATCATCATCATCCTCCCCATCCCCGCCACTATCCCCCTCCTCCGAAGCCGCCAGCGCAGCAACAGCGGCCGCATACTCCCTCTTCGCCTCGACATTCTCCCTTAGCGCAGCAAGATAGTTCTTCCGGACGCCATCGTGGCGGCCCAGCTCCAATTCCAGGAACCTTCGGAACTCGTCGGCGCTACCCGAAGCGGAGGTGATGCGCGGCTGCGCGGCGAGGTGGTGGAGGTGCGTGGTCAGCAGGGAGCGGGTTCTGTGCGTCTCGGCGGGAGGGTGGACATATGCGGCCAATTCGCGGTGGACCGCCGGCAAGGGGAAGGATGGTGGCAGCGGCGGGTTGGATGGCTCCATTGTGGTCTGTTGTTGTTGTCGTTGTTGGGGGGATTCCGGGGAAGACGCGATGTGGCGATCGATGCAGGGTTGGTGGCGGCCTTGGCGTGTATGGGTACCTTGGTAGTCATCACGTGTATCTATGGCTTCGCTGGCGCTTTGCACAAGAGAGCGTTCCGCCCATGTCCGTGTACATACATTGCCATGATCCGATGTAATTAGATTATCTACTGTAGCTGGTGAATTGACACAGCCGAATGGGCCTCGCCCGGAAGACATCTTGTAGTAGCAAGAGCGGTGGAGGTGGGAATGTACCGGTAGTGTGATATGAAAAAACGAGAGGAATCATAGACCAAAGGCGTTGAGTAATGATCCCATAATTTGGGACAACAAAACACTCCAAGAAAGCCCTCATTCCCGCCTTTCGCCATGTATTTAAGTGCATACATATCATCATTATCCACAGCCCATCATGCTTGAACAACAATCGCTCGGCCACTCAATGTCATCATTGAAACGCCGCCAGTAATAATGCCTCTATTCTGTATTCACACAACTACCGTGCAGCAAACCAATCCTGCTGCACATGCCCCAGTAGTTATCCAAGATGATAATCCCATACATCGAAACAAAAAATTTATCATAGGAAACGAACTCCGAAAACCCGCCACAGAAATCCACCACCCATCCACCCATCAATCAAAAAAGAAAACAAAAGAAAAGAAAAGAAAAAGTATAGTATGCAAACAGTAATTCCATTGAACGCCGTCCCCCTCCCCTCTGCACCCAGCATCTTGAACCAACAAATGGAAAGGGAAAAAAAAAAAGAAAACCCCCCGGAAAAAAATGCTTTCTTGCCCGTCGGTCGAGCCTAAGCAGTGGTAAAGGCCTCTGGCCCAAGCTTGCCGTTCTCCTGTTTCAACTGTTAGAATATATCCTGTGAAATCAAAGACGGTGTGTAAGGTACCTTCGCCCACATGTAAGCGTTCCACCCGTTGGCCAAGTCCCAGTTGGTGTCGGCAAGACACATCTCGGCGTACTCGAGGGTTAGCCCTGTCTTCTCGGCCAGCATCTGGCATTTCTGCCGTTTCTCATCCTCGGTCGGGGCGCTGGGGACGGGCTGGGCGGTGGAGACGGGCTGGGCGGTGGAGACGGGCTGGGCGATGGGGACGGCCTGGACAGGTGGCTGGATGGCCGCCGCCGCTGCCACGGGAACAACAGCAGGCGGAGCATCCGGGACCACCTTCCAAGCCTCGGCGCCTCCATACGCTCTGACCGTCATCATGTCGTTGACGACCTTAACAGCGCCGGATCCGTCGATCCAGAGTAAAAACGTTCTGTCGAAGCTGCGCTTGACGGGTTCTCCAGCTCCCGGATTCAACTCGTCAAATTCGCCGTGGGCCGTCACGAGCATTCCAAGGACACCGGGGGATATTTCCGTGGGAAATGCGTCAAAGCACCATGCAGCCACGTTATTGAGCACGTGCTGGGTGGCTGGGAGGCCAGTCCAACACTCCCGAATCTGGTCAGGACCTTTGTAGATACGGTCCTCGACGGCCGAGGCCTTAGTGATCCGCCTCAAGTTGCGCGACTTGGGAAGGTAGGCAGGCCAATGCTGGGCGACGTCCGCAATCTCCTGGACCCGAGGAGCCGAGGTGTTGACCGAAATCGAAAACTGCGAATCTGCGGTGTAAAACTTCGCAAGGATTCCATCCTTGTTGTTGTCGATCTGCGTGTAAAAACTATCACTAAGATCAGCATGCGATACTGAGGGGTCCAGGTACGGGGGCAACCAACTCGGACAGGAAAGGCATCACAATCCCATGCTCATCGAACATGAGGTTTTCCTTTACTGGCATCGGTAAGGACTCGTCCGAACCGTCGGCAGGTCGTTCGACGGCGATGTTGTCAAGCATGACAAGCTTTGGATAACGACGGATCATTTCCTCTCTGTAGTTTGGCAGGCTGGCAACAGGATTTCCGGTAAATATCAACTGTTGCAAGTGTCTGAATCGGGTCCTCCACCCATCCAAGGACTTCAGGTCCTCAATGTCGTTGCCTTCCATGCTCAAGTTCTTCAGATCCGGGAACGTGATGCTGAGAGTGGTGACGGGACTGATGAGCTTGAGCGCGTTGTGCGCCAAAGAAACCGAGTGGACGAGGTCGCGTTTTTGCTGCGGGGAGTCGAACTTCTTCTCGGCCACGGCCATGAGAGCTGGGAACATCTTGCTCGTCGTACTGTTGAGCTGAAAGAACCCGTTCTGCTGGAGGAGAGGATCTTCGGCGAGCTTCGAAAGATCCAGCAACTTCATCTCCGGGTTGTACCTATTGCGAAGAACCTCCTCAAGAATCTTGATGGTTTCGACCGTGCTACTGCTCTGTGGCGTGGCATCCTCCATGGCAGTGTTGAACATGTCGTTCATCACATCAGCCGTGATCTTAATGTTCACTCCAGCAAACTTGGCCTTGTCCCAGTCGAGTACGGACTGCAAGTCCGATGCGGGTACATAGATGATCAGGAACTCTCCCTGCTTCTGGGTCTATCACAAAAAACGAGTCACCTTAGCATTGCCCGAAATCCTCCACCTCACCATCGCCCCTAGACACCCCTCCGCCCACCCCTTCCCTCGAGTACCAGAGGGCCCTGTGCCCACCGACTCCGACGACGGAAGATGTCGAATTGCAGCGCGAGAGATGTGACTGTCTGATATGCCCCATGCATCAAAAGGATCGCAGGGATTAATCGTAATCTCGTGGTGGAGCATATCGTGGGCGCCTCTCTTCCGTCTCTCGATCGTAGCCCTCACTCCGACATACAGCTGTACACGCGGGGTACGTGGATGAAGGAGGGGGGATCCACAACCTATCAAGTAAAGCAAAAGGCAATGATCGAGCGGGGTCTCACCTTTCTGAACCTCATGTTCGTCTTTCTCTCAAGAAATCGAACGCATTCTTCAGCGCTTCCCTTGCTTTGCTTCCATCCTTCCACCCGCACACCCATCAGGGGTCCAGTACGAGACTGCTGACCGCCCCTCCTCGAACCGCTCGCACCAGGACCGCCTCTGTTTCTCGTTCCGACAGGATTCCTCGAGCCCCGACCTCCTCTGCCCGCACCACTCCCGCTTCCGCTTCCCGCGCGATCTCGATCGGCAGCTGGGCCTCTAGGAGCGTCGTTGATGTTAACCGAACGACCTCCGCGTCTCGAGCCACGACCACCCCTGCCACCTCCAGCTCCTCCTCGAGCGCCTCCGGCGGCGTCCATGTCAAGATCGCCGTCCCGGTCAACACGAGCACGGCCACCACCGCTGCTCCGTTTCTGAATGCCACCGCTGCTGACCCGCGAGGAAAGAGAAGTAGACATTTCGAGTGTGATAGTATCGTTATCGCCCGGTGATGCGTGTGTATGGTTTTTTTGTGTTATTTGATATTGTTTATGCTGTGCACGAACCAAATCAGTTACGTTCTGCCGTCGTGATTGAGTAGTCACTGGTGGGGGTGGTGGTGGGGCTGTGGTGACTCTCGGAGTGGTGATTCATCATCGCGGCAATTTCCGAACCGGACTAGCACATCACCACCACCGCCAACAACCACGCGCGATCGCGAGGCGCGACACGGCTAGAGAGACGAGAAGAAACAGTAGAAGAAGGTGCGCAACATACCAATAGTGATGAGCGCGTCGCTCTGGAAGTATCAACCTCGGTAAGGGATGTGTGACGTCGCTCACCCCGGGGTGATGTGTGATATGCGTGAGAAGAGCAAAGAGCTGTGATCTCGGTTGGGGGGTTCTTATTTTTGGTGGAGAAGGTAGCTTGATAGGAGGAGAGAGAATAGCAGGCGCGGGAGGAGGTGTGGACAGTGGATGCGGTTGTGGTGAGAAGTAGCAGTTGTCGCGTGTTCTCTCAGGGAGTTTGGTGATGGTTGGTGGGTTGAAGAGAAGAAGAAGGAGGCGATGCAGTAGAAGGGTTGCTCACATGAGGCTCAACTGCAGCACTAACCGTAACAATACACTAGTGCTGCGGCTCAGCCTTGCCAAGCAATAGACAACCACAAGGCCAGCTTGACACTTGAATGACAGTTTCAGAACAGAAGAGAAGAGCTGATTGACTCTCAACGCACTGGTTCCAACTTTGTGTCGCTCAACTTGACCGGGCTCGATTAGGCCGTCTGGCGAGTGACACTCTATGACTCCGCCTTGCTGTTGCCCTGCTACCTTTTCGATAGTAGCGACACGGAGGTATATAACATATCTTTCCACTGAAAATTGTCTCGTTACCATCCCGAGCTCATTATAATATTTTTGTAGTGCTGAAAGCCGTGGCCTTGCGGATACACATTCCGCTTGACGAAAGTGAGCTCGAGATTACCGGTATATGCCTGATGAGCTCTTAGGAATGGAATAGGACTTCTCGTAACAGACCGTTCAGTACAGTAGCAAAAAGTAGGGTACGATTGATACGGGGTGAATACCGCAGTCATTTGAATACCGCAGAACTACCAGCTTTTACTTAGAAACCTGGTAGTTCTTCGGTATTCAAATGACTACGGTATTCACCCCGTATCAATCGCACCCTACTTTTTGCTACTGTAAGTAAATACTTCCTACTGATCGGCAACCCGAGACACAACGAGCTATAGTAGATTAGTTGAGTCACTTTCGTTATATATATGAAAAGAACAAGCGGCTCATACGGCCAGATGTGATATTTGAAAGCGGGTATAGCCACGTCGTATTTCTCGCCATTCACACAGAATGCTCGACTACATACAAGCAGAGAAACAACTCTACAAGATACAAGAAAGCCAGGTCCGATAATTGCTAGCGCTCACCGCTGATCACTCATACTACCTGTCTCTACACGTGTTGATATTATGCGTCTTATTGCATGTTCCGGTGTCACTACTCCTTTTCTCTGTCCTCTATCCTTTTGCATCGTCACATACAGCCTTCATGGTCTTCGTGGCTTCTTAGCATTGCCCCTAACTCTTTGAGCCCCCAGCCCGGATCCGGCGACTGCTATCGTCGCATCCTCTGTCTGAGGCCCGGCTTCATCTCGTTGTTTACACGAGCTCGTTTCCCTTTATAAGCAGTCTCCTTTCTACTATAATCTTTCTCGTATCATTACTTCAATCAAGTCAAGTTTTTCTCTCAGTTTCAACAACACGCCATCTTATACGAGCTGTTCGACATACTGCGCGGCACCACTCGTCTCGGGAAATTTAAATTGAACGAGCTGCATGAACGCGGTGAAGTGCGGCACCCGGAAGCGAGCGGGCAACGCCGGGGTTGTCATTTCTGAAAGAAATCTCTCCAGGAGTTCCGGATGGAATGGGCCATGGTAACTCCGTTGTAGGGACGATCAATGAGGGCCCCGTTGACGGGGGAATGAACACCCGCACTGAGCATGTCCATCAGTCGCCAGAAACAGCATTTTTTTCTCGGGGTGGAAGAAGGAAGAAACACAAAAGATTGACTTCAGATACTAACAAACGAATAAACTGCGCATGATGGCCCACCAGCTTATCAGCAGATGTTTCCGCGGTTCCATGAGGGTCAATATGCATGTGCAGCTTACACTTTCCGAACCGGCAGGCCGAAATCCGGGAACGAACCAACGATTCCCTCGTTCACCAAGTCGGAAGGAAATAGCCTGCCAATATATCACGGAAGTCGTAGAACACCATCACGGAAACATCGCGAGCTGCCGGCTGCAACTGTTGTGACGTTTGTTCACTTCGCTAGGATGTGACAAGCGAAGCCGTGACTCAGCACGCGGATCCAAGCAAGCAGCAAGCTCCTTCGTTCGGTTAGCTACCTGGTACCGATCAGTGATCACCACACCATGGAGCGAAATCTCTGGAACGTCAACTGAGAATAATCACGGTACGTTACAGCCCCGAACCCTTCCGAATCCCAAGTCAAGAGAATTTCAGGGTGTGGCTAACCGGTGGTTCATCCCACCGCGAATAGATACTGCCCTTTCCCGGCGCAAAGAGTGCTGCCCCCCCCCCCCCCCCCCCCCCCCTCACCCAACATCACAGGCAACAGCTGTATGCTGTCCTCAGCCCTCAGCCTGCCGGTACGATCGCATCAAGCCCAATAAGACCCTGCCTGCGACTGCCTTCTGACTGCTTTCCGATTGGTATTGATTTGTTGGACGTATTGAAGGCGCATTAAGGTATCCACCCTTCCAGCCGGCTGCCCAAACCCCGAGAACGAGCTACTGATCTCTTCTTGTTCCGGTGCGTTTTCGACTCTATGAACACCGCCCATGTATCGTATGGTGCACGATACCTGGGAGATACGTGATTACTGTGGCGGAGTAAGGATGGGACTGCGTGGAGGGATATGATCTATACCGCAGCCGTTCCACGGACCAGGATTGTGACTCGTACATATCGGAGATGATACGGTACAACAGCAGGTTAGTAGTACCGTAATCCACCACACACCCGGGAGAGCCAGCAGTTGCAGCAACAGCGCTGTTAGAAATTGGCCTGGTAAGTAGCGTAAGGCATTGGTAGCCGCGCAGCCTGTGCGAGCAAACCCAGCTTCCTCTCCAATATCCATCACCATGGAATGAACACCTGATCGGAGCATGGATCAGCGAGGGTGTTTCTACCGTGGAAACAACACGGACGCCGGGCCCAGCTGGTTTCACGACTGCGGGAGTGCTGGCGACAGAACCATCATCCACCGAAGAAGAAGCGGGCGTGCCCGCGAAAAACGATCGTTCTAATCATCTATGTAGCAGCAACACAACACCAACTTCGTGCAGCACATCCGGCCATTCCCGTGGGTACCGTAATCCGCAAACGTCGAGCAGACCAAACTTTGAAAACGTCGAGCAGCTCATGAGTCATAACCACCTTGGTAGGTACATACATCGAATCATGCAGCCTCCGCGCTCTATACCGGCCCGTTTTGATCCAAAGACAACGACGAAACTGTCCCTGATTCTAGGGCCCACAGCCAGAGTAGGTATAGTACTGCGCAGCTCCAAGCACGCTCGCTCGCTGAGCGTGCGTGCTTCTGCCCATTGGCTGCAGGTAGGATGAGAGATCCTCGCCGGTGCGGTGGACATGAGGAGCACTGCACGCCGGTGTCGTGGTGGAGTTGGCGTAGCAGGTGGATGCGGAGGATGAGGAGGAGAAGAAGAAGAAGGAAACAGAAAGTATCTATCGGCAGTCAAAGTATCCGACACCCCAACTAAGATTTCAGCATTCAGCGGCAACCCGCGACTATACTATAGTAGTGATCGGTGACGACCAAGACGCACAGCCCATCACTCATCAAATGACAACTACCTACGAAAGGTGCAGGAGGGGTTCACCTGCCCGTAATAATTTTCCCTCGCGATCCCACTACGGATAACAGGCCTGTCCGGATCGGAGCGAGCGAGCGGTACGCGTAGGCACGCGTTCTTGGGAAACGCACATCCGAATATGACCAGCGGACGCGAGCGGGGAGCCATCTAGGTATAGGTACCACTCTGTTGTGTGTATATTACCGTGGATTATGCCTACTTTGTAGCATTTCCGATGCGGCTGACCGCGTTATCATACCTACACAAGTACCAACTTCTCTCTGCCCCTCCAGTAACTATCCGTAGTAATCCTCCTCGGCCGAAATCCGAGCCGAAAGCGCGCGCAGTAGATTACCGTACCTGTAACCTATCGCGCGCGAAATCCCTCTTGAGATCCCCAATCCATCGGTGATCCATCCATCCACGGTACCTAGTCTGTTCATGTAGCCTGTACATAGGTAGAGTATGATGCTGTAGGCCGCCAGCAAGTGAGACGGGCCTAAACTTCATGCCGCTTTCTGGGCCGGTTGGTAGGCTTCGTGGCGGCGGAATATTATTTCTTCAGCTTTTTCTTTTTTTTTTCTTTTCGTTTTTTTCTTTTTTTTTTCTTTTCGTTTTTTTCTTTGCAGATTTGCGGATTTGCGGATTTGCTGAATTTTCCGAGATCTCGCTGTAATTACCCAGATTTGAGACAGATTTTCTTTCTTTCAGCTGGTTGTTTGAATACTGTGCAGTAGATAAGTACCAGGTAGGTAGACACAGCCTGCTGATAACGTCCGGCCCGCCTATGGGAGATAGATGCGTGTATCTCGCGGCACAGAGCTTGGGTATGCTACGATGGCAGTGGTTGAGTACTGTAGAGAAATGGATAGCGGAACACCTATCCTCCACCGGTGAACAATCCACCTGTATCGGTTCGTCGCTAGAACCGCAATAGCGAGCTTGAGCTGGCTAGTTCACTTCCATCGTTTTGACTTCACTTTACCTGACTTCACTTTCCTACATACCCTATAGTACCTACAGTCTACTACGAAGCGTCGGCACCCACAGCATCGAGTAAGATCAAAGGTAAGATGCGCCCCTGCATTCATGCAAGCATGCATGATGTCTCACTCGCGAGTCTCCAATATCTACTACCTGTGAGACACCAGTACTGCGTGGAAGATTCTCCGACGTCCAGTGATCTGATCTAGATTGCTCTGGCTTGCTTTAATGGCATTTGATTTCGAATTTTCACGGGGGTTTCAGTAGGCTGTAGCGTAGGCGGGCTGGTGGGCTGGTGGGCTGGTGGGCTGCCAGCAGTCGGAAGTCGGAACTACACTGTACATACGGTGTATTGTACATTGTATTGTGTAAACGCGTTTCGTTACTACCGCTGACTACCTATAGCAGAGTAACTACAGTATTGCGTCCTGCTATTCCACTACGGTAGGCCATCCATCCATCCACATCGAAAGCGGCCACGCAAGATGGTGGAGGAAGGAAAGGAAACATCCACAGCCCATCCGCCCCCACTGCCTCCCTCGTTCACTCACCAAAAACCAAAAACCAAGCACCAAACAACCGACCTCAACACCCGAACGCCTCGCCTCGCAAATTCGCAATCGCAACAGCGCATAATCCCCGGAATAGAACCCCCGCCACCCCGGCTTGACGTACTCTATTCCGCCGCCCGCATGCGCATACATACGGTGCGGCAACACGAATCGGCAACACGAATCGGCACCGTACCTACCGCACCATACCGTACGGTGCCGTGCGGTACGGTGCCAATCACGGCATCGAGCTGGCGCAACCATGGGAATCATGGGAATCACTCGTGCACCTGCTCGTGCTCGTGCGCGTGCTCGTGCGGGACGGCATTCGCTTACTGGAACGAGTGCGACCCTCCGTCTTTCTGCTCGAGCCAGGATGCTGGGTATGATGAGTAAACAAACTCCCGTCTTTCCACTCCGCGCCCGCGGACTGCAATAGGTAGATGCTACCGGTAGTAATGCCGTCCTGCAAGTGATGCCGCCACGCCGCCACCGCCATCCGGCCATTGCGCCATCGTTCGTTCGGCCTGAAGGTCCGAAGGACTGCATCCGTCCTATGTGCCGTACCTGTTCCCAGCTTGCTAGACGATCAGAACCGGGGCAACGGCGGCGATCCTCCACGATCTTCCACCACTGAGTCTTTGACAGCTGTCTACTCCACTTACTCTACGGTATATACCCAGCCACAGATCAGCACCTTTTCTTCACTTCTCTCCGTCGTTTCGGCGGGCGGCGCCGGCGGCGGTGGTGGCGGGTGCTTCAATCGGCGCTCGCTACCCAGATCCCGGCAAGCGCCTACCTTCTCTAGGCTCTAGACTAACTTGCATCGCACTCCCCGAAACGAAGAGGGGTGGCGCCGTGGCGGTACTGGCGACTGGCGGCGGGGTGGAAACACACCACGTTCCGAGCAAGCATGCGACAAGTTAGTGCAGTGAACGGCATTGACATCGGCACTGTGGCGTTGTGGTGTTGGATGGCGCTGAGCGCTGCATGATGATGTTGATGATGATGCGAAGCAGCAGTGGGGAGGAGTGGGGCAAGTCTCGTGCGATTGGGTCACGACTCTATACACTGCAGATCCAATTGCCAGATACACTTGCCATGGCAATGGCAGTGGCAGTGGCAGTTGCAGTGGCAGTTGCAGTGGCAGTTGCAGTGGCAGTTACAGTTGCACACTCAGTTGCGGTTGCAGTTCAATGCAGTCGCAAAAATAGCAGTCATCTCTCCTCCTCCTCCTCCCCCAGTCCCGAATCCCGACTCCCCATTCGCTCTCGCTTCCGTGGGGGGGAAAACGCGGGGTGGGGGGAGCGCTCAGCAGGGCAATCACCGCGATCTCGGTGGCCATTTCCCCTTCCCCTCTCGAAGCGAAATTCATGCTGGCGACGTGTTTTTCGGTGGCGTCGAAACGTCAAGGGCGAATCACTGCGCGCTGTACGCACGATGCTCCGTATCACGACGAGACGAGAGTTGAGACGCGACGCGGTTCATGGTTCATGGTGGGCTATTCTTGGGCTTGGAGTGTGGCGGGTGCGTGGACTTGGATGTGGGACGGTGAAACGGTGAGGTGAAACGGTGAGGCGAATCGGCGAGTGCTTGTGTATGGTGGACACTGGAGTCTCGACAGGACAGGACAGGACAGGACAGAACGGGAGAGAACGGGAGAGAACGGAGACGATCGGTTGCGCGTCCCGAGTGGAAGTTAGTGCATCTCCATACTGCGTCAAGTAACCAACCAAGAAGTATCCACAGGAAGTACCTTCTCTACTTACTCCAGCCCGCCATTGGTATGTCCCGCCCGCCGCATCGAGAGGGTGGACAGTGGACACAGACATCGTCAGTTTGGCGACAACTAATTGGCGGCGGCGGCGGCGGCGGCGGACGTAACTACATCCTACATATGCGTGCCCACTGCCCACTGCCCACCAAGTGGTTGGGGAATCGTGTGTATGTGTGTGTGAATGTACTCACATATGTAGAGTATGTAGAGTATGCAGTCAGCGCTGCGGCCGTGGCAACCTCCTCATGTATATACTGCTACTCTAGCCAGTAGTACCTATGGAAGTGCTTGCTTCCCATGCAGAGTATGCAGAGGTACCTGTGTGAGAACCATACATACACCGCGACGTCGGGTGCATACATAACACACATCGTGAATTTTCTTTTTCCATTTCCATCACCATCACCGCCCCTCCATTCTCCATCCCATCCAGCGCACCCATACCACTCTACATATATCCGCGATCGGTTAGAGCAGGGGTAGTTCGTATGATGGGGGGGATTGCCGACCGATCCTTCCCCTTCCCTTCTTCGCGTTGGGGGAGGGAACGGAAGTACAATCCGCGATTGAGAGCCGGTGTCCGCGCTATCCATCATACCTAGCAGTAGAGTACGGGTGGAGATGCTTCTCTCTCCCCATCCCTCGAAAACGTGGGTGCGCGCGCGAAAGAAGTCTCTGCTCGTCTCGTCAATCTCAATCTCCTTTCGCGCGTGCCTGGACCGGGACCTGGACCGGGACTGAACCGGGACTGAACCGAAGCGACTCGATTCCGTGTAGGTGGAGGAGCTCTACCCCTGATTCGGGTGTGCACTGCCGGATACTCTACCCTCACACGTGGGGTGAAGAGAGGGATACATAGAGAAGAAGAGGGGGATAGAGAGAGGGGGGGGATAGAGAGAGGGGGGGGATAGAGAGAGGAGGGGGGGGATAGAGAGAGGGGGGGGATAGAGAGGGAGAGGGAGAGGGACACACAGAGAGTGAGAGAGCGCGCACTCTGATTCTTCCTTCTCGCCTTCTCTTCTCTCTTCTCTCTTCTCTTCCCTCTCCTCGTCTCGTCCCTGCCGCGATGTGTGCGGTGTGTGAGTGGGTCCAGCTGTGTGCGCCGATCTGTGACATCCGAGAAGCGGTGCAGATTACATACATTCTCTATATAGTCATATTGGTCCCGTTGTATTGAGGGGCCGCGGATGGATGATTGGGTACTGGGAGCTGCGGATTGGGAACTGGGAGCTGGGGACTGGGGATTGGGAGATGAACGAGGGTGATGGTGATGGCGAGGGTGATGGGGGTGATCCCGGTGGCTGATCCCTCGCACCCTCGCACCGCCGTCGCACCCTCGCTCGCACGCACGCACTTGCCGTCATCGCGCGAGCGCGCGAGCTGTGATTCGGTGGCATCCGAGAGTGCGAGTCCGGCCAGCGACGAAAGGCGAGAGAGCAGGACGAAAGACGGAAGGAGAAAGGGGGCGGGGAGAGTTAGGTAGAGTAAGTTTCCGCAAAACAAACAAAAGTTGCGAAGTGGACTGCGGGGGATCCCAGAGTGGAGGAAAAAGAAAGAACAAAAGAAGGAAAGAAAAACGCTGTGCAATACGAGGGAGTGAGTATAGGTACGCCGGACAACCGAGTAGAGTTCTCCACATACCGGTACCGGTAAGTCCCAGAGCTGGGCACGGTAGAGTAGTCGTCGGAACGGAGTATGATTCCAGGTGAGAAGTACCTATGTACTCTACCTCTGGCAGCACCTTGGTCCTTCGTGATCGTCGACTCTCCACACCCCGTATCGATTCTCCACACCCTGTATCGACTCTCCACACCCTGTATCGACTCTCCACACCCTACATACCCACCCCCCGCCACAGTGCAGTGCACCGCCTCACCCGATCGCCACCGCGGCAACTTCCATCCATCAGCCATCGTCGCGTCGGAGCAGAGCAGGCACCAGCAGTCGAATCGAGCACTAACCTCGTAGTGTGCAGCCAGCCAGGCGGACGATTGGCGAAGAGGTTAGCTGGCTCCGTTTCCGTTGCTTCCTTCTGCGCGGAGTCGCGCTGAGCTCCGGACTTTTTCGTGCGTGCGTGCCTGCCTGTCGGCGTGGGACTGGGCCGTCTACGGTAGGTATGATGTGCTTGGAGCGACCTATAGGCTACGATAGGTACTCGGAGTACCTATGATGATGTACTTGCCCCGTCTACTAGTACACCTATAGCACTGTATCCACTATCCTCTAGCTACCGACATGCCTGGCGGTGGGTCCGTCGAGATCTTGGTATGATACTCTAGTTAGGCATGTACTCTAGTTACTTACGTCCGGAGATGCCACATCAATCGACCAACGCACGCTGTCGTCGTCGTCGTCGGCGCTGGCCAGCCCACGGGGGGGACTATGCTACGGAGGGCAGAAGTGCGATGAGATGTATCCTCGCTTTTCCCCGACCGCGACCGTGGCGGCGATGAAGACGGCGATGGTGTTTGTCGTTGTCGCAGTTGTTGCTGTTGTTGTCGCATGCAACTGCAATGCTGCGCCGCCGCGTTTACCGGTGTTTCGAACGGATGACGAGCTGGGGTATAAGGGCGGGAGAGTACGGGGAGTACACGGAGAACGAGGAAAGTCCGGCGACACGGAGAACGAGGAAAGTCCGGCGGCACGGAGAACGAGGAAAGTCCGGCGACACGGAGAGTACGAGAGCACGGGGAGCACGAATATGTGGATGCTTCACCGACGTGCCCGTACCACTGCCTGGAGTATATCATGCACTCATTCGCCTAGGCATCCCCCAAGCACCCATTGCCTCCCGTCTACCCAGGTACTCGGTGTTTGCATGGTACACGAGTACTCTACCTACTCGCCGTCCGTGTGCAGAGTACTCGTGTTGTGGGCCGCCTTCGATCTCATCATCGTCCTCCCCGAGACCGTGTTTCTCTCCAACCCCATCTACGTCGTCCCCCCAGGTTCCAACAGCAGGGGCGACATCGTGGTTCGCGTCATTGCAGCACCATGTAAGAATCTAGATAGTTACTCGGGCTAGAGTGGCCCCCAGCACGATGCTCACTTACCTGGTTAGCCGGCCTTGGCCGTGGGCTGAGACAGCATTGTCTAGCACGCTGTTCAGTTGGAATCGGAAAGAGGAAAGCAAAGGAGCGAAAGACAAGACAGGACAAAGACAAATGCAAAGACAAAGAAAAGAGAAAGGAAGGAAAAGGAAAAAGAAAACAAAAGCAAAAGGAACGAACGCGCCCACGAAATCCGAACGAGCGAGCTGGCTGGCGAACGCGCGCGGGATGCACTTTGCCCTTCACTTTGGGCCGGTGGCTTGCTGGGGATGAGGCCGAAAGGGACGGCTCTCCCCCCAACCAGCGCGGGATTGGCTGCAAGTGGTTGGCGGAGAGGGGGGAGGACGTGGAGGACCGCATTGCTTGCGCTGTCTTTGGTGATGGGTTGCATCTGCATGGACCGACTCGACTGATCCTGCGGGCCTGGCACCGTGGCTGGCCTCTGGCATTGGCTGTGTCGCCGGAGGAGTTGGTGAAGAAGGTGCGTATAACCACTATAGGACTGCTGAGGGCGCGGCATCCGAATCCCTTCGTCGTGTCTGCCCGCCTGCCGCCTGAACTGCCCTCACCGCCTCCGTATCGAGTACATACCGTATCGTACATACCGTATCGTACATACCGTATCATACATACCGTTCATACCGACACACTCGAGATCTGTGCCGTGTCTCTCTGTCTCTGATTGATATCGAGCCAAGCCCGCCCGCCTCAACTGAACCCGTCGAGACTGCCCTCCTCCCTCCCTCCATCCATCCCTCCCTCCCTGTCTATCGCAAAAATATCGTCCAGTGCTCACCTCGACACTGATAATCTCCACCCGCTCCGCCCCCCCCCCCGCCCCCGCCTAGTTAGATCAGAGTAACCGCTTCTTACCTCCTGTTGTTATTGTTGTTGGTGTTGTTGGCTGCTAGCGGCTCTCGTCTGTCTTGCCTTTATCTCTCGCACGTCCCTCTTGCCAACTCGATTCCGTGGCGCTGTCTGTCGGCTCGGTAGTAGAAGAAGACCCTCGCCCGCCTTCAAGAAGTCCTGCTTCTTCCGCTTCGTCGAGTCTTCCTCAGGTTCGCGCAAGTACGGTCTTCTTTCTTTGTAGCTCGACTGCACCGACCATCACTACTCGCACCGTTACACAGCACCACTATCCCTCCCTCGCTCAACGACAACCCAGCCCGCAGCTACCATCCCACCTCCACCACTGCAACCACTACAACCACTACAACCACTGCAACCACTGCCACTACTCACTACCACTATCAATTCCCATTGCATCCATCGCCAACCCTCGTTTTCGCCATCTCAATCGCCGCCTGCTGATCATCGCCTCGCTATCAATTCTCCTCACACACACCGGACATTCGCTACACTGCTCCAGCTTACCTCGCCCCACTACCCCCCGTCTCACTCGACCGAAATAACCCGCAATTTCGCTCCCAGCAATCAATACAAAACACCCTCTTGAAAGTATAAAATCTCCCGTCCCCGTCCCCGTCCCCGTCCCCGACCGCATCAGCCGATTCTAGGGAAGGAAGAGACGACGACCGGTTCGACACCCCCAACTCTATCAACAATTCAGTTTCTCAAGAAGATTAAGCTCCGTTGCAGTCAGGCTATCCGGCTTCATTGGGCCGAGAAAGCTGCCGCAAAAGGAGCCGTATCCACCACAATGCCTTCCTTCTTCGCCGCCGGAGACGGGGGAAACACCACCATGACCGCTACCACCCCCGCCATCGAGACCGCCAACCCCAGCAAGGGCCGCTTCAGCCTCTTCAAGAAGAAGAGCAAGACCGCCGAGCCCGCCCCGCTGCAGCTCCCCCCCTCGCTGCCCCCTCTGCAGCAAGTGGCTCCCCTGACACCTCCGCCGGCCGAGGAAGCACCGGTACCGGCCCCGACCCCGAAGCCGAAAAATGTCACCAAGAAATCATCCACCGACATCGACGACGAGCTTAGAAGGCACTTGCAGCGTGAAGGGTATGCGTTTCTGGCCTTTTCCGATCCGGCCAAGGCCGCCGCGCACTCCAACGAGTCGCCGGCCGAGCCCGCCGCCGGCGGAGTGAAGGACGTGGTGGACCCGGCCGAGAGCAGTCGGAGCCATGGAACCCTGTTGAAGGATGCGGTGGATCTGATGGAGAAGAAGAAGAGTCTGGAAACAACACGCCCGACGCTCAGGAGCTTGACTCCCCCCGCGAACACCGTTGTTCCTCAGTCGGCACCGCCGCAGGTGGCGAAGGCTCCGGTCGTTTTGGCTGCACCGCAGCCGAATGTGTTGAAGGCTCCTGCTGCTGCTGCTGCTCGGGTGGAGAATGTCTTTCCGAAACGGGTGGAAAGTGTTGCGGGTGCTGCAGGTGCTGCATTCACTCAGGTTCCTGCGGCTCCCGGTCCAAGTATATCCGGCGTTGGTGGTGGACTGCGAACGACTGCGTCGAGGATGGCGGAGAAGAGGCCATCGTCATCACGACCACCGATGCCGCAGCAACAGCAACCTTCGGAAGGGAGCATCATGGACAGGAAGATTGTCAGGAAGTCCTCGGATCAGAGCAACAAGGATAGCGGAAAGGACGTGGATAGCCATAGGAGTGCGGGTCCCAGTCAGAGGCCGTCTCCGGTATACCCAGTGGAGCCTCCGATTGGTGCTACAGCCCAAAGGAGTGCGGGTCCGAGCCGAAGATCATCGCCGGTATACCCGGAGGAGCCATCGGTCAGTGCTACAGCACGAAAGATGGTGACCGAGTCGCCGGCAATGGCACGATTCGCCCAGGAGGCGTCGATGCAGGATGTGGACCCACGGATACACAAGAACCGGAGGTCCGGCAGCCATGCCGATCAGCGACAGTCGAGACACGGCCCGACACCGGAGCAGATGCGATATTCGACTTCGGGTCCGAGCCGCGAGTACAACCAGGATCAGCAGTATGCGCCACGGCCTTCGCGCAACAGCAGGCAGGGATATCAGCTGTCGATGAACCCCGAGACCCGGACCCAGACCCCCGCCATGAGCGACGAGGAGAGACGGCAATCGGACACCAGCGCCGACGAGAGCCCGCGGCGGAACCTTCCGATCCCCGTGATGCTGTCGCCGGGTGACTACACGAGCACCCTGAACCGGCTCCAGCTGAACTGTGAGATTGCGCACCGCCAAACCGTCATATCGTCGAACCTGCATCATCGCATCATCTGCATGGTCTGTCGGACCGACGCGTCCAGCGAACGATGGTCCTGCTCGTACTGCGCGCTGCGATTCTGTTCGAGGTGCAAATCGGAATTCTCGGCCGGAACAGCCTTCGACGAAGTCCTGAAGAAGGCAGCGAGTGAGGATTGGCGGTCACAGCCGGCTCCCCCAATCACGCCGGCTCGTGGCCCGGGAAAGAACATCGCCTGGGAGCTGGCGTGCGTGCTGGAAGCCGGAGGCCGATTGGCCGGATACGGATACGGAATGCGGCAACCCCCAGACGGCCGACGACCACCGCCTCCGATGCGAAGGCGTTCGCCGGTTCACAACAGCGGCGGAGAGCGCTCGCCAGTCCATCGCAGCGGCAAGTCTTCGCCGGAACAGCGGGTCCGGTCGAGCAGCAACCAGCCGCCGAGCCCGACCTACTCCGTGGACCGCGTCAAGACGTCGTCGAGAAGCAGCAGCAGCCACCGCTACGCCGAAGGCGCTGTCTCCCCCGACTCGTCGTTCGAGGATGCGGCGGCGGGTTACAATAGGGACAGGAAGAGACGCTCGGCGAGTAGGGCCGTCAAGGATGGGAGGAACTCGGGCCGCTGCTCGCCCGGTCTTACTAATGGCACCGCGGCGGAGCAGAGGAGGGCGTTGTTGGGGGTGGGACTATATTGAGCGGGGAATTCTTATGGACGCTAAGATGGGAGGGCGGGAGGGGAGGGCGGGCTGTCGGCGTATGTCTCGAGTGTCAATATCTTTAACTCGATAGGCGTGGATTCACCGCCTGGATGACCGATCGTGAGGAAGGAAGGGATGGAGGAGGAGGAGGAATGGGGACCATCATTTCGAGCTTTTTCTTTTGTCTTTTGTCGATTTCTGCTTTCAGCGCGGACTGGAAATGGGTTTTACGAAGTTGGATGGACGACCGAACTGACCTGACCTGACCTGGCCTGGTTATTACACCTTTTTTCTTTTTTCTCTTTTTCTTTTTCGTTTGTCGTTTCGGTTTTTTCCTTTGTTCACTGAGAAGTTTTACGACCTGGAAGCACACGCGAGGATTTTTCTTTTCTTTCTGTTGGGTTGAGTTGGGTTGGAGTTTTCTTTTCTTTCGATTCTTCTGCAGTTAGGAGGAAGGCAGTTGTGAGGAAGGTACTTACCTACGTGTTGTAATGGTGTGGGATGGGAGGATGGGAGGATACTGTGGGATGGGTGGATACTGTGGGATGGGGGGATACTGTGAGTACATAGAGTGGGCGCGTGAGCGGGATGCGATTAGAAGTGGGGTGAAGTGAAGGGTACCTATGAAAGCTGCTGGGGTGGCGACGGCTGAGAAATGTCGCTATGGCGATGGACTAGCAACGGACGGAAGGAATTGAAGTGAATTGAATTGAGATTCAGTGATTCAGTGATTGAATTTGATTCATACGTGCGAGAATATGTGACTGAAGAATTGGTGGACGGATGGACGGAGATTGAGTTTGGAGAGGGTTGACTATTCCGTACCTATCCGACAGTCGACTCTTTCCAATTGAGACAGCACTGTATAGGCAGTAGGAACATGAATGTCTCGTCTCCTCCGACTCCCGACTCCCGAGTCATCCTTTGAGTCATCCTCCGAGTCATCTGGGATTCTGGGATTCTGGGATTCTGGGATTCTGGGAGATGATGGTGTCTTTCTTTGTTTTTTGTTTTTTTGTTTGTTTTCATTTTCTGTTTCATCATACCGTAATGCATGTCACCTACCTATCCAGATCATGGCATAGGTACATGGCATACATTGCATACAACACATGGAATAGTACAGTCCGTGTCTTGACTCGCGTCCACCAACGATGACTCGCGTCCACCAACGATGACTCGCGTCCACCAACGATGACTCGCGCGCGTCACGGCCTGGTGCTGCTTTTCCTGCTGCTGCTGCTTTTACTCGCCCCAAGTTCATTAATTGCGTGCAGCCCATCTACGTAGAGTAGACTATGTACGGCTATAAGTAGACATTTGAGATGGTGCGCACACACCGGACACATCGGACACTGGACGTTGTTGGTAGATGCGAGTGATACGGCGTGATACAACGTGAGTACTTCACAAGCGATCACTAGCACTGGGCACTGTCCACCGTGCTTGGAAAGTATTTATCGAAGCGGTATCAAACAGGAGTACATCAATATTCATTGTTTCTCCACGGACTGCACTGGGGAAGCTCAATTGCGTTTCACATTCCCTCGATTACTCAATCCCCCTCCCCCCCCCCCCCCCCCCCCCCCCCCTTCTCCCCCCTTACCCCGTCCCCTGCCCCGGTGCGGATAGCCTTAGATCACCCAGTAAAATCACCCAGCCTTAGATCACCCAGTAAACTATACCCAGATCACCTCCCCGCAAGCTTGCGGTCGAGAGAGAGAGGGAGAGATACATCTTCTTTTTATTTCCCATGCAGCCTAAGTATCTAGACTATGGCGAACCGTCGCACTCCTTTTCCTGCCCGCCCTGACCAGTCGAGGTGAAAGCCCCGGTACCGACCAGTCCGATGCGCGATGCGGCGCCCCCCATCCGCCTCGGGCCGATACAAGCAAACCGTAGATTGACCGGTATGGGCCTATATGCACGCTCCTCCTGCTGCCCCCTCGCCTCGCTCCCCCGTCTCGTCTTCCGCTCCAAGAAACCATCAGGTTATCACCGTGTATCCTCATCTCCTGGGTATTTCCTCGCCCCAGCCCCAGCTGCAGACACAGTACCCTGCTAGGTAGGGTAGGCACTCTTGCTCTGCCCCGGATGCGCTGCTTGCCTCCTCGTCCAGGTCTAGTGGAGCTTTCCTGAATCCTCGCCACATCCGTCGTTCCTAGAAAGTAGAAACTCCAGGATTACCTCGCTGCACCGCCCGTCGGCGAACAACTCCGCTATCGACCCGACCACCTCTCTTTCTTTCTCTCCGTCTCCTTCCCGAGTCCCGACCTTTTCCCATGCCCACAAGGCTTTCTGTTGCCTTCTCCACCGTGAGCAGGTTTTGAATAGGTGCTATAATGTGCGGTCGAAAGTGTTCGTGCGTTGTCCTGGCCGATCGAGTGATGTGATGTGATGTGATGTGATGCGATGCGATGTGATGTGATGTGATGTGATGTGATGCGATGCGATGCGATGTGATGTGATGCGTACCTAGTGCTAACTGGATGGGATGGGTTAGGCTAATTTTCAGTTCTCCAGTGATGAAGCGCTGGAAAGGAGTCGGCGGCGGAGAGGGTCCAGACTCTGGAGCACGTTCGGTCGCAGCTGGGGGGGGGGGGGGGGGTGTTTAAATTCTAGTGAATGGGTACGTTACAATAAGACGAATGGAAACCAGCTGGATGTTCTCCCTGATGCTGTAGAGTATCTTGCGGTCAGATGCGAATTGCACTTTCTACATCACTTGGAAGTTAGACGTTGGTCCCACGTGGGTAGCTTCAAGGGGTGCGTATGTATGTGCACTTCAAAGAAATGCAATTCTGCACATTCTTCAACCTCCAATTCCCCAGTTACGAGTCTATGACCAATGGAATCTCCTAGGTACCTCACACAAAAACAAAAAATGCCAACTAACCAAGCAAGTACTTGGGTGGGTATACGCAACAGAGAGCATGAACGCAAGAAACTCCCCCCGCCCAAACTCCAAACTCCCATGCACCCCCGCCCAACATAGCTCTATGTATCCCCGAGTTCCCGACACCCAGCCACGCAGTGGCAACCTGCAAGTGCACATCACATCCCCTCACCTCCCGGAGATATCCACGGAGACGGTAATCGTCTTCGCAATGACGCCCATATGCAATTCCTCGGCACTGCTCTTCCCGCCGCCGCCGCCGCCAACCAGCTGATCCTCGGAAACATACACATTCTCGCTATACGCGATGGCAAAGCAGCCCATGTTCTGCCGATCCGGGTCGTAGGCGAAGCTGAGGAAGTCGTAGGGGTCGACGCTGCGCATGCCTGCGGCCGTGGGCTGCGCGTTCGCATCGCTGGTCACCCGGTGCGGACGCGAGATCCACGCCGTGAGAGCTGGGATCGAGGCGGTGATGATGCCTAGGCATTGCTCGGTTTGGTCCAGGAGCGCGATGGGGAGGATGTTCCCTGGCTGGATGTTAGTGCGGATCCAGAGGGGGGGGGGGGGGGGGGGGGGGGGACGGGGCAGGTCCTCAGTGCTGGGTGTGCTCACAGGAGACGTCCATGGTTAGCAGCAGCTTCGGTAAGAGCCCCACTCTGACAACGGCGACTATACACGCTCTACACAGCATCCCGTTAGTCAACCAGTTGGACATCATCTATCCACACGATCAAGACCGTTGGCCCGGCACTCACAGCAGCCCCAACGCAAACAGCACGGCGAGCCCAGCCCGCTGCTTCGTCGGAATCCTAAGATCCCACACCATCTTCATGGGCAGACAGAGCACGCCGATGTCGCAGGCCACGGTGACCATTCTGAGCGCCGTGTACAGCGTCATGGTCTGTCTGAACGTTGGACATCCGTGCGCGCGCAGCTCGAACGTCCACCATGCCTTCACCGGCGAGCACACGAATGCGAAGGCGAATATGCTCGCGAGCGCGAATAGGATCTGGAATACTAGGAAGTACATGACGATCTTCTGCAGCTGGGTGCGGTTGCCGAAGAGGCGCCGGTAGAAGAGGAGGATCGAGACCTGGGGGAGGGGGGTGTCAGTTGGAATGGTATGATATATATGTACATACATACATCACAACCGGCGATAGTGGTATGTATGTACGAAGACAAGACAAGACAATGTGGAGATGACCTTGATCCAGACCACCCCGAAGGAATAGATCATGGGTAAGATGTACGTGAACTGTCGGCGATCTCGTCAGTTCAGCAAAACGACGAAGAAGACTTAAAATGGGTGCACCCTCACTTTCAGCAGCGCGATGGCCTGGTCCACATTCAAGTCGTAAAAGTGCTTCCCGATGCCCGCATGCCTCACACCGTAGCAGTTCAAGGCCGTGCCGCCCACGACCACGAGCATGGCCGCCCCGACCATCACATCATCGCCGCCAATGCCGCCAGCCACGAAGCACCTCGTCCAGAATCTCGTCAACACCACGAGCAGCGTTATGCTAGCCAACAGCAGGTTCACCACGAACAGGACTTGTCCGTTGTCCGGATGTACGTAGTCGGCGGCTTCAGCCTGCGGTGGGACCACCCCGTCGAGGGAGATATGGTTGACGTCCGCTATCGCCCTGAGGGCCTGTAGGATCTCTACACGAGTCGACATCGGATCCTTTGCGGGTGGTTGTTTTATTTTGATTCCGTCGCTGCGAAGTCGGGACTGCACCGGGAGTAGGTGGTGTGTGCGGTATCAGATTCGGATTTCAATCAAGATGATCATGAAAGACAGGCGGCCGGGAGAATGATATGTAAACCACTGTTGTTCCCTCCCCCACACCCCATGGTACTTTGTATCTGTGCCGTATGCATGGGAGGCGAAGAGGGCGGAGAAGTGAAAAGGTCCTGAGCGCGGTATATACGGTTCCAACGATGGGGCGTCAGTCATACCCCCTGCATGGAGGTCATATAGAGTAGTACATACGTCCTGAATCCTTCTCGTCCTACCTTCGTTTGGACGAGCAGCAAGGCTTTCCCATCCCATCCCATCCGCACGGACGACGGGCGAGTGATGCGTGTCTTGGTGCCGGGAAAGCGAAGCCATGGATCTTGTTGGCTTTTGGCTGACCGTCGCCGGCGGACTGTATGTATGGCATGTACCTGGGTACTTGTGTATGCGAAACTACGGAACCAGACAGCCAGGCAAACCATACATCCGCCTACGCGCACGACGACCGGTGAAGACCACGAGTTTGGACGGGGGGGGGGGGCTAAATCGGATAGGCCTGTGCAAGGTCTGTACCTAGGTGGTTGTGGGTCTGGTTCTTGCTTGCAGAGACGGACGTGTATTACATATACAGAAGTAAATACCATCCCATCTTTATCTTTGGTCTTCGCGATGGTGTCTGCGGACTGTGGGGCAGTATTTTTGCGCCCATCGGGGCCGGATGCCGTAGTCTACTCTAGACTTGGACCGACTCACACACCCAAGTAAGCACTGCGTTCTTCAGGTTCGGTGTGCGGTAGATTTATCGCTCTCGCCAACTATGGTAACTAAGCGGCTGCACGGCGCACTGCTGCCTGCTGCCGTACATACAGGTACCCATCTTTCGCTAACCAATTGCCGCCGAAAAAAAGGCGCAGCCGGCAACGACGAAGAAACCTCCCTCGCTGAGCGGCGCGAACATGATACCTACCTCGCCGACTTCTGCGAGCGCAAGTCAGATGTGCAGATTTGATATATCTTGTTGTGCCCGGGACCCGGGTGAGCGATTATGTCGCCCGGTAAGTAAGTGCGTTTGCGTGTCTCAAAGTGTGGGTTCGAAGGGCTGAAACATGCACTATGAACTGTCCCCACTGGGGTAACCACAACTGGCTGCTCAGCACTTGGAGAACATCCCGTCCGTCTGCAGTATCTATGTATGTACGGATCCGGGTCCCAGGATGCCTGAAAATCAGGCGATACCTACTCTGAACATATCTACTAGGTAGTAAAGTACCATGGGCTACGGTACCTGCCTCGAGGCCCACAGCCACCGCCAGGAGCGCTTATAAGATGCTGACACTCGGGAGTCGGACAGTATTTTGAAGCGTCGAGTAAGCGGAAACATGTTACATACATACATAGGTACATACGTACGTGTTATTGTTGGGCTGGAAAGATCAATACCTCCTGGTAGCGGTCTCGGCTGTCTGGAATCTGGATCGGAGCGCAGTCACCCAGCTGCCAGACTTCGCCGGCGTCCCGTGCCATGAACACAGACAGGAACGCCATATCTTCGAAGGCTTCGATTCTACACTTCCTGCCATACATACCTACCCCTCCAGGCGCCCGAAACACTTCGTCGCATTATACGTGGCTTCGTGTCCCGCCGTTCGATCGACTGCTATGTGGCCTCCCTCTTCAAACACTCACGAAGAGCCACAACAATTCGCGAGGGAAAACGTCACAAGACCTGCACCAGAGGGATCATGATAATCACTTCATTCTCGCTCTTCTCACCGGCAAATCACCGCCCGTATCGAGGAGGTCGGAATGGGTAATCAAGACTCAATCGACGACCGCGTGTCGCGCATCCGAAAGCAGTCTGATCCTCCAGGCTCCCATCACTCCTTCTGCTTCGCATTCTGACCGCTCTACATATGTACACAGTTACATCGCAGGTCCCGTGCCCCCCATCACACAGACAGACACACCAGATCCGCACGTCTCGGATAAAGTGGGCACATCGATCACCAAATTGTTCGGTTCTCAACCTTAAAATCGGCTGTTATACCTACATACCTCGCCAAATCCCCAGATCATCCCCGCGGGCGGCGGCGGAACGATGCCATCCAGCCGGCGCCACAGTTATTCCGGGGTGCATAACCCCAGTGGCCAGTGCCCATTAGCCTGTTCATAGGGCTGTTTGCCTGTATTTATCGAGTTCTCTTCCCTGTTCTGGAGCCGCCATGTACACACATATCATACCGGTACTCTACGTCTACGCGAGTTCGAGAAATCGAAAGAACATATCTACCGACGGCAACTCTGCGCTCTGTGCTCTGTGCTCTTCGCTTTGTGTCCACTGTCGGGCGGATTCTTCGCCGGAAGAGGCCCCCGCGCGCGCTGGGCTGACCGGCGCGCGGGGGCGCCAACTGGGCTATATTGTACGGATGCTATGTATGGATGGATTGGGACATGTCGACTCGCGTGTATGTATGTAGCGGTGGCGCCTAATAATGCGGAGAACGAACCCCGTTCCTTTCCCGATCGAGCCGGTGCAAGCTGCAAATGATAGCAATTGTCGAGATTTGACGAGTGAGACGCCGTGTCACCAGGCCGGATCGTCGGTAGTCTATCTATATACCTCATTCACGCAGATCTTTAGATAGATGCACTTCAAAAACTCCCAGTCTCGGCTACGGTACTTGGCCATCTACTATAATAGGTACCGTACTAGATATAAGTTACACTCCCACTGGTCGGGATGCCGGTTCATTGCCGAACCCGACTCCGCACCCTACGGCGAGAGCATCCGGAAGAAATCTTCAAACGCGGCAGTAAATACGTACCGTAGCCTAGTTTGGATGCTCAGCTAAAGTGACAAGATCCATGGATACACCGAGAGAGCGACGTTCACATATGACATCCGCACCCAACATCCAGCGTTTAAATAATCGATGGCCCACCGTGAGCTCAAGGCGTTGAAAGTTCCGACGATACTACTACCTAGTTAGCGGCACGCAGGCTGTCCGGGCTCCGGACGTCGACGGTGTTCCGATGCAGCCCTTTGCTCTGAAGTTCCGATCCCCCCAGCCCTCCGAAAGTGCATCGGATCCCGGTGGTTTTGAAAGGGAGCGTGTCGCCTGGTCGTTGATGGGGATCGTGCATGTTCCAACATCCCCATTTCTCGAAAGGCGCCCCTCCGCCCGCTCCGGTTCGGTACATACGAGCGAGACCCCAATGCTCCGTCGTCACCGAGCTCGTTCCCGCTATCTGATTCGGTCAGGACAGGACAATTACACAACCTCTCACTCGCAGCCCGTCGTCGGCAGAAGGTGTCCCGTGGGGCAACAAGAAAAAAACCTCCAAGCAAGCCGGAAAAACCCCCTTCCGCCACCTCGAGCCCAATCGCAATCGCAATCGGCAAAGGAGGTCTAGACAGGGAAAACCCCAAGGTATAGGTAGTGCCCCACGGTGCGAACAATCTAGACTGGAAACTAAGTTGTCCGTAGTTAAGGGATCCCCGGTGAAAGCGCAAGCTTCGTTTTTCGTTTCGAGCCCGTCAAATGTTTTGTTCCCCCCCAAGATCCAGCGCCCAGGGCTTCGCGTGGACTCGCCACTGCGGTTGCAGCCAGATATACAAGAAGTACAGAAAGGGAGTGAGACGAAATACCATCAAATGTTTTCCAAGGCTTTCGTGAACTCGCCACTGCGGATCTGGCCAGATGTACCAGATGTACTGGTACAAACAAGAAGTGAGGCGTGAGGTGAAACCCAGCTCAGCTGTTGAGGAACTGAGGGGTAGCTACCTAGTAGCTAAACTTGAACTCGAACCCCTCTATGAAGCTATGTACGCCTAGATGTAGAGCACATACTTGCCCGAACTTCGAAGGCTACTATGGTGCTATGATAGTCGGACTTGTCTATCTATCAGCTGAGGTACCTAGGTAGGGCCCTGCGCGATGTTTGTTGAACTTGCGCTGCAGCTTGCAGCTTGCAGCTCCCGGAAACAAGTATGTATGTAAACAAGTTTCGCCGCCTGCTGATCTTCAAACTCCCAGCAGATTGTCAAGCGCATCAGCACTCCCAATACGGTGATACGTTGAATAGTAGAGCGACGTCGCCACTTCTCCGCGCGGTAAACAAGAACCAACTTCTTGCACACTGTGAGCCTATGACCACTGTTGACATCGGCACAAAATCACAAAACCGCAACTCGAAACGAAACGTCTGGTCAGGGCTACACCTACCGGTACGGTATCGTACCGTAACTACTACCTATACTAGTCCACGCATCGCCTCGCAGACACATGTAGGAAATGCGTGGGACACCCCCGATCGGCCACGCCGGCAGCGGCGGCGGGGCTTCTGGACCTTCGTTTTCTCTCGCCTTCGCCCTCGCCTTCCCATGGCTCGGGTTTTAGTGCGTGTTCTCGAAGCGTTCGGAAGAAACAGTGCGAGTGATAGCTCGTGCTTGACAGGGGGGGGGACATAATCGGATAGGTATCAAGGTTAACGATCTAGATAACTACAGGAACACGGGCTGAGGTCCGCATGTTCCGATGGGAGGGAGGGGATGAGCTTGATGTGTGTACCTAAGCTGTTTCCCTTTTTTTTTTTTTTTTGCTTTGCTTTTTTACTTGGGGCCCGTCGGTGTTCGCGCCGGGCAAGGACTGCCCTGCCCTCAGTGCCCTGCCCTGTTCGAACTTCGATGGTCAGCAGTAAGTAACGTTACTCTAGCCGGTGGTCACTGGTGGTAACGGATGCCCGCCGGCCATCTGATTTCTTTCTTCCTTTTCTTTTCTTTCGAGTGTTCCTTCCCGTCGCTGCCATGGGAGCCCACGCGGTCCCACGCGGCGGGGACGGCGATTTCGAATTCGCTTTTGCATGCAGTCTGCAGACGTCGTTGGCGCCAATTTCATTTCATATCTTTTTATATACCTATTTGTGTTTTTTTTTCTCCCTTTCTTCTGCATGCTCAGGTAGAGTACCTAAGATGGATAACTACAGTACTTACTACTCTACCGGTAGTAGAGTGCTGCGTGTTTCCAGGTACATACTTCCTCTACTATAGAGTACATGTATCTGCCTATTCTGCCTGTATAGTACCTACTATCATAGGATAGGAGTAGTATAGCAGCAGCAAGTGGCTGCCGCCTCTGCAGGGTCAAGACTTCAGGAGCTTCTGTATGTACTGGTACATATGTAGGTACATGTAAGCTACCAACTGTGCCTTTGCAAGTCAAAGCAAAGCACATACGGTGATCAACTACTTCTCAGGTGTAGTTGACCAAAGAACATCACGGACGGATACTCGAACACATTCCTCGGCAGAGCGGGAAAACGGGATCAACTATCAACCATCAAGTATCGCGTGTCGATAGCTAGTTATCCACTTGGAGCATCTAACTAGAGTACCGTGGTAGTGCTGGGTCTAATTGAATTCTATGGAGGCAAGGGCGGAAATTACAATTATATTGAGAAGTGGGAAGGCGCGCGGGGATCATGTCGACGATCAAAATGGCAGCTTGCAAAAATATGGAACTGAGGACGAGCCGATATGATAGGCAAGCGAGATGAGATGCTGGGTGGATACGAAAGGAGCGGGTGGAGAGGAGAGAGCTCCTGAGCTCTGCGCCGACAGCAGCACAGGATTGGACAGGAGGTGAGGTAGGGTGAGGTGAGATGCTCCAAGGACAGACAGCTCTTTCTCTCTCGCTCTTCTCCTTTCTTTCGACACGGGTAGAGGACTCTAACTTACCTACCCGTCGTGCATGCGCGACATCCAAGAGCTCTGCTCTCCCTTCATAGCTCCCAATCGGGAATAAAAAGGGGAATTGAGCGGGAAAAGCGACGGATGGCGGGCGGGCGGGCGATGGGCGACGGACGACGGACGCGTCAATCGAAAGCGAGGCGTAAAGAAAAAAGAAAAAAAGCAAGAAAAAAAAGAGAGATTTGCTCCCTTCGGAAGTCCGCTGATGGGCCGGAACAGATCCGGGGCCCGCGGTGATCCTAAAGCGCGCGGAACGGGAAGAACAGAGCAGAGCGGAGCGGAGTAGAAGCAAAGCGGAGAAGAAAAGAGCAGAGCAGAGCAAAGCACGAAGCTTCCCCGCTTGACGAAGATGATGGATTGAGCAGCATGCTCTAAGTGCCGCTTTCGGAAACCGCACGCGGCCGGAGCTCCCGTTTCCCCCGTCACGTAAGGATGTGTAGTGGTGGAACGCGGAGGCTTTCTGCTTTCTTTCATTCTTTTCGAAAGGACAAGCGATGAGATATGAAACGGAGGAAAAAGGGATGAACTGTGAACATCGTCTCGTGAGCTTCGTCCCCTTCCCTTCACTTCCCTTGCCAATTCCTTGCCAATTCCTTACCTTTCCTTCGCTCGGAAGCCCTCCCTCGCTCTCTCTCTCGCTATGTAAGCTGCATGGCATGCGGGTGATGGCATGCATAGGCTGCTAGCAGGTACTTGGTAAGAACTTACTCAGTTGGTTGGATTGGACGGAGCACTCAGCAAGTGCTAGTACCTAGCGTACTCAATGCTGGGTAAGGATGAGACCGGCGGGGGGGGAGGTGGACAGGGATCGTGGCTATTCCTGATGATGATGTCTTGCAGCGGTCGTGCGCGGTGCCGCGGGTGGGGGGCGGGGACCAGTCAGGGCAGTCACCACACAGACAGGAGTAGGGAAGGAGTGGAGGCGTTGAAGCTTCGATGTCGTAGGTAGCTCGAGGCAGCTCTTGTGGGCAAACACGGTTGCTCTAGATACTCTACACACTGAGGGCCGCGAAGGAAGGGCGGCTTGGCGTCGTCTGTGCGCACCGGAGAGAGGAGACCTCGTGGAGACCTCGTGGAGACCTGGTGAGGCCTTGCATTTGGGAAGAGAGACCTTGCTGGGATCTGGTGGGACCTATGTGTTACGGACAGACCTGTTGCGGTCGTTAAACGTTGAATTGTTTCTGTTGTCACGCTTTCTGTTCTTCCTGTCCGTCTTGCTTTCTTCTCATCATCATCATCATCACAATCACCATAGACCTTTCCAATTGATCACTTTTTGTCTCAGCCGTTTCTGGGTCTCTCAATACTATTCTCTCTAGCATTCTGCCGGTACTCTGAGGAGGTATGTAGGATGTGTATATAGGCAGGCGGTTTGAGTCTTGACTAACTACTCTGCTCTGCTTGACTCTAGTTATGCCCGAAAGAGCAGTTCCATGCGATGCGGATCCATCGTTCGTCTCTTCTTATCCCCCCACTCGCACCCGCCCTGTCAACGCTGTAGACACATGTGTCTCCGCGAAGGAGGAGGAGGAGGAGGAGGAGGAGGAGGAGGAGGATACAAGACGAGACGAGGCGCGATGAGCCGAGACCAGACGAATCATGAGCCCAAGCTTTGTCCGAGACCAGACAGTTGACAAACTCAGGCTTGTCCGAGACCAGACGATTCACGAACCCAGGCTTGTCCGAAAGCGAATCTACATTTTTTATGCCACATTCCTGTGCCGAGCAGCACAACTGCAATCTTGCAATCGTGCAATTTCGAAGGGGGACAGAAAAAAAGGAGTTCCGATGTTCGATGGCCGGGCAGCCTACGGTATTATTATTACTGTGCTACTCTACACTCCTTCGCCGGGCGGTTATGCAGCATTCAATTTCCCACTCCCACGGCCGTCTTGTCTTGTGCCCGTTTGCAGAAGCCGCCTCAGGGACTCACACAGCTCCCTCTAGGCATCTCGGCTTTTTTATTTTTTGGAAGGTTTCCGCGGTTGCCCGGTTACCGTGGCCTCATCACTTCACCATGCCTACCTCCTATCTACCTTTACTCTACACCTTGCCCAGCTGGCCCTAGCTTCCAGGGTGCTCTTCCCAGCTGACTTGACTCCTAAGAGCTGCCTTACGGTTGTCTTGCGAGCTCGAGCAGGGAACGGCCCCGACGGTGGTGGTAGTGATGGTGATGGTGATGATGGTGGCGGTGGTGGAAGTGACGGTGTTGAGCAATGGTGGTGGTGGCGGTGGTGGAGGTGGTGATGGGCAGTGGTGGTGGTGGCGGTGCTGAAAGCGGTGGCAGAACGCAAAAGCAAGAGCTCCATTTGTGTGTGGGGTTTTTCCGCCGTGACAGCGATAAAAGCTCGTTTATCAGAGGAAGGAGCTTTGACCAGGGACTGCCGTCATCGCGAAGCAGATGGCTCGATGTCTTCAAGGATCACCGTCCATCCAAGCACATATCTGCCTGCTAGGCGGAAGGCACATGGACTCGCTCTCTCCACCTTACTCGACTAGTGGTAAGTTATGCAGATATGTACTTTACTCGTACATGCATGCTCCAGAGTCTGCTTTACTTACTTTACTTAGGAGCAGGGTGCTCGCTTTTAACTCCTTCAGGCTGAGCGAGCCTGCTTGCCTCTCGTTAGGAGAGAAAATTTTTGCTGATTCTCCTCTTCTCGAGAGCTCTTCGCCGTGGGGAGCTCTTCCACTTCACTTCACTTTCACTTCTCCTCAGCAGTGCAGGAGGGACGTTCGCCAAGATTTGCACGAGCGAGGGCGGGCACGCTACTTCCTGCGGGTGGGAAATTGACTTGCTTTTCCCTTTCCTTTCCTTTGCTTCTTCTTCCTTTCCTTTGAGACTTTCTGAGGGTTGGGGTTCGAGTATGTAAGTTGAGTAGCTCGAAGAGAATTTTGCTCTATACAAGTTAACTTCTTAGTACCCCCTCTAACGAAGTGACATCCCTGTGGAAAATGTGTAGGACACACAGACACGAGACGAGTTCCCTTCGACTTTAAACCAGGGAGAAGAAAAAAAGAAGGAAAAAAAATACCGAGGTGAGAGGCAGCAGGCGAGGAAGTGTGCACGGCCGGACTCTCCCGAACTGACACCGAGCCGGCAGGACGCAACCACACAGACATCTAGGAGCTCTGACCATGCCCCGTCGCGATGCTTGCTTGCTGCTTGCCTGCTGCTTGTTGCTTGCTGCCTGCTGCTGCTTGCTGCTGCTTGCTTGCACTTGTTGGCCTGGTGCTCGCTTGCTACACAAATCCTCCACGCCTTCTGCCCTTCTTACATACACACTACACTACCCGCTCCATCGGGCGAAGAAACCCACCCCCATTCCCCCCAATCGCACCGAGATCGTGATCTGCTCTCCCCACTGCTCGCCGCGTGGGATGGATGACATTTGGAGAAGGATACAAGATATCTGCGGCCCCACGAGAATGACAGTCGATACGACGACCTGCTTGCCTGTCCGTTTCCTGTCCGTCCGTCAATCATGACCACTGCCAATCATGACCACCGCCAACTAGTATGGGGTGCGTCTGATTAGGTATTCTACTGCTGCCTCATACCTCTTGCGCGATCCAACTTGATGCACATCACACTCGTTCGTCCGTGGCTTTTCATGGCAGCGTCATTGATCGTCTCGTCAATCTCTCCCTCTGGGGTCTCTCGCTGCGGGTGTCCGTCCCCGCGCCGGGGCCACCAAGAAAAACGGCCAATCGGCCTCCTGGGGAGGGGGGTTTGGTTTGAAGCAGAAGAAAGAGCGCTTCCTTCTCTGCAGAAGCTCCGTGTGACCCCTCTTTCATCTTTCCCCCTTCACACTTCACCCATCCCCCCATCCCCATCACGCTCACGGGCAAGCCTGTGGAGCTCTGCTCGACCTATCTGCAGCACTTGCTCCAGTATCAACAGCCTGTTACCTACATACAAACGGTCAAGATTGGGACTACCTACCTTTCGAAAGCAGATGGTGCGAGATGGGTGTCGGCAGGCGCACGCAACTGCCGATTGCATTTCATGCGACATCCATAGCCTCTTCCCCCCCTCCAAGTTCCAACGCAACCCCGATTACAGCTAGAACCGTTCGATCCAGTGCTTTGGACGGCTGGCAGCTGCTGCTGATGCTACTGCTTGGGAGGGATGGAGCTGGTTTCCCCTCTTCTCACCCAGCGGCGGCGGCCAAGCCGGAACGGTGGACGCCATAATCTGCAGCGAGCAATACTTACTTTAGTTAAGGACAGGAGCAAAGAAGAAGAAGAAGGAAACAGAGATGGGCGAGTAACGTGCATATCCTGGTGTCTGATTGGCGGAAGCTCGATTTTGTGACGAGCTGTTGCTCTGCTGGGGGGAGGGATGGGGGGGGATGGGGGTGGATACTACAGATAGCTCGCACAAGCTATCCCACCCCCCCCATCCCTCGAACCACACTACTAACCACGCCGCTACCAACACCATCACCAAATTTTTTTTGCCTGCTATTTTTTTTGTTTTTTTTTCTTCCCTATCCCTCCCCCCCTCCAACCGTCAGTCCTCCACTTCTCCGACCGGTAACGTCTCTTGTCCTAGTACTTACTACCATGCTCCCCCCCCATCAACCACCCCCCGGCCGCCGGAGCTCTCGACCTGTGCTTAACTTGCTCCATCTGCTTACCTGTGCTCTCCTACTTTGCTTCCCCTCATCCACCTTCCACCTACCCATCTACCCACACACACAAAAACAGATATACCCTACCCTAGGTCCCTCCACTCGACCTCCTACCTAATCAGAGAGCCCTCCGCCATCATCTGCATCACTGCCGCCGCATACCTGGAAAGTACCTTATACCTTAATCACTCGCACCGCCATCTCGCCTCAAACGAGAAAAAACACAATTCCCCCAAATCCTACGCCTCACACCACCCGTTAAACCGACAAGCTGTTATACGAATACAGTCACCACCAGTCCGTGTTGCTGAATCTTAGCCTCTCACCGGCGTATTTCACCAACATCGAAACAACACAGCACCAGAACCAGCCATAACAATGCCTCCGATGACGAAAACACCTTTCTCCTCCAAGAATCCGGCCACTCTGGCTAAGAGCTTCTCGACTGGCAGCCCTCACCCACAAGGCATCATCGGCGAGGTTGTATGTCCGCTTTTCAACAGCGATGGGTCGCAATGCCGCAAGAAGTGTGTTGGTGTGAGTTGCCGACCTCTCCTCGCCCCCCGAAAGTCGGGCTTGTATGCACGCTGGCGCGCACCGAGACTGACCGCGATCGTCGCTCTTAGAACTTTGCATACCGCTCCATCTGCGAACACATCCGCCGCGCGCACCCCGACAACTGGATCCCGAAGCTTCCGGCGAGCCCAGAGACATTCGCGAAGATGGTCGGAATCGTACCGAGACAGAACACCAACGGAATGCAGATCGCCAATGGCATGATGCACCACATTCCCGTCCAGCAGATGCGGAAACCCACCGTTGCTCGGAAACCGTCAAAACGTAAGTTCGCCATAACAATACACAACACCCCGTAACCGTGCTCTCCCTCATTGTCCTTCCCCCACACTTGCCTGCCCCTTATTTCCCGATGGCGCACAAGGGCCAAGGTCGAACCGACCGGAAAGAAAGAAAGGTCTCCGAACACTATCAATCCTTCAGCTGCTGCGCGCATGTGTCCGTACCCAGCATTGTTGGAGAATAGATTGTAAGGAGAACCTTTGTGCGAGTACGCGTCAGTGTGTGTGCGCGCGAGTGGTGCCTGGGCCTCAGTTCGTGAGAACAAAACTCTCCGTTCCGAGCCAATTCTCCAAACCGCTCTTGCTCTCGCTAGTGTGCCCAACCATGATTGAATCACCGAGCTAACACACCTTGTTCAGTCTCGAAGTCAATGGATGATGATCACTACCACGACCTCTCCCCTCCATCCTCGGCCACCGACTCGGAAGCCCCCAACCTCCCATCACTCTCCGTCGCTGCTGCCTTCGCCGCACGATTCCCGGTCTACGACTACCCCTCTCACACCGAGGACGATGACGACATGGACGGCGAGCACGAGCTCGACGAGGAGATGCTCCGGGGCCATACTGAGACCGAGACCGAAGACGAGGAGTACTCCAACCCATACTCGCACTTCCCCCCCTACGCACACATCCACCACCACCACCACGCCCTCCCTCCATCACGCCCACGCAGTCAGAAGCCGAAATCCCAGAAGCGAAAGCGCCAGAGCACACTCGACTCGACCACCTCGACGTCTTCCTTCCCCAGCCGCTGGGACGAGCTGATCGAGGCCGCCACCAACCGCGCCGTCGTCGAGATGCCCCTCTCCCCACCACAGACCGCGCAAACACTGCCGAGCATCTGCCCAAATACCCCATCGGGTATGTCGGAAGCTAGCTCCGAAGGCAACCAGTGTGGACCCAAGGTAGAGTGCACCGAGTGCCGATCACTTGTGGGTCTTAACCGAGCTTTCGTATGCACCGAGTGCGTCTCCGGATTCTGCGAGCCATGTGCCATTGACAACGCAAAGCGTGGCGTTTGCAGCGAGTGCAGAGTCATCGGCGCACGATGGAGGCCTTTGAAGATTAATGTTCTCTCGGGGTGAACACGGAGCACGATGGCGTTTCTGTGCAAAGACTTGTTGCATATTGTTATTTGGCGTTGAAGGAGTTTCTGAGCGGCTTCCGGGGGTCGTGGAGTGGTGTGGGGGAGCCTCGGCTGGGTAGCTGTTTTTGGTGAGGATGCTTTTTTGGTGTACGGAGTTTCGGGTTCACTGGTTGCTTCGTCCGGATTGGCTTTTTTGGGAGCGCGCTCTGGAATTCGGTGCCAGCCTATGGGAGTCGAATAAGACATCACCCATCGTCTACCACCACCACCACCTCTTCCACTACCACCACCACGACACTGTTTCTCTTTTGGCCATTTCTCGGTAGGAACCTAATGGGGAGCCTCCCCGTCGCCGCTGTTGCGCTGCGGGTCAGATGGCTTGTGTAGGACACGCGGACAGAAAATCGAACGAGCGAACGACCGCACGTTTCGGCTTCAATGTATTATTATCGACGAAAAGTTTTTCTGCTTTTTCCTTTGTTTACTTTTTGGGGGAGTTTTTTTCTTTTCTTGTATTTTTTTTACATCATCTACGGCTCATCAAAAGCGATACCACATCTGTTCTTCATTCGGTACTTCATTGAGTACTCGGCACTTTTTCTCTTTTCTCTTTTTTTGTTTTCTTTTCTTTCGTCTGGGCTGGCTGCACTGGAAAAAAAAAGTTTCATCTTTCGCATTTTTCTTTGATCACAAAAAGTTCGGGTTTTCTGGGAAAAATTTCGCTTGGGGGTCCTTTCTTTCTTTGTCTTTACGGGGGTTTGATGGGATCTATTCTGTTCTGTGTAGAAAAGAAAAGTTTTTTTCCTCGTTTTTTCTCTGTGTGTGTGTGGTTTGTGTGTGTGTGGGTGTATGTACATAAGAAGTAGGGCACGGGAGGTGAGGGGCCTGGAGACTCGGGAGACTGGGGAGGGCGCGGGACGTTAATAATATGTTCTGTCTGCAGAATTGTCAAAAAAGTTGTCATTTTACTCCTGAATCCTGATGAGAAACTTGATCGATTGACCTCAGATCTCTGCCGGAGTTCACTGTGATTGTGTACGTGATAAGCTTGGTCTGGGCCTTTTACTTTTTTCTTTTCTTTTTCCCTTTTGTTTTTCCCTTTTGTTTTTCGGGTTTCTTTTTTCTTTTCCTCGTGCAATTGGGGGGGGGGGGGGGGGGGGTTTCCCCACAATTGGGATTGCGATTGGGATTTGAAATTTGTGCAACCTGATTCGACTCGACTCGCGCAAAGCTTTTTGTCCCCACGGGGAGAACTTCGGTGGTGGCTCTGCAGCAGCCTGTGAGCGCGTCGGGACTCGGCGGGAGAATGAAAATCGTGAAAATCTTGAAGCCTGCGGAATCCGGATGATTGAGACTTCAGCTCTAGAGAGGAGAGGAGTAGAGCTGAGGAGAATAGCCGGATGCCGGGCCGATTTTTGCCCGAGGTAGGTAGGTACTTACATAACTCACTACAGCTGCTCCAGATGGTCTACAGAAGTAGAGTAGCTACATACATAGGTGCTTTATGGACATCGTGAGGGCTGGTCTGACCTGGTCTGGTCTGCGCGCCTGCTCGGGCTTGGTAACTACAAGGTATGTACTCGAGAGTCAACTAGCACTGTCGCCCGGTGAAAGTCTTGTCTTGTCCTGCGATGTTTCCGTGTGCTCACTGCTCACGGGGCTGCAACCTGCGACTTGGGATGAACCTTCGAACACGAGGTATCTACTAGTACCTTAACTATCTTGCCCGCGGAGACGATGGGATGCAATCGTACGTTCATATGTACGTTCGTTCGTTTTTCTCCGTAAAGTTTCCTTTCTTTTGCTGACGTGCTTTCAATCTCGACTCTCGACTCTCGACTCTGGACTGTCGATTGTCGAGCTTGGGGGAGTCGGGGGATCAGCAGTCTTCTCTTTTCTTCTTCTTCTTCTTCTTATGTACTCGTCCGGTGATGTCTTTCCTTCCTTCTGCCCATGTGTGTGTTTGTGTTTTGTTTTGTTTTGCCCGACCCCCGACCCCTTCCCGGGCGACGGGCGTCATCGGTGTGGACATATGTACCTCATACAGAGTACATGCCGAGTCGACATCTACCACCTCCTCAGCGCATCGTTCTGCACAGTGCACTGGGGCTGCGGGGGTGTTCCTGGTGGTGCGCTGTCCGTGTGTGCAAGCGAGCGAGACGATTTGCCTGCCTGCCTGCCTGCCTGCCTGCCTGCTTGCCTGCCTGCCTGCTTGCCTGCTTGCCTTCACGCACGCACGAGCTCGCCGAAAGTCGGGGGAAGGGCCTGGCCTGGCCATGGAACTTAGTTATGTAGCTGGGATCGTGTGGTTTTAACTTTTGTTTTCGGGGGCGGGGAAACATTGGGAAGACGAAGAAGCAGACGAACAGAAGAGAAGAGAAGAAGAGAAGAAGAAGGAAAGAAGAAGAAGAAGGAAAGAAGAAGAAGAAGGAAAGAAGGGTGGTGGGTGCGGCCGTGCGGGGAACCATGAGCGGCGGCAGCGGTGCATGCTGCATTGGGAAAGCTTCGCGAAGGGCTGCTCTTCTCTTCTCTTCTCCGCTCCTGCAGCTCGTGCGAAGGCGGGGGAGATGTATGTATGTATGTAGAGATGTGGAGATGCGGAGATTCCATGACGGGCCGGGCAGGCGGGATCGATGGGTGGGCATTGGGGATGTGATGCACTGATGGAGCTGGAGATGGTAAGGTATGCTGGGTGCATGTGCGAGGCGGGGTAAGGTAGGAGTTCATTGGGTGTCACTCGCGTACCATCGAACTTTCGTGCTGGGATTGTGGCAAAGGTTGTTCTTGAGGCTGCATACGCGCGTAAGAGACCATTCAGGGCAGCTGCTCGTTTTCGAGAGGATGGGATGGTAATCGGGGCACGCACGAGTGGTGTGTAGTTGTGGCTGGAGTTTGACGCGCGTATCAGTCTTGCGATACGTCCGTAACGTTCGAGGCATGCGATGATCTTGCATGCGGGTGACGGGTTCCCTGTGAACCATGAATCGTGGTTCGTGATCTCAGTTCAGAGAAGCGACAACGTTGGTGCTTTCGAGCGGGGCTGACCGAGCGGAATCGATAACGTGGCTGAGTTTCCGATGCCGAGCATAACAAGTACCTGTACTCATGGCCACGCCTCAAGAAAATCTGACGATGTAGCTGCGAATCCAAGCAGAAGTAGAACACTTCGAATGCCGTACCTACATACTTGGTCGCATGGATGCAGTCGCTGTATTTATCCTCTCAATCTCGGGCTCGGCTGGCAATTCTCCTGAAGCTTGTATTCGCAGCCTTCCGCCACTCCGCTGAAGATCAAGGCGTGTCGCGGTACATATTGGGAGACCCTCGACGGGTACGGGCAACTGATGAGACTGATTTAATTGACTAAAAGCAACAAGAAAGAAAAGCAGGCCTGTGTACTTCAAGTCTATGATCCTCAAGAAAGTATCTCTGCAGTGTTGATAATCATGTCTGATGTGTAGAGCAAGAGACCGACCGACTAGACGAACATAAAAGCAGCAACAGAGAACATTTCAACGTTGAGGCGACCGCATCGGGTCTGCCCGCCATCACACCTTGGTCCCACAATATCCGCGGGAGCTGGGATCTAGCCTGAATAGCCGACCGCCTACGGCACCCCCATTGGCCCTCAGACTCCGCCTACTTTCCAGCGGCCGCCGTGTTGACGTTGTATCGCGGGTTAGGGGTGGGCGGCTTAAGAGTTGCCTGGGTGGAGTGACGTGATACGCTCGCTCCTCCGCTCATCTACATACATCGTCCTCCAGATTCCCAGAATCGAGTTACCAAGTTTTATTTTTGGCCGATCGCTGCCATGGTCTGACAAGTCAATGGGTTCCAAATTCACATGCAGTTCCAAGCCGAATTCTAAGTTGCGGCTCTGCAACGCCCGCCGCGATGCGGTGACCACGACGTCACCTCTTTGTATGGCGCTTCCCTGGTAATGATCGCCGCACTCCCGCCAACGACGTCATCGCTCATCGCGAACAATTTCCCACAATTGAAGATTGACGAGCACTTTAAAGCCAACGAACTTCCCCCGTCTCAGTTGCTTCCTCATTATACACTCCTCCTCCCCTACAAATACACGCAAATCTCTTTCCGATACACAATCAATCTACAATCCCACACGTACCTTTCATCTTCACATACTCACGCAAATCACATACACAATGTTCGCCCGCACTCTTCGCCAGAAATCAACCACCTTTGCTCCCTCTGCCACCCGCACCTCCGTCCTTAGAAACCAGACTGCCAAGCGATTCCAATCGACCGCGTCGTCCACGGTACTTACAACCCTTCCGCCGCGTGAAGAGAAAGAAAAAACATCATGATTGCTGACCTGTGGATCGTAGAAAGCGAGTGCACAGGATGCGGCCACAAGCCCTCTGCTGGCCGGTGCCGTCGGTGGCCTTGTCACACTCACCGGAGGTACGCATTCACCCCATCTTTTCCGGTCTTCGCATACAACCACTGACACGAGCGCAATCACAGGATACGCCTGGTACCACCTCTCCGGCACCTCGAAAGTGGTAAACACAGCCAAGACCACCATCAACCAGCTCCAATCCGCAAAGACCACCATCACCGAGAGCACCCCTAGCCGCTCCGAGATCGTGCACTTCCTTCGCTCCAACTTCTCCCCCTACCTCACCTTCATTCCCGGAGCTTCCGCTGCGTTCGACGAGCTCGACGAGATCGCTGAGACCCACGGTGACGAGCTGAACCGTGTTCTGAGCGATGCCTACAACGATCTCAAGGCCGTGCTCGAGAAGGGAGGATTGGACAAGGGCACGGCGATGAAGGTTGGAGATATCGCGCGTCGCTTGGCCGGAGAGCTTAAGGAGCTCGGAAAGGACGTCGGACAGAAAATCCTCGAAGACAACCCCAAGCTGAAGGAGCAGATCGGTGGTGGAATGGAGCAGCTCAAGGACTTGGGACGCACCTACGGCCCTGAGGCGCAGAAGGTCGTCGATGAGACCTACAAGGAGGTCGAGGAGATCATCAGCAAGGGTCTTTCCCCCGCTGGCATCTACAAGGCTACGCAGTTGGTTCAGGAGAAGACGCAGCAGGTTAAGGATCTCGGACGCAAGGCTGCCGAGAAGGCTTGGGAGAAGGGAAGCGACGAGGCCCAGCAGTACCTCGACAAGGCGCCGCAGCTCAAGAAGATTGTCGAGGAGAACTTGGACTCCATCAAGGCTGTTGCCCTCGGTGGTGGTCTCTCCGTGAGCCAGATTCCCAACATCTTCCAGAAGATCAAGGACGTGGCGACCTCGGGAGGCGACAACAAGGAGAGCATCGATCGTCTGAAGCGCTACATGGAGGATCTTGCGAAGCAGGGAAAGAGCAAGATGGGCGGAGACGGTAGCGACACTTGGCAGTCTTTGATCACCATGGTAAGCGCCCCGCGTTAAACCACCTTTCTACTTTTGAGGCTAAAACTTTTTACGCAGGTCTTCAAGGAGACTCCCGATGTTAGCGAGATCATGGATATGGTCAACAAGAAGGGCCCGGAGGCCGAGAAGCTTGCGAAAGAGACCATGGAGGAAATCTCGGAGGTCCTGCGAAAGAAGGTCGATGAAGCCAAGAAGCTCGCAAAGGAGGAGAAGAAGTAAATCGACCTTTCCCAGTACGCTTGGCCGTAATTTCCTTGTATGTACCATAGTTAGTTGTTGCGGGGGTGTGTGTGGTCTGTGGAGGCATCGTTCTGGCGTTGTGCGTTTATGGTGCTTGACTTGATTGATTGAATTGAATATCATGGCGTTTCTTCACGCTGCTTTCTTCGGCCCGTCGGCACGCTGTCTGTTTTTTTCTCTTCGGCCCGCCGGCACGCTACGCTCCCCTTCATTTCGCTTTTGTGAGCGAGCGAGAGGGAGATGAACGGACCGGACTATTATAGTGGCGGATCCTCTCAAGTGACAATGACATCGTGGTGCAGTAGGACGCTCGCACCAGTGGGTTGTGCGTACATAGAGCCGGACCGAAGCTAATGTAAGTGCTCGGCCTGCCTGACGCTACATACAACAGTACTAGATACCGGTACAACGCCAGCCGATCGTTCCGGACCCGAGGTTCTCGCGGCAGCACGTCACTGACGAATTGCCTAGCTCCTACACGATAGTTATGTATCTCCACCGTTGTTCCGAGCTCGGGCTGGATGCGGGGCGCACGCGCGGAGTGAAGGAGGGGTCAGCGGAGCTAGAGTAGCTTGCCCGAGGCAGGCAGGTAGGCAAGCCGGCCGGGGTGGGGGGAGGGAGAAGGGGGGAGGAACGCCCGTGCACTGCGGCCCTGCGGTGGCGGGTAGATGGTCGGAATTACGGAAACGTAAAAAGACAGCTTGGAGATCACGCGCGCCGGAGCTGGTGTTCCTCGTCCCTCGTCTAGACCGGCGGGCTTGGTCTAGAGAACTGTAGTGCGCACTGCAGCCCAGCTGCCCAGCTACCAGCTATGCACATACCAATTGCGCGTGTGAGGAGTGAGGAGTTCATCTTAACGTCGTATGCACCCTCTAGCTAGAGCATGTAGAGTTCTACATACATAGATGGGGATCGCCCGATCATCGTGGCTACCTAGCAGACATCCGTCTGTGTGTAAACGCCATGCTGCGATTTACTAGTACCTACATAAGCCGTGAGGATGGCTGTGATGATTGTGATGATTGTGGTAATTGTGTTCTGCAGGCTGCACCGGACCGGGACTGCGGCTCAGTTGATGCTTGAGCCTTGCACCAGCTAGAGGTTCTTGGAAGCTCTAGTTAGCAGTCACGGTCAGCATGAGCTCGGAAGCTCATCGGCGCCACGGTCATGCGGGATTCCGCGGGCATCGGAGATAGGGCCCCGGTGGCTGGCTGTGGCGCTAGGCAGGACGAACAGCTAGCCACTCAAACGCAATCTGCACGGGAGCCGGACTATCGGCGAGGAACAGTAGTTTGGACGTAGATAGCCGGCGAGAAACCGGAATACCTAGGTAAGTAGAGGAGGAACCCGGGGGGGCCGAGAATTTCGCCGACGCTCTTCCGACGTTGTGGCCAGGACGGAACGCCGAACCCGTTACTAGAGTAACGGCTCGAATGCACCGGATTTCGGCAGATAGCTTGGCCGGCTGGCCTGTTTCGGGCTTCTAAAACATTCCATGCTGACTAACTTCCGATTCCAAGTATTCCGACGCACAGTGAAGTTTAAACCACACGACCCGCTTCGTCCAGCACTATCTCCCAGTGTAGGAAGTTGTCCCAGCGGAAATATGAACACGACGGATGGAAGACAATGGAGCGACGAGCTCGACGTATCACTATGCCCGTATCAGTCGAGGTCGCCGCTGCTCGAATTAGCCAGGTTTGCAGATTCACTCGGAGTACCGAGTGATGTTTCATCAGCGGGTTCTATCATAAACCAACCGTTTCTCACACACGAGGGCGCAAAAGGCCCCCGATACGGCTGGTAGGCATCTTCCCTATCTATGTGGTGTTCTCGAATTGGCGATATCAAACTGCATCCTCGTCGCCGTCAGGTAGGCTTAGTAATGCGCAGTGATTGTCGATGACGAGAATGAATGGGAATTTGGAGCAACCATTACTTCTCGGTCTTTCTACCTCGCTATCTACCTAAACATCTCGCCTCACTGCACTCACTCAGCAATCTTCATTCTTATGATACAACCACGCTCGCCTAAAGCTCAATGGAGCGTCGCGTCGATCTCTACCTCGTCACTACTACAACATCTTGCCCCATCGCACTCACTCTACAATCTCTCTTCTTATAATCATGCTCGCTATAGGCTCAATGGAGATTCACGCCGATCTCTACTTCGCTACCACAACATCTCGCCCATTGGTTGTCTACCACCACCATAAGAGGAGCGATATGGGATAATAGGGAATCAGATAAGATAGATGGAGGGGCTAGTCGTAGTGGATCCGAATGGTGATGTCAGCCGGACTACCTAGCTAGATCGAGTGACACTTCGAAGTTGAATAGAACCTCAACTCTTCCATCATCGATCCTTCACTTTCACCGTTACCTTTGCCGGGCTACGTCAACAATCTTCGTTCTTACAGTCACGCTCGCCTAAAGCTCAATGGAGCGGCACATCGGTCTCTACAGAGGGACTTGAAGGGTCGAGCAGGACCCGGCACGCCCGGGGTGCGCCGGAGGGCTGCCGCCTGTCTGGTCAACGGTGTGACCCAAGTGAGACCAATTTCTGACAGTATGGGGCGGCTCACCAAGATTGTGTGACATGATTGAGACTTGGTTGGACACGACTGCATTTGAGGCTGGACCTTGACAGACCTGTTGCGACCAACTGTTTTTGTAGTGATTGTTTCTGTTTGTTGACATCGTCGTCGAGCCGACCTGATGCTGTCGGCCAAACGTCTGTTTTCGCCGCTCACTCTTATTTAAGCGGGCTCGCCGTTCTCTTCTCTTCGGCTTTCTGTACCGCTACGTTACGTTTTCTTTGAAGTTTTCTAGTTCTGCTGCTGCTGCTGTTTTCTACAATTGATCAATTTCTCTTTTACATCAACCCCCCCATCCGTGAGCCTTCACTATTTTTGTTAGAGAGGCCGCCGCTTGTTAATTCTCTTTCCCGGACCCTTACTTTCTCGAGACTACTTCTTCTCTGATTTCTCGAAGTGTGCCACTTATTCTATCGGGTCTTTCGGCTCGTCCCTTTTTACCTTAATAATTGATCTATTCGTCTGACCGGTGACTCGCTCTACCCCACCCTCACTACAACCCTTCCACACAAGTTGGCTGTGGGCCCCCTCCGGCCCCGGTCCCCTTCACTATGTACCTTTATTCTCTTCTCCCGAATCGACGCCCGCCAATGTTCTTTCTCTACAAAATTACATCAGTACGTACCACTCATCCAGAACCGGGCCGCCGCTTTCGTCTGCGAGCACCAACCACTTCGACCGGAATGCGCTGCGTCAACTTCGACCGGAATGTTTACTGTCCACTTCGTCCGGAATGCACCGCGTCCTAGGGATGACCCAGAACAAATATTGGCTCCGCCCAACCGGGCGTTCCCCCATCCAAATACGAACCTCTTCGGTCGGAACACGCCCCATCCGGATGCGATTACAATCCTCCGGTGAGGCAATTGTTCGGAACGAGAAACGAGTTCAACTTTACGACCTCCACGGCTACAACAAGTAGAATGAGCCTACCGACATGCCGACACGCGATTGGGGCTTGCCAGATACTTCAGGTACATCACCTCGGGAGAGCTGTTTCCATTCTACTCCAATGTGAAGCAAGAGCTGACGTGTACTAGCTAGAGCTCGTCGCCATCATCATCTTCTTCTTATTGATAGCTAAATCAACCTTTCTCGTGTTGATATATTCGTCACCACAGACAGAGCGACATAGTTCGATGGGAGTCGGGGGCAGAGGCGCCTCTGTGTTGCGGTGAGCGGCGGTGTGGTGGGACCAAAGTGTGATGGCGGGCAGACCCGATGCGGTCGCTTCAACGTTGAAATGTTCTCTGTTGCTGCTTTTATGTTCGTCTACCTAAAAGGTGCGGAGTCATTGGAGTGTTAATTCGGATGTTTAGCGGTTTCTTAGCAGAGTGGGAGGAGACGAGCAGTGGAGCAGTTGAGTCATTGGAGTGTTAATTTGGATGTTGAGCGGTTTCTTAGCAGAGTGGGGGGAGACGAGCAGTGGAGCAGTTGAGTCATTGGAGTGTTAAATCGGATGTTTATATAGCGGTTTCTTAGCTCAGTGGGAGGAGACGAGCAGTGGAGCGGCAGACTCTCTCGTGGTTCTTCTTCCTGTACCGAGACACTCACCAATCAATTGACCGCCTAACCATCGTCACTCCCACCGTCCCGTTCCATGTACAGGAAGCTCAGCGCATAGTATGGATCCATGAAGCGTTCAACGCTCCATTCACTCTCACCTGTACCCACCAAAGTTCTGCAAAGTTCCATTCACTCTTACGTTCGCTCATCCAGCACGAGTGTCTGCAACAGCCCATTCACTCTCACATTAGTCAATACACCATTGAGACTCTTGTCCTTCAATCTCTTTCTCTCTCTCTCTCTCTCTCTCTCTCTCTCTCTCTCTCTCTCTCTCTAATTTCTACATTTCTGCATTTCTGCATTTATACTGTGCAAGCTAGGTATCCCTATGTTCTCAATAAGCTTCGGGGGTGAGAAGTTGGGAAGTTGAGAAGTTGCCATTTGCCTAACTGTACACACTTATATAGGAATAATCAGATTACCAACCCTTCGAGTTCCAAGCCCGTTCCGTCAGCTCTGGATATGCCCACCCCCGCCCCGTCAAATGATGTGTGTGGTCTGGCAATTTCTATTCAGCCTCATTCCTTCGGCATTGGAGTATGCATCCCAGACCCTCGATTTCCGAGCCGCGTGCCTGTACGAGTGATCACTCATGAAGTAGGTAGAGTGGAGTATAATCAAGGGGAGTAGAAAAATGATGGTGCTACAATGTTTTGGGCGAAATATGATAGCTATATGGTTCTATTATGTGACGTACCAGTGGCCAGATGCGGTACAGCAGTACAACGCGTAGCAAGCACGGGTGCATATTCTTCACGGACTACATATCTACTACGCCGACACGGCGTATCGTTACGGCTCAGAACCTATCGATACGGCTTATAACGTATTAATACGGCTCGTAACGTAATGATATGGCTCATAGCGTATCGATACGTCCATAATGCATCAATACGGCTGGAGGAGACCAGCATCTGGAGCCTGGAGGAGAGAGCAGCAGTAGAACAGACGCTATCCGCGGCGGTTCCAGCATGGTATTCGCTGCGCTGCCAGGGCATTGACCGTGACGAGCAGCAGCAGAGGGGATAGGTATCCATAATCCACGGCGAGCAGCAATACCAGAGGGCCACTTTTGCGTGCGGTTCGTTTGCCAACACCCCTCGAGGCCGTAGTATCCCCTCCATCAGCCATACTTCTCGAATAACTTTGTCAGCACCCCACCCGGCCGCTCCTCCGAACGGCGAATACCGGGTGTCTGGTCCAGATAGATAGATACTCGGGGCGGTCTGGCGTGGTCCTCAGCGGCTCACATCCCAGCGTGGATAGCCCAAATCTGTGCTATTAGGCAAGTACGTGCGCACGCATTGAATCGTAGTCACTGGTAGTGGGATGGTACAAAGCAAGGGCAAGGCGGGAATTCTTATTTTTTCGAGTGCGAAGCTGTGATCCCAGTTGTGATTCCCAGTTGTGATTCCTAGCGGAGAGGGGTGCGATTACTACGGAATACATACCATGGTCATTTTCATACCGAAGAACTACCAGATTTTGTTCAATACGCATACCTACTTTTAGAAAAGTCTAAACAACATGTATTTCCATAACAGGAAACGTACCGTCTTTCTCATATAACGTATAAAAAAGTAATACGTCATCGAAGGACAACGAGAGTTCTACAATATTTCAATGCACTTCGTATGATTCTTGATACCGTAGAATTTCAACTCTAGGGAAAAAAGAACACCTAAATTAAATCTGTATTCTCTCAATCCTGCTTGATTTACATCCGTGCGGTGGTACATACTACTGGAGACCTTTAGCATCAATCGCCCCCAATTTTTGCTACAGTATCTGGAGCGTATAAATCGGCGTAAATCACATTCTCCGGAATCTCGCCCGCACAGCTGAAGAGTACATCCAGTGAACAAACAACATCATGGGTTTCTTCTTACACACTACCTCTTGGATCGCGGTCTGCACACTTTCTTCACGAAGCGCATCATTAAACCGAGCGATGAAATCCAATGGTACAAGCAAGGAAGCAAGCAAGTAAGAAGCGCGACAGGTATAAAAGTATCCGATAAGCAAGAGACGAGGAAACAGAAACAAAGAGAGAAAGACACGTACACAAGGGGAGGGGGAGGGGGAGGGGAGTGAAAAGCAACGCAAAAGAAAAGCCAAAGGAAAGACAGCCCAAAAATTACTCCCGAATCAACCAATACGTCAGCCCCAGAAGCGCACCGAGACAGATGGTAGTCAGGATGCCGGCGCCGGCCCTGTCGCCAGTGGTGGTGGGACCGGTCTGCTTAAGCTCGTCCGCACTCAAACTCGACGTTCCACTACCCTTGGAGGCATCACCCTTACTCGTTCCCGTCTTCTCGGTGTTGGGGGTTTTCACCGACGGGATGAGCAGCGACTGGAACACCTCCATGGCGCTCATGTGTTCGCCGACACCACCCTTGGCGATACCGTACGGGCTGTCGTCGTACGTCTGCTTGATCCACGACAAACCGCAGGTGTTGCCGCCGTTGTCGGCACCGTTGCAGGACTTGGCCGCAGCTACGGCGGACGCGCGCAGTCGCGTCATGATGAAGTCACGGCTGAACGGGCAGTACTGGTAGGTCTGGGCGAAGAAGCGAGAGAGGTACGCCTTGAAGGAACGCTGATCGGTGTTGCACGTGGGAGTGCGAGTGTACGGTGGGGGAGACTCGCAGGCGGACTCGCGCATGATGTTGGGAGTGCCGTCGTTGCGGTTGAAGAAGGGCTCGTCGGTGGCGTTGAGCAACTTGCCCGTCTCCGTTTCCCAGGTACTGGCCATGTCGGTGTTGGCAACGATGGTGTTGTAGTAGTCGTACATGGCGGCGGCCCCGCTGAGGTAGATACCGGCGTTGTAGCTCCACTGGATCTTGGACGACACGACACACTCCGGGATATGGCTACCGTCGTACACCTTGTAATCCGAGCTCACGAGGCCGTTGCTCAAACTCCACGCCCAGACCTTCTCGGCCCAGTCAATGTACGTGGTGTTGCCCGTGTACCGACCCAAGCGCGCACCCATGTTGAAGAGCAACCCGTTGCTGACCGAGTTCTTGTAGTCGTAACCCTTGTTGCTCGAAAACACCTGCCAGCGCAGTCCACCATCGCACGCCGCTTCGTCCCACCGCCCAACCTGACGGTTGAAGACGGCCTGCGCCAGCGCCAACCATTGCGGCTGGTCTGAGGGAGGATCGGGGAATCCGCGCTCGGCAGCGGCGAGGGCAGCGATGGCCCAGAAGGCCTGATCGTCGTTACCCAGGGCCAGCGTCTGGTTTGGGGGTTGATAGTCCTCGTCGGGACCAACTTGGAACAGCAGCGCTTCCGACACGATGTCGTTGTAGGTGTCGTCACCCGTGAAGGCCCAGTAGTCGATCCAGCCACCCATGGCGGCACCGGCTTCCCACCAATAGTACCCTTGATCGTTCTTTCCGTCGGCGGTCTGGATGAGACCGAACTCGCCCGGAATGAACCATGACTCCGTGTTCGGGTAGAGGGCGCGAAGCTTTCCGGCCGCGATGCCAGCCGCGCTCTTGATAGATTCTGAGCGAGTTAGCAGTGACGCGGACATGAGGGAGGGGGAAATGGCGAGGGACGGTACATACCGTTGTCGTCGGGGTTGAGGTCGATTGCCCACGCGCAGCCCGCGAGAGTCAACAGCAGAGGTAGTAACGACAGTTTCATTGTGGAGGAGGTGGTAGTCGAGGTTGACGGCGATAGTGCGCAGGCCTCGAGCGAAAGGGAGACGAAATAACGTTGGAAGTGGGCCAAGAAACGAGCGTCGAGGACGCGCGGCGGCGAAGACGGCGGAGCTCACTAGGAGACTCGGCAGCGGACGGCGGCGGAACCGAAAAGGGGGGCGGGCCGGATGTTGCGGAAGCGTCGATTTTTGGCGGCCGGGGGATGTTCAATATGTACCGTAGCGGTGAGGCGGGGAGAGACAGGGGAGGAGCGAGGGCGGGGAGCGGGGAGGGCGGGGGACGGGATAGAAGAAGAAAGGGAGAGGTTGATGGTGGATGCTGGGCGGTGACGGGGAGGGGGCGAGCGAGCGAGCGTGAGCGCTGACAGTTCCTTGGTTGTGTCGATGAAGCGCAACGGCAGCCATCCCTGTTCTAGTAGCGTGGCCGGAAGGGTGAGTTTCAAGATCGATTCATTTTGTCGGCAACCCGCGAAAGACGCCACAAGACTTCGTGGCTACCAGCACCGGATACTCAAAAGAAATGTACTGGTATCTGATTCTACATGCGCTCACTGTCAAGAAGCGACTCTTAGTCTCGTCTTTTTTACTCGCTCGGAGAGTTAACAATTCATCTCCTTTTTGCTTGTTCTCGTTCCTGTGCTAAAAATAGCATAAATTCCTCGCCAAGGGTTTTCTGAGGCGCTGGCTGTTTCGGGCTTCGTTCGGAGTTGAGCCACAGCATCGTGGCTTGCTAGGTCTCGGTGCGCCACAAAATGAAAGCCACACATATGGGTCGGGGCAGAGAACCGGGGAATCCCGACGATTTGTCCTGAGCCAACAACCGGACATCGATCAGCAGCTTTTTGATCGCTTCTTCCTCATGAATTTAAGCTTAATTACGTAGCCTGCCAAGCTGCCATTGAAAGCCAAAAGTTGCACGGCGTTGTTCACATCGTAGGTAGATAAATAGAGTACCTATGCCTTCGTTGGAGACAACTCCTTGACTACACTCCATCCATACATACACCCAAACCACGTCCTATGATATCCCCACTCAAACCACGTCCTATGATATCCCCCGCCACCTACAGCCTGCATTCCGGCCGCCCCGCCGCCCCCACCATCGTACATTGTTCGCCCTGCGGCTCACCACGCTCCTCATCGAACGGCCGCCGCATTTCACACGTTGGATGCTCTGGATTATCGCTGCAGAAGTGGTCGTCGTCCTGGCCCGGATTCTTTGCGAACAGTCAGCAAAGCAATCTGGAGATTCTGATCCCGAAGGGCAGAAGGGTGCAGAGGGGGGCGCAGAACGGGTCCCCGCACCGCATGCTCGTACTCCAGCGTCTTCATGAGCTTATACACCGTTGCCGCCAGGACCGCCCCCAGCGCCGGGCCCAGCCAGTAGATCCAGTGTTCGTGCGGAAAGCTGCGGTTGACGACGCACGGCCCAAAGCTCCGGGTGGGGTTCGCGCTGCCGCCCGTGAAATGCACGCCGACCAACTCGATCACGAAAAACACCAGGCCTATCCCGATCGGCGCAAGGAACGTGGCCCGGTGCTTCTCCGCCGCAAGCATGAACACCGTGAACACCAGCTCGGCGGTCAGGAACATCTCGATGAACAGCCCCTGGGCCACGCTCGTCCCGCCGCCCAGCTTCGTGCCCACGTCTAGCGGCGTGGGGAACAATGCCGACACTATGGCCGCGGCGACGATGCCGCCTAGCATCTGCGCGACGAAGATGGTCGCCGCTTTGGTCGTGGAGAGGTTGCCGACAAGCCAGAAGGCGAAGGTTACCGCGGGGTTGAAGAGACCGCCCGACACCCGGAAGAAGATCCATACGTTGACGGCGAGGGAGAATCCGAACGAGAGCGCGATGTAGAGGAGGACGACGGGGTCGAAGGGCGGCGTGGCGATTGGGTCGGTGTTCGGGGGGATGTGCGCCACCATCGTCCCCCCGAAGGCGAATATTAGGTACAGCGTCGTTCGGGAGAGCGAGGAATGTCAGCATTGGAAGCGAAGGATGAGATTAGAGGAAAAAAGAAACCCGATGAATTCGCCGAGCTGGGAGAGGTTAGCAATCTACTCTACTCTGTTCGGCGGAAACAACGGTGGAGGGTGGCTAGGCATTACCCAGGCGACGAAGACTGATAATGAGGTCAGAAATAGCAAAGGCGGGAGCGGGAAATAAGGAAGACCAACGATTCTTGGTGGGTTTATTCATCCATCCTATCATGAGGCACCTCGGGTCCGCAGATGGCCGTAGCCACCAGTGCCGTTCACGCCTAGGACCAGTACTGTTGCCATTGGTCGGTGGTAGGATGTTGCGCGCAGTTCCAGCCATGATGATGATAGCGACTCTTCACCTCCGGGGAGCAGCAAAAGGTGGTTATATGTTGAGCAATGGCATCTCCGCCGGCGCCGCAGAATGGTCAGAGTGGCTGAACAGTTTGTTGACGGCGATACACGTCATGGGTACTCCGGCAACCGCAAAACACGCCGCTGACATGCCCATGAGCGATGAGGCGTGCCGATGATGATGGTAGTTTGAGTTCAGTGCACATCGAGGGGCGGGCGGGGCGGAGCTTGATCTTTGCCAGTTTTCAATTCGAACACGCCTGTTAAGAAGAATAGGTAAGTAAAACACCGTCCGTCCGTCCAAGTATGCCTATTTCAGGATCCCAAATAATCCCCAATCGGTACACGATCCCCGCCCTGCTGAGTGTATGTTTATGCTCAGACGCCGCCGAGTCTATTTGTATATTGCCCCCTTCCCCCACTTGTTATATCCCCCCCACTTGGTACGACGGAGGATGTTGCCGACCTATGCCATGGGCTTTCGCGCGACAGCAAATGTTCTACACCGACCAGATCAGAGAGTGCAAACGAGGCGGCTCGGATTGATTGCACTTACATATTGCCGTAAGCGTGCACTTTCTTGCTGTTGACCTCAACGTTGCATTGCCCGAACAGGGCATACACCTCTTCTGACGGCATATTGAGCACGCGGGTGAGCAGAGCAAGGCCATACGCCGAGAAGCCGGACTGAGTCGAGAGAGCGAACCAGGCGCCCATCTCCTTAAGCTTGCGATCGGAGGGCCAGGTGCCGAGCGGCAGCTTCATCTCCGTCTCCTTGTAGCTGCCGAAGTTCGCGGTCGTGACGAGATCGCGTATTGACGGGTTCATTAGCTGTAATGACCGCCCCGCCTTGGCGGCGGCTTGGTTCACCAGCTCGTAGTATCGCCATATCGCCGATTGCGGCGTGTACGTGTCGTCGTCGGCTTGGAGCTTGCCCGCGGCCGCTTCGACTATCTCGATGAAACCGCCGGGCTTGAGGCACCTGTGCACATACCAATCCGGGGTCAGTTCGGGGTTTTTTTTCTTAATCTTTATCTTGACTTTTTTTATACAAGGGCCGCAAGGCGCCCATATAGAAGCGAGGGACAAGACAAACCTGTAGCATTGGCTCAGCAAACGAGGCCAGTCCTTGATGGAGCCCAGCATGCTGCGGATGTGGATGAACTCGAAGGAATCGTCGGAAAACATCCAATCGCACTCGACGTCGTCCACGACGAACTGGACGTTGGGCGGAACCCAGCTCGGCTGGATGGGTGATAGGTCCACTCCGATCACTTGCGCCGCAGGAAAGCTGTCCCCCATATCTGTGATGGGTCATGGTTAGCCTGAGTGTCTGACAAAGGGTTTTGATCCGTCGTCATCATAGTAGCCCTGAAGAGCTCGAATAGAAAAGAAAAATAGAAGAAAAGAGCTTACCGATAGCCCAAATGCCAGTTCCAGTGCCAATGTCGAGTATCCGCGAGGCGTCTTTCGGTATCGGCGCCAGATGCAGTCTTCCCCTGAGCATCATGCTGTAGATGTGGTGCATCATGTCGAGTCTGTCCTGCTCCGTCTCGTCGTTTGGAAGAGCATACTGGCCTGCGCGGAATGCGTGGTAGCGTCGGCCATTCTCATACACGTAGCTGTGGGGGCACCGAAACGTCGTCAGTCAGAGCTCAATAATAACAGCAAGTTCGGACGGCGATAAGTAGGTATCAAGGGTAGTACATACTCCAAGACGGACGAAGAAAGTGAGGCCGTCGACGATTCCGATCCGCTGGAATAGAGCGAGTCCTCGAAAGCGATAGATTCCGAGTGGTTATGCGAGTCGGCTGGGTCGGAATAGGCATCTGGCTGAAGGGAGGCCATAGTTATGGATTTCGCGCGTGCGTGAGGACCGACTCACTCATCGAGGGGGGGGTATGGTCTCCATATTAAGTAGTGTAGAGTACTCGACATAACGACTTCTCAATCTACTGACCCAGCTCGCAGGTGCCTCGCTAATAGGCCCCCTCGGTCGCCGCCATGTGAGTACATACGGTACACTACCATAGGTACTCTAGTTATCTGCATACTTGGTTATCGAGCTACGTGTGCGGAACAATCCTCCTATGCACATACACGTTGTACGGGGCGGGCCCGAGGAAGAATAAATAATGGCCTCGCTTGTAAGGGCATCGCACCTAGCTGCCGGACGCACATGTGTCCCACATTACGCGGACCGACGGGGGCGGGTGAGGGTGAGGGGCGCTCGAGGTTGGACTTGCACATTGCATGCACGACATGCGCCGATCGCGGAAGTAGAGTACTGCATAACCTGCTTGTTCTGATGTGCAGACGCGTCTCTTACCTCGGGCAATATCAGATGCCTAAACTTCAGTGGTTGCTGTTGGCCGGTCGACTGCGGCAGCCCGTCCGAATATCCGCCATACCTAGTACCCAGCATTTCGGCGTTTACCCCACGGGAGGCCGCGGAGGGGCTGCTGGCCGAAAACTCGCAGCTATACTATAGTACATATCTAGCGGCTATATATTTAGCAGAGCAGAGTAAACACTGAACAGAGTACTTACTGATAATCATGTCCTCAGAATCCTATATATCTGCGGGCAACCTGATACCACTTGGCATGCACCTGCTAAAGACAGCGAATTTGTTCCACCCCGCCACCTAATCTCCACTACCGGTATTAGCCGCGAACAGAGTGCCTATCATAGCCGTGCTCTGCGAGTCTGCGTGCGCCATGCTCACCATTGCTCTATGTACCGTGAGTAGAGTACCTGTGTACCATGGGTACGCTAGCAGTTACCAAGGTGAACGATTCGAATGCGGGGAAGGAACGGGACCATGGGTCGGCATGCATATGTGCCAGATCTCGAGATCATCTAGAGAAGAGTATGTAGAGGTCCTGGATGCCACACCGTGTATGTACGAATATTCGAGATGCGCCGTATGTACATTTCCTAGATGATGATTCGTCGTGCTCACGTATCCTTGCAAAAGGCTTCTCACCAAAACATCGTGAAAACGCTCGGAACTCCGTGGGACTGGCTGCTGACTGGTGATGGTCAGCACCGGGACGGACGGCACTATGTATCATACGTAGTAGCTGTGCATGCGTTTCATAGGGTAGGTATGTACGTATGTTCCATAACCGTACCTACCTACCTATTCGACATGGCTTACCACCTACATGGTCTGCAGAGGAAGCGGCGGATGGTTGGCTGACGATGTTGCAAACCAGTGGTTCGCGGATACAGCTCCCTGTTCGAACCCACGAGATGGCTGCCATGCCGTGTACTACCGGTATGATAGTTGCGCTACATATCCCGAGCGGCCGACTTTTGCTGCGAGGCGAGGGCGAAAGCATCTCATATGTACTGTACTCTAGCTGAATGCATCCGCAACAGTGACAGCAGCTCTCGGTTCTACTCTACTAGTAATGTAGCTGGTGTGTTTATGCGGGAGACAAATATCCAATAATCGCTCGCACCCACACCAAAGCGTGAGGGCGACGATGATGATGATGATCATCATCATCATCAAGTGTGAGGACAAGTTTGTCTCAGGTCTCGACATCCGCACCCCCGAACCCCCCTTAAGGCATCCAGCTCGTGGTCCCGACGCTACGGCCGCGGGCCGCACCTTCGTTCGCATGGTACCTACCCATTCCGCCGTCGTGGGACCGCACTTCCCGGGCCGCCGTGCATCGCTCCATGGCAAGAACCGTGCATCTCGATACATGAGTGAGTTTCTAACCAGACGTCTCTACGATGAATCCGTCACATGCAGCCACTGGCCAGCAGTCAGCAGCCAAAAGCCAGCAAGATTTCCACGCATATTCATTCATCCGGGCCCCCCAAAAAGCATATTTTTGTTTGATAAGCACACGACGCTGGTTACAGGTGGCCAGTACCTAGAGGCAAGACAGACAAATCCCAATCACCACACTGGTTACTAACTACAAGTAGCTGGTAGACGCAAGAAAAGATGAATCTCAATCACCATGCTGGTTACAGGTGGCTGGCAGAGACAACACGAAATGAATCTTAATCACCACGCCGTATGCCCGCCATCGATGATCAGATCCGAGCCAGTCATGAACGAGCTGGCCTCAGACATCAGGAACACAGCCGCACCTCTGCCACGCCATTAGTCTCCGCCAACCAACCAACTAAACCGGTTCCAGCAAGGCTAGCACTCACCTGAACTCTTTAGGCGAGCTCAATCTCTGCATCATGTTCTGTCCTGCCCACTCCGCTTCTCGCTCGGGGAACTTGGTGAACAGGTTCACCACCATGTCCGTGGCGATGTATCCCGGGCTAAGAGAGTTGACGCGGATGCCGTACTGCGCCCACTCAGACGCCAGGTTCTTAGCCAGCTGCTTCACCGCTCCCTTCGACGTGTTGTACGCCGGGCAGGCCAGACCCTGTTCGCGATGACATCAGCACCTACTCGCTCGCCCCCATCGCGATTACCCATGGTACGCAGAGAACCTACCCTATTGGCAACCGTCCCACTCATACTAGCGATCAAGCACATGCTCCCCTTCGTGCCGGCCTTCAACATGGCCTTAGCCACCGCCTGAGCCGTCATGAACACGCCGGTGACGTTGATGTCCAGCATGCGCGTCACATCGACCGCGGTATACTCGAGCGCCGGCGTCTCCTGCATGATCCCCGCCGCCGCGATGAGTCCGTGGATCCCGGCGGGCTCCGCGAGCTTGAAGATGGTGTTCTGAAGCGCCTCCGTGTCTCGCACGTCCACTTGGTGGTACGTGAGGCTTCGTCCGAGTTCCTTTGCGCGGGCGGCGACCTGGGCGAACTCGGTGGAAGGGGTGGCGAGCACGTCGAGGGCGTGCACTTCGGAGGTCAGCAATCATTATCGGAAGACTGGATGGGGGAGAGAAGAACTACCATCTGCGCCGGCTTCGATCAGGGCCTCGGCCTGCGTGAGCCCGAGACCGCGGGCACCGCCGGAGACCACAATGACTTTACCGGCGAGACTGAATTCGGGCAGAAGATTCTTGGTTGCCATGGTCACGGTAGGTGCTGTTGTTGATCGGATCGTTAGGTTATCTATTCAAATTGATTGGGATTTGCGGAAGAGAGAAGGCGGGGATGAGAGAGATGAGGAACGCTTATCTCCAACAAGCGACGAACTACTATACTTATAATCCCCCACAATCACGGACAGGTATCTCGATCGAGGAGTGTGGGGTGCATTGTCGGATCCCCGGTCGAATGCGGTACGAGGCGGGGCAGCGACAGCTACCGGCACCAGGCTGATGGCCGGCGAGTGGGGGCTGCGTACCTCCAAAACCTGGGGTTTTCGGCAAGAAAGGCTCAACGTATGTATGAGTTTCTGGTTTCTGATGCGTCGTGACACAACTCCATTTGTCCGCCGAGACCTGGGCACCCCTGGGTCGTAGGGCCCACTGCGGATAGATATCCGGCAGCTGCGAAATGCGGGGAAAGCTCGGGAGATATATTGCATGTTGAGTGTGGAATCGTGGGGTCCTACCTACTGCTGAAACGAAGATTGTCGACGGACGAGAGGATGTTTCCCTCGGTTTCTTGCTGTGGAACGAACCGGACTGGCGGCAGTTGACGGCAAATGAGGATGTTTTGGAATATCTTGCCTTAGTTTCGGCAAGGGTTCGCCTGCCGGATCATAGTTGGGAATTCGGTTTCCGGTTCGTCACGTCAAGCGCTCTTGGGGGTGGTGCGACCCCACAACGACTGCGGCACGCATCACTACAAGATTTTAATACGGATTGGACAGATTTCAGCCTACAACTTACAAGAGGTGCAGGCTAGCAATATTGGACTTCCTGCGAGGGACGAACGTCGGTAGGCTCTCGTCCAGGACAATGCCGTGGACGAGGCGGCCAGTGAGGCCCCCACCGTGAACAAGAGTGAATACGAGGGATGATGCACCCCGGAGGGAAACGAAGAAGCGGTGAGCATGCAGGAGCTTGTGTCTATAATGATGCATCCGGGGAAGCAGGGTGAACGGCGCAGCACGCCCGGTCGAGCGCTTTCACATGACATTTCTCCAGTTGAGATACACCTTTTAGCAGCCAGGGGGGATTGAACCACTGCCACGGGTCATTTCCCCACCTTGTGCAGATAGGAAAGTCGGACCAGTGTGTATATCGGCAGTCTTCATAGCCTGCATGTGCACAAACAGGAAATCCCAAAGGTAATACATAGTGGATAATGACTAGGTAGCTGGCGGAGTGAGGAGTGAGCCAGCTATGTACTTGTACATAGAGTCGGCAATGCGAAGGTTTGAAGAGGTCGATCGGCTCAAGGATCATACCGTAGTCTCGATGGTGATCACTCGCCACCAGTAGTCAATCTACTCTCAAGAAACCATGCAATCTAGTATAACGAATATCAAGCTAGGTGATAGGCCCGGTCCTATCACCGAGTTTATAATCCTACCGCATGCCATTAAGGAGCGGATACGCTGATATCTAGCCTGCGACATGGGGGGCTCTGCAATTAATCGAGAATAAGCGCCGCGGTTGCGAACATCGTACGAATGCCCGAGACGTCGAGCCTGCAGATAGCAGCCAGTAAACTATGCCTGAGTTATGATCAAGATTGCAACACCACGTCTACGAGTGCTAGAGACGTCCCCCGCTGATTTCTGCCGGTAGGTAGCTCGTTCGTTAGCATGTACCATGACGGAGTCCACAATTCGTCGTGGTTGGCCCTAGGTCTTGACCATGACGAAGTGCCTAGCAACCGCTTGAAGCCTATGATACGGTACCTATTATGCGCGGGGCCAAGTTGATCAAGTGAAGGTGGGTACGACCTGAAGCGCCTTCGGAAGATGGTAAAGCAACCGTAACAACTCAAGCCGAACGTCGGAAACCAATAAGAGAGACGTCCACCTCTCCATACTCCAATGGGGTATCCACGCTCCGACCGCCATGTCACAACTGGATTATTATACCGGCGTGCTCTGTCTCCCGACAGAAGTTCTGCTCAATATCACCTGCCGGCTGACATGGAGCGACCGGAAGCATCTACGCTTGCAAAGCCGGGCACACGCGTACTTCTTTGGCGACCTACCACTTAAGGACTGGGCTGGCGATCTCGTAGGCGTTGCATTCTACGCCCTGTGTGAGTGGACCCCCCGTAATGAAGAGGGACTATGGTGAGATTGACTATGGCGGGATTGACTACGGAGGCGATGCTAGCATGTACTACTGGTGGTTGTCCGTATATAGAGTTTATTTGTACTGTGGCTCAGTCGACGATGTGCAGTTTCTCCAATTATTAACTTGGGGTGGTGTGCAAAATTCAAATGAATAGGAACCTCCAACTGGAACTGTTGCCAGGTGGCCTTCACGGTAGCCTGTAACAGCCGGATGAAGTCCTTACGATGGGGTTCCCTCAAACAGCTGTACACTGGCTGAAGCTTCTCGTTTTCAGGTCAAAGTCTGATTTCTATGCATGCATACAGTTCTCGCTCAGAGTGAGAACGACCGCCATACCGGTGCTCTATTGCTGACCTATGCGGACCGTGGTGGTATCTATGCAGAATGCGTTCGCCTAGCTACATTGTGCAGCAAAGACAGATGGACTCGGGTGTGAGGGTGAGTGATGCACCACCACCACCGCGAAATGGCGCTTAAGAAGGTGCGCCACTTACCCTTACACCCGTGGACATCCGTCGATGCATCCCGTTTACAACGCGGCTTGTTACCAAACCTGGTATCAAATTTCATCTCCGAAACGAATAATTCATTCTTCCTCCCTTTATCACAACATTGATTTTGTTGCGAACGTGCTGACCCGGAAGTTCGAAGCGTTGTCACATGACCCCAGTTTCTCCGGCGCCCGATCAAACGATCTCTCAAAGTTAACCTTCCGAACGGTCTACAACATTAGGGGCCACTGCTGATACACAAAGCCACCCCGCAGCGGAATTCTTGACTCGGGTTTCCTTCCAATCCAGCTGTCTAGGTGGATGGTCAAATCCTGGCGGGCTGAGAGGGTTGCTGCCATCACTCAGGAGCTATGCCCTCTCAGCGATTCGGTACTACATCGCAAATTATTTACAACATTGGTTTGACACTGTTGCGTCGAAAGAAAGCATCAATCATGCGACATCTTAGACCGTAAGGTATCTACCAATCACATATTTGAGAGAAATACAGTTATACGGATGAGGCACATCTATGTATTTCTCCGACTGGTCGTCGAACCGGGTCCACCATCTCCCTTAACCCTGCATAGATATCTTCGATTGGATTTCCACCTCCTACGGCTGGTGGCTGTGCAAGTAAGCATCTGCTTTCTTGCGTAACGATTCCACGGTATCTGAAAGAGAATTATGACTCGGTCGTCTCAATGACTATCTCTGATATCTCTGACGGTGTGTTGGCGCTGGCTCTTGAGGAGCCTCAACAGCTTTCGTAGGCCCGCGGCGGGAGTGCTGATGTTCCGAGTGCTGCCGGTGGTTTGAATACCGTACTACGTCATCATCATGGGCCGTGTTCCTTCGAGAGAGATATACGTATGTTGGCCCATGTTGAACCGAAATATCCGCTTTATTCCTGGCGTGCGATCGCCTCGATGCAGAAGACACCCGATGATGATGACCGCCTGAGTGATAGGTTACTGGAGCATAAATCTCACTAGCAACCGGCCCGTGCTGTGTGCTGACAACTTCCCCTTCCATGAAGCCGGAAGACATCCGACGCTGAAATCCGTTGTGAACCTGGGCTTTTCGACCGTAAATCTCCTTAGCAACGGGCCCGTGCTGCGTGTAGATTCGGGGATTGGAAGATTCTCTACAGCCGCCCCTGTGGAGATCCCGCTCGTCTTCGTGGTATGCAGCTTGGGAATGTCTGTCTTCATCCGAATACACTGAGGAATATTCATCCGAATACACTGAGGAATATTCATCCGAATACACTGAGGAATATTCATCCGAATACACTGAGGAATATTCATCCGAATACACTGAGGAATATTCATCCGAATATTCATGAGAATAAGATTCCTCATCCGAAAGATTAACCGGACTGTCCACGGCTTCACCCTCAAACCCGAGCCGCTCTCGACCATACTCGGTTGATTCGTCGAGGGGCACGGAATCTCCAGGTTGAGGATGATGGGGAATCGGCCGTGGTCCGTTCCTGATTTCAATTAGCCACACTTCATTCCGAGGTGCTTCGAGTCAACATACTTCGCCGAACCTATGCGTCTTAACGGGTGCTGCCTGGTCGGCACCTCGAGTTCTCCCTCTCGGTCATGCTCCACGGTATACACCTACTCCAACATGACTTTAGTGATTAAATCTCAGAGAGTTAAAACAGACGACTTACTGCATCGTAAATCTCGACATATTCGACCTTCTGCATTATTTCAGCAAGTAATGTGTTCTTTGATCCCCGCCGTACTCTTCAGCTCCAGGCAGCTGGTCGTCGGACTTAAATCAATCCACAAGCTCGAGTGGCAGGGCTGGGTATCCATGTGGGTCGCGTATCGACCACCCATTGGATGAGTACGATGATTCGATGAACCGCCTACAAACACTCAGAAAAAGGGAAATGTCCATATTATATCGGCTTTGTCGGAGCAAGTGTGCGTGGCCCAGCTGATAAGTGCTCATTCTGCGATGCACGATAGTTTTGTGCTTCTAGATATCCAGGCTCCCATCCAATACGCTGGGCGAAGGATTCCTTAGCTCGGATCCCGTTTCAATCCTGCTGCCTGCATGTTTGTTACACTGCAGATAATCATCCAGCCACTAATTGTGATGGGTTATTCCGCCTGTCAATCACCATCCGATAGAGTATACCCCGCACAAGCTACAACGAGCCCCATAGTTCCAGCCTCTACTTACACTGCTCCGCGATTTGCAGCCTCACGGAACGCCTATTAATAATCTCTATGATGCCGCAGCTGCTAAGCATTCCTTCGCAATCAATCAATCGACTCGAAAATTACAATGGCCGACGCGCAGCATCTCAGTCCGCCGACGGAACTACATGGCCGTACTCCTACTCGTACAGCCAGCAATCGCGGGCGTCCATTGTCCAGAGCCTCGCGGCAGCACAGTCCGTCTGGCACGGAGCTCGATGGTCATAAACTTGCATCTAAACACCAAAAGCGGTCGCAGTCCGGTTCGGATTCGGGTTCGGCGGTGTTGTGTTCCAGGCATCACGCTCGCGACCGATCTCAGGATTCGGGATTGCAGAACTTTCCAGCTCTGGCAGGATTAGACGCAGGTGGATGGCATATTCTCAGGAGCGGAACACAGATGCCCGAATTGTAGGAATCATGTTCACTTGGTCGACACCACCGCGAGCTAATGAGTCAGTTCGAAGGGATGATGTAGAACAGATACGAGAAGCGTTACTAAGGCGAGGAGGGAAGAACCTGTGGCAGATTTTCGGAGACAGGAACTATGTCGTGGTCATGTGTACCCATCCAGACGGTACAATCGAAGCGTCGAACGTTTCCGAGAGCCAGGAACTTTTGAAACGTCTCGAAGCGGTAAGAACACTGAAATCATGGATGGTTCGGTGAAGACTTACCGATTATAGGAAGCACCGAAGTCCCAACAATTGTACGGATATCCATCCCTTCTACATTCGCGAGTTCATCATGGTGAAAATCTAATATGGTGATTTCGGTGGTCCGCCTATATTCGCGCTAAACAATGTTTTGGCAGTTATATCACGATGAACACGAGGAACGAAAAAAAAGGAACTTCAAATATCGGTAAATATCTTCGAGCAACTCGCACTCCACTATGATTTCCCCGTGGCATTCATCTAGACATTGTTTGACTACGATCGGCAACCTCGTCACTACGCATTTGGAAGTAGGGTGCAGTGCTATAGACCGGGGCCCAAGATACAAGGTATCCTATTCGTTGGAATAAAAGAAAGTACATATTATCGTGCTGACGAGCTATAGACTTTTGGTATACACTACCGGTTCGTCTGGCAATGAATTGCTCAGATCCCCAGGGATCACATCGAGATGCTACGGCAGGGACATACCAACACAATGCTTCCAATCTCCTCCACCTTCACAACCAAAGGATTGACATCCGACACCACGACCTTGCTGTACTCTGTCGCCACGACCTAGAGAACAAAAAGACGACTGTCATCTGCGTCAACTTTCATTCCCGCGTTCCACAGACCATCAAAGACCTCGGGGACCGAGTTTTTCGTGCATTGAATAGTGGCGGCACGGCGATGAACGACCGAAACCCCCTTTGGGTGAACCTTGTTTATATTGGCCAAGTGCTGTACGGTTGGAAGGTGGCATTCGAATATTTTGCGGCCGAATTGAACATCCATGTATGTTGATCATTGGATACTAGTGGAAGGAGAAAATGATGGCGATGCTGACCGGTTGTCGACGGCTAGGAGACAGAAATCGAAAAGAAAATGACAACCCAAGCGTAAGCTATACAGAAGTCATCGGCGACCGAAAGAACACGAGAAACCGAAAATGCGGAGAAAAACCGGATGCTCAAGACGAACCGAGCGCTTCATGCTATGGCCGCCCACTGCCTCCGATACAAAACCGAGGTCTATACTGTTACTACGGTGGTGAAAGCGTTGATGGAGCACCACGAGGAGATATCCGGAGAAATGAAGATACACGATGACGAGAGAGACAGAGTTCGTAGGGCGATGAAGCAACAGCTTGCGGAGGTTGTTGCTATCTCCAGATCGCAGGAAGAGTTGGCCAAGAAAACAAGTAACACACTGGCGTTGGTTAGTTAGCATTGTTCTGCTCAGCCGCGACTTTCTGCGGATCGAATGCTGATTATCCGATCAAACAGTTGTTTCATTCTGTTCAAGCAGATTACGACCAGCAGCAGGTCGCCAATGGTGTCGAACTTCAAAAGATTTCTCTGGCCAATCAAGTCGAGGTCCAGCAAACTAGAAAGGACAGCTTTGCGATGAAGACCATCGCCATTATGACCGTGTTTTTTCTACCCGGAACTAGCATTGCGGTAATCTTCACTACCTCTTGTTGCACTCAGACTGATGGATAGGAATTTCAAAGGCAATACTGGCTCTACCGTATTTCGAGGGCACCGCCGCCCACAGGACTTTATGGATATGGGCCGTGCTGGCAATAGCGCTGACTGGGATAGTGCTTGGACTGTTTCGGTTTCTATCAAGGCGAAAGAATAAACATGCATCCTCCGATCTGGAGAATGCACGAAGTGGGGGGTAACGAGGAAGGCGGAGACGGCGGAGACGATGAAGAAGGCAGAGAAGATAGTAGGCGAAGAACAGGACTCAGCGATGGTTAAGAGTGGGAAGAAGGACCGGTGATGGTGCAGGGCAATCATCAATGTATATACCGAGAATATTCAGGTTGAAACTACACCAGCCCGTTTTCCAGAGAGGCCAGCTTTTTGAACAAGAGACCGGCCCCATGGTAAAGCGGTAGGTTATTTAATTAAACCGACCTCCGGGAATGTGGTTTGGTGAATTCAACGTTTATGCCCACGGCTCGGCTGTTCTGCTCGCAAATCTTTAGAAATACTAGTCCATCGGTAACTAAAGTTAAGGTAATGTTCCTTCGTATCCGTTTCTCACCTATCTTGAACATACCAACTCTAATCAACCCACAATATCCCATGCTATTCCGGCAGATACCATATTGCGCCCACCGTCCTTCGCCGCTCTCAAGTTGCGGCGTTGAAGTCCCTCCTGGCAGTGAAGCTCCTACCGCTATTCTATCCTCCTGTTTCCTTTCGCCTGTTATCCTTCTCTATCTCTCGCCATCGCCGCATGTAGTTACCCTAATCGCGAGCCTTGTCGAGAGCATACTTCACAGCATGACTGCGAGCTTGACCGAAAGCTTAGTCGAGAGCGTAGTAAAGAGCATGCTAGAAAACATGACCGAGAAGATACTGGAAAGCATAAAGGTGACTCGTATGCCAGCGCGCATGACCGAGAGTGTAATGGAGGACCTTCATGTGAGAATATTGATGTACGGCGGAAGCGTACCGGAAAGATGTGGGGTGAAAAACGGTTCTTTCTAGCTGCCGCGGGAGAAGCTCCTCTTGCAGCTGTCAATACAAATCTTCCTCCCTGCCTACCCCACTGGTAGGTCACGAATACAGCCTCGTACATACTCAGGCTGCCCGTTCGGTGCAAGGTAGTTACTTGTGTCTCAAACGAGCGTTCAAAGCAGTCGCGTATGTAATCATCCTGATACTGTACGTGCATACGTCAGAGCTTGCTATGAGCGAAATCACGACTCTTCACCAGACTCCTTCCCCTCCTTGTCTTCGCTTTGCATCCCCTATCTGGCCACCTTTTCCCTCACTCTGTTTCTTTGATTTCGATCGCTTCCGTCACCGATAACGCAATAATGAGGGGACGCAGGAGCGGCAAGGGCAGCACGGGTAGACGGTTGTGAACCGCTGCATTCCCAAGAGGTTCTTTTCCGATTGTGCGTTTACTTCCCAGGTGCCATTACTGAGATGCGCCGGTTCCAGCTTCGTCGGCTTCTCTACACCCGAAACCGCTGCAGCACTCAATACGCCCGGGTATACACCATCGCACCCATCGGTCCTCCTATGCCACTACGTGGCCGTCTCACCCGCGGTAACACCCAAGCGCTCACCTCTCCGTGCAGAACGAACTCCCTCTTTCCACATCCAGCCGCTTTCCTGATTGATAGGGAGAGTCCACCTGCAGCAGACTCCCGGTCATACGATTCCCGCGTTATGCGACGGAAGCCTCTAACGCGAAAAACGAATTCTCCGCTCCCTGTCAACCGATGCTGCAAAGTATATACCGGAACATCTACCGGCAGGCGGCTCAGAAATCGGTGGTGTACGCAACTTACATGTTTCGGTGTAGTTTAGGCGCGAGTGCGGCACAGGTTTCTCGAACCGCAGGCTAATCAATCGATAAATCTATCGCGGAAAAAGATGATGAGCGCTTCGAATTCTTCCGTGCGGAACATGCTATAAGTAGTTCGGCCGTTCTGGGTTTCCCAAATTAAAACTTCGACACGACCAACTTCTTGTGGATCATAACGTGACACCGCCCGATCTCGATATAAACGGAACGATGGCAGCCGCAGCCGCAATGGATCACGTAAGTGCAATCTGAGTGCCTTTGAATTGACCGCGAGCTGACATAGGAGGCGTCGGGTAGTTGGAAGTCAGCACCGACGACGACGATTCGTCGGATTACTCCAGCAGCTTCACGCAGAGCTCGACGCATAGCATTACAAGCTCGATTGTGGACTACGTTTACGAGAATGGTAAGCCACATCGCTCGCACCCATCCCGGAGGAGCGATGCTGACCAAGATAGGAAGACGGTATCATCGCTACCAGGAAGGAAAATATATGCTTCCGAATGATGAGGTTTGTTATCCTATTTCCCAATCTACGTCGAATAGTTGTGCTCACACACCGAGGGATAGGCGGAACAAGACAGGTTAGTAGCCCTACCGGCACGAGCACTCGAAGGCCGATGATTGAGATCCGGAACAGACTCGACTTGTATCATCACCATGAGTTACTCACGCTCCACGGGAACCTTTACGTTGCAATCCTTCCGGTGAAGCCGCAGCGTATCCTGGACTGTGGCACTGGAACTGGAATCTGGGCGTTGGATATTGGAGAGGTTTTTCCATCGGCGGAAGTGATCGGAGTAGATTTGAGCCCCATTCAGCCAGAATGGTATGCCAACACCTGAATACGAAGAATTGGTGGCGTAGCTGACGTAACGTGTGCAGGGTGGTGCCTAATGTCCGTTTCGAAGTCGACGATCTGGAGATGGACTGGACCTACCATCCCGATTACTTCGATTTCATCCACTCACGCAACATCGCCCAAAGCATCCAGGACTGGCCCAGATATGTGAGGCAGATGTACAAGTAAACTCCACCCTTCGCTCTCCTTCTCCATTCCACTAGCTAACGTGGTGTAGACACACGAAACCAGGCGGCTACATCGAACTCGCGGAAACATCAACCAGAATATATTCCGACGACGAGTCACTGACCGGCAGTACGTTGGGATTGTACAACGAAAAATTCAACAAGGCTCTCGAGATAGCCGGATTGATGTTTCCAACAGGGGAGACTCTGAAGAAGTTTGCCAAGGCTGCCGGCTTTGTGGATGTTAAGGTGCACTCTATCAAGCAGCCATGGGGTTCATGGCCAAAGGATCCGGAAATAAAGAGGCGGGGCATTATCGCCGCGATGATTTGTACTACTGGTCTGGAGGTCTGTCGCCACCCCAAAATCCCGCTCTCAATACTTCCTTTGCTGACTAGTTACTACTATAGTCCTACGGAATGGCTCCTCTGACCAGATACATGGGCATGAAGCCTGAGGAGGTGTTGAAGATGTGTGTCAATTCTATGGTGGAGGTGGACAGTCGCAAGGTGCATGCGTATACTATTCTGTATCATGTGGTGGGGAGGAAGCTGGAATAGTGGTATCGTTTTTACTCAAGATTTTGCTGTGAGATCAAAGAATTGGATCCAATGACGAAAGCAGAACCACCATCTGAGCTGAGTGGTACCGACTGATGTGAGATCCTTTGACCATGACGATCTCTCAGAAGGAAGCATAAATGGTGTGCTTTGCTTGAGTTGGACAGGGCGGATCAAGATGTGCTCGGGAGGAGCGTGCAGTTGAAGCAGTTGAAAGAGACACCGCCGTTGAGGAAGTGTGACAGTAATTAATTTTCTACTTATGTCCACCGGCGGCTCGTGATTATTCTAACAGTATGTACCATATGATTGAGGGGATTGCCGGCATCGAGTATGTACCTGATCATTTTCGTGATTGTTCGGATCGGGTCTCAGCTCGGCCGCACAGAAGGGATGAAAGTACCGAATCACACGGCCGTCTCGCTGCTGGCCCCTTCAGTGGCCATTCTGAACAGTTCCCCTCCATTCGGCAAGATTGGACGTAGCTAGCGCACCCAGGTGATCTCCGAACCCGCCGGACCAAATCAATGAATGTACAACCCATATTCCTGTTGAATGTATGCTAAGACTCCGGGATGAGGGCAGGAGAGCGGGGAAGGCGGAGTTAAGTTTGCTTACGCGGAGAGGGGAGGCGAGGATATATATCCTGGGTGAGCAGCTATAGCTAGAACTACGGGAATCACAAGCAGCAGTTCGCACTCGTATAATTGTTCACTCCCTTCCCTAGGCGAGCGCACCCCCGTGACAAGCCCTGGTGAATCTCGTCCCGACACGACGATAAATACGTGCCCGAATTGACGTTGCATAGTACATGCTCATCACGATGAACAGTCCAACATAGAAAGGATGAAACATTCGGTGCTAGATTGGGATATACCTTGGGCGTGGAGCATTGCTGCCCTCCGTGAGACGATCACAGCTGCACTGGGAGAGTCTACCCATGCTATTTCGGAGAGTAAGCCCGGAGAGTCCCGCCTACTAAGAAGTCTGGCCGGATGTACCTATGGGAGTCGACGAATCTAGTGCCGAGTCGGCGATGCATAATACCCGATGTCAGATCTAGACGTCCGATAACTCCGGAAGACACCTTCCGCACCGGAGGACAATTTGGGCACCGGGGCGGCGATGATAGGAGCCGGACGCCAAATGGCGAACCGTCAGCTATGATCTGTATAAATATATGTAGAGGACTTACTGCTATGATGAGACGAATACGCATCAGGTTTCCCATCACTGCTACCTTTCACACCGGAAACAATGAAGAATTCAGTAGCGGCTCGATAACGGATGCAGTGCCGAACTTTCAACTTGGATACATGCCGGCATCAAAGTTGGATACATCTTCAAAGCGGCAAGAAACATTTTGCTGGAACGCCGGCAAATGTGTTCCTTAATCCGAGGCTACCCAGAGAGCCGAGCATAGTTGCATTGCGAGACAGCCTTAAGCCCAGCGAATCTGGGATAGGCTCACTTAGGGAGGAGCCAGGTTGGAAATCAGAGAGACGTAGTCCTGGCGAGATGAGCATTGTTGTACGACGAGAGTTCGACCGGATATTGTCGACTATACCCAGCGAATCCTTCTTATCTACATTCGAGGGGTCGGCCGGAGGTTAGAGCGTATGTCCGGCAACACGAGCGTGATTGAATTCCGAGAGCACGCCCGGCGAGTCCTACACAGCTGGAGTGCGAGAGTCCGACGAAATCTCAGAGAGTAGGTACGGGCCGTGGTCAAGGGTTTATAGCTGAATTGCGGTTGCAAACTCGCGGATCGGCGGCCTCCAGTACCACCAAAACAGCGATTTGAGCATCCCACGGCCCAGGAGCATTCCCAACTACTGCCCCGACAGAGTACTTTGTACGACCAAGACGCTTCCTCAATGCGTGAGATTCAATCACGTGGTTCCGTGTCCATCAGTGCAAAACCCATGGCTACAATTGGCGATTCGTCAAAGCAAGCGAGTGATACATTGTGAGCACTCACAAGCGTGACAGTTTATGATGCTAAATGTACTGGGTGATATTCCACAATGTAGGATCTATTGCGTGGCATATTATGATGGAGTCTATCCAATTATCTCACATTACAGTTTGCTCTTTGAAATGGAACCAGCAAGGTGTGAGACTGGAACGGTTTCAGGACAGTCATGTAACACTCCAATAGACTGTAATAAAGTACACTGGGCAAGTACTTGTAATAGTACGGCCGGGCAGGGCTCCACATAGCGAAGACGGGTGGACACGTGGACAGGAAGCCGGGCGAGCCAGGACAAGACGAGTCGGAAAGACAAGGCAAGGCGAGATTCAGTGCAGGTGTAATGGCACGGTCGGGCAAGGCTCCAGGTAGCGAAGTCGGGCTGGGGATCGGGTTCTGGGTTCGGCAGAGGCAAGACGGGTTCAGGGGACAAGGTGAGGCAGGACTCAGTGCAGACGGCAACTGTGACACCCCGATAGCTATCGGAGGACACGACGGTCGCAAGAGATGTGATTAGATAGTTCGGGTGATTAGAATAGAGTTGCGAGCCGAAAGGATAGTTAGAAGCGATTGAGGACAAGATAGGAAGGAGGGAGCAAACGGATTCCAGAGTCTAGACAGTGATCGGAGATGCGGGAGATCGGGATAACAGTTCAGAAGACTTTGAGATCTCCGTTCATAGGGCCCCGCAGTAGGAACTCCGATCCAGGGAAAAACTGTTATGACGAGAGAATCGAACATCGACCGATGGGGGCAGACAACTTCGAGCGAAGAACTCTGCCGGCGCATGAGGGAGACAATTGCTCGGAAACCCCGATCTATCTTGGGCGCGTGGTGTTTACCACCTGCCTAGTCGAGAAGACTATCCGAAGAGAGCTGACGACGACTCGAGGCTAGGCCGCGGAACTCCGATGCAAAGGAAGCAACGGAGCTACGTTAGGCCGCACTCAAGAGGAATCACGTGCTGAGGATCGGAACGACTATAAGTCGAACCGAGCAGGCAAACCGAACCAAACTACAATCATCGCACCGAACAAACCATCGAAGAAACACCCTTAAGATTATTCCGTTGTGGATTATCGAAATCCCTGACTTTTATTCTATCCTCGACTTTACTATAGACTCCGACGACACAAACCCGTCCCAGTCTCACAGCAACTGAGAACAGAGGCAGGGACAAGGACTACGGCGCAGACGGCAGCCGAGGCAAGGACAGAGGTAACAGTGATTGAATTAACAAGTTGTTGCGTGAAGAACTAAATACAGAGGGGCAACGGCCCGTTTATATAGAAAATCCTCCACTTCTTCCCGCAACCTGACAATGACCGTGGGCATGTGCCAGACCCTGAGAAATCCACCTTGCCAGTACCCCACTTCCGTGACTCATACCCTGCGCAGCCGCACTACCCCTGCTTCCTGCACACAGCCCCAATCTACTGCGGCTCATCGCTGCGCTATCCCTGCTCCCTGCACACAGCCCCAAATCCTCTGCGACTCATCCTTGCACTGCCTGTGCACTGCCTCTGCACTGCCCCCCAACTCTCCCGATCCTTGTGCCGACCCTCCCTTCGTCATTCCATCGCGAGCCGTGACAGTAGTCCCTCCTAAGGCTCGAGTTCCCACGAGAGCAAGTTCGACTGGTCCAGGCTGCATGGGGTATCGTCGATGGAAGTCGTCCACAGCTTGTACCTCGGTAAGGTTCTCCTCTGGTTCCCATGTTGGTGCCGCGTAGCCTCTCCATTTTACCAGGTACTGGAGTTTGCCCCTGAGGTTCCGGCTGTCGAGGACCTCTTCAACCTCCCATTCTTCTTGGTCGTCCACGATTACCGGAAGTGGTGGCGGTGGAATTTGTCCAGGGAAGGGATCGTCAGCGGAGGCATGAAGGAGGGATACAGGAAATGTTCGCTGCTTCTGAACGGTGTCCGGGATGTCCAATTCGTAGGCGTGGGTTCCGATGGTCCGAATCACACGGTAGGGACCATGGTGTTTGTTTTCCAGCTTGCGACTGGGTCTCTCGGTGCGCCAGTTACGACCATCCACCCATACCATGTCGCCTGGTTGGAAGGCTGGCGCAGGTGTTCGGTGTCGGTCGGAGCCGTCCTGTTGCCGTGCCTGGGCATACCGCATTTGGCTGCGGGCGACGTCGTGGATTTGATGCAACCGTTCCGCTGCACTCTGAGCTTGATGTTCCTCCTTGGTGTCGACACGGATATCCAGCTCAAAGTCACACCGTGGGTGGTATCCTAGGTTAGCGAAGAATGGGGACAGGGTAGTCGTGTCGGAGACCTGGTTGTTGCCAGCGAATTCGGCCAAGAAGAGGTAGTCGACCCAGTCATCCTGGAGGTAGCTGACGTACGCGCGGAGGTGCTGTTCCATGACGGCGTTCATCCGTTCAGTTTGGCCGTCGGTCTGGGGGTGGAAGGCAGTTGACAGGCGTGGCTCGATCTTGAGGCATGAGCATAGGTGTTTCCAGAATCTCGAGGCAAACTGGGGACCCCTGTCCGAGACGATGGTTTCTGGCAACCCGTGGTACCTGAAGATCCGGTCGCAGAACAGCTCGGCCAGTCCTTCCGAGGTGATGGTCTTGGTGCATGGTAGGAGATGGCGTTGCTTGGTCAGTCGGTCAACAAAAACACAGATGGCGTCAAACCCCTTTGAGGCCAGTAAGCCAGTGACAAAGTCGACTGAGATGTGTTGCCATGGCTTCTCGGGTACTGGGAGGGGGCGCAGGACACCATAGGGTGCGTGCCGGGTGGCCTTGGTTCGTCGGCAGGTGTGGCAGTTTCGGACAAACTGGTCAACGTCCTTTCGCATCTGTGGCCAGTAGTACCTTCGAGCAAGTAGTTCCAGGGTTTTTGCGCGCCCTGGGTGCCCTATGGTCGGTGGGCCGTGATGGTCCTGGATCAGTCGTAGTCGGAGTCGGTCGTACTCTGGAACATAGAGGCAGTCTCGGTAGATCAGTCGCCCGTTGACTTCGCGGCATTCGGCCAAGGAGATCTCCTTCGAGTGGCGTGTACCATTTCGGAGT